CGGAGAAATCTGATGTGTACAGCTTTGGAGTTCTTCTGCTTGAGCTCGTTACCGGTAAAAGACCAACAGACCCGACGTTCGTGAAAAGAGGCTTAAACGTCGTCGGATGGGTAAAAAACAGCTCAGATGTTTTCCTCCGACAACGATTCCTAAGATTCTGTTTCTGATCAAATGTTCTCTCTTTCTGTCAGATGAACACTTTGTTGAAAGAGAATCGATTAGAGGATGTGATGGACAAGAGATGCACCGATGTGGATGAAGATTCTGTTGAGGCATTGCTCGAGATCGCGGTGAGGTGTACGGACGCTAACCCGGAGGACCGGCCGGGTATGAACCAGGTGGTTCAGTTGCTTGAGCAAGAAGTAATGTCTCCTTCTTCGGCTATCGATTACTACGATGATTCCCATTCCGATTACTGTTAGCGCTTATGAGCGCGGCGGAAAATAATATTCGACTCTTAGCCTGCGTCGGTTTTTTTTTTTTTTTTGGGTTGCATTTTGAATGTTGTATTTTGGAGATCGAGAGATATGTTTGTAAATTAGAACTTAGAAGTGAAGATGGTGCAAGATTATTGACGATGCATTGTTCTTGTGCACTTTTACGGAACAATATGATCGACTTTTCAAACATTTGCAAAGCAGAGGAGAAAACTGAGAGCTCTGATTTCTTTTTGGTGTGGTCTATGATTGATTTTGTCGGATAACTTAAAATGGGCTTTTGTATTAGCAGCTGGGCCCAAATGTCATGATGGAAATCCAAAATCAGTCCAACTGTTAATTAAATGAGATATTTGGATTTTCTAAAAGGCACAAAAGTCGAAAGTATAACAACAAAACAGAAGAAACCATTTTTAAACCATTTTTGTACGTTTCAAAATGGCAATATTCTTATCTCTGACGACAGGGAAAAAAAAAACTCAGAGGTTACAGGAAAAAACGCACCATTTCAAATTTTCAAATTTTGAATAAAAAACAAATCGACGCGTCAGAGAATTTATGGGGGAAATAATAAGTTAACACAGTGAGCAACAATAAAAACTCACTCACTCACACTTTTTTCCCCAGTCTCTCTTCATTTCCGAAAACCCTATTTCTCTCACTTCACTGGATTTCGATTTCGGAATCTCGAAAACTCTAGATCTCCTCTCTTGTTAACTCTCTCTCTAGCGACGATGCGTGAGATCCTTCACATCCAGGGTGGTCAGTGCGGTAACCAGATCGGTGCCAAGTTCTGGGAAGTCGTTTGCGCCGAGCACGGCATAGATCCGACCGGTAGGTACGTCGGAGACTCAGATCTACAGCTTGAGCGCATCAACGTCTACTACAATGAAGCTAGCTGTGGTAGATTCGTCCCTCGTGCTGTGCTCATGGATTTGGAGCCTGGGACCATGGACAGTCTCAGATCTGGACCGTACGGTCAGACCTTCCGTCCTGATAACTTCGTCTTCGGCCAATCTGGCGCCGGAAACAACTGGGCCAAGGGTCACTACACCGAGGGAGCTGAGCTAATCGATTCCGTCCTCGACGTTGTTCGTAAGGAAGCCGAGAACTGTGACTGTCTCCAAGGTATACTCATCTTCTAGATCTATTCGATTTCGAGGTTGATTTATGCATTTCCTGGTGTTTTAAACTGTGAGATCTGCTTCTATAGGGTTTCAGGTTTGCCATTCTCTGGGAGGAGGAACTGGATCTGGTATGGGAACGCTCTTGATCTCCAAGATCCGGGAGGAGTACCCAGATCGGATGATGCTTACGTTCTCAGTGTTCCCTTCCCCTAAGGTCTCTGATACCGTCGTTGAGCCTTACAACGCTACTCTCTCTGTTCATCAGCTTGTTGAGAATGCAGATGAGTGCATGGTGCTCGATAATGAGGCCTTGTACGACATTTGCTTCAGGACTCTCAAACTCACTACCCCCAGCTGTAAGATTCCTTATCTTATTGTGCTCTTAACTTAAAAATGATTGGATTTGTTGATTTCTCTTCGCCATGACTAGATTGTGAACGATTGTTTTGCGACTTTTTGTTGTGATTGTTACTATGTCATTGTTTATCTATGTTGAGCTTATCACCACAATAAATCCTGAAGCTGATATTAGTCAATCTAAAGTAAATATCTGATACATTTTGTAGCATAAGGGATATGCAGAATGCATTTGTGATCATCGTTTGTTCTAGATACTGTGGAAGTGTACTCTCTGCTTTGTAATGTAGTATTATCTGCAAGCTTTTGTTGTATGCGTGTATGGCTCACTTACTTGGTATCATTCACTGTATGCAGTTGGTGATTTGAACCACTTGATATCTGCGACGATGTCTGGTGTGACTTGCTGTTTGAGGTTCCCTGGTCAGCTAAACTCCGACCTCCGTAAGCTCGCTGTGAATCTGATCCCATTCCCTCGTCTTCACTTCTTCATGGTGGGTTTCGCTCCTCTCACCTCAAGAGGTTCTCAGCAGTACCGCTCCCTCACAGTCCCTGAACTCACACAGCAAATGTGGGACTCCAAGAACATGATGTGTGCTGCTGACCCAAGACATGGACGCTACCTCACAGCCTCCGCCATGTTCCGTGGCAAGATGAGCACGAAGGAAGTCGACGAGCAGATGCTGAACGTGCAGAACAAGAACTCGTCCTACTTTGTCGAGTGGATCCCAAACAACGTGAAGTCAACGGTCTGTGACATCCCACCTACTGGACTGAAGATGGCGTCTACTTTCATCGGGAACTCAACGTCGATCCAGGAGATGTTTAGGAGAGTGAGTGAGCAGTTCACGGCTATGTTCAGGAGGAAGGCTTTCTTGCATTGGTACACTGGTGAGGGAATGGACGAGATGGAGTTCACGGAAGCGGAGAGCAACATGAACGATCTTGTTTCGGAGTACCAGCAATACCAAGATGCAACTGCTGATGAAGAAGGTGAGTACGAGGATGAGGAAGAAGAAGCTGCTTACCAACAGGAGGAAGAGTACTGAGTGAGAGACTGAGAGTCGTGATTTAGTAAAAAAAAAAACAATTTAGTCTTCTGTTACTGTTTTTATTTTCTTTAAAAAAAAAAGGAAAACCTCAACTCTCAAGTTGCTGGTTTTTTATGCTTGTATTGAACAACTCCAGAAGTTCTCGGACATGTGGTTTGTTTTAATGTCTACTTTGTTCTTAAATTTGGTTAAGAGTTTCCTTCGAATCTTCAATTTGAACTTTCTTCTAAATCTGCCTTTTGATGCTTACCACGGTTTTGCCGCGTCTCTATTATACATATGAAATTTATTATACTATTTCATTTTAAATAACCTAAACACATTAACACACAAACTAAACAAGCAGTCGCACAAGAGTATTAACACACACACTAAACAAGCAGTTGCGCGAGAGTCTTTCAAATTCGCGAATTAAGCGTGAAGAGAAGAGACGTGAAGAGAAGAGAAGAGACGGACGATACAGACGATACACGATTCCATCACCAATGTAGTATGGATAATAGCAGCGGTCGTTCGAAGAGGGAACGCGAGTCTCTCACTCTTGATTCACATTGAACAATCTGAAATCTGCTTGTGGTGTAGGTTTGTGTCAATTAACCTACAAGCAAACTAAATTTGCAAACATGATTTTTAGGTTTTTTCTACGCAAATTAAATCAGTCAACTCAAAAATCATCTACTAAACGACCTTTCCGTGTGTTTCTTGTGTAATTGATAAGGTTGAATACATGGAAAGAGATTAGTGATTGAGCGTGAGGAGTTGTCATAATGAAATGGAAACCCTTACTTTTGTGATATATGGATCTTTTTGTTTAATTATTTATTTATAGGTGATATTTGGATCTTTTTGTTTTTTACTAGAAAATATCTCACAAATCCATTATAACAGTTTTTGATATATTTTATTAGTGAAATCCTAATTTTCCAATAAAGTGAGATTTTCAATAATTTGTATAAATGATTAATTCAATAACCTTAGATTTTGAGGGATTTTAGTAAATCCAATAAGAGGTAATTTAAAAAAAAAAACAGAAATCCTTCCAAATCATCAATCCAATATCCCCCACAAAAATTGTATTATAATTCATAATTTTTTTAAGGGTTTTGAGCAAATTAACCTACAATTTAAATTAAATTTGCAAATTAATTTTTTAGATGCAAATCAAACCTAACAATATAAAAGAGTCGCCCTTATATAATTTTGTTTCTTCTGTAATTTTTTGGGTTTTAAAATAAAAATATTATCCTCTAAATCAAATGACCTTTCGAGTAATAGAAGAGAGACTGCCATCTGCAAGAGCCCCATGCACCCTTTAAAAGGCCAACGCTTTTTTGCCCTATTTGCTTTTGCTATCTACACGAACATAGCTTAGATTTTTTATTCATTCCTAAAATTGAGCTAAGTTTAATTTCCAAAATCTATAGCCGCTATGTGAATCTCTAGTAGCCATAATGTATATGATCTTCCCGGTTATATATAAAGTTATAAACAATGAGAGTATGAGACTAAGGAAAAAAAAAACTGTTGTTCAAAAACAGAAAAAAATCTAATTAATTGCAAAGTGTACTTGAGTATATTGATGGGTTTTCTAGAACCATGAGGTCAATGACAAATTGACAATGAACTCATTCATTCAACAATATTTTATAGACATTTAGTAGCATAAAACATTATTGATCAAATTAAACATTTTTCTTAATTTTAACCCCCAAAAAAGTAACATGAAAAATTATCCAAATTGTGGTTTTTTCAATACATCCGTAATAATTATATGCAGCATGTTTTTATTTATATTAAAAACATACTTCTATTGCTAGAAGTTTTAAGTTTAGATAGATAAGTAAGTATATGCCAATCAACACTATATATATGCACATATTTGTGTTGGTAATCACTTGTCTCTCTCCCATTGGTAAAGAGGACACAGTGGAATAGTATTTTTAGCCTTTTCTAAGATATTTTTGATCAAAATCCCACTTTTCGAGCCCGTCTTATCTTATTCCTCAACCTCAAAGAACCATATCGCCATGGCTTCCGTGCCGGTGAAGCCACTACCTCCGGTTGGCCCACATCTTCTTCGACGGAACCTCACTACGACGGCGTTTTCCAAATCTCCGGCAATGCTCGTCTCGCGCTCGAATCGACATTTTCTTGGAATATCCACGTATAATAAATGCTTTCGTTCATTGTGGCAAGTGAGGAATCCGGCGTCTTTGAGCACCCGCGGTTGTAAAGTGGTGGCATCGGCGGGAAACTTGACAGCACCGTCGTGGGATTCGTGGAAGCCAGATAAGACGGCGGTGGCGACGACTCTGTTGTTGAGTGACGTCATTTGGCCTGCAGCTGGTTAGTTATTAAACCGAATTATGAACTAATATTACTCTAACTAAGATCACGTCACAATTTTTTAAATATTTCGATCAACTTCTTGAGATCATAATTCTACTAATTTTCTTCTTTCTAAATTGATGCACTTTGGTTCTAAATCAGAAGAAATACAAGTTGGCGATTAGGGTATAAACTAGGCCTGGGCATTTTTACCTGGACCCGAAATACCGAACCGAACCCGACCCGAAATAAGTGGAACCGAACCGAACCGGAACCGACACAAATACCCGAATGGGTCCAAAATTTCTATACCCGAAAGAACCGGACCCGAACCGAACCGAACCGAAAACCTGTGGATACCCGAAATATTCAAAATATAACTATATATCCAAAAATATTAGTTATATTTAGACTTAAAATAACCAAAATATATAAAATTATAATTATAAATCTAATATAATAGTTATATTTAGAAAACAATAACAAAAATATTCAAGAAATCCAAAAATCTTTAGTTATGTTTGTTAATATTCAATATTTTTTTCCGAAATTTTGTTAAATTTCGTATAAATTAAACAGTTTTTATTTTTATTTTATTTTTTGTAACTAAAGTTTGGATATCCGGAACCGATCCGAACCCGGGCGGAACCGAACCGGACCCGACCCGAAAATCAAAAATACCCGAATGGTTCTAAATTTTCTAGAACCGAAAAACCCGAAACCCGAAAGGAACTGACCCGAACCCGATCCGAATAACTGAACGCCCATGCCTAGTATAAACGTTGAAAACAAAAAGAAAGGAAGATAAGAGATACACACAAAAGAAAGAATATAAAATTAGAAAAATTAATGGACAATATTATCTCCTGAGTCATGATGACTGTCTCAAAGATGAGGAGAGATAATATGTGTCTCTTCCTAATGCCAAATGGTCGTTTATACGATGAACCTACCGCTCGAGTTTGACTAATTTATCGAATCTACCTAGAAATAGTAGTATTGACTTTTTTATTGTTTTTATAAATGCGAACTAGTGTAGAAGTCTAGAAACGCATCCAAAGATTAAGTAATCGTTAGTTAAATTAGCAATTTGAATCGTGGCAAATGGTATTTGATTATGCTTGTTAATGATGAGAAATATTTATGTAGTCAAAGTATGAGAATCCTATCGTTTGTGTTGTTAGTCAAACCCTATGATAATTGATAGCTCTTATTTTAAAGGTCATAGCTGACTTTATCCAAGAAAATATGGAATCGTTTATTCATATGTATGTGTCAGCTAGAATTTCATTACTCATCTTATTGGTTTTACAGTGTTAGATTTGAACTGAAATATCGTATTTATATTTGGTCTCGTCATTGAACGTAGGAGCGTTTGCGGCGATGGCGATAATGGGAAGAATGGATCAAATGTTAACTCCAAAAGGGATTACAATGTCAGTTGCACCACTTGGTGCCGTCTCCGCCATTCTTTTCACCACTCCTTCTGCTCCTGCTGCTCGGGTAAATCTTTAACCGCAAAATTCCAGAATAAGTTGTAGGGTTTAAATGGTGTATAAACAAGAAGAATCAGATAGTGAAAAGTAGGAAGTAGTAGTTCAAGGGAATATGTTAATTCCATTAAGTTCATCATCCATAAAACCAGCTGAACCTTTTCTTATAATATTGTTCTTGTGCTTTCGCTTTTCTTATAATATTGTTCTATAAAATAAAACCTTTTCGCTTTTCTTTTTGATCGGTGAACATAATTAAAATATCATATTCTACGGTTCCATCTAATTACTTCCCTGCATTTTGGTAAAATCAGTCACAAATTATGCATGTGAGCCATCACATCGTGTTGAAAAAGGGAAAGAGAGGCCATCACATCAATTTAAAAATAGAAACTATAAACTTTCAAAGCTAGTAGTTATTAAATTAAATTAATTAATTGATTGTTTTTTGTGTGTGTTTCTTATATTTTTCAGAAATACAATATGTTTTTAGCTCAAATTGGTTGTGCAGCGATTGGGGTGGTAGCGTTTTCTGCCTTTGGACCGGGATGGCTCGCCCGGAGCGTGGCCCTTGCCGCTTCCATCGCTTTTATGATCATTGCTCGTGCCAATCACCCTCCTGGTAACTTATATTTGTCTCTTTGTTTTTCACAATTAAAAGTATTTGAATTATTTTATTCAGTTTATAGTTTTAGTAATGCAACATACATGAATAATCAAATCAAACCGAACCAAAATGATACAAAACTAATAATTAGTTTATCGAATGTTTTCATCGATTGGAATTTCAGTTCGAGCTTTCGACCGTGATATTATTATTAAAAAATTGATGGAAGTTTAAACTTTAAAAATACCATTTGGTTTTTAGAGCTGGCAAAGGTTAAATAATATCTGGTCCCGTAACTTTTGGATACCCTAATTAATAGCCTGAAACTTTTGGTCGGTACAGAAACGTCCCCTTCATACACACATCACAGTTTTCTCTCTCGTTTTTAATAGAGATCCATATGCGATTATCTCTCCTTCTTTTTTCCTCCTCAATTTTTTCTTTTCTCGTTACCTAGTTTACAGATTATGAGAGAAAGGATTGTTTGTTTTCTTTAACTCGTCTGATTATTAAAGAAATAAAATTTACAGCGGCGAGCTTACCACTAATGTTCATAGATGGAGCAAAGTTCCATCACTTGAACTTCTGGTACGCATTGTTCCCAGGTGCAGCCGCTTGTATCATTCTCTGCCTTCTCGTAAGATTTCTAGCTTTCTCTAAATTTATACTTAATTTTTGTAATTTAAGATTAAGACAAATGTTTAACGGTATATATTTTGGTTATAATTATGGTTTGACGTGATTAAGTACTAATATGATTCGATTTGTTCTCTTTGCAGCAATCGATCGTATGTTACTTGAAAGATAACATAAAATTTTGATGAATCATCAAGCGACATGGATGTCCGATCAAATGATATATAATAATATTGTACAAATACATATATACATGTTGATGGAAAATTTTGTGAAGATACTCGATTCGTGTCTACACTTGAACGTATGTAAATGGCAATATATATACGTTTTTTTCCGTTCGCTTATTATCAGGTTTTTCTTGACTAGATAATTAACACTTCACAGAACAGACTTTTAGTCTTAGTGATGGACTAATTTGCACATGTTTGGACGGCTATCGTGGTGAAATTGAGTTTCTAAATAAGGATATATGAAAACCTAATTTGTTTGGGAGAATATATAATACATTCTTCTCTTTTATTTTCATTGTTTTATTCAAGTAAGTAATTGAATTCACATTATTCCGGGACAGTACCGGAATATTCATGTTAGTAGGGTTGTAGTAACGTCTAGAGATTATAGAATTGGATGGGTTAAAAAAGAAGGTGGGGCCTTTCGTAAATTGCGGGAAGAACTAGGCAAGGCAACCACACAAATTGGATGACTGTAGAACAAATATGGTTATTATTTATACCATCGTACCGACTGATAGAATTTCCTTGTGACAAAATTTATCATCCACAGAATGCATTTTGTGAAGAATGGAGTGTGGTTGTTGCAGTTTAGTGGTGGTGGCCCAAAAACGACATGCCCAATCTCTTGGGGTATCATTTACCAAACCATAAAACGCACATATCAAATAATGAATTCAGTTTCATATGTTAAGAAATATCAATTTATCTTCAAGTTAAAAATTAATTGTTTTTATATATGCTTACATACCAATCTATGGTTCGATTTTTAATATTACTAAGCTAAACTGAAAACCAATCTTGTTAAGATTCGGTTTGTTAATGCGGAAACGTATTTAGTGATAAATACTATTTGGTAAAAAGAGATGGGACAATGAAACACGAATATCGTTATCACAAGAGTTAATTGTAGACAACTTGCATATGATACATTCATATCAGTTGTTCTTTCAGTATTTATAACAACGATACAGCCAAATTCCTATTTTGCATACGAACCAATCAGATTCGAGAAATGGGTCGAGTCGTTCTCACCGCCTCCTATATACATCACGATTTTTCTCTATCAAGCGATATATAGCCTTAACCGGTTTTAAATTTTGGGTTTTCCAAAATTGTAATAAAGTTTTTAAAATAACAAATATTTTATGAATATTTTTTGACAATATGATGGTTTTAGAGCAAATAATAGCGTGCCAAAAGCACACTTTCTATATATGTCACTTAACAAACGCATGTACATGTCCATGACATACTATTGACTACATGTGTGGCTTCCCTATCCTGGATACATTATAACTTTTCATTCTACAGGTTTCTATAGGATCCACGAGTTTAAAATTTAGAAATAATTGATAATGAGTGAGTTGGTTCATATTCTTGTATAGTTACTATGTTAGATCAAGAAATCTATTTCTAATGTAAAATATTCTAACATAGCCAATTGCCAATTGGTTACGAGTGAAGTAGTTGCGTATTCTTTTATTCAGTTATATTACGTTATAGAAATTTTGTAAACCAAACGAGTAAGAAATCGGCTAAGTTAACTTCTAGGAGATGTACGGTGCCTTGATAATGAGGAAAGAAATAGAGGAAATACCCAAAAAGAGTCAACATCAAAGACAGTAACACCTTTGTTTTTGAAGTTGTACGTTTAGTCTCTAGAGTTTTCGCTTGTTTGTAATAACCACACACCATAATTTTCCCCTCACTTCCACTCTCTTTCTCTTTCTATAAATGCCCACACGGCACACTATTATTGCCATAAATCATATACTCAATTTCATTCTCCAAAACAGCTGTTTCTTGGTGATCATGTCTCTAGAGTTTCAACAAATGGTGAGTTCTAATTATCTCTCTCCGTCTTTCAAGTCCAACTAGAAGTTCAGATAGAGTGTAATTAAGCTAGATTAGCAATAACTATATATGATAATATTGACAACATTTTTGTGTAAATATATATATGAAGGATGAAGCAAGCGGGTTAAGCGCGTGGAATGGATACGTAGACTGGCGAAATAAACCGGCGTTGCGTGGCCGCCATGGTGGTATGCTTGCTGCCTCTTTCGTCTTAGGTGAGTCATTCACTCATTCTAAAACTCATCGATCTTTGGTTATATAATTACTTTATCTTCTAACGTGAATTAGCTGTATATAATATAGCTCCTACTCTTAGGATGTTTATACCAAGTACAATAAGAAGATAACCCACATTTATGTATCGTAGATATTTTTGATTACTTTTTATGGTTTTTTTAAAGCATCATTCTGAACTTTTTTTTTGTTTAAAGGAGTATTAATGGGGATGAGATATTTTTATGTATTTCCATTTTTAGTTGTGGAAGTGTTGGAGAACCTCGCGTTCTTAGCAAACGCGAGCAATCTAGTGTTGTATCTGTCAACAAAGATGGGTTTTACGCCCTCAGGTGCCGCAAACGCAGTAACCGCTTTTATGGGAACGGCGTTTTTCTTGGCCCTTCTTGGAGGATTTTTAGCAGATGCTTTCTTCACTACTTTCCATATCTATCTGGTCAGCGCCGCCATCGAAACCTTGGTAAGATTTTATATTAATATCATAATTTATAGATTGATTTGTATTGAAATTAAATTTATTTAAGGTAGAATTCTTAGATATAAAATCTCTAACACCAGGTCATGCGAAATGGAATCCAGACAATATATTGAATGCGGATAAAGACACTTTAATTTTGAGTTGTTAAAATATTTTGATAAAATCTTTGACCACACTAATTTGTGGCACATACAGGGATTATTGGTGCTAACGGTTCAAGCACACGAGCACTCCACGGAGCCATGGGGTCGTGTAGTTCTATTCGTGGGTCTATACTTAGTAGCTCTCGGTGTCGGAGGTATAAAAGGCTCGTTGCCACCGCACGGAGCGGAACAGTTTGATGAAACAACACCGAGTGGGAGGAGACAAAGATCCTTCTTCTTCAACTACTTCATCTTTAGCCTCTCGTGCGGTGCCTTAATAGCCGTCACGGTCGTTGTTTGGCTCGAAGACAACAAAGGCTGGTCTTATGGGTTTGGTATCTCAACGGCCGCGATCTTGATCTCGGTCCCGGTTTTCTTAGCCGGTTCTCGATATTATCGCCTCAAGGTTCCTAATGGAAGTCCCATCACAACTCTCTTCAAGGTCTTAACCGCTGCTTTCTACGCTAAGTATAAAAGAAGAACATCAAGAAACGTTGTTACTTGTCATACAAGAAACGACTCTGACAACAACGTAAACAAGCAAAACGGCGACGGAGATGACGGAGTTCTCGGATCGTTCCTCGGTGAAGCTGTGAGAGAACAGGAATCGCTACCTCGACTGCTGCGTTGCACGGTGGAACAAGTGGAAGACGTGAAGATAGTCATCAAGATCTTACCCATTTTCATGTCTACCATTATGCTCAACTGCTGTCTGGCTCAGCTCTCGACGTTCTCCGTCCAACAAGCTTCGACGATGAACACCAAGCTCGGGTCTTTAACCGTCCCACCTGCTGCATTACCCGTTTTCCCGGTTGTCTTCATGATGATCTTAGCTCCGACCTACAACCACCTTCTCCTCCCTCTAGCTAGAAAAACAACCAAAACCGAAACTGGCGTAACCCATCTCCAACGCATCGGAACAGGACTCGTCCTTTCCATAGTCGCAATGGCTGTCGCAGCCTTAGTTGAAACCAAACGCAAGCTCGTCGTTGAAGAAGTTACTTGCTGCTCAAGCAACATCTCTACTTATTCCTCTTCGCCGCTTCCTATAACGTTTCTTTGGATAGCTATGCAATATGTGTTTCTTGGATCAGCCGATCTCTTCACTCTAGCAGGTATGATGGAGTTTTTCTTCACCGAAGCTCCTTCTACAATGCGTTCCCTCGCGACCTCGCTCTCTTGGACGTCTCTTGCAATGGGGTATTACTTGAGCTCTGTCCTCGTCTTGGCTGTTAATTTCGTCACAGGCTTAAACCAACACACTCCATGGCTTTTGGGGAAGAATCTAAACGAGTACCATCTCGAGAGATTCTACTGGCTCATGTGTGTGCTTAGTGGGATTAACTTCTTGCATTACCTCTTTTGGGCTAATCGCTATGCGTACCGGTCGAACCAAGGGTAGACCACCCGAAGCATCTATATATAGATTGATCTTTCGTGGTATCAATAGTATTGAGCCAGTAAAGCCGTTAGTACAGAATCTATTAAAAAGGTGTCTAGGGTTTAAGTTCTTGGAGAAGAATGAAGTACTATGATGCAAGATTTGTTTTAACGGCTAGCGTCATAAGTTAAATTAATTAGCATAAAACTTATAATTGTATTTACCTTGATTTATATTAAAAATTCTATGTAATTTTATTGCAATATTTGAAAACAATGTTAGCATATGATATGTTTATCAAATAAGCAATACTACATCTTTAAACCACGATGACTATTCGCTTTTAAATGCTGACTTATTTACGGTAATGATTGATTGGTCAAAAGACCGTGTGAGAATACATGCCATAGTACTGTTTGAAGCATATAATTAAAACGATGAAAATTCAAATCCATTTGATAGAGTTTCCAATAAGACGGGTCAATGTTAAATAGAGGCACATCAATTTCGTATTTCTCTTTTATTGTAAACGCCAAGATTAGCAAGAATAATAAAACAAACACGTTTATACCTAGGAATATTATTATTCACACATCAATTCTAACCCGACTCAACAACTAATCTCTTTTCTTAATTCTCTTAATTTAGACCCTATGTTTATATTTATCACAGATACAACAGAAAACGGATTTTAACAAGAAACAAAAAAACAGACCATCATTATTTAGAAAACAATTATTTTCTTTTAATTTTGGGCTTAGATAAGAACTAGAGAGTAATTAACTAATTATTTCGTTAATAGTCCCGGGATTTTTTCAATCAAATTAAAATTAACTGACCCTTTTGTAAGATTATAATAGATAAGGGTAACAATTCGAAATACATAAAAGTACTAGCGTAGTCTTTCCTTTTCTATGCATAAACCTTCTCCAGCAACGTTTTCTCTGTCACTTCTTACGATTTCCTCTCTGCTCCAAACATCTGAAATTTCGGTAAATCTTTGCGATTTTATTTTGTTCATCTTTCAGGTTTCTAGTTTTCTCGCGCTTCTTTCATGTGTTTGCACCTGAGTTTTTGTTTATCAACTTGCTCTGTAATTCTCTTTTTGAACAAACCGACTATCGGAAACATGAAATCTGTGGAATCCTCTGTGTTTAAAACCTAGTTTTGTTTGCGAATTTCAACTTTTCTCGGCGGATTTTGTACATATATCTGTGTATTGTGAAGTTACTTTCTGGGCTCGCTCGCGAGATTAGATCGGAGAGGTCAGAAATCTCGAAAGCGATCGTCTTTTAAAATTGCTTGTGTTCTGGGTAAAATCAAGGGCTAATTTCATGTTAATTTATCAGCTACGAGTTAATTGTTTTTGTCGTATGCTAATGATTCTCAATAAAAATCTGATTTTTCTTCTTCTTCTTCTTGTGTGTGTGTTACAGAAGATGGGAAATCTCTTTTGCTGTGTGCAAGTGGACCAATCAACGGTAGCGATAAAAGAAACGTTTGGGAAATTCCAAGAAGTGCTTGAGCCTGGTTGCCATTTTCTTCCATGGTGTCTTGGTAGCCAAGTCGCTGGTTACCTCTCTCTAAGGGTTCAGCAACTGGACGTTCGCTGCGAGACCAAGACAAAGGTCCTCTCTTTTTTCAATTTATCTCTTAAAATTCTGTTCTTAATGAAAACTATGCTTGAATTAAGTTGCGTTTAGTACTCTAAATCTCTAATCATGTTTCTTCTTTGGTGTGTGTGTTTTATGCAGGACAATGTGTTTGTTAATGTTGTTGCATCGATTCAGTACCGTGCCTTAGCTAATCAGGCGAATGATGCTTTCTACAAACTCAGTAACACAAGAGGCCAAATTCAAGCTTATGTCTTTGATGGTAAGTTTCTTTGTAAACACACAAGTTCATAGAAAGTGAATGTTGTAAAGAAAACTGATCATTCTGAGGTTTTTTGTTTTTGATTTTGTTTTAGTGATCAGAGCAAGTGTACCTAAGCTGCTTCTGGATGATGTTTTCGAGCAGAAGAATGAAATTGCTAAAGCTGTTGAAGAGGAGCTCGAGAAGGTATGCATATCTATAATCTCATTGTGTGTGTGCTTTGGTCTCTTTTGGCAGGTTTATGAATGTTGATTTTGGTTCTCTGTGATTTGTAGGCAATGTCTGCTTACGGATTTGAGATTGTGCAAACTCTCATTGTTGACATTGAGCCAGACGAACATGTCAAACGAGCAATGAACGAAATCAACGCTGGTATATATAACTAAACCTCCTCAATCATTTAACATTCTTGTGACTTGCAGAGATAACTCAAAAACCTTTGTCATGCTTCTTGTGTTATGTAGCTGCGAGGATGAGATTGGCTGCGAATGAAAAGGCAGAAGCAGAGAAAATCTTGCAGATAAAGAGAGCTGAAGGTGAAGCTGAGGCCAAGTACCTCTCTGGTCTAGGTATTGCTCGTCAGAGACAGGCCATCGTTGATGGACTACGCGACAGTGTGTTGGGATTCTCTGTGAATGTTCCCGGGACAACAGCTAAAGATGTGATGGACATGGTGTTGGTGACGCAGTACTTCGATACGATGAAGGAGATCGGTGCTAGCTCCAAGTCTTCTGCTGTGTTCATACCGCATGGACCAGGAGCTGTTCGTGATGTGGCTACTCAGATCAGAGATGGGCTCCTTCAAGGCTCGTTTGCAAACCAGTCTTGAAGTGGATGGTGTGATTGATGTTTACGAAGCTTATGGTGTGATTAAGATCATATTATGTTTTTTGTCTTCTTCTCTCTGTTTGATTACTGTGAATGGTTAAACTTTCTCTTGTTTTGTTTTTTTTTCTCTTCTTGATGTATAAAACATATTTGGGTTTATTGGCAGTAAGTTCGAAGAGTTAAATAAGAAGCTGGATAAAACTAGTAACTAGTTATTTTTCTGTCAATTTTACATTGATTTTTTTCTTGAGAAATCAAAGAGGACTAGAAGAAGTCAAAGACGAAGGCTATGAAATTGAATGGTGTACACGTTAAGGACGTTAATGGTTTTTGTGTCAAACTCTGCACCATATATCAAAGTATCAACATGCGTCAAACACGTTTTTTTCTTTTTTGGTAACATTAACGCCATTACAAATGTTACTACTACAGTACTACTCCAAGTATTTTTTACCGCCATTATTGTTTCACATGCAAATAATTATTACATAGGGATAGGGTGAAGATATTTCGTTTGAAACTTCCTTCACCTGCACGATATTAATGGCATTTCCTTTAAAAGGGAAGTAGAAATTGACATTGTCATCAATTATGCAGGGTCTTTTTTATAATTAAGATCAATAATTCGTATCAAAGAGGCAAAGCTTTCACATGGTATACTTTATGTAGCATGAAATTATTGTGAAACTTATAGCTATAAGATGGTGATATGTGAACTTGGCACGATGCTAACTTCTATACTTAACAACAAACGATCCTAGTTGCTACAAGAAGAAAGTTCAGCTTCTTTTTTGGCTTACTAGACATTGCAGGCTGTTCTTGTTTACACTTTGATAGTGGAAAGAATCAATTTACCAACCATCCTTTTTTTTAATTTATTCTTCTCAACTTACCATCTTACTCGAATTACAAATTCTACACCTAAACTTTATAGTCCCTTCAATGTGGTACATATCGAAACTACAAATATCTATTAAGCTGGAAAGTATTATATTATGAACAGATGGTTTTTGTACAATTTACAACACATAACTCTGATTGGTACATACAAAACAAAACAAGAAAAAGACTCCAAAAGATTCCCAAAATTTGCAAGAAAAACGAAAAACAGAAAACCTACCAATATATACGCTGAAAACAACATTCATCGCCATTTCTTATCACACACCAAAAAGAAACGTAAACTTAAATTGTAGTGTGTATATATTAATTTGGGTTTGAAATTGAATTGGTTGGTTAATTAGTTGGTGGTGGTGGTGCATCTACGACCGCACTACCTTTAGCTTGTTCAGCCTCCTGAATAAGCTTCAAGATCTCGTCTTTCTTCACGACCATAGCTTGGATCTTCTCTTCAATCTTCTGAAGTTTCATCTTCAACTTCTCAGGATCTTTCTTATCTTCAGGGTTCTTCTCTTTCTTCGCCTTCTTATCTTTCTTCTTGCCCTTCTTCTCTTGATCTTCTCCTTCTTCTCCTCCAGCATCCTCGTGCTTATCCTTCTTATCTTTATCCTTCTTCTTCTCCTTCTTCTCTGTTTTCTCAGCCTTGTTGTGTTCCTCTTCTTTATTATCACCATGATTCTTCACTTCTTTCTCTTCTGTTTCTCCCATTTTTTTCTTTATAAAATTCGGTTTTGATTTTGTTATTCTTAGATATATGCTTTTTACATAAATCCTTGTGGAACTACGAATTACCCTTTATATTACAAAAGGACCTTCAGCTAAATTTAGACACATGATGAATCACATCCGTCGAAATCACTTGTATAACGAGAATGATGGAGTTTCGTATGTTTACAAGTTTCTCTATCTTTAGAATTTTGGGTTGTGGAATCATGAATCTCTTAATAGAGTTCCTGCCTAATTATTTTAAGATCGTAACTATAAATAATCAAAATTATCGTATCGGTTTGTTGCTCTCTTTCACTAAAACTATTGAGAAAACATGGTGGTTTTGGTTAATATAGGTCTTCACAAAATGTAAATGCACCCACAAACAATAAAGGGAGAAGAATTCATAATCCCAAAACGTTTTTTATTAAAAGAACAAGGGATATGGTCAAATTGCTAAGTTTCTCTCAACTGATAGCTATTCTTTTGGAACAAGCAAAAGTAAATATTGATTTCCCGGACAAAAAATCGTAACACTTACTACTCATCGTCCTTTGAATTGTATGATGTAGGAATCCGTACATGTCTCTTGTCAAAAACAGCTTTGAAAGACTCACGCTCTGCTCTCAGCTGATCCTGGAATATTCCTCTTACCTTTGCTTTCCCAATAGCATCAGCAAGTGTACGACTCTCTTCTTCGGAAAGAGGATTCGACTTCTGCATTTAAAAAAAAAAAAAAACAAATTAACAGATGAAGGAATAAGACAGAGAACAGAAACCATTATTATTTTCCGTTTGCATACCAAGTTATATCCTGATCCGGGACCTATAACTAAAGAAGGCATGTTCATGTTCCTCGCAGCACCAATTGAAAAACCAGCGTCTCCACCCTATCAGCAGACATAAATGCATGACATTTTTCCATAAGATGAACATGTTTTTAAAGCTAACAGAGACGAAATGAAAAAAGCAAAGATGTGTATGTTTATACCTTATCACCCCACCAAACAGTTTTGCCTTTCCGCAAGCGTTCGTGGCTTGACCCGGATACGGATTTTGACTTTCGTCTTCTACTTTGAGATTTCTCTGTTTCATCGTCTTCCTCTACATTAGACCATTTGCTTCTACTTAATTCCTTCACTTCAGTATGGGAGCTACGTTCTGCTTCCCGTTTCCTCTCATTTATGTTAGAGTCTGAGAAGATATCAAAACCAGATAAGGGTTTTCGGATTGTCTTGGTGAAAATAAAAATCATCTTCTTCAAAAATTTACCTTCAGTCGCACCCTTTGCTTCTGCCTGGGTGCTGTTATCGGATTTTCTTTCTGGCAGTCCAAAATCATCTTCCATGTCCATGTCCACCTAGAGAAGTTACGAGGTGGGATCATATAATGACGATCAGAACAAGAAAATTTGTAAATACTTGTCCACTTAAGAACAGAACTTATTCTATTACCTCCTGGATTTCACTCTCCCTAAGGTCATCCCACCGCGTAAAAGCCTATCATAGAAAAAGAAGATCATGAGACATTGTTCTAACTTCTAAGAAAGCAACAAAATGAGACTAGTATTGTTTAGAGTTCCAAATATATGCTGCATGAAGCTCATTTATGATCAGTTTCCTTCAGGTCAAGGAAAAATCATACATGAACGCAACAAAATGGCATCTTCTTCCCAATATATAAGTGCAAGATCAATGCTGAAAAGAAAAGAACAGCATAAGAACCTTGATATCCAGTTGCATGTACAATGATGGAGCTTCTTCCCATTCTTCTGCCATCTGCTGTACTTGATCTAGTGTGATGCCATGTACGTTTCTTGCTGCACAGCCCTGTAATTATTTTGCACCCGCTTAGCAAAGCAGATAATGTGAGACAATCTATTCAAAATCTGATAAATAGAATATCGACAACTCACAGCTGGGTCCTTGTATGTTGCTTCCAATACGTAAGCTTCATATCCAGATCTCTGCACAAGAAACAGAAAGTCAAGGAAACTTCCAAGTACGATTAAGATAAAAGCTTTTCATTTTCTATTCCGGATGAGTTTCTCATTCAGAATAGTTGCATAATTTACAACCAATCATATTCAGAAAAGAGGAGGGCATCAAAATTTCTGGTAAATGAAATGAGGGCATTGGTCAATGTGCACAAGCGAGGCAAAGTGTAATTCAAGCAAAAAAGGAAGAGGTAACTATTCGTATCCAATGCCTTTCATTTAAATCATAATAGTTCTCAGCTGGTCAAAAACACCTCTTTCAAAGGTAATTATCTTCAACTTTTCATTTTTGCGTAATCATAGACAAACAAAAAACTGATGACAGTGGCAAATGACAAAAAGTGGTAACCTCACGTAAACTAGTCGCATGATGTTAGCCAAGCAGAAAATGAATAATAACTTCAACTTGCAGGAGATAATCTACTATATATAGTACATACAGTCACTAAAAACATAGTGACTCTAATCAAATAGAAGATGGAATTAGCATTCACAAAGGAGAAGAACTTGTAAGAACTAGGAAGTTGCACCATGTCGGTGTCCTCTTTGATGATAGTAACACAGCCAGAAGGTTTTAACAGAGGGAGAGAGTGAGAATAGACATATCTTAACAGGAAGATATTTTACTTCCTTGATTTCAGCTAAAAAGGAAGTAAGAATGCAACTGATATACAGGAGTAATTTTGGACAAAGGAAGACAGTTTAAAACAAGGATAATGAAGACGCTGGGGAAAAGAAGACTGGTAATTTTGAATCCTAGGGAAATTCAAGGTCACTTTAAACTTTGACAGAGCATTATACTAATTCTACCAAGTTAAAGATAACTAAAACATTGACAGAAACGTCTAATTACATTTAGACTAAACTAAGTGCACATGAAATCATCTAGACTTGAGAAACCAAGATTAACTAAGAACTTAGGAAGCTAGTTGACTTCACAAATTATTATGAGTCTTCCAAAGAATCCGCAAACAACATCCAATCTCCACAAGGTAATTCAGAAAGAAGTGAAAATATACCTTTGCTGTTGCCCAAAACTGAGCAAAATCAGCTACCCGCAGATTGCGGTCATCCACTAAGATGAGCGACATATACCAGGAAGAAACGGTCAAATCCAGAAAACATACTGCATCCGTGGTTAGAGAAAATGAAAGTAGTGCCTGGACACTGCACCACTTAGTTCCCAGCTAAACTAATGAATAGGATCCCTAAATGAAGATTACTCCCTATACCTTGAGCAGACAAGACAGTTGCTGGGAGGATATTTAAGTTCTTTAAACTAAGAAACTAATGAAACCATATTAGATGAAATACTGTCTCAGAAGAATAGTAGCCACCATGTCAACAGCATCAAACCAAAAGAGATAATGTCATCAGATCACAGATACCAATTACCTTTTGCAATCAAAATTGATATATCCTAGTATACTATTACGGGAAAAATAATTACCGATTACAAAGCTGAAAGCCCCATCTTCAAGAGTCCTCTTAAAAGCTTTTAGCATGCTTGAACGATACGCCTGAGAATTCAAGAGTGCCAAGAAACTTAACAAAAGAAAATATATCTGTAGTTTATATTCATCTTTCATCATCTCAAAACATAAATGCTGAAGAGATACCTCTTCCATCTCAGGTTCGTAGCAGTATTCCATGACCTTCTTTACAATAGGTCTCTTGCTTCTACCAGAGCTTGAAGATTTCGAATCACTCTCCTCAACCTTTCACATTGACAAAGCAACACAATATTAGAATCCTTTGACGGTCCCAGGTAAAGTGTCCATTCGTTTAAGAAGGTCTTAGGACTTATGAGGGACTGATTAACCTTCTCAACTTCAGTCATGAAGTAATCATCCATAGAATGGATTCGTGGAGCACTACCGCCATTTTCTACCTCAATGTCACGCAACAACTTGGCTAGATAACTCTTCCCACTACCTGAATATATATACTAAGAATTAAAATCATTAAAAGTTGAAAACTTCCAACGCAAAAAGTAAAGAAAAGACTCGAGAAACAACCTGGTAGTCCTCGAAGGATAATTACAAAGTGATCTGGACGAGTAGATCGATGAGGAGGCTTCAGCAGATGGGATACATCCATCACTTTGGACCGAGTTGGTGCTAATTGTGCAGAAGATGGCTACCAATCAATAAGAAATCATCAGTACAGAAAAAAAGAGAGATACTTCGAGGGTAACAACGAAACCACGAAAGAGACATTACCGACGCATTTGGCATTTGGGGATATGATGATGATAAGGGAGGGACAGTTGCGGCGGTGGAAGGAAACAGAGAAGAAGAATGGGACGGCGGATGAGATGGAGGCAATGGCGGTGGTGAGGAAACCGGAAGAGGAGGTTGACCATTAGGCCCACCGAAATAACCTCCGTACGGCGGGGGATGATGAGGTGGAGGAGGAGGATGAGGAGTAGCTACACCATTAAATTGACCGCCGTTCCTGAATTCACTCATCCCATACTGATGATTCATCTCGATATTCGAAACATCTAGATTTCCCGGAGACGGCGCAGATAAACCGTAGCCATGATCTCTTACCATCTTCAACCTCCGCTCGTTCTCCCACGAGATCCGAGGACTCTGATAACCATCACTCCCAGAAACACCGTATCCTGGAGAACCACCGCCGATCGCATCAATCCGAGCTCTCTTATAGCTCCGATCAGCTTCTCTATCAAAATCAACAGGTCGCCATTGATTTCCGTGGTGAGGTTGCCACGGCGTCGGATCACCGAGGGGATAGTGGTTTTGCGGTCGAACCGGTGGTCCGGTGAACGAGTTGAATACAGGACGAGGTGAATTGAAGTGAGGAGGAAAGTTTGGATTGTGGGGGAAGGAAGATGGTGGTGGGTGCGGAGGGCAGAAAGGGAAGTGCGGCGCTGTACAAACTGGGCATATGTTTGGCTGTGTTGGTCCTGGACGCCATTGATGATGATGATGATGATAGTTCCCGAAATTATTATCCATTGTATTCAAAGGAGCTTGGACATTTGCAAGAGTATTCAGAGGAAAACTTTGAAGAATCAAATTGAATTAGGGTTTTTGTGAAGAAAATTGATTGAGAAGGAGGAGGAAACAGAAGAAAACTGATGTTTTCAGAAACTGAAATCCAACACACTTAAAAAAATTTATGATCTGAATAAAAATTTTATTAAACGCGGTAAAAAAAAAACATAATTTGTAAAGCTTAATATTTAATGCGCGCGAGACAATGAACAAATGGTCCAAATCAATGGTTCAGTAGTCAAGCCCATTAACACTTATAAGTCCCACAATTTTTAGCCCATAAGGGAAAACCCAACTAAAAGTGGAAAGGGAGTTGCCTTAATGGTATTGGCTAGATTTATTCTCTTAAGGTTCGATTTATCATAATTACAGTGGGCACCGAAGACCAGACAAAGACAGAGTAGTAGTGGTCACCAAAACACTGTATTAATGTTTTGCATTCCCATATAATTCAATCCAACTATCATTGTCGATAATAGATATCTACATCCGTTGACAAACAAAAACATTCATGAATACCATCTAGTTTCGGATGTAATTTTGCAAAACATCAATCAGTAGATGAAATTTGAAACATTGATCTTTTGTGACAGAGAGAAAATATATTATAGACATCCTGAGATATACGGTTTAAAAGATTACTACATTTTCTTAATTTGATTCAAAATCCATATAACAAAAAGAAGGGATATATCAGTATCACAACCTGGTATGCATTTACAAAGACTTCTTATAAATGCATCCTATAAGTTTAAGAAGATGTACTTTGGAAACAAAACCATAAAGAAAATTAAGTGAGACAATGTGTGTTTGAAATCTTAGGATAGTAGATTTATTCCCTTGACTTGGTCACCCATTCACTATGTTCCAACACTACAGGGAATAAACGGATAGTAGTAGTACAATACATTTGCCATTTAATCCTATTCAGACCTCCCTAACATACGTCATTTCTATGACATCATTAACATTTGAATATCCAGTACATAGAGAAAGAAAAATAACTAGTTAGATAAGTTATCTATCACCTCGTGATTTGATGGTGATAAAACATGACATCGAAGAAGATAAGTATAACAATTTTTCACGTTATTTTCTTATAAATACCAGTAGATTTATTCAGTATTCTTGACCGATATCGTTTAAAGAAGTTTAGACTTTTCTTATACTTGTCAAGAAAGTAATTTTGTTTAAGCGTTTTGTGGTTAAATTTATTTATGTGACGTGGTTAGTGGTGTATGTTCATTACGCTCCTTGTTAATTTAACATCTTTGATTTTTGGCTCCTGGTTAAATTAACAATGAAATCTTCTAAATGTAATCATCATTTACATTTGTTTTTTCTCCGTTAATGGAAATATAAATATTTTCCCGTATATATATTCGACGGGACCCAATTTTCGAAGCGTACCATCTCTCTCTCTCTCTCTCTCTCTCTGACGTTTCAGAAAACTCTGCAACAACTTTCTCTCAAATGCAGACGAGTCGTTTACTCTCCTTTTCCTCTAACTCTCCGAGTTTCGACCGTTTCTCCCCCGCCGTAGACCTCGCCGCCATCGCAGCCCGAGTCGTCGAGGAATTCAGAGATGACGAGCCACCACAATCCGAGTCCCACCGTGACGACGACGATGATTTCGAGTTCGCCTTCGACTGTCCCAGCCGCAGGTGTTCTCACCCCATAGCTACCGCCGACCAGATTTTCTCCAACGGCCAGATTCGCCCGTTGAATCCGTACGGTTTTGGGATTAGAAATGCTCCGGTTGATGGCAAAGGCGGAGAATCTCAAACGACGCCGTCTTCGCCGAAGAATACTCTTCCCCGACGTCATCGACCTGCGCTGAGAAAACTGATGAGTGAGGACCGAGATCCGACGTCGAATTCATGTTCAGAGGCTGATCTTATCGGTGTTCCGCCGGAGATTTACTGTGTATGGACACCAAAACAATCGAATGGAGACGACGATCTCAAAGGACTCTCGTCTTCACCATCGCAGAACAAAATCAAAAGCAATTCCGCTGGTTTCTCTAAACGATGGAAGCTCCGGAATCTGCTGTACGCGAGAAGCAGCAGCGAAGGGAACGAGAAGCTCGTATTTCCGGCGCCGGTTAACAAAAGCGACGAGGCTATCTCGGAGAAAACAGAGGAAGAAAAGCCACCGTCCAAGGAAAAAGCCGGCGAGGAGGGAAAGGAAAGCGAAGAGGCAAAACGACAGTCGTTTGTGCCGTATGGAAAGGATATGATTGGAATATTGAAAAATGTTAATGGGCTAAGTCGTCATTTACGTCCATTTTGAAGGTGACGTGGCTCTCCGTGATAGAGAAACAAAAATCGAAGACGCGGACTTTGAGTGGGCTTCGGTTTCTTTCTTTTTCCAACTTTTTTTTTTCTGTCTCTCTTCTTCTTCTTTTTGCCTTTTTTATTTTATTTTCTCTCTCAAACTTTTTCTTTTGGTTTCCGGGAAAATCTTGAGTGTTGGCAAGAAAGTGAATATTTCTTTAATTAGAACCTCTCAATGTGTTATGTGTCGGTTTTGGATTAGATATAAGTTTTGGTGGATTGAATGGAGACATAATGGTATTATTCATTTTTATTGTAAACACTTCACATTGTTTATTCTTCTTCCTCATTCGTAATGTTGAATTGTTTCACCTAATAATATGATTTGGCAAATTCAAGTGTCCACACGATCTCGCAATCATCTAACTAAATGATACATTACTTAAAATATATGTGTGTGTAATAAATTCGAAACTTGGATAAGTGTTGTATGCTTCTTTATTTTAGACACAAAAAAAGTGTGTGGTCCTATGACGTGTTAAACATTAACGTGTGGAATCGCATGCACCTTTATACAAATGAAGATGTGCATTTGTTAATTAGGGATTTAGAGATTTTAGGTGGATATTGTAGGAATGTTGGTTTGCCTTGAGATCGTGTTCAAGTTTCAACAAAGAGATATGTGTTCACACTATTGATTGAGTGACTTGAGTCATCTAAAAGTGTATTTAAAAGATTGATATTTATCAAATATAGTAATCGTCGATTTGAAGTTGGTTTAAAATGTGTTCAGTGGATTTACATATGTCTGGATATAACCGAAATATAACAACTCTTATTGCTTAGTAAATAATCGAAATACAATCTCAACTCTCAAGTATATCTTACGAGCCGTACATGTGTCTCACAGTCACAGAAGCGCCTCGTAGAAATTGATAACACGAATAATAATTAAGAAGAAATGGATTATGAAAAGAATGACTTGCAAGTTACGATTAATGATAACTTACAAGCTTTTGTTCATAAACAGGCCAATTGTTTTTCCTAGTATATATGTAAAGAAACATCATCATTGTAAAATAATGAGTCGACAAAATAAACATTTGTATCGACCGAAATCGCTTTTACCAAACAATTATGAATCTAATGTCAAGATGTTTTCATATATGACTTGCAAGTTAAAATTATTCCTAATGATTGTAGCGGTGGGAGTAGGTTAAACGAATCCGATCGTGTTTACTTTATTCCATGGCATCAGCAAAATAAATTTATATTTCGCCCTAGTAAGTAAATTCGAGCCCGCCAAAAAAAATTGTAAATGGAAAAATCGAGCCGGAGTATAACTGAACTCGGTTTTATTGGTTAAGGTTTTAAATTTTTTGGTTTGGCTTGTTCCGGTTCACAGATAGATTACAGCCAAATCAAGCAAAACCAATTCACTTCACTGCTCTAATCTTGTTCCAACATTCTTTAATCACTTCACTAATCTTGTTCCAGCAACTACTTACCAGGCATGAACTGGCCTCGCACCGGAAGAAAGCTGCAGATTCTCAGCGTATTCACGCGCCCACAAGTCATAATGAACAATCTCTTCAAGAGAAGGTGATGTCACCAACTCGTTTCGATGTTTGTCGCATGTTAGTTCCACTACCTTGAAGATATCCAAATAGCTTATCCTGCAAAACCAAAAAGAAAGTAAACACAATGCGATTCGTTTCAAGAACTGGAGAAAAATTGATGATGATTAGATCAAGAAAGAGATGAGAAAACAAGTTCTTACTTTTCATCAATGAACATTTCGACGGCTTTCTCGTTAGCTGCGCTGAGAACTCCAGTCATCGTGCCTCCAGCTCGTCCAGCAGCGTAAGCAAGGTCCATTGATGGATATTTCACATTGTCTGGCTTCTTAAAAGTCAACGAACCAAGTCTGCCAAAACATTCCTTGGTGAATTTAGCTTAAAGCTCGATCAAACAGAGGATACTACATATGCATGCGTATGGTTTTGCTTACTTGCAAAGGTCAAGTCTTGGCCAAGTAACTTCAGAACAAGGAACCCTATCGGGCCATGACATTGTGTAGAGGATCGGTATGCGCATATCAGGCCATCCCAGTTGAGCAAGCACAGAAGAATCCTACCAAACAAAACAATTATGTTTATTTTTTTGTAACCGGAAGACAAAAACTGCAGTTGATAGGTTAGAGCAAGACCTGTGTTTCAATCATGGAGTGAATGATACTCTGAGGATGAATGACAATCTCTATATCATCATACTCAGCTCCAAACAAATAATGAGCTTCGATGACCTCTAGACCCTGTTTTTCAAGAGATCAATAACTCATCTTTACACCTGTTTTCAAAGGTACTTATTAAAACTCCAGAGTTTCGTTTGAGCAAGAAACTGATCTTAAACCTTGTTGAAAAGTGTGGCTGAGTCCACAGTGATTTTCTTTCCCATGTTCCAGTTTGGATGCTTCAACGCATCCGCTACTTTAACTTCCTTGAGCTTTTCAACATGCCAATCTCTATTCCACCATTTTCCAAAACCAAGTGAGAATCAAGAAAATACAAAATATGGAGATAGAGAGAAGAATAGCAAATGGATGTCGAAACAAACCTAAAAGCTCCACCAGATGCAGTCAAGATTATCCTACGTAGAGCGCCTTCAGGCAAACCTTGAATACACTAAACAAACATAAAAGAAGAATTGGAATGAAATAAAAAGTTTCACCCAAACTGCAAGTTGGCATCACCAAAAATCACATTTTTGATACCTGAAAAATGGCTGAGTGCTCAGAATCTGCTGGAAGAATCTTAACATTATGTTTGTTGGCGAGTGGAAGCACGAAAGGACCACCTGCAATTAATGTCTCTTTGTTTGCAAGAGCAATGTCCTTTCCCGCTTCAATTGCAGCAACCGTAGGCTACATGAAAATTAAACCAGAAGCTTTATTTTCATCTCTAGCTTTCTTTTTTCATATGTACTCTTCATAAGGTTTAATAGAGTAATATACCTTTAGTCCTGCGCAACCTACGATTCCAGTAACAACAGTTACAGCGTCTGGATGTCTAGCAACCTGTTGATGAATACAAGCAAAAAAAAAACCGATTAGAGGATCTAAAAATTTGTGAAAATCCACATCATAGTATAAAACCTGAAAAAAATGTACTAACCTCAATCACTCCTTGCTCCCCTGGAATGATCTCAGGTTTATAGTCCAAATCCGCTAAAGCCTCTTTAAGCTCACTGAGCAATGACTCATTTCTAACAGCAACCAATGAAGGTCTAAATCTCTTCACCTGTATTCAAAAGAGAGTCACAGAACCATAGTATAGAGTTTTCTTGCTAGTTTAAAACATATTGCTTATGATACTATCACTGAATTTAGAGATAATTAGTTTAAGTTGTCAAATGGTGCTAATTTACCTGATCAGCAAGAAGAGTGACATTCGAACCAGCAGCTAGAGCCACGACTCTGAATTTGTCTGGATTCTCAGCCACAATATCCAAAGTCTGCAAAACACAACTTCTTATCCATGAACATGATTTCAACAATCACTCTGTAGTCTGCACCATCTCAACTTCTACTATGAAATCACCAGGCATGAAGATTGTAAAAAAAATCCCATTTTTCTTTGTGCTTAGTCAACCGCTCAACAAATTCATCTAATCCAACTTATGGAGCCAAATTTAGCTGGGAAAGAGCAAAGAAAAGAAGAAATGGAAATGAAACCTGAGTGCCAATAGAGCCAGTGGATCCAACGATTGAGATTGGTTTAGGTCCATCCCAAGATTGACGAGGCGTCTCAGGAACAGCTCTCCCAGGCCATGCTGGAGGCGGAGGAGATTGTTGCTGCACTTTCACTGAACACTTGACTCCTTTTCCATAATGTTTCCCTTGAATCCTCTTCCTCAAACTAAACCCACCTGCGACACTCCAACAAAATGTAAATTTCAACTATCATGAACTAAAATTACCTAAAGATCTCGAATTTCCGAGCTGAACAATGAGATTAGTGTTCGAAATCGAGGAATTTACAGAGAATTGGGCCATATGTTGCAGTTTGAAGATACCCAGATGGCAAAATTCATATGAGACTAAGAAAAACTAGTGAAAGTTTGTAGCTTTGATGAAGGAGAGAGAGAGAGTAGTAGACAAACCTGGGAATTTGGGGATTTGATTGAACCTGGAGGTGGTATCCAAGAAAGAAAAAGCTTTGGATTCAGCTGGAGATAACGAGTTAAGCGTCATCATAAGTCTTTTTAAAAATCGAATATTTTCCAGAGAACCCACTTCTTTTTTAAGTCAAATGAATGAATTTATCAGAGAAGAAACTAGTCTGGAAGAAAGCAGAAACAGTGAGAGAGATGATGATGATAAGAATAATATTGGATTGGTGAGATCGCAATTTGAATGGTACACACACGAACTGTTTTGGCATTTTTTTTATATATAATATGTTTAGTTTAACATTATCGTGTCATCAAGATCCGACTTTTTCAGTAAGAGCGACCTCTATTAAGGTAACGACTTCTTTTTGTAAATGGTTAATATGCTGTCATGAGTGTCATACAATATTCCCATTTTCCTTTTCTTTTTTAGTGGAGAATATCCTAAAATACTGAAGAAGTTGTAACCAATGGTTTTAGGACTAATGTAGATCTAATCTCTCTGTTAGTATAAAAATCATACTTATATGTATAAGGATATACTATCTGACAAAGCAAAGGTGGTAGGTACAGGTTTACGTTTCGTAATTCACTTGTCGTCTTCCTCAGTAAACTTAAGTTATGTCTTGATCACTTGATTATAGCCATTGTAACAAATTCGAAGACCACACTAGGTCACTCTGTTCCGAAAACAGAGAAGAAAGCAGAAGCATATTCAATTGAGGCCCATTTAATGTTAGGCCCATTTAATGTTAGGATGGCTTGACAATAATAGGAGAACAAAAACCACACGACGCCATTATCATCTCTTTGTGTGTGACCACCACACACACATACAGATACACACTCACCAAACAGCTAAGATTATTTACCAAAATCAAAAAGAAAAATCAGCGATTTCGGAATTTCCAAACTTAAAATCTCTCTCTACCTCGAATTGAGCAAAACCTGATTACTCGTCATCATCTGTTTTTGTTTCTTCTCCCCTGAGAAGATCTCTTCTTCTCACATCTTCGTTTTTTTGTTTATCACTCGTTTTCGCGGCTTGGTTTCTTCTTTCTCTATTGGATTTCTAGTCTCTTTGCCGCCTGGATTCTTCGAAAGGTCGGTGAGCTGCTATGGCAACTCATCAGCAGACGCAACCTCCTTCCGATTTTCCCCCTCCGGCCGACGAAAAACCCCAGATTCCAGGTTTAATTACAACATCCAATCGTTATTTAACCTTTTTTTTAGTAAATTCTGGGCATTTTATTGGTTTAGATAACAAATTCTCTGTGTTTTTTTCATCCTTTAATGATGAGATGCTGTAACCGTAACAAACTATTGCGTTTGCTCAGCCTCTTAGCTACTAATTTCGATTCAACTTTGGTGACAAATGTTCAATTCCACCATAATTATTTTGATTGTAGAGAATCTGTATTGTTTGAGCCTTATGAGATTTGTTGAGTGATACACAATAGGGATTGTAACTAAACGTTTTTTTTTTTTGTTTGACAAATGTGTTGTTACAGAGGTTACAAAGCCTGCAAATGAGTCTCAGCAATCTCAGGAAACTGCTGCTAAGCAGGACTCTCTGCCGTCTGTCTTTGTGAATTCAGAACCAATACGAGAGGATCAAATCCAGAACGCCATCAAATTCCTATCGCACCCGAGAGTCAGGGGATCGCCTGTTATACATAGAAGATCGTTTCTTGAGAGGAAAGGCCTCACTAAGGAAGAGATTGACGAAGCTTTCCGCCGTGTCCCTGTAAGCTTTCCTCCTTTACTTCTCGATTAGAACTGTCAAATAGTTTTGATTAATGAGAAAACAATTTTCAATGGCTTATCTTGATCATAGGACCCGCCACCGAGTTCGCAGACAACCGTTAACAGTCAAGATGTACAGCAAGCAGTGTCGAATGTTCAGCCACAAGGGCAGATACAAGCCATGCAGACTGCTCCTGCTCCTGTTGTTATGATTCCACCTCCAAGTTTGCTCTCCCGGTTTCGCTGGTACCATGCTCTGCTTGCTGTAGGAGTTTTAGCTGCTTCTGGTGCCGGAACAGCTGTTTTTGTTAAGGTACCAAACGCCATTGTTATCTCCATTTATATGCAGAGTGTTAAGAATCATTGTGTTATGGATTTACTTAGTTCATAGTATAATGGGATAAGATTGTGAGGCTATAACTGAAATGGAAGATAACACTTTTGGAATTCATTGTTTGGTGTGTTTTGATGCTCCATGTGGGATGCAAGTTTATAGCATCAGTTTCCTTCCACAGATTTGAGATAACATTCAAGTGAGATTTGTTCTTTGTTTCAGAAATCGCTCATCCCCAAATTAAGGTCGTGGGTCCGCAGCATTATGGTGGAAGAAGAAACTGATCCTCTGAAGAAAGCTGATGGACAACCTAGCTTAGCTGAAGAAGCAGTAGCTGCAGCCAAAGCTGCTTCTGCGGCTGCGTCTGATGTAGCCAGGGTTAGTCAGGAAATGATGAAAACCAAGAGTGAAGGTAGATGTTTATTTCCGGTTTGATCATGACCTGCCTATTTCTGCTCTTTTCTTACTCGTTTCTTCTTTTCCACTGACACCAAATCTCTGTGCATTGTTTCTTGTCAGAGATGAAATATTTTGAGGACTTAACGCAACTGTTAGCTGTCCAAGTACGGGAAATGAAGTCCTTGAGCACTAATATCCGTAATCTCGAAGGTTAGCCTTATTCAAAAAAGGAAGATCTCATCTTGAACAATTACAACTTAACTCCGATCATCCATAGTTAAAGCTTCTTGATGTAAAGAGTAACATTCTGTTTTTATTTCTTACTTTCAGGGCAATCCAGCTACATCCCAAAGGTTTACTCAGCTGACCAAGAGGCTTATGGTGGTTCAGTCAGAACTGCAGCAGAAAGGGTGAGTTTAAGGTCGCAGGGTTATATAATAATCTTTGATGATAGCGTAAATGATCCAAAAACAGAAAGAAAACCCAAAACCACTTTAGTTGTATTCATAATCCTTTTGGTAACATTAGGAACGTTGATATTTTGATGCAGAAACACTACGCAAATGGCAGCAACGTTGTTGATTATGATACACGTTCAGGTTATATATCTATCTCTCTCTGGCTCAATTGTTTTCTTGTTTTTGATTAGGTTTATTCTTTCTAACTAATTAATAATACAGCACGATCTGCATCTCCTCCTGCGCCATCAGCTGACTCGTCTGTGCCCCCTCATCCTAAGTCATACATGGATGTAAAGTTCTTAAATCTCTACAGTGAATCTTTTTACTCCTTCAAATTCCTCCAATGTAGTCTCCGTAACATTTTAGTTGAAAATTGGTGATGATGCAGATAATGTCTATGATCCAGAGAGGAGAGAAGCCTTCCAACATTCGGGTAAACTGAAAACTTAATTTCATTTTGCACCGCTTTTTGAGTAACCTTTTGGTGGCAAAAGGGTTTCATTTTGACGAAAACTTATCGTACTTTTTACTAAATTCAGGAGATTAACGACATGCCACCCAATCCAAACCAACAACTATCAAATCCTCGCATCGCTCCTAAATCTAAGGTACGAACTAAAATGTCCTTGAAGTTAATCTAAAACTACATTCTTTGTGATGAATCTTCGTAACCTCATGTTCTCTTTTGTTAATCAGCCATGGGACTATGGTCAAGCTCCGCAAGACGAGAGTTCCAACGGCTCATGGTGGCAGCAGAAAAACCCTAGATCCACGGATTTTGGCTACGAGACAACAGCGTCCCGTGTCGTTGGTAACCAAAACGAAACAAACACAATGGAACCAGCAGCTATCCAGAGACAGAGATCATGGGTTCCTCCACAGCCACCTCCAGTTGTTATGCCAGAAGCAGCCGAGGCCATTCGCCGTCCAAAGCCACTAGCTAAGATAGACCAAGAAGCTGCCGCTAGCGATGACCAGTCAGGTGTGAGCGACGAGTTACAAAAGATCACCAAGTTCTCCGAATCCGGTGGTGATGGTTCAGAGAATGTGAAGATCACAGAGATACATGAAGAAACAGAACAGCAACACTAAAGCCAAGAAGGGAACTAAAATGATATTTAGGGGCTTCTTGATACGAACACGTTTCCTATGGTATTTTATGAGGTTTGCTTGTAAGAAATCAAGTATTTAGGTTCTGGGATTTATCACCTACCTTAAATTTAATAATAGATATGAAAAGAAAACCTTGCTTCACAAGTAAACTCAGTCATTTTGATCGCTTGCCTTATTTTAAATATATATTGAATCGTTTATCACACAAAGAGCAGCAAGAACTATTACCATACTCGTTTCTAAGCTATAAGAGAGACTGACTATACATAGACGAGAGTCGTATTTGGTCTCAAGGCAACACAAAAGAGAATACTAATTTAAGAGGAAGCATTAGTGAAGAGCCTGTAAGAAGAAATCAAAGCGCTGACCGCAAACGCCCCAAACGCTATAAAAGAAACCGCGATGGAAGCGGTTGCCATCTGAGTAAACTCGTCTTTTCCCCAATTCGATACCCAATCATCAACTCGAGTAGCAGCGCACGAAGAAGCCGACATTAGAAGATATGCAAGAAGCTGATTTAGCAGAAAAAGGAGCTCATTAGTCATCAGAATCAATAATATGTGTTGATTACAAATGTTTAAAGCACTCACTTGATCCATGGAGAAAACGAATATGTCGTGAAATCCGCAGTTTATCATATAACTCTCTTTCGCGATGTAGCAAGCAGCGTCGCAAGCTTCAAACGCAGAGTAAACGAATGCTAAAACGTTTACAGCCAAACAATACCTGTTGAGAAATTTGACTGATCTGATTAAGATTCTCAACTCTATAAACCGTAAAAGGTGTAGAGAAGATGGAAAAACCAGATCGAGGAGAGAAGAGAGAAGAGAGAGACCTGTACTCTTTGTAGCGATCATAAGAATCTCCGCTCCATCCTTGAGTTTTATCAGCCGCCATGATTGAGAACGAAATCACGCACAAAATCACTTCGCTCACTCTAAACCCTAGCGCCGCCACGCTCACCAAGTCGTCCCGTCTTGCTCTGTTCACCGTCGTCGTCGCAGATTCTCCGCCGTTCGTCGTCGTCGGAGGTCCAACCTTCCTCGTCGTCGTATTCTGTGGACCTTCCTCTCTGACCCAGCTATTGAACACCACCATAGACGACGGAGACTTATCGGAAGAAGAATTCACCGGGGCTCTCGCATTCCTCTGATGCGGCGGCGGGTAGTGAGGAGGAGGAGGCGGAATCGGAGAGGAAAGAGGCGAGAACTGAGTGAACTTGCCGTCGGTTACGATCGCCTTCGGGTTGTCGATTTTGAACGGAGATCCCTCTGGCGAGACGTAACGGCTCTCCGGTGGATCTCCGGCATCTGATAACGGAGAGTGAAATCGGAGAGGAGAGAGTGGCGATTCGATGTAACTCTGTGCTTCCGAGTTTGATGAAGTAGTCCGTTTCATGATCGATGACTAAACTATCTTAATCTTACCGTCGGGAAACTCTGATTCGATTCTCCGGCGGAAGTTTGATTTGATTTGAAGAGCTTTTTGTGTGTGTGTGATTGTTTGTTATGTGCAGTGTGAGAGAGAAAGTGAAGGAGAAAAAGAAACTTTAACTCTTTGCATTGTTTTCGCGGCAGCGGAAGAAAAAGGTCCACTGGGCCCACTTTACATTTCTTCGTGGAGAATTAAAACCTGATGTTCCGGTGCGACGCATGTATCTGTGCTCTCTAATGAAAATCACCCAATAATAGTAGTACAGCACGTAGATTTATTGACTCAATGATCCTCCGCGACTCAGGTCTCTGTGCACCCATATGCTAACCAATGATACTGCACCACATTAGTTTATGACGCAATCATAAGATGCTTTTTTGTGAGTGGCTCATTCGTAAGATGTTTACGTATGTATGCATGTGTCTGTTGATTTTCTTTGCTCTTTTTATCATCCAAATGTAATTCTTAAGAAAATACACATAAACGAAGCTAAAGTAACGCATCATTGATCTCAATTAATTTTGTTAATATTGTTTTCAACCTTGTCAAATCCTTTTCTTAGCATTCCCTTTTGAATCAAATCAATATATATTTACAAAATATAAAGAAAAAGTAAAAATATCAAAAGCAGTTTTTTGCCTTTTGTTCTTTGTTTAAAGCACAAAGCAATCCACCCACTCCTACTTATTTTCCCTTATTTAATTTACGTCTTCACCATATGACTCTTTCGAAATCCATCGTCACAAAACTTTCCCTTTTCTTCTTACAATAACTTCTTCTTCTTCTTTTTCCTAGAGAAAAAACAAAATTAACCTCTTTTTATCTCGAATAATCGATCACAAAAGCCTTTTTGATCGTTTAAATCAAATGAAAGCGTGAGGAAATTTTATATTCGCATCATCAAAGTGCATAAAATTATCCAAAATAGTTATAATCAAGAATTCCAATATACACAACCTTACAATTGTATTCTTACAAGTTAATGACTCATGTTGATGTACGTGGTTGTTTACACATGGACGAGTCTTGTTTCTTACAAAAATGTAAAACCCAAGATGGCGTTAATTCGTCTTTCTACTTTTAACCAAACTCATTTACAGTATCCTCTGTTTCTACATTTTAGATTGTTGCAGGATTACAGCTCAAGAAGTAGTTAAGTAAAGTTTCCATAGGCTCACTCTTCTGCTCAGGATTTTGCGTTCTTTAAGCGGATAGGACGAAGTCTCTATATCTCAAAAGATAGCTCTGTCTAGGAGGTTGGCTTCTTACATTCCGAGGATCCGTTGTCGTTTGTTGTGTGTTTGACAACTGTTGTTCTGCATCTGAGCTTCCAAGGTTGGATAATGCACTGAGATCAAGACCTGGAAAGACCGAGCAACGACACCGTGGACACTTGTTAGGTAGATTCATTTATCTAATCTCCTCTGTTTTTGGTGTAATAATGTAACTACGCTTGCATTAAGATTCTATACATATCAAGCAGCATCAAAGTCATGTCTTAATCACAATTGTATTTGAAATTTACAAAAATAGAAGAAGATAGTGATGGTGAGAAAATGAAAATTTAGTCACAGTTTGGTGGGTTTGTACATTTATAAACAGCAGAAGCAGGTTGCTTATACACAGGGATGCTATCTGCGTCCAACAATCTCACTTCCCCTGGACCAAAATACAACTCCGAGTGCCTTCTCAGGTCAAGCCCCTGAACACCAGCTTGCAACACAGACAAGTTATCCGAATCAGGCGAAACGATAACAATCGTGTCCTCCGAGTACTGCGTCTCGAGAATCGACATGAGCTGCGTCACACGCACAAACACATCCGACACACTCTCGTTAGGCGTACCGTCGCTGATCGGAGGCGGTTTCGTCTTCATCGATATCGAGTCCAACGCATACACCTGCACAAAAACCACACTTTTCAAATCGCCGGAGATTTGTGTCTTAAGATAATGTTAAAAAAAAAAAAAAAAAAATCTTACTTCTGATATTGAGTCTAGCTTCTTGCCTTCGTAAGCTCCTAAGCCACGAGCATCAAGGAAGCTATATTCAGGAACTATATAGCTGCGACTGATTCCGTTGATGGAGGCGATGATCTCAGCAGCTTGATAAGCTCTCTGTGTAATGGAAGGCCATAGCCAACAGTTTCGATCGCAAGCTCCCAATGCCTTTAACTGTAACGCAGCTCTCACCGTCTGCTTCTTGCCTTTCTCTGATAATCCGCTGTCTACGGATGTTTTCGCCACCGGGTTTGTGTTGATTATCCCCAAGCTCTCGTAATCTGATTCTCCAGCTCTCACTAGGTAGTAACTTTGATTCAAAGCAAAGGGAATTGTGATTTAGCTCCGGGTGAGATAAATCGAGCTTGATTAAGTATGTTTGTGAAAATGGAATTACCGGTTAGATAGTCGGAGAGGCGGCATTTGGAAGAGGCCACGTGCGTTGGCTGGTGCGACGGTGGAGACGGAGAGTGGTGATGGTGCTGCGGCGAGGCATAAGGAGAGAGTTTTGAAAAGGTATCGGCGAGTTATCTGTGGCGAGGAAAGTGTATTTGAAGGAATTTGGGAGGTTTCCGGTGACGGCGGAGGATGTGCGGTGGTGGCCGCCGGTGGTGATGATGATGATAACATAATTCGGTCGTCATCTCAAATCTCTGGTCCTCCGGGATTTAAGGACACAAAACCACGATTGTAATCGCACATTTCCGGTTCAGATCACTGGGTTTGATCGAATCACGTTAACCGGCAATTTTCCCAACTGTGAAAGACGGTTTTACCCCTAAGCCAAATACATTAGACTCGGAGAAAATTACAATATCACCTCTCCTTAACTCGACACTAATTAAAATTCAGTTTTGCATGATTGTATCCTGAACAGGCCAGAACCAAAACAATCCCTGTTTATTTTAACTCTAATTCTTTTTTTTTTTGACGGAATTTTTTGACTGTTTTTAAATCTTAACATCAATATTCTTACAGTTTCCAGAAAACAAAAGTTACAACATAATCTAATAAAACTTCGATTAGAACTACAACTGTAACAAATTACATAGATTAAACTTGCCATAGTTATAATCATTTTAACAACAAAAGCGAAACCCCTTTCTTCTTACACAAGAAAACTTTATAACTTTGAGGGTTCCACTTCTTCATTTTCTTTTTTCTTCAGCATTTCTTCAGATTTGATATTAACCTAACGATGAAGCTTGTACTTAACAGTCGATGATGAAACTTGTTGGTAAGACAGGGGTGATAACAAAACAAAGAAAAAAAGTCTGACCCATAGATGCAGATTATCAAGCTCGGCCAAGCTCGATTTCAGCATTCGAGAAGCGCTTATCTTTATTGTCATCATCGTCTTCATCGTTCCAGTTAGTTGTTTTATAATAAGTTACGTATAATACAAGTTGGATTGTTCCTGATATGGTTCCAAGACCATTTGGAATCTGTATTCATGAAACAAATAAATACATATTATCGCTTTTTTTTTTGAAAAATACTGTATATTGATTGAATTGAGAATTATGGGGATTAAAAAGGAAAGCTTACCAAAATGTAAGGGTCGAATTTAAGACATGCGTAGATGACCCAAACGACGCCGTTCATGAGGTTGGCTAATGACAGGAAGAAGGGCATGTACTTCACGCTCTTTGTCTTTATCACATGTTTCTGTTCCACATTAATTAAAGCCATTGCATGCATGTTTTAGTAGTTCACAAGACCAAAAAGTAAGAAACCTTTTTGCTAAAATCCATTTTTTTAGCATATCCGTGACTAGTATCCTAAACTCTAGTCCATGAAACCGGTTACAAAATCAAGGTAAATTCAGAAACATATGCTAAATTTACGGATAATATGTTGGTTCAAATATTTTTATATGGCAAAATAGAGAACATACCATGACGGTGAGAGGAGCAGCATACATGATGACATTGAAAACAATGCACAGGATCCCAATAAGCATAGATCTTTGTTTTGTTGTATGCAAGAAATACAACGTGCAGAAGATCACCACCGCCATGAATATCACCTCAATCATCATAGCTATTGTGATCTTTTTCTGTATATGTAAACATCAAAACTTTCATCAAACACGCATATCAACAGAAACCCTTTAAACCAATTATCGTGCATGCGTGTAATTCACAATATAGGGGGATTAAATGAAAGAAAAGCTTACGCGGACAGCGGAGGAAGCGAAGATGAAGAAGATGGTGACATAAACGAGTTCCATGAAAAGACCAGTTCCATTGATGGTGATGACGAGGAGGCTGTCGGGATGGACGATAGGAAGTCCGTAGAAAGTCCACATCATGCAGTTTAACACAGTAGCTACGTACGGATCTGGCTTGAATTCCGACACCGATTTCATCTTCCATATCTTAATCATCGTTGGTCTGCATAACAATTCCACATAAATATCATCGCATGCATGCATTGACTTAACATCACGCAACAACAACAACAAAAAAAAGAAAGAAATAATGTGTGTCTTACATTGGAGCGCAGAACAATCCGAAAGAGATCACGTTTCCTGTAACATATAACAAAAAAAAAATCAAGAAAATACAATAATGCATAATTTTTTTTCCTCATTGATTAACAAGGTTTTGTTGGGGGAATTACCGATGATTCCGACGATCGTCCTGGCAGTTTCGGGGTCCGTCATTTTGCTTTGTCTCTTTGAAGAATTCTGTTCTTTTTACAGATTTTCTCAAAGATCTAATAGATGTTAAGAGAAAGAAAGGATTAATTTGATTCTTCTTTTCGATGGTTCGATCTTCTTATATACCTCTATTTCCTCTAATGTCTTGTTTTTTTTGTTTCTGAGTTGTGGTAAGTTGTTTGTTTTGATGAAACAGCTCTACCTTTTTTCTTTTTGTATGGTTTCTGCCTTCTGGGTTCTGTTTTTGTGTTTTTTTTTTGGTTTGGTAATATCGATTATTTTTGGTTTCTGTTTTATGAACAAAAAGAAAAGTTGGGTTTTAATAGTGAGTTCTCTCTCTATATCAGCAGAATGTGGGTAGAGTAACAAATGCGTGACACGTGTTTGAAAGTTGAATGATGAAGCCGTTGTTGACTCCGCTCGTACCCCATGCATGAGAAACACCCGGCTCTTCACTCGCATTCACACCTTCTCTCTCTTTTGTTTCTTAATACATAAATTGCTACTCTCTTTTGTTTCTCATACATAAATTGGTAACATATCAGTTATAACTGCTGCCATTTTTATTTATTATTATTTTCAAACTTTGTAACTTTATTAAGCTTGTGAACCAAACATTATTTGATGTACATCAAAATGAAACCAGGAGCAACTCCTTTTTGTGTACTGTTAAGTTAATTCAACAAAATGACTCTTTATAACCAATCTAAAACAGCATTATGAATTTGAGAGATAGAGGGAAAAGCTTGTTGGTAAGAGATTTGCAGCATGATTCAAAAAATAAGAACCATTATATGATTACTTGAACTATGATTAATCATAATATCATTTCATTGTTTTTCAATTTATTCGCTTATATTTGGATTATAATACGTCAACCACGTGACTAACTAGTATACAAATCAAAATGCTACAAATCCTATTCAGTCATTAGTTCATAAAGACATGTGAAGAAACTCGGAAATAATTAGACCTTATGAAGAATTAATCGTTGTAGATGATGAACTAACTATAAATAAATATTTGAAAAAAAAAACTATAGATATTTTGCAGGATTACAATCGCAAATATTGGCCTAATTAAATTTTTAAATCCTATTGGGCCATAAAACTTGTAATTTTTTTTCTTGCGTTTTCATCCTTTTTATGATAGAATTAGAATCACAGAAGTCATATATAAGCCCCAAGCAAGTTAGGTTTTTTGTTTGTTTTGAATCTGTGTGTAGGAGTGTGATAACTTCTCTTCGTTGGAAATTCACAAATAGACACCATGAAGAGAGGAAACAAAGAGAAGAATCTTCAGAACCACAAGTCCTCACAACAAGATCACGGCGGAGATAAGTCATCAGATGCAATCTATATCCCTTGGGATATTGTAACGGTCGATATACTCTCGAGACTCCCGTTGAAGTCAGTTGCGAGGTTCCGATGTGTATCGAAGCTATGGTCATCTCTTATTAACGAATGGATCACGACTCGGTCTTTGACTCAGCCGCGCCTACTCGTCGTCATACTCGAGCATTCATCTATCTTCTCGTATACTTATCCTCTAAACTCTAACAGGACATTCATACCCGCAGACAAAGGGAGTCATGCATCAACTAGTGGGTTAAGTTCCTATATCTCGTATCGATATGTCCACGGATTAATCTGTTGTTGGTCAAAGTCGGAAGATCCGTTTATGATATACAACCCTACCACGAGACAATCCGTTTTATTACCAAAGATCAAATATTATGATATATTCAGCACTGGATTATTTGGGTATGATCCAGTAGAGAATCAATACAAAGTGTTGTGCTGCGATATGCAAGGACCAACTTTGGAGTGGTCTTGTCAAGTTTTCACATTGGGAGGTCCAAAGAAACTAGAGCAATGGAGAAAGATTACCATCACAGACAATAATTTCGCTCCACCTGAATACGACTGTGTGGCTCCACCAATGAGATGTAGTACTAGTGTATGCATCAATGGGACCATCTATTACACAGGAAGGACTGACAGCAGTAGATTAGGGAGGTTCGACGTTAGATTCGAGAGATTTGATCGTCTTCTCCACATGCCAGAAACGAATCAGATTTGGGATTCGAAATTGGTAAACTATCAAGGGAAATTAGGTTGCGTGCGTTACAAGACTAACGGTAGTGCTGAGATGTGGATTATGGAAGAAGATGATCATATGAAGAAACAAGAATGGTCGAAGATTGCATTGTTCATGATGCCTCCGGATCTAGCAGATACGTTTAGTTATAGGGGTAGTATCACAGGTGTCACTCGTGATGGTGAGGTTGTGATAATGCCCGAGACGTTGCGTTCTGCTGAATCGTTATACGCATACTTTTATGACCCGAAGCAAAACAAGACTAGAAGAGTTGAATTCGAAAGCAGCTTGAGGAGGGGGAGCCAAAGTACAATCTTTAGTGTCCCGGATCACATGGAGATTACTACTACTATGTCATTGTTCGGGAATAAATATGTGAAAAAATAAACAGTGACGTTAAAGTTTAACTAAAGTAAATGCTGAAGTATAGCGAATATATAAGTAAAAAGTAAAAATTTAAAACATCTGAAATATCATGATTTATCCTTTTAAAAATAAAAGAAAAATTGCTACAGAAAGTTGATAAGTGACTAAAAGGTTATGAAACTTATCTAAAATTTAGAAACCTTTCTCTATAATTATTTCGTTTTGATTAATTTTTACAGAATATCAAAATATAGTCAATCATTGTATATTTCCTTGTTGGTCTATCAAAGTTCTAACGTCTAAGCCATAATAATCTAACGTCTATCAAAGTTATATAACTTGCTTGGAACATGAATTCGACGTCTATCAAAGTTCTAACGTCTAAGCCATAATCTAAGCCATAATCCTACTGTTCTAGTATATGTTTTTAATTTGGAATGCATGTGCCTATATGTAAATAATATACTCCGGGTTGTCTAGAAAGGTACAAATCTTTTTGAGTTGGGTTTATTCCTACTCCTACTCTCCACAACAAGAAAAATAAATAGGAGAAAAAGAAAAAGGAGTTCTCTACTCGATAAGATAAAAAGAAAAGGATTAAACTGTTGCAAACGATAATAAATGCACGTAGGTACTAGGTACTACCGTACTAGGTAGGGTGCTTTTCATGGCTGGACCATTTTTAAGTCCGTCTTGTGCCTATATGTACTAGGTATGATTCTCATTTTCTCTCTGAGAGAAAGGCAAAAGAAAGTCACTTTAATAAATACTGCGTGTGGCAGGCGTATCGTTCCTGGGTAACCGACGAGTGACTGCAGCGTTTCCCAATAAACCCGTTTGAAGAGAATCGTTCGAGTCCGCCAATCATAACTCTTCAAAGATTAAATCCGATTGAATAATTTCGCTTGGAGTCCCGCACTTATGACGGTCAGCGCAGCGCGTATGACTCGGTAAGTACGATGTGACGTGGCACTTTGCGATAAAGATCAAAGATGTATGTATAATTTAATTAAAAACCAAAAAATAACCTGAGACCCTTAATATTTTAAGTTAACCAAGGTAAATAATGAACATTAATATTTTAGAGTATCCAATAAATGTGGGTTGGTCGGTTAGGGTTGGAAGACAGAGAGACTAGGAGGAAGGAACATGACGGCGTGACCCCATTACTTGAATTAGGGCTACTTAAATCTGGCGACACGTGTAATCATTAACAGTGTTGTGAGAATGTTTGCTCTTCGTTTTGCCTTTTTGCCAACAAAATAAAATAATTATCCACTAAACTACTACATTTGTGGTTGCAATGGTCCTACAGTAAAACGTGACAATCATCATCTTGAAATGCATAGGAAAATGCTAAAATCATGTCAAGTCTTTTTATATTAAAAGCATAGCAGGCAGAAGCCATTGTCAACATTAAAGAAAGCAATAAAAATCCAAAATACAGAATCAAAGCAACAACGAGATTCCACAACCTAAACGCATAATTTCTCCACAAAGCAACACAGAGATTAGCAGGCAGAAGCCATGCATTGTCAACATTAAACAAAGCAATAAAAACCCGAAATACAGAAACAAAGCAACAAAGAGACTCCATAACCTAAACGCATAATTTCTCCACAAAGCAACACAGAGATTCCACACGCTTTATTACCAGTCAGGACCCTTCCTTCTCAGATCCCACGGAGGACTGAAATTCCCAAGTCCAAGTCGTAGGATATCCCAATAATGGCTATTCCTGTATTCAAACAAAAAAACAAATTATTTATCAAAAACAAAAAAAAACCAGAAAAATAAATATATAGGGGAATAAACAACAATAAAGCAAAAAAAAAAAAAAAAAAAAAAAAAAAGTTTCGAATCTTACTCATCATCCAGTAGTTTCTGTTCATCTTCTTCCAATTTCGTGGTGCAATTGCTAACCATATCCATTGATGACCAAATGTAATTTCGGAAGAGGGCTGGATCTTTATCCAAGAAACTCATCATGCATTTTTTGATCCGGGCTGCAATATATTCGTCATCGAAATCGTGATATTCCTGTGGCTTTGGAAGATGGGACAAAGCAGCCAACACTCGAACGATAGAGGTCCTCACCACACTGAACTTTTGCTTTAAGCCATAATATACAAGCTGAGGGTTTGGATCAAGTTTGCTTGGATCAAGTCGCCAGTAGAGGTTGGTGAGCAGAGTAGCTATCTCAGCTTGGATCTCAGCCTCTCTCTCCATGTAAACCATGCTTCGACAATGTTCAAACCACTTAGATTCAGCAGGATCCTTGGGGAAAGGGACATCTCCAAGGCTCCTTTTGATAACAGTAATGGCATCCTCCATCTCTGCAAATGATTTTGCAAAGGCATCCAGAATCCAAATCACAAATCTCATCCTCTCCTTGATGAAATCGTGATGGGTTGGACAGTAGAACGATACCATTATCATCCTCAGGACATCTTTCCTAAGCTGCTCATCCTCATAGAATGCTTTCACGACGTCACATATTGAGGAGTTTCCACGGAATATGTTGTGAAACATTTGGCCTGCTTTTCCCGTGTTTCCACCAGCAAGACTGATACAGCAGAATGGAAGATTTTCCGGTGGTGGGGGAAACTGCTTCAGAATAGTCAGAGTGGATATTATTTCCTGTTTGATTTCGGCTTCATCTCCTTGGACGATGAGTCTTCTACATTCTTCAAACCAGCTAAATTTTGTAGGAAGAGGGTCAGGTAACGGTAGCTCTCCCAGGCTTCTCTCGATAACCCTAACTCCATCGTCAAGGTTTGGAAGAGCTGCTGAGAACTCGCCAAGCATCCACACAACAAATGGCATCCTCCACCTGATGGTGTAGTGATGGGTACTGCAGTAGAAGCATGCTATGATGATCTTCATGACCTCATTTCTCAGCTCGTTATCCTCCCCAAAGGCTTCCGCGACCACTTCTTTTGACAAAGATCTATCGAAAATTCTCTCAAACATTTGAGCAGCGTTTCCGTTACCGAGAATACTAAGGCAGCAGTGTGATGCCATTTTTTTACGGGAGGAAGAAAGTTAGACACAGAGAGAGATTTTGAGCAAGAGAAAAAAGAGTAATAAGAAGACGAGGGATCGATCGAAGAAGAAGAAAGAAAACGAGAGAAAAACGAGTATTAATGCAGAAGAAGAAAGAGAAACACTTTCAGATCTAAATCTCAGCCCTTTAACTAATCTAACGGCTGGGAAACTTGGGCCATAAAACTTGCCGCTTGTAAAATCTTACTGTTGTCTCTGGAGTTTTCATCCTACCCCTCTATTCTTTGCTTATCAACGGCTGAGAGATACTGTATCCACGATCCCCAGACCTCTAAAGTTTATAATCCTAGCCTTCTATTCTTTGCTTATCAACGGCTGAGAGATATACTGTATCCACGATCCCCAGACCTCTAAAGTTTTTACTCCTAGCCCTTTATTATTTTACCGTCCGTTATCAACGGCTCTTAGTTACTGTATTTGGAATTTTAAATCTTGTAACCTTTATTATGTTTGCTGTTGGATATTATTGACTTCCGTGAAACAAGTACGCTATATTAACTTTATTAAAATGGTATGCCGACGTTTAGCCAAGAAAATTATATTATGATTACGTATATACGCAGTTTCTCCCAAATTGAACATATTGATCAATCTTTTAACAATACAAACTTACAAAACAGATATAGATCATAGATACATGTGTTGTGTACTAGCTGGGAGCTGGGATAGATCATAGATACATGTGACATTCTTTTCATACCATCTGTTAAAAAAAAAACTCAATTAATTGAAATACTTTGATTAGTTGTCAAACGAATAATCTACAAGACATGCATACAATATAAACATACACACGTATTAGAAAATTCAATGGGTTCAAGCTTCTTTCCAAGAGTCTGTATCTTTCTCCAGTTTGTTTGCACTTTGCAGTGAAAATTGCATTCTCTTAGTCATAGTCATAGGCCGCAAAACGAAGAACAGCGGAACACAAAAGCCTATCTACCGGCTTTGTTGATACGTAGAGTCGTATAAATCTCATCGTTGGTTTAACGATTTTCCTATAACGTACGTGGACTGCTTCTAGACTGGCCCTTTAGTAGTGTCTAAACGATTAAACTGGACTGCTTCGATCTAGACTCCTTTGTACTTCCTTTTATGCATTGGAATTTGCTTTTTCCGCTTATGGAATTTCCAATAGAATTGTAACAAAAAAAGGTCAAGTCATAAACTAAGATTCAAAAAATAATATAAAAAACCCATTAAGAGAGGAAGCCAAGTGAAGAAGAGCTCTCGATATATATGCACGGTACCGGCCCGGCCCAAGTCTTTGGCTAAAGCACACAAAAAAAAAAGTCATAAGCGATACATTTCCTTAAATTTCTCAATTTAAGGAAATTGAGAAAAAGTCATAAGCTATAAATAATTCAAGAAAAAGTCATAAACCCTAGCTAATAGGTTTTATTTTCGACTGTGTCCTATATAGTATTAACTTTTCCTCGTTTAAGATCCAGAAAAGAAAAAAAGCAGAGACCATGAAGAGAGAAGGAAGCCAAGAGAAGAAGAGCTCACCATCTCCAAAACGACAATATCATCATCACAGGGAGATCTCTGCCGTCGAAAAAAAGCCAAACGGTATCCCTATCATCCCTTTGGATATTCTAAGGGCCCATATACTGCCGAGACTTCCGGTGAAGTCCCTTGTGAGGTTCCAATGTGTATCGAAGCTATGGTCATCTCTTATTTTCGACTCCATCGTGGCTCGGTCTTTTAGTCAGCCGCGTCTACTCGTCATCTTCCCCCGTTGGCTGCACCAATCTTCATTATTCTCGTCCTCTAGTTATTATCCTATGATCACTAACTTCAAAACATTCATATCCACTTTAACTCCTAGGTCTATAAGTTACGATATTGCATATCAATATATCCGTGGACTAGTTTGTTGTTCGGGTGATATTTTTAACCCTACCAAGAGGCATCCCGTTCTAGTACCGGAGATAGATAATGATAAATATAGCAACTCATCACGTGATGGATTCTTAGGGTATGATCCGGTTGAGAATCATTTTTTCACGTTACTGGGAGGTCCAAATAGGCAGCAGTGGAGGAGCCTTGACATCCAAGGCACTTGGGATCACTCTCCACCAGCAGCAACGAGTAATGGTTTATGCATCAATGGGATTATCTATTACATATCACATATAGGAAGCTGGCCATATCCGGAGTTTAACGAACTAGTGTGGTTCGACATTAGTTTCGAAAGATTTGATCGTATCCAGATGCCCAAAACTCTTCAGATGTGTCGGTTGGAGGGATTGACTCTGGTAAACTACCAAGGGAGATTAGGTTGCATAAGTTACAACGAGGAAAGTGCGGAGATGTGGATTATGGAAGATCATCACAGCGAGAAACAAGAATGGTCTAAGATTATATTGAGCATACCTCATGGAATATTAAAGAGACTAGGAGTTAGTCATTGCATCGCTGTCACTCTTGATGGTGAGATTGTGATAATGCCCATGACATTGGAATCTGCTAAACCTTTCTATGCCTACTGTTATGATCCGAAGCAAAACAGGGATGCAATGGTTGCAATCGAAAATGGGGAACTAAAACTTCGAGTGGGAGATTGCAGATATTTTTTGTCTTAATATTATGTCTTGATAGTTTTTCTAATAAATATTGCATTTTTGTTTAGGCACTATCCTTCAACTATTCTAAAAATATTAATCTTTTTTTTTTCCATTCACATATAAAAGATCCTTGAATCACAAATTTCGCCATCTTGATCCAAAGTATAATGTCCATAGGAAACTGAGTTGGGGCATTAGATTGAGATGTAGTTAGTTAGATACAATCCCATATTTTCCTTAAAAAATAACAGTTCGAAAGAAAAAAATCTCTTGTCTCATCGGCCTCACTGCAAGGGGACAAGTGACTGGGACGTCCAAGCCACGGTTTCCCAAACGATCTTTCATCTTTGAGTAGACACTAGACATCCTATCATGCCACAATCCAACACAACCATGAATATTTTGGAATCATACATGAAATGCATTTTTATTCCTAATGTCTTGTGGTTGGTCATGACTCATGAATTATACCGTTACCTTATAATATATACCTAATAAAATTGTAAATATAAGAATAAAAATATGCTACCTGATTACGATCTCAAAATTAAAAACTAGAAATTCTACCAAACTCTTACACGATCATGCGCTATACTTGCGTGATTTATACTCTCTTAGACTCTAGGCTGAGAGAAACACAAGGATTTACTGTTATCCAATAACGATCAGTAGAATCTATCTAAAATTGGTATACATATCGAAATTTAGTATAAAGCTTAGCTTGTAAATTTATTATTTTTTAGAAATCATAAAAGAAAATTATCGTTCTATTAATTTCCAATTTACATAACTTTAAAAAAATAAGAAATTACATTAAAACATTAAAGTATTAAAAAAAAATATTTCATGAATAATAACTTTACAAAAAAAATTATTTCATGAATAGTATCTTTAATGGGGTATCTAGCCAACAGAAGAAGAAAATTGTGAAAAAACTCAAACTCTGATTAATCATGAATTCATTTTTTTAATAATCCGTTTAAATTTGGATTTATATTACTATCGACAGCCACTAACTAGTATACAAATCAAAATGCTACAAATCCGATCCAGTCATTAGTTCATATAGACATGTGAAAAAACCCGGAAATAATTAGATTTCATAAAGAATTAATCGTTGTAGATGATGAGTACGGTATAAACTAACAAAATTATTTGCAGGATTCTAATCGCAAATATTGGCCTTTAATTTCTAAAACCTATTGGGCCATAAAACTAGGCTACTTGTAATTTGTTAATTTTTCTTGCGTTCCATCCTTTTAAGTTATGAGAGAAGTCATATATAAGCCTCAAGCAAGTTAGGTTTTTGTTTCGACTCTGAGCGTCTTCGTCGTTGGAAATTCAAAGGAGAAAATAGACAGACACCATGAGGAGAGGAAGCAAAGAGGAGAATCAACAGAAGCACAAGTCCTCACGACAAGATCGCGGCGGAGGTAAGTTATCAGACACAACCTATATCCCTTGGGATATTGTAACGGTCGATATACTCTCGAGAATCCCGTTGAAGTCAGTTGCGAGGTTCCGATGTGTATCGAAGCAATGGTCAACTCTTATTAACGAATGGATCACGACTCGGGCTACGACTCAGCCGCGCCTACTCGCCATCATGCTCCACTCTTCATCTTTCTCCTCGTATACTTATCCTCTAAGCTCCAACAACAGAGCATTCATAACCGCAGACGAAGGGAGCCATACATCATCATCAACTAGTGCGTTAATCATGCATCGATATGTCCACGGATTAATCTGTTGTTGGTCAAAGTCGGATCGGTTTAGGATTTACAACCCTACCAGTGGACAATCCGTTTTATTACCAAAGATCAAATACGATGGATTGAGAAACTTGGTTAATGGATTCTTTGAGACCAACTTGTTCAATGCATTCTTTGGGTATGATCCAGTAGAGAATCAATACAAAGTGTTGTGCTTCACTAGACCATATTGGGAGTGTTCTTGTCAAGTTTTCACATTAAGAGGCCCAAAGAAACTAGGGCAATGGAGAAGCATTGTCACAGACAATTTCTTACTACCTGTAGACGACATTTTGGCTGCACCATGGGAACATAGTACTAGTGTATGCATCAATGGGTTTATCTATTACACAGGAAGGCTTTTCATAAGTGCATTAGGGAGGTTCGACGTTAGATTCGAGAGATTTGATCGTATCCAGATGCCACCAGACACTCGGATCATGAATCAGTTTTGGGATTCGACATTGGTAAACTATCAAGGGAAATTAGGATGCGTGCGTTACAAGACTAACGGTAGTGCTGAGATGTGGATCATGGAAGAAGATGATCATTTGAAGAAACAAGAATGGTCGAAGATTGCATTGTTCATGATGCCTCTGGATCTAGCAAATACGTTTCGTTATATGACTATTATCACAGGTGTCACTCGTGATGGTGAGATTGTGATAACGCCCAAGACATTGCGTTCTGATGAATCGTTATACGCATACTTTTGTGACCCGATGCAATACAAGACTAGAAGAGTTGAATTCGAACGCCCCTTGAGCTGGGGGAGCCAAAGTACAATCTTTAGTGTCCCGGATCACATGGAGATTACTACTACTATGTCATTGTTCGGGAATCAATTTAAGAAGAATCCAGAGACTACACTGGGGATCATGTACGATGCTGTTTTTTCCGGCGACAATTGTTTCTTGTGTCCCAAGAAACTATTGCTTATAGCCTTTTTTTGTGCCGCTCTCGTTATAGCGACAACATTCCGAACAGGTTTTATGTGATTATGTCTTTGTTGGACACGTTCCATTAGTATTTTTTGTTCTCTCTCTCTCTGAAGGTTGTTGCATCGAAATTAAACTTTACAATATAATGTTTTGGTTTTAGGACTAGTTACAATTAAAAAAAAAATCCGTGAGCCGATGACCAGGCAAAGGAGACTTCCAACAATAGTGAGGTGTATTTTCCGGTGGAGGGGGAAGTGAAGGAAAAGAGCTTGACGCCTTTATTCGGAGGGAAAAGAGTTAGAACGAACGAAAATATCGATTTTAGAAAACGAGAGAGAGAGTTAGAGAAAAAAATATGAACAAGACGAAAGATTTTCAGCACAATATAGGAATTATGCTTGATCAAAAACTTTCAAGATATAAATAATAGCCTTTTATTCTTTGACCTTTATCAACGACTGAGAGATATTGTATTCTACAGACCAGATTCCGATGAAAATACAATTGTATTTGCAATTCTTTGCATCATCCACGAGTTTTCCAATATAACTTCTGATTCCTCTTATACCATTTTTGTTAGATTGTGATTATCAAAATGGAGGTTCAGATCATTTTATATTTAGAAATATTTTGGTTACCATATAAATCCTATAACAAGGAATGACTTAGCTTGTTGAGGCATGATGTTATGATTAAGTGCATATGTAGTTTCTTCCGAACTGAACATACGGATCAATCTTTTAACAATATGAAGTGAAACATGATAACAGAGAAGGCAATAAAACTAGGCTGCTTTTCTGACTCTTTTCTGGATCTTCCTGTTGGGAATCAAGTTTTCACGTTATTGGGAGGTCCAAAGAAGCAGCAGTGGAGGAGCCTTGACATCCAAGGTACTTGCAATCAGTTTGTATATATGTATATTTAATGTCATGGCCTCATGTGGTCTTAATAGTTTTTCACCTACGTTTAAGTGTTAATATTTCAACACTGCATTGTTGGCACAAGTAGATTGAAATGATATAATGATTCTTCTCTTAGCCTTTTAAATTTTAGTTATAAATATGTGAAAAAAATAAACAGTGACTTTAAAGTTTAAACTAATCTGAATACTTATAAATATAGCGAATATAAGTAAAAAGTAAAATTTAAAAATATCTGAATATCATGATTTGTCCTTCTAAAAATAAAAGAAAAGTTGCAACAAAAGGTTGATTAGTGACTAAAAGGTTATGAAACTTATCTAAAATTTAGAAACCTTTTTCCAAAATTGTTTCGTTTTTGATTAATTTTTATAGAATATCAAAACATAATCAATCATTGTATATTTCCATGTTGGTTTTCTCGGTTGTTGTATAACTTTTATTAAAAAGGCATAATACTTTATTCAATTCGACGTCTATCAAAGTTCTAAAATATTTTGAATTATTGTAATTGTGGTATTCCTCTGGCGTTGGAAGACCCCACAAAGCAGCCAATACCCTAACAATGGAGGTTGTGATCACTGTGAACTTTTGATGCAAGTGAACATAACCAAGACGAGGGCTTGGATGCGACAATCTTCAAACCAATTGGACTCAACAGACGGATCCTTAGGGAAGGGCAGATCTCCAAGGCTTCTTTTGATAGCGATATTGGCATCGTCGAACTTTGCAAATGATTTTGCAAACACATCCATCATCCAAATCACAAGCGAGAGAGCTCTTTTAGTTCTGTGTGCACACACTGAGCAAATGAAAATCAAATCACAAAAAAAATCATTAAGAGGCAAAAAAAACTATAATTCATATATTAAATAATGATCTTTTGTTGACCAAAAAAAATAATAATGATCTTTCCTCTTTGAGTAGACATTCTATCATGCTACAATCCAACACAACCATGAATATTTTGGAATCATACATGAACATGTATGCATTTTTATTCCTAATGACGTTGTTGGTCATGACTCATGAATTACATATACCGTTACCTTATAATATATACCTAATAAAATTGTAAATATAAGAACAAAAATATGCTTCCCGATTACGATCTCAAGATTAAAAACTAGAAATTCTACCAAACTCTATGGCCTATGCGATCATGCGCTATATATACTTGCGTGATTTATACTCTCTAGACTCTACGCTGAGAGAAACACAAAGATTTACTGTTATCGAATAACGATCAATAGAATCTATCTAAAATTGGTGTACATATCGAAATTTAGTATATAGCTTAGCTTGTAAATTTATTATTTTCTAGAAATCATAAAATAAAATTATCTTTCTATTAATTTCCAATTTACATAAATTTAAAAAATAAGAAATTACATTAAAACATTAAAGTATTCAAAAAAAATATTTCATGAATAATAACTTTAATGGGGTATCTAGCCAACAGAAGAAGAAAATTGTGAATAAAGTTTTCAAAACAACATATACTAAATTTGATTACTCGAACTCTGATTAATCATGAATTCATTTTTTTTATAATCCGTTTAAATTTGGATTTATAATACGATCGACAGCCACACTAACTAGTATACAAATCAAAATGCTACAAATCCGATCCAGTCATTAGTTCATATAGACATGTGAAGAAACCCGGAAATAATTAGATTTCATAAAGAATTAATCGTTTTAGATGATGAGTACGTATAAACTAACAAAATTATTCTTTACCAAAAAAAAAAAAAAACAATTATTTGCAGGATTCTAATCGCAAAAATTAGCCTTTAATTTCTAAAACCTATTGGGCCATAAAACTAGGCTACTTGTAATTTGTTTAATTTTTCTTGCGTTTCATCCTTTTAATTTATGAGAGAAGTCATATATATAAGCCTCAAGCAAGTTAGGTTTTTGTTTCGACTCTGAGCGTCTTCGTTGGAAATTCAAAGGAGAAAATAGACAGACACCATGAGGAGAGGAAGCAATGAGAATCAACAGAAGCACAAGTCCTCACGACAAGATCGCGGCGGAGATAAGTCATCAGACACAACCTATATCCCTTGGGATATTGTAACGGTCGATATACTCTCGAGACTCCCGTTGAAGTCAGTTGCGAGGTTCCGTTGTGTATCGAAGCTATGGTCATCTCTTATCAACGAATGGATCAAGACTCGGGCTACGACTCAGCCGCGCCTACTCGCCATCATGCTCCAGTCTTCATCTTTCTCCTCGTATACTTATCCTCTAAGCTCCAACAACAAAGCATTCATACCCGCAGACAAAGGGAGCCATACATCATCAACTAGTGGGTTAATCATGTCTCGATATGTCCACGGATTAATCTGTTGTTGGTCAAACTCGGATCGGTTTAGGATTTACAACCCTACCAGTGGACAATCCGTTTTATTACCAAAGATCAAATACGATGGATTGAGAAACTTGGTTAATGGATTCTTTGAGACCAACTTGATGAATGGTTTCTTTGGGTATGATCCAGTAGAGAATCAATACAAAGTGTTGTGCTTCACTAGACCATATTGGGAGTGTTCTTGTCAAGTTTTCACATTGGGGGGTCCAAAGAAACTAGAGCAATGGAGAAGCATTATCACAGACAATTTCTTACGACCTGACGACGACATTTTGGCTGCACCATGGGAACATAGTACTAGTGTATGCATCAATGGGTTTATCTATTACACAGGAAGGATTATCATAAGTGCATTAGGGAGGTTCGACGTTAGATTCGAGAGATTTGATCGTATCCAGATGCCACCAGACACTCGGATCATGAATCAGTTTTGGGATTCGACATTGGTAAACTATCAAGGGAAATTAGGATGCGTGCGTTACAAGACTAACGGTAGTGCTGAGATGTGGATCATGGAAGAAGATGATCATTTGAAGAAACAAGAATGGTCGAAGATTGCATTGTTCATGATGCCTCTGGATCTAGCAAATACGTTTCGTTATATGACTATTATCACAGGTGTCACTCGTGATGGTGAGATTGTGATAACGCCCAAGACATTGCGTTCTGATGAATCGTTATACGCATACTTTTGTGACCCGATGCAATACAAGACTAGAAGAGTTGAATTCGAACGCCCCTTGAGCTGGGGGAGCCAAAGTACAATCTTTAGTGTCCCGGATCACATGGAGATTACTACTACTATGTCATTGTTCGGGAATCAATTTAAGAAGAATCCAGAGACTACACTGGGGATCATGTACGATGCTGTTTTTTCCGGCGACAATTGTTTCTTGTGTCCCAAGAAACTATTATATTGGTTATACCCATTTTTTGTGCGGCGCTGATTCTAGCGACAACATTCCGAACAGGGCTTGTGTCTTTGTTGGACTCGTTCCATTAGTATTATTCTTTTTTCTCTCTCTGAAGGTTGCGTCGAAGATAAACTTTACAAAATAATGTTTTTCTTGTAGGAATAGTTACAATTAAAAAAAAAAAAAAATCATTGAGTCGATGACCAAGCAAAGGAGACTTCCAACAATCATTACTTGGATTAGTCTTTTTGGTGATTGATGAATGGGACCGTAAACGAGTTTTGGACCGTAAACAAGTTTTCACCTATTCTGATCCGAAGCAAAACAAGGCTGCAACGGCTCGCTATTTTCAATCGAAAAAGTGGAACTAAAATCTCAAATGGGAGCTTGTTTGTAGTTGTAGGGATACATTCCAAACACGAAATCTTATAGAAACGTATTGTTGGAGAATGCTATGTCTTTGTTGGACTACTTCCATTAGTTTTTCTTCGTCTTTTTCGATTTAATGATAGTTAATACTCTTTTTTTCTGGCTCGACGTCCTTGAAAGGTTAAAGGGTATATGTATATTGCATTTAAAATAAAACTTTACAAAGTAGCGTTTTTGACATTTTGTTTGGGAAGTGGCTTTAACAAAATTTGTAGAATGAGAGATGATTAAACAAATCAGATTATCTAACAGTCAACAGTAATATCTGCTTTGGTCAAAGTCCCATATTTCATTTATACTCGTATCTTTTATGAACATCTCCGATTTTATGAATATTCTTCTTCCGTAGGACAAGAAGAAACTCTCCGATTCATAATATTTTGTTGAGATATCCAAATACAAAAATAAAATTTTATATAAAAAGCCCAATGATTAGGATTATGGTGCCATGTCTTTTTCTAAGCGCTACTTGTATCAATTAGTAGGAATGTTTTTCTCTATTTGTGCTGATTATTTTAAATTTGTAGCATATATATCCTTATTCCTTAATAATATCAAAAAGATGATAGGGTACAAGTTAATAATTTGAAACGATTCTTAAATATGATTCAGTGATCTGTACCTCATATTTGTTTTTTTTTTTTTTGGGAAAGATTAGTTGACTTTATAAATACAAAAAAACGATTTTAAAAAACAAACAAAAAATGTATAATTACAGAACAATAAAACCAGCTTTCATTATATTCCATGTAAAAAATTAATATTATATTACAACTATATATGATGAAGTTCGTTAACAGCTACTATACAACTTCTTCAATCAGTTTCAATTTCAACATTCTTTCAGTTTCCGGCATGGAACTTGTCCAATCGGACCCAACCCAGGATCCGGAACCCCGGTACGATCCACGCTGCTGTTCGTGTTTCCCCAACTTCCGCTCAAGAAGCTCCACAGCCGTTGGATACTCTGCCTGGGGACGAATTCAAACCGCTGATGATAATCACAGCGGCGACCACAGCGACGAGCCACGGTGGTGGAAACGTGCGGCTCTGAAGATCCGAGAGTGGTCTGAAATCGTAGCTGGTCCACGTTGGAAGACTTTCATCCGGCGATTTAATCGCGATCCACGGCGCGGCCGCGATTGGGACGCAAGCGAGAAGTTCCAGTACGATCCTTTGAGTTACTCTCTAAATTTCGACGACGACGACGAAGACGAATACGTCGGATTGGGTGGATACCGAAGCTTCTCCACTCGCTATGCTTCTGTTCCGGTCACCTCAGGTAAACCTCCGGCGGTTTCGCCGCGGTCTTCGTCTGCGTTGACGCCGCGTAAGGAGATAATGGAAAGTTAGTGGGCGCGTGTACGAAACGCGTTTGCGTTACTGGCGGCGGCGGCGGAAAGGCTGTCAAATGGTTGACTGTTTACGTTTTTTGAGGGCTGTCGCGTTAATTACGTTTCCTTTAATTTTTTTTTAAAAACAAATCTGTCTGTAATTAAAATACGATCAACTTTGAATTATTTATTTATATCGATTTTTTACTCGTTCAAGAAATTTTCTGGCAATATTTTGCTTCTTTTTTTGGTGGATACTAAACTTGTTTTGGCTGATATAATCGTGTAAATTTGCTGTACAGCATATGTGGAAGTAATGATTAAGTTAAATCATGATTTGCGTATTTTTAGATTCTATGTTGGTTGTTTTTGTTCCCCTTTCAAAAAAAAAAAGTGATAGTGGGTTGTTTAATTTTATTTAATTTAATTTAGTGTATTCCCCTTAATGAAGTTCCACTTTTAAAAAATTCAACAAACCAACAAATCCTACCTAGTCAAGTTCAAGATTATGTAGAACTTATTGATATGTTATTGAAACGGTTAATGATATATTATTGACTACTAGTTAAAGATGGGGTGATTCAGATTTTCAAAATCAATATACAATCAAATGATCAAGAAATAGACTCCTTGTTTTTATTGAGGATCATCTGATCTGTTGTTACGAAACGTGAATTAGTAGCACTACAAGTTGTCATCTGCAGCAAATCACAAATCGCGGTTCGATAGTATCTGTTATGAACAATGAGTTTGCTAATGTAAATTATTTGAGAATTGCCTACTCTGAAACTGATCATATGTTATATACTTATATCATTCCTATGCGGGTCGGGTCGTTTCCAATACAAATTTGATGTTCAATCATTGGAACTCAAACGCGGCCCATATTGAGTTAGCGGCCCGCTGCACCAGTTAATTTAATTGTAGTGTTTTTTCTTTTTTTCTTTTTTTTTTTTTTTTTGAACAACGGTTTTTTATTCTTTTAAGCCCTCAAATTTTTCACTTTCTATAGATTATATCGATTACTTTGTCACAACTACATTTATCGTTTTGTTCAATTTTATTTTTTTTAATGACGTTGTCCTTACACCAGCACGACATAATGTTCATGCTTAGAGACCACAACTTATAGATTTACAGTTTACTACATACGGTAAGAGATTGTACTTTTATGGGATAATGCAAAAGCTTACTTGTGGAATTAATTTTCTAAACTGAAAATTATAATTGTGTTTAAAATATGTAAACGAGAGTATGTTTTATATACATATTAATGATAACCAGTAGTTCATTTTTACAATTTTCGTTTCAGTTAGTATATTCATTTGATGTTGATTCCATATTTTTGTCACTTTGATGTATTAATAATCAGCAAATATGTAATTCAGATATTTTTGGGGGTGACTTTGGTGGGAATAACTTGTAATTAATAAACACAAAACACCTTTAGACTAGAGAGCAATATGCCCCGTGGTCCTGCTTGTGAACACCTATCTAATTAACATACTTTAGCATTTTCATATGTACATATGGTGGTTGCGTCGACGTAGTCGTAGGTATTACTCCAACATTTAATTTAAATATCTTAGAAAATATATCATTTGTTAATCATTTATTTAACGGCCTTTTCTAGATGACCACAGGAAGTTTGGCTCCAACATCTACCTATAAATCATTATTTAAACACATGTCAAAATATGCACTTTTACTTTCTAAACCAAGACTATATACAATTTAATCCATTAACAAACAAAAAGAATTTGTTTGGTAAGAGAGTTCAATTTTAAATAACAGTGTATCATTACAAAAGTTGCTATGATCCTTTGTGAAAATTGGGAGTTTTTATTGCTGGTTGTTGCCAACGAAACTCTTGTTGGCCAATTTTACATTATTGAGTAAATTAGATGATAAGTTTATTTTAAACGTGGGTCCACATAAAAAACCATTTTATCCAGGTATGTATTTTATTTTCATTAAAAAATAACTTCTAACTATAACTATCAAATAAGAATATAAAAATTTGTTGAAATGTAGGTTGCATTGGTTTTTCTATAGAATCTTTGTTTTTGTTTTGTTTCCACGATGATACATATCCTTAAATATTTTAAGTGAACCTTAAATAGCCAAGCTCTATATTATTGTGTATGTAATATCGAGAGAAGAAACAAAAATAGCAAGACATGAATTCGACAATACATGTTAATGTATACATATATGATATCAGCCATCTTCACTTGTCACTGTTGCTCAACGTGACTATTATTAAACTTGGCCAATATATTTCTATCAGTGGTTAGTATTGTCACAGTAATTTCAATTTGTAATGTACTGTTGTGCGGATGCTAGTGCGGGTAAAAACGTAGGAAAACCCAACTAAACAAAAATATTAAACTAAATCTGAAAATTTTGGTTTCTATTCGTTATTAATATTTTGAAAACATTCAAACAAATCAAAAGTGGATTGAATTCACAAATTTTGGTTAACAAATTCCAATACCAAAATTTGCTCGTTAGAGTAATAAATGAAGTAAGAATTGAGACAAGGGAAAGAAGAGAAGATGGATCATGTGAGTCACCACCGCTCCTTCCATCTTCAAACCAAAAACAAGCCAACAAACACCACTTAACAAAAATTTGAGTTTATTTTTAAAAAATTGGAAATATTGAAAAGAGCAAACAGAAAAAAGTGGAAAAGAAATTGGGGGAAAATGTAAAAGAAAAGCCATAAATTTGTGCAACAAACCCTACCTTCTATGTTCTATTGTGGGTTTATTTTTTACTTCTCTTTTTAAGTAATCACTTCATTCATTTATCTCTCTCTCTATTTCTTCTTCTTCTTGTTTGCTCTTGTTCTTTTACCTTGCTCTGCTTTGTATGTGTGTGTATTGAGGATCAATGGCCTCAAGTGCTTCAAAGTTCATCAAATGTGTGACTGTTGGGGATGGTGCCGTTGGTAAAACTTGTATGCTCATCTGCTACACCAGCAACAAATTCCCTACTGTGAGTCTCTCCTCTCTCTCAAATTTTGATCAGGAATCTCATCTGGGTTTCTCAGATTCAGTTTAAATTTCCGATTTTTACTCATAAAATCTTATCCGGGTGTCTCCAACTCACTATAAATCGATGTGGGTCTTCCAAATCTTTCAGCTTTATTTCAAAGTTAGCTCCTTTTTCCAGGGACTGTGCATGAAATAAGATCCATTTTGTAAAAATCTTAAATCCACTTCCTTTTTCCGAGGTTTTTGCAGCTTTTGTGTGTCTAGTCCAGCTTTATGTTATCCCTTTCTCCTCACAACCTCAGAAATTCTTCTGATTTTGTCTTCATAATACTATTATTGCTATCTGTCGTTGACTTGATCTTAACTCTGAATTTGATTGATTATAACAGGACTACATACCAACAGTTTTTGACAACTTTAGTGCAAATGTTGTAGTTGAAGGCACCACCGTGAATTTAGGGCTTTGGGATACTGCTGGTATGAACACTCTTTTCCCAAATTCCTATCAAATTGTTAATCTTTTCCTCAAGAAATAACAGAGTCTCGAATCCAGTTCCTATTGTACTTAGAACGTTATCTACTGTCATATGTCAAGTTCATTGATCTGAGATTGTTGTATAGACAAAATCCAATTTTTATGTTTCAAGATATTGAGATGATTTAAGTTTACCTTTCGTTTGGGTGTATGTTTGCAGGGCAAGAAGACTATAACAGATTAAGGCCTTTGAGTTACAGAGGAGCAGATGTGTTTGTCTTGTCTTTCTCATTAGTCAGCCGAGCTAGCTACGAGAATGTTTTCAAAAAGGTTTGATTTTGATTGTGAAATGCATTCATCCTTTACTCTTGTGTTGAGTAACTTCTAATGTTTATGACTCTTCTTGTTGATTCAGTGGATCCCTGAGCTCCAACACTTTGCTCCAGGTGTCCCTCTAGTCCTTGTCGGTACCAAATTAGGTAAGAAACCGATGAGCATTTACCAACAGATTCTTCTTAACAGATCAGATATATTGCAGAGTTATGATGTCTTACAATGTCGATGTAGATCTCCGTGAAGATAAACATTATTTGGCTGACCATCCTGGACTATCCCCTGTGACCACTGCACAGGTTTGTTTTTAGAGCCCCTTTTTGTACTGTAGATTACATCTTAAGGCTCGATGATTGTGCTAAGTAAACAACTCTTTGCGGCAGGGAGAGGAATTGCGTAAGATGATTGGCGCAACATATTACATTGAATGTAGCTCAAAAACTCAACAGGTAATAGATATACCTTTGCATTGATTCAAATCGCCTTCATAGTATAATCCAAATCTTTATCGTTCAGATTGACAATATCGATGAAAGTTTACATTTTGCAGAATGTGAAAGCAGTTTTCGATTCCGCGATCAAGGAAGTGATCAAACCGCTGGTGAAACAAAAGGAGAAGACAAAGAAGAAGAAGAAGCAAAAGTCTAGTCACGGTGGTTGTTTATCGTGAGTATATCTTCACAAGCTCTGCATCTAGAAGATTCATTTGAAGGATGCTTACTGACTTTAGCTTTGTTTTTTTTGTCCAGGAACGTTCTCTGTGGAAGGATAGTGACTCGGCACTGATGAAGAAGAACTGAAACTACACTTTTGAGTTTGTTTGAAAGACATATATATATAGATGGAATCATGGAAGAGATTCGTAGCACTCTAATCAATCAAAAGTTACCTTGAAGAGAGACAGAGAGAGAGATAGAGAGCTTATTATATTAACTCGATTATGTTTTAATTGTTTCAAACCTGTTTATTGCAATATATTAGCCATTTTGTTGTAAACAGAGTACAAGAAAGAAAATATGGATCACTTGCTTGTTCAACCATAACTTCAACAAGTAGAATAATAATCTACAAAAGAGTGCCGACTATATAACAAACAACATGGAAGATTTATCTCTCTAAATTTCATGCCAATAATGCTTCAAGACCATCACCATATATTTTTTTTAAAAATTTACAGCAGAACTCAAAAAACATAAACTAAACTCTCTTTTCCTTCATGCCTTTTTGGTCTGGATACATAGATGTTAGAGAAGACAAGGCAAAGAGTAACACAACAAGCATGTTGTTTTAAAAAGTTCACCTGTCAAAACTCTTTCTCTTTGTATGCGAGATGAGAGCAAATAAAACAAAGTGTTGATGATGGTCTTGGTTTCACTGAGAGTTTTATAAGCCTACGCCTGTGAAAATCCGAAACTGTTGGAGGTATCTACACAATGATTGTAAGACGAAGGGGTCAGAATTTGTCTAAGAAACTGTCCACTGAAGTCTCCACCAGCCCGATGAAACAACCCTTTGCGGCGTGCGTCTGCTTTTTATCTTCAAAGTAACTAGCCGAACAAAGATGAATTCGAAACACAAAGTCAGAGAGAGAGAGCGAGAGAGCTGGAAAGAAACAGGAGATAAGAAAGCGTAATTGAATAGAGTGAAATATGCTTCAAGATGCTTACAGGCTTAGTGCGGTGGCGGCCTACAAAGAGATTTTGAGGTCTGTTATTGCCATGAGGATTGCTTATATCCATCCCATCCACCCTCTGGTTCCTTCCTCTTCAGAGCACCACCTAACATTTGATACATTCTTGCTTGATCATCTTTCAATGGTATAGAACCAGAGGAAGATAACTGTCTTTGTACATGCGTTGCTTCATCTCTCCCACCGTCATTTTCATGCCCTCCTGGTCCGGAGTTTAAGTCAAGACCTGATCTGAACCATTTTGCACTGTTGCCGTCCGAAACTCCACCATTGCTACTACCGTTTGGGAGGTTAACGACGTAAGGCCTTGGATAATTAGACGGTATGGCAACTCCAGGACCCAATATTTGAGAGTTGACAGGAGGGAAGCAAAGCCTGCCACTTGACGAAGAGTCCATGTATGGTGTTGAAGCACCTGAAAAATTTGCTGAGGCAAGAGGAAAGCTTGTTCCAAAAGGAAACCCGGGATACTGAAACGCTGTGGACGGGAATGAAACTGCTGGAGAAGACAGTAAAACCGGGCCTCTGTACATATCAGGTGTAAATGAGGAAACTCCAGATGAAGGACCAACCATTCTTTGCGGTCCATTGCTGCTAATAACCGGAAAAGGCTGATCCCCTCGCTCAGGCAAGACTTGAGGAGTACTCATTGCTGAATAATTGTTAGCAGCAGGAAACCAAGATGAGAAGCCAGCCGCCATATTCTCAGTACTCATTCTTACTCCGGAGATCATTGGCTGTGATGTCAAGCCACTTCGGGAATGTTGACTAAAAACCATAGATGGCTCAACATTTGCATCATCAGCAGCTGGTCCATCGTTTAAATCAAAATCTCTACGACCACCAGAAGATGAGTTTGCCTGCTGAAAAGATGAGTCTACCCGATGACCACTGCTTATTGTATAATTATTCAAATCAGTTGGATCATCAAGTCTATTTAGATCAAGATCTAGGCCACCAGAGGAATTTGTGGGATTGGCAGATCTTTGGGAAGCCAGATCTTCAAGAACTCTCTCATCAGGTACATTTAGGTCGAAGTCCAAAAACGTCTTCGTTTGCTTGCCAGCGGTTGTAGAAGCATCAGAGGAAGACACATTATTCATGCTTAGTGGCGCCACCTCCTGGACTTTTCTTGGCTCAGCTGGCCTGAAGGCGCTAGTGGCAGCAGATCCTCTCCAGCCAACAGTTGCTTTATTTCTCAACAGATCATCACGCGGAACAAATGCACCCTTTGCAGCAGCAGCAACTGTAATGGATACAGGAAGTCGACTGGGTTGTAAAGGAGTAGGTGGCAAAGATGAAGATCCAGAGAAGTTATTTACATTGTCGTTTCGTGTATCATCCCCATTAAAACCTTCATTTAGGTCAAACTCAACTCTGGCTTCCATCTCTGGCCCTGCTGTAGCTGAAACTGAAGGAACATCTCTAACAACAGATGTACATTCCTCCGCTTCATCTCCATTAGCACCACTCACTCTAGACCCATTAGGTCTCCTACAATCTTCTGCAACTTTAGGTGATACTACTTGAGGACCTAATGCGGTGGTGCCCCGTTTATCGACTTCAGTAGATGCTTCTACATGCTCAAGTTCACCGTTACTTGCAGGTGAGTCCAGACGAGCTGCCAAACGCTTGATCTTGGAGAGCCCAGAAGAATCTGGTATACCTTCACCCAATTGTTTAACTAACTCAGAACTCAAAACTACCGGAGATTTCTGCTCATTCTTGTTCTCACTTCTGACATCAGAGGGTGAATTTGTAACAGCCAGAGAATCTACTTTAGGACATAAGTCGATGGCTTTACTTTCAGCTGGCACAGATGAGGCCACTCTTTGGGCTGTATCTGATGTAACATCATCCGACATTTTTTCTGTGATTGATCCGTCAACATTTGCAGTACTTATATCCTTGGCAACCTCTGACAAAATTGATACACCTTCACCCATTTTATTAACTAGCTCAGAACTCAAAATCACCTTTGGTTTCTCTTCTTTCTTATCATCACCAACAACGTCAGAGGGAGAATGTTCAGCAGCCAAAGAATCGGCATTTTGACTTATGCCAATGGCTTTACATTCACTTACGCCAGAGTTTATCGTCTTTTTCGTTGTATCTACCGCTCGACCTATCTCTGATGCAACATCATCTGAATTTTCATTGCTTTCTAGGCACTGATCCACCAACCTTTGCAATTCTTCGATTTCTGAATCAGAGTTCTCATCAAGATCTCCTGCCTTAGAATCAGCCACATTATCTAAAGCCGCCAACTGCTCGCCACTACTACTGACATGTTGCTCAATGTCAACAATGGTGGGATCCTTTGAAACAGCTTCAGCTTGCTCGCCAGGCACCACATTCAGCACGGAATCTGAAACCCGGGAAACAGAGGGTGATACAACAGGGGATTTTGACATTTCATCAGCAGCTACAGTAGCTAGAAGATTCATTCCAACATCATCCGCACCAGCCATACAAGCATTTGCCTCAGAGTCCCTGACACAACTTTCAATCAAGGCATTCATTGAACTATGCGATCCACCATGCCTTTTTCCAGTTTTGACGTCATCTCCTACCATAGGAGAAGTAGGTTTGACAATACCTGCACCTTTACTAGAATCATTAACAGCCTTGCCGTGTTCATCCCCAGCATTAACAGAAGGGGAACCAGCTACCTCATCCGAAACCGTCGATAGATTTTTTACGTCATTGTTCTGCGAAGACTCAGTATTCGCATCAGGGCTAGAATTAGCTCGACATGTATCATTCATTTCTTTCCCATTTCGGTCAAATTGATCATGCTTCTCAGAAGGAACAGGTGATGGAGCTCTGCTATTATCAGCTGCAGGGTCCTCAAAGGAACCTCCACTAACACATTGTGCCGGACTGCGACCACGTTTTGGCAGCTTAACAATCAACTTGTTGCTGCAACCCTTCAGCCATAGGTACATCAAGAGTAGATTGAGATGCTTTCTCAGAAGTTGCAGTTCTTTGTGATGAGAAGCTCCTGCTCAGGCCAACTTCTCTATGGAATGCACCGGTATTTCTTTGCTGCCCATCATTAACAACAGCAACAACTGTTCCAGGTGAAGGGGCTGATCTAGTAGAACTTGGAGACGTGGTTGCAGACTTCATGCTGTTCTTGACGGTATTTTGACGGACACAGACTTAGAAGGATGTAGATGTGATGATGATGTCTTGGTTGCATCAGCGGATACACCTGAATGTCTAACGCCATGAGAAGCTTCAGACTGACGAGGTCTTCCAGGCCAAGACGCACCCTGATTGGATACAGACTTTGCATCCATTTCTGCCTCAACACGTTTCTTCCATGTATCAACCAAGCTCCTTGCCTTTTTCCCGATTTCGTGGTTCTTATGTGACCTCAAATGGTTAACAGACTTTCCAATATTACAGGTCTGAAGAGCATTGAGATTCACCGGAAGCTTGTCAAGAGCACGAAGTAAGATCAAGAGAAAATCGTCCACTGGTCTATCATTGTCTTTAGGACTGCTCGCATCCCCAATTTTCCCTTTATGAATTTCCTGAAGCCACTCATCAAAAACAGGTAATCCCCTGAGCTGGACAAAACGACTGAGGCAATCAAACTTATCTGTCGCCGCTACAACACTTGCAAGAACTGATCGTCCAGCCAAGTCTATTTTCTTCTCATTCCTCTCAGGCAGCATGAGCTGCACCAATCTCTCAACCCCTTCAGAATCCACCAGCCTGCCTTTCTCAGTAATTTTTGCAATCTCAGATTTCAAACTACTTTCTGTCCTTAGGAAACCAGAGCCACTATCATCAATCCGACGTTCCCGTTTCACAGATTCGGAACTCTGATCACCACGTTCCCTCTTCCTTCCCGTTTTCACTTGCGATGTCGTCGGACTATTCGTTGAACTAGGGGAACGACCACCCTGCTGTAATGTCGTATGCATCTCGGAATGAGTCTTACACAATAATCTATCTACTTCTTGTTGTCGTTCCTGCAGAAGGCAAGATAAAGGCTTTAACTTTAAAATAACCAAAGAAGGAATCTATTTAAACAGAAGAGGGTAATGATTATAATCTCACATCGATATAGTTTTGATCAGTGAGCCACCAGATACAGTCGTTCATAACATCATAAACTCGCCAGCACACGAATGAAGAGATCTCTGACGGCAGTTCAACGCCTCTTGGAAGAAAGGTAACTTTACACGGGTGCAGTAAGGATGCAGCCGGAATCTCATCCTCGTGAAAGGAATAAAAGATTTCGTTCGGCTGAGATTCCAAAAGGATGCCTTTGCCAAGTTTTAGCTCTGCAGGACGATACAGCCAATTCACACGCAGCTTTAACTTGCCTTCTTTATCAGGAATGACCAAACGAATCAAACCAATAAACGGAGGACAATCCTGAGGTGGTTTAAAGAGTGCACAGTCACCAACACTAATCCTGCGTCCGTCCTACAGAAAATATCAGCCAAAGAAGAAACCAAATTAGAAGAGAAAGCGCTCATTTCCATGAATTCGAGAATCGAAAAACGAATCAAGCTAGAAACAGGTTTAAAGAGCACTCATTTCCAGGGAAAATAACCCAAATCAGACGAATTGAATTGAATTGGAGTGGATTGGATTGAATTGAAATAACGTTTCAGGCAAAAAAAAAATCGATTGAATTGGAGACAGTAACCCAACAAACGCAGATAAAAGAGAATCGAATCGAAGCGAAACGAAGGGAATTTACCTTAGAGAAGGAAGTAGGAGAAGAAAGAGAGAGAGACGAAGAACCAACAGCCTCAGCGCTCACAATTACACGCGAAGGAGCTCTAAACATATGCCGACGACGATGACCTTTGCTCCTCTCTTCACAAACCCTCCCATGCATAGCCTGCTTTCATTTTCCCCTTTGAACAACATCAACACACAACCCTCCTCTCAAAAAAACCTTCAGAATTCCTTCGCCATCAAAATCCTCCCTTTACGAGAAAACCCTAATTCCGCGACGAAATACGCTGAAATCAATCCCCCCTTTCTAAGATTCCTAGGGTTTTGAATACCCCGATCCAACCAAACCGCGAAGATCCGATAACAAGAAGAACGAAATATCCGTAGAGAGCGAGACCAAACACAAATCGATTTTTCGATCCAGGAAGAGAGTTTTATTTTTATGAAAAGAAAAAAAAAACGAAAAAGAGAGAGAGAGAGAAGCGGGGCAAAAGGGGAAACTTCTTCGGAAGGAGTCGGGCAGATTGGGCAGGACTTTCGGGCAGCATTTTATTTATTTGGTTTATTTCAGGTGACATATTTAAGAGCAGATTTTGGGTGGAAATGACGGGTGGTTTTTAAGTTTGGCCCTTTCCCCTGTTATTAGCTCTTTTTGCTTTGACTCTCTTTTATTGTTCCCTTCGCTTTCCTTTTTCTAACTTAAAACAAACAAACAAAAATCGTGACTCTAGGTGTTTAAAATTTCAGTTTAGTTTGAGTTGGATTTTTTAAATTATTATTGAATTTAGCTAAAATAGCAATCCAAGTCTCGTGTACTCTCGGATTATCAGAAGTGTCGCTTTTTTTCTTCTAAGTTTGGAAAACTGATCAAAATTCTGGATTAATCAGGTTTCATTCGATTGATTTCGGTTCGTATGCTATGCCCTGCCCTACACTAGACAACATTGTATATGATAATAATAATATAGAAATGTGATTCGCTTGTCGTTACATTGTCCAGTGTCAAATCACTGTCTTTCAAGTACAACTGACCAAACATTGTCTCTCTTGACCCATAAATTCACTTTTTACGTAAGACTATCACAGTAGTCAGATGCAATTTGAGTCGCTTCCAGTGACATTGTTTTCTTCACTCATCGATTACTCCTCAACATATTCTTTTACGAAACTGGACCATAATATATGCACTGCTCAGAGCCTCAGACCATCTCATGATTTTGTGACACCATTGTCCAAAGATTTCCAGCTTCAACCTGACACAAAAGAAGGAGATCACTAGTTTTTAAGATATTATGGTTCTTTAAGAACCCATTATTATCCATAACATAGTCCAAACATAATAACGGATGTCCTGCATCTTAAGCACTGCTTTTGGGACTTATTTAATTAACTTGCTTCTGAAGGTTGAGCAAGTCAAGGTGTTTTACATAATAAGCTCGTTTTCTCAATTATTGCTTAGCAGTAGTTTTAACTAATTGTCTCCTTGTTTTTAGTTTGTTTCTATTTTGGGTAAATAAACTATTTTTACAAGTTTTGCGGTTAATTCAAGAAGTTCTTGTTTTGAATGAACATCAACTATTCTCCATATTACATACCTGAGAATCAGTGGCGAATCTACGACCAAGGACACGGTGTCAATTGACACCGTTTAAATTCTATAAAAGGTTAAAATGTATGTGAATTCCCATAAAATTGGTATAACATGCCTTATGAACCCGTAAAGCTTGGGTTCGAACCATACCATGACCCCATATAACATATTTTTATATTTTAATTTATATATTGACCCCAGTTTAGTTAAATCCTGCATTCGCCACTGCTGAGAATTATGATAAACTCTGGATTATTGTTCGTGGATCAACTATCCGAAATGGAAAAACATGAACAATCAAGTGGGCATCGTTTTCACTTTGTTTTTCGGGTTTTCGTTCAGAATCTAAACAAATTCCTGTTATAAGAACCGAACCAGCAGATTCAAATGCTAAGATTCGATAGAGAGTAGGAGATACCTGGCACGGAGCGACAATTCAAAAACCGGAGTAAGCGACGAACTCAATGGAAGATGCTCCGGCGAGAATCTGGACCAGCCCCCAAAAAACAGTCAAAGGCCAAAACGCAGAGTTTTCATCTGAACATCATTGAACGAATTTAGTGGGCACAAGAGCCGTTCAGAGCCTAATTGGGCCTAATTAGGCCCAAATTTAAAGTACCTTTTTCAGATTTTTCTTTTGGTTGTTCCTTTTCGAAAAGGACCTTTTATGTTAAGCATATTTTTTTGGGAAACTTGAAAGATAACTACAGTATGCGACACTTGCACATCACGTCAGAAACTGAAAAATATATATTCGAGTTGGTGAGATCGGAGTTATACAATACAACCTTTTTTTGATTGGTATAGGGAACAGAGAAAGACAGGACCAGGCTGGGCTCGTAGATCTAAACCAACCATGACCCAACCTTTCTTTTTGCTCCTCAAATTTGCCATTCCTCCTTATTACGATTACTTGACTACACTGTACAGTATACACACATTACTCTATTCAAATTCATTTGTAAAAGAGAGTTGTTTAACTAGTTTAATTTTATATATTTAATAACCATTTTTATGAATTACAGTGTAAGATAGGAAAGGATGTGCTTACATACTATGCTGTTGAAAATTTGGTTGTTATCAATCAAGTCCGAATTGTGTTGTTAGCCATTAATTTGGATTTTAATTTAAATCTTAAAAATGTGTGGGGGAAAAGTAGAGAAAGGGAACATGAGAGAGATGTGTGTATTGTGTAATTCCCAAAGGTACGCCACAAAGCTTCTTCTCTCCCCCCATCCCATGTGCTCCACAGTCCCCACTTTTTCTTCCTTTTTTCTATTTCATCCATATTTTTTTGTCGGCTTTTTAATTTCTTTATAACACTTTTACTTTTTTAACTCTGTGTCACACTTTCTAGGCCGGTTTTGACTGGGTTCACACTTACAATAATCACTCAATAATACTCCCAACTCGTCGGACTACAACACTGTAGTAATGGACATTGTGTTAGAGCAACAAAAAAATTGGGACGAAACCAATTAAACCATAACTGACAATTTAAAGACAGATCGTAATAATAATACAAACAAATAAGAATATTGTGTCGATATCAACTTGACAGCAACTTGCGAGTCTCCAATCTCAATGATTATGAGGTCATCCTCCATACTTTTATACAATGCAAGGAAAACTCGATCTTACAAATAATTATTGGCTCGAACACTCGATTCTCTAATTAGTGGTTTAATTACTACTACTATCATAGTGTTTCAGGCCATGTTCCCGATCACGTGCAGAATTCCTTCAACAATTTAGCTAGCTGACCATCAAAGTATATATTACGAACGTTTCGGGTATTAAAATAATAACTATATTAACGTGACTGGCGTGAATTGAATAACCTATGCACATCTCACCTCAGCGTTGTGTTCACCTTAAAGGCGCATGGATAACGTGTGAAGACCTCAATATAAATCTGAAGAGATCCATTCAACGAAACATGCATGAGATTTTGAATCATTTATTTTTATAGTTTTAATTTGAATATTTATCTTTTGGGTAGAAACAGGCAACTGTGATGCAATAGTTGCAATATTAGCCATGCATTGATGCATAATGTGAAATGTATCCTTTATCAGAAAAAAAAATGTGAAATGTATCAGTTTACACATGCTAGACTGTTTATATTAGTGGTTTTCCGTTCATATATAGTAGTAGTATTTTTTTCTGAAGAAAGATTTATAAAATATGAAAATTGTCGGCAAGAGATAGATGAGGTGAAATAATTAGGTCACAAACAGTTATGCTAGTTATTACCATTTACGAAATTGAAAACGATGCATCACTGGCTTTGACAAAGACTATAGAATCAAAATTGGATTAACACATTCCCTCTTTAAATAGTAACTTCGTTTAGCTTGATTGAAAAATAAGCTGTATATTAAAACCAAAAAACACAAAACAAGTTGTATTCAAAAAGTTTGTTACCGAAATTAAAATCTGAGTCCCATCGGCCAATGGAATGGAATATATACGAATGCGATGTCCCACTAAATTCGATTACAAATATTTTTGTAAATTTAAAAGTGTCTTTATAATTGTTTTGTTGGATTTTTATATGTATTAGATCACGGGATTACAAGAAAAAGGTAAACGTGACATTCTCTTCTTTTTTTTTCTTTTTTTTTTCTGTGTTGCTCGTTATCTCTAGTTTTATGCTTAAGTATACAATTTGGACAATACGACTAAGATTCTCCAGTCGATTTTATAGTATTCTTAATATAAAATTCCAAAGATATGGATAACTTCAAGTGATGCCTATTTTATCATGTCAAATATCTTAAAACATCACCACTAATCACTATTCACTTACACTGGTGATTGAGAAGAAGTCCCAAGCTTACCGTATTTGAGACATCGTATGATACAGATACTAAAGTTATTTGTTTTCTTACCGTAACCAACCCGACACTTAGAAATAGTGATGCAAGAATAATTATTTGGCAAATTTCAACGACGGGATAATTACAAGTTTTAACTATTTTACACTTTCTTTAAGCATGTAGATATAAAAAAGGTTAAAACTTTAACAACTTTACTTATTAGTAAGAAAAAGACAACGACTTTTGCAAAAAATGCACACTTTAAAGAAGAAAAGATTCCTCTCGTCTCTTCCTTTGTTCACATCCCTTTCATCTTTCTCCATCTTGTTGTCTCTCTATTAACTAATCAATTTATTACTCCCTCTCAATTCTTTCAAAACTATATAATATAAATATTATCGATATAAATCACAATTCAGACGGCGCAGTTTTCAGCACCGCTCTCTCTAATTGATTCATTGTTTCTGTTCAAAATCCATAAAATTAAATAAAACGATCTAAGACCTTAAAATAGTGTTAATTTTTTTTTTAAATAGTGTTAATTACTACTAAGAGTATCTACACTAGAGTGTCTTCTAATAACTCATTTCCAAATCAAGAATAAATGTCATCAGATCATTAACTGCGTTAAAAGATACAAACTACAAAGATGATTAATTGCTAACAACAATACATGTCACATTGCATGAATCATTAAACATTTGACTCCAAAATTTAAATTTATAATTTGTTTTCACCTCGAGTTTTACAGGAAATTAATAAAGCTGCTTTTTCTCTCCCTCTCTCTATGTGTGTCTGTGTATGTGTGGCTTTACCTTTTGTACCTAAACCTCACACACTCTCTCTCTCTCTCTCTCTCTCTCCATCGCTCCTCGTTTACTCGTTTTCCTCTCCTTTTCTTCGTCTTCTTCCCCTTTCCTCGCAGAAGCTGCCACTGATGTGAGTTATCAACGCTCTTTCTCTCCGATTTGTCACTGATTTGTGCTTCGCTTACACATTGCAGCTCTTTTTTTCCGGTAGATTCCCCGATCTGGGGCCTTTTTTTGTTCCTCCGCATTCACTATTCATACTGGTTTTTGCTCTTTGGTTGCAGAGAGAGACAGAGATAAACAATCATGGCGGGTGGTGGAGCTCCAGCACCCAAGGCGGATGAGCCTCAACCACATCCTCCTAAGGATCAGCTTCCAAACATCTCCTACTGCATCACTAGCCCCCCTCCGTGGCGTGAGTTTCTCTATCTTATCGTCTCCTTTCTTCTCTCTGTTTATTCTTTCCTCGTCATCTAGATTCGAAGCTGATAGCTCTTTTGATTGCTACTTGAGTGATTTTTGGCTTTATCTGTCGGTGTCTCCGTAAATCTTAGGTTTTCGATTTTTTAACTTGATTCGGCTTAGTTCTTATGAACGATTTGTCGACTATGTTTCCTTTTTAGACGAACTTGATTTTTGGTAAGATTTGATTTTCCCAGTTTGCTTCATTGTTTTTGCCTAATTTGTGGTCTCTTTGGTGATATTCTCGTGAAATGTCCATAAGACTAACTTGTGTGGACATGATTGCTATTTCAGCTGAAGCGATTCTTCTGGGATTTCAGCATTACCTCGTCATGCTCGGCACAACTGTGCTCATACCCACTGCGCTTGTTCCTCAGATGGGAGGTGGTTATGTGAGTGCCTCAAAGAGTTTTAACTTGTAATACAGAGGAAGGAAGACGAAGAAAATGGCATGATTTTGATTTTTCTGTGATGTGATTTCAGGAAGAGAAGGCAAAGGTTATCCAAACGATTCTCTTCGTTGCCGGAATCAACACATTGCTTCAAACGCTTTTCGGGACTAGATTGCCTGCTGTGATTGGAGCATCCTACACATTTGTGCCAACAACGATATCCATTATCCTCTCTGGCAGATTCAGTGATACCTCAAACCCTATAGATGTATGATGATGCCTTTCCTGCTTCTTATATGACACTTTCTTGGTGCTATTGTAGCAACAAATAACCGTGTTTGAATTGCTTTGTTTCAGCGCTTTGAAAGGATAATGCGAGCAACTCAAGGCGCCTTGATTGTTGCTTCAACACTACAGATGATCCTCGGTTTCAGTGGCCTCTGGCGTAATGTTGTTAGGTTAGTCTGGAAGAGGAGATAGATAGTCTCAAACATTCGTTTTCCTTGCAAACTATTAGATCATTCCAAACGTTCTGAAGTTTTATTTCATTTTCAGGTTCTTAAGTCCTATTTCAGCTGTACCTCTTGTGGGTCTCGTTGGATTTGGACTGTACGAGTTTGGTTTCCCAGGGGTAAGTCTACGCTAAATGCACTGAAACACGAAATAAGGAGCACTTATGAGCAGACCAAAAGCTCTTCTTTCCTTCAGTTGTTAATTTGCCTTTTACATTTCAGGTTGCTAAGTGCATTGAGATTGGGCTGCCTGAGCTTCTTATTCTAGTATTCGTCTCACAGGTAGTCTTTTAACTTACTAACAACAATGAATCTGTCTAACTCCCAAGATCACCTTTATATCTTTTTTCTTATGGTCTCCTGATTTCATGTGTTTATGTTTCCTGTTGCAGTACCTTCCTCATGTGATCAAATCAGGCAAAAATGTGTTTGACCGATTTGCAGTCATCTTCGCTGTTGTGATTGTGTGGATCTATGCACATCTGCTGACAGTAGGTGGTGCCTACAATGGTGCAGCACCAACAACACAGACAAGCTGCCGGACTGATCGTGCTGGCATCATTGGTGCTGCCCCATGGTAAGTAATTTTAACTCAGCTGTAAAGGACTCTTAAGAAACAGAGTATCAAAAGATGAAAACTGGGATCTTACTGCGTTTGTTGCCATTTTTTTGTTTCAGGATAAGAGTTCCATGGCCTTTTCAGTGGGGTGCCCCTTCGTTTGATGCTGGAGAAGCTTTTGCAATGATGATGGCTTCTTTTGTTGCTCTTGTTGAGGTATGTGACTATATTCTTCACATCTTTTGTGTATGTCTCGAAATGAAGTGATCATGTTCTGTTATTCTGATTTACTCATCTTCTTCTTTCTTGTTTCTTTTGTGTTTGGCTGATCATTAAAGTCAACCGGTGGTTTTATCGCTGTCTCCAGATACGCCAGTGCAACGATGTTGCCTCCTTCGATTCTCAGCCGTGGTATCGGCTGGCAGGTACATTGGCCACACTTGAGATTATAATGTTGCTGAATACATAGTGAATGAGTTTCTGAACTAGTTATGTTTCGTTTTTGTGGATCAGGGAGTCTCAATTCTGATATCGGGGTTGTTTGGTACTGGTGCCGGTTCCTCTGTCTCTATGTAAGCATCTCTGAGATGATACATGTTCTGATTTGATTATTTTCTCAGGATATTTCCGTATTAAAGCTGGTTTATTCTGTGGTTCTTGCAGCGAAAATGCTGGACTTTTAGCCTTGACAAGAGTTGGTAGTCGAAGGGTTGTCCAGATAGCTGCAGGATTCATGATCTTCTTCTCTATCCTCGGTAAGTTTTAAGATCAAATCTCTCTCAACTGATAAAACACAAAAAGCCTTTGTTTGAAACTTTACCTGTACTGATCGATGATCCATGATGCTAATGCAGGCAAGTTTGGAGCTGTGTTTGCGTCGATCCCTGCACCCATAATTGCTGCTTTGTACTGTCTCTTCTTCGCCTACGTAGGAGCTGGAGGTTTGAGCTTTCTACAGTTCTGCAACCTGAACAGCTTCAGGACTAAATTCATCCTTGGCTTCTCTGTGTTCCTCGGCTTGTCTATCCCTCAGTACTTCAATGAGTACACAGCAATCAAAGGGTATGGTCCGGTCCACACAGGCGCTCGTTGGGTATGTAGTAACTACACTAACCAACTCTTTTTTGCTTTTGATTCTTTCTTCTCTTCCTGAGCTTATGAAACTCTGAATTCTCTGAAACATTTGGCAGTTCAACGATATGGTGAATGTCCCGTTCTCGTCGGAACCTTTTGTTGCTGGCTCCGTGGCCTTCTTCTTGGACAACACATTGCACAAGAAAGACTCTTCGATAAGGAAAGACAGAGGAAAGCATTGGTGGGACAAGTTCAGATCTTTCAAAGGTGACACGAGAAGTGAAGAATTCTACTCTCTTCCTTTCAATCTCAACAAGTACTTCCCATCTGTCTGAAAAGGGAAGAGCAGAGAAGAGCTGAGAGATTTACCATAAATGGTGGAAACTCGGAGTTTCGCCATTGTTGACTTGAGTTTGAGTCTTGGTTCTTTTGTTCTGTTCCTTTCACAACTTTGGATGACTTGAGATATCTCTCACATTCTATAGTCTTATTTACAAGAATGATCATGAATCTTAAGAGTTAAGACCCATTCTTGTTTACTCTCTCTCTAATGCTTTTGTCTTTGTAAATCCAAGGGAACACAACTCTGTGATTTTGATTAGTCTCTAAACAAGTTTTTTACTTTTTTAGTTTGATTTTGCTTTTGATCCCTTTCTTACTCAAAACTTTAAAGTCTGACTCTTGATGTCAAAGGTTAACTTAGATTGAATGATTATTATGTTTAAGTTTTTAAAAATTGGCCAACATTCTATGAGTAGAATTTGTTTGAAGTTGAATCAAGTTATAAAATACTACTATTTATTGAAAATCACTTAAGAAGACAAACAAAAAGACTAAAAATTGAGTTTTATCTAACACTGTTGAGTGTTGGCACTTAAAGATCTAAAAAAAATTTATATTGATAAAATTATAGAAACTTTTTTTATATAACAAGTGATTGTTTTATTCGTCTAAACAACTTTTCTTTACTCAGTTGGTTGGTCATATGACTCGTATACGAGAGAGTGGCCTTTCACTAATGCGTGAGGTTTTTGGTCTCTGTTCAATAAAATATGTAGAGACTAGAGAGGCATTAAGGCAACTTTCGTATGTTATCTTAATTAATGGACAATCAAAAGCTAAGATCGATTTGTTTTGTAAGGCTGATAGATTAGTTACGTAGTTAATTAAACATTCTCAGTAATTAACGCTTAATACGACACCGGCTTTCAGGAGATCGAGATAAAGTGTGCAGTAAGCATGTGAATAGGGTTGATTGCACGAGGGAATATTATTACTTCATTTTTGGTTGCCATCATTGCTAACAAAATAAAAATTTATAAAGTTGCTTTGTGTAGTTGACATAACCAAATTTTCTTTATTATCTTCGAATTTAGATTGTTAAACTTTATATAAATAGTGGCTAATATTTACGGTTATGAAATCGTAATTAATATAGTCGTATTACAGTTTTGAACTCAAGCTAAATGATAAGTAGCACATACAAGAATTAAAATGGTTGATAGATTCGTAGTATTTAAGCTCAAAGATGATTAATTAAAGGGAAGTTCAACGAGAATCTACTTTCCCTGAAAGATTCCAGCCAAGCAAGCACTTGGCTCTGTACGGACAGTCCAAAACATAACCAAATAATGAATTGAGTAATTACGAAGATTATTCCATCTGTTTATTTCTATTATTATAACAAAAATAAAAAATTTAGCTCTATTACTTCACTCTTAACCTCTTTTTTTTTTTATTGTATTAATATATTTCTTGTTAAAAGGTTAAATTTATTGACCAACAAAAATGAATGTTTGCAAAATGAAAAATAAAATGGCATCGAATCGAATAATCCATTTATTATAATTAGTAGTTGACAAAATGGAAAAATGAGTATGAAAACTTATATTAGTAGTATTATTTAAAACATGCTAATTTGGTGATCAAGAATATTAAAATGGTGGAGTATATATAAGCAAGAAGCTATGCTATTAATAAAGAGCGCCACCTACGTTTTACTCATCTCTCCTACTTTTCTCCGCCGTGAAATGGGGAACTGTCAGGCGGCTGAGACAGCAACGACGGTGGTACAACTACCAGACGGCAAGTCAGAAAGATTCTACTGTACAATAAGTGCTAACGAGGTGATTAAGACTCATCCTGGCCACCACGTAGCACTCCTCCTCTCTTCCTCCGTACCTAACGGCGGATCTCTCCGCGTCACTCGAATCAAACTCCTCCGTCCTTCCGATAATCTCTTGCTCGGCCATGTCTATAGGCTCATCTCTTCAGAAGGTACTCTCCCTCCTAAACCTAATTTTTAGGGGTTTGTTTCTTCATCTTCACTTTTGATTATGATCATCATAGTTGAAGTGTGTGAGGTTTATTATTTGTAGGGTTCTCATCAAATTTATTTGTTCTGCTTCACTTTTGACTATGATCATCATCATAGATGAAGTCTTGCTGAAGTAATTATTTGTTGTGTGTTTTTATATAATTATAGAGGTGATGAGAGGATTAAGAGCCAAGAAATCTGAAAAGATGAAGAAGATCCATGGAGAATTTTCTGCTGCAGAAGAGGAGATTAACCCACTAACCCTAAGATCTGAATCTGCTTCTGACAATGACACTCAGGTATATATTCTACATAAATAGCACCATTTCTCTTATGATATTTCAGTTTTAGTTCTTTGATTAAAACAATTTCTAGTAAGTTGCTAGAAAGAATATGAATTGTAAGACATTTTGGAATTGGTTAATGAAAATATATTTGATTAGATTAATGTTTGATTAACAGAAAAAGATGCATGAAAAGGAGAGAGGGGTGAACACAGGAGCTACAAACAAAGTTAGAGCTTGGCAGCCTTCTCTTCAAAGCATTTCAGAATCTACAAGCTAAAACTTCTGTTCAGTTTTTTTTTTTTTTTTTTTTAATTTGTGCTACGACTTTTGACTTTTTGATCATTTGATTTCTCTTTGTATGGTTGTTTTTCCCAATCAAATTGTAAAGGAAGAAAAGAAAACCCATTTGATTGTGGTAGAAGAAGCTCTTGTTAATTTTTTTAACTTAATAATAACCGAAGAAGATCCAAAGGATTAATTTTCATTTCTTGATTTCATATGGACACTATCTGATTTTTCTTCACATTTGTTTACACAAAAAGCACTTCATTCACTTGCTAAATTCAGCGTATGATAATTTATCAATTTGACCACTGTTACATATGTTTATCATTCTAATAATGTTTGACTAATCATGCAACTTACCTATCAGTCACTATTGATATGCCATAATACACACACATGATAGAAAATCAACCAAAACATGTAGTAGGCAACTAATTGTATGAAAAGAATTCTTCATCACACATCAAATATTTTGTATGAAAGAAGAAAGAATCGCAAGAGAGCTTTACACTAACAAGTTTCACAAGTTTGCAATTGTGTGTAGGCAACTCCAAGAGATCTTCTTTACCAAAAGGCAAGGTAATATTGTTTCCATATATAGCCTCTACTAAATACGACATCGTTTACCCCCGCACGTGCGCACCCACCGACTTACAACAAGAGCCCACACGTACGAGCGTCTGTTAATGTCAATACGAGGGTTAAGTCGGTCAAATTTAATCTAGAAGAAATTTCTGAGAGGAGAAGAGGAGTTTCCGTTATCCCTTTATATTATCTCTCACTTTCTTTGATTTTTGTTAAATTACCCAAACCGAAAAAAATAAAAATAAAAAATATCTCTCTCTCTCTCTCTCTCTCTCACGTTTCTATTCTCTCTCGAGTCTCAAGCGTCAAATCTGATTAGGGTTTTTGAGAATCTTCTTCAATCTTGATTCTCAATCCTTCAATTTCTTCTCTCCCTCACTGTGTTTTCGCTTGTTCGGATCATCCGCGAACCATGATTACAGATTCGATCACCAACGCCTCTGCTACTGCAGCTCCTGGCGCGAGGGATTCCGGGAAAAAGAAGAGGGTAAGTTTTCTCTTCGAAATCTCTGAAATTGATCAACTTTCCGTTCCTCTCCTTGATTAAATTGAGTTTCTTTGGTTATTTTATCGCATTGTGTTCGCAGAACCATAAGTCGGCGAAGATTAAGCAGAACAAGCTCGGTCTCCGCCGTGAGCAATGGCTTTCTCAAGGTAACAATCATCATCTTTCTCGTTATTTGTGTGTGTGGGTCTACTTTGGATTGATTGATTGATTCTGGTGTTTGATTTCAAACAATTAGCTTCGGTGATCAATAAGGGATGTAAAGAGGAGGCAAGTGCCAATCGCAGTGAGAAATCTGATCAGAGAGAGAATTTAGATGGGGTGCGTAGAGAAGAGGATAGTAGTAGCGGTGGGAATGTTCATCATCACCAGAGCTTTATGGAGTCGCCTTCTAATAGCTCAATGGGATGCACAGATATTAGCACTAATTTCAGTGGGAGAAGCAGCAGGAGTAGTAGTAGTAGCAGTGGCTTTTGCTCTGGTAACATAACAGAGGAGGAGAATCTAGATGACGATGACGATGATGATTGTGCGGATGATTGGGAGGCTGTTGCTGATGCATTAGCTGCTGAGGAAGAGAAGTCTGTCAAGGAGGAGCAAGAGAGTGTTGCACAGTCAGCTTCTAATGTGGTCAGTGATGCAAATCAGGATTGCTTGAGAGTGTCATCGAGGAAGCAGGAGAGCAATCGAGCTTGGAGGCCAGACGATGACCATCGTCCTCAGGGGTTACCTAATCTGGCGAAGCAGCTTAGTTTCCCGGAGCTGGATAAGCGTTTTAGCTCTGTGGCGATTCCTTCTTCGTGTCCTATCTGCTATGAAGACTTGGACATGACGGATTCGAGTTTCCTTCCATGTCCTTGCGGATTCAGGCTGTGTCTCTTCTGCCACAAGACGATCTGCGATGGAGATGGGCGTTGTCCAGGCTGCAGGAAACCGTATGACCGGAATATGTACAAGGCTGAGACTAGTATTGAAGCTGGTGGCTTTACAATTCGTCTGGCTCGTTCGTCTAGCATGTTTTGCAGGTTTTAAAGAAGAGAGAGAGGTTTGGTTTTCGCAAACCTCTGTGTTGTTTGTTTGGTTTCTTCTCTGTTTTTCCTTCGCAGCATTTTGCCATTAGACTCTCTCTGGTTCTCTGTAGCTTTAGATAATGTGGGTAATAGTGTTGTCTTATGGCACTCGAGAACTTGAGCTTTGTGTTTCTCTATGTCATCGATGCTTCTGAAAGTATGAAACATTGTGGTGATGGTGATGATGATGTAGAGTGTGGTGTGTGAATACATAAAAGGTGGTACAGAAAAATTCAAATATATAAACAAATAGTTTCAATAATATGCTATTTTTCTCTTTTCAAATGCCATTTCTTTGACATTTTTATTTGTTTGGTTGCATTTATTGTTGCTTTGGTTACAATCATAGGAGATGATGTTTTATTCACATAAAACCAGCTTACAATCTCTTGTAAGGAGAAAAAAAGCTATATTATCTCTAATGAATGATATAATATAATAGGTTTGTATATAATCTCTACAATTTACATTTACTAGCATGTGAATAAATCCTAACGGCTGGAAAATTGGATAGGTGATTAATTAAGCTGAACTTAGAGTGTTTAAGCTTCTGTGTAGAAAAGCTAGATCATGTCACGGAATTTGCGTCTGAAAGATCAGATCTTTGCGCGTTTGAGCTGCGAGCGAGGAGATGAATCCAAAGAGTAGGCATGCTCTGTTTCTAGCTCTCTCTTCTTTGTGAAAGACAAATCTGCAACTTTCATTAGAGAATCTCTTAATCTTGTTACATCCGAGAGTTTCACCGGCTTCAGTAAGAAATCTTCAGCTCCTTCTTCAAGACATCTGAATAAATACAAGAAAAACAAAATCCAAATTTAGTAAACTTCGATTTCGATTTAAGATCATCAAGTTAAGTTTCTGTGCACATATGCTATTGTTGTGTATGTAGCAAACAACCATAAGATGGCCAGGTCATGAATTGAGTTGTAGCCAGACAAAAACATATTCGTTTTTATTTAGTTTGGTCCTAATAAGCAAAGTGAAAAAAGCATGTGGAGGTGGCTTTCACGATACCCTACACTACCAAAAGATTAGGCAAGCAAAGATTATTTTATTGCAACATATCACAATCACCAGAAACAGAATCAAATCCCTCAAAGTAAAAGATTTTGCTGGTTAGAAACATCTTTATTCACAAAATCATCTTGGGACCCAGCTTAAGATCACCAAATCTCTCAACTTTTATTAATTATGCAGTCACCACCCAATATTACCCACTGATGATGGTTTGAAAATAAATCAAATAATAATTAGACTACTGTTGTTGATCCAAGTCCAAACCAAACTATTCTAATATATTCATCAAATTTACTACTATAGTTTTCTTTATTGACTAAAGAGTAAAGATACATGCAGATTAAGATCATACCTATCAATACGAGGCAAAATGTTCTCAGAGGACATAACCACCACCGGTATATCTCTGAAAGCTGATGATTCCTGTGGGAAACAAAAACAGATTTAGATAAGCATAACGTTTGGATTTAACTCACAACTAATTGAAATCAATTCATATGAAAATAGGTAATTAATCTAATGCTTACTTTGATCTTCTTCAAGAGTTCATATCCAGTCATACCGGGCATGGAGTAATCCGTCATAATTAAATTAACTTTCAAATCCTGAAAAATAGACAAAGCAAACCTCATCATTAACAATTTGCGTAAGAGCTAAATCAAACTAATCAAAATTCTTTTATATGATTCTGTACCTCTAAACCGACGGATTTCTTCTCAACATCCAATCCAAGATATTGAAGAGCTCTTGTCGCACTATCAACAACAGTAACTGAAAAACACAAAACATTCAAAATGAGGTTTTTATTACTCAGATATAGAAACGCTTTGGTTGTTAAAGCAGTTTATATAGTTACCTTTGCAGGAAGAGACTCTGAGCAAACGTTCTATGAATTTCCGATCGACATGACTGTCGTCGACGGCGAGAACATGAAGAAGATGCGCCGATCCGAACTTGGAAGGACCGTTGGCGATCTCCATCTTCCTCGGCAGCAAAACCTCAGCCATTTGGATCGAAGATGAAGAATGAGATTGAAAAGGAGAGAGAGAGAGATGTTCTAATCAAAGTCAGATGATCTGGAAGGAAAATGAAAGGAAGATATGATGTGGAACAATGGACGTTGAGAGAAATATATAAGTAGAAAGGAAAGAAAAAAAAGAGGGAACATATGAAATCGAGAGATTTTGCAAATCTTTGAGATTTTGTCAACTTGCTTTCAAAATCTTTTTTTATTTTAAAAGAATAGATCGTTCGTTGGATAACCGATGATACAATCAAACCGATCGGTTTTTTAAACGGAGAACAAACCAGAAAAAGACCAAAAGGCTCATCCGTGCGAAGATTTATTGATTTAACTGACCCAACCGATATTGTTCCATCCGGTTCAGTAAATCTTTAGCCGGGTGAATAAAAAATTCCTACGTATCTAAATTGTCAGGTTATATTATATCCTAACCGGTTAATTTAAAGGAAATTAATCAGGAAGTAAAATCTCGTGATCGAATTTTGTCCCCTTTGTGATGTAGCGAAGCAGACATTGTTATATTTGACATGATCATACATACTTTACAGATGTACTAAACTTTAGGCTAAAACGATTCGACTGTTTTGTTCCTGAAAATATCATATATTATAACCATAACAGAAAAACCCACAACATGACCCACTATCATAGGCTTTATATAACCTATGGTGTGATAAAAGAAGAAGCCTTAGCTTGTATATAAAGCCTTGTCCAATATAAACAAAATATTGTCGCTAGACAGAGAGCGCCACATAAAAAAATTAATACCAATCGAAGCATAGTGATTAGTGAGACACAAGAAGTCTTTGTAGCCGGCAAAAACAGCGGCTGCAGCATCGTACACGATCCAAAACAAAGAAATAAGAAATCAAACGTGGATTTGGATGGTCTTATAAGCAACGATCTTGGAAAGCTTTTGATGGGTTTTGACCGTCGATCTGCGAATGATGAGGGAAATCAAACGGCATTTCTTCAGGAGTGAGCCAAGCTTCTCTAAACACTCTCGAGACTTGTTCATATACTACTCCATTGCCTTCTGGCGTTAGATGCAGTCCATCACTGCTCACAGCCAAACATTATAATGAGTGTTTTTGGCGAGCCAATAGCATTACTTGGAATTGGATTTAGATACGCATACGCACCTTAGGTACTTTTTCTGCCAATCATCGGTTTCCTGCATTTTGGACCAGAGGTTGACACATCGCAGACCGAGCTCCTCAGCTAATGCAACACAATGTTGTGCATAGACTCCTGTGGCTTCGTTTGTTCTCTCAGGCTCTTTCATAGCTTTGTCACCATAGATTGATCTGATTGTACCACAATCATTGACTCAGTTTCCAGGAGATGTTTTGGACTTATATCATCAAAAAACTAAAAAAAGAAGGGAACCTACTCTGCATAACTTTGCCGTCCAGCTTCATCGATTGGTGGTGGAGTTACAAGCACAATCAGCATGGTAGGTGAACATTTCTGCAAACAGAGTCATTAGCCACACAATCAGAATAGCAAACGTTGCTAATAAATTGAAGAGAAAGACATATCCTGAGAAACCAATGTTGAGGACATAATTTAATGAAGAAACCTTTAAGTGCAGAACCATTTTTCTCATGTTATCTGTGTACTCTTCCACTGGCACATGCTGCCTATCACTCGTCCTTCCTTTGAGAGCTGCATCGTTTGCTCCAAAGAATATCGTCGTAGCAACTGGAGAAGCTGAAGAAGAGCCCTAATCAAAGGAAAAACACTGAGGTTTAGGCACCAAATTGAGAGGAATCCTCAACATTAGGTTGTTTCCTTGACAGAACACAGAGATATATACACTATTTTTACTAAGAGGAGTTGTCAAATCTCTTCTAAAGACAGGATAAGATAATTTTTATAAGGTACCATCTCAAATCCTAATACAGCATCTTTCATACTTGAATCACTACTTATATCAACGACAATGTCAGAAATCAACGCATCTGATTCAAAATGTTCAGAGCTGAATCTCGAATCAAAACCAAAAAAGAGACTCTTGTGAAATGTATCTCAAGGAACTGAGAACAATTTCAAGTAAGCCATGATTAAGGTCCAGAGGATTGCATTAGAGACAAAAAAACACAACATGTATCAGAATCACGAATCACAATCAAGCTTAATCTTAGTGTAGACAATGAAGTTCGTGAGTCGTAAATGACAATGTCAAAAATTAACGAATCTGATTCAAAATGTTCAGAGCTGGATCTCGAATCAAAGCCAGAAAAAGAGACTCTTGTGAAATGTATATGTGCAATTTCAAGTAACCCATGATTAAGGTCCAGAGGAATGCAGTAGAGGCATAAACACAACATGTATCAGATTCACGATCAAGCATAACCTTAGTGTAGACAATGAAGATGATGAACAAACTTAGCCCCCCTAACTACCGATTTCGACAAAAATAATATTGATTCGAGAGAGAAAAGAGAGAAATCTGACGAGAGGGAAAATGTGATGGAGCAAGAAGAGAGCCCATCTGGTGTTGTAGCCGCCATAGCCACGCACCACTACATCAGCTTTGCGAGAGTATGCGTCGGCAAGGGCAGATCCCCATCCGCCGGATTTGAACGACTGCGCCGTTATTGAATCGCCGAACAGAACTATCTGCGGCCTCATCTCCCCCACCGTCTCGGTTTTGGCCCGTTGACACACGACGGGAGCATGAAGTGGATTTAAGGGGCCGGGTCGGGTCGGGTCGAGTCGGGTCAGGTCGGGTCGGTTTTGTGATACCAACCAAATAAAACCTAATTTTTTTATTATTTTTTTTAACAGAATTGAGATCTCTAGATTCCGTACTGTATAAGTTACCAAAATTAAACCTTCTTTTCAAACCCTCACTGATCCAACTTTACGAAATTAACCGTTTCTTTGAAAACAACCCTCATAATCCAAAGATGAACGACTTCAAGAAACTCCAGGCGGTCTTATCTAACAAACTAACCGACGAGTACATCCCTCTCCTCCGGCGATCGCTATCCTCCGGCGTGCTCAAAACCGACGTCGACACCGTCCTTGATGGACTCGTTGCTCACTACGAAAGCGTGGATCATGCCGTCAACGGGAACACCATCGGCGATATTTATCCTTGCCTCTTCACCAATCTGGAGACTCCGTTTCTCCTCTTCGGCGATATCCACCCTTATCTCTTCACCAATCTCCTCCGATCTTTTATTGAACGCGATAATGAAGATTCCCATCAAGTTTCGATGGGACTGCATCTGAACGAAGCTGAAGAGTGGAAGGTGGTTTCTCCGTGGAAAGACTCTTCGGCGCGACTAATGGAAAGACTCGATATCCTCGAGTGCAGGACGAGGATGATGGTTCCTGCGTTTTTGGAGCAGATGCGAGCGGCACAAAGAGAGTACGTGGTTGCTCGAGTCTCAGAGATCTTCTCCAATCAAGGCAACAAGAAGGTTGCGCTTAACGAGTCTTTCACGCCGGAACAATTGGACGACTTTGTGCAGATTTTCTTGGCTGCGAATCGCCTAAGGAAGCGTGTTCTCCTTAGTTTAGTTGACTCGCTTACTTTGGATGAATCAGCTCGGTTTCTTGAAGCCGTATGCCACATTCTTGTTGGGTTTAAAGATCAGGTATTTTTGTTGATTCCGTTTTTTAATTGATGTGTTAGGTAACTTAGGTTTACGCAGGTTATATCAATTTTAATACTTTTGGAATTGAGCAGGTATATGGACTAACATACACTGAAGAAGGGAAACGAGACAATACGATTCTGGTATGCAACTTCATTTACGGAGTCATCGTCGTTCCACCGTTGATAAACTTGATTGGACGTATGAACAAGAGAGAGATGGAGACCACTGCCTTTACGTTTGCCGGGGCTGTCTATGGGGCACTAGTCGCTACGTTCGTGGCATCGATGGTTCAGAGAAGGGGACTACGGAGAGCTTTAAAAGATGCATTGTGGGGAGCACTTACGTTCGCTGTTGGGGGAGCAGTACCGTTGGTCTCGGGGATGCTGATTCCCAGCAGATCGTTGAAGACGGTGGTGACCGTTGTTCTCACGGGTGTATTGGTGAGTCTCGTGTTGAGTCGGGATTATAAATCCCGACCGGACCCAAAACAAATCACAAATACCGTAGTCTTGTTGTTGTTCACACTTGTTGCAATCGGCATTAGCGTTGCTTTTGCCGATACAATAAGTCGTTTGTGATAACTTTATAGGTTTTTATAGTTGAATGAGATTTTTAGGTTTTTATAGTTGATATTAGAGATGATGAGAGTGTATGATGGGAAGAAGTATTATTGACTCTCATGAAGAGAAGAAGGATCACGTTACATGACTATATACTAAAGAGATTTCCTAAACTAGATGGACACAAATATGTAAATATCTCTATATAATAAATATACAATATTTGACAATAATATTGATGATCTTCTAGATCCTACTATATGCCCCCTCAATCTCAAGGTGTTAATGGAGTGTAGCAAAATGGTAGCTTGAGATTGACTTGAATTGTAGTATTGACGCTCTTGAATACTTGTGAGGGATGGTGGATGGTGATATTGATGGACGTGAGAATAGAACACTGAACCTGCTTGATGCATGTTTGTTTGTTTTCTTTTTTTTGTTTTTTTTTTTAAATGAGATCTGAAATCAATGAGAAAAAAAAAAGGAAATGAGAAGAAGCGTAGATCCGCTTGGAAATTCAGCAAATGATTTTTTTTTTTTTTTTAAGATAAGAAGATGAAAGAAAATATGTATGGAGAAGTAGAAAGAGATACTGTAAAAGGAACAAATTTTTGTTTTTGTGTTTTTTTCTTAATAAAGAAACCTTAAGGTTTTAAGAAGCATATAGCTTGAGTTTAGAGAAGAGCAAGTCATTCTCATAGAAATTTGTGTGTGACACATACAGAAAATGATTGAGAAGTTCATGATGAACTTGAATTTAGAAGCATATAGCTTAAATCACAAAATAAAAAGAATGAAGAAGAAAGAAAGAATTTTGATTCAGAGGTTCATAATAGACTTGAATAAAGGAAGTAGTTGGCTTAGAAAAAAGTAAAGAAAAGAGAGTTTAATTGTTAGATCAAAACTCTTGAGCATAACCTGCTCTGATACCATATTAGAGATGATGAGAATGTATGATGGGAAGAAGCATTATTGACTCTCATGAAGAGAAGAAGGATCACGTTACATGACTATATACTAAATAGATTTCCTAAACTAGATGGACACAAATATGTAAATATCTTTATATAATAAATATACAATATTTGACAATAATATTGATGATCTTCTAGATCTTTCTATAGTTGAATGAGATTTTTATATGTTTTTAAAATTTCTGTTTTATAAGCAAAAAGGGACACAAAGCTCAACTTGGTCTAAGAAAATCAAGAACCTAATTATTTACAACATATATTTGTATACTAGGGGGTGAACCCTTAGTTTTATTATTTTTCTACAAATTTAATATTTTTTTTAGATATATTATACACATATTACTTAAATATAATTAAAGTTAGGCAAAAATTTTGTACCATTTTGTTTTATCTCGTCCCATTTTGTTCATTTTCATCATGTACGTTCTTTTCCGTCTCGTCCGTCCTGTATGTCCCGTCCTGTCCAGTCTCATCTTATTTCATTTTGTTATATCTCATTTCTTTCGTCTCCCTAAATATAATTAGAATTATGCATAATTCTGTTCAATTCTATTTCTTTTCATCTTGTCCCGTTCTTTTCCGTTCCGTTCGTTCTGTCTGTCCATCCAATCTCATTATATCCTATTATGTTCTTTTCCATTTTATCTTGTTCATGTCTTGTCTCTAAATATAATTATGGTTAGGCAAAATTCATGTTCCGTCCCTTTCCATCCCATTATGTCCATTTTCATCTCGTCCCATCCAATTTCGCCACATTCGATTTCTTTTCATTATATCCTGTTCAACCTTTATGTCTTGTCTTCTCTCATCATGTTTTTTTTTGTTTGTTCTGTTCCGCCCTAAATATATTTAGAGGTAGGCGGAATTTATGACTTGTCTTATCCCGCTCTTTTCTCTTCCTTTAGATCTCGTCTCGTCACTTAATATAATACTCTATCTATCCCATATTATAAGCAATTGGTCCATCCAGATACATCCACTTTTTTTCAGATACATTTTGTCCAACTGCTTATAATATGGGACAGAGAGAGTAAGAAGTAAACAAAAATCTCCTATTCTACAGTTCTATTTGTTTTTTTTCGTGTCGTCATGTTCAATCTCGTCTCATTTCATTCCAAAATACTAAAAAATGTGTTCTTTCTATAATATTTTGTTTATTATTATTATTACTAAATAATAATTTTTATAGATCTATACAAAACATTTTTTTTAATTGACTTTTCATATTTTATTAAGTTAACATAGTAATAAATGATAATTATTATAAAAATTAAAATAGAAGAAAAAAAAAGAAATAAATTGATATGCTGAATTTAGAGACACCTTCTTCTACTGATGTGTCAGCATCATAATAGAATTGGATGAACTTTATATATATATATATATAAAAATAGTCTACAAAAGAGAAAATATTTGTATACAAAACTCTAAGATAAACCATGAAGTACGTGAGAAAGAAAAAGTATTATTGAAAATCCCATAAATTTTGTATATACATCTTGATGATTGCTTTTTAAAACTGCATGACTTATGTCATGGCCTGTAAACTTTCAATATTTAATATATGGTAAAAAAAAAGAAAAGAATAGAGTTTCTCCATGCCGTCGATTATTCCTTTCTATATACCTAGCAAGGAAGAGATGAATTCGGTGTTGACTTGTATCTAAGAGAATGGGAATGGTTGTCGACCACTCCTCTGAGTAATTTCCTTTATTTGCTCAGAACTCCTCCAGACGTTTCTATCTTAGTATTGTTTATACTTTAAAAGAAAGCTGAAGCCTAAGGTTGCAGTCTTGCAGAGAATAAGACGTTACACGAAGCATGTGTGAAGAAGCCAAAACCTAAAAACTATTTTCTTAGTTCAATTCTTTGTTTTGATTATTATATCTTACTCAATTTGACGTTGTTCTGATTAGTCTGTAATTTCTTTTACTTTCAATCTAGCAAAATCATCATAAATAACCTCAAATTGTAGACAATTTTTTTAATATTCATATGAACCATCCAGCTGATCTGAATTGTATCATCTAGATGAAGAGGATTCATTCCAAATATAAAAATAACAAATATATCCTTAAAAATATTTATCGAAATTATTTGTCAAATAATATTGTCCGACCCAAACAGCAAAATTACGTTTATCTGTTAAAAAACAAGAAAAGTAACATTTCTCCGTCAAAACCGTAAAATAATATTTTCCAAATAATCTGTGAATCATATTATCTGCAAAAAACCAAAAACCCACAAAAACATGTTTTTCTGCCAAAACTGCTAAATAGAGTTTTCCGACTGAAATCGAAAAATAGTTTTTTTTTTCCCAAAACTGCAAAATCGGGTTGTTCTACCGAAACTGAAAAATCGGGTTTTCCATTTAAAACTGCAAAAATTGTGTTTTCTGCTGCAACCGCGAAATTGCTTTTTCACTAAAATCACAAAATAACATATAGCCCTGTCAGTCGGGTCAAACCCGCCCCACACAGGTCATAATATATTTTCGACCCACTTTGACCCGCCCTGCCAATTCTTTACACACAAAATGTTTGACCCGCATCCACCAAGCATGAGTTTTCGGATACCCGTGGGTAACCCGCAAATATTCAAAAAAAAATATATATATTTAATTAAAAATATTAATAAAACTTATTAAATAAGATCACTAATTAATATTTATTTATTTTATAAAAATATTAACTAATTTAAAATATATCTGAACATTTATTTATATATTTTTACTAACTAATTTTTTTAATAATAATTGTTGACTAAATCTTAGTTTTTTTTTTTAAGTAAAAACAATTGGTGGGTAACCCGCGAACCCGCGGCCTATAATATTTAAACCAGCATCCGCCACATATTTTTAATATCCTGACCCGCATGATCCACATTCTTTTTTGTTGAATTTTTTCTACCTGCACCCGGCGGCGGGTTAAACGAGGCGGGACCCGCTGTTTGGTTCACAAATTGCCAAAATCGTGAAATCATGTTTTCCAGCCAAAACCTCAAAATCGAGTTTCCTGTCGAAACCGCAAAACTGGTGTTTCCCTTCAAAGCTGCAAAATTGCTTTTCCGGTCAAAACCGCGTGAACTCGCTTTTTCCGCCAAAACCGCCAAATCACATTTCCCAACTAAAACCGCGCATTTCCTGACTAAAACCGTGAAATTGCATTTCCCGACTAAAACCACAAAATCATATTTACCAGCTGATACCGCATGAAATTATATTCTCCACCAAGCGAAATCGCATTTCCTGACCAAAACCGCAAAATCGCATTTTTCCTGCTAACACAGCGTAAAACCTTATTTCCTACCAAAACTGTGAAATTGCATTTCTAGACCGAAACCATAAAATTGCGTTTTCTGGCTGATACCACGTGAAATAGCATTTCCCAACCAAAACCATGAAATCACGTTTTCCTTTTGATAACACGTTAAATCAGTGTTTCCATTCAAAACCATGAAATCACATTTCCCTACCAACACAGTGAAATCACATTTTCTGACCAAAACCGCGAAATTGCATTTCCTGATCAAAACCACGAAATCGCGTTTTCCGACTTATACCGCATGAAATGTTAAAACCGCGAAATCACGTTTTTCGCCAAAATTTTGAAATCATATTATTTTAGATACAAGATTAATATAGTTAGAAAAATATTTTAGATAAAAAAATATGAGTAGATAAAAATACGAGTATTTTGGTCATTTTCAAACTAAATCATTTCGATAAATCATTTAAATAAAGAAATGAACAATACATTAACATACGAATAGGACCTACACGGCTCAACCACACGAACACACATACAAAACGAAATATCTCTCTCAATACCCTAATAACGATTACTAGTAATTAAGATTACTCTGGTAACTAATAAGCACTCAATTACGAAAGTAATATTGACTAATCAAACAAACCCATATATAATTTGACTGCTTCTCTACTAGTACTAGTTGATGACGACAAGAATAAAATTTCTTATTAAATTATTAAACCAAGGAGTTTGTTTTAGTGGAAGATCCATAGCCATTCATCAAACCATTCCACGACGAACCTAAGCCGTTGATATAACTGCCACCGCCATATCCACCACCATCAGATTTTCCTCCGCCTCTGTTGCCGCTACCATCAGAGTAGCCTTGATCTTGTTGCCAGTCAAGCGATAACAGCTTTGGATTTGGCTTCACATCCATAAGTGATGTTACCCTTTGATTATCTTCATGATGACTATAGTGATGATGATCATAATTAGATAGCATAAGTCTCTGGCATGTCGAGATATCCATGAGACCACCACCACCACCACCATTTCCGTTGCTTCCCATAGAAATCCCGTGAAACCCACCATTGTTGTTGTTGTTGTGAACACCTAACCCGTGATTTAGACCCAAGTGATGATTATGATGATGATGATGATCTCCGTTACTTCCGTGATCAACCATAACCAGATTGTCATTGTTGACTCCCATGAGATCAAACTTGTTATCCAAGAAATCAATAGGTCTAGGGCTTTGCGAAAGCAAACCGCCATACTTGCTCTCCAAGAAGCCAACGTTGCCATGTTCAGGAGTAGTGTAAGACCCCATCATCCCATTCCCACCAAAATGTGAAAACCCTAGAGAGGCATTTTGGTAATTCTGATGAGAATGTGCTAAAGCAATAAGGTCAGTGGTGTTACTGGTAACAATGTTGGATGGCTTTTTCCCGGAGGAAGTGGAGGATGAAGAATTGGAGGAAGAGGGCTTCTTGTTTTTACGGCAGCCACCACCGACCGGAATGTTCCTCAGAGTGCCGCCTTTGGTCCAGTAACGGCGACAGGTCTTGCAGAAGTAACGAGGCTGAGAGAGGCTATAGTTGTTGTAGTAGCAGAACTTAGTGTGTGTTGACTCGCAACGAGGACACTTCTGAGGATGGTCGTGAGGTGGACGCAGCCTCCTTCCACCGTCCATCAGAGCAGCGGCGGCTACAGCCACGGCCGAGGCTTGTGGTCTAGTGCCGCAAGCCGCTAGTATGTCGGCTGCTGATGGAGAAGTCGTTGAAGAGTCTAACATGCTTCCTCCTGATGACTCAGCTTCCTAACATTACAATTTTATAAAACCATATTAAAATTCTTTGTAATCGAAGTTCTATGGTAATGCATCATTCGCACATACAAAACGATGGGTTGCGATAATCAGTAAGGTCTAAATTGTTTCAAACCTTGTTTTGCTTTTGCATTTGCACTTACATGGGACCAAAAAGATCATTAAAAGGGATAAATCACATTTTTAAATAGAAAATATTTTCAAAACTGTAAGTGCATGTTAAACACGAACAGATCTTTCATTGGTATATTTGACATTTATCTTTTACAATTTAACAAAATCATTTTCTTAAAATGTTTAAAACTGTATGTTTATTTGGAGAAACATGTCTGTAAACGTAAATGCAAATCCAAATACAAACAATCGATGTCTAATTAGTTAAAGTACCTGGAGCCAGTCAGAATCCATGCAAACTTGAAGAGAAGTGAGACCCATTTTGTGTTTTGTTTGTTTGTTTAGTTTGGGGAGAGTGATAATTTTAAGGAAAGTTCATGAAAAAACTCTAGAGAGAGAGAGTGAGAAGAGAGAAAGAAGAGATGAGGCAAGGAAGAGGTTGGGGTGGGGATGTGAATAAGAAGGAAGCAAGAAGAGGATCCTTCTTCTCCTCGGGATTGCTGTCTCCACTCAAAACTACTTCTACTTAGTTAAGTAAGTTCACACTTATTTGTTTTTTTCTCTCTTTTTCGGTAAAAAATGTTTTGATACTACTTTTACCATTAAAAATCGTTTAGTGTAATGAGTACTTAGTTAATTTCGTAAAAATTGCTTATTATTGCTTATTTTATCTATCTGAAAAAAATCAATTATTTATAGTGATCGTGAATGTTCATGTGATAATGTTTGAAGCCACATACTAATAATCTAATATTTAAAATTCCTTCTTATACTTGATTTCAAATCGTTCGATCGTTTCTTTTTATTTTATCTTGATATAATCAGTTTTTGCTCGACGGTCATTTGTAAGTTTTACTTTTATATACAGACAACAAAACATGAACTACGGAGCTTCCTTTGAGTTTTCTATTTAGGGAAATAATATTAAGGTATGGTGGGTAATATATTCTCAGTACCACAGCCAATTCTTTAATGTGTTCTAATTCAGTTACCGAAACAAAAACAAAAATCTTTCAAATTTTGATTTTTGAAAAGTTAATACGCCTAGCTTTAGTGATCATGATAAAAGTTAAAACTTTAATTTCGAGTTATTTATAATATAAATATTTTGGCTATAAGTGTATAGATGGACCGTATATACGGATGTGGCGGAGGAAAAAGAAAGCGTCGGTGGTTCCAAAATCCTCGGACCCACATTCTGTTGTGGGTCCACGTCAACTTGACCAATCATCTTTTATTAATCCAACGGTCGCGATGAGAAAATGGGACCCAGATAGAGAGCGTGAGCCGTTAGATGAGTTCAGAAATAGCGGCTTGATCGTCACACAACAGAGACAAAAGTGAGAAGAGAATAATATCTTTTTCGAAGTTTTGTCTGAGTTTTGAGAGTTACGATAAAGAGGGAAGAGAAGGAAGTGTTTCAGAACTTAGGTGGGCTCGTTAATGGGCTCCACTCGCTCTCTCCCTCAAGCAAAGTATCTATTCTCTTGCCACCTGTCACTTTTCTTGCTCATTAACATGTGGCAATTTTGATTGTGTTTTTTGACTTCCCGAATCATTAGTAAATTATTCAAATTAGTTAAATTACTTTGGATACTTTCTGTTATTATTTTTCGAAATAAAAGTTAAAGAGTTTGATCGATTTGTAAAGAAGAAGAACAAGAGACAAAAGTTGAGGGCTGTAACAGTTTCATAAATAGACATTTTAGATCTTTGTGTTTTTTCGTTTTTAGAGCTAAAGACGTAAATCATACTTTTAAAACTAACTTCGCATTTTAATTGAAAAAAACACTAAAACATATGTGTATCTTGAAACCAATTTAACTAATCATAATTTTCCGAATTGATTGGATAAATATCCTATGGATCATGGTCTAACTACCGCATTCGTTTTGCTGTATTGTTGCTTGATTTATTCTTTGATAAATTTTCATTGAGTACGTATTACACTTCTAAATTACAAAGATATTCACCCCATGGTCGGACAAAACTAGTCTATAGTTAGAAAATGTATTTGGTAAACAAAGTATAATTCTATCTAGCAAAATGTTAAAAGTAGTCGACGATAGTAGGATTTCAAATGGAAATTCCGACGGAGGCACTTGCCATTATATCACGACACATGGTTATATATGGACAATTATATATTGAAAAGTGGATGACGATTAATATATGTATAAGACCACGCAGTAGTATTGTTTCTTACTTTTTTTGAACGTGACATTAGATTTCAGTTTTTATTTACGATTAAAGGTCAAGGTAAATAAATGTTGGTAATTGTATTCCTAGAATTTTCATTATCTAATTCAACTGGTGTGATATTATAATGAGGTTGTATTCATTTCAATATGAGGGTTGATACAATACGTTCAAATGACATTACAGATTGTAATCATCTTTTATTGTATATAGATGAATTTTTTAATGAGCCGAAAATTTAAATAACTTTAAAGGGAAAGCTTCGTAACTATATGGGGCAAGTAGGAAGCTGAAGATTGTAAGGATCTAGGGAGAATACTTCATACTTGGTTCACATGATTTTTTTTCCCTTCAAAAAGAATAAAACCAAAAACTAAAAGAAAGAAATAAAAGCATAAAAGGGCATCGAAAATGGTGTGAGAATAAATCACACAAGATAAGCTAAGCGTGACGAAGACAATTTCTTTGGCACATATATATCTATTTAGTGAGACCCACTTTTGAAAGTTAACAAAGTGTATCTGTCCCTCGTATCTTTGTTCCATTGCATCACTCACTATTTGACATTACACATCATCATATCATCCGTATAACATCATGATGAGATCATCGATTTTACAATGAAAGATATTGACATAAAAATGGAGTAATTGTAAATTCGTAGAAAATGTTACAATATTCGGCCAAATCAATGTATCAACAACTCAGTAAGCTTTAGTTTCGAGAGGTTTCATAAAAAGTAAAAACTCACAATATCGAGTGTTCAAAGAAGCATCAAGCGTGGCATATGCTAATGCCTCTATTTACCTAACAGTCTGGTTTAAGTCGAAACAAAATCTATCATCTCAAACCATCTGATGAAACACAATAAATTTTTCCTTTACCAAGATCTCCTCTAAACCGGAACATTATTGATCTTATTAACCGACATTCGAATACGTACAATATACAATTTTTTTGACTATGTCTAGAATATGCTATTATGCTTCAACTCAATCATGTACATGTATACGGATTTTGAATTTTGATACGCTATAATTATCAGTGACAATGAGCGGATTACATATGCTTTCATAAAGGTTGAGGAGATAGTGAGATACCTCTTTCATTAATGTCAAGTTGTCAAACCCTATGCTTATCCAACGACATTTGAAATAATATTCGAGAAGAAAAGTATTTTAGATAAGTTGTCTTACTCTTTTTGGTGTAATTATAGAACATATTCTTCTCTATTTTATGTGGGTCGTACCTCAATGCTTTTTAAATTCAGTAATTTTTTTTGAATTTTGAAGATATAAAAATATGCATGGTGCAATTTTTTTTGAATTTTAGTCTATCGATTGGTTTTCGTCCATTTTCTCTTTATTTTTGGTTTCCCTAAATTAATAAAAACTAGATCAAATTAATTTGATTTCGTTTTGTTAAAATTTTCTACCATCACTGTATTTAACTATTCTGAAAAATGAATGTGAACTCAAACTTTGACTTATAGTCAAAGTACCAACCTTACACAATAAAAGGTTTCCACGTTACCGAAGTCAAATCTGATGCCATTACCACATGGCACATAGGCACATGTCTTTCCTTACCTTTGTTTGGGTGTTGTTGGCAGGGAAAGAAGACTATAATTAGATCACATATAATTCCAGTTTAAGGCTTGATGGTGTTAAGTAAACATTGAATTAGCTCAAACACTCGATATGAGTAATATATAGCCTAACACTGAAACGCCTTCATACTATAGACGACAGAGAGCTTATTATTATCGACTCAATCATGCTTAATTGTTTAAAACCTGTTTATTGCAATATATTAGCCATTTTGTTGTAACAGAGAGTAAAATAAAGAAAGTATGGATCACTTGTTCAACCATAACTACCAACAAGTAGAATAATCTACAAAAGAGTCCTGACTATATAACACACACCATGGCAGATTTATCTCTCAATTCTCATACCAATAATGCTTTAAGACCATCACCACAATTTTTGTTGTATGCGAGATGAGAGCAAATAAAACAAAGTGTTGATGATGGTCTTGGTTTCACTGAGAGTTTTATAAGCCTACGCCTGTGAAAATCCGAAACTGTTGGAGGTATCTACACAATGATTGTAAGACGAAGGGGTCAGAATTTGTCTAAGAAACTGTCCACTGAAGTCTCCACCAGCCCGATGAAACAACCCTTTGCGGCGTGCGTCTGCTTTTTATCTTCAAAGTAACTAGCCGAACAAAGATGAATTCGAAACACAAAGTCAGAGAGAGAGAGCGAGAGAGCTGGAAAGAAACAGGAGATAAGAAAGCGTAATTGAATAGAGTGAAATATGCTTCAAGATGCTTACAGGCTTAGTGCGGTGGCGGCCTACAAAGAGATTTTGAGGTCTGTTATTGCCATGAGGATTGCTTATATCCATCCCATCCACCCTCTGGTTCCTTCCTCTTCAGAGCACCACCTAACATTTGATACATTCTTGCTTGATCATCTTTCAATGGTATAGAACCAGAGGAAGATAACTGTCTTTGTACATGCGTTGCTTCATCTCTCCCACCGTCATTTTCATGCCCTCCTGGTCCGGAGTTTAAGTCAAGACCTGATCTGAACCATTTTGCACTGTTGCCGTCCGAAACTCCACCATTGCTACTACCGTTTGGGAGGTTAACGACGTAAGGCCTTGGATAATTAGACGGTATGGCAACTCCAGGACCCAATATTTGAGAGTTGACAGGAGGGAAGCAAAGCCTGCCACTTGACGAAGAGTCCATGTATGGTGTTGAAGCACCTGAAAAATTTGCTGAGGCAAGAGGAAAGCTTGTTCCAAAAGGAAACCCGGGATACTGAAACGCTGTGGACGGGAATGAAACTGCTGGAGAAGACAGTAAAACCGGGCCTCTGTACATATCAGGTGTAAATGAGGAAACTCCAGATGAAGGACCAACCATTCTTTGCGGTCCATTGCTGCTAATAACCGGAAAAGGCTGATCCCCTCGCTCAGGCAAGACTTGAGGAGTACTCATTGCTGAATAATTGTTAGCAGCAGGAAACCAAGATGAGAAGCCAGCCGCCATATTCTCAGTACTCATTCTTACTCCGGAGATCATTGGCTGTGATGTCAAGCCACTTCGGGAATGTTGACTAAAAACCATAGATGGCTCAACATTTGCATCATCAGCAGCTGGTCCATCGTTTAAATCAAAATCTCTACGACCACCAGAAGATGAGTTTGCCTGCTGAAAAGATGAGTCTACCCGATGACCACTGCTTATTGTATAATTATTCAAATCAGTTGGATCATCAAGTCTATTTAGATCAAGATCTAGGCCACCAGAGGAATTTGTGGGATTGGCAGATCTTTGGGAAGCCAGATCTTCAAGAACTCTCTCATCAGGTACATTTAGGTCGAAGTCCAAAAACGTCTTCGTTTGCTTGCCAGCGGTTGTAGAAGCATCAGAGGAAGACACATTATTCATGCTTAGTGGCGCCACCTCCTGGACTTTTCTTGGCTCAGCTGGCCTGAAGGCGCTAGTGGCAGCAGATCCTCTCCAGCCAACAGTTGCTTTATTTCTCAACAGATCATCACGCGGAACAAATGCACCCTTTGCAGCAGCAGCAACTGTAATGGATACAGGAAGTCGACTGGGTTGTAAAGGAGTAGGTGGCAAAGATGAAGATCCAGAGAAGTTATTTACATTGTCGTTTCGTGTATCATCCCCATTAAAACCTTCATTTAGGTCAAACTCAACTCTGGCTTCCATCTCTGGCCCTGCTGTAGCTGAAACTGAAGGAACATCTCTAACAACAGATGTACATTCCTCCGCTTCATCTCCATTAGCACCACTCACTCTAGACCCATTAGGTCTCCTACAATCTTCTGCAACTTTAGGTGATACTACTTGAGGACCTAATGCGGTGGTGCCCCGTTTATCGACTTCAGTAGATGCTTCTACATGCTCAAGTTCACCGTTACTTGCAGGTGAGTCCAGACGAGCTGCCAAACGCTTGATCTTGGAGAGCCCAGAAGAATCTGGTATACCTTCACCCAATTGTTTAACTAACTCAGAACTCAAAACTACCGGAGATTTCTGCTCATTCTTGTTCTCACTTCTGACATCAGAGGGTGAATTTGTAACAGCCAGAGAATCTACTTTAGGACATAAGTCGATGGCTTTACTTTCAGCTGGCACAGATGAGGCCACTCTTTGGGCTGTATCTGATGTAACATCATCCGACATTTTTTCTGTGATTGATCCGTCAACATTTGCAGTACTTATATCCTTGGCAACCTCTGACAAAATTGATACACCTTCACCCATTTTATTAACTAGCTCAGAACTCAAAATCACCTTTGGTTTCTCTTCTTTCTTATCATCACCAACAACGTCAGAGGGAGAATGTTCAGCAGCCAAAGAATCGGCATTTTGACTTATGCCAATGGCTTTACATTCACTTACGCCAGAGTTTATCGTCTTTTTCGTTGTATCTACCGCTCGACCTATCTCTGATGCAACATCATCTGAATTTTCATTGCTTTCTAGGCACTGATCCACCAACCTTTGCAATTCTTCGATTTCTGAATCAGAGTTCTCATCAAGATCTCCTGCCTTAGAATCAGCCACATTATCTAAAGCCGCCAACTGCTCGCCACTACTACTGACATGTTGCTCAATGTCAACAATGGTGGGATCCTTTGAAACAGCTTCAGCTTGCTCGCCAGGCACCACATTCAGCACGGAATCTGAAACCCGGGAAACAGAGGGTGATACAACAGGGGATTTTGACATTTCATCAGCAGCTACAGTAGCTAGAAGATTCATTCCAACATCATCCGCACCAGCCATACAAGCATTTGCCTCAGAGTCCCTGACACAACTTTCAATCAAGGCATTCATTGAACTATGCGATCCACCATGCCTTTTTCCAGTTTTGACGTCATCTCCTACCATAGGAGAAGTAGGTTTGACAATACCTGCACCTTTACTAGAATCATTAACAGCCTTGCCGTGTTCATCCCCAGCATTAACAGAAGGGGAACCAGCTACCTCATCCGAAACCGTCGATAGATTTTTTACGTCATTGTTCTGCGAAGACTCAGTATTCGCATCAGGGCTAGAATTAGCTCGACATGTATCATTCATTTCTTTCCCATTTCGGTCAAATTGATCATGCTTCTCAGAAGGAACAGGTGATGGAGCTCTGCTATTACCAGCTGCAGGGTCCTCAAAGGAACCTCCACTTACACTCTGTGCCGGACTGCGACCACGTTTTGGCAGCTTAACGATCAACTTATTGCTGCACCCTTCAGCCATAGGTACATCAAGAGTAGATTGAGATGCTCTTTCAGAAGATGCAGTTCTTTGAGATGAGAAGCTCCTGCTCAGCCCAACTTCTCTATGGAGTGCACCGGTATTTCTCTGCTGCCCATCATTAACAACAGCAACAGCTGTTCCAGGTGACGGGGCTGATCTGGTAGAACTTGGAGACGTGGTTGCAGACTTCATGCTGTTCTTTGACGGTATTTTTACGGACACGGACTTAGAAGGATGTAGATGTGACGATGATGTCTTGCTTGCATCAGCGGATATACCTGAATGTCTAACGCCATGAGAAGCTTCAGACTGACGAGGTCTTCCAGGCCAAGACGCACCCTGATTGGATACAGACTTTGCATCCATTTCTGCCTCAACACGTTTCTTCCATGTATCAACCAAGCTCCTTGCCTTTTTCCCGATTTCGTGGTTCTTATGTGACCTCAAATGGTTAACAGACTTTCCAATATTACAGGTCTGAAGAGCATTGAGATTCACCGGAAGCTTGTCAAGAGCACGAAGTAAGATCAAGAGAAAATCGTCCACTGGTCTATCATTGTCTTTAGGACTGCTCGCATCCCCAATTTTCCCTTTATGAATTTCCTGAAGCCACTCATCAAAAACAGGTAATCCCCTGAGCTGGACAAAACGACTGAGGCAATCAAACTTATCTGTCGCCGCTACAACACTTGCAAGAACTGATCGTCCAGCCAAGTCTATTTTCTTCTCATTCCTCTCAGGCAGCATGAGCTGCACCAATCTCTCAACCCCTTCAGAATCCACCAGCCTGCCTTTCTCAGTAATTTTTGCAATCTCAGATTTCAAACTACTTTCTGTCCTTAGGAAACCAGAGCCACTATCATCAATCCGACGTTCCCGTTTCACAGATTCGGAACTCTGATCACCACGTTCCCTCTTCCTTCCCGTTTTCACTTGCGATGTCGTCGGACTATTCGTTGAACTAGGGGAACGACCACCCTGCTGTAATGTCGTATGCATCTCGGAATGAGTCTTACACAATAATCTATCTACTTCTTGTTGTCGTTCCTGCAGAAGGCAAGATAAAGGCTTTAACTTTAAAATAACCAAAGAAGGAATCTATTTAAACAGAAGAGGGTAATGATTATAATCTCACATCGATATAGTTTTGATCAGTGAGCCACCAGATACAGTCGTTCATAACATCATAAACTCGCCAGCACACGAATGAAGAGATCTCTGACGGCAGTTCAACGCCTCTTGGAAGAAAGGTAACTTTACACGGGTGCAGTAAGGATGCAGCCGGAATCTCATCCTCGTGAAAGGAATAAAAGATTTCGTTCGGCTGAGATTCCAAAAGGATGCCTTTGCCAAGTTTTAGCTCTGCAGGACGATACAGCCAATTCACACGCAGCTTTAACTTGCCTTCTTTATCAGGAATGACCAAACGAATCAAACCAATAAACGGAGGACAATCCTGAGGTGGTTTAAAGAGTGCACAGTCACCAACACTAATCCTGCGTCCGTCCTACAGAAAATATCAGCCAAAGAAGAAACCAAATTAGAAGAGAAAGCGCTCATTTCCATGAATTCGAGAATCGAAAAACGAATCAAGCTAGAAACAGGTTTAAAGAGCACTCATTTCCAGGGAAAATAACCCAAATCAGACGAATTGAATTGAATTGGAGTGGATTGGATTGAATTGAAATAACGTTTCAGGCAAAAAAAAAATCGATTGAATTGGAGACAGTAACCCAACAAACGCAGATAAAAGAGAATCGAATCGAAGCGAAACGAAGGGAATTTACCTTAGAGAAGGAAGTAGGAGAAGAAAGAGAGAGAGACGAAGAACCAACAGCCTCAGCGCTCACAATTACACGCGAAGGAGCTCTAAACATATGCCGACGACGATGACCTTTGCTCCTCTCTTCACAAACCCTCCCATGCATAGCCTGCTTTCATTTTCCCCTTTGAACAACATCAACACACAACCCTCCTCTCAAAAAAACCTTCAGAATTCCTTCGCCATCAAAATCCTCCCTTTACGAGAAAACCCTAATTCCGCGACGAAATACGCTGAAATCAATCCCCCCTTTCTAAGATTCCTAGGGTTTTGAATACCCCGATCCAACCAAACCGCGAAGATCCGATAACAAGAAGAACGAAATATCCGTAGAGAGCGAGACCAAACACAAATCGATTTTTCGATCCAGGAAGAGAGAGTTTTTATGAGAAAAAAAAAATCTCGTAGCGAAATGAGAGAGAAAAAAAAAAAAACGAAAAGAGAAGCGGGGCAAAAGGGGAAACTTCTTCGGAAGGAGTCGGGCAGATTGGGCAGGACTTTCGGGCAGCATTTTATTTATTTTATTTTCAGGTGACATATGAGATTGGTTGAGTCTGTGCAAATCCGACCATCTTACAAGCTCTTGCTGACACCAACCTTGGATCTTCCCAGTAAAATCTGCACTTACATATGATTTTGCCAACCAAATATTTCACTCAACCCTTTTAACTACATGTGGTGGGCCAAATGAAACCTGAATGACCCAACTTCCACACAACCGTTTTGGTTCTGGCTTCCGAACTATATACGCTTTTGCAGGTGACCATAGTAAACAAAGTGACCGACACTTTGAGGATAATGTGCTCAATACGAACTATATTGGGTAATCATATATGCGAACTTATGAATGTTTCTTGTCTTCAATCAAAAATACGTAACAAAACATGGTTTTCTTTAGAAGGTGAAAAGAGAGAAAACTGCTTAATAGCTACATATATGATTCAAGTCTCTTATCGTGACTCTTAATACAGAACTGTCTTCCTTTCTCTGTTACTTAGATTCACAGTTACGCTTCTTCATCGTTGGTCTCGGTTTCATCTTCTTCGGCATCTTTAGGAGTTTCTATTTTAGGAGGAGGCGGTAGCAAATCCTGCACGAGCTCTAGTATCCCATCCGAGTCGAGATCACGATCATCAGGTTTCTCTATGATCTACAACACTCACACAATCAACGGCATATAAACTTGTTAAGAGAAACTAAATGCAGTGGTATATATATGTTCATACTAAGATTTGCTAATGAAAACAAAAAGAAAGCAACATACCGGCATCAATTCGACAATAGAGGATGGCCTGATATTGATGATATTGAGAATCTCAGCTTTCGCGACTTTGAAATCTTTGCACTTCTCGGCGAATTTGGCAACTCTCTCTCGTGTTTGAGTGCAAGCAGCAGTCTCCATCAGATAATCATACACCTGAAAAATACAAATCATTTCAATTAACAAAAGTAATTTCACTACTTCACTGAATCCACAAGAGAGAAACAAAAAAAAGCACCTTGTATTCTGATCTAGTAACTGGAGCTATAACTCTCGTAGTATCCTTTGATGCACCTCTTGAGTTAAGCAAGTCAAGCACTTCGAAATTTGTAAGCGCACCTGCGTTTTCCTTTACTCTGCAACATCCACATACAATTTTTGATTCAACAGAGAAAAAAAAACATAACTGAAGATGTGGATCATTGAGATACATAAGCGAAATATACATTTTCATCGATGCAGAGCTTCCGATTCAGAGGGGAAGAGAAGAGCTATTGCTCCTGAAAATTCAATGGGAACATCAATATCAGATCATAGTCATAGACACATTATACAATTAAACTGCTATAATCTACACGAAATTATAAGGGAAATCGAAATCATATATATCCACTGACAGTGCTTAATACATTCAGTGACGGGGTTATATAACGGTTACAATACTTAGCAAAGTAATGAAACAAGTGAGCACCCAATTCTTAGTTCTACTGTTCGGAAATCTCAGATGATATCGGAATTTTCTCTCGCGGTTATACGGACAAAGAAGGGCAGAGAATGACGCAAGATAAAATGAAATTACGTACTATTCTTTTAGATGTAAATTGTAATCGAAGCAGGAGAGCTACGTTCTGGTCTTCAGACGATCGAAGCAGCTCTCGAGATTATTCCTCTCGTTCGTCGGAGAAGAAATCAGAGCCAAAACACAGCGTCGTTGTTAGCAAAAATACCTATGCCCCAACGACGTCGCTTTGGGTAAACGAAACAAAAAGGAGCAGAGCCTGAGTTCGTTAAGGCCAGGGCCGGATCTTCGGATTGGTGGGCTAAAAGCCCAAAACATGCCTCGATAGATATTATTTATCTGACTCAAGTGTACAGACGTCTGTGTTTTGTGTTTAGCGTTTGCATTTTTAGTGTATTTTTAATATTTACGAGTATTTGGAAGTAACAGTATGATATATGATTTTTTCAGAAGAGTTTAAATTCGAAAGAAAAAATGTATGCGGCGTCTCGATGGATGACATATAATACCAATAGAGTTATAACACTTTTTTTAGGTAGAATTGTTAAATACAGTTTGTTAAGAAAATGAAAGCTGGAATTAGGACACATGATTCTTGCTTTGGAGAAACAACATGTAAGCTAAGCTAACTAACTGCCCTTTTGAAAACCCCAATTTGGCAAGGCTCCTCTCATTGCTTTTAAAGCTCCTCATGCTTTCCACCCTTTTCTTATATCTCACCTCCATATATAATCTTTATTTCGTTTTTTCGTACACATTTCAATATTTGTTGCTTCTTCTTATATAAACATCATATTTTTGTTTTGTTTCAACATTTTTTTTCTTTCTTTTGGGCGTTTATTTTTTTTCTTTTCAATCTTGCAAGAGGACATTGTGATTTGTGAATCCATGAAAGGTACCACCACTCCTGCCACTAATTTCTTTCTGTAAATTTCTTAGTAAGTACATTTTCTAATGGAACATGAGAATCAATTTACCCTTTTACAAAAAAAAAAAACATGAGAAGCAATTTTTTCAATCTTCGACATGTTATTTATTCACTACATCTTTAAATGTATATATTTTCTTAAATGTCTCTTTTTTTTTGTATTCTGTGGTAGGTATGTTAAGAATTTAAAATATCTAAAATATTACTGTAAGAGAAACCTTGTGAGTTTGCTCAATAATTTAATAGACAGAAAAGGATGAAAAAAACTGTTAGGACTGTGTGTTGTCGATTTGAAAAATGGAATGTAGTAGAGTAACGTGAAAAGAACAGCAGTTTTTGGTTGCAAACGCGTTTACTTAGCGGCCAAGAGGCGTCGGTGTCGTTTCTCGCACGCTCTTTTGGTTCTGTTTATTACAGCTGTCTTTCTGTCACACATGAATCCACTTCAACCCTACGTGACTGACCTGTAGCCTCACCTATTTTCTCCATATATTTATCGTTATAAAACGAAATAAACCTATGTAAAATGTTTTTAACTAGTTTCATAATAATCAAATCTGAAAACATTATAGATCATAGATTCTGGACACTCATTTTAGAGTTCGAAGGAAATTTTAGTTACGACTTAAAATAAAACCATGTGAACTTTCTTTTGATAAACTTCTTTGCTATTTAAACATTGTGAATTGGAAAACTAATTAGGAATTTGAAAGCGTTTTTCTTCTACGACAAATGTAAGAAAAATCCAAAAAATGAAGAAAAACAAAAAATACTGCCGACAGAAATTGTTCCCTCACAAATCACAAGCCTTGCCAAAAAAAGAAGTTTTTTCTGTTTGCTTTCGCTAATCGTTACAAATTAATTTGCTTTAACAACCGGTACAAGTTAGATTCTTACAACAGGTGCAAAATATTTGATGAATTTTTTTGATTAATTGACTCGATGCTGCATGTATGATCCACGTATTTGGAAAATGTATTAGTCATTTATTCATCACATACTAGTAAAGCATAGTATTAAGTTTTTCAAAGCAAATTATATGCGTAAGTTGCATTGGCTGTTGTGTGACAAGAGACAAAAGTCTTACAACATTAGGCATCAAAATCTTTTGGAATTACCAATAAGCATTTCCCTAGGCTGGTCCACGAGTTATTGTATATACCTAAAGATTTTTTTCTTGTTTTCTGGAGTTACCAATATGCATTCCTTGTGATGGCCCATTAAAAATAGACAACTTTTTCTTAATATAATCGTACTTGTTTCTTATGAGTATTTTTTTTATCTTATTCAACAAGCCATGCATTATCATCAACAAGAAAATCTAACCAAGTAAACCCCACAATAAATAGTTACCCACTAATTTCCAAAAACAAAAACTTATCTCATACAAAAACTAACATTTCTTCACATTTCAATCAAGAAATCATATTTTTTCCTTTAACAAAAAAAAAAAAAATCATATTTTTAATGATAATAAATGTCTTTTATAATTGCAATGATAATTTCATGAAACACAAAAGCAGCCAAAAATATTTCAACAGTACTATTTTGGTTCACTTTAATTTTGGCAATTTGTTTGTATACAGTTTATTTCGCTTCAATCAAACTAATCACGCTAATTACACATACTTTAACTGTTCCTTATCGTCGGCAATACCTTATTTACACAATTACACCACGTGATCGATTGTCACCAAACTTGTCAATCAAGTTTCAAACTTGAAACATTTGTTCTCAAACTTAAGAATGTACAAATTTCTTGAAAGCATTTATTATAGAAATTCAGACGAATGAGACCGGGGCCCCACACTCTGGTCTTTGCATGTAACTCTGAAACCTCATTAAAGTCTTCGGTTAGAGTTTGGATAGGTCCCACTTTCTCACGCAGTCTCTGCCTTTGACCAAAAGCAACCTATCATTACATTTTCTACATTTAAATATAGTATTAGCCACAACAAAAGCTGTTTCCTTCATTAATTTCTCATTGCCATTGATACATCAAAATCGTTAATATCCAACGGTTCATAATTCTTCGGTAAGCTCCCAAATATTTCCTTTAATTTCCTTTTTACTTGAATAAAACATTAAAATAGTTTTATTCCCTTTTTAAGTAATGGAATATAACCACCTAACTATACCCAAACCATTTCTGATTTCTGTGACTCCTCCCCACATGGAGTCTACCAGTTTATACGTATATACACATAGCCACGTATGTGTCTATATGTATACGTAACGTACAAAACTATGTGTATGGTATGGATATAACGAAAGAGAAAGGACACATAAACAATGCATACGTCCCAATGTCTGTTTGAGAGTTTTTAACTTTTTGTACTCTTTTTTGGGTATTTGCAAAAAGATTGAGACTCCACATAGACATAGAGATGCCTTGTATTTTTTTATTTACATCTTTACAGATTCTCTATTCTTTCTTTGATCATCTAAATTAAAATACATATATTCAAACCATTTATCAATGCATCAATTTGAGTATATGCCAAAAAGAAAATCAATATCAAGACATAAATCCTCACCCGATTGCCTCGAATCCATTACCTTTTTATATACGTGTGGAAATATCAACAGTGAAAAATTATGCTACGTTTTTTTTTTGTTAAAGGGTCTAAATTATGCTACATTGTACATTTTATGGATGAAAAAATTTACTATGGTGAAAAAAAAAAAAAAAACTATTTAACTCTCTCTGTTTAAAAATAGTGAAAATACTTGTCTTTCCTAAAGCAGAGAAGCAAAGAATCGTGTCCTCTTACACATTCACAGGCTTTATGCATTTTCTTTCAAGGATCATTTCTTTTCTTGGCTTCGAATTCAGCTCCCTCTTCTTCTTCTTTATTCACTTTCTTTCCACTTTTTCTTTATTTAAATTTGTTTATTTCTTTTAAAATCTGATCAGATAGATATATGGTTTCCTTCTTCTTTATGTGCAACTGTGCAAGAACACATGGGTTTTTAAAGCTTCGAATCTCTCCCTTTGCTTCATCAAAATTTCTTTAGTCACCTCGTGACTCAAGATTTCAAATTCCCTAAATCTTGTTTTTAAATCTCTTTCTATTCTTGACACGTATAATTCAATCCACACTTATCTTTTTACTCTGTTTCTGTTTCTTCTCAACTCTGTTTTCTTTCCTTCAACGTTGAAACAAAAACAAAAACTCATCTTTTTTTCTCTGAAAGATTGAAACTTTAATCGGAATGGCTTTTTCATCATCACCATCATTGTTGCCTCCATCTTCATATACAGAGTTAAAAGATGCTTGGCATCCATCAACAACAGCGAACACAACGGAATCAAGCTACTGGTTTAACTGGAGGGTTATGATCTGCTGCATATGGATGGCTATAGCGATGGTGATCACAGCGTTTCTCATGTTCAAATACGAAGGCTTTCGCCGGAAAAGAAGCGGAGACGGTGGCGACGGAGGTGAGAAAGAGTGGTCGGGAAATGTATACGAAGACGAAACTTGGAGGCCTTGTCTCCGTAATATTCACCCGGCTTGGCTTCTTGCTTTTCGAGTCGTTGCCTTCTTCGTTCTCCTCATTATGTTGATTGTTATTGGCCTTGTCGATGGACCCACTATCTTCTTCTACTACACACAGTAAGCTCCTCTCTCCCTCTCTCTCTGATAAGAGTTAGAATGCAAATTTTCTTGTGGGTCTTAGAAAAAAATGGATACTTTTGTTGAATCTTGTGGGAAATCTGGATTTGTGAAGGTTCATATAAGCATTACATTAAGATTTCTGGTGGCATTTAGAGAAATTTGTAACCTTTATTGAACAGTTTGGGGAAAATAAAGTTTTTTTTTGCAGATATACACAAGCATTGATGTTCTTGACTAAGAGTAAGAACGTCACATTCTTGATTTAAGATTTCTGGTGGGTTTTGGAAAAAAGTTAGAAACTGTATTGAATTGTTTGGTGGGTATTTAAAGATTTTGCAGTTTCACAACCATATAGAGGCAAAAATGTGACAATTTTTAATTATATTTCTTAAATCCAACTCTTAAACAATATACATAACACATCTCTCTGTTAATTTGTCTCTAATGGTTTCTTTATATTTACAGGTGGACTTTTGCTCTGATCACACTCTATTTCGGAGTAATGCTTTGTCCCAAAACCTGATCAGTTTACTTGTTAACTTGTTTGTGACATTGCTCAAGTTTCTTACATTTTCAACATCTTGTTACAGCTAGGATCGCTTCTTTCGCTGCACGGTTGTTACCAATACAACAAAAGAGCAGCCGGGGATAGAGTAGATAGCATCGAAGCCATAGCCATAGACTCAGAGAGAGCAAGATCCAAAGGCTCAGATCATCATACGCTTCAACAGAGTCAATATTCTAGTAATCCAGCTGGCTTTTGGGGATACGTTTTCCAGATAATCTTCCAGGTAAATAGAATAAAAATCCATAAACAATGTAACACGATGATATCAATTTTTTTATGAGTTGTTGATTGGATATCGTGTAAAAACAGATGAATGCAGGTGCAGTTTTGCTCACTGACTGTGTCTTCTGGTTCATCATTGTTCCTTTCCTTGAGATCCATGACTATAGCCTCAATGTTGTAAGTGACTTAACAAACCATTATTACATTTTTTTTATTCGTTGTATAAACATTTGATGATAATTGATAAGATTGTGTTATAATGCAGCTGGTGATCAACATGCACTCTCTAAACGCCATTTTCTTGCTTGGTGATGCTGCTTTGAATTCTCTGGTAAAACTCAGATTTTCTTCAGAATCTTTCTCAGAAAATGAAATGTGTTTGTTTAACTCATAACATTTATACTTTTGGTTTAACATTGCAGAGCTTTCCATGCTTTAGAATTGCTTACTTCTTCTTCTGGACAATAGCTTATGTTATATTCCAATGGACCCTCCACTCCGTAGTCCACATTTGGTAACATTTCTTACAAATTATACATGTTATTTTTACTTGTTACTGTAACCATTGTTAACGTTGAAAGTAATCACTCCTCACTGTTTATTAATAGGTGGCCTTACCCATTCTTGGACTTATCATCACACTATGCTCCCTTATGGTAACTTATGTTCTTTCAGTTTCTCCTTTGTTTCGTTGGAAGTTTTAAGGTTGATGACATTCAAATGATGCGATTTCTTTTTGTTGTTTTACAGGTATTTCTCAGTTGCGGTGATGCATCTGCCATGCTATGGAGCTTTTGCCTTGTTAGTGAAGCTGAAACATCGAGTTCTGCAGAGATGGTTTCCAGAGTCTTACCAGAGCCCTCGGTAGTTGCTTGCAAAGCAAGGAACCACGTTTGATTTGGAAGTTTTTTTTTTAAGTAGAAAGAACGATTTTTGAAAGATACAGAAAGATTAAGGAAAAGAAAAAGTGTGGAGTAACCAAACTCTTGCTTATAAATATAATTAATTCTTTACTCATATCATATAAGAATGATCGATCATTTCACGTATCAAGTGTCGTATTTTTCCCATCAAAAAGAAGAGAAAAGATAAATATGCTCATTGACATTGAGACACACCATGAATGTTTGTGTCTCAAAACTTGGGAAATATTTTCAACTTTGATATACAAGAGTACGAGTCAAATGACACGTGACAACACAAATTTGGTCCAGGCAGCGAATTTGGATTGAAGTAATTAATAAAAGGCCCATAAGGCCCAAAAGAAAGAAGAATCCTTCTCTCTCTTCCTCTTCTAGTGCGAACAACGTGTTCGGAGTATCCGATGATCGGAGGAAAAACACAAGGAGAGGAAGCCAAATCGGGACTGGCGCATTTTAGCCGTCCTCCAAAACCTTCGCTGTCGCTCCTCTCCAACTTTTTAGTTTAAATTGTTTATTAGACACAGTCACACAGTAGTAGTCAGTAGCCTCATTTTCGTCACCGTTTGTTCTTCTTCTTGTTCTCTCCGCGCCGCGATCTCGTAAGCTTCTTTAAAATTTCCTCTTAGCTAAACGATAATTCTACTGAAGAAACTTGAATTAGATTAGTCCAGGTTCTGTTTTTTTTTTTTTTTTGCTTAGAATTGAGCATTGTGATTGGACGATCTTTAAGTTATCAAGCGTCTAGTAGATGCTCGCATCCTTAGGAATATTAGTGTTTAATGAAATGATTATATATAACAAAGAATGTCTCGAAGAGTCTTTAGTAGATCCAATTGGTTCTTGAAGTCTTTGTGAGTTAGGGTTTTTTCTCGTTTCAACAAGTAATCAAAGATAATCTTGCTTAGATTTATAGTTTTATAGTCACTTTCCGTTTTAGCATTTTTGTCAGCATTTCGTTACAAGCTGTATCACAAATTATCATCATGCTTTTAGAAACTGGGAATGAAAATACTTAATTTTGCTCAAAGCTTCTAAGCTTGTATGTTTTACTGTGTATGCGTTATCATGAAACAGAAGCATATGGAGAGAGACATGGCGATCATGGGGGACAAACTGATACTGAGAGGATTGAAGTTTTACGGTTACCATGGAGCCATCCCTGAAGAGAAGACCCTGGGACAGATGTTTATGCTTGACATTGATGCATTTATGTCTCTCAAAAAGGCTGGTCTATCAGACAACTTGGCAGATTCTGTCAGCTATGTCGACATTTACAAGTTAGTTTTCTTTCTCAATTTACTGATCACTTTGGAATGGAAGATTTTTAAAAGGTTGTGATTAGGTGGTTATATAGTGATTAGTGACTAAAACCTTTTGGCATATTCAGTGTGGCGAGGGAAGTTGTAGAAGGGTCGTCAAGAAACCTTCTGGAGTCAGTAGCGGAGCTCATAGCCTCCAAAAGTTTTGAATCATTCCCTAAGATAACAGCTATTCGTGTGAAGCTATGGAAGCCAAATGTTCCTCGTATTATGAGCGGTATCGATTACTTAGGTATCGAGATCCTCAGGATTCGCCCGACTGAATAAGAAGACTTAATACAATCATTTGTATCACAATTCTTCTGTCTTCTTAGCTGGTTGTATCCATGGAATTTTGTATCATGATTCTGTTTGTCTCTTTTCGCAATTTCTATATGTATGGGGTCACTTTTCAATGGAAAGTTAAAATAAGGGCTTTTTTGCAAAATGTTTAAACATTATTTCACAGATGCTGCGAACTTCAATTCTTTGTTCAGTTCCTTTTTCAAGAGAAAGAAAAATCGAAGTTGCAAAAATTTCAGGTCACATACAGTAGTCTTTTGCTTTGATCAAAGATATGACTTTGTGAAGTTTCATCTTTATTGTGTTTTCTGCAAATAATCAAAGGTAAATATTGTTATTAACAACAAGTTTAGTCTCTCAATGGTTATAGTAGCGCGCCAAGTGTTTGTATTAATGCCTAAACCAAATATTAGTTACCAAAAAGTTTGATCCTTTCTTTGATTTTGATTAGGATCAAAGCATATGACTTTCTGATGATGGCGCTTACTCAACTGTTACCTTCCTCTCCAGAAAAGCTCTTCTTTCTCTCCAGCTTCTTCCTCCCTTCACTTCCTCCGGAGATTCGCAGATGTAACCTAGTTACTAAAACCAGCTCCAAGAAATTCCGAAGTTTGTCTTTGGACGTCTCCTGTTCAGCTCACAAGATCGTCCGGAGTCCATCTCTAGACAAACATGTAGTGAAGCAGTACAGAGTTCGGTTTGTGCAGAAGCTGAAAACTCTACTCCTCTCTAAACCAAAACACTTCATTCCAATTCAAATCCTCTACAAATGCCGATCTTACCTCTGCATCGAAAACCCTCGCACAATCGTCTCCATGATCCGCCGCTATCCCACAATCTTCGAACTCTTTACAACCCCTACACCACATTTGCCTATCAATGCCACCAAGCCCTTATCTCAGCTCTGTGTCCGTATGACGTCAGCTGCATCCTCCCTTGCCATGCAAGAATTGAACCTAAAGTCTGAAATTTCTGATAAGTTAGCCACTAAGCTTCAGAAGCTGCTAATGCTGTCGTCTCACCGCAGGTTGCTTTTGTCTAAACTTGTTCATATTGGTCCGGATTTTGGCTTCCCTCCTAATTTCAGGTCTCGCCTCTGCAATGATTATCCTGACAAGTTCAAGACTGTGGACACTTCTTACGGAAGAGCGTTAGAGCTTGTCTCTTGGGATCCCGAATTGGCGAAGCAAATGCCGTCTCCTGAGGTTGATAGACGTTTGATCGTTGATCGTCCTTTGAAGTTCAAGCGTTTGAATCTCCGGAAAGGTTTAAACTTGAAGAGGAGACACCAAGATTACTTGATCAGATTCAGAGACTCACCTGATGTGTGTCCTTACAACACATCGACTGAGTGTCTGGCGAGCGAGTCGATTGAGGCGGAGAAGCGAGCTTGCGCGGTTGTAAGAGAAGTGTTGGGGTTAACGGTGGAGAAACGGACTTTGATAGACCATTTGACACATTTCAGGAACGAGTTTGGTTTACCAAACAAGTTAAGATCATTGGTAGTGAGACATCCAGAGCTGTTCTATGTGAGTATCAAAGGCACTAGAGACTCTGTGTTCCTCGTCGAAGCGTACAATGACAGTGGCGATCTTGTAGAGAAAGACGAGACGTCGGTGATCAGAGAACGTTTGTTAGATCTTGTTCAAGAAGGGAAGAGACTTAGACGTGAACGGAGAAGGAAAGGGGCCATACTCGGCGATAAAAGCATGAAGGAGAAGAGACAGGATGATGATAACAGTGATGGAGAGATCAGTGATCTGGATGATGAATATGAAGATGGGTTTGAGAATTTGTTTGATTCTGAAGATTCAGGTGTTGAATATCATTTTGATGAAGAGGATGGTGACGAGGCATGGGTTAGTAGTGGTGAAACTGTAGAGTATTGGAGTAGAAAGCTTTCTTCTTCTGCTTCTGATAGTAACAATGATGAAACAAAAAGTGTTATTGAATCATGGTGATGGACAAATGTTAAAAGAGTGTTTGTTATTGACCCATCAACGTTTGATATTGTATACTCAGAAAATTGTACGGAGTTACAGAAGAACATAAACATATTATGTTCGTAATCTTTATTCCCATTGGCTTTCGACAACATCTAAGAAGTGAATTTAGACTTAGAGTACAAAACTGTTTGTGTGCCCTTTTCTTATTTTCTCAACTGTTGTTCGAGTCTCTCAATGGCTGCACCAACACCACTCGTGACCTCACCATGGTGACTCGTGTCTTCTTTTTTGCCTTCGTTTGCTTTCTGCATGAGCTTCAGTTGTAACCAACCTGTCAAAATAATATGGTATGCACTTAGTTTTGAGCCAATTTCATGAGTCTCTCCTTCTCTCGTTACAACTTGTGAGAAATGTCAGTGCAAGAATGCAAAGTAATTACCAAGAGGGAAGCAGACTGTAGCTCCAAGAACAGAACCGAGCATCACATTCCGCGCACGCCAAGCAAGAGACCCCGGCACTGCAACATTTTCAACCTAATTAGCCACAAGTCCAAATGAGGAATGCAGAGAGTAGAGTAGAGTATGTTATCATTACTGATTAGGCCAAACATTGCAGCAGTTGCTGAGCCAGCGCCTACAACATTGAAAACATCATGCACTCCTCGAGTCTCGGCTAAGAAATTCTGCAGACTAAAGAACGAGGCGGTGAACATTCCAAGGCGCATCCCACCAAGGAGCGAGCCACGAGTGACTCGGGTGAATCTTTTCTCCATTGCATCTCGCATCAATCTGTGTTGTTCTCGCTTGTCCTGTGTACTACCCATCTTCAACATCACTTCTGCATCCTTGCTCTGTTTTCAAACCCCACAAGATCACCAATTTTAGCATTGGAGTCACATATTCAGCAAAAGTCATTAACTTTTGGTTCAGTTTTATACCATAAGTCACTAAGCTACAAGCATACACAAAAGATAGTGAGAGGATCCATTGCAAAATGCATGTGAAGGAACCTCCTTTGTAATTGAATGTAGTAGACATACCACAGAAGCAGAAGCCTCTTTGCTTCCTCCATAGAGCATTCCTGCAAATATCCCAACGACAGTTGCTGTTCCCCAGTTTGGATTTCCAGGTAATCTTGAAGAATTCTGTTTCATATAACAAGAGCAATCAGACCTCAAGTAAACTATAAACCACTTCAAAACCTTAATTCTGATGCAAGTTCTCCAAATGACAACCATACACACTCAAAAACAACGAATTCTCAAAGCTTAACCTCTAATCAGCAAAGAGAATCGAAAAAGAGATGAAATTTCAATTAAGTGATCCAGATTCGAATAATCCATTCTACGCATTTGAACAATAAAACCTTAACTAATTTGTAGCTTTTGAAATGGGTGAGAGAGAGAGAGAGAGGAAAAAGAACAAACACTTACGCCTGGGATAGTTTCTTCGGGATTTTCTACAGCTTCCATAGATCAAATGGTATCGAGTCTTCACAGTAAAAGAGAAAATGAATTTCCGATGATCCTCTCCGCCGCAATCGCTTTCTCCTTCAGTCCTTCTAAAGGTAGAAGACGACCAGAACCGTTTCATTTCACTAATCGTCGGCGATAAAAGTTAACCGGTCAAATTTTCCTTAACCGGTCAGATTAGACCGATTTGTTTTTGGGTCTAGATACGATGTCGTTCCGTTCCTTCCACACATATCGCCTTATTCTTCTCCGTTGTTTCGCCGCCGGGAAAAATCAGTTTACTATCAGCAGAGAGAGAGAGTCGCCGCCATGGACGCAGCACATTGCTATCTCGAAGGAAACGCAGACGCCGTGGAATTCTGTCCTCACGAGCCTTACACAAACTTGCTAGCAGCTTCTACTTACACACTTGAGGAAGGAGATCATCCTTCTCGATCCGGCTCTGTGTATCTATTTGACATAGGAGAAGTAGAAGATGCTGGACTGAATCTTCTCCAGAAAATCGACACCGCCGGAGTTTTCGATATCCGGTGGACCCACGGCGGAAATCGAGGCGGAAACGTGACACTTGCTCAGGCTGATGCTGATGGATGCTTGAGAGTTTACAGGATAGATGAGACTGCAGAAAAAGGTACCTTCTTTTTGATCTCGTAGCTCTTGCGTTAGTTGATGAACATTAAAACTTGGAAACTTAATGTATTGAGCTTATTATGTTGATGCTGCTGATGACTTTAGCTATATAAAGTCAGAATTTTTAAACAAGTACCTGATAATCTATTAAAGCAAGATAGGAGCTTCAGAAGAAATGTGTAAAGGGTCAATTGATCAAGATAGGAGCTTTAAGATGCATCAAAGTATTGTTTTGTTAGCTTGTTAATAATGTGAGCTTATCTTTGAAACAGGCTATTCTCTGAGGGAAGTCTGTGGTGAAAAGATCAGCACATCAATGTGTCTTTGTTTGGATTGGGATCAGACTTCAACATCAATCGTAGTAGGTCTATCAGACGGCTCTGCTTCAGTTGTTTCACTCACTGATTCCAAGTTAGAAACAGTCCAAGAATGGAAAGGGCATGACTTTGAGCTTTGGACGGCTTCGTTCGACCTCAACAATCCTAGTTTAGTCTATACAGGATCAGATGATTGCAAGTTCAGCTGTTGGGATGTCAGAGACAATCCGGCGAACAATCGGGTTTTCCAAAACTCCAAGGTTCATACAATGGGTGTTTGCTGTATCTCCCCAAATCCGAGAGACCCTTACTCTGTATTCACCGGTTGTTATGATGAAACGTTGAGAGTTTGGGACACGAGGTCTGTTTCGAGACCTGTGAACGAAACATCGGTGTCTCTTGGTGGAGGAGTGTGGAGAATCAAGCACCATCCTTGTGTGAATGGTGTTGTTTTGGCGGCTTGTATGCATAACGGTTTCGCTGTAGCGAAGGTTAGTAGTAGTGATGGGAAAGGTGAAGTAATGGAGAGTTATAGCAAGCATGAGTCTCTTGCTTATGGAGCAGATTGGTATAGAGGGAAAGATCAGAAGCGACGCCTTGTGGCTACTTGCTCGTTTTATGATAAGCTTCTTCGGTTATGGATGCCTGAAACTGCACTAGAGCTTTGAAGTTCTTAGATCCTTTCTTTATTGTTGAATCTCAATTTGTTATATCAAACCCCAACATGGCAACATGAACAAGACAGTGATGTTATTGTGCAAAAGAGAGTTATACAACGACAAGGATCTTTCTTTATTTGGTTACATGACATAGACATAACACTCTTTTCTTCATTTCCTTTTGTCTTTGAAGTATTAAGACTACAGAGTTTTTTCATCAAAGCTGAGCTGAGTTATTGGCGATAGCACCAGCCTCGGTAAGGAGAGGCACAAGCTTGCCTTGCTTGTTAAACTCCATCACTCCTGCAAAAACAGCAGCAAAACCCCAAATGAACAGTTACTTAGAATCTCAACCTGAATCTCCATTTACTGTATGTTGTCAAAAAGCTTGTCTAGTTTTCTTCTTACCATCGCATCCACCGATATGTTTTTCTTTGATGAAGACGCTTGGAACAGTGCGTTGTCCAGTCCATTCTGCTAGAGCTGACTGGATCTCGCTTCCATCACCTAATTAAGTAGAGATCCGTTGTAAATTTGGCTCAAGATAAATCTAATGTCCATTATAGGAGAGAGTATTGAATTGAGAGGGATTTGGTTTTCTTACTCATCTCATCGAGCTCAAACACTTTAAAAGTTGCTCCTAGCTGTGTCAACAACTGCTTCACCCTCTGGCAATAACCACAGTAGGTCTTGCTGCGAAACCAAAGCTAAGACGTTACACCTCAAGAAACACGACAAACCTAGACGTAAAGACTCAAGCTTTCGATAAATCAAAACCTCAGAGACTAAAGACATCGTAATACCCAAATGATCAACGGAACACAACAAGTACAAAATCACGGAAATAAAGATGATAAAGACGGGAGATTTTAAACGGTTAAAACCTGAAGACAACGACCGGGTACGAGGAGACGATCTCTTTGGCCTTGTTCATCACCACCTCCATCTCTTCTTTGCTCAATCGGTTTCCACTGAACATAGAACCCATTTCTTCTCTTACCGAATAAAGAGTATATATCTTTCAAAGGATCGACCAGTAATCGGACAGAGCAACCGCTACAGATGTCTTCCGCTCGAGTTCGTGCCAATCTTGCTGGCAAAACCAGGAATCGAATTGAATTGAATCAAGTAAGTTCCACAAAACTGCGTAAAAGTCTTTACTTTTTTGCCTTACCTATTCAAAGAGTTAACCCAATTCAATGTGATTCATAAACCACGAAACCACCGGTTTAACTAACATTTCCGGTTTTCGGGTACACTTCAGTTTCTATCCGGTTTTCTTTGGGTTACAAAATGGACTGGGTTAAGAAGAACAATAAGAAATTGATTTGACCGGTGAAACAGAGGAGATGAGATGATAGTTGCGTCGCGAAACCTAGACAGGTCCGTGTAAGATGGAGATTTGTTCACATTGATACAACCACCAACACCACCTTTAAACTCAGCTAAGCAGCCATTACTCTCACCACATACCCCCAAAATAGCATCTCTCCTCAATTCCTCGGAAAGTCTCCAAATTTCTCCTCCCATTTCCCAGTATCAAAGTATCAGTGTCGAAAGGTTCTTCTTTTTTTGCGCAATCTGAGGCCTTCGTCAGTATCAGTGTCATGGGTTTTTACCCGTTTATACGTTAAATCGATAAAACCCGGGTTGCTTAGCTAGGGATTAAAAGAGGAGTGTCCCGCATCAACTGTTTGTCGCTTCCTCATTAGCCATGGCTGCAAAACTTGTGTCCTCATCCGCTTCTTCTTTAGTTCCATCCTTTTTCTCACCATTCCAACCTCGGAGCTCCTTTCAGGTGCCTTTCGTTTGATCTCCCTTACCTTAATTTCTGCTCAGAATTTAGATTTTTCCGTCAATGCTGCATCTGTGTTTCATGCTCCCGATGTTGTGTATTGATTTCTTTTACCGTTTTGTTTGTTTTTGATCATGTGATTTGAAAACCTTCAACCAATTTGATTCATGAGACTACTAATATTCAATACTTTTGAGTAGTGCTAAGTGAGTGTTCGCAATTCCAACTTAAAGTTAATTAGCACAATGCTGAGAAAAAACCAGAACTTTATCTGATCAGTATGCTTATTAGATTATGGTGAAATGAAATCATCTGCTTCATCGTTATTAGTTATATTACCTGCTGCTTCTCGGTCTTGTGAACGGCATAATTCTGGATATTTTGCTGACATTCATCTTTCACAAACTCTAGTGTCGTCGTTCAAGGCAGCATCATACTCATCTCCATTGTTACCATTCTCTGCAACTTAAAACTGATAAAAGTAAGCTCCTTTTCCTTACTTTTAGTTGTTTCTCTTTCGTGTACGAATTATCAATTATGACTTGTGAGTAAGTTTTGTGATTGGTTTTTCATTCATTACATGAACAGTTGATTCTCTCCACATTTCCTTCAGAGATCATAAACAAAGAAAAGTCTCCCGAAATCAAACTTATTTGCCTCTTGCTACTACTTCAGAAGAACAGTCCCAATACACTGAAGATACATTGAAATTGAATGATCCAGAAACAGTAAGTCCCCAAATTGTCCCCGAAGCTACACCTCAAGATGGTATTAGTTCAACAATCAAATCCAGTGGAGGAAATGACGGCAAATCGGGTTTCATTTCGTTTTACAATCCTCGGAAGAACAAAACAGAGGATATTGTTGTCCTCCCTCCTGAAGCACAAAGTACATTGGGACGCCTCCTCTGGCTCACTGGTCCTGCTGTCTTAGTTTCCTCTTTCATTCTACCTCCCATTTACTTGCGAAGAATAGTCTCTGCAGTTTTTGAAGACTCTTTGCTCACAGGTTTCTTCTTGCTTCTCCCATTTTCATTTACTTCTCAAAACTGCAAAGACAATGTCATCGACTCTTTCGATACACTTCTTGTTTGCAGACTTCCTCATATTGTTCTTCACTGAAGCTCTCTTCTACTGTGGAGTCGCCGCTTTTCTTCTGGTTATTCACCGTTCAAGAAAGTCATCAGGAAAACTACCCAATAGCCACACCAAAAATCCCTCTCAGCTAGGACAAAGAATCTCCTCAGTAGCAACCTTAGTGCTCAGTCTTATGATCCCAATGGTGACAATGGGATTTGTCTGGCCATGGACTGGACCTGCAGCATCAGCTACTCTTGCACCTTACCTCGTTGGCATCGTTGTTCAATTCGCTTTCGAACAGTACGCTAGATACAGAAACTCTCCATCATCTCCTGTCATCCCCATCATCTTTCAGGTATGTAATTTGTAATCACTCTTTTGATTCCATCAAAAAAAAAAAAAATCAGTTTAAACAACTTTTGAAGGAATGTTTTTTGGGTTTTGTAGGTATACAGACTTCACCAGCTGAACAGAGCGGCGCAGTTAGTAACAGCATTGTCGTTTACGGTTAAAGGAGCAGAGGCTACGGTTAACAATCTGGCGATCAAGCAATCGCTGGGTACGCTTTTGAGTGTGATACAAGTTTTAGGTGTGATTTCAATCTGGTCTATTTCAAGCTTCCTCATGTGGTTATCACCATCACCTTCTCAGAACTAGTCATTGTAGTTATGAACAGCTTCTCTTGATACATTACAGTCCAGGTCAATTTTCAGAGAAAAGATTTCAAAATTTTCAACTGTAAAATAAATGTTGATTTATAGTTTGAATTATCAAGTTTTTATTCCAGATGACAAGACTATGAACCATCGGATTTAAATGTGCTTTATACTTCACATGTCTTGTCCGAAAGAAGTAAAAAGTGTTAACTGAATATACTTCCTATGTCTTGTCCGAAAGAAGTAAAAAGTGTTCTGTTTCAAATTGCTTTATCTTTAGGATTTGGTTGTACAAACGTTTTTTCCTTTCATCTTTTTAAACAGGCAAAAAGTTCCTTAGTCCTCAAGTTGTACAATTCTCAAAGTTTAGTTTGAAATTTCCAATTTTTTTTATAAAGGAAGGAATGAGAAAGGCTCAGTTCAGCGGGATTATCGACACAGAAACGAATCTTCCGATAACGGAAGAAACGCCTAATTCCGGTCTGTTGAGCTTGAAATTTCCGAGTCGTCACTGCCTTTCTCCGTCTCCATTAGAAAGTAATCATAAAGACGAAAGACTAAATAAATTTTGTTTGAATATGGAGAATGAATATGCGAGAACAAATGTATGCCATTAAGGTAAAAAATCGATTTCAATAATACTGAACAGATTATTGAAATAACGATCTTTTACACACCGAAGGGACAATCTTGAAAAAAGGCACTTAGAAATCATTATGTGCAAAAGATGGCCGCTCTGCCTACGAAAACGACATGGCATGCGGATGGAAGATTTTTGCACCTCTTCGTATCCAAACATATCAATTGACCAAAGAAATAAAAGCTCAAGTATTGAGCAGAAATACTAAAAAAACACCATAGTTGTGACTTCAATGAAACTCAAGATCTAGATCTGTTCTACAACAAGACAAGCTATTTGATGATAATTATCGTATGATAAACATCACCAACAGAGAATGGATGGATATAGACTACCAACAACTATGTATGTGTAATTCAGATATAGCTAATCCTAAACCGAAATAAAAAGACAGAGAAAAAGATGGAAGCGAAAAGATGGAATATAGGGAGGAGAAAAAGGAGGCTTCTAAAGTTATTTGTGAATATGCAAGACAGGTTTGGTTTATATATAGCTTCAAAAATTAGGTCAATGGGAGGCAGACAGATTTCATTAGCCGGTGGAAATATAAATAAAAACGGAAATAATCACAAAAAGGAAATATATTTTCTATAAAAAGAAGAGAAGGAAATCTTTCTGGTCAGCGGGCAGATGACATGTTCAAGTAAAGTGGGATGTCTCGGGCAGCTACCCGATTGAATCCTTGTCTGAACAAGGCTGTTCCCGGTTTAACTTGGTTTATTAATCTAATTGTCTTTTGGATTTCGGTTTTGGGTTAAAAGCTGTACAAAAATCAAAATTCGGTTTGGTTTGGTTAATTTTTCAATCTTATGAGAACTAAACGACGTCGTGGGACTAAACGCAAAACTTCACATACAAAACGACGTTGTTTTCATTAACATACAAAACGACGTTGTTTTCATTAACCGCTTGCCTGTGCAAATCTTCTCTCCTATCTCTTCCAATCCCTCTCTATCTATCCGTTTCCCCTTTCTCTATTTCCTGCGAAATTTTCAATCTTTCTCATTGCTTTCAAATTCGAGCTTCGAATCTTCACTCGGACTCTTCCCCTTTCTTCTTCTTCCTCCTGCCTTTTCCTCGACAAATTCTGCTCCTTCTTTTCGTATTTTGGCGGACGAATCAACAACCCGAAGACAACGAGCTCATGATTGAGGTCGGTTCTTTTGCGCTTTCCCTACTCAATTATAGAAGCAACTTTATTTTAATTAGCAATCCCATTTCTGGGCTCTGGGTACTTTTTCTGGGGCGATATGTTTGATTTGTTCATTGTGGTCGCTTAAATTCATAGTTGAGCGCAATCTTATATGAGTTGGGGAATTTGTTGTTGGTGAAGTCTATTGGTAGCTGGGAGGATTAAGAAACTGAATTTTCTCATAAATTTCGAATTCGTAAAAACAAGGTCGTCTAAGTTTGGATTTTGCTCAGTTTTGTTCCGGTCAAGTAATTTTGTTTTGATTGTCTATGGAATCGCATTTTGATTGTTCTGTGATTGCTACTCGTCATTTCATCTTTTTGGAGGTTACAGTCATCTATTTCAATCCTTTCTGGTGCCTCGAATTCTCAAATTCACTTTCTGGTTGTGGCAAGCTTTTTGGCCTATGAATTTTCATATCATTGCTACATGTTAACTTTCTTCAAGTTGGAAAACTGAGGCCTATGCATTTGGGATTCTGGGAATTCCGATTTGTGTTTGTAAAACTTATGTAGTCCTGAGGTTATCAAGTAACTAAAAAGTCGTTTGTGTGTAAAATGATGGACAGATTGTGACCTTTGTGTAAATGATTCACTGCTCAGCTGGAGACAATGGTGTTGGTAACCCATAAATTGCAGGTATCTTCAACTTCAATCTTACAAGTCCTAGTTTCGTTAAGGTCATGTTTACAGATGATTGTCTTAGTATTAATCTCTGTACATTAACATCTCTTTTATATTTTTAAATGTTGCACCTTCCGTATCACTCTTGTAAAGCTTTCTTTTAATGTTATCTCATGTAGGGTTCACATGTCTTGTTTCCTTGGGGCTCACCAACATGGACCAAAGGCTTGATTATCAAGAGACCTATTACGACAGTGCACTTTGCTGGGAGGAAAGAAAAGCATTTACGATCGAAGCAAAATTGTTGTTTTAGGTGAGAATCCTACTTCACATGTTTGAATCTCATGACACTCTCATTACTTGAAGGAAGATTCTTAGTTTTACTGTGGATTTATAGGCTGAGACCTTAGTGTGAGTTACAGAGTTCCTTGTTAGATACTGATACATGACCTCTTCAATAGGCTTATGATCATTAGGAAACTATACAGATACTTGAATAGTTCATTTATATTTCTCTTTGATTGTCTCATTTATGAAATTCTGTGGAACTGTTTTGCAGTTTAGGGTCCCCTTGCAGTGGTGGATTGAAAGCAAAATCTTTCAGAGTTACATCTTTCAAAGGCGGCATAAAAAATAGTGAGTCAGGAGGAAGTGAGGGTGGGAAGAAAGTTGCTAATAACTCAGTCAAACTATCTTACCGTTCAGATGATGACGAAAACAATGTGAACGGCTCTCCAAAGGCACAAAACACATCAGTTTCATATACCTCGGGAACAGACGATTCAATCACGGGACAACCCGCTATTCAGAAGCTTTTCAAGAGATGGTTAGCACTGTTGCGCACTCAGTCACCTATTCAAGTGATTGACGAGGCTTTGGGAGGAGAACAGGTTCCTCAAACGACGAAGCCAGAAACTGAAACAGAGATTCGGAAAACAGAAAGCCTCCAGAGTACAAAATATACAGTTTTGTCCTGGTTTTGGAGTCTAGACGCAGCTATCAAGATTCCGTTGCTCTTATTGTAAGTATCGAAAACTGTCCCAAGAAAGATTCAAGAGTGTCTCAACCACTTTTTTTGTGTACTGATCACACTTTTTACCTTGACCATTTTGCAGTGTTCCAGCTTTTCTAGCTGTTAACGCGATCTATGGAGCTGAAGTCACAAAGGAGTTATCCCCTCTGTGGATAGTTGGTCCCTTGGTCGTTGCCCTTTATATCAAAATGTTCCAAGGACTATGTGCCCTTTACGCCTTCTGCTTCAACCAGTCCATCAAAATGATAAGAAACCTACCGTCTTATTACCTTGTAGCATACCATTACATTGCCCATGGCAAGCTCAGAGACGACGTGAGAGGTCTAGTGACTCGACCAGTGGCGGCCATCAAGAACACTGACTACAAAGAGCTCACACGCACCAAACTGAAACAGTTCCGAGAATGGATCATTGAGAATTACTTGGATTTTGTCGAATCTGTATGGCCTTATTACTGCAGAACTATCAGATTCCTCAAGAGGGCTAACCTGATTTGAAGCTTCACCAACATGGAAACCCTCAAATTCTTACTTCTCAGGGCTTCTCTATGATCCGTTTTTTTCTTTCCCTTCTCTGTATTGTCTCTGGTTTTACCTTTTTTGGTTCTTAATTTTTAGAAAGGCTTTTCATGTTTATGCTGTTGTCTCTATGTAAACTGCTACCTTTTTTGAGGTCACTATTAAGGTTACCCTTTACTTTCATCGTTTAAGCATCTATACACACATTCATAAAGACTTGCTTAGAGATACAACAACAGCAGAAAAATCACTCTGTAAAGGTCTCCTTTTAACTTCTTTAGCTCCTGAAATGTAATGGTAAAGTTTCTTCCGTGAAGTACTCCTTTCTCACAGTCTCTGCTGAGCAAAACTTGACCTTCACATAAACCAACAACACATAATCCATTAGCAAACTCTCAAATCAAACATATGGTCAGTGTCTTGAGGATAACAATTAGCAATGATGCATCAGAAAGTTACCAGAGAAGCGTATGACTTCACAACCGGTTTGGTGAACTGCCAAATTGGTTGGAAAATGAATGGAGCGTCTACGAAAAGGACTTCATCCAATCGGCTTGGATAGTAATAGTAAAATACGTCAAACTGCAAAATCAAAACGGTGGAAGAAAAGACAAGCAATAAGATCAAAGACTTGTTATACCAATCCATTCACCTGTAAGAAGAAGATATACATACCAGGAAAGTCAAGAACTTAAGATCAGCGTTCTTAGATCCGAATCCACGGAGATCAAATATCCCAAGTATCTTGTCTTGTCCTGCTGGTAGCTTACTTAAAGCCTTTTCAAGCAAGAACACACAAAGCTTTTCATCTTCTACTGGATCAAGCAGCTGCAAAACACCATAACAAAAATCGTAAGCTATTGTAAAACAGCATTGCAGACACCATTACAAAGAGTGTCTAACTTGCCCCGGGGATGTGCTTTGCGGGAGCTACGATAACAACTGGTCGTCCTTTGACATCTAGAAAGCCATGGACATATGCTTTTCCTGTGTCAGCAGCAGGTTTGACAGAGTCTTCAGATAGTTCATTTACCTTGAACTCGTGACGCCATTTCTAAAGCTTTTAGGTAAAGGATCACGTAGGATTAGGAATCAACATGGTCATATCTAACCAAAACACAACCAAACCATGATTTCTTTTTATAAGTTCTTTGAAAAAAATGCTTTATAACAACTTATGAGAAACATCATCAAGGAAGAGGAAGGATACGATAGCTTTAGTCAGCTTTCCAATTGCTTCATCAACTGAGAATCTCCGGTCTTTCAGAAACCAGAGGATCATTTCCTCATCATCTCTACCGTTTTTGCCAATTGGGAGACTAGTACAATCTTTTGCAAGCCGTTCTTTCACTTCCAAAACTAGCTGCACCACAAGTTTGAACAACCAAATTTTCCATTACACAATAATCCCTTCAAATAAGATTATGTAACATTGCAATTTCTTAGTGATTGTTGAAAACAACATCACATTTCCAAAGAAGTTAATATTTGAAATGCAGCTAACAGTAGTTGCTCAGTTTACAAAATTCAATCTTTAATGGATCTCGGAGCTCAAGGTCCTAAATTCTCAGACAATATAAGAAAAAGGTTTAGTCTTTTTTCTCAGACAGAGCTTCTAATTGCCAACAATGGAGGAGAGAAAACAGAGGATAAGTTGCTTCGGATAGAATCAGATAACGCACAAAAGGCATAAAAGGCGTAGAAGAAGAAACCCGATTGCGTAACAAAGATAAAACAAGTAACGTCTTCGTGAAATTTTTCATCCAATTTCCATGATTTTTCTCTCTGCTAAAAGAGAAAAAATACCTTATGCGCATTGTGAGAATCAGACACGCAACTCCGGACGGAGAACCTGCAGCTCCGAGGTCGATTACTGTAGAGAATCTTCGAGTTTTTGAAATTGACTGAAGCAGCGACGAGGCTTGACCCCAAACGGATCGACATTGAGGACAAAAAACAGGAACAAGAAAAAAACGATTTTTTAGTTTTCCTCTTGAAGTTGATTCTCGGAAAATTAAGAAATTTGAAAAGCTGGGCTTTGTTAACCACAGATAGCGAGTTTGGGTGGTGAATTGTCACTGCGGAAAATTTGGAATCTTCCGATTTGTAGATACAGAGGCAGAAGAGAGCCATTTGGTTTTACTTCTCCCTTTTATAGACAGACTTGCTTCTCTTATACATATGGGTACGGGTCTTCATCTGGATTTGGATCCAGTTCAACTTCTGGATAGTTTCAATAACATTTTGTTCGAAAACAAAAGTTTCAAACTTTAAACGATGTGCCATAATGTAATCTACTAAATACTAATGGTCTACAATCATAATACATTTTTTTTTGTCAAACCTTACATGACTAATTTGTTTTTTGAAATTTGTTTATTTGGTTTGGTTAAATATGAAGGAGTTAATTAGTAAATTAGGTATTTAATATGATTTGTTTCATTTAAATTCAACAAGTTAATTTGTAACACTTTGCATTTCCATTTTCTTGAAAAAGGTTTTATGTCACGTCCATAATTTCACATGCATTTTGTTATAGAGTCCAAGCAAAGTTTGCTTGCTTCAGAAAATAAATGGATTGCCACAAAGGTACAAGTAACGCTCATCGTCATAGTAATAATTACTAATTACACGAAACTTAACTAAAAACACATAAAAGGACAACGATTTTGTACCTGTCACAAAATCGTTGTGTGTTATTTGTGTGAATATACATATAACTTCTAAAGCCAAATAAAGTTAAGAAGATGGTGTAAAGTGGAATGTTGTGAATTTGTGTGATGCCTAAATCATACCCTCCTTCTCTTGTGTTCAATAGGAGTCGATGGATAAACTAGCTACGTTAGACGAATATGGATCGGAGCAGAACTGAACATACTGTCATTGTCTCTTACTTTTATTTATTAAAAGTTGAGTTTTACTTTTATTCAAAAGCCTTTAACCGCTTAAGACACATTTTCAAAGAAGAAAAGACAGAAACCACAAAGAACAAAACTAAATGGTCCCAAAACAAAAACAGAAAAGATAACACCAGTAAATTATAAAAAGATCCAACATATAGCTTTCTTAATTGATTAAGCATTATGGAGCTTTTTTTCCTTCATCACCTGAGAGGAATAAACCTGGTGGAGCGACGGAAACAACCACAACCACAGATACGTGGCCTATCATGTCTAACTTTCTTGCAAGTCATCGAAAATTCCGCAAGATAATGACCTATCATCTCCGGTTTAATCACGATTTCTTCAAACTTCTTTCCGTTGTGAACTCCAACAACACTTCCAATCATCTCAGGAACAATAACCATGTTCCTCAGATGTGCTTTCACCGCTTCTGGCTTCTTCTCATCACCTGCTTCTTTCTTCGCCTTCCGTAGCTTCTTGATCAGAATCAGAGGTTTCTTCTTTAACCCTCTGTAGAATCTCCTGCGAACACGAGCGTTGAAGAGCTTAGCGAGATCAACGTTCGACATATTGACAAGAGCCTCGACGTTGAATCCTCTGAATGAGAATTTCTTGAACGTTCTCCTCTTTGTCGCCACCGCCACGGCCGTGGCAAACTCTGGTTCGTTGATCGAACATTGTTATCGGAATTTGGGTTTTTCTGCAAGAGAATAGAATATGCCATTAGGGATTGGTGCAGAGACGACCCTTCTTTGCTTCACCTTCTTATATATATACACAAATGTTTTGGGAGATATCGGAAATCTCTGTGATCGACGGTATTATCGGAAACTGACCAAAATATTAGAGATTGACCGAGTAAACTATAATATTTTGAAATATTATCATTTAATTAAATTTCCTAAACTGGTGATTTGAAACGTGTCTAATTACTTATACACCAGTTTAAAATATTTATTGCTAAGATATACTAATATTTAATTATTTATAAACTTTGTACATGACAAAATTCACATTAGTCTTTTTAACTGAATTTATTTAGATTTTTTTTTTCACTGAATTGAATTTATTTAGATTTACTACCATGTTAAGGAGATTTAATTCTTTTAAAAGTAAATGCAATTATGTGGATGAATTACAAGACACATTTATTAAGTGTCTATCTCAAAAACTCAATTAGTTACTGGTCTAATCCGGTTTTTACTCATCTCATATTCTCATACATTTTCTTTTTTTTTGGCTGAATTTATCTCATACATTTTTGTAAATGAAAGTGAAACCAAGTAAAACACAATTACATATAAATTCATTAATTTTGAGCTGATAACGTTAAGGCCCAAACTCGAGAATGTGTTGTTCTAAAGTTATTAACGACAAGGAGAAAATGATCAAATCTTTTTCTGCTTATTTGGTGATGAAAATTCTCCCATTCATTTATGTTATTGTTCAAATATGAGTTACAACATGGCCACATGGGTGTTGAAAAGATGAATGTATATAAAAACCAAATCAAACTGAATGTAATATTCAGAAGGAACAAGATCAAGGACCATGCACTCTCTTCAAAAGACTCATTACATCAAATCATTTGCTTTTGTATATATCAATAGATGCATATATGTTCCCCATTGAACCTTGCTGAAATAATTATAATATTTTTTATATCGTTTTTCATATGAATATGATAAACTTCTTATTATTTATTTTATTATAAAATTTTGTTTACATATAAAAACAGGGAAAAATTCTAACATGACAACTTCAAACATTCCCTCTAACTTCTCTCATTTCGTTTATCCATGTAGTCTTCATCCTGTATTATTTATGATCATAAAACTATGTCAATTATACTCTACACACATGCATTTGTACATCAAGAGAGAAAGAGAGGTTTACTGTGAGTGAGAAGTTGGTGGCTGATGTCGACATCGCTCTTCGATACACCTTTTGAAACAACTTGAACCAACTAGTAGGCGGCAATGAAATTCACATTTTAAGTCACATGCAACACTTTCACCTCCTTCAATGGCAGGCATTGCCACAAGAAAGAACACCATCGTAACAACAATCCATTTGTTCTCCATTTATTTTATATTTAAGAATATATACTCATAGAAAGCTATCATATATATATATATGTATATGTACATAAGATTTTTCCATTAATAAAAATAATATAAGTGAGCAAAATGAATCACACTTTTTTGTCAAAGTATTTTAAAACAATACAAAACTGAAAAACTACAAAATCTCTTTCTAAAACTAAAATCTTAAAAATTTGTTCTTCCTTCAAATTAATTTATTTTGAAATTATTATTTAGGTGGTTTTAAATTGGTTCCTATTTTTGCAAGGTATTATCTTTGTGCCAAAGAAAGTTGTTCAATAGAATATAATGTATTACTTTAAAATAAAATTGGCAATTGCATTATTGGGAAATTGACTATTAGAAATTGGACTATTGAAAGTTATACTAAATTTGTAAATTCTTGACACCAGCTTGCCTTTTTCTTGATGATAAACTTTTATACTTGTCATTGGGCCTTCGGGTCCTGTTTGGATTCGGGTAAGGTTACTTCGGATTTCGGGATTATAATTATAAGTCCTGTTTGAGTATTTTTATTCTTCTGGTCGGGTTTGGTTTGGTTTTATGTCGGTTTTAGATACCAGAATTATGCAAAATTTAATTAATTAAAATGAATTTTTATTGAGTTTTGCAAAAAAATATTTTATTTTGACATATATTACTCAATGTTTCAGATATTTTGAGGTATTTTGTTTATTTCCATATAAATATAACCAATATATTTAGTTTATAATTGTAATTTTATGTATTTTGTCTATTTCAAACTTATGTATAGATAAAGTTTTGGGTATATATTTGGGTATATAATTATCTTTCATAAATTTATTCAGTTTTCAGTTTAGTTGGGATTCTGTTTTGGTTTTTCTGGTATTAAAGTCTATAACCCAATCTCAGGTTTGATTTGGTTCCATGTATTTGGGTTGGTTTCGATTCTGTTAAAAGCCACAGCCATATTTATCATGATGTTAATTAACAATGGCGTGTGACAATCTGATAAATTAGAATTTGTCATGCATGTCTCGAGAGAAATATCAACCTTTCTTTTAGCTCTTTATTTATAAAACGAAATCCAAAATATTAATTAAAAAGCACGTAGTCATGTTAAGAGATGTATAAACCAAATCAAAATAAATGCAAAGATTCAGAAGGAATAAGAGGAGCATGCATTCTCTCCAAAAGATTCATTACAGCAACTCGTTTGTTTTCGCATATCTAAGTCTCTAAGATACATATTTTTCCCCCAATAACTTTGTTAAACATTACTTGTAGTTTTTGTTCATTCTTTTTATAATATGAATGTAATAAACTTTGTATTATTCATCTTATTGTAAAAGTTTGTTTACATTATAAGAAAAAGGAAAAATTCAGTCATATAACAGCTTCAGAAATACTCTACAGCTTTTCATTTATTTCTGTCATGTAATCTTCATCCTATATTAATTATTATCACCATGCAAACCATGTCAGTATATATATATATATATATATATATATATATAATATGTAAAGAGAAAAACATAGTTAGTAATTTACTGTAGAGCGTGAAGTTGGTGGGCTTGGTGAAAGGTGTAAGCATTGCTCTCAGATACATCTTTTTAGATAAGGTGAACCAACTCGTAGGCGGCAATGAAATTCACATTTTAGTGAACAACTAAAACGTGAATTTTCTTTAATGACAGATCTTATAACGGTTGAATCTCCTCCAATGTTGACAGACATCACCACCAAACAAAACACCATTATAACAAGAATCGATTTGTTCTTCATTTATATTTCTAATTGATTTTTATGCATAAAAATGTATATTTAGTGGGAAGTGATAATCATATGTATATATCAGAGATACCTCCATTAAATGTGTCATAGCAGCACTAATATATGTTGACTGAAAAACTATATTTGGTTATGTACTTACCTTTTTGATTTTATACTTCACTGAAAATTGTATTATTGATAAATTTGACTATTATAAATTAGATATGGTAATTACTATTTTTTTTTTACTATTATACTAAATTTGTAATACGTAATTATCCTATATTTTTAATTGCCTATTTTAAAAAGATACGATCTGGTAAATTAGAATTTGTCTTAGATGTCAAAGAGAAAAAGAGAGAAATCAACCTTTCTTTTCATTTTCTCAGTTTATTTATAAAAACAAAACAAAATAAAAACCACACAAAATCAATTAAAAAAGCACATACTCATGCTAAGAGATGTGATGAACAAGTATTATAACGGTCTATCATTTCAACAAGATCTTTTGGAGAACATATTTGCATCTTTTGATCAGCAAAACCTGTCATCTTTGATAACATTTCTTTCGAAAAGAGAACCAGATTTTCTTCTTCCTTGTGAATCATTGCATATGTTCTTCCCATGTCTCTGACCAATCTGAGAAACTGTGGATCCTCCACTGCTTCTCTCAAGTCCAGATACACATCCTTTGCAGTTACGCCGCCTGCAGAGATCATCATCATCATGATTTTCTGTATAGTCGAGAGATTCAGTAACAGATTGTGTGCCATTGATGATAAACACGAGTTCAAGCTCTTGTCTTTCTCAGAGTAAGTTTCAAGTAGAACCATGTTTCCCAAAGAGAACCGCGACATGAAGATGAAGAAGTCATTCAAATTCATTCCTGTAGAGGAGAGAAGAAGAGAAGGTGTCAAAAATAGGCATTTCGAGCTCCAAGGACACATGTTTGTCAAACTGAGATAAGTTATGCAAATGCACCTGTGTTGGCAGCAAGATTACGCTGGCAGAGATCTTCAAAATCATCAGAGATGTCTCTTATGTCTTCTATTGACTCCTCAGTGTCCTTGTAATCTCTCCACAGTAGATCCCACTGAAACTCAAACAAACATGAGCACTTCATCTTTGAGCTCAGTTGCATAATTACTTGCATAGAAAATGAGAAATGGCATTACCACACAAGATAAGTTGTATGCGTTGAGCCAATTGTGGTTTATGGATACCGTGTCTTCCTGTTCAAACGTTTGAGATAATTAAATACAAACAATGTTGTTGCACAAATGTAATAGTGAATGAGAGAGAGACAGAGAGATACCAAGTTATGTACTTGATGATGCCATCCACTGGGAACAAAGATAACATCTCCAGGTTCTTGAATGCACTCAAGCCAAGTGGTCTGAAGGCAAACCATAGAATATATGTTCATAAACACATGCTGAAAGATGGTATTTCAAATTGATAGTAGGACCAGCTGGTTTTTTACCTCCTTAAAACCAGGGAATTTAGTTTCATTCACCTCTTCAAAGATGTTGTAAATGCAGTTCTTCATGTATCTGAAAAAATCATCAAACTATAAGGCAAAGAAGCGTGAAGAAACGTGTATTAGAGAAGGTTCCAAACGCTTGCCTGTCGTAAACAAGATGACTTTGAGGAGGAGGAAGAAGAAGCCATCTTTTTCTACCACATACGTTAGCTGACCAACTATACGATCTAAATACATCAGCATGTAGAGGTGTCCAAGATCCTGCAGCCAAGTTTTCAGAATTACTAAGACCTTAAAGATTCAAACAGACAGCAACACAAACAGTTTGCTTGATCTTTACTCAGACCTTTTCCACCCATATAAACAAAGCGATAATCAGAGCAGGCTATTTGATCGTACTTCTGGAAATGATCTCTATCCTCGTGCATTTGGTAACTATCTAGATACATGTTAAGCCAATCATCAGAGAACAGCGGTGGCGTTTGGTAAGCCGTATAGTCTGTATACTCCTGCATTTAACAAGAATGCACAACAACTCTCAAATCATATAACATTTAGTTCACTGTTTAGCTTCACTTAGCGAAGAAAGTAGCAACTAGCAAGCGTGTGAATAATTAACCTCAAGATATGCACCTTCACAAAGTGCCAATCTTTCAGATACAAAACAGAGTTTTTCTTATCGTCTTTGCCACTGTCTTCAATAGAATCGTCGGTCCATTGCTTGATGAATTCCGTAACAGACATTTCTAATCTTTTCTGATCTGTAAATTCTCTCCTTTCACAATCTGCAACCTGTAGAATAACCAACGCAGAAAATCAAAGAACAAACGGATGACTCACAATTCATTCCTTCTCAAAGCTATGGATTTTGTTTTGTTCAAAGCTATGGACTTTACCTGAACTCTGGATTTTCCGAAGTGGGTGGCAAAGAAGTGGAGATTAGGGAGTCCATTCTCACTGACCCAATCTTCCCGAGACCGCCAGTCATCAGTGAGACCGGAGATTACCACCGGCTGGTTCTTGGCCAAGTAATTCTCCGCAAAATCGCCGTAGCTCAACTCTTTACAATTGATTTTCTCGATTTGTCCAACAATCTCTACTCCCATTTCCCCAATCTCAAAATCGAATAGAGATATTCTCCACTTCCAAGGTCTGTCTCCGATGAGGATGAGAATCTCCGATCAATTCGCCGGCGAAGTTATCGCAGATAGTGTTCAGACCAATGGACGACAAGACGAAAGAGACTATCCAAAACGGTGCGTATGAGTCTCGGCCCATAATACGTTTATTGTTCGGCCCAATAGAGGTCAATATTATGGCCCGTGATATGTTTTGTTACATCAACATCCCCCCTAATTGCCTAAATTCGTAATACTGTATTTGCTTTAAAAACCATATAGATTTCGTCAAGTGTGTCGGTTGGATTCAGTAATGCATCTCAACTGATAAATTGAGAACTGTATTTGTTTTGTCTTTATTATAGTCAAATGTTAGTCAAAAACAAAGCTCCACTAATCATTATCATCTCTCCTTTCTGCTTGAGACATGAAACTGCTAATTGATTTTTAATTACTATGAAAACTCCCTTTTTTTCTTTATTATAACTTCAAACTAACTTTAAAGAAAAAAAATTAGAAATCAAACATGACCTCTTTCACATCCTCATGTTCTCGTATGTATCTCTATCAATCAATCAATCATTTCTTTGGTTTTGTTCAATGCATGCGGCTTTTATGATCATTATTATTATTATTATATTTTTCGTATTAAAATATTATTTTCAGATATAATATTTGACACGATGGCTGAAATAGTTGGGAATTCAGATCTTATGAATCCTGAATAGTGCTTATGATTGACAAAAGAGTTGCCAATAATTGCTGCCATGAGACTCTTCCAAAGGCATGCATATAAATAGCAACAACGACAACAACACATTAGTGGACTCAGTGGAGTAATGTTTTTTTTATATACCAGTAATGAATGAGGAAATGGTTGTTGATATTTAAATAACTAATTATGAACATATAATTAAACATTTTCAGGCACCCTGTTGGTTTTAGCGGTTAGTGATACTGACTTTTGCTTAATATTCCAAATCTAAAGCCACCATAACTAGAATCTATTGAGACAATGGTCGGCGGTTATAACGCCATTAATTTATTCAATCATTATTGAATCCTAACAGGCTAACACTGTATTCTTCATAATCGATGATTGGAAGGCTATATATTACTACTATATGCCATATGCACCAACTATTTTCAAATTATAAGATACAGAGGCTCATATATCCTTTAAAATTTCTTATGAAAATCTTACAACTCTTATTATAAAAATTTATTATATGATTTCAGAATCGTACTTGATCGGAATAAAATTCATAATTGTAGGAGTGTAGAAAGTAGCAAAGGACCCGCAATGTACAATGTAAAAAGAAATTGTCTTGTTGTGTTGGAGTTTAGCTCAATGGCAGAAACTCAGAGTTTGCTTCCTTTTCACGTCTTTAAAGACATCGACTGATTGATCGATGGGTTTGATAAATTCTTGATCTCTTCCTATTACTTTCTCCAGGACTATATCCAAAGTTCTTTTTTTTAACAAGATCCAAAGTTATCTCCCACATTTAAGTTACGCAACTATATAATATATGCATGAACAGATCCCACTCAAAATATCACACTGTACAGGAGAAATTTTATAATGGACCTCGTGTAGAAAAGCTTATAGTAGCAGCTTTAGTTCATGTCTATCCCAGCATGGGCTAATGGCTATGATTCATTATGTTTTATTTCATTTATAGTCTTACTAGCATATGTATATATATTCATCAATCAAAGTTACAGAAAACAAAATTACTTTTCTAGCGAATTTACATCAATTCAAGTCTGTCATTTTTATCATAACTTGTACATATCAAATCGTAGTTGAGAAAATGGAGGTATAAATTTAAAAAAAATATATATATATATGCAAGTTTAAGATTAGTTATATTTTTTTGGAAATATTAAAAAACCGAGAGTTGTATTTCATTTCGGCTATGGTAAATTTATGTTTGGGCTTAGCTTATAGAGATAACAAGAGTGACTGAGTGAGATATCCAAATTATGGGCTTAAGCAGAGGTATAGAAAAATGTTTTTGCTATTACAAGCTTTGATAAACCACCTTTTTCGACTCAATATTTATATAAGGTTGGTTTACATATCAATCTATGGACCAAAGAATGTATTCAAGTAGGTTTGTGAAAAAATTGAATGTCTATGACGTAATCGCCACCATGCTTTAGTTTCATAGTATATCATTTTACTTCTAAAATTGTCATTTTCTGTTATTTTTTTTGTGAAAAAACGAGTATCATTACTCATTACTCATTACTCCAAACGCGACTATTTGACAAATGTATTTGTTTTTTTCTGTATGGAACTTTCCTCCTAGAAACCCCATTTTCTTGTATTGCTACTCCAATTTCACCACTCATGACTTGCACTATTTTTGGTATCATAAATTCTACATGATTATTCCAAAACTGGGTAGCCAAAAAGTAGAATTCGATTGTAATGCTCACTAATATATTTCGGACATTAATAAGCTAACGATCGATCATACATATACGACAGAAAGGCTGCACACTCCGTAAATCAGAAAATGTATACCAAAAAAGGAAAAGGAAACTTCATAATCCACATGCCTAGCCGTCGGTCTAAAGATTATTTTTAGAATTCAATAAAATATGTATACCCATATACATCCCCCTATATATTAGCTTAGCAACCATACAATGAACACCACTTCTATATATAGTTCGTGACAAAAAAAAAATATAGTTATGTAAATTAAACTAATAATAAGCATCCTCCAATTATTAGTACCCTTAACTTCTCACAAACATACAAACATAACTATATTCCTAGTTTAGGTATTGAAAACCCCACCAAGGCAATGACAATCAACACCATACTATATACATCGTCATAAATGTAAGTTAAAAAGTTCATATTTTTCACTAATATAATATATAGTTATTTGTTTGGCCTATTAAACAATCGGTGGATCACTTCGACGCCTAAGCTTATAAAACATAACACATATGTATATCTTACCTTAGGATCGGTAATCACCAATATTCAAAAACCTTAATATATATTTATATATTTATCTCATCATAGATAAAAAGAACAGTCCATGCATTTATAACTCGCTAGAAATAATCCCAGCTTATTATATAGTAATAATCGTACCACACACACACATACATATAGAAAGAGAGAGAGAGAGAGATCGATGAATAGATGGAGCAAACATAATATATATACTCTCACATGTTACCTCCTTGCTGATCATGACCATTGTTCCAAGGAAGAAAAGTCCCATAAGATCCTCCGGTGCCACGTGGCAGGTGAGTCATCACCGGACTCGCCCCCGAGAGCCTGTACACCGGGTTCAAAGGCTGCGGCTGCTGCTGCGGTGGAAGCGGCTGGGGCTGAAACACCAAATCGCCGACGTTTCCAGGTGGTGACGTGGACAAACCATAGTGAGCCAAGTCAGCATTAGCCGCGTCGAGTTCCTTTTGAAGCCTATGGACTTGTCTCTGGAGATAAGAGATGGCTCCGACGCAACCATAGACGGGGTCTCGGACACGTGCTTCAGCCTCATAGGCTAAGGAGTTGACGGCGTCTTCACGCTGGTGAGGAAGGAGCTCGTTGAGGAGTTTGGTGACGTTGCTTGCTCCGAAGATTTTGTGGACGTTGGCGAATTTGTGTGGCTCCTCCGGTGGGAAATATGGCGCGAATATGCATCCCGGCATGCATTTACGGCGAAGAAACTTGCACGCCGCGCATGGTGAGTTATATGTGTTTGATGACGACGACGCCATTTTTTTGGGGTTTCTTATACCTAATATTTAAAAACATTTAAACATAAAAAAAATATATTAGTAGTTAAAATTACACACATGCACACATATATGAAGTTTTACATAAGTACATATTTATAATTTGAATTTGCTAGAAAATGATGAAACTCCTAGTCCTATAGGTCTCGTTAAGAAGTTGTGTTTCTCCTATATTGCTACATTTTCTTTCTTTTTGGTATTTTTGCCTTTTCTTTTTTACATAACTAATCTTACATTCACTTTCTACGTTTCTCTTGATATATATATTGCAAAGACCAATGCCTGCATATGTATAAAGAGAAACGTAGAACGGGCATAGCATAACATGTCCAACATCCAATCTAGGGAAAGGAATAAAGTATATTTACAAAACCTAGAGATCTTAATCATATTAGCTGAACTAGTTAGGAACGCAGAGATAAGAGATTTCCAAGACATATGCCGGTATATTAAACTATCAGTTTGGTTTCACCTGATGTTTATGCTTTTTCATTACATGGTCCATCATTTCAGAAAGAAAAAATGATTAGACTCTGAAACCTCATTATGAATTCGCTATAGTTTTTCTACATTATATATATATATATATATATATATATATATATATAAAAACCTTATTTCAAGTATAAAGCTTACTTTTAAGTACTACGTAAAGTAATATGTGATTTAGGAAACTTGGCCTAGTTTACACAAGCAAAATCGCTTGTTACAGATCATAGCTTCTAAATTTACCTAAAAACATAGGAGAAATTGATTTAAAGTAGAACTTAATAAATTTTTGTTATCAGAATTTTCTTAACAGAGTCTATATATGAACACATAGACTTTTATTTTAATATATATAAGACACATGTTGACGCAATTCAAACTATACGAGAGTGCAAGTGTTTGTACACACTACTTGGACCCCAAAGAAGTCAACTGTTTTATGTCAGATGAATTTGTGTATCTCTCTGTATTTATTATATCAGTATTACAAATGACTACTACATTTTTTGTTTTAATATATCTACTACGTATTTTAAATCAAATTTTGTTTCTATGTGATTTAATCGTGCCCTTGTGTGCTTTATCATCTTCTTCATAACTTCCTCTCTCTCTCTTTCTCTCTCTCTCTCTCTCTCTCTCTCTCTCTCTCTCTCTCTCTCTCTTCAACACTAGTTTTTTAAATGAAAACAACTACCTGTTTCCTAGTGAGAGTTCTTTAAACTGATCTACATGTATACCTCAAAACTAAACTTGGTCAGAAAAATTCAAAATTCAGATTTTATCTTTTGTAATTCCGTTAGCTAATCTCTCTCCCTCTCTTTCTCTCTTTTTCCTCCTTGCCCTTGTTGAGATGAAGCAATTCCACTGACTTCAAATCTCTTAATTTGGATATCTGTATAAACTTCAGTTAGATCTGATCTTAATTAGGTTAACTCAAAGTGATCACATGTATTTACTAATAGTTTTTTTCATTCTCATATGCTACAATTAGATAACCTTTCAAGCACATATGTAAAAAAATCTCACATAGAACAACATGGATCACAGAAAATGATTATCTTTGATTTCGGAAGCTGTGCATACATCTAGGGATTTACGTAGACATATACATAAATACATCAAGCATATATAAAGTTATATATATACCTGCCTTTACCTCTTTAGGTTATTTGAGGATCTAAGTGTATCTTTCTTCGTCTTTCAAGGGCTTTTTTCTTACCTTTGAAATTTGCTTCCAAAGTAGATAAAGTAGGCTTAAATCTTTTAGTCAGAGAGGGGAATATATTAGGGTTTTAGCCCTCCCCAGTGAAATGGGAAACCCTAATTTCAAGAAGAAATGAGAAAGATTTGTACTAGAAGCTGAGAATTGAAAGAAACCAAACAAACAAATAAAAGGGGAAAAAATGGAAGAGAAAAAATTTAGTGGAGAAGAAGGAGAAAGAGCAAAAGACAATGAGTAATAATAACAAATGAACAATTAATAAACAGGAAGAGAGGGAGAGGGTATGTCCCTTAAAGAATGACTATGACATTTCATCTCAAGAATAATAGTAATATCATTCACTGTGCTCACTTTTGTCTCCCGATAAATTATTTGTTTAACTTTAGCTTTTGTAAACCTTCTTTATATATTCAATGATGATAATAACCCTAACAGTCCCAAGATTAACCAGAAGCTAGCTAACGAATCAATAATCATTGTGTATATCTTACCATATGATCTCTCTACCTGTCCTGCTGCACTGATGGCCAAATCGGGGCCTCAAAGAAACCCTAAACGTCTCCATCCAATCTCGACTCTAACTGAATATGATCACATTAAACCCTGATTTGGAATTGGGATTCAAGAACATGAATGGTTTTGGCAGAACAAACGAGACGACAGTACAAGTTTGTGAATATATGTTAAACTTGTTATGGTCATTGTGTTCGTACCGTAACAAAAGGCGCTCCACATCCTCAAATTGATTGTAATTAATTAACTTATTCATTTTTATTAGTTGTGTTAAAATAATTCATCGATTTAATGAAGGATCGATCTAGTCGATAAAGAATATATTTGGAATAAACTCTTGAGACCTCAAAGTAGCTAGCGACAGGGAATCAGTACAAGTCAATAGATTTCATGTGAACTCAAGTCAAGTTTTAATAGGTTTTGTAAAATCAAACTTTTGTAATGAAAAAAATATATATATGAGGGGGGTCCAAAGAGTTTTGAAGCTATAGCTAGGGTTAGTATCATACCAACAGTTGTATTAGAGTATATTATTGGAAGTGACAACCGACTGTGACATTTGTAACAGTATAGTCTTCTTATTTAGTTCTCGCACCATTTTTATCACCCAAAACTTTTAGCCAATAGTAATAATTATTATTATCAGAAATGACCTATGGAAATTCGATCCCTTTGGCAAATAAGACATCCGGGTCGAAATATCTTTGAAAATAAGAAAACAACATTCAAATGATTCGAGATGAATTAAGAGTGATGTAGAATTCTTGTTTTTCTTTCTTCAGTCAGGCTAGTAGTTTGAGCTGATCAACATCTTGTAACGCTGTCAATTTTGAAGATTTTTGCTGTTCTGGTAATTCAGTATATAAGAAATTCAACATTTGGATGCTTTTGAAATATAGTTCCCAAAAAAATGCTTTCAAGATCCGGTAGATTATTAATTTTTGTCAAGCTATGATGACGGTAGGTGGTGGGAATTTAGAAATTTACTAAAGTGAAGCATCTAAGCTTTATCACCGAACTAATGTATTATTTCTTTAAAACCCAAATTTTGTTACTACTATAAGGAATTAGGGTTCGAAAATAGAGGTCCTATTCTTTGCTAAAAGAGGAAACTAGTCTCGTACTCCTTGCTAAAACAGAGTTCATATATTTTTTATCGCCAACAGAGTTAATATCTTATTACATACTAAGATACAAAAAATTGGTTCACAACTAATTCAAAAGTTTCAATCTTATTGATTTGGGCATTCAGGTGGCTAAATATCAATTGTTTCATAATTGTTGAAACTATGATTTGATTGATTTTTTTTCTTTCAACAATATGAGTTTTGAAAATAAATTCGCAGATGTCTCTATCAAAAATTTTAATATATTATATAATTAAATCATAAACTTCTGTTGATAATAATTGAATATCGTCTATATATCATATTTTACATATGATGTAAGATTCAAAACACTAGATCAACATCTTAGAAAACAAAACTTAACAACTTTTACCAACAAGAGATTAAAGTAAAAGAAATTGGTGTGGGTATTGATCACATATATGTATAGAGGTTGCAGATAGGGGTATAAAATGATACATAGAGAGGTGGGGGTATGAAGTGTTAGAAAGGGTTTGCAGAGAGAAAGAGAGAGAGAATATGGGTCCTCCTCACACATATGATCTACTAAAACTAGACTAGTACTACTTTGTCCCCTCGCAATTATTTTTCATCTTGTAATTTAATTCACTCTAAGAATCTTTAGCTAGAAACCACATTTTATATATGGTCTCGTTTGAAACAACACACATAAGAGATAATGTTTAATTAATGAGTCTTCATGTGCTGATGATGGAAGGTAAAGTCGGAGGTATGAGAGGTCAATGATCGATGCAACTTGGAGAATAGTTTTGTTAATATGTTCTTTTGTTTGTTTGTTTGTTTGTTTGTTTCTATATATGCAGAATGGAATAAAACTAACTTACAATCATGAATATGAAACACATAGTATAATTTTATCAAGGACAAAATTAGAAGAAGCAATAGAATTCGAGACGGATATATCATTTTTCTAGGTATGAGAATTCCAACTCTTGAGATTTTATTCTCCTCGGGATTGCTTATTTAATTTCCCTACAGTAACATGTCATGTGTTCGGTAAAATAAAGTCAACCTACCTTGCGGTAATTATTCTTTTACTAATGTCATGAAAGTGATGTATCTAAGCTAATTTTCTCATGCCGGCCTATCCACTTTTTCGTTAAGCCGAATGCATTTATATGCATAGAGGAGTTAATAAAAGCTCAAATGTAATCCCGAGAGCTGCTCAAGTATTATAAAAAGTTATAGATCATCAAATGGCTTTGGAATGTAGTGATTTTTATATTTCCTGACTTTACCTGTAGATTCTAGCTCCTATAGCTTTAAACTTTGAAAATGACTACTTGAAAATAAACCTACGGTGTTTATAAACTCCATTCATACTTTGCAACTAATTGGAATTTGTATCCTATTGGCAAAGCCTACGGTAAGCCAGAAGCATGCGTCTGATTTAATATCTCTAAATCAATGCTAGTGATGCAAGAAACTATAATCTATATCTTACAGGTACAAAATTATGATTGTCTAGAACTTTGTTGGGGTTTTAAAGTTAAACACCAACAATTTTTTTTAACAAATCTACCACTTTAGCTCCACTTTCAAATTTGGGGTTTCAAATGGCTAAGAGCTAATTAACTATGATGTCCAAGAAAGAATGAGACAGTGGCATTTACCCGATCCACAATCCAGATCTTCTCCTTCGAGTAGAAACTGCGAAAACACCATAGAAGCTGAGAAGAGCCCAACTTTCGATTTGGATTATACAGAACGGCACAAAGATCTTTGTCGAATTTCATTTCAAAATAACAGAGATCATACACAGCATTAATAAGTAGTCTCTAGAAGAATGTAAAAAGCCTCAAGACTCAACAATAAAGATACAATGGTTAAGCCAATAAATTATATATTACAACTCTCTTCAGGCAGTGTATCAGCCACTCAAGTTCATTAACTTGTTATGATCCAAAACGAGAGAGAGCAAAGACATTGCAGCATCCACACATAACCTAACCATATCACGAGGCTAACATCTCAATTTCTGAATATGGTTTCCACAAATCAACATAGCTACTCAATTCCCTAACCGGTAGCCTCTCCTTCCACGCATCAAGATCCGGTAGATCACCGGTTAACGCCACCGAGCTATCATTCCCATTCCCAAGCGTTAGCACAAAGAGCTTCTCACCAAAAACACTGCTCATCGCTTTCAACGTCTCCTCCATAACCAAATCTCCACCTCTCTCTGAATCCTCAGCTTCCACACATCTCCCTCCAACATTCACCATAATCCTCCCTCTCTTCTTCAACCTACTTTTCAAACTCTCCCACACTTTAGGATCTTGGAGCTCTCTGATCACACTCCCTTTACTAAACAAATCCACTAAAATACCCGAGAACCCGGTTCTAACGCTGGCGCTCAATGCGTCTCCGATGTTGATAAAAATCCTACCTTTATGCTCCCTTTCGAGCTTAGAGAGACCGAAGAACTCTCTGCCGACGTCGATTACGGAAGGGTCGATTTCCCATCCGTGGATTGTGATTTCGGGCGGGTAAAGCTCGAGGATCAATCGGGCGGTTGACCCGGCTCCGAATCCGAGAATGCCGATGGGTCCGGGAGGGATAATCGGAGGCAGAGTAGCGAAGACGTCGAAGTAGCAATCGGTTAAGGTTCTGAGAAGGAAAGAGATGCTGTGAATGTTACCGGGATTGTCGAGGAGGAGGAGGCGAGAGCCGGCGAGTGGGTGGTCGGCTTTCCGGGAGACTTCGATGACTCTGATGTAATTGTGGCGGGATTTGAATTTGGCGATGGTTTTGACTTCGTTGGCTGGGATTCCTTCGTCGTCGTTGGAAGTTTTGTTGCGGTGAGTGCGGGTGTTTGATCGGCGGAGAAAGATTGGGTTTTGCGGAGGTTTTGGACGGAGATTGAGTGTTGAAGGAGGAGAGAGGGTAAGGAAATGGCGAGAAATGTGAAGCGGTGGTGGGAGAAACTGGAGAGAAACAAGCTCCTTGGCCATGGCTGTTCTTAGTTATGCTCCACGACGAACAGTGTGTTGATGATTTCATGTTTCAATTTTCAGTGGTTTAATTTTGGGTGTTTTATTTCAATTTCTAAAGTTTGTACCGTAACAGCAATAACTCTGAAGTAGGAGAGAAGAGAAAAAACAAAAAAAATAGATTAAATCATTCCTATGAAATAGTTTCCAAGCTAAAATTATCTTTGCATTTTTTCACATCTTCTGGTTTTGTAGAGACCAAAATACTTGTTCATTGCGCCTTAAATCTCAATTGTGGTTGCTGAAACAGCATCAAACAATATTCTTCCCTAATTAGTGCCTTAAATCTGCTGACATATAGCATATGCAAAAAAACACACCATGAAGGTGGTTTAAGACGATGGGGGATTAACATCTGCCTCTGGGTTATCATCGTCCATTTCATCTTCACCTGTAGAGTCCCTGAAGATTTTAAGAGGTTTCTGTTAAATTCTCTCTCAATCACTTTGGGAAGAAGCTTAAGATGAAGGGTTTGGTGATCAGAGAAGGATGAAGCTTTTTGTGTACCTGTCCATAGTTGGGCCGCCATTATCTGAGAAACCATGAAGGGGTTTCTCATCATCCTCACTGTCTGATTCATAAACTGCAGCTCCACTCCAGATCCGAGGCTTTGGTCTTTGCTCAAGGTCTTCCTCCGGCTATAATAAATTTCAGATAAAAAAACATATCGAACAAGTTGGTCCTAGTAGCACAGGAAGAAACTAAAACAGCAAATAGAGAAATACATCAATGGATGATTTGATAACAATTTACCTCATCCAAAACTCGATTCACTGGAGGTGTATGCTGAAACGGCACGCTAGGTGCGTGTATCAGTCCCGAAAGTTGTTCTAGCAATGTGTTCCTGAAAAAAATTCAACAAGTAAAGTTCTCATTGACAAGGCCAAGGAGATTCAGAAGCTAAAAGCTATGAACATGTTAAGCTTTAGTGAACTCTTGGAACCAACAAAATGATAAGGGCTAGTATATGAGATAATACCTTATCTTCTCCATTTTCTCTGGTGTGTTTAAATTCTCCATTGCGCTTGGCTCGACATGAAGAGTGTAATCTGGGCCGAAATACTCAAAATACTCATTGTACGGGAGTTTGTTGTCCGGCTCTACTCCAACCGCAACTGCAGTCTGCAACGAGGCAACACACACAAACCCATTCAAGAACAAAAACTTACGAACTTACCAAAAAAAGCATAGAAGAAGTGCAAAAGAGATGAAAAAGACCTCATACGTCCAGCAACGGGCAACGTTTCGAATAGTGTATCCACCACCACCCAAAACCATGAGAGGGACGTTGTAAGATCTCAAGAACCGGAGGCAATCAGCATGACCCTTGACTGATAAGTTAAAGCAACCCAACCGATCACCGCTTAAGGAGTCAGCCCCACACTGAAGAACTACCGCTTCTGGCTGATACACCTCCATAACCTTCTGGATAAGCGGTCTAAACAAGCTGCGGAAACTATCATCGTCCAAACCATCGTTTAGTGGAACGTTTAGAGCATAGTACTTCCCTTTTTCTGCGCCAACATCGCCTAAGTGACCAGTTCCTGGGAAAAAGTCCCCAAACTTGTGGAAAGACACTGTCATTACTCTATCAGTCGTGTAAAACGCCTCCTCCACTCCATCTCCATGGTGGACATCTATGTCTATGTACAGAACCCGCTGCAAACGAAATTTGATTAGGTTGTGGAAACATCATCTAAGCCTTTGGAGCAGTGGTATCAGTATGCAATAACAGAGCAACAGAAACCAAATTCAATGATAACATAAGCAAGAAACTTGAACAATCCAATATCTCAGAGACATCTTGACCTACATAATGCAAGATTCTAAAGGTAGAAACTTGGAAGAATCAAAGCATCATTCAACAATCACAAAAAAGCTTCCAGCTTTCAGGTTAAATTTAGGAAGACCACTCAATAAGATAACCTTAAACCCCCAAATGGTATACTTGTTTATGAACATATATACGAGTAGAGATAAACAGGAATGAAGAATTTACCCTAAACATCTTGAGCAGCTCGAGAATCCCTAGAACAATGTCATTTACATAGCAAAACCCAGAGGCCTCACTTTTCTTAGCGTGGTGAAGCCCACCGCCCCAATTGATGGCGATATCCGCGTCCTGTCGGTTTAATTTGACGGCGGCGCCAATAGAACCTCCGGCGGACGCACGGCAGAAGTCGAAAAGTCCGTCGAAGACAGGACAGTCCTCGCCGACGTTGAATCGCCTTAGGTTTCGTATGGCTGAAGGATCGCCCATGGATTCCGGCGAAACGGAAGCGAGGAAATCAACGTACTCCGGAGAGTGGAACCGGCCGATATCGTCGGCGTCGGCGAGATGAGGGCGACTGATTTCCAAGCGACGGTGGAGGTGATAGTGGACGATTAGGCTGTGAGCCATACGGATCCGGTGAGGTTTCATCGGATGTCCCTGACCGTAGTAGTAGTCTCCAATCGTCGGCTCGTAGAAGTAACTGACTCGCCGCTTCCTACCGTCGGGTCCCGACGGCAGAGACACGCCGCTTTCGTCTGCCTCCATGTTCCTCGCTCTCTTGCTCGGAGTTTCTCTCTCTCTCTCTCTCTTTACTCTCTGAAGTCCGAACAAAAATTGCCTGAGGTTTGGTTAAAACTTGAAACTTTAAAGATGCACAAAAGTAATAATTTACACAGCTCGATTTATATACATTTCTTAGAACCGAGCCCAATATCCAATCGTCGGTTTCCTTATCGGTACAATAATTAGATTAGGAAACAAGTTTTTTATTTTAACCGACTAAAATCAAATTGAATTTGATGAAACCATATAATTCATTAACATTTGTAGGATCGTAAATAATAATAATCATGTAACATCAAGCTATATGTATCTAGAAGAGTTTAGAGCAGCAAGTATCTAGAATAGTTTAGAACATGCTAAATTATTGACTATTGTTTTTGTTGACTCGTTTTAGGTGCTTATGTTTTTATATATAGAGAATGATATTGTTCGTCAAAATTATCCTTAACATCAAATGTGTGGGATATCATAGATTCATAGTTAACCACACACTTTATGTCCTTCACATTCTGCAAAACACAACAGAAGAAAAATGAAGAAACACACATTTGAGAAGTAAAGCTGATATGAACCAAAGCCTTAGCCTTAGCTCTTGTCATCAGACCTTTATTAGCTATGATGATGAACAAATTAGATTGAAAGAGAGAAGTTGATTTCTTATTGATTATAAAAGGTCATTATTTAGATCCTCATACAAACCAACTAAACATAATTAGAAGGAAAATTAGCAAAACCTTAATCCAATTGTAAAAAACAAAACCACTAATCGTATCAAAAGCATAAGACGAAGAAGATGTGAAGTAGAAAAACCAAAAGAGATCACATGTAGCTCTCAGCTCTCTAGTAAAGCTCTTAAGCTGTTTCGATTAGAGATACTTAATTGAGCATGTAGAAGCGATTCTAGTTCTGATTTTGCATGCTTCAACAAAGACAGACCGTAAGGGATGCGCCAAGCTAGGCCACCTATGGCTCTTATATCTTTATCGAGTGTTTTTAGTCGGTTCTTGATGATAGTAATTGCTTCAAGATTAGTTTTTCCCTCGATCAACTCCCTCATGTGTACACACAAAGCCATAAATATTCAAATGGTTTCTAAATGTACAAAGACAATGAGAATGCTAAAGAGACAAAAGGGGATATTACATGTCGAATCTTTTTCTTTTCTTGCCTCCAGATCGCTCGATTTGAACCAAACTTGGAGAATAATTAAGAATAGCTGGCCAACATCCATCAAACTTATCCACTCCAAATTCCGCTTGTGTCACATTGCTATCCTCCCCAACAATGTACACCATGTCTTTGGTGCTGTACTCGTCTGTCCATCTTTCACAGTAGACGACGACTTTCTTCTCCTCATCGAACAAGATACTCCCAAGATCCGAAATCTGAAAACCGAGGCTGCTCAAATCCAACGCTAACACCTTGGTCCACTTGGTCTCATCACTCTCACCAATCTTCCTCGTCACCCATATCTCAGTCTTGGCACCCTTCACATTCACGGGATCCAATAACACAGCGAGCTTCTCTTCTCCAACAACCGAGAAACACGCGGTTTGGTATTTACACTTAAAGGGAAGAGGCACACGTCCGAACTTGTGAGTTGCGAAATCAAAGCTGAGCAAGAACACGCCGAGCTCCCATTTTTCTTTTTCTTTCTCCAACGCGAACCAGTAAGTGTTTCCCTTGAAAGACACCGTGTGATCACTGCATCTAGCAGCCGACATGATAGCGCTATCCTCGCCGTCCAGGCTCCTCCATGAAGCAGAGTCAAGGTCGTAGATTTCCGAACCTAGGCCTACAGAATCACTCCAGAAGCTCAGTAATTTTGGGTGCTTATATTTATGTATATAACTCATGAATGAAAGTTAAATTCTGATCCAAATATATGTTGTTCTTTAATTTTTTTTTATCAGGAACTCAGTTTCTACGTTGAGCAGAGACAAAATCAGTTCAGAGCATTGTGAGAAAAGCAAAAAAACAAAAATACTGAGACAATATCATGAAGAAGAAAACAGGAAGGAATCGACTAAATCTCTTAAATAAAACATTTGTTCTCTACAACAGAGAACTTCAATACGAAAACAAACACTGGTCAACAAGTATCACCTCATAATTAAGCTTAAGCTTTCTTCTAGGACAAAACCAAAGAAATTTAAATTATTATCTACCAAGCCTTTTTTCCACCATGAGGTACAAAGTTTGACGTGGATCTTGCCCGTTTATCACCAAATCCACCACCGCCACGTCCTCCTCCTCTTGACCGGAAATTCCGTCCACCACCAGAGCCTGAACAAGTCAACAAGAATTGGAATCAAAATCATCAAAGAACTAAATCGCATGATATGTTTTTATATGAACTCAAAAAAAATGAGGGAAGAGAGACTGAGATTTCACCTCCAAAGCCAGAAGATCGGACTAGCGCAGAGAGAGTAGGAGGTACAACTTGACCAGCTTCTTTAAGGATCTTGATAAGCTCTCTTGCAAACTTAGCATTGTCATGCGTAAAGAATGTAAAGGCCATTCCTTTAGCTCCTGCACGCCCGGTTCTACCAATCCTATGGATGTAATCCTCCAGCGAAGTTGGGAAGTCATAGTTAACCACACACTTTATGTCCTTCACATCTGCAAACACACCACAGAAGAAAAAGGAAGAAACACACATTTGAGAAGTAAAACATAAGACTCATACGTTCACTATTCACGAATGCAAAAACAAGATCAGGAAAAATTGATGTGTATGTGATTTTGGTGTTTTAAAAGCCTAGAGGAAAGAACAGAAACCCCCTTATCCCTACAGCTGCAGATCTGAAAAGATCAAGAAACTAAGAGCAACACATTTGTCCCAAGTAAATGTGCCCACCTTAACTTGCAGGGATAAGGAGTGTGTGTGACTACTAATGCAAGCGGGTGAGTCGCCCAGGCTGCTCATAAACCAATCAGCTCCATGCCCGGGAGATGGACGAGGGAATCAATTTCTTCATTCTTTCTATGGAAACCAGAGGAAACCGTGGAGAGCAGCAGCCAGGCGACTTTTGTTTTATATCTTATAACCCCGAGAAAACGAAATGCTCTCTACTTCTAATCCTCTCCTATTGTGTTACAGTTATAACCCTACCAAGTCCCCTTGCTGCAACATCAGTAGCAGTCATTATCGGGCTTCTTCCGCTCTTAAATTCTGACAAGACTCGATCTCTTTCCGTTTGGTTTTTGTCACCGTGTATGGCAAGAGCTGGCCATCCATCCATTCTCAATTGTCTAGTCACTTGATCACACCCTCTCTTTGTCTCCACAAATATCAAGATTTTACTTCCATCCATTAGCTGTTTAAGCAATGCAAGGAGCCTAACAAGAGAAAGAAAGCAAAAGCATTATATCAGAAAAGAAGGTAACATAAGGATTTAATATAGCTCGTTTCTTCTCAAATTACAGAAAAGTTAAGAACCTGTCGTATTTCTCTGGCGTTGGTACAATCTCAATTACTTGGTTAATAGATTGGTTAGCTTTTAGATCTGTTGATCCAATAATGGCCTACGAAATAACAATAGCTTTCAGTGCACATACATAAATAGCCTTTAGTCAATCAATGACAGTATAACAAAACTGAGCACGTTAAAGAAGATATTTACTAAACCTTATATGGATCTCGTAGAAACTGCCTGGCGAGAGATTCAACCTCTCGTGGCCATGTTGCACTCCATAGCAGTGTCTGCCTATCAGGTCGGATCTGTGCAAGGAAAAGGACAATCTCGATTAAAGCCATAATGTTTGAGTAGCAGAATACAAATGTTCAGGTGTATTGGTAGACCACACTTTCCTTAACGGCACTATACATGATAGCTTTGGAGGAAGTAAAAGCATACCTGAGATACGATCTTTCTAATTTGGGGTTCAAATCCCATGTCTAACATTCTGTCAGCCTCATCCAACACAAGGTAAGTCACTCTCTTCAAATTAGTGTGTTGGCACTCCAACATATCGATCAAACGACCAGGTGTAGCAATTACAATCTCAACACCTGACAAGCAAATCATGATTCATAAAGCTTTATGTTCCATCCAAGAATCAGATACGACAAGCTAGAATAATGAGATGAGAACAAAGTACCTCTTCTAAGATCACGAATCTGAGGTCCTTTAGGAGCACCACCATAGATACAAGTACTTCTAACACCAGATCGCAGCCCGAATTTCCTTGATTCCTCTTGAATCTGAACAGCTAACTCTCTTGTAGGCGCTAATATTAACACGATGGGGCCGTCCTCTTGACCTACAACACCCCAACGATATAACATAAGTGCACCAAAACAAGATCCAGATTACCAGTAATCATCAATATAATGTTGTCAATACTCACCCAATCGAGGCTGCGCACTAACGTGAACCAACGCTGGTAACAAGTAAGCCAACGTCTTACCAGAGCCAGTCTCGGCAATACCAATCAAATCCCTTCCCTTCAAAGCCATTGGCCATCCCTGAGATTGTATTGGCGTGGGCTCAGTGAATCCCAGTTTAGCAATAGCTTCCAGAATGTTATCTAACAAAAACATAATAAGTCTACTAAATCAAACCATTGAACAAAGAATGAAAATTTATTTCCGGAAAACATAATTTGAGTAAGTGAAAATAAACAAAGCGGCATACTTGCACTCAAACTTAAGAACATTGAAATCGACTTCAACAGAGCAGATCAAGACCAAAATCAATTGACAGATTCAACCAGTACCTGGAAAATTAGCATCATGGAACATCTTAATCGGCTTAGGAACGTCACGGCCTTCAACGGAGATATCCCTCCCTGTTCTGTACATGGCAACATCCTGCTCCGTCATCGCCTGCACAGCTGGGCTCTCCACGTAGAAATCCTTCTCGAAATGGACAAGATTCCCGAAATTCTGCTTGGGAAGAGAAACGCTATCCAGCTCCCTTTTACTCGATCCACCACGTCCTCCTCCTCCTCCCCAATTCCCGCCACCGCCGTATCCACCATTTCTATCCCCGTACTGACCATATGCGCCTCTTCCGCCACCGCCGCGACCAACGGAGAAACCACCACTCGGTGGCTGGAAAGATGGGTACCGACCATAGCCGGAACCTTCGGCCGCCATTACAGGAGGCGGTCCATATCCACCACCACCACCGTACCGTGGATTGTATGGTGCGGCAGAAGGATCCATCGGCTGAGACGAGCCAACTGGGGCGCTAGAGTAACACAGAGAAAACAAAATTACAGATCGAGGGAAACAAAATGAAGAAAAAGCGTCGATTGATTTTCACTTACCCAGAGCGTTGGCGATACGAATTCGGATCAGCAAATCTACGATCATATGAGCTCATCGTAACTTCAGATTGTATGATTTTTTATTATATTTTGGTTCTCTCGCTTGAAGTGTACTGCGTAGCTTTGAAATCGAATTTGATGCAAAAGAGAGATGATGAGAGTGCAGAAGAAAGACGAATGGACTCAAAGCCACAACGCAACAAAAGCTGGATACTTTAAACGATTTGTTCTCCACAGTAAAATTCCCAAATTAGAAACCCTAATTTTCACCGTGGTTTATTTTATTTTGTTTTATTTTTTCTTCTTTTTAAGCGCGAATTTAATTTCGTCTGTGGTAATTAGAGATGGGCCATGAGTGACCACTTAATGGGCTACAATGCTGAAAAGTGAGGAGTATGCAATAAATTAAATTATTTGCATATACAGTCAGAATCAAATTTTGGAAATCTGAACATACGAACTATGGGATATTTTAGACCTGCCATCGACGCCATACCTCAAATTCCAAATATCATACATACTATTGGAATATACCATATATGCTTTCTTCTAACAACTGAATAAGTATATCTTTGACTTAGACCCATACTTTTCTAAATGAAAATCGAATCACTAATATTACATGTAATAAAATTATATGGACTATATACGGTCGTACTTGACATGTTTATCGTTTCAAACATAACCAAGTCCAAGTAGCGCAAACGGAAAACGAAGGGACTCTACGGAGTAGCAAAAAGCAATAAATAAATTTAATTAATTTGATATTTAATCAAAATATTCATGTGATCACAATAACATGGAAGGCAAGGCTAAGATAGTTAAGAATCATCATTTAATATTATTTTGATTTAACTGGTTAAACTTTTATAATTAGTTTCCATTGAAGAGCCACATTAAATTACTTTAGCAGGTAGCCAGGTACTCAGAACGAGAGATTTCTTCTTAATGGAATTTTAATTAAAGAAAGAATATTCCGTTATGGAATAACAGAATAGTCCAAATTGCCCATAGAAGGAGGTCCAACGAATTTACGCGTAAGGTCCCACCATGACCTCATTTCATGCCTATAAAAGCCATCCATCTCCTACCTTTCTTCTCGGTTTAAGACATCGGAGAAACCAATAACAAACACTCAAAAAATCATTTCCCTCTTCTCTCCCAAAAATCCTTCAAACCCAAAGAAGAGCTTTCAGAAATCAAACAAAGTAGCAATGGTGGCCGTTGATATCAACGAGAAGAACAGTGGAAACAGTCTCAAGTTTCTATGCAGTTACGGCGGCAGAATCTTCCCTCGTTCGACCGACGGGAAGCTCCGTTACGTCGGAGGTCATACCAGAGTCCTCACCGTCGATCGTTCGATCTCTTTTGCAGGTTCGTCTCCGGTTTCGTTTAGATAATTTCAAATTGAATTGAAATCAATCTTCCTGCTCGATTCCAAATTTGGCGTTGTGCTCGAAACTGAGATTGATTTTAATTTTGTTTGCTCTTCTCTTCTCTTCTCCAGAGCTGATGAAGAAACTGTGCGACTTCTGTGGATTCTCCGTTGATCTGAGATGTCAATTACCAAACGGAGATCTCGAGACTCTAATCTCCGTCAAGTCAGAGGAAGATCTAGAGAACATCGTCGAGGAGTATGACCGCGTCTCCGCAGCCAAGATCCGAGCCGTTCTATCGCCTCCGAGATCTCTTAAACACGATTCGTCGTCGTCTTCAAGCGGCGATCGATCTCCGAAATCGCCGTTCTCCGTTACGCCTTCCCCGCCGAACTCACCCTCTCGGGCGTATGGAAGGTATCTACAATCTCGGTATTGTCTACCTCCGACGGATCTTCCGAGAAGATCCAATCATAGATCAGAAGATTCTCCTTGCTATGCGTGTCGTGTACACAAAGACTCTAGGCTCGTCTGGCATTGACGGAGGATTGGAAACTCGAATATACGCCATAGATACGACGATAATGACGACAAAAGGAAAAAAAACGAAAAATTAAGAAAATCGGATTTAAATCTAGGAGCTTTAAATTTCTATGCATGTGTTTGGTTTTGTGAAGAGTAAGAATTAAAATTTCTTTCGTAATTACGGTCAAAGACGTGACCGCCGGAGTAATTAATTTAGACGGAGAACAAGACGGAATGTAGTTGCCAGGCGTTAGTGGCCGTTACTAACCGTTAGAGTTGCCGTTGCAACGTGTTCGCACGTACGTCGTTGTTTTTATAATACGTGATACGTGGCGAAGACTGAGAGATTGACTCGTGTTAGTGTCAGAGATTTTACACGTGTATAGGCTAGTAGAGTCGTTACGTCAACAGGTGTCGGCCATCTGCACATTTGAAGTTTTTTAACTTGACGAGGTTCTTTTTTTTCTTCTCTTGGCTTCTTTGATAGTGATAAGTAACTTTTTAATTGTTTTCTGTTTTGTTAACATTCGCTTTTTTAATTGTTTTTGTTGTCTCATCAGGATTAGAGAAGAACATGTATAATGCTATTTGCTCACATGGAGTTCCTTTTCGCCAAACCATTTTCTCGTCCACTTGAGATTTAAATAAAGAAAGGGAGTTACATTAAATACCAGAAAATATATTGCTTAAATAAGAAAATACGAAAAAAAGAAAAAGGAACGGCGTATTTTAGTTGACTTCCAAAAACAGTTGGCAACTTGTGAATGGGACAGAGATGGACTGAAGGACTAAGAGTCTGGTGTTGGTGAGGAACTTGTCCCATTCTTATTGAAAACTTGGAACTCCACACAAGAAAAGTAATAGAAGTTGTTCAATGATTATAATAATTTTCGAAGTAGGAGTACCACACATCTCCTTTTTTCAGCTTTGAATTTTTTTTTGTTGAAAAAATCAACCAGCAAACAGTACACAAGACTTAGCCCCTTTTCAACATTTTAAATTTCAAGTCGGTAAAGATTCTTAATTTTGTTAGTCACACTCACACAAAAATGAAACGTATATATTCTTTTTTTTTCTGCCATCATGTATGTTCAATTTTATAATTTTTGGACAAACTGGTTTTGTATTCTTTGTTAGCGTCTAGACCAGTGAAATTTAGGAAAATGTCATCATCGAGTCACAATAACTTGTAAGCCATAAAATTTAAAGTCATCACACAAACACAAAACCTGTCCACACCTGTTAACCTTTTCAGAGTAAAAATCAAACACCATGAAACTGAGACAATGGACAACAAATAATCCATGAATTGCAAAAGAAATCTGAGGCCAAAAGTAAAAATGTTTCAACTTTAACCCAAGGAAAGGAAATAGAGCTTACAAAGTCAGAATCAATTATCAATCAGTCTTTTTAGCACAAGAAGAAGATTTAGACAAGTGTCCTCAGAATCAAGCTTATTCCATACAATGACTTATTTTTCTTCTCGAGATTCTTTACCCGGTTTCTTGCTCGAACTCTTCACCATCCGATTCCTCCGCATTGTCTGCATCATCATCCTCTGCTTCATTATCATCTTCTTCTTGATGGTTGTCAACGACTGGTTTTCCAATTACCGGTAAGCTTGGACTCATCTTTCTAATCTCGTTGCACTGCACCAAACCAAGACAACAAGACTATCCTCAAAACTTGTCTTAGCATTCACAAGAACAACATAGAAATTGACAACTAGTCTGATGACCATCCAACTAAAGGAAAGACCAAAAGCTCACAAGACAAGGAAACACAGGTTTATCTTCTACTAAATAATGTTTGACAACATATTTCTTGTCTAAAGTTCACTTTTCAGATTCCAAATCTGCAACTGAAACATCTACTAAATTCATCCACTAAATTCACAATTTTTACTAACTTATACTAAAATGTAGCACCAAAAAGAGTGAGTTACAAAGAAGAAAGATTAACAAACAATCAGAGAAAACGATCTGCCTAAAGACATTCTCTTAGACAATCCACTTAGATACCAACAAAACCTTATTTAGAGGACATTCACCAAATTCGAGATCAAAGACAAAGACTGAATTCTCCGATTATCATCGAATTAAGTAGAAACCAGTTATCGCCATCACTGGAACCGAAACCAATTTTAAAACCCAGAAGTTACCAATCAGGATTCTCACATCAAATCAGCTCGAATTACATGTACTGAAAGATTTATTATTGGTCAATTATGCTTCAGTGACACTCTAAAGCTGAGAAATTGATATCATTAGATTCCGAAAGAGAACGAATACAGAGAAAAGAAAAGCTTACCTTTTCTTCGAACTCAGCTTCTTCCATGGCGAGAAGAATCTCCTCGTTCTGGGGCTGAGGCCACTGTAACGGCAGCAGATACGATGCCGGAATCGTCTTCGTCGACGACGGAAACTGGCTCATCAACGTCGGAAACTGTAACATTATTCTCTCTCTTAACAAAAATGGTGTTTCCTCATTTTGGAGTTCATAAAATAAAAAGAGAGAATGAAAAGGTCAGGTTATCAAAACGCTGCGTAGTAATAAAACACGTATATTAATATTGGGCCTTCAACTGTATAGCCCACTTATACTGAATTCTTTAGCCCATCCTCTTCACACACTCACATTGTTCGTCCTAAGGAAATTTACGTGGAAACACAAACACCCAAACAGTAAAAGTAATCTTTTTTGTTCGGGACGCATCGGAAATACAAGTGAAAGTACTCTTGTCTTAATTAAGTTAAAGCAATACAAGGGAAAGTACTCTCGTCTTAAGTTAAAGCATCTATTTAGTGCTAGATCTGGTGGGACCATGCTTTAGTTATTGTCTGTAGAATGTAGAATCATTGTTTTTTACGCAAAGGCCGCACCACTGGGTGTGGGGGACAATCCCTACCTTCCCCGAACATGACTTATTTTAGAAACTAAAATGTAAAAACGCCATACAAGATCTTGGATTTGTTTTATTAAACAAACCAAAAATTTACATCTGATCTTTGATTGAGGATGCCTACAAATTAGAAAATTAAATATATTTATATTACCAATAAACGCCGAATCTCTCAAAACAGCAGTCATATATTTTTATATTTTGTTGAAGCACGATCAACATTTTGTTTGTTTAATGGTCGTATGTTTTGTTCCACTATTTAACTTGCATGTCACTTAATAGTTAATACAACCATTTTCACATACCGTGTAAAGTCACGAAACATGCAAAGAGAGAACGATGGTGAAATCTATTGATAATTATAGATAAAATATTGACTACCAATCTTGCAAATGTATGAGGTGAACAGTTGTAAAGGCTGTACATTGCGTAAAAAACTTAGGGTAAAATGAAAAAGTTCTTGCATTGTGATTTTAAATAGGCCAAACACACCTTTAAAAAGGTTAGCTCTTTAGACCTTTTTTTCCACACCCATTTCCTGTGAGAACGAAACTTGGCATGCGGGAATATAACACAGCTGTTTATACGGCTTTGCTTCTCAAAACAACGACACAAAAACCTCTCTTTGTATATATCACTCTCAGCCTCTCTCTCTCTCTCACACACATATATACACACAAGTCGCTGAATGTGTGTATCTATCTATATTGCAGTATATATATAGCTTGATTGAGATCAATTAGAGAATATATAAACCATGTTTCTTACTTCGAATCTTCCCCATACGCTTATGCTCTTGATCTTGTCTTATTTCAGTGAAATTGATGATGATGGAAGCTATTTTGCCGGTTAAGTCACCTCAACTCCATTGATGAATTGAAGCTAAGTGGGGAATAAGCATTCCTGGTCCGACCGATGGATTTCTTTGTTAGTCGTATTATATATCTATATATTAAGTTTGTAATAATCCCATGTCGTTAAAGTACAAATTCAAAGTTTTAGATACCTACGCATATGTATTTGACTATTTTCTTATTGAATGTACGCAGTAGCATTCAATATATTTGTAGAGGTTACATTTTCATTTTGAAAATATATCTCTGTTAGGTTTTGCAAGTCTCTGATCAAACTCCGACATAGTTCAACAATAACAAAACGACATGAACCTCACCGAAGACTAATGGAGACATAGAAGAGAGTCAAGACACAAGTCAGAAAGAGTGGACTAGTATAAATTGGATCAATAATGCGGAATAGAACAACATATTAATTTTCAACCAATGTTTATTTGAAATATCATTAAATTTTCAACTAGTATTTTATGTGGTTGTTGTTGTCGTGTAAGTTTGGATGGTGTATAACACCCTGTATTTCTCTAATTTCAATATAATTTTAAATGACAAAAAAAAAATAATAATAATAATAATAATAATTTGCAAATTTACATAATTGACGACATCATTCATATGATTTATAAAAGATTTTGCTTTTATATAAACTTTTTTAACTCCAGAGTATTGATCACGCCTAAAATGACTTAACGAGAGGACGAAAAGTAAAACCTTTTTTGGAATTTTTTTAAAGTCACTCCCTTTGAATTTTCATGGTCTCCTCCTTTGTCTTCTTCTTGTAGTTTCTTCACACTTTCTTTGATACATTATCATCTACTCACAGAGACTACAAAACCAAAGGCACTTATCGTCTCTCTAGCTCCACATCACAATGGCGGACAATCGAAGAAGAAGGAGCTTGTTGGGAAGTAGGCAGTTTTTAAGTTTTTATTGTGAAAAGAGGCAACACCATGTTTGATATTGGGAAAAGAGGCAAATTGGAGAGAGAAAATTTTTTAAATACAAAACTAACCTTGTGTCTATGAGAGAGATAGAGAGTTGAAAGGAGAGAGAATGGGTCCACTTTTCTAAACTTTATTTTCGTTGGAGAGAGAAAGTGTTGAAAAAGTAGATATAAAGAAAATTATTTTTGCCATGTCATCAAAATTTGTGGTTCACATAATAGAAACATAATAATATGGAAAAATATGTCATTTGTGATATAATAAGAAACAAAATCAAACAAACAATGTAAATAATAATATTCCCTTTCTTACTTTTAGTAAATTTACTTCTTTTTAAAAAAAATTTGATTCATATATCTAATTAAAACATGCGTATCATATTACGATATACATATTAAAAAAATATTTTTTTTGAACATTTTCATTTATTTTGTTATAAACATAAATAATATACATAGATCTTAAACTATCAACATAAACCCCAAATTATCATCTCGAATTTTAAACTTGAATTCTTAATCCTAAAACCATAAACTTGATTTTTAAAAATTTAACGATAATATCTAAACCCTAACATGCTAGTGTATTAAAAAAAATGAATAACATTTATTTTAGTTTTAGGTATATTTAGAGAAAAAAAACTATTAAAAACTGTTATGATGTTCTTACATTTCAGTTCACATATTTTCTTAAATCTTAGACTTTGTTACCAAGTTAATTCAAAGAACTTAAACCCTAATACCTCACAATTATATCCTAAACCCTAAACCCTAAATAGGATTTTAAGAACTCTAAATGGGAAAATTTCAAAATTACACTTTTTTAGATGTCAGTTTTCAAAACTACACCTCTGTGGTGTTTATTTTCAAAACTACATTTTTTTCATTGAGTAAAAGAGCTTTAAACCAAAAATATGAACTCTAAATCTTAAAATCTAACAATGACCCCAAAAGCTAAACCCTAAACCCCATAACCTAAATCCTAACCATGACATAAACCTTAAAATTGTAATCTCAAACTCTAAAATTGAACTCTTAACCCTAAAACCTAAAACCCTAAACTTGAAATTTTAAAAAATAACCATAATATATATAAACCCTAACATATTAGTGTAATACAAAAAAAATCATATTTAATTTAGTTTTCAGCCATGAACATAAAACCCTAAAATTGTAATATGTACTCTAAACTTGAATTCTTAACCCTAAAACCCTACCGTGGGGTAAACTTGGTGTACGCGTTTTGATACCGTACACCATGAGTGGTGTACGCGCTTTGATCCTGTACACTAGTCTTTTTTCTGCGCGTTATGTTGGTGTACGCGTTTTGGCACCGTACGCCAGTCTGCAGTGTACGCATGTTACAAGGCAGTGGTGTACACGTTTTGGCCCGTACACCAATCCGTAGTGTACGCGTTTTGTTCCCGTACACCAGTCCGTGGTGTACGCGTTTTAGCACCGTACACCAGTCCGCCGGTCATATTTTTGTTGGCAATTCTCTCATATACCACCAAAATGTTTTTTCATTACTCTCATAACATCATTAGTTTTTTACCCATCTCATACCATAACACATAAAATTCACTTGAGACCATCAGAACTAACCCTAAACCTACATACTAAATCATAATCCGTACATACTAAATCCTCAACCCTAAATTATAAACTCAAACCCAAATATTTAAATTTTAAACTCTTTTTAAAGTTATAACTTAATTAAATCATCTAAACTAAACACCAAACCCTAAATACTTAACCCTAAACCTTTACTAAAAACCCTAAATCATAAATACTAAACCCTACATCCTAAATACTAAAAAACAAGACACTTCTCAAAAGTTTATAATTCTCTTCTCCACATATAAAAATGTCTTATTGTTGTGGGCAATTCTCACATATACAACCAAAATGTTATTTAATTACTCTTAGTCAGTCACTAGTTTTTTTCCATCTCATACCATAAACATAAAATTCCCCTGAAACCATCAACCCTAAACCTTATATACTAAATCTAAATTCTAAATTCAAACCCAAATATTAAAATTTTAAACCCTTCTTAGAGTTATAACTTTATGCAAACCATCTAAATACGAAACCCAAAATTCAAACCATAAAAACTAAACCCTAAACCATAAAAACGAAATACTAAACCATAAATTCAAACCATCAAAACTAAACCCAAACCATTCAAACTAAATACTAAACCCTAAACCCTAAATTCAAACCATCAAAACTAAACCCTAAAACATTAAAACTAAACCCTAAACCTTCAATACTAAACCCTAACCCTTAAATACTAAACCCTAAACCCAAAATTCAAACTCAAATATTGAAATAATAAATCCTTTTAAGAGTTATAACTTAATTGAACAATCAAAACTAAACTCTAAACCTTTAATACTAAACTCTAAATCATAAATACTAAACCCTACACCCAAAATACTAAACCCAGACCCAAATATATAAATTATAATTTTTTTTAAAGTTTATGATATGAATGTAAATATGGTATGAAAGGGGAAAAATAGTGATAGCATGAGAGAAAATAAAAAACATTATCATGATTTATGATTTTTTCTCTAATTTTGTGGAAATAATTATTTCTATAAAAACTAATCTTTGTTTATTAGTACATTTTACAAATTTACTTTAGTAATTTAAAAGAAAAAAAAATCATCTCCATTTATCTGAATATCTCTACAATAATGTGCTATAATGAGTTTGTTCAACTTAAATTTATTATATAACATGTTTTTTTATTAATACAATATTATTTATTAATTTAGTAATGTAAAACACATAAGATTAAAATGAAAACGTTTTGAAAAATAATTGTAGATGAAAACCAAAAATTAAAATAGTTACTATTAAATTTTTTTTTAAACTAAAATCTACAACAAAATCAAAAATCAAAATCCAAAAGCCAAAACCAAAATCAAAATCTTTAGTTATTAAAAAATTTAGAGTTTTCAAAACTTAAAAATGAAAATTGATAAATTTTTGAGAGAAAAAGTTGAATAATAAAGTAAAAAGTAATTGATATTAAAAGTGTTAGAAAATAAATGAAAACAAAAGTAAAAGAGAATTAAAATATGGTCCTCTTGTTATTTCTTAGGCGGGGTCCACACTCAATGGCATAGTTGAAATAATCTTATTCTCTAAACTTGGTGTTGCCTCTTTTCCCAATTAAAAACTTGAAATGTGCCACTTTGCCAATTTTTCCTAATTTTAAATGATAAAAAAAAAAATAATAATAATAATAATAATAATTTGCAAATTTACATAATTGACGACATCATTCATAAAAGATTTTGCATTTATATAAACTTTTTTAACTCCAGAGTATTGATCACGCCTAAAATGACTTAACGAGAGGACGAAAAGTAAAACCTTTTTTGGAATTTTTTTAAAGTCACTCCCTTTGAATTTTCATGGTCTCCTCCTTTGTCTTCTTCTTGTAGTTTCTTCACACTTTCTTTGATACATTATCATCTACTCACAGAGACTACAAAACCAAAGGCACTTATCGTCTCTCTAGCTCCACATCACAATGGCGGACAATCGAAGAAGAAGGAGCTTGTTCCACATCTCTCTTCTCTCCGCGTCTCTGCTATGTCTCTTTTTATCTCCGATTCCGGCATCGGCACAACCTCGGAAACTCAGGTTCGATGCCAACGGCGAGTTCAAGATACTGCAAGTAGCTGACATGCACTTCGCAAACGGCGCAACCACACGGTGTCTCAATGTCCTTCCAGCCCAAATGGATCACTGCTCCGACCTCAACACCACCGCCTTCTTGTCCCGACTCATCGCCGCCGAGAAGCCTGACCTCATCGTCTTCACCGGTAACAAAAACCCCAAATTAAAAAATCCCTAATTTGAATTATACCAATTGAATTGAATTTTGGGATTCTGTTTCGTTCTCAGGTGATAACATCTATGGGCCTCATGTGAAGGACCCAGTGAAATCCTTGAACGCTGCATTTGCTCCGGCGATTGCGTCTAAGACCCCTTGGGTTGCTGTTTTGGGAAACCACGATCAAGAATCTACATTATCACGACAAGAACTCATGAAACACATCGTGACGCTTCCCTACACTCTGTCCCAAGTGAATCCTCCCGAGGCTGCTCATTACATCGATGGGTTTGGTAATTACAACCTCCAAGTCCACGGAGCTGCTGCTGCTGCTGCTGATTCGTTCCTACAGAACAAATCCCTCCTAAATCTCTACTTCCTCGACAGTGGAGATTACTCCAAAGTCCCTTCCATCAAAGGCTATGACTGGATCAAAACTTCTCAGCAACTCTGGTTCAACAACACTTCAAAAAATCTTCAGAGGGAGTACAACGCGGAGCCTAATGCTCAAGAAGGTGTGGCTCCGGGGCTTGCTTACTTCCACATTCCATTACCGGAGTATTGGACTTTCGACTCAATGAACGCCACGAAAGGAGATAGGCTAGAAGAAACGTCATCGGCAAAAACCAACTCGGGTTTCTTCACGACGTTGGTAGCTAGAGGAGATGTGAAAGGTGTGTTTGTGGGACACGACCATAACAACGACTTTTGCGGTGAGCTCAAAGGTGTGAATCTGTGCTACGGTGGTGTAGCTGGGTATCATGCTTATGGTTTTACTGGGTGGCCGAGGAGAGCGAGAGTTGTGGTTGCTGGTTTGAACAAGAACAGAGATGGGAAATGGGGAGGTGTGAAGTCGATTAGGACATGGAAGAGGCTTGATGATCAGGATCTCTCTCTTGTTGATGTTCAGTTTCTTTGGAACAATCCTGCAAACTGATCAGTTTCTCGTCGTTTGTGACTTCATGTGGCTATGTTTGGACTTCTTGTAATGGTTGTGGTTTTATAAATATATAAACGAAAACGAAATAATACATTTCTCCAAATAGAGCTATGTAACGTTCTCTTCATATAGTGCCTTTGGGCTCTGAGCTTTGTGAATTTGTGTTCATGTCTTATTGGCTCTTTACATTATAAATGAAAATGGAAATAGAAAGTCAAGGAGCCCGTATAGCTCAGTGGTAGAGCGTCAGTCTTGTAAACTGAAGGTCCGTAGTTCGATCCTGCGTGTGGGCACTTTTTTTTTAACTTTCTTTATAATTTTCATTCCTTTTCTTATCAACGAGAAACGACGACGTTTTTACGGGTTTCAAATACTATGTCGTTTTGGAGATTAAAAGCAAAAAAGGCCCAAAATCTGGAAAAACCTCTGACGGGAACGGCCGGCGTCGTCTTCACCAGTCACTCGCATTTTGACGACTTTGTCTGGTTTTGTTAGGGTTTATACTCAGCAATGGCGAATTTAATGCATAGATTATTCAGGAGCAAGGCTTGCTTCAGTCCAATTCAGAGGCTTACCACTCCTTCTCTCACCGCGTTTCAGAAGAATTCCTGCATCGATTCTGTGATCGAGAAATCTGTTCCAGTTTCTCTTGCGAACCCCGTGATTACGACGATCTCCGGGAATGAATCCGATCAGTCTATGCGGTTTTATCCTAGTTTCTCGATGGGGGTACTTTATGAACTCGAGCATGATGATTCAGTGTCCGGATCTAGCCGAAACGGTGTCGTCGTTGGAGGAGAAAGATGAGAAGGAGGAGTTTGTGATTTATGCTGATAGTGTGAAGAAGAAGAGGAAGAAGAAGATGAACAAGCACAAGTACAGGAAACTCAAGAAAGAACAAAGGAAAAAAAAGAAAAACAAGTAGAAAATTGCTTCCTTCTCGATTCCCATTTTGCTATTTTGGTGAGAAATCAGAAAGATATTTTGTTGTTGTTTTTCTTTTTTTGTTTTTTGTTTTTTCCCGTCTTCTGAATGTCGACAGATGAACACTGTTGAGTTAGAAGAAAAAAGGTTCCAAATAGCTTTGAGAATCTATAACATTGAGTCTGTGTTCATCGTTTGGATTTGTTCCACATTTTTTCATCTGATTCTGATAAAAAAATATTGATTTTTATGATAGCGTCAACTGTTTGAATTCTCATAGGTGCCTTATTGTTAGTTGGAATTTCCAACTGTGTTTTTTTTCTTTCTCTGTTGCATTGTGGTAGTATGGTTTCTTCACATGTTTATAAAACCGTAACCTCTTAAGATTGTAAGAGCATGTATTCTGGTTGTATGAACTATTTGAATGTGTACTTGTCATGCTTCACTTATCTCCTGCTTCTCGATCACTTAAGATTAGATAGTTCAATCACTTTTATCCTAGATCTGAGAATTTTAACGAGATTACTACTATAGTGCTCCGAATCACAGGGCATTCTTTTGGAATCACAGATGATATCTTAGGCTAAAGTCCCATCATCAGATCTAGAGGATCCTGATTTTCTACTTTATTTGTGTAGCTAGAAATGGTTCTAAAACTCAGAAGACAAAGTTTGCATGTGAGTAAATACTAGTAGGTCTCTTTGTGTTGGCATTCAAAGACTTGCAATTGCAGGCTGCATTGCTACAAATATATATGAACAACTAATTTACATTAAGAAGAATGATGACACTAACCAACGCCGAATGTGAATTCTAGTAGTAAGATTTCTTTTTCTCTTCTTTAAATGCTTCAAGAATATTGTTGAAGCACTGAGATTTATAGCACAAGTTAGTGAAACAGAGCAAGTCCCCTTGATTCTATTAGGGATTCTTCAGTGTTTCTGGACTTAAATAGAGCAAGTTCCTCTGATTTCCTCCATTATGATTGAGTTTATGTCGCTTAATGGCTTTTTAGAATTAGTTTGTGTTTGTTTGACACTACTAGTGATAATTCAAACCGGATTACTACATTTATCTTCATGGTAGTAATGAAGATAAATGTAGAAGGAAAAAACTTTCACTAACTTCTGCTATAAATCTCTCTTTATTGGCTCTAACAATAACCAAACTCTAGAGAATCGTCAAAAGACGCAAGAGTCAGATATAATAGAGACTGCTCTAGCTACTCCAGGTGACGTTGGATTTGATCTCCATCTCTATTACTATTACTTCTACCTTTTCTTGTTCTTCTCTCTCTTTTTTTCCTGATAAAAAAGCAAATTATTGCCTTTGATCTTGGTAGTTGAGAAGTACGAATTGAAATGTGAGACATCAGACACGAAACCGCAATGTGTCATGTGTGGTTAGTCTGTTTCCCACGCGTCTTCCCTTTTTCCACTCCAAGAATAAATAAAATAAACTGTGGTAACAAAATAAGCACATGTTTTCTTCTAATAATTTGCTTTTGAATCCTCAATTATGATATCAACTTCCACTAAACACGAATGACTAAGACCTTGTTGGTCAATTTTGATCCGCTACATTGAAAATCTACTTTTCCTTTACAATCTTCATCATAGTTAGGAAGAAAGTGATTGATTGAAGTACCCCAATAAGTATCTTAGATTTTTCAGGATTCATATACAACCAGGCTTCATATAATCTTGTCGACCAGTTAGCGACAAATAATGATATTTGTGATACATCTAGTCCACCTTGACACATTTGGAATCATATTAGCTCAAACCGTGTCTAGCTTTGGAATGATTTAGAATCAATAATCCAGTTGAGTGCACTATTGAAAGAAAATATCTAAATCATAGCCAAAAATACAGATATTTATAATTTCGACTAAACAAACCATATATTGAAAGGGTTACTCATCGACAAATTTAACCCAATCAACCAATCCGAGAGACAAATCACAAACAAATAAAACTTCCGACTCTAATAATGGCTTCTAACAATCGCTGATTATATATTCTACAAAGATACCCAAAAATAATAATCAAAATTTTAATCATCACATTAACTTCTTCCGGATTCTGATGAAATCTTCTGCTTCTTCCTTTAACAACACTTCACTTTTCTTCTTCTTTGACTGAGACAGCGAAGACATGGCTTTCGCAGACGCAACCTTTCTCACCAGAATCTTCCACTTCGTGTCCTCAACCATTTTCTTGTCCTTTTCCCCTTTATTCTTAAATTGCCTGTTCACCAAAAAAATATCAAAAAGTGACAACGAAATTAGAATCTAAATTTCTAAAATATCAATGAAATAAAAAAACAAAATACTTTTAGCCGTCTGATCATGACTCATCATCTAAATAAGTAACAAGTAGGTCACCACCACAAACATATCATTCTTGTTATCGGCGCCGAAAGTGAAAAATCAAACAAGAATTACAGTACTATCGAGACGTGACAACTTTTATCATTAGAAACATAAAAGTAAAAAGTGATTTTTGATGATTCTAAAATGTTGGTTATTTTACCTGCAAAGAGGGACACGGCAAGATTCGGACTGGTCACAAATCGAAGAGTGGAGTCTGAGAAGTTGAATCATTCTCTTGCAACGGATACAGCCTTTGCCATCGACTCGTTTCTTGCATACCGCAAAGTGACGTATCAGAAGTTGGAGCCCGTAACAAGTGGAGAACGCATTGCACGGACCCGTTTTCACTACTGATGTTGTTGACTTGTCGTCCCCTGAGTTGGACGATGGTCCGACCAATTTGCAACCTTCGGTGCATATGTGCTCTAGACATTCCATGGCCTCACTCAATTGCATAAAAAGATCCTGTTCTTTTCTGTGTCTCCTTCTTCTTTTCTTCCTCTGCAAGAAATTATCCAAAACAACAAAACCATGATAAGAGTCTCTAATATGGATCAAAATTTAAGAGTTATTCAGATTTTGATTTATATGCAGACTGGTGAAAACTGAAAAGTGGTCTATTCCTATTGAACAATAAAACAGTTTTTTTTTTTCTTTTATTCAAGAAAGAAATTAAAAAAAAAAAATAAACATTTTGAGGTAAGATTTGTTACCGATTCAGCGTCGTCGATGAATTGAAGAATGTCGAGTTCGAGGAAAGGATCATGTTCTTGAAGAAACTTCCATCCTTCGGTCTGCTCAACGGTCTTGAACTTGGAGTGGATCAAACGCATACACTTGAGATAGAGGTCAGGTGCGTCGCAGAGCCGAGCCAGCTGGAGAACATCGACCACGGTCTCGGTCGTGACTCTCTCGCCGACGCCTTTCGTGCACCGTTGCTTTAGCTGAGTCACCATGTACACGTGTGACAAAGCCAGTAGGTGGATTCCGTATTTCTCCATATCCTTCTCCGACAAACTGATGAAATCCAGATATAAGGGTATTTTAGTCATTTAGGTTTTCAAATTTGATGTTTCGCAGTTTGGTTTTGTGTTTCACACGTTTTTTTTTTTATTACAAATCAAATATATTAATAAACTAATCTGACAGGATTGATGACAAACCTGGGAGAATAGAGGAATCTGACGAAGACTGAAACGGCGTCGCATGGGACGCCGAGAATCTTAACGACTCTCTTCGATGATCCGCCGTGGAGTTTCCTCGGCTTCTCTATGATGTTTGTAAGTACCGGTGACGCAGAAGCCTGCATGTCTCAAATTCAAGCAAAACAGAAATGAACACCAAAATACTTTTTTTTTTAATGTAAGGAAGTACGAAGCTGATCGGAAAAAGGAATCTTACCAGGATTGCGGAGTGTGCCGGAATTCGACGGCGACCGGAAGTGATGATCTCAACATCGGTTTCAACTAGATCGTATGAAGTCTTATCGGAGATAAACGAGACGCCGTCGTTTTGAGTTGCGGTTATTGCCATCGTGAAAAATCCAGAGAGAGAGAGAGAGAGAGAGATGGGTTTATTAAAATTGTGGAGGGGTTGATGGAGAAGCATGAGGGATGCGTCTCTGTATTTTATAGACAACTCAACAAAGATGATCTTTTTTTGATTTGGTTATACACGTGGCATTTTTAGATTAATACTCCCTCCATTTTCTTTAGAATTTTCTAGCCATTATGTGTTGTTTATTCACTTTTTCAATTTTTAAGATACAATGATTATATTTGTTGGATTTTTATTGGTTTAAAATTATAAAAAGTTGTTTTATTGCAGAAATCTATACAATTGAAAAAAATTTATCTTTAAAAAACGGAGGGATGAAAAAAATTTATCTTTAAAAAACGGAACGGAGGGAGTAAATATCTTTTCTTTTTTTGCTTTCTGTCTCTACCCCACTCCACGCGCTTTTTTTAGGCGCTTGTGTATTTGATTCTCTGTATAACTGTATTTCTAATCTGTTTATTGGGTAACTACGCTGCTTAAAACTAATTGGAGAAATAATTAACTGTATTTGAGGTGTTTAGGGGGTCTGTATCGACTCTCATAAAAGTCATGAGATATGATTAGCATTTAAGGGGTCGGATTTAACACCAATCCAGATTCGAATGATCAAATGTGGTTTTCCGTTTGAAAATAAATTAACAACAAAAATAAACAACCCATATAAATAGTTGCCTATGAGTACCAACTTATCAAACCATACCTTTTTACCTACTTCAAAGTTCAAACCATATCAAATTATCTCTTAATTTCTAAATGCATAACTTGTAATGTGATGGTTATGTTGTTACATATCAAAATAGATTAGTGTAGAGTCTGTAGACAGAAAAAAACTTATCAAAATGTAAATTAACTAACCCAACAACAAAATGTCCATGTGGACTTTTGTCTTTCAGGCTAATTAATTGAATATAATAAATACAAAAAATTATAGCAAGAAAAATATAGGCATATAAATTACTCTATTTGAAAACAAAATTAATTTGCATATCTTTTCAGACCAGAAACATGACATAGCCTTGAATTAGAACTTTGTTTCCTCTGGATTTAGCCTTGAAATGACTCATATGTAAAATTATTGAAATCAGTTACATTTATCTAACCGGGCTAAGATAAATAAAAAGTCTTCTGTAATACATCCTGTTATAAAACTTATCATTAACATTAATATGTCTCAAACATTTTCAAATAGCCGCATTGCCTCCTAACACAGCCACAAGAACACATACTATATTAGTAGTATATTACAATACATTGTTTAAGAAACTATTTTCTTATTACCAACAAGCTATACCAACAGGATCTAACCAAGAGATCATTAGCAATATAGTATGTTTCTCCTTGGACCTTCGAGGCACCCGTGTCGTCTATTATATTTCCAACTTTGTTACTTTTTTTATGACTTCCACTAAAAAGTAACTATTAAAATTATTGCTTTTGTATTGATCATCAAAGGGATGACAATATAACAAGTATTACTTTTGGTACCATGAGGTATGTTTGCCCCCGATGAGGTCACGAATGTTTTATGTTTTCTACTGATCCTACGTGGGAAAAAGTGATAAAGCCGGTCCAAAAAGTTGCCCCGTAACGAAGAAAAAGAGTTGATATATTATTATTCTAAAACTGAAAAAGGCCGGTTATTGAATTAAACCGACCCTTGCCTCTTCCTAAGAGCCACCTCCTCGTCTACGTGGCTCTTGATCCTCATCCACTCTCATGCCCTCTTGTCTGGCCACTTGTCCTTCTCTGGTTTATCCATTCTGCCACTGGATTTTGTTTTATGAAAAAATCTCGCAATAATGATTGAACGTCAAAGGAGTTGAAGGATTTGGACGTCGGAGATGGAAAGAAAGCTCGCCGTGTAGCAAGTCTAACTATCCTAAGCCAATCATAGCACTCAAGCTTGACCATTGACATGATGACACGTGGTTAAAGTCGAACTTCATACCTACAATATTTCTAAGATCAGATATCTAAATTTCATATGGACACATATGAATCTGAAAAACATTGAACGAACTAGGACTAATCAAAACCATAGCATATTTTCGAAGCTCGATATCCGTTGTTTGACTTATAATTTGATGTTTCATGGCTAAAGAGCTGTATTTTATGTACACTAATACTAAACTTACATATAGTTGATTATAAAATGTTGGGTGTGTTCCTTTCACTAACTCTGCATGTATGTATATTCGATAAATTAATCATGACGATGCTGTGAATTTCAAGTATTCACAAATGGCCCTTTAAGAAAACGAAACATCAGAATCCAAAACTTGTGGATAGGTTTCCACGGAGGAAAAGTGAAAAGTGCTACATAAACTAATGGATTTGATGATTTCATGTAAGATTCTTCGCAACAAGTATTACTATAACTTAAAAGTGTCTATATTCTAAACTGTTTATATTCCACTTGAACTTTTGAAGCACTGGAGACTGATGTGCATGTTATACTCCGATCTTATCCTTAAGAGTTTGGTCTTTGCATTGACATTTCTATTTGCAAACTGCAAAGTATCATGACTCAGCCATGTACATATAAAAAGAAACGGTAGAGATAAATATTTCTCTATACCTACTAGATTAGTATCCAATACTTAACTTTCCACATTAACACGAAAAAATTATACGATATTTTCTATCAAAGAAAAACTATTAGCGAAAACTTACACTAAAAAATGGTTGACCAACTCAAAAACTGGGATGACCGTTGACCTTGCCCCCATCCCTTGGTCTTCGGAGCCAAGCACGCCGACGGGCCGCCAACTCCTTAACTAATCTCTTAACTAATTATCTTCGACTCTTTTGTTGTTGTTGTTGATAAAGACAGCTAAGCTTTTTTTTTTCTTATACGATGACAATTAGATAACTTTTCTAATTTTTAAAATAAATAATTTAAGTAGAATAAAGTAAAACAAAAATTTGTGCTGCTCACAATCTTTCAATGTGGCGGGAGCTTTGTGTTTGACTGCTAGCCTTTTTAAAAAGTCCTCGAACTTCGTCAAAATAAAAACAAGTATTTGGCTTCTTTGTAAAATATAGAACATGCATGCATATGTGAAAGTTACTTTTGTTGGATAAGATATGAGGTAAAAAGTTACCTCTTGGCTGGCTATCGCTAGGTAAGTGTCATCACAATAGGTTAACTTATTCTTAATGAACGTTGAAGGAACCAAAATTTCAAAGTTCAAATTTAAAATATCCTTTTACAAAAAAAAAAAAGTTCAAATTTAAAGATAAAATGTGTTAAAGAAACAAATCAAAGTTGAAAAAAAAAAAAAACAATAGCCTCTAACATGTATATAAAAGAGAATCAAATGTCTATGAGAAAACTAAAATCTGAAAGAGTGAAAATCTGTGATCCTGCCTCCATGAAATCCAGCAATCAGCCAAGTTGAGTATAAGACTCAATACTACTCTTCGTTAGTCATGGTTAGTGGATCATCACTGTGTAAGCTTTTCATTCTCCAACCCACTATTTATTAGTTTTAAAAATACTTGTTTTGATAGCATAAGCCATATATTTTTATTATTATTTTCAATGCAAATTTATTATTTAGAAAAAGTCATTATTTATTTTAGACTTGTACCACTAAATTTGTTGGACTGAACTGCTCGGAAGATGCACTAGACATGCTAAAATCGCATAAAAAGATTTGACTACAAACATGTGATCGATGTTCTAAATCAAAAGAAAGGGAAAGCAAATGTAACTTAAAAGGGCACTAGATTCGCCATTTTTGGAGTTTTGTTTTTGTTTTGGACTGAAGGCAGCTCATTGAGTTTGCTTAGTAAGAAATTCGGTCCAGTTTAGGATCCAAAACATGTGGATATTTCCACGGAATAGAAAAGTGGAAATTGTTAACATAAAAAAAAAATAGATTTGATGATTTATCCTGGCAATAAATTAGCTGAAACGAAATTGTATTTGTAAATTTAGAAAGAGCACTTGAAGCCCAACAACAACAAAGGCCCACCATGACAACAATAGTTTAAAGAATTAACCCACGAAGAGAGGCCCATCAGATTATCGTCACCGAACCACCGCTGGCGAGTTCCGGCTTCCGCGATCACAGAGACGAAGCTCTCTAATTCGCCTTCTTTCTCTATCTCTCTCATCTCCTCTGTTTCTTTTCCGGCCGAGTAGCTTTTCATTTTCCCGCTTCTGGCGATGTTCGTCCTGAGAGTCCATTCGGTTGACTTGGAGCGGCCAATCTCCATCGAAGACGAAGATTCCGGTTTCAGCTACGCATCATCGAGGAGAGCTCAGGCTCCCGATAAACTCATTCCATCCCTCAAACTCACAGAACGCAAAGGCCTCATCCATCTCTACCGCAACTCTTCGCACAGCTCGCTCCCCAACCTCAGCTCCCGATCCACCACTCTCTTCGTTGTCGCTGTTCCCAATTACCTCTCCTCTCTCGATTTTATCCGCTTCTGTGACTCTCAAATCGCTCACGTCTCCCAGATCCTCTTCATCAGGTTCGTCCATTATCGTCTATTTAGGTGATCACTTGCAATAATTCATTCCTTGCTGTTGATGATTGCTCGATTTTACTTTGACTCTGTGCTCTAGTTAAGAATGTGAAGTAGAATTGAGGACTAAAATGATTATGTTAAGCCTGATTGTTTCTGGATTTGGTCCTGGAAATCATTAGGAACGATGGAATGGAAGATCGGTATAGTGTTTTGATCACACTTTCGGATCAATCCGCAGCAGATGGATTCCACAATAACCTCAATGGGAGAAAATATGCACCATCTGAGGTATATTATTATGGAAATGAGATTCTTTTTTCCTTCACTTTTATTGAATGAAACTTCAAAGCTTTTTCTTGGGTTTTAGGCTGAGGTTTGCCATATTCTCTATGTACTTTCGGTGGAAGACACGGAATTTGATGAGCTTGCTGCTTCTCCACCTGCTGGATTCACCGAGTTGCCTACTTGCCCAATATGTCTTGGTGAGTTGAGTTGTGCTGAAGAAGACCATTTCCATGTTATGAACATTCTAGAATGAATTTGATATCGATGTTTGAAATTTGACTCATGCAGAGAGATTAGATCCTGACACCAGTGGTATACTCAGCACTCTTTGTGATCACTCGTTTCAGTGTTCTTGCACTTCAAAATGGACTTATCTCTCATGTCAGGTGAGTGGTTCCCTATGTTAGAGCTATAATGCTTGCATGTTTCTGGCGTATAATGAATCACATTTATCCATTTGTTAACATATACCTTGCATATGATTTATCCATTGTTGTTTGTAGGTTTGTCGATTGTGTCAACAACAAGATGAGATATTAAGCTGTTCTGTTTGTGGGAAAACAGAGAACGTATGGGCATGCCTCGTCTGTGGCTTCTTAGGCTGTGGAAGGTAATGCTTGGTTGCGTTTTGCCATAGTAATGAGATTTAGATAACCAAATCTATATCTTGCTTAGAGGTGGAAGTGGATTACGTTTTCCAATTGTAGATACAAGGAAGGGCATTCTATAAGGCACTGGAAAGAAACGCATCACTGCTATTCTCTTGATTTGCGAACACAACAAATCTGGGATTATGTTGGTGACAGCTATGTTCATCGGTTAAACCAATCAAAGATAGATGGGAAGTCAGTAGAGATGACCAACCGTTGTCCGTCACACGAAGGGGACTGTGGTTTCTGTGAATGTAGTGAGGATACAGGAATGAGCGGAGCCATCTATAACAGCAAAGTTGATTCTGTATGATTTTTGACCATCCTTAATCATTTTTTTTTTCCTGCATGCCTATGAATCTCTGATCATCTTCAACAACAAACTGTGGTTTTATGATTTTAATTCGACTAAGCTTTTTTTTTTGTGTGGAATAGATTGTAAGCGAGTATAATGACCTTCTTGCAAGTCAACTGAAGGCACAGCGACAGGCAAGTGCTTGTTTCATATTCTTGCAATTAATAGAGGGTGAAGTTGTAGCCACCTGATCGTAGGCAAATTACTTACAACGACTGTGATATGTTTCAGTACTATGAATCTCTCATTGTTGAGGCGAGAAGCAAGCAGGAAAGTATGATCGCAGAAGCAGTTGAGCAGACTGTTGTTAACAAGACGCAGGAGCTTCAAAATGAGATTGAAAAATGTGAAGAGGAAAAAAGTGGAATCACTGAGGTGAGAAGTCTCTCTGCCTTGGCTCTCTTTTGACTATTGTTCCATTCTTGACAGGTTTACTTATCAAACTCATTGGGTTTCAGGTTAATAGAAAACTTATAAAAGAGCAGGATACTTGGCGGAAGAAGGCCAAGGAAATAGAGGAGAGGTACATATACAAGATGTTTGCTCTTGTTAAAATGCTTACGTAACCAATTATTTACCATCCATAATAATAGAGGATTGATTGATTTTTGATGTGTATCCAGGGAAGCTGCAGTGCTAGGATCAAAAGAGGAGATGATAGTTGATCTTCAAGAACAGGTAAAAGCTTCTTCTACTATCTACACTCGTTGAAATATATTAAAGGAGTGATAGTGTGTGACCTGGTGGGTTATGATTGGATTTGTATACAGGTAAGAGATATAAAGGTTTTCGTGGAAGCCCAGAAAACACTAAAGAAGATGTCATCAGATTCGGATGGCATACGCCAAGGAACAGTCTTACCAGTGCCTATCAACGAGGAGCCTGTTAGAAAGCCGAAGAAGTCGAACCGGAGAAAGTAAATGAAGACCGGTTTTGTGATGCTTTTAGGGATTTACTTTAGTTTAGGTTTTGTATATTCAAATACTAATTACCAAGTTAATCAGTTTTTCTGGACTCATCTTTAGAGGTTGTCGGTGTCGCATGATTGTAAAATGAAATATATTCTCCATATTAAAAGACTCTGACAGGAAAATTTGGAAACAACGATTGAATATTGTGTAAACAATACTTGATTATTGAGTAATAATACTTAATGGGCTTAATTGTAAATTTAAGGGGCTCCGAAACACAAGTGTATATATATTCGTGGTGAAATAAATCCTGTCGTGGAGTTAGGGTTGATCAGTTTAAGCCGCTTGCTCACTTTTAGTCTTTCTCGAGCTCGAAGTAAGCGACTGTTTTCTTACATGTCACTTTAGTTTAGCTGTTGTTCATCAAAGAATTCGTTATTATCGAGTTTGATTTCAAATGAAGCCAGGACTGTGATTGTTTACACTGATTCGCTGTAGTTTTGGAAGTTGATTACTTTGTGTATGAATCCATCGCCAGCGAAGTGTATTACTGTTTTAGGTTTCTGATGATTCCTGAAAAAAAGTTACGCCATCATTAATATCTGATTCTCTGCTCTGCGGTCTTGTGATTTACTTAATTTGTTTGTTGGATTAGCATTAGTTTTGGAAGAAGAAGATGGTGAGGCCGTATGGGATTAAAGTGAACAAGAGAAAGGAGAGACAAGAGAGGTACGATAAAGAAGAAGAAGAGGAAGAGGAACAATCCAAGTTTGAGCGAGCTAAAGAAAATGTGAAGAAGGCGAAAAGAGAAAACACCGAGGAGGAACTAAGTGAGAATGAATCAGAAGATGATGAATCATCAGATGATGATGATGTGGGGATACCTATTGTTCTTGCTGATCCTAAACCGGAAAAGGAAAAGCCCGGCGTCATTTTCGTGCTTGAGAAGGCCTCTCTTGAAGTTGCTAAAGTTGGCAAGGTATTTGCAAGAATGTTTTCATTAACACGGATTCGTTCCTTCTCTTTAGCTAAATTAATTGAAAGAAATTGTTATTTGTGTTTCGTTTGCAGACTTGCGTGCTACTGAACTCTCATGATCATGTGAATTTCTTGACAAAAAATGGCAGAGATTATCGTGATTACCGGCCAGACATAACTCATCAGGTAATGAGGATTTTACAACTTGTAAGTCACATCTTATAACTAATTGTGACTCATGTTGAAAGATATGTTCCCCTTCAGGCCCTTCTAATGATTTTGGATAGTCCGGTTAATCAAGCTGGGAGGTTAAAGGCTGTCTATGTGAGGACAGAAAAAGGTGTTCTTTTTGAAGTTAAGCCGTATTGTAAGTTATCAAAAACTTACCACCGGTTTGCTGGACTCATGTGTGAGTTGTCCTATTTCTCCTCTCATCCATTTTGTTACTTTTAACCTCCTCAGTTTGTCTTGTTTCCTTGTGTAATTTTGTTTTTTTTTTTGTCTAGTGCAATTGCTACAAAATCTGAAGATTACTAAAAACGATATCCGTGAGACACTGATGCGGGTGATCAAGAACCCTGTTGAAAAATATCTACCGCCTGGCTCCAGAAAAATTGGTAAAAGAAAAAAAAAAGCCTATCCTACATTTGTTATCTTTATGATTCGCTAAAAAAAATGTTTTTTTTTTTGCTTGTTATATATCAGGCTTCTCTCGTAGCTCTGAGAAGCTCATCAAGCTGCACAAGCACTTACCTACTGTCTGTAATGAATCAGACACTGTTTTTGTGGTTAGTCATCTCCAAATTCGTTTTGCTTAGTAATAGTGTTTTAGCAAAACTGTACCTTATTTTGCTAAACCATTACAGCTTGGTGCGATGCATAAAGGGAAAATAGAGTGCGACTATATCGAAGATTTTGTGGCGGGTAAGTCTTGTTCCTTGAGTCATATTGTTTAATGATGGCATATACAATCTGAAAGAGGTTTTCTGGTTTCTTGATTTCTTCAGTTTCCAAGTATCCTTTGACCGCAGCCTACTGTGTCTCAAGAATCTGCGAGGCATTATCATTGAATTGGGATATAGTATGAATACAAGGGTTCTTCGTTTTCCTCTCGGTGGAACCACTTTAATTTCTTGTTGGTTTTGACTCTGTTATCGTTTATTTTGGGGAGAATTCACAAATTTGCTTTCAAGTGAAAAGCATATTACACTAGTTTCTTTGATTATGAACTAGAATAATAACACACCAAGTATCTCTTAAATAAGGGTCAACTTTAGAGTAAAAACGCATATTTACTGAAACACATACATTTATACATGAAAGAGGTTTAAAAATGTACACTGTTTCACCATCCCATTTTTCTCCACTCGCGGCCTTGTTAAAATGTTGATTTAAAAAGACAAACAAATCAAGCGAAGCTTTGCTGGATTTGTTGGATAATCGGAGGGATAATAGTCTGCTAAGCTCTCTCCGATGGATGTGCAATGTCCCAAAACACATGTCGAGATGCATCCAAGCACGGTATCGGAGCCGCAGGAGAACAACAGCAAGGCCTTGTCGGCGAGGTAAATCCATAACTTCGAGGGTTCTGGACGAGTTCATAAAGAGGATTATACATATCTATGTAGATGGAACGAGAACCGGGGAGCATTGCATTGAGATTGTTGACTTCGGCGGCTAGTTTCCGGTTAAAGAGTTTAGCAGCTAAGTTTGCTGGTTCCATACATCTCCCTCCAAGAACGTTGCTTGCTCCTGGTAGGCACCCCAATGGTAATGTTCCCATCACCGCAAATTTTCTAGCTCCCAAATTATATAGCTCCTATATATATATCAGTAAAAAAATAAGAAAATCAAACTTAAGTTGTTGAGTTATATGGGAGTTAAAAGATTCAAAAAGAAAAGAAAAGAAAAATATACCTGCATGAATGATTGAGTCCATGTAATCAACTGGTTGGTGTAGGAGAAGACAGTGTAGCGAGTGTTTCTTGCCGGGTTTGAGAAATATGTGATGGCAATATCGTTATTCCCAGCGGAAATGACATAGACTGCGTTAGAGATGATTGATCTCGTTTTCTCTTCATCTCCTGTGATGCTGTTCAGCTGTGCTATGTAAGCTTTGAAGTCGTTTAACTGGTCTGGTACCCATATAACTCCCTGTATTTAAAAAAACAAAATTGTTTGAATGTGAATTTATTAGCCAAAATACTTTGTTAGATTTACATTATATCTTAAGTTACCTGAATTCTTGCGGTCATTGGATCTAAACCAGAACCACCAGATGCAAAACTAACACCGGTTAAGATATCGTTGGGTTGAAGGTATGGACTACGAAAAGCTGGTACAATGCTCTTTACTCCCAAACCTTCGGCTGCATGCATGCATATTAGTTATTCTATTTTTTTATGACAATTAAAACATTGGTGAAGATTATATATTTTTAATTGGAAAAAATGAATTACCAATCAAATCTGTAGGAATTCTTCCATTGCCAAATCTTCCAGTGGCACTTCGACCTACAAAGTCTCTTCCATAGGGCCAGAAATTAACTTTGGTTAGAGTCCTAAGACCATTGTTGTTGCCTGTATCGAGTATCGAATCTCCGAATGCGAAAACCGCTGGAGTATATCCGGCTTGAGCGACGTACAACGATGTAACAGAGACAAATAAGACTAATATGGTTTGAAGAAGTAGAGAACCCATCTTTTCAAAATGCGTTGATCGATATCGATGTACTATTTTCTTTCTCAAGTATATGTTTTAAAAGACAATTTGTATTTGATTGTGATGACTGAATGGGATTAGATGTTCTTATATATAGATCCCACAACTTATTAACGGAACCATAGCTGTTATAACTATGGTTAGAATTTTGTTACGATAGAGCTAATTTTAACAGGTAATCGAATCGAATTTATCCATATCATCATCATCAGGGTTTGTTTTTGACCCATCTTCTATAAATCTATATAGTTGTATTATCTTGTTGAATATTAGCTGCAATGGGCTGTTTAATATACATCACTACTAATTCGGGTCAGACTGAATGCTAAAAATGAAAATTTTCCCCTTAATGGACACTTGATTTGCTATGTATAGATATAATATTGAGAGACATGTAAAAGGTAGTATACATATAAAAAAAGGTCTATGTACTACTACACATACATATGTATGACGTACTAATAGTGTTGAGTTATAATGTGCTAGTAAGTTTTGCCGACTGAAATAACTCTAGCCGACATAACGACCAAATAAAATGTCATCAATACTTTTTCACTTTGCCATCAATATTATTACATAACTAGCTTACAAGTGCTGGTTTCATTAATTTTATCATATATATACACACACGCGCACACATACACGTTGGTGTGGGGCTATGATCAGCAATGGGAACCCTTTTTGCAGCTGAGTGCACCCGAGGCTATAGTCATGTCACCAACATGAGAGGACGGTCTAGCGGCTAGGCTCGAGGCTTTCGAATAGCTTGATGATTTAGTTGGTCCAGCACCAGAAAGTGTAAAGAATGCGCCGTTAAGCATTAGATCTCCTTCCGATCTCCAATTCCAATGGCTCCATTCACTTTCGGGCGCATCCTCGTGCTTTGTTATCTAATTTTTAAAGGGTATAATGTTAGAACTTTAAATGAAATCAAATGACAATAATTGATACACAGGAGTATTATTTAGTTAAAGTTTAATAAGAAATTAAAAATTGGAGTACCTCTTTGCTAGTAGATACATCAGGAGCAAGAAAACGGTTGCCTTGAGAGTTGATGGTAGGATTAGCACTTCCTCCGATTGCATACATTTCCCAATGTGTATAGTCATTGTTCACCACATGGAAATATCCATGTCGACACCTACAAAGGATTTAAACATTTATTTTCGTATTCTAATCATATATCATAGAATTATAAGACTCTTAATTGATCTAAAACTAAAAAATTGAAATATTAGCAAAATGTTAACTCAGCTAACCCAACTATTTTTGAGTTGATTAAGACAGCATATTTATTTCGTTTGATCCATCTTATGTAGAAAAAGAAAACCGACTAAAAGTTTAATGCAGTTGTTTGTATATTGGCTTTGCTATTTTCTTTTAAGACTATGTCCAACCGACAATATACTTGACTTTTATATCTTGTGCCACATACATCCACAAATATAGGTATATACTAAAAATAAATTTTATGTTTTCATAAATAAATAAAAATGGTAAATACTTTTGGATATATACCTTGGCATTCTCTGGACGAGGCCTTCCCCAAAATGGTTGAATGCGATAGTGACTTGCATATTCTTGTCTTGTTCATACGTGTCACTATGTCCCAATAACATAACTTTATTGTGATGCGTCAAATAATTATTAGATATCGTTATGGCCGTTGATCCACGGATCGCATCAATCAACCCATCGTTACAATTCGAGAGCGAGCAATGATCAACCCACACGTGGCTCCCACCGAAGATAGACACACCGTCACCGTCCGATATCGTTCTATATCCGTAATGCTCGGGAGAATCTCGCACGTAAGTGTTTCCACCTTGCTTACAGTCATGTATGTGTAAGCCATGGATGATGATGTTTGTCACGTACTGTATGGTTATGCATGGACCACCGGCAATGTGTACGGAGGCTCCTCGTCCGTCTAGGGTTTTGAAAGAGTTCATTATGAGCTCTTCTTTGAGTTGAATGGTCATGTCTCGGTTGAATATGATCCAAAGCGGTTCGTCTTGAATCACTGCGTATCTTAGAGTTCCTGGTTTAGGGTTGACCGGGTCGTCGTTTCCTGGATCGGTGACTACGTAGATTTCACCATCACGACCGCCTATTGCATTTTTGCCAAAACCGATTCCACAATCGGCTAAATGTTTCCGGTTTTTCTCCCAATTTTTGTCGCATCTCCAACAATCGTCGATTGGATTACCGGTCCCACACGAGAAGAACCCTAGCTTCCTTCTTGATATCGACTCGTTTATTTTCCTACGAGTATAATTAACCAACGTCCACTATGTTAGCATTAATTATTTTTAACGTACGTAATTATGTGTACTCATAAGCACTAACTAATTAATGCAGAAAAAGTGAATAAATCAGTTTACATTCAAGATCGAAATACCGAAATTACCCTAGAATAGAAAGAACTTGAGAACAAGATTTAAAGCGTAACATTTGAGTGTGTACAAACAGTTGTGTTCGTAATGATTGTGATACCTGTGTACTTCCTCGACGATGAGCTCAGGGTCAGAAACGGGCAAAGACGAAGCAAGCGTTGAAAAGAAAATGCAGTAGAGAAAGATAAGTGTGAGGGATACATATGAAGATTTTAGCATTGTGTTTCTTGGCTTCTTATCGCTGAGAATGTTTAGGGTTGAGGACGAAACATATGAATGAAAGGGAGAAAGACAAACAAAAGCTATAGACTATATAGAATATGAACACTTGGGTGATTAAATGCGCATGCAACTTGATGTTTATTGGACCCACTTTGTCTTTAGCTTTTTCCTTTTTCTATGGAAATAACCTTGGATGTGTGAAAATGGAATCAACCTTAATCATACAGAGAAGAAGAATGGTGCTCATTTACGAACTGATCTGAATTAAGAGGGTTACCTATAGCTGAACCAAAAGCCAAACAGAAAAAGAAGCAAATAATCAAATTAAACATGATTTTCATTCAAATTAACCAAAGTCTTGAATCTGAACGCATTACTGTGATGAGTGGACGTTTCAAAGTTTTAATCGGGAAAGTCATATCTTCTCTCATTTGCATTCTAATTTCTAACAATTATTTAAGCCATTCCAACAATTAAAACCATACCACTTGAACCAATAATTCAATATTCAAACATTTAGGTAATACATGGTTTAAAGAGAGAGCAAGAAAAAGAAAAACAACTCGTAATTAAAGAGATACCAAGTGGTCGTATCCCAATGGTACTTGAGGGAGGTAAGTCCTAATACGGACCCGGGTTCGAAACCACTTGGTCACAACGGATTTAACATCCCTTCCGTTGGGGCTCTGGACCCCTTTCGAGGAGATAGTCGGGTTTTCCGTTCGGGTTAGATCCTCGGAATAACTGGATACAGCTGGACAAAACTCAGACCATCGGTTTGGGCCTAGGACTGGTCGGTGACTGTTCGGTCGACCCCTCAAACCCGGATACCAGAGATACAAAAAAAAAAAAAAAAAAAACCCAACGAACTTAAAGATGAATGGTGGTGGACACAGAGTAGAGTGCACAAAAAGTCAACAGTGTGTTAGTGTACTTAAGTACGTACTAATATACGTTTACTAGTGTACATTTATATGGTTTATTTCACCGTTGAATTTATTGTTAATAGAGCCTAGCAATTAACTCATACGGTACTACTTTTCAATATTTATTCTCTCTTTTGGATCTTTGTATTCGAAATGTTTGTACGAAAATTTACGTAATTTTAATTCGAAACAAGGGTTCCACACGTAGTAATGCATCGATTATTGATAGTTTTTTCTTGTGAAAAAGAGGACAGTCCCACCAAAAACAATGGAATAGGAGAAATGAGCCGACACTGGCCCATATAGGTTTGATTTTGGGGACCGCCGAACCATGTGCTCGAGTCCAATCTTTCAATATATTAATTACGCTTATAATTTCATAACTTTTTCAAATAGTATACTAATTCATAGCAAACCATTAAAACTGTGTGTTGAAATTTTGGTTGGTATAAAATGTGTTGATAATTAAATGCACATGGATGGGAAACTATTTGCAACACTATTTATCCTCCACACTTTGATGATAGGATTATATTATTAGATTTTCATTTTATTCATCACCTTATAAGATTGTAGCTCTCACCGACATTTTATGTTTGATATAGCCACTCACTTATGTCCATGAGTTTCTATTTTGCTAGATTTTCAGGCAAGTGAGTATTTGTTACTCTTACCAACAAATCATTATATTGATTTAAGGCGTTATTTTGTGTAATGGAGCCTTGGAGTACATAAATTGTAGAAAATGGCATGTTTTGGACATTCATTCGATATTCCTAGCATCATTTAACAAACATATTTGAAAAGTAAATCATTATGTTCTCGTGAGGAAACACGATAAACTGACAGATATGATTTTCATAATATTCTCAGTTTAGTAATCACATTGATCATATCTGACACAAACATTTCAATTTTTGACTACAGCAATGTTTTCATATCGGCTTACGTAGTTCATACGATTTTGGCCGCCAAACTTAACCTTGCGAGTTGCGAATAATCTTCTGTTAATTGTTTTTTTTTCTATAAAAAAAATTACTGTTTTGGACAAAAGCTCGGTGGCATTATGTACAAGTTTCTTTCTGTTTTCATATGAGATCAGTTTAACTTTCAATCTTTCTTTTTCCACATACTGAAATGTCTTGTAAAGATACAAGAAGAAAGATAAAGAAGAAAACTGACCTTTCAAAAACAACCAGAGTCGTTAGATCTTATATAAAGGGAACGGTCGGATCAGAAAAAGAGAGACTTTTTAATTCAGACAAAAGGCATGTGACCGGTTTTGCTTGAAAACTACTTGGCAACTTCTTGTCATTATCAGTGTTCACATATAATAATTCGATACACACATAGCTGATCAGTACATCCACTAAAATAACAGATAAAATAATGTTGATTAGTCCAATCATAATCATCAAATCAGATTAGGTGAACAAATCATATAATGCAATATCCATATACTTTTTCACTTTTTGTCAGCATAATAGTGATGAAGCTTACAAAAGAAACAGAATTATGAAAGATGCAAATTACAGATAAGACTAAAATGGGCCGAGCCTGCCGATACGGCCCGTCTTGCTGCATTCGAGATTTTTTTTTGTTTTCTGAAAAAAACAAACTAATCCTATCTTGTGATGACGTGTACCATCATATATAAATCCAATATTTTTTTATTGTTTATTTTTGGGATCCTCATCCATTTCATCTCTCGTCGTTGTCTCGAATCGGTGACTTTTGTTTGAATCTTTTGCGATTATATTTGGTTGTGATCGTTATCCAAATCGTTCTTACTCGACGTTGGTCGTCTTCCCGGTGCTGGAGATCCGATCCCTTTTCTTCCCTGCCTTGGCTCGAGATCCGAGCCAAGCAGTCAAAGCAGAGAAGCCGGCTTTGTTTCACGATTTGGAATTGGATTCGTGCGATCACAGGTCTGCCATTTCTCTTTTCTTTTCCCTTAGCTGCATACTTATTTGGGATGTTTGTTTCCATCAATCGATCTTCTGGGTGTTTAAGAATCTCGGAAAAATCATATCTTGTGTGTGATTCACAGTCTATGCCACTGTGAAGTGGAAGTCTCTGGGTTTCTTAGATTTTTGAGCTGCGAGAGACGAAATTTTGTTAGGATGTAAAGTTTTAATCTTATTGCTAATTGTTTTAATGTTTTAGATGGCATCGAGTGAGGGAATGTTGACTGACGGACAATGGAAGAAACTGGAATTAGCGACTCAGAACGCTGAGACTCTGTCGTCATCTCCGAAATCTCATCCTCTGTTTGCTGATTTGAACATAAAGTCTCCCACTGGTGGGAAAGGACCAGTTTCTGCTGGGATTCCTTCTAGGCATGTGCGTAGGACTCACTCAGGGAAGCATATCCGTGTCAAAAAAGGTATAAAAACTTACACTTTTATTGACACACTATTACACTTTTATACGTATGTGAATGTGATATGGTTTACTTGTGTGGCAATGATATCTGCAGATGGTGCTGGTGGAAAGGGAACTTGGGGAAAGCTTCTTGACACAGATGATGACTCCTGTATCGATGTTAATGATCCCAACTACGATAGTGGAGAGGTATTGGCGCTACTTTTCTTGTTTGTTTACTATTTACTTTGGTTCTTGTGCTTACTTGTGATTGATATACTCGATTTAACAGGAGGTATATGATGGACTTATTGATTCACCTGTGTCAGACCCGTTAGATGATTACAAGAAGGCTGTAGTGTCTATCATTGAAGAATACTTTAGCACTGGAGATGTGAAAGTTGCGGCATCTGACCTTAAGGAGCTTGGTTCGAGTGAATATCATCCTTACTTCACCAAGCGACTTGTCTCTATGGCCATGGACAGGCACGATAAGGAGAAGGAAATGGCTTCGGTGCTGCTCTCTGCGTTGTATGCTGATGTCATTTTGCCTGATCAGATTAGGGATGGGTTTATTAGACTTCTCAGGTCTGTTGATGATCTTGCTCTGGACATACTCGATGCTGTTAATGTCCTTGCATTGTTTATTGCCCGGGCCATCGTTGACGAGATCCTCCCTCCAGTTTTTCTGGCTAGAGCTAAGAAGAGTCTTCCTGAATCTTCGAAAGGGTTTCAGGTTATTTCAACTGCGGAGAAGAGCTATCTCTCAGCTCCCCACCACGCAGAGCTAGTGGAGAGAAAATGGGGAGGCAGTACTCACACTACAGTAGAAGAGACAAAGAAGAAGATATCTGAGATCTTGAAGGAGTATGTAGAGAACGGAGATACTTATGAAGCCTGTAGGTGCATCAGAGAGTTAGGTGTCTCCTTTTTCCATCACGAGGTTGTGAAGAGGGCTTTGATTCTAGCTATGGAATCTCCAGCGGCTGAGTCACACATAGTCAAGCTGTTGAACGAAGCTGCTGAAGAAGGTCTGATCAGTTCGAGTCAAATGGTGAAGGGATTCTACCGAGTTGCGGAGAGTCTTGATGACCTTGCTCTAGATATCCCATCTGCCAAAAAGCTGTTTGATTCCATAGTTCCCAAGGCTATCTCTGGAGGCTGGCTTGATAATTCATTTAAGGTAATCTCTGATGGAGATGGAGGGAAATCAGTCGAAGACGAAAAGCTGAGACAGTACAAGAAGGATATAGTGAACATAATTCAGGAATATTTCCTATCAGATGACATTCCTGAGCTAATCCGTAGTCTTGAAGATTTGGCGACACCTGAATACAACCCGGTGTTTCTGAAGAAGCTCATCACTCTTGCTCTAGACAGGAAAAACAGAGAAAAGGAAATGGCTTCTGTTCTTCTTTCTTCTCTTCACATGGAGTTATTCTCAACCGAAGATTTCATAAATGGTTTCATCATGCTCCTCGAATCCGCAGAAGACACGGCTTTAGACATCATGGACGCATCAAACGAACTTGCTCTGTTTCTAGCTAGAGCTGTGATTGACGACGTCTTAGCTCCACTTAACCTTGAAGAGATCTCAACCAAGCTACCTCCAAATTCAACCGGAACCGAAACAGTCCGCTCAGCTAGGTCTCTTATCTCCGCCCGACACGCAGGGGAAAGACTCCTGAGAAGCTGGGGAGGTGGGACTGGGTGGATAGTGGAAGACGCAAAAGACAAAATCTTGAAACTTCTTGAAGAATACGAAACAGGTGGAGTAACATCAGAAGCTTGTCAATGTATCCGCGATCTAGGGATGCCGTTTTTTAACCATGAAGTAGTGAAGAAAGCGTTGGTGATGGCAATGGAGAAGAAGAATGATCGGTTGCTGAATCTGCTTGAGGAATGTTTTGGTGAAGGATTGATTACAACTAACCAGATGACTAAAGGGTTTGGTCGCGTTAAAGACAGCCTTGATGACTTGTCGCTTGATATACCGAACGCCAAAGAGAAGTTCGAGTTGTATGTTGGTCATGCCATGAAGAATGGTTGGATCCTTCCTGAGTTTGGGTTTTCTGCAACTCAGTGACGAGTGAGTGAGTGAGTGAAAGTGATGATGACTGATTTCTCCATCAGTTTTTTTCTATCCTTGTGTAAGCTTACTATGCTTTCCTCACTTTCTTTATATATATGTATGAATTTGGTTGGTAGATAATAAACATAAGATGTTTATAGTTTTCAACTTTTCATTCGTTTCTTTCTGTATCGTGTTGTCTTTGTACTGATATCTTTTTTTAGTGTGTTGTAATTTCTGATGGATTTAATAACATTGTACAAGTCTCTCTTGTTGGTCTTTGTTCTTGTTTGGCGGAGACGATAACCTTCACATAAGAAGATTGACACCGGCGAACAAAAAAGTTATCCGAGTATGTACATGTATAAAAAGTTGTAAACTAATTTTTGTGTACATGTATAAAGACTTGACTGAGACTCCAAAAGTATTTTACATCCAGAAAATGCGTACTATAGAACAGGGTAACACTTGGTCTGTTGAATTGGAACATGTTAGTGTTTTATACATCAATGCTGGGTTTCTCCATGTTGATCCACTTGTTAGGCAATGGATCGGGCAGCTTCATAAAGCAGAATCTCTGGCCTAACCTTCCTTTCTCCACAGAATCTAACCACACTCTTCCAGTTACCAACAACCTAAGGAATCACCCCCACACATATCTTATCAACAATGTCTGCTCTCTATCTAAATTCACAAGGAAGACAAAAATCAACTGTTTCGTCTTACCTCTCCTTCTAAAGACTCGCGTCTGAGATTGACCCACCGGTTCTTTTCATAAACTATGCAGACGTGTTCTTCTACTTCCTCATTATAACCAACCTGCATCACGTCCCATATATTCTGAGACTGTAACAGAGAAATACGGAAGAACAATGGGGCAAGCATTTGCGACCCTGTTTTCAGTTTCTTTTTTTACTTTACCATTGACACAAGCCGGTAGTTAGTGTTTGGGTCCAAGCCTTCGTAGAGCTTGCTGATATCTATCTCCCACTCCAAAGCATTCGTTGTTTCAGATATTTCTTTTTCAGTTTCACCGTTCTCCCATTTTAACACTAATGATGCAAGCGCACAAAATACCAACGTTGTTTTATTATAAGCATAACAAATGAAATGAGTACATGAGATCACAACCATGGTGGTCAAAACTTACCGATTGTGAAGATAAGCGGGCGTCTACTCATAACGTGTTGAACAAAGTTTCTCGTTCCGCAGCCTCCAGTTTCAATGTCACAAAACATTTTCAATTCCAAGCGTATCAGCTTAAGGATATCCACAAACTTTATATCCCCAAAAGCACACTGCAGATATATCAGCACCAGAACATCTTTATTAGGAGAAGTATCAGTTTCTCTAGGAAAGACGAAAAGCGAATAAATGAAATATACCTTCAGGTCTCTGATTGAATCTGCAGGCATAACAATTCCATAAGAACTCTGCTCTGGATGATTTGGCCTCCTTCTGCATTTTCTACACCTCATCCATTCAAATTCTTCCACCGTAAAAAGGCGAGTCACCAGGCTTTTTCTTTCCGAATTTTTCCAGCAATGCCAAGACTCAAGGATGGTTAGAAGCACCTCAGCAGCATTACTCGACTGAAAAGAGTAAAAGATAGAATTATTAAAAAAAAAAAAAGAAGCTTATTGACAAGAACATATAAAAATACTATGCTTAGAAGCTCATCTTCTCCACACGAACCATGGGGATAACTTCTTCTAGAGAAGCAAGCAAGTCGCTCAAAATGACACTGTAAACTCCCTCGGTTTTTATTTCCCATGACACAACAGCAGAAAATAAATTTTGTAGCGCATAAGGAACTTGTTCTTCCAGGTCGTCATGAAATGGTTGCTTGTTGTACTGTAAATCTTCTTTAAGAACGTTAATGTTCATGAGGGCCTGCAATACCACGTGTTTTTGTGACTTTATCAAAGAGAATAAGGAGGTAAAGAGATATGGAATGAGCTGAATTAGAAGACGACAGTTTAGGTATTGAATATTGATTTTTTTTTTTGGATCAAGGCTTTACCTTTAGCGTCATGTCAAGAGCTGAATTGTATCTGGCTGCAGCTCCTTCAAATGCTTGCTCCAAATGTCCCGACTGTGAATCTTCTCCAGGCATGTTTTGCATATCTTGAAGATGGCGAATGAAAGATATAAGATTTATGATTCTCAAAACAAAACAATTCAAATTATTCGTCAAATGAGAAGCTCTTTTTACAACCTTGGTCAACTTTATTAGGTTCCTCTTGAATGTCAGCGTTGGATGAAATTTCCGATCGATCAACTTTTTTAGGTTCCTCTTGAGTATCTTCTGGAACCATAGAACCTTCTTCTGGTTCAGGCTTGACAGAATGTTCACTGGACATGCATGAACAAGTTTTGCTCAGGGAAACCAGAAAACAAATTATAAAGACCCGAAAAAGGACTCTTGAGGTACTTACTGTTTAACAGTCGTACAAAGGGGACTAGAGCTGCTCGTTGAAGTTATCTGTTGCGCCATGTAGACCATTCATTCTTACAACCCATTAACCGAAAAGTCAGAATAGCAAATAGAGAATTTAGAGCTTCAAAGACCTTGATGCTACTAGCTTTCTTCTTCTTTTGTGCCTGTGACTTTTTCGCCCCATTAATTAAAATCATTGCTTCTGCTGCATCTGTTGGATCTGTCTTGGCTTTGGACTCCATATTTACAATTTCATTCTAGACGAGAAGAGACATAAAACATATAAGTAACAATTCAAATACCAAACCAGACGGACTATGAAAGCTCTGTGTATGTAACCAAAGTTCTAAACAAACCTTGGTGCTTCTAGTCTTCTTTTTTGCCTGTGACTTCTCCTCATTGAGTAAAAGCATTGTTTCTGCTGCCTCTGCCTTGGCTTTGGATTCCATATTTACAATTTCGAACTAGATGAGAAGAGACATAAAACATATAAGAAACAATTCAAATACCAAATCAGACGGACTATGAAAGATCTGTGCATATAACCAAAAGTTTTAAACCAACCAGCAAGAAAGGTTTCAGCAGTTGAAGCATATAAGAGCGGTGGTCAAAAACAGAAAGCCTTGTGAGGTTGTTTAGCAATCTAATCCTGGAATTATCAATCAGCAATATCTTTGAATCGATTAGCAGAACCTGCAAGTCACGCAGATACTTTTAGATTGACAATTTTATGTTATTCTGTTGTTACAGTATATTACTTCAAATCATGAACGAACCTTGTCGGTGACCATTGATTTCAGAAAGTCTATGGACATCAACACCATATTATCGCTGAAACATTTACCCTCACGTATAAGATTTAGGCAATCTTCTAAGTCGGGGAAATCAAATGTCAGACGCCATGCTCCGTCTAAAACATCACGTACTGCACACAAGAATAACTTTGCAGAGAGGGAATTTCCAGGGACTCTCTCTTCACATTTATCGCATAGAAGAGATGCATAGCTTTTCCACTGGTCTTCCTGAAGATCCCGTCTTCTTTCGTCCTCACTCGTACACAATTTCTCGACTTCAGCAAGAGCTTCTTCGTAATCTAAGACGTGCCTTTTCTTTGCATATTTGGTTCCCAGTGCTCTACAACTGTACTGGACATCTCTCAGAAGAGCCACCCAGATTCCAAGATTGTGTTCCCTGACAGGTCTAGAAATGCTCTTATCTACTGAATCGTAGTCAACTAACCAGGAAATGATATCATCTCCCTGCACCTTTGCCTCGGCGTAGTGAGTCTCCGGATCATCAATCAAATTGATTTTCCCTTCATCATCGAATGGAGCATTACTTCTTTTCAACAGCCTTTTATCCAGAAGCACCAACGAATAGTGAGTGTCAAAGTCGATGTTCTCTTTAACTCGAGTACGATCCAGCAGACTGTCCACTCCTCTGCAAACCATATCTGTACCATCACGCCTTTCACACTTGATGTTTTTCAGAAGGTTTCGGATTTGAATGAGGTCAAGACGTTCCAGAAAACAGATGCTCTGTGGTGAATCCAATAGGTGAACATCGATAAGACTCTCTCGGGAAACTTCAAACTTTCCAAGATGCTTAGCCGGAAAACGCATCACCCAGTCTCGAACGCTACAGGAAAGAAGTTTACGGTCACAGAGCGACACAAGGAGTAGTTTGATTTCCTGGAGTAGATTAAGACGCTCTTCATCTGCAGCTAAAGGCCACTCAGTGGACCAACCATTCTTCTTAGACTTAGACGTAAACGCTTTCACATGTGCGAGCTGGTTCTTGATCATCTCAACAGCAGCTACTGTATCCACTGGTTCCCAGCCACCAACCGGAATCTTATGAGCCCACTTTTTCCCTATCCTCTCCACTATATCCTTCTCCGAACAAGGCTTAAAATCTGCAGCATGTTCTTGCTCGAGATGAGTCTTGCATTCTTCAGCAGTAGAAAACTCCATCAAACATAAAGTTCTACACGCCCAGACTGACCATTTCTTGCGTTCCCTGGCAAAAGCGAGAACGTTTTCCAAAGCATCTACTCCCTCTCTGTTATGCACTCCCTCGATAAAAAATCTGAGCTTTTCAATGCTTACTTTCATGAAATCCCTTTTGCTCTGAGCATCCAAACCCATCCAATACGCCTTCAATGTTTTCACCACGTTCTCACGCGGGTCTGGACTTTCCTTTGGATCCAAAACTTTTGCCTCGGATTGTGTTAAAGGAGAAGTCTTGGATTCAGCGATCATGAACTCTGCCTCTCCGATTAAACGCTCCAGATCTTCCCTCTTGCCGACTTCTAGGTTTTGCGAGAGCAATCGAGCAAGAGGATTCGTGTATTCTGTGTGATCAGCGAAGGATAAACCCTGTTTCGCTACCTCCAAGCATTCCTTGAAAAACATCACTGATCCAAGGCGATGACCCAAATCGCAGAGTCCTTGTGCGCGATGTCGCGAGAGCTTCACATCTTGCGAGCAGCATTCTACGATAGCCAAAATGTATGCGGTTCTCAAGTCAGGGTCCTCTGCTGTTTCCGATATCTTCATGAACAGATCACCTTGTTCAGCATGAAGAAGCCATGAGGCCTCGCCTTCCTTATGAGCTAGCATCAAATCTTCGATTAACTCCAAGGCCTTGATGAATTCTCCATTGGCGACGAGCTCTTTAGCCTTCATGAAGAGTTGTAAGCCTTCCGGATCGTCCAAGATAGAAGGCGCCATTGGAGACGATCCTCGAGGTTTCCTTTCGATTTCTTGCTCTCTAGGGTTTGTTCTTCTTTCTTTTGCTTCAGAGAGAAATTTGTAAGAGTAGACGCGGGAAAATGAAAGGAGATAACAGAAAGTAACTGAGGAAGTTGGCTTTTATCGCGTGAGAGACACGCGAGACCCAATTGAGGAATTGTGTCGAACATCTTGTGCGCATTACCCATTTTGGGATTTTTACCGGAATTAATGAAAAAACAAAAAGAAAACCAAAATAAGTGTGAATTTTCGAATTTAGCTTGAAAAGGCTTAAATGTAGAGTGGTCTTCTTCATGGATAATCTAATCCTTGTTGCCAAACAACCTCGTTAAGTATTTTTTTTTGTTGCCCCGTTTATTTTTATTTTTTTCTCATCACCTTACTTCCCGGCGTAATCAGAATATCAATGGACCGGCCGGAGACGATCGCCGTCAAATACGAACCCATGACCGTTGACTCTCCTTCATCTTCTTCCGCCGCCGCAATAGACAGGCCTGCTCGACCTCCAAAGCTTGTAATCTTAGCTGACCTCAATTTCAACCCTCCTGAGACTGACGATCTTGACTCTTCGATTCAAATCCCTAGTCCTCCCATCGCTAGGTATCCATTTCTGTTCCTAGAGAGTATTGTTCGGCTAAACGTATTTGTTTTTGTTGCTCTTTATTTCCTTTCTTTCGCTGAGATTTTATTTTAACTGTTCGGGAGAAAGTATCTAAAATGATTTAAGTCAAGTTAAGTTGGACTGAGCTAGATATATGGAGAATTTGTGGCAGTCTATGAGTGAAATGGTCCACGAGTTGAAAACTGAAAAGAGGCTGTAAATTTGGACTTTATAAGTAGCTTCTTCCTGGTCTCGAATTTTGTTTTATAAGTTTTCGTTGAATCCAGGGCCTGAATTTTCTACCAAAAGTTTCAGTTTTTGCATTTGATCATACAGCCTTTGCTCTTAGGTTGATTCATATGCCTAAAAGGGTTTAACATGGACGAATAAATTTTGTGTTTTGCAGGTTGAGTAACGAGGAAAGTCATCAAGATGGAGGTCCAGTAACATGCAAGGAGGTGGAACCAGAGGAATTAGAAGCTAAAAAGATCAGCAAGGTGGGGAAATGCCGCTCGAGAAGTAAGATGGAGGCTTCCTCTGACTGTGTAGGTGATGCAGATGGTGATCAGGCTAATCAAGGTGTTCCTGCATCCCGGGAAGAAAAAATCAGTAACCTCAAAATGGTGAGTTTATTGACTCATATCATGGTCGTAAGTGTGCTTGGTCCGTCTTTAGAATCTGGGTATTGTGGATGACCAATGAGATCAAGATAGTCTTAGTATTGTTTTTAATTGAACATGGTTTTTTCATTGAACATGGTCATTAAAGTCATATTGAGGCAACCAACAGTTAACACTTAGAGGAGTCATTTAACAAAGTTTCTCAGACATTGGATTCTTCATTAAACATGTGGAGAAAGAATGATGGTGGTGCTCTTAATTTCATAATGCTCATCCCAACTGGTCATTAATCTAATGGTTCGCGATGATGATGCCTTTAATTTATTCTGATAACACTTCTCGGCTTGTAGGGTTTGATTCATGTTGCAAGGAAAATGCCCAAAAATGCTCATGCCCATTTTATTCTTGGTTTAATGTTCCAACGATTGGGCCAATCTCAAAAGGTAGGCTTGAGCTGAGGCTACGCTGTTAGGTATTAAAATGATGAATATCTTATTGAGTTTAACTGCCATAAGTTTTTAGGCAATACCAGAATTTGAGAAGGCTGAAGAAATCTTACTGGGTTGTGAGCCAGAAGTTGCTCGGCCAGAACTTCTCTTGTTAGTTCAGATTCACCATGGACAGGTGATGATCTTTGTGTCTGAATCTTCACATTGAACCCTTGTATTCTCGAGCTCCTATTTTTTACTGAGCTTCATGACATTGCACACTTAAAACCATGTAGTGTCTTCTTTTGGATGCTTTTGCGGATAATGACTCTGTTAAAGAGCTTGAGGGAGAAGAGCTTGAAGAAATTCTATCAAAATTAAAGGATTCTATGAAGTTAGATGTTAGACAGGCAGCCGTGTGGAATACCCTTGGATTAATGCTTCTCAAAGCTGGTTGTTTGATGGTAAAATTCTTTACCATGTTGGTGTTTCAGATTACCAGTGTGATTCCTTTTGTGATATAGTTCTCTCTTTTATTTACAGAGTGCAATATCGGTCTTGTCATCTTTGCTGGCTCTTGTTCCTGACAACTATGATTGCCTTACAAACCTTGGAGTTGCTTACCTTCAGAGGTAAGAAGTTTTCTACCTCTCAATTGTCTAACTATTATCGTGATAGTTCTCTCTAATCAACAAGTCTTCCAGCGGAGATTTGGAGCTTTCAGCAAAATGTTTTCAAGATTTGGTACTGAAAGACCAAAATCATCCTGCCGCTTTGATAAATTATGCTGCTGAACTTCTTTGCAAACACAGTTCAACTGTCGCTGGTTTGTTTCTTATCAAAGAACCTCTAAATTGTTTCATCCTCTGACCGTGCTAAAGAAAATTATACATGCAAAAGTAGCGGGAAATGTAACTATGCAAAATGCCTTTTCACTTCTAACCTGTGAAGGTGTTTCTAATTGATGTCAGGTGCCGGGGCTAATGGTGGTGCTGGTGCTTCTGAAGACCATAAGGTACCTATGAATGTTGCAAAGGAATGTCTCTTGGCTGCACTACGATCAGATCCAAAGTCTGCTCATGCGTGGGTGAATCTTGCTAATTCATATGATATGATGGGTGATCACAGAAGCTCTAGCAAATGTTTGGAGAAGGTGCTCTTGGCTCACTTCTTTGTTTTGAGGTTGTTCATTGTTTTCCTTACCTTGGCGCTGGCTGTTTAATAAGATGAGCCAATTTACCTTGGCGCTGGCTGTTTTAAAATAACCTTGGTTTGAATATACCCGTGTTTAGCGAACAATCTGCTTGTGATTGTTTGTCCATGTCTTGGTCACGGCTGACAGAATTAACCTGTTTTATCTTCAGGCAGCCAAAATCGATCCCAACTGTATGGCTACTAGATTTGCTGTTGCTGTTCAACGGATCAAAGATGCTGAAAGGTCTCAGGATGCAAGCGACCAGCTTTCATGGGCTGGCAACGAGATGGCTTCAGTGATAAGAGAAGGAGATTCTGTTTCAATTGACCCTCCCATTGCTTGGGCAGGGCTTGCCATGGCTCACAAGGCACAGCATGAAATTGCAGCTGCTTTTGTTTCTGACCAAAATGAATTGACGGAGATGGAAGAGCGTGCTGTGTACAGCTTAAAGCAGGTATGCCGTTTCTGTGTTAGATACATTCGTATATATAATTTGCTAGAGTAGGAGGAAAATTGAAGAGAGACTATTTTAGAGATAGATGTCCCTAATTGATTTATTCTTCTGGTTTGGTCGATGGTAGAGACACACATTAGCTAATGAGGAGAAAAAACTTTTGATTTCATTATTGTCTTTCCATTCAACCGTAGGCAGTAACAGAGGATCCTGAAGATGCTGTCCGGTGGCATCAGCTTGGTCTTCATAGTCTCTGTTCTCAACAATATAAGCTCTCCCAAAAGTACCTCAAGGCAGCAGTTGGTCGTTCTAGAGAATGTAGCTACGCGTGGTCTAACCTCGGTAACTCCCTCTTTAAATCTGATTGCTCTAAGCGTGTGAAGAAAATTGACGGTTTCATGTTGCATTGCTCTTATGGAAAGTTCATATGTTGCCTTTTAGGTATCTCACTGCAGTTATCAGACGAACAATCAGAAGCCGAGGAAGTATACAAGCGAGCCTTGGCAGTGTCAACAGAGGATCAAGCTCACGCGACATTCTCTAACCTCGGGAACCTGTACAGACAGAAAAAGCAGTACGACCTCTCCAAAGCAATGTTCTCCAAGGCGCTGGATCTCAAACCAGGTTATGCACCTGCGTACAACAACCTTGGACTCGTGTTTGTGGTTGAACGTAGGTGGGAAGAAGCTAAATTATGTTTCGAGAAAGCCCTTGAAGCTGACGCATTGCTTGACGCAGCACAGTCTAACTTGCTTAAAGCCACATCCATGTCAAGACTATGTACTTGCTTCTCTTCTTCAACTGTTGTCCGAGATTCTTAATGGTTCTGTAGCACTTCATTTTCGTTTTGTGGATTCACAACTCTCACGTTTTGCGTCTTAGATTGTACAAGTACAAAGACTTTAATACGACGAGAGGCTTTGAATCTACATAAACTTCCGCACTTTCTGATTTACTAGTCTTCCCCAACACAAAGTGTCTTGGCTCTTGACAAACTTATTAACCATCACTTTTAAGAAAAATAAAGAATTGACCTGACCTAGTCACTTCATGGTATCGACTATCGAACTCACGGAAGTTTTGAGACGATGAAACGTTGAAGAGGCTTGAACAAACATTAGTTACAGCAAAACTTGAAGTTTATTTTTGTCATTTATCTTGAAAAATGTTATAAAGACGAACAAATGTATAATGTTACAAACTCTTGACCACTTGAGGAAAAGAGTAACAACTTATGACTCGGAGAATTCTTCATTATTAGAGCATTGCCAAATACAAATCAAAATGGGAAAAAAAAACGAGTATGCTTGACTCTTCTATCTCCTTCTTCAGCCCATCATCTACACAGAACAGAGAGAGAGAGAGAGTTTCCAATGGTTTAAGCATTGTAACTTCAAGATATGAGATATATGAAGATCATAGATACTGTATATGCTTTTATTTAACCTTGAAGATGTCTCCAAACATTCCTTGCAAAGGATTCTTACGCTGCACCCCGTAGAACCTCTCTGCAATCTCATCCAGCAACTTCACAAAATAACACAATTTCCCGGTTTTAGTCAGTAGCGCAAGGAGAAGCATAATCAACTGTCAAACCACGCAGAGACCAATTTAGTATACCTCGTGAAGCAACGGTTCTCTATCTATGCATGACTTAAACTTTACTCTTAACATATTGAACAGAGGCAATGCATCCCTCTGCAACCTGTATCGAATATCAAAGTTCTTTAGGTAACAACAAGACTAAAAGGAAGAAGAAGATCTAAGCGGGAAACTAACGTTTCCAGAAGATATGAGATAAACTGGATAAGGTCTGATTCTGAAAGCTCGGGGTTTTTCGTCTCGGCTTGTCTCTTGATCTCATCCATCATAAAATTTGCATCTTTCATGTTACCCATAGATAAGTACCTAACATGCAAAAATAAGAGAATATTAATACACTCTCTTTAGTTCCTCTAAAACCGCTGCTATCTCTCTATCCAGATATAAAGCATGGACTTACATGAGAACTGCTCGTGCAATCGCGAGATCATCTTCACCAGGATAACACTACAAAGTAGCATTCAAGTAAGAAAACATGTCTCAAAATTTCTATCCCAGTGAAAATGTTTTTCAGAGAGAGAAAATTTAAAGAGATGAGACGATTTGAAATGAAGAGACTGACCCGTCCCATAAAGTTGATCAGCATAGACGCAAACTTCTCTGGGTCCTCAGCTCTAACAAAATGTCGTGATATCCGGACCATGTCCTGCCAGATAGATTAAAAAAATCAGCTAACGGAAAGAAATGAAATGTAAGACTTTATAACCAAAATGGCTACAAGAAGAGGATTACAAGTTCAGGACACTCGGTGTAGAGATAATCAGCCAGCATAGCATGCAACTCAGGATATCCAGTACTTGGACCTCCAAACTCTGCAGACCATCTAAAACAAGGACAAAAACAGAACTTTGAAATAACTACCTCTATTCAACAATTTACAATGTTCGATACATGTTATAATGGGGAATAGCAGCTGAATAAGAGAAACAATACATGTGCTGTGTCTTACTTTATCGCAGCTCTCATAAAGGAAGTCAAGTTTTCAACCCGTGATCTGGCTTCCCCAAGAGATTCTTGAAGATTTTGGACATCTTCATCATCACTCACATCTACCAAATGAGGTGGTACAGGAACACGAGGAAACAATTTGTACATAGACCTGATACGATCTGACACAAATACTTCAGCATAACCAAAAAAATAAAAGTAGAATAATGGGATCTAGCAATGAAACATTGTCTGGACCGACTAACCAAGAGTTTCATCATTGCAAGGTGACTTGCCCTTAACTAGTGTGTCAACAAACAAGATAGAAAGGTCCGCCCCACAATTCACCTGAGGATTCATCGTTTCAGTCAGAAATTACCTCTACAAAAACTGAAAGATGATATAATAAGGATTTTGCCTTTCGATGATTACATGCCATTCCAGGTTCTGAGTACTGTATATCTATATAAACTATAGAAATGTAATAACAAAAGAGGGAAAGGGAACAAACCAGGCCGTGCTCTAGTTCAAGGCATGCCCCTGAAAAGAGGATATCAAGCGCTTCAGAGAATCTCTGAGCTGTAACATATCTGCGAACAAGAAGCTAATGTGTTATCAACACATTCATATGTATCAACCAAATCAGAGGAACAAATAATCTGTCAACAAAATCCAAATTACCAGAATCCAAAAGGGTCAATGCAAAAGGATAATTGGGTTATACAGGAATCGAGCTACGAACCTTGCACTGATAGATTTATACATCTGCAACGCTCCATAGTAATTGCCTTCCTCTACCACTTTCCGCAATTTATCAATATGCTATATACGAATTTGAAAAATGAACATCAGATTCAAGGATCTATGTTATCATCATCCTCATCAACTGTTGACGATAAGAGTCGAGAGGTAATCGAATACAGAGAATCCGACTGAAATTAGACAAATCTGAGAAGAATTCGGAAGAGAGGAAAAACAGATCCAAAGTAAAAAGTACCTCTTGAACGGGAGGTAATTCACGTCTCGTCCTCTCTCTCGACATGGATCGGAATGTTATCGCTTTGAAGAAATTATCCAACGGTTCTTCAATTCTTCTTCTGTTGGTTAATTTTGCAGAGATATAGCCAAGTACGGGAATTAAACAGGAATTGAGAGATGCGTCATTGTCTTGTGGATTTACCCTAATTAAAAACAATTCGGTTTTAAAAAGGAAAACTCAATATTCAAATTTCCTGTTTACATTTTTGGAAAGTTTCTATTCAAAAAATTCATTTCGCTTATTCAAACTTTGTTATTTTGCAAAATGTATTACTTGAATTTTTGTAAATCAAGTTCGTAAATAACCAAAGAGTTTTCCACCAAATGATCAGTTTGTTACTGAGTTGTAATATTAATAAGTATGTATGATGTATCTTGTTCGATTCATATGGGATGAAGATGAATACAATAAGTACGCAATGTTATTGAAACTTCAAAAAAATTCAATATATAATATCCATTAAATTTATTTTAGTTTAGGGAATACAACAGTCCGAAAACAAAAACCCATTTATTAAAAGAGAATATTGATAAACACAAATTAAATATATTAAGAGAAATTTCGTTAACTATATAATTAAGCTGGGAAGACACATTCCCCAGCACTTGGGTCGGAACCAATTTGAAAACCGGTATTGCCGAACGTACAAGCAGCAAAGGTGCGACCTTGGCTCTGGTAATAAGCATTCATGACATACGACGCATGATTATATAGAGTATTAGGGTAATAGCAAGTTCCACCGGGGTTGATTGCTGCACAGTCGATATGGCTGCAACCGAATTTAATGTTGTTTTGTAACTGCTCTGCTGAGGTAGCAGGCAACGCCACGCACCATGTTCTGCAAGTCACGACGGGGAGATGGTGGATCGCTGCAATGGAGATCAAGAGGAGGAGGGTCAGAAACTGTGAAGACATTTTGAAATGAAATATAGTTAGGATTTAGGAATCAAGAATTTCTGGTTTGTGTGTTTTCTTGTGCTAGAACCCATGTGAATATATATATAGTGAGGAAGTGATTCAAATGACTATATACGCTTTTGTTAATGTGGGAAAGAAGAGAAGATGAGATCTAAATTAATAATGCAATAATACACCTACACATGTACATTACTCTAGTTCTGTTTAATTATTCCTTTAAAAATGTGATATTTTGCTTATTTTAGTTGTTTTTCTTTATGTAAGATCTCTTGCTATATCACATTGACTAGATTAATCTATACTCTGATGAGAATTGATTAATTTGAGCATATCCAGTATAATGTCTTGTGGATTTACTCTAGTTAAAAAAAATATATTCAGTTAAAATCCGGTCTACAAAGGAAAAGAACGCAAAACATTAATATTATCTTTAAAATTTTATAGAAATGTCTATAGATATTAGTTCTTTTTCTAAAATTCATTTGGGTAGCTTATTCAATGCATTTTTTGTTGCAAAAATAGTATATTACTTCAATTTGTAAACTATAAGTTAAATAGCTATTTCTTTTATAAGAAATAAGTCCTCTGGCATCCAAAAGTTTTCCACGAAATGATCAACTTGTTGATGAGTTGCATACATCATCATCTAACTATTCTTCTCTTGTTTAAAAGTTGGTCCACTAATTAAATGACAGTTTAGACAGCCAACATGTCAACAAATAAGCAAAACAAACTATGCACGTACAGTATATCCTAATACGAAACAAAAAAAAACCCATTAAAATATAGAAATTTAAAATCATTTGGGTAGCTTATTCAATGGTATATGATTATAAGTTATAACGGGTGGATCTGAATTTTTAGTGTCCATGACTTTTAGGGGGTTCTGTAGGCCAACTCTCTACGCCTACAGAGAGTTAAGGACTTAAGGCAATGGCCATGGAGATGGATATTAATTTCGTGGTTGTACGCAATGTACGGCACGGTTATTCGGATGAAGATGGTTCAAATAGAACGATCGAAGGTGGCTAGAGATAATGATTTACACAACCTCTCAAACTTTTGGTATCAGACTGTGATCATGTTTAACATTTTTCAAGAATAATTGACATTATTCCGCCATCATCTCATTATATTATTATAATTTTTTGTAGTTTGGGTATACAAGTACAACAATCCGAAAAGAAAAACTCATTGTCAAGAAAACAACAATCAGTAACGCAATTTTAAAATAAATTTAATTTCTTAAGTGTAGTAGACACATGAGCCTTTACTTGGATCTTTAAAAACAAACCAACTGCTATGGTTAAAGCTACAAGCCTCTTCGATGCGACCATGACTATGGTAATAAGCGTTCATGACATACGACGCATGGTCTATCAGAGTATTAGGGTTATAGCAACTTCCACCGGGTTGGATAAGACTACAGTCTACGCCGTGGCTGCATGCAAAGTCAATGTTGGCTTGTAGCTGCTCGTTTGTCGCAGTATCCCTCGCCATGCACCATTACGAGAGGGAGGTGGTTGATTGCGACAATTGATAGGATGAAGAGGAGTGTCAAAAACTTCGACGACATTGCAAGTGAAATAAAAAATTATGTTTTGTGTTTCTTGTTCAAATACAAGTGTATATATATGCAAAAGAAAAAAAACGATTTCTCCCTCCATGCTTATCTGCTGGTTTAGGGATGAGATTTGAAGAAATGAGAATTATAAGATGTCATAAATCAATTATTTACATACACATCACTTTTATAAATTCAGTTTGATTATACAAACTCTATGATATATATGTTTCTTATTATGATATGTTTTGTAAGATTTTCTGTATATCATATTGCAAAATTGGTTTATAAGCATCTCCAACCCATCTCTATTTATTCTTCTATTTTTTTTTCTAATAGAGATTTGTATAATAGAGGTGGATTTCTCTCAATCCCACCTCTATTTCTTACTCAAAAATATAGATTGCTACTTTTTCCTCTATTTATAAAGGAAAATATAACATTATAGAGGAAAAAGTAGCAAACTCTATTTTGAGTAAAAAATAGAGGTAGGTTGGAGAAAAATCAACCTGTATTTTACAAATCTCTATTTTAAAGAAAATGTAGAAAAATACATTGGAGATGGTCATATTATTAGAGGCATTTCATTTCTTCTTTTCTCCCATTTTGTCATATTATCAAGAGACAACAATCAGTAACGCAATTTTTTTTTTAATATATATTTATTTTAATATTATTCTCAAGTGTAGACACATGAGCCTTTACTTGGATCGAAATGAGAAAACCAACTGCTATTGTTAAAGCTACAAGAATCTTTGGTGCTACCATGACTCCGGTAATAAGCATTCATGGCATAGGACGCATGGTCTACCAGAATATTAGGGTAAAAGCAACTTCCACCGGGTTGGATCGGCTTACAATCTACGCCGTGGCTGCAAGAAAAGTCAATGTTGAACTGTAGCTGCTTGTATGTTGCATCATTCCTCGCCATGCACCATTTTCTACCGGTTACGACGGGGAGATTATGGATTGTGACAATTGATAGGATGAGGAGGAGTGTCAACAACTGCGACGACATTAGAAGTGAAATCAGTAATGTTATTGTGTCTGTTTCTTGTGCAAATACAAGTGTGTATATATGCAAAAAAAAAAAGGTTTCTCTAGACAAGACAATCCTCATATCCTCCATATTTTTATACTGGTTTAGGAAAGAGATTTGAGAAGAGAAAATTATAAGATTAATAAATAAATTTTTTACTTACCCATCACTTTTCATAAATGATTCATTTAAGTCTATGAGATGTTTCTTATTATATATTTTTGTAAGATTTTCTATATATCATATTTGCAAAGGTGAAAGAAAGAAAGAAAAAAAAGACAAGGTTTAGTAAAAAATATCCAATATACAATTCATTTTACTTTCTGTGTCCCCCATTTGTCATATATTTCTAAAACTTTTAGTTATTGATTTAAGAAAAACTAAAATATATGAGAGTTAATTAACTCACTTAAACAACATTAATATTTTAAAACATAGGACTGTTAGGAAATCTATATAATTTCATTAACCGATTACAACAAAAAAGGGGTCCAACATAAGCAGTTAAAAACCTGGTGTTTCAAAGATTGATCATTGTTATTTACTACGGAAGCACCCAACCTTATAAGTAGACTAGATTAGGCCCCGCGTATACGCGGGTTTATTTATTTTTATTTTTTTAAATCACGGAAGAATATTAAACAAAATTTGATCAATTTTAAAAATAAGAAAATAATATTAAAAACCCGATAACAAATCTCTAAATAAAGATATGTAGTCTTTTACATTTTTATTTTGAATTCATGATATGAAATAGAAAGATTTACATGTGTCTAAATCTAATCGACTCATTATTTTATGAAACTTTGATTATTCCATGATGAAATCTTTATTTTTAATATTTTTTTACCTAACAAAACATGGAAAATTAAACTATTTAATATTAGAAGATCAGTCCATTATAAAATTTTCTTTTTTAATATTATTTAGTTCCTTAATAATTATTTTGTTAGTTTTCTATTTATATTGTTTCTTTTTCAATTTCGTTTTTGCCTCTGACCATTATAAATTTTCATTTTCATTATTAGTTAGTTGTTTTAATATTATTTTGTTAGTTTATTTATTTATGTTACTACATTTTTCCAATTTTCTTGTGTTGACACATGTCATCACTTCATCAAATATTAGACACATGTATCGATCTAAAGTTAAGTATTCTTCATTGATATCTTTAACTTTTAAAGACATGAATTTTATTTCTTAATGAGAAAGAAACTTAAAAAATATAGCTTGTATATATATATTTTTTTTTTCATTTTCGTAATGGGAATATGTTTTTTATTCCTTTTCTTATTGGATGTAACATTTTTTAATTATTTCTTCATGTTTTTCTGATTTTCGTTTTTTTTCCTTTTCGTAATAGAATTATGTTTTTTCTTTACTTCTCATAATGGATGTAATATTTTTTCTTTTTAATTGTTTGTTTCCTGTTTTCTGATTTTTCCTAATGTACTAATAGGATTTTATTCAAATAATTTTAATTTCGATCCAATTGACCTAGAGTCAAATAATCTCCACTGTTCTCTTGAACTTTCAAAGACATGATTTTGAAATTAGAGAAAGAGAATCAAAGAGATTTTCTGAATTTGCTTTGATGAGTTTGTGAATGAGAAAAAGAGACTATAGTAGCTCTCTTTTTATAGGGGGTTCATGTAACCAATTTCATATAGTTTTAGGATATTTAGTTTACATACCTATTACATGTACTAATAGGATTTTTTTAAATAGGAGTTTATATAACTATTCCATACAATTTTAGGATATTTAGTTTACATACCTATTCCATATACTAATAGGAATTTTTTATTACATTATTTTCATTTTATTATATAAAATTTCGTTTTTATTATAAGATATTAAAAATTTCCCTTTAAAATAAAAATTTCCTTTTTCCGAAGACATGTGTCACGATCTTAACGGATATAACATTAAAAGTGACACATGTCGCAATCCTATATTTTATAAAAATCCTACGTGTCGCAACCACGTCGTGCATCCAGCTTTATATAATAAGATGGGAGGTCGAATCCTTAAAAAAAAAGCAGAACTGGATGTTAACAGAAAGCTTCACTAGTTCACTTCCAAGGAGTCTCGAGATGTATACGTAATTACGTATATGTTAACATGAATTTACATCAACTTATATATAAATCAGATAAAATTTTATGAATATATTTTTATTATATATAATAGTTTCAACATATTCTGAGCTTCGACAAAACAAGTTCTCACACATATATGTTTCAAATGTTACTAATAATTCTCGTAAACACAGGCGCCGTGACTCGGGTCGTGTTTAGTTACAGAGCCAGTACCACCGAAATCGCATTGTTCCTTGGTATGACCGAGGTTCTGATAATACGAGTTCATTACGTACGACGCATGATCTCGTGGAGTGTTTGGTTCAAAGCAATCTCCACCGGGTTGGATCGATGAACAATTGCGGAAACCTCCTTGTTCGCTGCAACACCAATCTATATTCGCTTGTAGCTGCTCATCCGTTGCTTTCCTATTCGCCACGCACCATACTCCTGAGTTTTCAGTTGCCGGCGAGATGTTTCTTAGTGTTGAGACCACGGAGATGGTAGTTGATACGAGGAGGAAGATGAAGAGCGTCAATGATGTTGTAGTGACCATTTTTGCTTTCAGATTATGGATGATTCAGTTGATATATTTCTGTTCAAAGAGTAAATATTTTAAATACACTAACAAATGATTATAAGGTTTTATATTAACTTATCCACATATATATACTAGTGTTATAAGGTGATTATATGGTATTCATTTATTTGTTATCTACATCATGTTATATATTACTCCTATAAAACAAAATTTGTTTCTATTATAGGTATATATTTTTTTAAATGTATAAATTAAAATCCAATAGAGTTTAATGAATCATTTAAGAATCCGTTTTTGTAAAAAAGAAGAAGAAAAAGGATCTATATCTTGATAAAAATAACAAGTGGTTGTGTATGTGGCAAAAAGAAATTGTGGTCATGCATGCAACAAATGACATTTTGCATGCAAATCGATCGTTGTAATTCTCACCGCCTTTATCTCTAGTGGTTGTGAAGATTTTCTCCTCCTTGAGCAAGCAACCACCGTCGTCGATCTCTTCCTTTCGTCTTCTGACAATTGTTTTCTTTCCTCGGAGGAGTTTTTTTCTTTTATATTGTAAACTCTTCTTCATAGACTCATAATCAAATTGGAAGTTCATTTAATTTGAAATGGTGAACAAGTCAGCTGGTCAACATAAGATTAGCATAATTACAATGCCTTAGTAGTAAATTAGTAACTAACAACAAAGGGCTTTGGGTAGGTAATGAATTCATATCCTTGAAAAATTAGTCTTTCAGACAGAATAACTCTCTTCTCCAGTCAATGCTTTTTAATTATTGTTATGAAGTTACCTTCTAAAGAACTGCATCTCTTCAGTAGTCTCCATTTAATGTTCTTCATTTTTTTCTAAAAAACAACGGACCAGTTATTTACTTATATCTATTCAACCAACCACAATAATTAAAAATTTACTTATTCCCTTAAAGACATATACAGTACTGATTAAATGAAGAAGTAAGGCTAATTCTATTCTGGTACAACTAACAACTGCCATATTGAAGTGTACAATTTCAAAATTTAAGAATTTGGAGAGAGAGACGAGACAGGAGAGAACTTCAGGGCTTTCATTGCAATTTCCAGTAAAGTTCTGACTTTATGTAGCGTTTTAAACTAAACTATCAATTATTACACTTTTGGTACACAGTTTCATTCCGATACTCACTTATGCGCTAACAAAAACGATTAGTGAAACTACCCAAAATGGCAAAAAAATGCGATAACTGTGAAGAGATGCAGTTCTTTAGATTTGTGATTATACACAGAAAAAGAAGGTTTTGTCCATATACACATTTTCATGTTTTTACCTATTTTTGCCATTAATACTCTTTATATATTTAAAAATATGAAATAGTTTATGTAAGAAACCCAAAATATTTCTAAAAATCAGATAAATGATCTTCAGACTTGTTATAATTTTTTCACAATTTTTTTTCAAAAATATGATTTTTAAAAAATATATTGAAGTTTTCTTCTACCAGCTCTGAAATTCAAAGTAGAATATGTATCCTACACGTTTTATTACATCTACTGGAGATAGAATTCGATATCTACCATTTATACACACATCTTCCACCCGTAGAACACGAGTTCTATAATCTATATATACCTCTACTATTAGTAGCATATCACTTCTACCTGTTACTCTATGTTCTGCGATTTTGTAAATTTGGTAGAAGATATGTTCTACCAAAAACAAAGTTTTCTACATGTTCTAGAATTTGTTGTCTACGAGAAACACAGCCTTCTATGCAGGCGTAGATTTCGTATTCTGTTACACACATTATCTCTTACCATCCGTAGAGTTCAGTTTCTACTAAAAACCACTTTTCTACCATGTTGGTAGAGGTCGTGTTCTTCTAGAAATCAGTCTTCTACCAAATGTAGAAATCGTCTTCTGCCGGAAATCTTAGAGAATATTAACAAATATTTTTTTGAATATTTTGTTTCCTTTTTCTTCTCCAACCTTCTCCCACGATGCAATTGTGGCAACTTCTTCTCCATTCCCATCTTCTTAGCCGTCATCTTCATCATCTTCTTCTTCTTTTAAACACAAATTTACTAGTTTCTCTTGAAGAGTAACATGTATGATGGAGATAATGAAGATGGATTTGGGTTTGCAGAGGAAAGAAAGGATAACAATCAGCTTCGTTTTGCTTTGATGGAAACTGTGAAGAAGAAACAAGATTGCAGAAGCAAAAGACTTATGAAGTCATATTTTGAAATCCTTTGCAAGAAGCACAACTTCGATTACATAGAGATGATTATGTGACGGAGAAGAGCAGAGAAGAAAAATGTCGCAGAAGAAAAGAAATGTCGGGGAAGAAGAAGAGAAGAGAGATGTCGGGGAAGAAAGGAAATATTTTCACTTTTATGTTTAATTAAAAATATCCCAATTAAAGGGTTAATTAGTTTAATCAATTTTAAGGTAAAAAGGATTATAAGTTTAGAAAATGTGTAGTGAGACAAAAATCTCTCCAAATTGTGTATTAAGACAAAGATTCTCCCAAAGCTGTGTATTTTGCCAATTTTCTCATAAAACTTTTGATTCTTTCATTCCTCTTCGGTCTTCTTCCTTTTCCTTTACCTTCTTTTGATCTTCTTCTCGGTTGAAATTAGGGATTTCCTGTAAAAACTGTAATGTTGATTTTGATTTGAGTAAATCATGAGCAAGCCCGAAGAAGTTTTCGATTTGAATCCGGCCATACCCGATCCAAAACCGCCGTCTCGATCTTCCTCCGACAACGATCCCGTCGCCGATCGGGCTCCGTCTGATCCCAATCACGTTTCCGAGGAGCTAAGTGATCATCTCAGAAATGTGGGTTTGGACGACGCTGCGAAAGAGGTGAGTGTGCCGATTAGTTTCTCTGAAGGTAATGGAGAAACGGTTTCGAGGGATCAGAAGGAGGAAGAAGTAGAAGGAAGAGAGCGTGAGAGTACGGTCGAGAGGAGAATGATCGTGTATCCAGTGAGACCTGATGCAGAGGATTGCTCGTTTTTCATGAGAACTGGGAGTTGCAAATACGGATCGAGTTGCAAATTCAATCATCCCGTTCGAAGAAAACTCCAAGTAACTTTTCTTCTACCAATGAATCATCTTTTGCATGCTTTATCATTCCATTTATGACGGAAAAGTTTCTTTTTTTTTGGCATGATATTGATTCTTAGCACAGAGTAAAGTATATTTATGAGTGTAACCAATTTTTTTGTTTTGGTTTTAAGTTTGGATTTATACTCTTTTCGCTATTCTAATGTTATCGTTAATTGGAAGATTGGTAGGGAGAAAGTAAGAGAAAGGGAAGAGGATGTGGAGAATCCGAGGCTAATGGAGTGCAAGGTTAAAAATGATCTCTTTCCCTTCCTCTGTGCCCTATGTAGCCATTTCATTTTGTGTTTGTCTTTGATCCTTTGAGAGTCTGTCTGCTGATATTCCCCAATTCCGAGGTTTTGCAGTATTACTTCAGGACTGGAGGGTGCAAATATGGAGAGTCATGTAGATTCAGTCACGCGAAAGAGCATACTTCTGTGGTCTCACGGCCAGAGCTCAACTTCCTTGGCCTTCCTATCAGAACGGTAATCCATCAATTGGTTTGGAGACAGTTGTAGCATATTTCTGTTAACCAAACTTATGGAAAAGTGTAAGCTATTATTGACAGGGAGAGAAAGAATGTCCTTTCTACATGCGGAATGGCTCCTGCAAGTTTGGATCCGACTGCAAATTTAACCATCCTGATCCCACGGCTACTGGAGGAGTTGAATCTCCCTTGTTGCGTGGTAATAACAATGGTGGATCGTTTTCCCCAAAGGCCCCATCTCAAGCGAGTTCAACTTCTTGGTCTCCATCGAGGCATATGAATGGTACTGGTACTGCTCCTTTTATTCCAGGCATGTTCTCACAGAACCGTGGAGTTTCTCCTCAAACTTCAGATTGGCATGGGTATCAGGTAGCTAAAATTCAGCTCTTACTAAGCATTACTTTTGAAAGTTTCTCATTCTTTTTTTTTGTGTAGGCGCCTTCTGTGTATTCATCAGATAGGAGTGTGCTTCCTTCTCCCACATACGCGGTGAACAATTCAGTGGCTGAAACTGGTTCATTCTCACAATACCAACAGCAGATGCCTGTTGACGAGTTCCCAGAACGTCCAGATCAGCCAGAGTGCAGTTACTATGTTAAAACTGGGGACTGTAAGTTCAAATACAAATGCAAATACCATCATCCGAGAAACAGATTGGCAAATAAGCAAACTCCATCCACTTTTAATGACAAGGGCTTACCCTTAAGACCTGTGAGTTTGTTTTTCTTCCACGCTATTCTTGCTTGCTTTCAGAAACCTCCTTTCTAATTCATACCTTAATCCCTGCTGTTACTTGTCTCTGATACTCAGGACCAGAACATGTGCACACACTACAGTCGCTATGGCATCTGCAAATTTGGTCCAGCTTGTAGATTCGATCATTCGATACCGCCTACATTCTCGTCCAGCAGCTCCCAAAACGTAGAAGCTTCTCAACTCGGCGGCAACGGAGATGAAGTTGATAGCTGGAATTGACACCACGTGTTCAGAAGCCTGCGTAAGGGATGCTTATTTTATCAAAGGCCCTTCACTTCTTAGGATCACACTCTGCTTTTGGTAAATTATAGTCTCCAAACTAATATCAAGCCAATGCTTGTTCTACAGGAGTTTCACGAAATAATTTTTTGTTTTCCTGCTTTAACTGTAACTAATTACTCTAAGGTTCAGTCTAATGGAAGCCTACACTTCTTTTATGCTTTGTTTCTTCTTCGTTGAAACTACTTTCCTGGTTTTGTTCATATCTATATCTTAAACTAATTGCTAGAATCCAAAACCAGAGAGTGACATTATACGTACATAGATACTTTTGCCTACTTCTATGTCAGGACACATGTTTCTGCTATAATTGTCTTCAGGTGTCAATTCTGAAACCGCAATCTAACCTTAAATGTTGGAAGGCTGTACAGAAACCATGGTATAGTCTTGTATTCATCGATATGAACAATACAGTAAGTCTCAAAATCTTATATCCATCAAAAACAAGTTCTTAGAGCCAAATGTATGCTCGTATAACATCCATTGTGGGAAAAATGTTGGCAAACAAAAAGAAGAAACAGAAAGTATAGTACATCCAAAAGACAGAAGAAGACGTAGAAAGCTGAGATGTATGACTGAGTAAGTTATGGTTTCAACTCTTAGGCCATTTTGTTTCACTTTGTTGGAGATCTCTTTGCTAACTTCGTTAGTTTCTTAATCCTCGGATTCCTTCAGAAAACCGCAGTGTTTAACGGAAGCAGAACCATTTATTCTGTTCACAGAACATAAATCAGGTAAGCAATCTGTATTCTTTGGAAACCAAATGATTCATCTAGAGAAAGAAGTAAACTACCTTAGCTTTTGGGTTTTGAGAATCGTGGTGATCGGAGTTTTGGTTTCTGTGAGGTGAAACAAGACTATTAGGGCCAGCGCCGGAAGCTTTCTTGGTCTTCTTCTCGTCGCTAGCTTTGCTGAAAATGACTGTGAATCCTTCAGCCGATGCAGGATTGTTCACATCCCATTCACCAAACTTTGGCAATGGTCTCCCTTTATTTTCCTGCACACCAAACAGAGTATTCACTTGAGATATGAGGAAAGCTAGAGACTTGATCATCACGATGATCAAAAGATAGAAACTTGAAGAGATTGATGTTGTTTGGTTCTTGTGCTTACCGTCCCCATTGTTGAGATCAAAGCAAGATGTAATATCAAGATCTAGAGAGAGAGAGAGAGAGAGAGAGAGAGAGAGAGAGAGAAATATAAAGGTAGGAAGAGAGAGAAGGGAGAGGAAGATGTAATATAGAGAGAGAGGGGGAGAAACATAAGAGGGAAGCACGTCGTCGTTGACAACAGCATTAACCAAATCAACTCATACCTCTTCTCCTTTCCCGCGTATTTCCCAACCGAAGTACCTAAACTAGTTAATTTTAAAACAAACAAGTAGAAAAATGAAAAATAAATAAACAAAACGGTCAAATATTACATACCTCTTTTCCTCGTCTCGTAGCTTATTATTTTTTATTATAACGTGTGCCTTAATAATGTATCATATAATCGTATAAACGTAGTTGACAACTAACATTAACGGTGTTTGACACAAATTTATTAATAAACTTTTTATTATTATTTATTAATAAACTTCCTAGCAAAAAAAAATATATATATATTAATAAACTTTCGTGAAATGTTTGGTTAAAAACAGTAAAATGTTTTTCATAGAGAAATATTTCCACTATTAGTTCTGTAACTAAAAATAAAATATGGATCCGACCAAAAAAAGATTAAAATAAAATAAAATATGGAGAGCCCAAGATGGTTTGTGTAAGTAAAGCGAGTTGGGCCTAAGAGTAATATCGAAACTCCTTTGTTTGGTCACAGTGATATCTCCATTCCCCAGAATGCCCTTAATCCAGCCTAGTGCACAAATGCACCCGAACAGCAACAAAATCTGCCGAAACTAATTTCCCGGCACATCACATTTTTCCCAGTCAAATTTTCTCGAGAAAAAATCCCACAAGCTTCGTGACTTCCGTCTCTTCTGTTCGATGGGAAGACTAAGGGAGTCACTTCCCGTGATTCTTCTACTGTTTGCTCTTCTTCTCCGTCCATCACTCTCTCAGGTATTAAAATGAAAGATTATTCTTCTACCATCATATCTATATTCATATGATTTGGCGGATTCTCTGATCTTTAATCAATGAATCTCTCGCTATAGGTGCTCGGAGAATCTGAATCAATTAGGTAAATCTCCAGCAACTCCACTCAATTTAACTCTTGTGTGTCTGTGTAAAACTAAAAAAAAAAATTCAACTGAAGATTTTGCTGCTGATTAGTTTGTCTTGTAATGGAATTTAGATCCCTTATGGAAGAAGTAGAAGTAGGAGGCAATGCTCCAGAAATTCATTGTTCCCGGCAAAGAAGTCGAGCAGCTTGGCAGATTATACAAGATGTAAGTAGAGAATTGATTATGATGTTGGAACTTGATTTGGTTGAATATTATGGCTTTATAATTTGGAACTTTGTGCAGTATTTGACGCCGTTTGTGGAAAGAGAAAGATATCAAATCCCAAAGAATTGTAGGCTTCATCCTGAGAATGATTTATACAGAGATCAAGAAGAGCATAAGACTCATGTTGATATATATGAATGGAAATGTGGTTACTGCAAGAAGAGTTTCAATGAGGAGAAGTTTCTTGACCAGCACTTCGATACTAGACATTATAATCTTCTCAACACGGTATGTGGTATAGCAAGTCTGAGTTTTCAAAGGAACACACTTGAGCTGATACTAACAAACGTTTACTTGAATGCTTTCTCAGACTCATACAAAGTGTTTAGCCGATCTGTGTGGTGCGTTGCATTGTGACTTTGTATTGAGCTCCAAGAAGGCCAAGAGCAAGTGCAACACTGCAGCTGTTGCCAAAAACCGTCATCTTTGCGAGGTTGCTTTCTTGTGTGATATTTTGTATCATTTGCTTCTTCCTCTCTAGATCCATGGCTTCTTATAATTCTCCTTCGATGCTATTTTTACTTGTTTGTGTAGAGTGTTGCCAATAGTTGTTTCCCAGTGAGTCAAGGTCCCTCAGCTAGCCGTCTTCATGGTATGTTTCCTTATCGCGTGGCCTTCCAAGTGTATTGAAAACTAGATTGTTTCTTGAATTAGTTCCTTCAAATGTGCCTAAATTATCCTCTTTGGTTTCGGTTTTTCATGATTGAAGAACACTTCTTGCGACAATTCTGTGATGCTCATACATGTACTGGAAGTAATAAGCCGTTTCCTAAAGGAGGCAAGGTAAGATCTATTACACCTTCGCATTTACTTATGTTGGCTAAGTGTTTTGAAGCAAATGTGTTTTCATCTGTTCTCTTGTGGATACATTGCAAATGGTATATTACTTCTCCTTTTAACATAGTAGTTCTATGGTAATTTGTGCAGAAGAGCTCGGGTGTCTTCTACCTCGCCATTTCAATACTGACCTTGATGCTACTCCCGCTCTTTTATCTTCTTGTTTTCTTATATCAAAGGTATTGTACGATGTTACTTTAGCGTCTTTCTTTTGCCTCGTGGCTTTGTTCTTTAGAAGTCTTTGGGTCACATTGTTTCTGTTGTCCTTGCAGAGAAAAGAGAACCGGGACACAAGACCTGCGTCGGATTATAAAAATTGGAAAAAAACCAAAACCGTCATAAGATGGTAATCCTCTCAAACAGTGGCTTACCAAATAAATATAAGAAAGATATGTACATCAAATCATTTCCAGTTTCTAAAGTCTAGCTCAACATTTTATACAGGTGAGATCAGAGCCAAATGTGTTAAAATCCGAGATTGGTTTGTTGAATCACAAATCTTCAACGTTGCTTCTCCTTCCAAGACCTTTCCTCATTTGGTGTTGATTCTCAAATCAGATACTTTATGGATTGAGTGTTACTTTGGGGTTTTGAAGCCAGTTGCTGTGGATATCAGAAAGGTTTCCAAAGACAAATGATTTCTCTGTAAGCTAGAAACAAATGATTCCTTCCATAGAAATATGAATAGTGATTTCACTGTAATTTTATCGAATCTTCAATACATATCAATGATACATCCAGTTCCAAGCACAGTCTGTAACATTGAGGATGTACAAAACAACCTTTTTTGTTAGTAGCTTTAAAGTTTTAAGAAGCTATGACATTGAACGCTAGAGATATCAACTCATTAGAGAGGAGGAAACCATCTGGATCACTCAGCCTAAGGTACCTCACATGATCCTCAATCTTCACTTCATCATTTGCCACTAAGGTTTTGAATTCACCACTCAACACTTCTCTTCTCATATCATCCAAGCAAACAATGTGCCCACTCTCCACATAAGGCTCATAAACTCTACATATCGACTTCACTACCTCGCTGCCAAAAGCTTCTCCAAAGTCCTTAACTTCAAGGCCTTTAGATGTTCTGAAAGACAGCATTATGATGTCTGTCGCAACATCCTTGAGATTCACATCACCGTTCCCACACCAGTTCGCTGCACCCTTCTCCAAATCAGCAACGTAGCTTGTGTACTCCTTTAACCTCCTTGGCCTTGAGAACCTCAACCCTCCAACATAACTCGCTGAACCTAAACCGAAAGCGTAGAAAGGTTTGTTCTTCCAGTATATCAAATTGTGTCTACACTTGAACCCGTCTCGAGAGTAACTGCTGACTTCATAATGCTCATACCCTGCACCACGGAGCATCGACGACGCTGTTTTATAAAACTCTGCAGATTGTGTTTCTGAAGGGAGAGGAGATTGCCCTGGAGTGTACCTGCACAAGTTTGAAGATTTTTATTGAGATTAACAATCAAACTCTGAAACCCTAACGGCTAGAGATAGATAAACTTACAGGTTTCCAAACTTTGTGCCTTGTTCCACTTGCAGATCATATACAGAAACATGATTGGGCTGTGATTCGATAGCTAATCTCAAACTCTCTTCCCACATGTCCAGACTCTGGTGAGGCAGAGAAGAGATAAGATCCATACTCCAATTCTTGACTCCGCAGTCTTTAACGAGCTTTATCGCCTCGTATACTTCAGAGACACCATGAGCTCTACCACAAGCTTTCAAGAGCTCGTCTTGAAACGCTTGAACTCCTAAAGACACTCTGTTCACTCCCAATTCCATCAACTCCTTAAGTTTCTGAGCACCGAACGTGCCTGGATCCATCTCCATTGATATCTCAGCGTCTGGACTCAACCCGAAGCTCGAGCTCAATGTTTCGAGAACCAAAGAGACAAGCTTTGGAGGAACGAGAGAAGGCGTGCCTCCCCCGAAGAACACAGTCTCGAGACTCGGCCTCGCGTCGAAATCTGTGCTCGTCGCTTTGATTTCTCTAACGAGCAGATTCACGTAGTTTGTGATTCGTGGGTCGTCTTCTTTTCCTTCTTCGTAGACATATGACGGTTTGGTTGAAGAAGAAGACGACGTGCCTAGAGCCAAGATCGGGAAGTCGCAGTAATGGCAGCGTTTGCGACAGAAGGGAAGATGAACGTAGGCCGATGTTGGTGGGCCTTGGTGTAACGTGGTCAGATTGGTTGACGCATTTCGTCGAGCACTTGGTGGAGCATCTTGAAGAACTACCTTAAAAGCTTTGAAAATAAACCTCGAAGTCCTGGGTTTACCTGTAAACGATGAGAAAATTGGGGAAATCGTTGTTTTGAGCATTATTACCAGAGAACGAGAAGAAGAAACTCAGAGAGAGAGAGAGAGAGAAGAGACGAAGAGATGCTTCAAAGATTAAAGTTTAATGGTGTCGACTATATGCTCAAAACGTCATCGTTTATGCCAGATTGAACAATATAAGTAATTATTCACTTATTCAGACGGGAAAAAAAAAATGGCGCTAGAATCGATGGCTTCTCTCTCCGATCTCCTCTCCTGTCTTCTCTCGTCTTCTACTCCGCCGTCTCCGTCGATTTCGTCGACGAGCCTGAAACCTATCGCTAGACCGTCGCAGTGTACGCTTCCATCTTCCGTATCCGCGACCGCGAGACCATCTCAGCAGCTGTCGATGACGATGACGACGACGACGACGACGACGACGGCGAAGTTCTTCTTCACTGCCGATCACGGTGACGTCATCAATCGCGTGGCGTATCCTTCGCTGGCGAGCGCGAATCTCGTCTTCTTCATGTCCGGTCACTACAACGTCGAGGTGGTGCCTAAAGACGGAGAATCGGAGGACCAGCTGGTGAACGATTTCAAGAGGTCGGTTTTCAGAGCCGGAGTGTTGCAGGAGGCTCGGAGACGACGATTCTTCGAGAGCTCTCAGGAGAAAAGGAAGCGCAAAACCAAAGAAGCTGCTAGGAAGAATCGGAAAAGGTCACTCTTTTTTCCCTCTCTCTCAGTTTTCCGTGAAATTAGTGAAAGCTGAGGCGATAGATTTTGATTTACAGGCGGCCAATCCCTAAACCAAAGCCACACTCAGCTCCAGAGAGCCACAGTCACAGAAATGTAGGCGGAGAAGCTGAAGAAGACGATGATAACTGGGAACTTCCTCCCGAGGAAATTGAGATTCCATATACCAACCGTTCCTAGAGATGAACATCTCAATCTCAATCATGCATCTTCACACTGTGTAAAGCCACTCTTTTGTATGTCTGCACATTAAGTTCCCTTGAATGTTCATACCTTAACCTTCCATTGCCAAGTGTAGAGAGAAGAGAAGATGAATTTATTATCTTACTCTCTGTCTTTACGTTAACTACGATTTTACCCTTGGTTTATTCGATATTTGTGATTTCGGCCTCCATTTTATCCATATTTAGGGTTTTACCCTTTCGTCTGTAGACATTTTATCCTTTCGTCCTCGGTTTATTTCAGTAATTTTTATCATGCCCACAATACTTGCCCTACCGTAAAAGTCACAAATGAGGACATGGAGAAGGAAGGAAACTAAAAACCATGTCATGCTTTGCGATGATGCACTTAAAGCCATGAAAAAACATTAATAGAGTCTCAAGACTCTCAACTGTTGGTTTTGCAATTACCAAAAAAAAAAAGCCGAAATCATTTTAACTTATAATAGCTAATAAAGAGAAACGAAACAAATATCTAAACTTAGTTGAGTTGCACTAAACTGGGACGATAAAAAGAAGAGCAAACAAGTGCGGGAGCATAAACTTCCGGAAGGTAGCCGGTTATCTGGCACCGTTTCCCCGAATTTGAAGCTTCCCCGAGACTCACAGACTTGAAGTAGCCGTCTTCTCCAGCGACAAAAGCTGTGTGGTAGCGAGGGGTCTTATTGGGCAGATATCCGTCCAGATCAAACACAACAGCGACTCTCTCTTGCTCGTCAAGGAAGAAGCTCCCACCCTGAAACTCGTCAAACCTAACACCGGTGAGTGCAAAGGGTCTCATCTCAACGTTCAGAAACTTGGTCCAGGACACAGAGCTGGGCTCAATCCTAGTGGTAACCCAAACCTCAACGCTGCCACATGAATAATCATTCAAACCCTCCTGGTAATACAGCACCGCAAGCTGCTCATCTCTAACGCACGAGAGCGTCACACACTCGTCGACACAGGTGTGGAACGGGAGAGGCAGACGCGGCCCGAACCTCTCTCTTGTGAAATCGAAACAGAGCAAGAAGTCTTTAACCTCAGTCACCGTTCCACATTCATCTTCAGATTCCACGTCACATAACTTCTCACGAGCGAAAAAGTAGGCGTTTCCCTTGACAGACACTCCGCGGCGAAACTGTTGTATTTCCCAGTCTCGAGTGACGACATCGAGGACCCTCCACGAATCACAACCGCTTAAATCGTAGATTTCGTACTCTTCCGCTCCTCCACCACCGCGCTCATCCACAAACCTCAAGATTTTGTGGTTACGGTTCGTGTCGTATCCGAGAGCGTACCTGTCGTACGACCAGAATTTGTTTCTGGGTCCGATCGACCTTGTTTGACACAAGTAAGGATTCCACACCACAAGCTTCGAGCTGTCCTTGGCGACGCATAACAATAAGCCATCACAGTGAAACACTTTAGATATCTCGACTTGGTTAAGCGAATCTACCTGCTTTATATCTATAGATACATCATCAACCGAATCGTCGCGCTTCTGCTTCTGCTCGTAGCGCAGTGAACAAAGCTTAGAATTCATCGTCATGAACCCCAGAAACTGCTGTGTCGCTGTCGCTTCGTAACCCAAAATCCACCTTTTGGTGATAGCGTCCCACGATTTGCAAGTGGATCGCACCTCTCTCAGCGACGTTATCGGAACCCTCGGGAATATCTTCTCCCCGATGAGTTTCTGTGGAAGATCGCACATCCTCGTCGTCGGCGGCATCCTTCCCACTACTCTCCACAAACGCCGCAATTGAAATTGTGGTTTTTAAGAATTCGAAACACGAGTTTATATACCCATGTTGATGTCGGCGTTAGAGGAGGAGTCCGTTCATTTGATGGGCTGCTGAGCTTGCACGAATTGGCCCGAAGACCGTCGTAGTCTCTCTTGTAGGGCCCCATGTCCGTGAAGGGAAGATGAACATAGGCCGATGTTGGTGGGCACGTGGTCAGATTCGTTGACGCATTTCGTCGAGCACTTGGTGGAGCATCTTGAAGAACTACCTTAAAGGCTTTAAAATTAACGTTGAAGTCCTGGGTTTACCTCACAACGATTTTCAGAGCCGGCGTGTTGCAGGAGTCTCGGAGACGACGATTCTTCGAGAGCTCTCAGGAGAAAAGGAAGCGTAAAACAAAAGAAGCTGCTAGCCACAGTCACAGAAATGTAGGGGGAGAAGTTGAAGAAGACGATAACTGGGAACTTTATCCCGAGGAAATTGAGATTCCATATATACCAATCGGTCCTAGAGATGAACATCTCAGTCTCAATCATGCATCTCTGCACACTTATGTAAAGCCACTCTTTTGCATGTCTACACATTAGTTCCCTTGATTGTTCATACCTTAACTTCCGTTAATTATGTTTTAATCATATTCTTTGTACATATTTATTGTTTCACCCTTTGTTTAGTGGGTTTTTGTGATTTTGTCCTCAATTTGTCCGTATTTAAGATTTTTGTCGAATGGTTCGTATTTTTTTTTTTTTTTTGTAACCATTGTCAACAGAGTCAAGGTTAAAAAATTGGCAAAACAGGATTCATCCTCCGTCTTCTCCATATCTTTGGCGTTCCTTTTTCGCTTACTTTCACACCATTTTTCACGTCACAACCAAATTTTGTGCATAGAGAACTCCTTGCTAGCCTATTTCCCACTCCTTCCCTTTCTTCTTGTTGCTACGAGCCCCAAAAACCAAAGAAGGCCTCAATCAATTTCTCTTTCGACAACTTCAGTTTCTTCCTCTCCCTTTTCTAAAACTCCAGTTTCTTCCTCTTCCCTGTCGACAACTTCAGCTCCTTGCTCTCCCTTCTCAACAACTCCATTTCCTTGCTCTCCCATGTTCTCTCCCATGTTGACAATGTCAGTCTCTTCCTCTCCTTTGTCAACAACTTCAGTATCCTCCTCTCCCATGTCGACAACAGTCTCTTGCTCTACACTGTCTACAACTTCAGGTTTTTCCTCTCCCTTGTCTACTACAACTTCAGCTTCTTCCTCTCTCTTGTCCACAACTTTAGCTTCTTCCTCTCCCATGTTGACAACGGCAGTTTCTTGCTCTCCCTTGTCCACAATTCCATTTTCTTGCTCTGCCACATTCTCAAATTGCTCTTTTCCTTCATCATGGTTGATGAGTTTTTCATCTTCGTGGTTACCATCATCTTGTGCCTTTTGACTTAACGGGTCTTCTCTCCCTTCATTTCCACTAACGAGTTGGTCCTCTCCCTCTTCTCCGTGAGGACTAAGTGGCACATTCTCCATTTGTTCTTCTCCTTCATTATGGTTTACCGGTTTTTCATCTTCTGCGTTCCCATTATCTTGAGCCATTTGGCTTACCGGTTCTTCACTTCTGGTAACAAGTTTCTCATCTCCCTCTACTTCTTTTCTATCAAGAGACTGTTGTTCATCTATCTCTCCCTGGCTCAAATATGGCTGATCTTCTTCATCGTCCTCATCCTCATCCATTTTCATGTAAAGACCAAGCTGTTCTAACGGATTACTATTTCCCTCCATCTTAAAACTACCCAACATATCCTGACTAAATTTGGGGCTCATCTCTTCCATGAAAGTCGGTAATTGATCACCTTCTAAACTTGTAGCTCTAAGCATCTCCAGATCTTCCATAAACAGCATACCCTCGTTTATCTCTACGGTCTTTTCCATCTGCAACCGTAAAATAAAATGTCATTTATCATGATTGTTAACCATAATAGGACTTTAGAGGATCGAAGAGAAATGTGAAAAGTTCTAACAACCTTCTGTAAAGCTTGTCGTGCAGCTTCTCTCTCTTGCTCTCTATCCCTCCTTGCTTTTTCTGCAGCTTCTGCTTCGGCTTTTCTCGCTTTTTCTGCAGCTTCTGCTTCGGCTTTTCTCCTAGCATCCTCAGCTGCTTTGGCCTCGGCTTGTAACCGTACTTTTTCTAATTAGAAGGAAATCACAAGAATTAACAATTCACAATCAGAAATATGTTAGGACTTATAAAGTGCATAAGCACTCTCGATGCACTAGAACCTTCTCTTAGCCGTTTTTCAAACTCCTCTCTTTCAATCCTTAGCTTTTCAGGATCTCCTTTTTCACCCTGAAGATTGACGCATCAAAATTTTGATTAAACAATACATTCAGACAACCTTTTTGTTATACAGAGGATCAAACACTTAAAAAACTCAACCTTGGCAAGGGATTTCTCTCGAGCTTTCATGATGGTATCAGCAAAACGGTTCTTCAACAGAACTGCGCGGTAAGCTTTTCCTGGGGAGATTTGCCTCTCAGGTAGAGCAGTCTCCTCTATAATAGCCAAAGCATGACAGGTAAAATCATGATCTGAAAATAATCAGCTATTACCATCTCCAACCTTCCTTAACTTTCATTTCTTACCATCTGGAAGGACATCTACTGCATCCATGGCGGTCGACGTTTCCCCAACATCATGCTCACCTTGACCCAATTGATTTAAAGAATCTACAGAGAACAAAGAATGAGTTTCGGGAAGACTTCCATCCGAACACTCAAACTTGCATATATCTATTGAAAGAGACTAACCATTTACAACAATCCTTTCACCATTGACATCATCGTCCTTTCTGTTTATACCGACTCCTTGTTTCTTTTTATCCTAAATTTAAGAGAAAACTATACTTATTCTTCTGAAGTAAATTTCACTTTTATCATTGCAAGAGGATATGAACATGTTGTAGAGGGTAAATTAAGGAATCTCGCAGACAGAAATTAGAGCAATATCCAAACACAAAGCCTCCATAATAGAAGTTATTCCACTATCATATATACCTCTGCACTAGTAGGATTTGAAGCTTTGATGGAATCTGTTTCACTCCCAGAGGAACTACAAGATTCAGAATCTAAAAGACAATCACAGAAATCATCAGTACAAAAAGCTTTTCTTAACGGGAAAGATTAAACAAGGAAATCAATTATACATCATAACCTAAAAAAGAACCCACAGAAACTAACTCAAATATCCTCTATAGCAAGTGTATAACCACACTAGTCGAGCTAACAAAAAGCATAGAGTTTTTAGTTTTACACTGAGACCCAGCACACCACCACAACATTACCACTGTTCTAATGACCATCAAGATAGAAAAGAAAAGACTGATAGCACTGTAGCAGGCTCAAATTCCAAACCGGACTCAGAAGTCAAATACTAATCATTCTAAGAGAAACGCGATGAATCTAAGAGAAAGTTACTTTATTTCCAATCTTAGCTATTTTTACATACTGTACAAACCAATGCGCATTTGAGAGCGAGAAAAAAAATGGTTATTCTAAGGAAATAGACGAGGGTTCGCATAAACACGAACCACTAGATGAAGAGCCTGAATCACTACTGGAGCTACTCGGACTGTTGCATTCATTATTTCTACATGCATCGTCTTTTTCTATCTTGAGAGGAGGATGGCTTGAAACAGGGGGGTCATTCCCACCAACTATGTCAACATCCTCGTCCATATGCACATCACCTGTGATTAGGAATACATCAGACTACTGAAAGAAATCATTTTCGACATCAAAACAAGAAATTAATAACTTACCTTTACTAGGCTGCATAGTGGAATTACTGAATCCAGAGTCATATACAATCTGTAACAGAAAAGTTGAACAAAACGTCAGATATAAACATTTCACAGAGCACACAAACAATCACTAATAACCAATCAAAGAGATTTTTTACCTCCATCTCACAAGGTTCACTCTTTTCCTGGGACTTCTTTTTCTCCCTTAGATAGTCATCCAGGAGTTTCCGAACCATGAACAAGATTTCATCAGAAAGCGTGTCTAAATCTATCTCAATTTCAATTTCTCCAGATTGACCATCACGGCAACTTTGCTTGCTCAGGAGATCAATGATGTTTTGTGGGAACTCTTCCTCCAGTGCCTCCAAATCTTGACTTAATTTTCTCTTCTCACCATCTGTCATGCTCAACTTCGCAGATTCAACCCTCAGCTTGCTCTCGTTCACTGCAGCTGCTTTCTCTCTTGGCGGTGCTCCTTTATTAGGGATTTCAGACTCCAGAGAGGCAGAACTCGTTAAGGACATGACTGGTGGTTCAATCACAGGTATCTTCTTCTCTATAATTTTCCATCTTGACTCAAAATATGTACTGAGATCTCGAGCCATTATATGGTACTGATTTCCTGGTGAATTGTAAAGCATAGAATTTGAGAATGTAAGACGAACATCTGCTGCGAAGTCCAAAGGACTAGAGTATTCATCTCTACGCAGTCTGCTTCGTATCGTTCCAAGATCCATTGGGTGCTTAATCACAGTAAAGTAGTCTGGAATATTCAACAACACTGGATCAACTGGAGTACGAAATGCCCCTCCCTTCTTATGTGACCATAAACGATCGAGTAAAGTCTCACACTCCTTCATCAGTGAAGCAACAGAGCTTCTTGGGACATCTGATCTTGCAAACTCAGAACGCTGAGATGGGCCTTTCTTAGTCCGATGCTTATCATTGCGCACAGGAAGACGCTTTTTCCCCTGTGGCGGCCTCCTAGTCCCATCACTGCAACTATGAATATCACTATCTGGCAAAAACAGAGCAGAGTCTGAACTGAAAGATGCAAGCTTCTTGCGAAGGTCCCTGACTTGTTCAAGCTCCATCTTCAACTTGCGAACTAAGTTCTTCCTCTCAGGCCTCGACATCCTTGACAAAGACAAAACCTCTTTAGGACCATCATAGCTAGTTCCATTCAAACTATAACGACTCCTTTTCGGTGCAGGGGCCTCCTCTATCTCATCAGGCTCTGTGTAATCAGGAACAAAGCCCGATGATTTCCCTCTGGAGTGTTTCCGTGCTTTACCCATCATTTACAAGCACAGTCTTTTTCCGATTCTTCTGTCCCGCAAACTCTACAGGAAAATCATTTTTCAAAGGTCATTCACTTTTCAAAGTGAATTAGAACGAACTAAGAGAATCTAGCCACGGTATGCTTTAATTCCCATGCTCCATAGAAATTTGCAGGTATATGCTTCGAAATTGAAACTACAATTGCGGCGTCAAAGAAACTTGCAGTGATCAATCAGGGATTTCACGATCAACCCTCCTTGCATTCGAATTCAAAGCACATTTGGCCGGAAAAGAATCACAACTATGCGAATTACCCAAATCAATTCGATTATGGATTCCTATGAATGAAACGAACTTACCAATTGAAATTCGCAAGCGGTCTAAGCTCTTTCCTTCTTCCCCGTCTAATAACCCTCAGGCCTGAGATCAGAAATCAAAATCCCCGACGGAACGTGACCGAAGAGATAACCTTCTCTGAAGGCAATTGGGGAAATCCCAAAATCGAAACCCTAGTAAAATCCTAGACTTAGTAAAAACTACCAAAATCGATCTGGAAAACTGAGATTCAGAGTTTTCAGATATCGGTTCCAAAGAAAATTTTCGAAATAACGAAAGAGGTGAAAGAGAAAAAAAAAAAATGAGGAGAGAGAGAGACTTACGCCGAATAACGAACGAATTTGCTTCTCTACTTATAGATCTGTGGGATGATCAGCCCGCCGTCTTTAATCGAATCTAAGCCGTCAATTAACAGCCAACCAATATCTTAACGGCTACAATTATCTGTTTGATATGTACCGTCGATACTAGATCCAACGGCTGTTAAGGATACAACGGCATCTAGTGGAATCAGGATCTCTGATTATTTGAGAAAGATCTCCACTCAGTGAATGACACGTGCACGTGAAGCGCGTGGAGTGACGCGGCTACCGACCGACATTGTCTCCACTACTTTGACTATTTACCCACTTAACGCGCCTTGTGTGCGTCTGAATAACACGACCCAACCCGCGAAGCTTGAACCGCGTAAATTAAGGCCCATTAATGAATAACTTGAAGCTGCCCATTATTGTAATCTTTTTTATTACAAACAAATACTTTGATAGTTTTGTCTGAAGCTTGTGAACCAAAGAATGTTTTATTTTTTTAAACTACTAAACGAAATGAAACGAAAACGAATGATCTGGTGAAAAGAAAACCTTTTGATAATGCATAATACATATATACAGCTTTCTTACACTTTAAAACATAAATCTGAGATAAGCAATTTAGCATCATGATTCATAAGTGAAACGAGAAACAAAAGAGCATTTAAAAAAAACAGACTAAAACATATGTTCAAGATGAAAAAAAAATTTAGTTGCTATCTTTAGTTCTACGGAGGCATGTGCATCATCATCACATCGATCGTCACCATTGTGAATCCGATCAACACAACGTCACAGGCACAAAGCGGCCTTAACGTCAAGCCTCCACGCAAAACCTCCTCCGTTCATTCTCCACACGTCGCAAGGCACCGTGACGGAACCTCTTTCACGATCCTGACACGTGTACTGTAGTCTCACTCTGCATGTGAACGCCGGGTACGTTAGCATCGGCCTCTCCTTCATCACTAACCGTACCATCACGTGAAAATCATTCTCCGGTGCACTTTCCTCCATCCGAATATCAATATCCTCCTTAGCCATCTTCCTATACGCTTCATTGGTCCACGTCACTCTCCCTACACCGTCCGATACAAACCCAGGACACGTGTCCCTCATCAGATTCATCTTCCTCTCATCATCCGTCTTCCCCAATCCATAACCGTCGATCCAAGCGTCGGTCACACGCTCAACCGTCACACACGACGAAACCACCACCGTCCTTCGTGAAATCTCCGCCTTCTTGTACGGCATTGGCATCCCACCTTCGCCGCCGCTGAAACTCAGCCACAACGGACCGTTCCGCTTCGGCTGCTTCTCCACCGGAGAAACATTCAGATCTGGAAAAACTCGTTTATCAGGCGTCTCTGGTAAAAGAGACAACGTCACCACGTCCGTAGCAGCAGCAACGCCGTCGTCAGAAGTTTCCGATCTCTTCCTCCTATTGCATCTCCTGGAGTTACCACCAGATGTCTCTTTCTGATACTTTCTCTTTCCTCTCCCGGATTTAACGGAAGCATCGGAACTTCCACCGCTCGTCGTGGTGGAGCCATACTTTGCAGCGACGGGAGAACTACCTCCGCTGTCGCTGGCCGGTTTAGGAGCGATCGGACGGAATCGAAGCATGATTCGATCAGCTTTGGAGAGACCGTAGCGACCACCGTATCCGCCATATCTTGCTATGCAACATCCACCTCTACCGTCCATCTCTCTTAGTACTCTATCTTTCTCTCTCTCTTAGTTTCTATAGAATGTTGAGAAGTTAGCTTTAATGGAGCTGAAGAACAATGAAGAGAGGTGTGAAGGTTTTTATAGAGCCTGTGGTGTTGCCAAGTGTTGGGTCGATACGCGTGTCTTTGTCCAGAATACGCTTATCACCGTTGCACTAATGCACATGGTTTTTTCTGCTCTCTTTTATTTATTTTTTTGTTAAAAAGGATTGCTCAATTTAATATTTAATACTATAGTATACGAAAATGTCATGAGAATATGAGATTGGTGGTGTTGATTTTTAATTATATAGTTTTCATATTACTTTATCAGTTTAGTCATTTCAAAACAATTAATATAAATATGATGTTAATTAGCACAAGATTGGAGTCGAAGCTAGCTTCTTTAATTAGGCCTATCTAAGGAATGGAAAATATGGTCTTCTAGGATATAAAAATTTAATAATTGCTTTGACTATGTTTACTGCCTTTATACTTGGACTGGTTTTGTTTGGTATTTTGTTGGCCTAAGAAAACAGATATTTAGTTCAAATATTTATATTTTACTTACATTTTAGGTTAAAAATGTAAGCATATCGCAAGGGGAAAAAGGTAATGTTAGGCATGGTCCAAGAGATGAGGGTTCATATATTATCATTGACCAGTTTTGAAATAAATTTAGTGGAATCTTAATTAACTAAAGCTGATGGTGACTCAAGATCTCAAATCTTAATTGAGGGGACAAGATCGATGATCTCATGTCTAAAGATGAATTTTGTGCCAATAGAGTTAGGTCACCTCTTTTTAGGAAAAGAAGGAACATTAGTTAAAAATCCGTATAAGATTCTTAGCATATAAATAAAATTCATATCAGATTGTTGGAAAAAAAATATCGTATGAAGATATATTTCTAACAATTTCAACACAACAAAACTGTTAAGATATGTGCTTGGGCTAAGTTTTCAATAAAACTCTTTTAAACTAACTGGCCTTCCTTACACTACCAATCACCTGTCGACAAGTAAATATATTTAACTGGCTTTTGTTATTCTTGACATACTAAAATTGAACAGCATATCTACAAAAGAAGTAGTATAGTATTAAAATAGCAAACAGACAATACATCGTGGTCCTATCCCCCCGAATTGGGTAAATTATGGACATAAGAGTAAAAATCTTATTAAAATAAAATTAAAAGAAACCATAATAATAAAAGTAGATTCGGAGGGGAGTTCCAAGGAGCGATGGCATCTAGAAAATCTGATGGGTTAGTGTTGCGCTGTACATTGCATGGTAACACGCAAGGGGACACGTAGTGACATGTAATTAGCTATACTAATTAACTATCATTAATATTCACAAATCAGATTAAACTAATTAACCAGGCTAATAATTAGTCTACCCTAGATTTGTCCAAAGTGAAAGTAGGACGAAACTGATGACTGATGTTGAGGCTTGAGAGTTAGGTTTGATTTCTATAATTAACATTCGATCTCATCTTCCATACCATTTCTTCACTATTACCTTTTTTAAGAATAAAACACACACTCTCACATAAAACATTATCTCCAAACGTTTGAGAAAACAAAAAAAATGTCTATATATAGTCATATACCTTAATAAATGTTCATGGTTATTTAGTACAGTATCCCCGATCGATCCTTTAACCAGTTACATCATCTCGTTTTCGTAATTTATGTGCTAATGTTCACATTACATATAGAATTACAGGCCATATCCTGAATGTCAAAAGAAGCTAGCTAAGCGATTGTCTTTTATAAAATCAACTAGTTTGATTAATTTAACTGTATGTAATACATGTTCAATCTAAATGATCTCTAGTGGTTTCACTTTACAGGCGTCCCCATAGATAGTAAATGCAATTATAAAGAACATGTCATCCTTTCTAAAAGAAGAAGGTTGCACACATTATCTTTTGGGTTGGATCAGATCAATTATATATGGCTTAAAGACATTGATTAATACGTATAACAAAAAATCTAATATTAAATTAAAAGCATTGATTACATCTGCTCTCACTCTCACCTGCTAATTATTTAAGTACAATAGCAAAAACTAGCCAACAGTCTCAACATAAACCACCATCTAAACATGTGCTTGAAAGTTTTTTTTGTGTCTGTATACAACATCAATTAAAGAAACTCAAAAAGGAATTTGTTTTTTTCTTTGGCAGCTAAGCATTATACATTATTTACCTAGCTAGTCACCATTAAATTAGATATTTCGATTATATTGGAAGTGCTATCCAATGGTGTAATAAGCAGACGAGACAAAGCAAGCTTATCGGTCAAGGGCTACCTCGTTTTTAGTCATCCTATCTCTCTCTATATAAATTCTTAATAAATTATTACTTAAAAAAACTTGAAAATAATATAATAAAGCATATCTAAATACAGTGTCGGCCCAATAACAAACTGCGCCTATAGTAACTTGGGTAGAGTCGAACCTATGACCTAAGAGCAGTTTTGGAAGCCGATAACCACTGAACTATAGTAACTTTCAGACAATTAGCGCCCCAAAATTTACATACATGTTTGGCGCCTAAAGCACCAGGTTTTACCTGCTTTAGGTCAGGGCCGGCCCTGTCTAGATACGTCAAACTTATAAACTTAAATTGTTTGAATTAACCTTTTATAAAACACTGTACGTATATAAGTTTTGACTCTTGATTATATATACGTATGTTTATCTATTTGGTTTGTACACCCATTGCGCGCTGGTTTGAAATTTCGTAATGAAACTCATCTTTAACATAAGAAAAATATTTCAATACTTGCAAACTTTTGGGAGAAAAATAAAAATAATCAAATCTTTTGATTTTAAGTAACCAATTGAAAAACGTCGTTTGATGATAATTTAAATATTAAACATTTAAACATACTACAAATAAAATAAACCCGGATTTTGTTTGGTCCCAAACCCCGAGTTGAAAATACATCTGTTTTAACCTAAACAAAAACAATAAATCAAGCATGTTCCGCCAATCATATTTCGACAGATCAAGAAAAGGGAAGAGCTAAGCTCCGAAAACGCAAAGAAAAACAACATCACGCCCAAGAACCTTAATTGGGGAAAGTGGCTAAATGGGATTTCGCCACGTGTGGATGCGATGGTGTCAGAGTCAGTAAAGTTAAAAAGGTAAATGTGCCATGTCTCAGCAAGGGCGTTGAAACTGGTCGTTTTGTCTGGGACACTTGTACAATTATAGAAAGGAGAATCCATGACTTGAGCACTCTTGACTTTTCTTTATTTTTTTCTTTTGGCGTCAGTCGTCACTTCAATTTCTTTGGCATCAGTAGTTACTGGTCCAAACAAAAGAATGAACTTTCATGTCTTATCATCAAATCCGGTGCCAGATGATCGTATCATTGTATATTTCGGTATAGTTTACTTTAACTGTACAACATTGTTGAATGTTTTTTTAATACTCTATTAAATATCTAAAAAACAGGCCGCTTGTTGTTTTTTCCCGTTCGTTGATAATGTGAAATGAGAATTTGATAAATATAACATTAACAAATTGACAATTTATTCACACTTTCGAATGCCACTTTGTAATGAATGGGCTTTTTGGACAGCCACCTCAATGCACTGGGCTTTTTGAAATTATAGGCTTGGGCCTTTTGAATTTTAGGTGTTACAAAGTCTAGATAATAGAGACAGAGAAGGAAACATGTTAAAAAGAGCATTCTCGCTTATACCGAAGAAGAAAACTAAGATCCTGACCTATTTGTTTAATCACATGTTAGTTGTTACGCTGCAGTCTTTCAAATTTGATGTTGCTAACACAAACTTACTTTTCTCTTCCAAATGACTTAGTCTATCTACATCGTCATCATCTCTTATGGGTTATGGCAAATTGGCAAAGAAGAAGCTAAGATCCTCAGCACTTCAACAGAGATCGAAGAACGCAACTGAATCCAAATAGAGACGAAGAATGAGCACGAAGCATCCTCTTCTCCGTGCCATGTTGCGAGACAAGAGACGCATGAACACCTCAAAGGGAAGATAAAAAGCGGCAAGAAATTTCGAACAACAAAACAACTTTGATGTACAAATAGTTAATAAGTAATCAAAACAACTTACTGGTGTCAACTTTCTTTTCCACGTTTTTGATAAAACTCTTTGCGTTTACCTCGCGAATAAAACAATGCACAAAAAAGTATGAGGACATAAACCATTAACCAACAGAAACCAATTACTTGAAAAAGAAAACTGATTAAAGTCTGCAGACCAACAGTTTATACAGCTCTTGATAACAGTAACTCATCCCATTAATGTTCTAAGCGAAAGAGAGGCACACACCTTCTCTAATTTTCACGGACCGCTCATCATATCTACACATGAATCTGAATAAATCGTACACTAGTATACCCTGAATCTCCACGCAAACAAAGCAACGAACTGAATTAAGAAAAAGATGGATGAATGTAAAACAAGTTTATTATATTCTGAGTAAAACAGAAATTACGAAAATTCAACCAGTTGACTTCCCTGCAGCGTCTCTCAGCTAGCGCTTTGGAGGAAATGTGGGCATGAAATCTTGGGATTTTGGGAGAGGGACTTCACGGAACCAACCATGGTTCAGAGCTTCTTCCACTGTTAAACGTTTCTCAGGGTCCAAAGTTAGTAAACCATTCAGCAAATCAAATCCACGCTCCGAAAGAATTTGACCACCTACAAATGATATAGCTGGAAACTTCTTACGCAACTGATTGTATGGCTGTGTAGGGAACTTGGCTTTGGCATTGGGCAACGACGAGAATCCAGGCCAGACTGCCTCGCTCGGTGTTCCAAGGACAGCAAAGATCTTCTGAAGCTGGTCAAGCTCACTCTTCCCCGGGAACAAAGGCTTGTGAGACAACAATTCAGCCATAATGCAACCGATTGACCACATATCAACTTCTGTAGAGTACTGTTTCGCTCCTAGAAGAAGTTCAGGTGGCCTGTACCACTGAGTGATAACCATCTGGGTGTAAGGCTTGATAGGGCTCCCATACTGGCGCGCCATCCCAAAATCACATATTTTCAACTTCCCAGTGTTGTCCATTAGGAGATTAGATGGCTTCAGATCCCTGTGGATGATCCAGTTCGTGTGAAGGTAGTGCATACCTTCCAATAGCTGCAACATCAAGCACTTGACCTCGCTGGTGCTAAAAGGTTGCTTCATTCTCTCCATTAACCCCTTCAAGTCGTGTTCCAAGTGTTCCATGACCATATAAACATCACCGTCGTTTTTCCCTCCAACCACAACTTCCTTCACGTTCACTATCGAAGGGTGATTGCATGACAAGAGAATGTTGATTTCCCTCAAAGATGTCAAAGGGAATCCGTACTCTTCTTCCATCTTATCTTCCTTCATCTTGATCTTTTTGAGTGCCACAATCTCCTTAGTTTTCTCATCCCTCGCTCTGTAAACAACTCCATAGGTTCCTTCGTTTATCTTGTTTAGCTTCTGGAAGCCATTCACAGACCTGCTCCCAAGCAGCATGTTCATCCCTCCCTGACTTGAAGAAACTGGTTCTTCATTCTCCAACTCGTTAGAATCAGAACTACAATACTCATGATCAGAATTTTCACCACCACTAAGCTTCTCTACACTGTGATGTCCACTGCCTGATCCAGATGAATTGCAATGCTGTTCTTGAGACACCACTAATTCCCCGCACTCCGGAGTCAAACTGCTTCTGTTCCATCTGCTAGCCTTGGGAACATTATCATCACGAGATATTAACTCCTCCTTGGGCGAAGCTAAACCCGGTCCCCATCTAGATGTCTTAATAAGAGGTGCATCAATCACCTGTTCTTCCTCCAACTGACCCTCCTCCAAATCATCAACAGGATGTTCCCCAAACAGTCGAGCTTCTAATGGCTGCTCTGGCGTCAGATGATCAGGTTCTGGTGACCTTACAACGCCATTGACCTGATCCTTTGGATAAGTTTTCCTAGTGACAGCTACATCAACATCCTGATTGGATACCACATTTGTTGTCGGAAGAGTGAAAGGAGACTTCGTCTTCTCCCTAGAAGCCGGGGCTTTAGACACTTTCTGGTCTACATCCCACTTGATGGGTGAAAATTTCCTCTTTTTCTCAGGGGGTCTCTGAACCTCCTCTTTCTCTCGTTGTTCCCCTTTCTCAGAAGCCAATCGTGACCGGTGACGCCCATCATTCCTCCTGAGATCGTGATCGTTAGGTCTTTTGATTTGACGCCTCTCGCCATCTCTACTACTCTGCCGTAAGTAAACATCACGAGAACCATTCCTGTAAAAGTTGTACTCTTTTTTGGCAGCATCAGAACTTCTAGAGACGTCAATTCCCCCTGCTGCCATCGTATTCTTCTCAATGAGAAATTGATTGTATAAAATTCAAAAGAGAAAAAAAAACACCCAATTGACGAAACCCTAGGGAGAATCCTAGAGAGAATCAAATCACGATGAGCAGATTCGATAACTTTTCAATTATTTTTCAACAATCGAGCCAGAAAGACGATGAATCAACCCAATTAAGAAGAGATTCGAGGAGATCAAAATCAGAATCAGAAGAAAAAAATCAAGACCAATGGAAAATAACGAATCCCTATAAACTCAATTTTCCAGGAACCCGATAAGTTTCTCCCTTCCTCTGTTCCGATTCACACAAATACCGGAAGGTCTTACCGGACGGCGGATAAGAAAGCGGAAGACGGAGGAGATCTATATAGGAGCCGATGCGATCGCGAGCAACTTCGTGAAGCTTTCTCTCGGAGACACGAAGAGACGCGTTTAAAATTGCCTCGTGCCTCTCTATTACTTTTACCTTTTATTAATACGCACCGTTCATTAAGGTCGGCTGCATCCAATAATTTCCTTTTCAATAATTTATCGATTTATACGGGATTTGCGGGTGCACGATGCGCTATAATTTATGACCGTTAGATTTCATCAGTTATCCCAGGACGCTGTAGAGCCGTTAGATATTCATACTACCATTTTTTCACTCGTTAGCTAATGTCGTCTCTTAAAAATTAGCGCGCCTCAAGTGTATGCTTGCTTAATCTGTTCTTTCAAATTACTTTTTCAACTCTCTCCAATGGAGTACTTATTTGTATAACGCGATTCTCTACTAGTACATGGTAAGAATGCCAAACTTACAGAGTTGAGAAAAAGAAACTCTAGCATAGGAAAAAATGTAAAATATACGAGAAGGTATTGAAGTGAACGATAAAAGAAATCGATGGAGAATTTAGTCTGAACAGTAGATCGGGCCCATTTTCACTGAGAACCGATACAATCATATCTGAACCGGCCGGTTCTCTCAAAGCTTAGAGGCATTGCCATCCACGGCGATTTTAGTAAGCTCCCGACGCAGAATCTTGCCAGCAGGATTTTTTGGAATTGCGCCTATGAAAGCAACTCGTCGTACCTTCTTGTACGGAGCAACCTACACAGGCAATTAGACATAAGCAAACGATAACATCAAATCTTAAATTCAAAACTAACTTGTTCTATCATTTTTTTTTTCCAACACTTGTTCTATCATTTTAATTATCCTAACAAGAACAAGACCACCAACATTCTAGAGTTTGTGAGCATTACTTGTTTAGCTACGAAATCAATAACTTGCGCCTCTTTGAGATTACTTCCTGGTTTTCTCACTATGAAAGCCATTGGAATCTCTCCTGCATCCTCGTCCGGGAACCTTGAATTGATGATCCATGTCGGTATCAGAAAACACAGTTTCAAGAGAGTAAAAAGATTAATTAGTGTATAATATACTCACGGAACAACTGCAGCATCAATTACGTCCGGATGCGAATGAAGAATCTGCTCCAGCTCTACTGGAGGAACCTATAATATGATGATATGCTTATTGATTAGTAGTCAAACTCCTAAAATCAGATATTCTTCTTCATGAAAAGATTCATTAGTATATATTACCTGATAAGCCTTGTATTTTATAAGTTCCTTTAGCCGATCAACAATATATAGAAAACCCTCGGCATCAATGTAACAGAGATCACCCGTCTTTAACCACCCTTCTTGATCTAATGTCTCAGCAGTTGCTTTCTCATTTTCCACATAACCTGCGCTCATCAATCATCATCAGTACACAAACTCAGCACATAGAGAGTGAGAAGCTCAAGCATCACATATACCTTTCATGATGACCGGTCCACGGAGCCAGAGCTCACCCTGCTTCCCCGGTGGTAAAGCTTCTCCAGTCGATGGATCAACGATCTTTGCCTCTATATTCTCAGAGATACGACCAACTGAGCCGTACCTCACTGTCTCTTCAGGTCCAAACGTCGCCGCGGCTGGCCCTGTGCTCTCTGTCAAGCCATAACCCTGCGAGACATCGCAGAATCAGCACGTTAAAAGCCATTTCAATGGTCAAACTCTTTATATTAGTTTTACACTAGTCTTATCTTATCACCTGAACAATCTCAACGTCTGGGAATTTCTGATTGAACCTCTCGGCGACGTCTTTCCCGAGGGGAGCGCCGCCGCAGCCAAGGGCACGCAACGACCGGAGATCGAACTTCTTCGTTAGCTCAGATTTGACCAACGCCACAATCAACGGTGGAGATACAGGCATACCAGTGACTTTGTATTTCTCCACCGCCTTAAGCATCGCCCCGAGCTCGAACCTCTCCAGAAGCACCAGTTTCTCTCCAAGCGTGATGGCTCGGATCATCATCGCGAAGCCAAACACGTGGAAGAGAGGGAGAGAGAAGAGCCCGATACGGTCGTAATCAACCGGGTCGTCGAGTGCGCGTTTGTGAGACACAGCTGTTGAGGCGATTAGGTTGCGGTGGCTGAGTAGAACGCCCTTGACTCGCCCGGTTGTTCCGGACGAAAAGAGGATCGCGGCAGGGTCCGATTGGTTAACCCGAACCTGAATCGGGTTGACAGATGAAGAATCCGATCGAGTTAACCAAGAGAGAAACTCAGGCGAGTCCATCAGAACGATTCCGAGAGGCAAAGAAGAGGAACGGAGCTTATTAACCGTCTGCGATGTCGCGAACGCAATTACTGGTTTGCTAACTTCAACTTGATGACTCACCTCCAAATCAGATCCGATTGGATTAGCCGGTGAAACCACGACGCCGATCGACATTAAAGCCAAGTAAAGCACTGGTACGTGCAACGAAGCTGGAGAAATGATAAATGCGGCATCTCTTTGTGAAAGCGAAGGAAATCGCTCCCGGAGAGACACGGCAAGGGAACGGACCTTATGAAGAAGCTCTCCATAAGTGATGCTTTCCCCAGAGCTTGCGGCAACAAGGTAAGTAATAGCTTTGATATCTTTCCCGGCGGTGGCTGGTGGTGAGGATTTGCGGAGGAGGGAAAGCGCGAATTCGGCGATGGAGAGAGGTTGATCGATAGGAGGTAGAGAGAAAGAGGGACGAAGGCTGTGATAGACTCCCGTCCGTCGATTAAAGCCAGAGCTCCGGTCAATCGAACGGCTGTCATTGGTTTTCGTCTGCATTCTCGCCGGCAAGGCTTTGGAGATATCTTTTTCGTTGGCGGATAGTGTGCGCATGCTACAAACGATATTTCAATTATATTCATGTCAGAATAAATTAATATATTACGTGGCATTGATCCGTACCAACCAGTTTTTTGTTTACTATATTTTGTTTCTCTCTTTGTAGAACAAAATACGAAAAACTAAAATACCCAGTCAACGTTCTTTTAAAGTAGGACAGAAATCTATTTGTCATAAAGCTAGTTTACACGTGTCCTGCTACCATTAGTTACAACTGAACAATATCAATTTCCCCACGACTCAATCATTTATACAACAAAAAAGGTAACAAATGAACGAAACTCTGTACATTTTACAGTAGAGTTATATGTACACGTGTCCAATGATGCGTGGCTACAGCTGGACATGGCTTGAGGAGCTCGGAGCCTGCCTGAGCTAGAAGAAATCTTCAGAGCTCTGTTTTTGTGGCAAGCGTTGCCTTGAAGAGCAAGGAACATAGCCTAGAAGAAACCTAGAGACTTGTGTTTTCCATGGCGGCACATACACTCCGGGACGGGATAAGCAACCACGTCCCGATCTCTCCGACCTCTCCGTGACTCAGGATGGCCTTGAGACTTACGGTGAAGCTTCCTAGTTACAGAACTGAGCTCAGATTCCGAAACCGAAGAATTCTCCATCAAAGGTAGCATCGCTCTCTTATTCGGCATTATAAACTTTCTGTGTCCTACATAAGCTCTGTTTCCCTAAGAAGACGAAAGAATCAAATCCATCAGTGATAAATTTCAAAAGAGAATATAACAATGTTTTGTGTGTGTGTGTGTGTTTGTGTTTTCACCTGCATAGCTTTAGCCATGTTTCCACCATGGGAAGGAAGGAAAACATCGCTGCTAAGTGAAACAATGTAGTCAAGAGCAGCCAAAGCTGAAGATCTATTGGCGTAAGGCAAGAGCTCGCCTTTATGAGCTAATGTTTCCTTTGTCACCAAATTAGGAAACTCTCTGGCGAGTGGCTCTATTGCTCGTGACCCACCAAATGCCTCACCTCCTGCTATATATACCGATGCATTGCTCGGTGCTCCCAAGGCCTTCAACAACCTTGAATTCCAAAAAAGACTCAACCTTTAAGGTTACCCATCAAACAATTCAAATGGTCAAACTTTTAAGTTACCTTGCAATCTCATATGCATTGAGAGGACACAACCCAGCAAGCCTACGCTCTGTATAGGTCAGGTTTAGTCTACCAGTGAGGTAACGAGGCTGAGCCATTCTGGTTTCTGCTATGATTCGGTCGAACTCTGAGCCTAGTCCGGTTAGACAACCAGTTCTGACCCATACATCTTGCTCTAGCCTTAAATGGAGAGCTATGTATGGACCTTCAATCCACATTCTTCTCGCGAGTTTGTTCCCCAGATTCTCAATCGGTGCTATGAATCTCAGTGCATGGAAAGCAACCTATAAAACCAACATGTTCGTCATCAAGCTATTAAAAGGAAAAGGCTTGACTGAAAAAATGTACCTTGCATCGGAGTTTCTGCAGATCCGGAGGAAGATTCTTGGTTAGCCTTGAGTCTAAGCCTTTCAACACCAAAAGCCCTTCCTCATTCAACTGTTTGAAGAATTTAGCACGGATCCAAACCGGAGAAACATCCCAAGGAATCTGATTCTCAATTGTTTGTCTAGACATAAGATGCGTCGACGGTAGAGAAGAAACAATACGCACATCCGATCTCAGCGTTTTCTTGAAATGCTCTACATCGAAAATGTCTGAGAACTCACTGAAGAAAAAAAGAGGATTCGAATCAAAACCCCACAAGAAAGTTACGATTTTTAAAATAAAATTTCTTACCTTTCGTCTCCCCAGACTCGATTCACCTGCAAAACCGGAACAACGAGAGCAGCTTCAAGAATCGTAGCGATCACAACAGCGTCGACGATTTGATTCCGTTGCTGATTAAGTCCTCCGGAGACGACAACGACGAGGAATCGCTTCTTCTCTTTAGAAACCCTTGCCGATTTCTTCCTGTACGCCAAACTGAAATCCAAACAAGGCTTGTATCCTTCGCCGTCGGGCTGTTTCCAAAACTCCCTCTCTGCCTCCGTCATGTTCCCGGAATGTCCACTCCTCGCCGGCAAGGGAAACAAGGTGGAAGCGCCGGAGACTGCGAGGGAAGTGAGGAGGTGACGAGGATCGTCGGAGATGAAGAAGTTGAGAGAGGAGGATGGTGACATCGAGGAGACGCAAGTGGACCCAGGGTCTAACGAAGAAGTGAGGAACGAGATTCCCGAGAAAACGAGGGAAAGTGAGATTAGGAGGAGGAAAATTTGCGGAGGTGTGCATCGAGTTTGGTGATGGTGGTTCAAGTATCGAGGACTGGATTTCTTCGGGGGAGAGAAGAAGAGGAGAGAGAAATGGAAGAATGGAGATGGCGGATGCGAAGTGAAGAAAGGATTCTTGATCGTTCTCATCGATTTCGCCATTGAAGCTCTTTCTCCGAGCAGAAAGTTTCTCATTGTGCAGAGAGAGAGAAGCAGAGTGGTTGAATCAGTTACAGAGAGCCCTTCTGATTCTTGTTCCCGGGAAAAATCAAAACAATTTCTGTTTATTACGGAAACTAACCAATCGAGAAATTCCAAATCGACCTCTGTACTTTAATTTTGTTACGAGAAAGGCCTTAATTATGTATTATTATCAAATTACCCCCCACATTTTTTCCTCTACCGAATCGGTCACAAGTTTAGAGTAAAAAATTGTTGTGACCGGTTTTTGTTTCGGCTAGTACTCAACCGGTCCGGTATGTTAATTAACTCTCATGGAAGTTGTTTTAGAGCAAGCAGAATCAGCAATATAATCATCACATCCTTGTGTGATTATAAACCTTGTTTAAGTAGCATCACTTCTCAGAATCAGATTCAATACTTGTTTAAGAGAAAAGAGGAATGTAAAAGGACTGCGAATATGCAGAAAAAAACCTCCTACGAAAGACAGGAGACAACAGAGAACATTCAGGATCATTGCGATCGAGTGTATAAATTACTCTCCATATGTTTGGAAAATTAGTTGGAAAGGAAAGCGCATAGACTAAAGAAAAAACAGTAATTCCGCAGATGAGGAGTAGATATTTAGATGTGTGTCTCTCTTGTAGGAAGGTAAAAAGAATGGATTCTAACCAGAGGAGATGATTGCTTGAGCCTTGAGCAGTCTAGGACAATGCTTTTTTCACCTCTGCTGTCACTTCTTGAGGTGGCTTCTCGGCGTGAATGTTGGTAAGAACGGCTTTCTTCCCGTAGTAATCGATCACCTGTAAGCAATGCAAGAACATAAACATCAACATGCTCACAAGAGAAGCGTAAATGAAGCTAGGTGTAAAACACAGTGCAAATTTCCATTACCGGTTCAGTTTGACTGTGAAAAGCTTTGAGCCTTGACCTTAGAACTTCAGCGTTATCATCTTTGCGTTGGATCAGAGGCTCTCCGGAAAGCTTCAATGGCAAACAATGAAGAGAACAAGTTGTTTAACAGATGTTTGGGAGGGAATTTGGATAAACAAACAAAAAAAATATCAAAATTTATTGTCAAGTCTTACATCATCAACTCCAGGGGTTTTGGGAGGTGCGAATTTTGTGTGGTAACTCCTGCCACTAGATGGGTGGATCCATCTCCCGGTTATTCTTTCCTCCAAGATTGAGTCATCGATTGCAAAGTTGAGAACTTTGTCGATCTCAGTTCCTCGCTTCTTAAGCATCTCATCAAGCTGCAAAAACAGAAGACAAAAAAAACCATGGTTAGATGTTAATTACAATAAAAACCAAAAGAGAGACCAAAGAAACAGTAACAGTACCTTTTCGGCCTGAGTAACAGTCCTTGGAAACCCATCAAGGATAAAACCTTTTTGGCATTTTGGCTTGTTCATGGCTTCATCAATTATACCAACAACCAAATCATCAGAGACAAGCTCTCCCTGTTACAAAAAAAAATCACAAGAAAACGATAATCCAATCAACAAAAGCAATTGGAAACAATGAGCAAACAAGAACTCTCCCAAAAAAAGAGCTGACCTTGTCCATAGCTTCTTTGGCCTTGACACCAAGAGGAGTCTTAGCATTAACAGCAGCTCTTAACATGTCTCCGGTGGATAAATGACACAAGCAAAACTCATCCTTCACTACTGGAGATTGTGTACCTTTCCCTGACCCTGGAGGTCCTGCAATTCACAAAAAAAAAAAGTGTTCTCAACACTCCATCCAAGAAATCACACAGGTGGAATCATCTGCAAATTCATTCTCACAACAAAAGAGAAAAACTTGTTCGCACTTTCAAACACAACACAAGAACCCTGAATCACCAAATATCTTTTCAATGGTTTAACACTAACAGAACCAAATAATGAAATTTTAGATCTACAGTCTCAGAAATCACACAGGTGTACAAAGCTGCATATCACCATTAACATTCCAAGTATATTTGCCCAAATAATGAAATGTTAGATCTACAAAGTCTCAGCTCAAAAAGACAAACAGAACCAATTGAGAATTTCGTCATTCTAATATCACGAAACATGACTCCAGTTTTTAAGCTCAATGATCAGATCTAAACCACTCTGGCAAAAGTTTTGTAATTCACCACAAATACATTATAATTCTCCACAGAAGAACAATTCGAACACAGTAAATTCTGGATCCAACGACATTACAACGAAAAGCGAGGAAATTTAGTCGTCGCCGAGAGATAAAGAAAAAAAAGGGACCTATTTGATGACATACCAATGAAGATGAGGCGTTTGTCGGGCTTCTGAGCACATTTGAGGCGACGGAGGACCTCCGACATGAGATCCATCGTCTGAACATCCTCCAAGTTCGCCATAGCTGATCTAATTTCGCTCCTGTGTCGCTTAAAGTCTTCGTTTTTCTCGAAAGGGTTTTTGCAAATCGCAAGTCAAAGCGATATAAACAGTAAACGGGTCGGGTTTCGCAATCTCGGGCCTCTTAATTTGGGTCGGAGCAAGACATTTATTTTTTTGGTGTAATTTAGAGTTCAACGTTAATTGTTATTTATTTCCTTTTTTAATCATTCCATAAATAATAGGGGATTTTTTTTCATACACACAACTACAATGAAATCTATAAGGCATGTAAGATTTGTTCTTTCATTTTAACAAGTGAAGAAGAGAGAATTAAGCTATGTGCATCAATATTGGTCACCATCTTCAGCTTGCAACTGAGAAGCATACTGTAGATTCCACAAAATATCTTCAAACGATGGTCGACTTAACGACTCCGGCGAAACACATTTGTTCATAATATTTATCACTCTTATCAAAGATCCGTTCCGACAAGTAGCTTGCACTGTCGGATTCACCATTCTCCTCCTCCCTTCCTCGCTCTCCAACGATGCCTGACACAAACACAAAGATCACAAACATTTTTATTAAGTACAACCATTATCGAATCCGGTCTATGAGTGCGATCTTGCGAAAAAACCATACCAATTCATCTCGCAGAAATGCTTCTTCTCTAGCGGAAACAGATGGTCCAACGATCGATTGTAGAAGAATTAATCCGAAACTGTATACATCGTCTTCTAGCCTTGACATTTGCCATGACTTTGCTATTTCCTGATCAAAAACATTGCCATGAGAGTTTTCGGTTTAGAATACCGGTTTGACAAAAAAAAGATGGAAACTTGAAACAGAAACAGAACATTAAAAGTAAACGAGCTTAACTGTATTGTGTCTGGTAGCTTCAGAGACAATGGACAGACCATAATCACTCAGCTTAGCAAACCGGTGCTGGTTAAGCAAGACATTGTTGGTCTTGAGCCTATTGCTAAAGAATCCAGGGATAACTCCAGTGTGAAGAAAATGAACAGCCTTTGCAACACCTGTAAGAACATTCAGCCTCTCTGACCAATTCATAGCCCTACCAAAACTATCATCTGCGCCAAAATAAAAAAGGCTTTTAGTATTCTTCAGAAATCTCAAATCTTGCAAAGATTTGAGCTTTGAACAAGATTAAAACCTGAGAGACAAGACTGGAAGTTTCCATTTGGAATGTATTCATAAATCAAAAACACTTTTTCGATGCTGTAATCATCTTTTCCTCCACAGTCTATGCAATGACCCAACAAGCAAACCAGATTCGGGTGTCTAAGCTTGGCCAGCAAATCCAAACGCAGTTTTAGATTCCTTATTGAGTATTTCTTCGATGCAGGCAAACATCTTATAGCCACTTTTGTTCCATTCTCTAGATTTCCTTTGTAAAGCTAAACAACCAAAAAAAGCAAAAATCTCAGAATCAAATCTAAAAAAAGATTAACTGATGCTGAAAACACACAAAACTTACTGTGCCATATAATGAACTTTCACCGAGAATGGCGGTTTTATCGAAGTTCTTTGTAGCTTTAACAATCTCTTCTAAGCTAAACTGTCTACACACCGGTAAATCCTCTGAACCAATCTTGGATGTTTCAGAAATGTATCCTATCCACAATCACAATCACAAATGTCAAAATCTTTTTCACAATATTTTTGAGAATTAGAGAGTTTCTTTAGGGAAACATCCTTACTTGCATTTGAGAGTATCTCAGAGGAAAATCTAATTGGTTGATCACTATCTTGAGCTGTCTTATGGCTCAAATGGTTCTTTGTTACTCCTTTTCTTCTAAGCAAGATGCATACACCGCAGATTACAACCAGTATCGCCATTGATATACCAACAATCAAACCTACCAAAGCTCCTTTCTTCACTTTCCTTTGTCCTGATCCCTTTGCAGCAGCCTCTGCTTCAGCTTTGGCTTCAGCGGTTGCCGCAGCGCGAACTTGTTTAACACAGAAAGATTCTGGATGCTGCTGTTTCTGCAGAGACAAACAGTTTCCGCTGAACCTCACTGACAGATCTTGCTTGTTGCTTAAGCAAGAAGGGAGTTTTCCGGTTAGCTTGTTGTCGGAAACGTCGACGAACCAGAGTTTGCTTCCACATTTGAGATCATCCGGGAGCGAACCACTCAAAGAATTCGACCTCAAATCGATGTACTCCATTGTCGACAGCGAGAGTAGTGAAGAATGTAGCTCTCCGAATAGCTTGTTGCTCTTAAAGCTGAGAACTTTGAGACTCGAAAACGAACCGAACCAGGAAGGTAATGTGCCGTTGAAGAAGTTATGATCAAATCTGAAAGTTTCAAGCTTTACCATTGCAGAGAGCTTTGGTGGTACTGATCCAAAGAGGAAGTTATTGCTCAAGTCCAAATACTCAAGTGAAGATAACCGGTGGAGTTTCTCAGGGAGATGACCCCAAATCCCTAGAGAAGCCAAAGTAAGAACCCTAAGTGATTTTAGCCTAGACAGTGTAGTGACAAATGTTTCAATCGAGAATCTATCAGACAAGGTCACGTTGGGGATAGCGAAACCCTCAAAGCTTTTAGCTTTTTCAGATGATTTGTCGCCGAAGATGTTTAGCTCTGTGACTGAACTAGAGAAACAAGTGATGTTCATTGAAGGTGATGGTTGTAGATAGCAGAAACTGGTCTTGTGATCATACCAAGAATCTAGCTGTGTTGGGTATTCTAAGTGTTTTTTCAGCTGAAGAAGGACTTGTGCTTGTGATGCTTGTAGCTGGGAAGAGCCTAAACTGTAGAAACTCCATAGAAGAGATAACAAGAAGATGAATCTAAAGAAACCCATTTGTCACTTCTCAGACAAGATCTGGTTATTTTTGATGAACCTGCAATCAATAAAAAATAGACGCTTCAGGAATCAAGATTATAACTTTTTGTGATTTGGAACAAAACCCAGTAGTACAAGTACAAAAACAAAAACAGAGTAATCTGTTTTTCTTGTATGAACAGAGTAATCTTGAGAAAAGTGAACAGATCAAAACAAGAACAGAGTATTACCTTAATTCCACAAGTTTCAAAATATTTTTCTTTTCTTACAGTAAGAATGAAACATATTCAGAGGAAATAGAGCAGATTCTTTTAGTCACCGACACATATCAGTGATCGTGCAAGTAGAAGAAAAAAAATTTCAAGAATCTTCAACGCGTGAAAGAGAAAGAAAAAAGTTTTATTTTTTCTGTCAGGGTTTGTAAGTGAGAGAGAGAGAGAGATAGGTAAGTGAGCGAGTAGCAGTAGTTATATATGCTATGCTACAAGAATCTTTTCTTTTCGATATGCATGAGTTAAATTTGGTGGGGTTTACTCACTCATACCTAAAGAAAGTTGTGGAGTATTGTTTTATTAATAAAAAGGAATAAAAAGACAAAACTTTCTGCATAATGTATACAATAATCAAACTAGTGCTTTTTAAAAAATTCGATATACATTACATTATTGTCTGGACATTTAGTAGATAAGCTTTTGTATTTGTAGTTATATGATTGGGACCAAGTGATTCCGGAAGAAACCAAAGGAGAAGATGTTAAATGTGGTGTCACAATGATAATAATAGTCATACGTTCATTAACAATGACATCTTAATGTGATTTATCCAATTCGAATTCTAAACAATGAAAATTGACTATTATATCAAATAAATAAAGTATACCAAAGGACTATCATTCATCAGCGGCTGTAGTGATTACAGCACTTTTATTTACAATTGGTAACAATTAAACAAGCAGAAAGCTTGATTAGAAGTGGTAGGTGAAGTTTTAAATGCGAAAAAATGGTTGAGGAGGCATCATCGGGAATTGAGTTTGTTTGCTTGCTTACACAAACACAATGTTCCCATTAAGTGACAGCCTGTCCTTTCTAATTCGAGTGTTTAAAAGTCAAGGATGTCTACATTGTTCACTCTTTTGTTCCATCTATATATTCGTACACCTTACATATATTATTACTAAAATTCAAACGATAACAAGCGATTCTGGTGTGTGAATTGTGTGATTAGTCTTTGATTTCAGCATAATTACAAATTACTTAGTACAGCAATGTAGTTTGATTGATGGAAAATATGAGATGTAGCTAGTTTTGATACGATTGATTGATGTGCTATTATTTTATCGATTTAATAATATAACGGGGCCTATTTTTTAATCAGTTTTTCAATCAAAGAATATTTATAAAATACCTTTATGTACATTTAGTATATTGTGGGGATAAAAAAAGAATATATATATATATATATATATATATATATATACTCAACGTTAATTTCGTATTTTATTCAAATACGTTGATAAATGTCGGAAAACGATGGAATTGGTTTGCGTATGAATGAGGGAGATGTGATAGAGCGATAGTCCTGGTTTGCTGTCATTGTTTTTTCATAACAAGCCTCTATATTCATTTTTTTTTTTTTTTGAAGTCTGTCATCGTTATATATTTTTGTTTAATAAAGCAAAAATGATGTTTAGTCAAGTGGTCCAATCTTTTATTACTCGACCCATGTGTTGCACTGTTGTGTACTTGTGTATCAAACTAAAAAGTGGTTTATATAACTACATTAGATTAAAGTCGATGAAGAAACCACTCTTCAAAGAATGTGGAGCTTTGACTTCAATTTTGATTGTAGTATAGTATATACAAAGAATAAATATCTTTGACAATCTTTGCTATCGCTGCGTTTACAATTATCAGCTTCAAACACTCGTTTTTTAGTCAAACATGTTTTGACTTTGACCATTAAATGAGTCTGTTAGATAATTGGACGTTTTCAAATTTATGTAGACAACATATACAGATGGAAGTTCGAAGAATTCTGTTATATAAATGAACACATCAAGTAATCAATATAAAAATTCATCAAATACGAGTTTGCATGTGGTTGAAGCTCGTGAAGAAAACGACAACCCCCGGAGCATCTCATATTTCGAAGTATAAGAATCATCATACAAGATTGTTGCAGTCTCTAAGAGACAAGCCTTCTTCAGGATGTAAACCGCAATATCTCTATCGTGTGGTTTTCCTATGTACCCGGACCAGTTGAAAACTTGTAGACTCGACATCACACATTTAGGAACAGTTTTCGGTTGATTCCAGCATATCATATTACTCAATTTATGATCCTGCGATCAAGCAAAAGCATTACATTCAAAACCAAACTGTGAACTAGACCAAAAATATATATCTACTATAATAGTTTCTCAAAGGAACTTGCTTTAGCTTACCATTTCAAAGAGGCTCAGTACTCGTAACTTAGGAGAATCTTGGAGCAACCGGACAAGGAGATCCGATGCATATCTTGTGCCTACACATAGCTTCAATTTTTCAAGCTCATTGAAGACATAACCGCCACCATACACAGCCTGTATGCGCTCAAAAGAGAATAAAAATAAGTTAAAGACTATAAACGAGAGACCAATTATAAAGAGTTGCATCTGAGAGATGGAAATTGATTATTTTACCTCTGAAGATAACTTGAGACGTTTGACAGATGTGATTGATCCGATAAGACTCTCGATATCAGAGAAGCTAACATCTACATATGCCTCCACAAGCTTAGGCATATTCTCAATCAAACATGAGTGATTTAACTGTCTATAATCCTCAAGCTTCAAATACGTCAAAGAAGGAGTATCTATCACTAACCCATCTAGAATACCAACAGAAGGTATTTGCAGTGATAAACTTTGCAAAGACGGGATGGTTACAGTGATCATCCCCATACTGTCATCGAAACCACCGCGGAATTCCACCGACAGATGTTCAAGAACAGGACAAACCGATACAAGCCGTCCAAAAGATCCTCTATCTAAGAATTTCACTTGTACAAGCTGCAATTTTTTCAGAGAGGGAAGACCAACCATACCAAGAACATCAAAGAGAATGTTTCCTTCAAGTTTCAAGATCACGAGAGACCTGCATAGATACAAGCTACTCGGCGATACGTTTGAGTAGTCGGTCATATAAGAAATCTCCAGCTCACGTAGGTAGCGAGAGCATGCATATAAAACACACAGTGAGATATCTTCAGGTTTAAAGCGTGCACCGTAGAGCTTGAGAACGAAGCTTTCGATAACCGGAGCTCTATATAGCGGCAGGTTCCTGTGAAGAAAACAACGTAACCTTTTGCATTCAGCAGACGGTGAACGACTATTACCGATGAATTCAAGTTTTGGCAACCACATCCAAAGACACTTCCATCGTTTCGACAAGATGCTGGCGGATACAGCGAGTTTTGTTGGAAGATACGATAAAACCTTGATCAGTAAATCATCTGACAACCCACTGATTCTGTCCATATCTTTTTTTATAAACCAAAAGTACTGTTACCGTCGAACAGAAGCTGTACTTTATCTTGCTTTTCCCGACCAAACGAACTAGTTACAGGTCATGTCAACCCAGCTACAGAGACGAAATGGATAAAACCCTAGACAAAGCTCGTCTCCATCAAAGATTCAAAGTGATGATAAGAATTAAGAACGACGGAGCTTTACCCATTAACCCTAATGATTTTAATATTTAGTGGGCCTGGGCCGAACTGGTGGAAGTGGTACATTGGGTTTCTTTTTGTCATGAAAATGGCTTACCTTTCACACCGACAAAATGCTATTGTTGGGACAAACAACCAGACAATAGACATAACCTTTTCTAATTTATGTAGAAATGACTTTTTACACTGTGATATATCCGAAATGTTATTTACCGTTTGTGTTTAAAACAGGGCAAAATGATAATTCTATGTGATTTTTCCTGAAAATCTCTCAAGTCTCCACCATTGTCACTTACATTTTCAACAAGGCTTTTTTTTTTTTTGGCTAGCAGGCTAACCATTCCTAATCCGTTGAACAAAACATAGCTGTAGACTAACACGCTTTCCCAATTCACATTTTGTTAGCAACTGTGATTGACATGTATTGATATATGAAAGAGTAAATATAAGAACGAAATCGATCTAGAGTTATCCATGAGACCGAGTGAACTTTACTCCTTAGACGTTCATCAAGTAGTTTTAAATGTCACTCTTATATATTCATAGTTTAAGGTAGGTCACTTTGATATATTGGTCGAAGAATTATTTAGTTTTCTCTAGTCCCAAAATCAGAATAGTTATGGACATCTACAATTAAGAAGCCTCTTCTTTGTTGGAAGATAATAGTAAAGCGAGGACAAAAAATCCGCTATTTATTAGAGAATACTATTTTTTTTGTCAAAGTACTCACTTATAACCTCGAACGCATTGAATAATTCAAAAGGTAATTCATCAAATACGAGTTGGCATGTGGATGATGCTCTGGAAGAAAGCGACAACTCCTTGAGCATCTCAAATTTTGAAGTATAAGACTCATCATAAAAGATTGTTGCAGTCTCCAAGCGACAAGCGTTTTTCAGGATGTAAACCGCAACATCTCTATCGTGTGGTCTTCCTAAGTACCTGGACAAGATGAAAGTTTGTAGACTCGACATAATACATTTAGGAACAGTATTCGGTTGATTCCAGCAAATCAAGGGACCTAAATCATTATCCTGCGATCAAGCAAAAAGCATAAGTTTAAAAACCAAACTGTGAACTACACCAAATATATATAGTACTCCCTCTGTTTCAGTTTATAAGGGGTTTTAGGAAAAAAAATTTGTTGCAGAATATTTGTCTCTCACAATAATCTAGATTAAAATTGCCATTACTTCACATTTTTACCCTTCTCTTATTAAATATTAATTTTGGTCAAAAGCTCAAAACCCAAAACCACTTTAATGCTTCTAGTTCTTATTTCCAATTTTCCATTGTATATTCACCAGAGAGATGTTTAATATTCTCCCACCCAATTCACTATAAAATCAATTCAAAGATTCATTTCTAGTCCAAAATAATGTCCAAAAAAATGAATAAAAAAAAAGCAACGACATAGTGGAAAAAGAAAGCAGCAAGGTTGTAATGAAACAAGAAGAAACCAAGGATGTTCAGCTCATTAAGAAATACGTCAATGGTGAAATCGATCTAAACAAGCCTTACAACAAGAGAGATGAAGAGTATGAAGAAATGGTATTGGATTTGTTAAAAGTTTATTTGCCAACTTTTACTAAATTCTGATTATGTTATGATTTTATAATGATAGTACTATTTTCATACATTTTGTTTCTCGTTTCTTCATAGGAGTGATATAATCTTGGACTTTTTTAGTAGCATCATACTAACTGATTAGGGTTTAGTAAAGAAAATCCAATTTTATAAAGATAAATAGAAGTACATGAATAAATAAAACAGAACACTAATTTGCTAACTCCAACATGTCCATCACATTCTGGACTAGTGAAGCATCACACCCGATTTGAATAGGAAGGAGACCAGCTCTTTCGAGTGTATCTTTCTGCATATGCTGTATTTTGTACTTGTTCGTTCCTCCAGCCTTCATGATTTCTCTCATGCATGTTTGAAGAGTTAAAAAAATATAATTTACCTTTTTAGAAGGGTATTCGACAAATGACTCTTTCACGGCACGAACAAGATCTCCAACTGTTTTGGGGCAGGCCTTATGTTGTAAAGCTTGAATGGCAGAAAAAAATCCAAGATCCAAAATATTTAGATCTGGTGAATTCGGTGGCTGACACATCAATCGGATATCAAAACCAGTTTTGGAAGCAGCTTCTTCAAAATCCTTATCACCACAATTAATATGCGTCCTTGCGTTGTCTTGTTGAATAAAAATAGTCTTCCCCAGATCTTCTTTTGGCCACCTTTCGTGAATCACCGGTATGACTTTATTAATCAAGAAATCTTTTACATGCTCTCTTTTAACGGAAGTTGACGCTTTCCACTCGAGAGTTCCAGCAGCTCTATGCTTACTTCGCCTTTTAGCTGGTTCCAAAGAAACAAAGGGAAATATTCCTATTTTTCCAGAAAATGTCTCATTTCCTTCCTCATCAAACCTAGGTCGAGCCATTGCAGCCAAAAACATCACTTTTGTAATAAAATTCTTACTTTGACAAGTGCGATGTGGATCTTCTTCTTCTGGAAGTAGATAATACTTCTCCATTTTCTTCGTCATATAAAACCATTTTTCATCTATATGTACAATATTGTACATATCAACGAATTTTGGTTCATGAAACAAAGTGTCTTTGTCCAACATGGACAAACAAAACTCTAGCCTCTTCATAGTATTTTCCTCCGTCAAACTTGGTTTAATGGCATTGGTATGACGTCGAAGAAGCCCTTCTTTGACACGTCTCTGTAATGTCGAAGCGCTCACACCCACAGATACTGAGAATGACCTTAGATTTGTTCTCATATGTAATGGAGTAGCAGGAATTTTATCCAAATCAAGAGGTATTGGCTTCCGACCAGAATTACCTCTTTTATGAGAAACATCTACACCGCCACCATGAGAAGTTTCTTTTGCCCGATTCCAAATTCTTTGCACCGTTTTCATTGGTACCGATAATAAATCGGAGACTTCCCGCGTTGTAGTTTTTCTCCTTTTCCCACCATTAGTTCTCGCCATCAAAGCATTGTACACTGCCCATCTCTCTTTATTTGAGAGATTTTTCCTCGGTTTACATGCTTGATCGACATGAGACATCTCTGTATTTTACATCAGAATAAAATAGTTGAGCCAAATTGATCCATGATAAGCACACCGACGTATTATATTTAAGTAAACTGCCTAATTGAACCATGACAAACATATGATTTCATGCAGCACATGTTACGTAATAGTGAAAAAAAGACAAAGAAGAACATCAAAATACTAAATTTAAAAGTAGATTAATACCTGAATCTGTATCTGTATCTGGATGTTCCTCGTAAACATTTGGATTATCTTCCGATAGAAACTGAACATCTCCATTGTCAAAACTTTCTTCATTCGTTGGACTTTTGTTTAAATCAAACAGACCATCTCTCTCATCTTCCAAATCAAAATCAAAATCAAAAGACATGAATGAAGTTGTAATTTGTTGATTAGTTTGTGGGTTTTTTTTGGGTAAAACGTTTGTTAGTTTATTGTCATTATATAAACATGGAAAGTAAGATAATTTTCTTAGTTTGGCTCCAATCTTAAATTTAAATTTTCGTTCTATCACGTAAAAAAAATTTCAGTTTCGCTCCACTATGTTAAAAACGTTTTAGTTTCACCATCTAAAATCAGTTTCCCTCCACTACGTTAAAAACGTTTCATATTCGAATGTTAATTGCACCATATAAACCAATAAAATATAATTGGCTTTTTAAGTGGGACCCATAATCTCAATTAATGATACACAAAATATTTAATTTAGAGAAAACTTTTTAGTGGTATAATATTGAAATAAGTAATAGAAGATGAGGTTAGAAGAAGTATTTTACTTACTTCCTTAAATATTGTCAAAAAACCTAAAACCCCTTATAAACTGAAACAGAAGGAATAATAGTTTCTCAAAGAAACTTGCCATTTTAAAGAGGTCTAGTACTCGTAAGTTAGGAGAATCTTGGAGCAACTGGACAAGGAGATTCGATGCATATTCAGTGTCTGCACATAGCTTCAAATATTCTAGCTGGTTGAAGACAAAACTGCCACCATACACAGCCTGAATGCGCTCAAGAAAGAGAAAAGAAAAATGTAAGACTATAAACGGGAGACTAACTAAAGAGTTGCATAAATTGATTGATTTACCTCTGAAGATAACGTGAGACGTTTGACAGATGTGATTGATCCGATAAGGCTCTCGATATCAGGGATGCTAACATCTACATTTGCCTCCACAAGCTTAGGCATATGCTCAATCAAACATGAGTGATGATTCGACTTTCTATAGTCCGTAAGCTCTAAATACTTCAAAGAAGGAGTATCTATCACTAACCCATCTAGCAGATCATCATAATTAGGTATATGGAGTGATAAACTCTGCAACGACGGGACGGTAACATTGATCATCCCCATATTTTCAACGACACCACCACATAAGTCCACCAACAGATCTTCAAGAACGGGACAAGTAGACAGAAGCCGTTGAATAGATCCTCTATCTAAGAATTTCACTCGTTCAAGTTGCAGTTTTTTCAGAGAAGGAACGACAAACCATACGAGGAACATCCAAGAGAATGTCTCCTTCAAGTTTCAAGGTCACGAGAGATTTGCAGATATACAAGCTACTCGGCAATACCGGCCATACGTTTGAGCGGTCGGACAGATAATTATCATAAGAAATCTCCAACTCACGTAGGTTGCGAGAACATGCAAATAAAACCCAAATTTTGACATCTTTAGGTTTGACACGTGCACGAGATAACTTGAGACGGAAGCTTTCGATAATCGGAGCTCTATGAAGTGGGAGATTCATGTCAAGAAAACAACGTAACCTTTCGCATTCATCGGACGATGACTGAATATCACCAATGAAATCAAGTTTCGGCAACCACATCCACATCGACAAGATGCTAGTTGATACAGCGAGTTTTGTTGGGATAAAAGATAAAACCTTAACCAACAATTCATCGGGTAACTCACTGATTATGTCCATATCTTTTTATAAACCAAAAACACTGTTTCCGTCGAACAGAAGTTGGAGTTTATCTTCCTTTTTTCCGATCAAACGAATTAGTCACATGTGTAGACACAAGTACACAGAGGAAGTGGACAAAACCCTAGAAAAGGCTATCGTCTCCGTCAAAGATTCAAAGCGATGAGAGAACGACAGAGCTTTAACCATATGATCCAAATCTCTAGTGAGCCTGGGCCGAGCTGCATATATAATAAGCCTATTCTTCTGATGTGGTACATTGTAAATTTACTTTGATCCGAAACCCAACAACGCAATGGGCCATTATTAACCCTCTTCTTTATATATGACGATTATAGTAAAATTTGGAAGTCGGAATCATATTACAAAAAAAAAAACCTGTAGTGATTGAATTCCTTAATCAAATACTACACTGGCATTAATCCTTAATCATCTAAGGTTTTAGAATAAAACATTTAAACATGCGTCATGTGAGATTGTTGCAGTCCTTGAGGCGACCAACGCTGTCCAAAGATGTAAACCGAAAGATCTCTTTCTTGTGGTCTTCTTTCCACGTATTCAGACCAGTTGAAAGCTTGTAAACTCGACCGAACACAGTCAGGATCATCCCAACGCATACCACAATGAACCTGCGATCAAGAAATAATAGTAGGTTAAAAGCATACTGTGGAATATTAGATGGAAAAGTAATTTGCTCTTGGTGCCATTACGTTACGTACATCGATGTCTAGTACACGTAAGTTAGGAGAATCCTTGAGAAACCGGACAAGGAGACTCAGTGATTTGTCTGAAGTACATACACATAGCTTCAAATGCTCAAGCTGGTTGAAGACAAAAGCATCACTATGCACAGTCTGCACATGATGATGAAAAAAGTATTAAGATATGATTCTATAATAAAGACTAAAGAGTTGAAGTTGATTTACCTTTGAACATATTGTAAGACGTTTGACAGATGTGGTTGATCCAATAAAACTATTGATATCAGAGTATCTAACTTCTACATATGCCTCCACAAGCTTAGGCATATTCTCAATCTTACATGGGTTATCCGGATGAAAAACATTCACAAGTTTCAAATTTTTCAAAGAAGGAGTATCTATCACAAAATGATCAGAACAATGGTGACCTATATTTACTGATAAACACTGCAAAGATGGGACGATAACGGTATTTAATCCACTATCGTTGTTGCCACCATAACCATCAAACCAGATAATTAGATCTTCAAGAACATGGCAAATGGATAGAAACCGTTGAAGAGAGTAGGGCTGGGCAACAAGTACTTGATACTTGCTCAAAACCCGCTATTTGACCCGTACTTGCCCCGCCAAACCAAGTACTTGCCCCGTACAAGGCAAGTAACAAGTCGGTTTTATAAATTACTTGCAAGTACAAGGCAAGTATCAAGTCTTTAAAAAAAAATCATTACCCGCCTTGTTATGACCCGCCTTGTACAAATATTTGATATTTACAATTTTTTTTGTATTTTTTTCCACATAATGAAAAAAATAAAGTTTTTTTCTTGTAAATAAGAGATCCATTGTCATTTAATTGCCAACAACAAGGGTTTTTAAAAACCTACATTATAAATATGAACAAATTTTAATGGGCTTTTTCTAATTATAGCCCAAAATTGTGAAATATTTATTTTTATTTTTGTGTTTTTACAAGTCGCAAGGCAAGGCAAGTACCCGCAAGTAATGAAAATATGAACAAGTACTCGAAGGAGCAAGTACTTGACAAGGCAAGGCAAGTCGCAAGTCGAAATTTCAAATATTTTCACAAGGCAAGGCAAGTCGCAAGTACACTGAAAATGACAAGTACTTGCCCTGTGCCCACCCCTAGAAGAGAGACTCCATATAAGTAACCATCAATGTCAAGTTCCAGATTTTTGAGGGAGGGAAGACAACCCAAACGAGGAACATCCAAGGGAATGGTGCCCGTAAGTCTCAAATCCACAAGCGATTTGCATGTATACAAGCTACTCGGTAATACACTTGGCCTGCCTGGCCAGTGGCTATAAGTAATGTTTAGATGGCGTAGGTAGGAAGAAATTGCAATTTCAAGCCACAGTTTGATATCTTCAGCTTTGATATCTCCAGGTTGATACGATGAGCATAAGCTGATGTGGAAGCTGTCGATGACCGGAGCTTTATGTAATGGGAGATTATGATCAAGAAAACACCTTAAACTTTGGTGTTGAGACGGGATATCTAGAGCATGGAACTTGAGTTTGGGTAACCACTTCCAAACATATTCCCATTGTTTCGACAAGATGCTAGTGGATCCAGCGAGTTTTGTCGGAAGATACGATAATATCTTGAGCAGCAAGTCATCCGACAACCCACTGAATTGGTCTACTTTACAAACCGGACGAGATACTGTTTTCGATTCCCTCTTCCTTTTTGTAACCCTGGACAAATAAAAACACAACACCAGTAAGACAGACTCAAAAGGAATGATCTTGTCTGAAACAAACCACACGAAATTAGTGAAGCAAGAGTAAACGCAAAAGGAACACGAGACAAAACCCTAGAAAGAAAAAAAAAGCTAGAGTTTTTACATGATGAAGACTCAGTGGAGGCGCCTCTATCTGTCCCGAAACCGGAATTAGATGATAGAACTCAGAAGCTCCCGAAGAAACGAAAGGGGTCGATCGCTCTCGAATTAGGTCCACCGTTTCGTTCTCTCAAGTTACTACTTCTTCTGGTGAACGAATAATTTGTTTAATTGAAAAATATCAGTTAATATTCACACTTTATTATTACCTTTTGCTTTTCGAAAAAATAAAGTCTCGATTTTTATTGGCTAACACAGCACATAACAAAGCCACTAAAAACAACAAACTTTCCCAAAAATTACATCTTCCAACTATCAAAGTCTCTTCTTGTTTGGGAGAGGGAGGTCCAAATCTTATCATATTAAACAAGAAATAAAATAAAAACACCTTATAAAACATTAAAATCCTTAAACAAAACAGAGCTCGCAAGTCGTTGATGCTCGTGAAGAAACTGACAAGTCCTTGAGCATCTCAAGCTTTGGAACAAATTCTTCATTGGACGAGATTGTTGCAGTCTTTAAATGTTTAGCCCATTTCAAGACGTAAACCGCAACATCTCTATCTTGTGCTCCTCCCAAGTATCCTGACCAGACGAAAGTTTGTAGACTCGACTCAAAACATGCGGGAACATGACTCGGTTGAGTCCATAGAACCATATCATTATCGTAATGCTTCTGAGATGGAGCAGAAAAAAATTGGATTAAAACCACAACACTATGCATTAGACCAAATATAAACCGTTTATGGAAGAAACTTACTTTCATTTGAAAGATGTTGAGAGCTCCTAAGTTAGGAGAATCTATGAGCAACCGAGAGAGCAGCATTGACGAACAAGCTGTGCAATCACACAGCTTCAAATCTTCAAGCTGGTTGAAGACAAAACCGTCACCATAAAGAGCCTGCACAAAGATGAAAAAGGAGACAACTCTTTAAAACGAGACCCGAAACACTTACAGTTGATAGATGGAAACTGTGATTTACCCGTGAACATATTGTAAGACACTTGACAGATGTGATTGATCCGAAAAGACTCTCGATATCATTGTATCTAAAATCGACATAGGCCTCTTCAAGCTCAGGCATGTTCTCAACCAAACAAGATTCATTGTCGCCCATTAGGATCCCGAAGTTTCAGATACTTCAAAGAGGGAGTATCAATCTCTAACCTATCTAGCTGACAATAATAATCCATTAAAAGTGTTAACCTCTGCAAAGACCCGATTCTGACAATGACGTTTCCCACATTGATAACATCGTAGTCACGACCTCTACAAAAATGCACCAATAGATTTTCAAGAAGAGGGCAAATTGATAGAAGCCGTCCAAGAGATTCTCCCTTTAAGCCAAACACCTTTTTAAGCGTCAAAGTTTTGAGAGAAGGAAGACAAACCATACGAGGAGGAACATCCAAGAGAATATGGCCTCGGAGTTTCAAGACCACGAGAGATTTGCAAGCATACAAGCTACTCGGTAATATGTCTTGTCTCGGACAAGCATGATAAGAAATGTCAAGCTCACGTAAGGAGCGAGAAACTACAACTACAAACCACATTCTGACATCTTCATATTTCATATGTGGAAGTTCTTCTATGTAGAGACGAAAGCTTTCGATAACCGGAGCTTTATGTAGTGGCAGACTCCGGTTCAGAAAACCCGTTAAGGCTGGGCGGTGAGAAAGATGACAAGCGAAATCAAGTCTTGGCAAATACTTCCAAACACACTCCCATCGTTTCGACAACGTGGAAGAAGTGTAGACTGCCTCTCTTGTTGTAAGAAACGATAATATCTTAAGCAGCAACTCATCTGGTAACGCACTGATTCTGTCCATATCTCTCTCTACGAAAGCACAAACCCCCAAGAACTGAAATTTATATTCCTTTTTTCTGAACCTGCAAAGAGACGAAACAAGAACACGCCGTACAGGATGAGTCCGAAGCCAACCGAAACGAATTAGTAAACCAATCTGTAATTAGCTCCTGAGACGAGAATCGTAAAAGTTGACTACTTTGCAAGCAGAGACACACAAAGGGAACAGAACAAAAAGCTAGATTGTTAAAGGATGAGTCTTTTACCTATCAAGTGGCTCGAATTCTTCTCCGGAAGCAGAGATCAGAAAATGAAATGGGAAAGGAGGCGCATTTTTTTCTCCGTCGACACTCCCTCACACCGTTCCCAAATGATCTAATTTGCCAGTCCGGTTTAAAAATAACCGGGTGAGTAAACCGGTTCCAAATCAATTGAGGAGGTTAGTGGGTTAGTGTATTGTGTTGTCGTCTCCATCCGATAAGAGAGAAAGATAGTTTCCAGTCACAGAGATACTTTTCTCATCTCACTCTCTCTCTCTCTCTCTCCATTTCCCGCTTCCATCCTTAAACCCCTTTCTCTTGGTGTCTCAAAACCCCTTATCTCCGTGTAGGGTTTTGTTTTACAGTAGTGATGAAACCTGCTGCTTCTTTGCAAGGTTTCTCTTACCCTTCTTCCTCACATGCTTCCTCTATCTACTTCGATGTTCGCAGACCAGTGACTACTACTACGGCTGCTCCCTCCAAAATGGCAGCTTTTGGTGCTCTCTCGCTTTGTCCTTACACTTTCACCTTCCGGCAAAGCTCTCGGATTAGGTCTACCGTCTTGTGCTCCGTCACTTCTCCTCCTGCTTCCGGTGTGTTGTTTTCCCTCTCTTCTTTTCTTTTTTGGATTCCTGAAATTGAATTTTTTTCATTTGGAAAAGTGAGTGATTGATAATGGGTTTAAGTATTTTGAATTGGTGCAGAAACAAAAAAAATGAAACTTTTTTTGAGATACTAGGCTGAGAGTGGCCGGATTGGAATAGTGTTTCATTTGAGATTCCTTCACATAATTTCATATGATAATTTGACTAGAAAGTTTGAATTTTGTTGTTTATAGTGTCACTCTGTGTTATAGTAAGACTCTGTTTGTTGACTCTGGTGTGATGTTTGTTAAAGGTACATCTTCCTCTAAGACACCTCGCAGAAGATCAGGAAGACTAGAAGGAGCTGGGAAAAGCATGGAGGACTCTGTAAAACGTAAAATGGAACAGTTTTACGAAGGAACCGATGGACCGCCTCTCCGTGTTCTTCCCATAGGTGGCCTTGGTGAAATTGGAATGAACTGTATGCTTGTTGGAAACTATGATCGTTACATCTTAATTGACGCTGGTGTTATGTTCCCTGAGTAAGTCTCTTGTTAATATTGGCGACAAGTCATTATATTGTGTGTGTGTTTGGTGTTAATGGAAAACATTGCTGTATAATGTTACAGTTTTGATGAGCCTGGGGTCCAAAAGATAATGCCAGACACAGGATTCATCAGACGATGGCAACATAAAATTGAAGCTGTTGTTATAACGCATGGTCATGAAGATCACATTGGGGCGTTGCCTTGGGTAATGTCTTCTTCCACTCCTTGAAAATTCCATATCACCTTTAGACTTGCACCTTTTGGGTATAATGCACTTTTTTGTCTTCTGACCATTGTTGTTTTCTCTGATGAGCAGGTTATTCCGGCACTGGACTCTAATACACCGATATTCGCATCATCCTTCACCATGGAGGTGATTTACATCTTGATCCTGTATTTCTTTTTCTGTCTCAGTTAGTCTTATGTTTGCTAACAGCTACTAAGCTTAGATATATAGTTTCGCTTCAAAATGTATATACTTCAGGCAGTTAGTTTCCTAGATCATTTGCATTTTGAGCTCATGGGTGATTTTTTTTTGTTTCTATGCAATAGCTTATAAAGAAGCGCTTGAAGGAGCACGGGATCTTCGTTCAGTCACGACTTAAGACATTTAGCACTCGAAGGAGATTTATGGCTGGACCATTTGAAATAGAGCCCATTACAGTGACCCATTCTATTCCTGATTGTAGTGGATTAGTCCTCCGTTGCGCTGATGGTAATATTCTTCACACTGGAGATTGGAAGGTAGAGTAACCCCATCATATATTGTTTCCTGTCTCTTTGTATACTCCTGAAGGTGCATGAGATAAGTTAATTTCATAACAGATTGATGAAGCACCATTGGATGGAAAAGTCTTTGATCGTGTAGCTTTAGAGGAACTCTCGAAGGAAGGAGTCACGCTGGTAAGATTCTGTGCAGAGTCATACTCTTGTCATGTGTTGATACTTGATAGCATATCAGCTAAGGTTGAAACTGTTATACAGATGATGAGTGACTCAACAAATGTATTGTCACCGGGAAGGACAACTAGTGAGAAGGTGGTAGCAGATGCTCTGGTAAGGAATGTAATGGCGGCAAAGGGAAGAGTTATCACAACTCAGTTTGCCTCCAATATACACCGTTTGGGAAGTATTAAAGCGGCTGCTGATTTGACTGGTCGGAAGTTGGTATGTCTTTCATGTTATACCTTGACTATTGCCATATATTCCTTCACAATTCTGCTATCAATTTTCTCCATAGATTCTAGCTTTCAACTTTCTATGTCATGTGGTCAATTATTTCTCAATTTATGCAGTTCATTTCGGAATTTAAAAGTACAAAACTCATTTGTTGTTCTAGGTCTTTGTTGGCATGTCGTTAAGGACATATCTAGAAGCAGCTTGGAAGGATGGAAAGGCTCCAATTGACCCGTCAAGTCTGGTATAATACCTTTCTCCTATACTGTATCTTGTATACTTAATGATGCATAAAGTTTGTTAAATACAAAGAGACAACACCTGCCATGTGTGAGTTTGATGATTATAATATATTCTGTTTTCTAACTCATCCTCTTTCAAAAAACTTCTCAGGTGAAAGTTGAAGACATCGAAGCATATGCTCCTAAGGACTTGCTGATTGTCACGACTGGATCACAAGTAAGTTAATTTCGTCAATTTGGGCAGTGGTGGTTTTTAATTCGACTTTCCTAGCTAATTTACTTGTTACCCTTATTTGACAATGACTCTGATCAGGCAGAACCACGCGCCGCCCTGAATCTTGCATCATATGGAAGTAGTCACGCGTTCAAACTGACAAAGGAAGACATAATTCTTTACTCAGCCAAGGTAGTAGAGAGATGTTGTTATATGAAAATTTACATACATATACTAAAGAGCATCTAATAAGATGGAATTGCTGATATCTATTCTTGGTCTAATGTCTTACTCAAGGTAATCCCAGGCAATGAATCACGAGTAATGAAAATGATGAACCGGATTGCTGATATTGGGCCACAAATTATCATGGGGAAAAACGAAATGCTGCACACATCTGGTCATGCCTACCGTGGAGAATTGGTAAGTGTCTGCTTCTCTTAAGATTCTGTTGATACATTCCAAGTTTTGTTGCCAGCTTTGCCTTTGTTTTTTCTTTTCACCTTAACTTGTTCCTAATGATGAATTTAAATTTAACGTGTTTGAAGGAAGAGGTTCTTAAAATAGTGAAACCGCAGCATTTTCTACCCATTCATGGAGAACTTTTGTTTCTCAAGGAGCACGAGTTGCTCGGGAAGTCTACTGGGATTCGACACACAACTGTAAGTCTACTGGTTTGTCTGGTATTGACTATTGAGCCTATGTCAGCTTTTACTGAATGCTTTCACCTTTTCTCCAACTTCAGGTTATAAAGAACGGAGAGATGCTTGGAGTTTCTCACTTGAGAAACAGAAGGGTCTTGTCCAATGGATTTAGCTCTCTTGGGAGGGAGAATCTACAGGTTGGTTTATTATCGCCGTTGTCTTTGCCTAAATGACTTGGAGAGTAGATACTGAATAAACCTATCCTCGCTGCAGTTAATGTACAGTGATGGTGATAAAGCATATGGCACATCAAGTGAACTCTGCATTGATGAGAGAATCAGAATTGCATCTGATGGCATTATAGTTCTGAGGTATATCCGAAACCATAGTAACATTTTTGGTTTAAAAAGCTTTTATGTGCCAACTCCTTTACTTGTATGGTGTTTCTGTAACGCAGCATGGAGATCATGCGTCCGGGCGTCTCGGAAAACTCATTGAAAGGAAAAATAAGGATCACGACGAGGTGCATGTGGCTTGACAAAGGAAGACTTTTAGATGCACTTCACAAAGCAGCTCATGCTGCCCTATCAAGTTGTCCTGTGAACTGTCCCTTGTCTCACATGGAGAGAACAGTCTCCGAAGTCCTGAGGAAGATTGTGAGGAAGTACAGTGGCAAAAGACCTGAAGTGATTGCTATCGCCACTGAGAATCCAATGGCAGTCCGAGCTGATGAGGTCAGCGCGAGGCTGTCCGGTGATCCAAATCTTGGCTCTGGAGTTGCAGCTTTAAGGAAAGCTGTTGAAGGAAATAACAAAAGAAGTCGACAGAAGACGACGGCTACTGCTCAAGAAGATCCCCTGAAAGAAGTAGATGATCTTGTTGATGGTGCAAGACTACTGGCTGAGGAAGAAACCAGTGCGGCTTCTTCGTACACAGAGAATGCTGATGATATGCCAGTTCAGAGTTCTTCAGAAGAATCTGATGATTTTTGGAAATCATTCATCAATCCAACGTCGCCACCTTCACCTGGTGAAACCGAAATTGTGAACAAGGTAGCGGATGGAGAGAGTAAAGCAGAGGACAGCGAAAGCAGCAGAGACGAAGATGAGCAAACCAAGTCGTCGTCGTCGTCAAAACGTGTGAGGAGGAACAAATGGAAGCCTGAGGAAGTGAAGAAGGTAATCAGAATGCGTGGAGAGTTGCACAGCAGGTTTCAAGTAGTGAAAGGAAGGATGGCTTTGTGGGAAGAGATCTCTTCGAATCTTTCGGCTGAAGGAATCAACAGAAGCCCTGGACAGTGCAAGTCTCTGTGGGCTTCTCTTATCCAGAAATACGAGGTTCGTCTCTTATCTATGAATCCTTACTAGCTTTAGATGTGTGTGTGTGTATGTGTGACATATTGTTCTATACTTTTTTTGTTTTGCAGGAGTGCATGGCTGATGAAAGAAGCAAGACGAGCTGGGCACATTTTGAGGATATGAACAACATTTTGTCTGAGTTAGGCACACCTGCAACCTTAGAAGAATCATCATCTCCAAATTAGTAAATTGAACAGAGGCATTCATTAAAATAGATGATATGAAATGTAACATCCCCTATATGATTTTGTTTTGTCTGTAGAAGCCATTACAGAAGCATGATTGCCAAGGTAGAAGAAAAGCCTTGACAAGTGTTTTTTGGATCCTTGTTCGGTTTAAGATTTTGATTTGGTTTAAAAACACATGAATGAATAAACCGGGGTAATTTCAAATCCAAAGGTTTCGATACCAATCACTAATTTTGGTTTAAACCGGATAAGACCAGGAAATCTTGAGTTGACATTGTTTTAAGTGAACGGACGATTTAGCCCTTGCCGGATCCGTCGGTCGCAGTCAACGGCTTACCGTCGTTAATAGTCAGTCAATCTCTCTTCTCTTCAGAAAACTATACTTTTACACGAAATCAAAAGTGGAAGAAGATAGCGAAGTGAGAGCAGAGTTTCGACAAATTTCTTGGATCGAACACATCTGAAGAGAAGAGAGAAATAGAGAGATGCCGAAGAGGACGACACACACGTACTCGAGCGAGGACGCAGCACCGGACGGACCCGACTCTGATCTATTCGTCTACTACTGCAAGCACTGTGGCTCTCATGTCCTCATCACCGGTTCGTTTCCCCATCACTCTCTCTCTCTCTCTCTTTGCTTTTTGTGAATTTGTAGCTTTCGTTTTCTTCCAAGATTTTGCCCCCCCCCCCCAATTGGCCAATTTCACAGAGCTTTTGATCCGAATTAGGGTGAAACCGCAATTCGTGCGTTATGTGGAATGATTTAGCGAGATTTGTTTTTTAGTTTCCAGATACATTGAGTGGAATTGATTGCTGAAAGTTTCAGACTTTGATTACATTGAACATGAGACCATGGTAGTTTTTAGAGTACTTTTAGATCCAATTACAGATTTTTCACATGATTTTGATTCCCTTTCCGTTGTACTTCAATTTCTCCGGTTGTTGGGGTAGAAACTGTGCTTGAAAGGCTATAGATTCTGGATTTTTATTCCTTTTAAGTAGAAACTCTGGTGATGTTCATAGTCTTTGAAGTAAGTCGGAGTGTGTTAAGAGACTTGTAACTTTCTTTCGGCAGCTCATTGCATGTTTGATGTATTGCTTTTGGTTACTCCTTGAGAACTGCATATTAGGAAGTCTATTCAGTTAAAAACTAAGCTTGAAATCACAAAACATGTCGTTAACCGTATCAAAAGTGTAAAACATTGCAAAGTTATGCTAGATGAAACTTATGTATGGACTTTCTTATAGTGTTTGTATACTAAACTAAATTGGTTGCAAGATACCCAGTTGCAGAAGATGCCAAAAAGGAAGACCGATAGATCAAATGTGCTTGACAAGAAGAAGCACCTTGCTAGGTTGAATGTCAGCGAGGGAGGAAAAGTTTTATTAAAACGGTAGGCTTTGATACTAATGTTTACAAGCCAGTCTTAAGCATCAGATTTTGGGTTTCTAAAAGTTTTCGTTCTTACATTTTTTTTGTTTGTTTTCAGTGGCGAAGGAAAGATGGAGAGACAGTTTAGAATGAACTGTATCGGTTGCGAGCTTTTTGTTTGTTACCGCGCTGAAGAGAATCTGGAAACAGCGTCTTTCGTTTACATTGTTGATGGAGCACTTAGTGCTGTTGCTGCAGAAACTAACCCACAGGTATTAATTCAATTGGTTTCTTCATAAAGTTTTCAACTGCAAGATGAAAAATTTGATGATCAATCTGTTATTGCGGCGTTACAGGATGCACCTGTACCTCCCTGCATTTCACAGCTTGACGGTGGACTTGTTCAGGTTGCAATAGAAGTGGAAGACCGTGCACATCGCTCAGCAATCACAAGTAAAAAACATAGTCACATTGACACAATTTCTATTGCTGTTGTTTTTACTCTATTGACATGGATCTTTTGATTGGCCCTCTTTGCAGGGGTAAACGCTGATGATGTTCGTGTTACTGTTGCCGCACCAGCAGCTCGTGGAGAGGCTAATAACGAGCTTCTGGAGTTCATGGGAAGGGTAATCTTTTATCAACCTCAAGATTTGCTTTCTCTAATCACAAAGTTTCTTACTTTGTATAGAAAAGAGGCCTTTTATCTAACGCAACACGACCTCTGTATTGTTTACTGTTTCAGGTACTTGGTTTAAGGTTGAGCCAGATGACTCTCCAAAGAGGTTGGAATAGCAAATCAAAACTCCTCGTGGTACGTTGATCCTTCCATTCGATTCTCTTTACAAGACTTTGTGAAGATTCATCTCTACAAAAGCTTATTGTTCTTTTAAGGTTTTGGCATTACTAATGGCACTAGGTCCTGCAAAAGTGGTTGTCCTATTTGAATGAACTAACCCATTTTTGGTTTATATTCCTCTGAATCAGGTAGAGGATTTGTCAGCTAGACAAGTGTACGAGAAGCTTCTTGAGGCCGTTGTACCTTGAAAAATCTAAAGACATTAACCGAGAGAGTACTGTAACGCTATTGTTAACACTATTGGTTTATGTCAGAGAAGAAAGAGTTTCATATTTTTTGCTTGAGAAGATGATAAAGACAAAAGGCTTTCTTTGTTGTTTCATGTCATGCAACCACTACTAAGCTTAATATAATCCCCTATTAGGCTTTAATTTAAGTGATTAAATTGTCTGTTGATGATTGTATCTTTTGAATTAAGAGTGGAGAAAACACGTTGATAACTGAAATATCAGTCAAGTACTTGTGTACCTCACCTGAGAGGACCTACGTTGACGTGTAAATCTCATCTTCAAATCCAAATCTGTTCAAATCACGTTTGTTGCAACATCATGTTCATTGTTTTCTTCATTTAAAATACTAATTATAACTGAATATATTACAAATCCATAACGGATTTAACTTTTGAACACGAATTGTGGCATGTTGAAACCTTACAATTGTACACATAACGATTTTTAACTTTTGATCTCAATTTGTGGCATGTTGAAACGTTACAACAAATTTGCTATCGTGTTAACTTTTGAGCCCAATCTGCTGCACGTTGAACGTTTTACAACAAAAATTGCATAGTAGCAATAACTCATATAATTATGAAGTTTTATTAAAGTAACCGCCAATTAAAAAAAAGTATATTTATGGTGTCCAAAGATGACAAGTATTATGCTGATGTGTTGTTTGTTTCAGTTCCATATCTTCGCTGTAACAGAACTAAATCGTATCTGTAGCCAGTTTGCAAATATATATTTCACCTGCCCCATTGCATTATCTCGTTTCATTGGACTCTTTTACATAAACAATACATGCACATAGTTCCACAAGTTAATTTAATATATACACACACAAATGTCCCCATTAAGACAAAACTGATTAATATATTTCATCCACTTCGACAAGACGACATAGTGATTTATTTATTTATTTATATTCACAAGCAAGCTGTGTGAAAATACTGTGAATCACACAGATATATTTCATTTGATTTAATATCTTCTTAACCACACATTTTACATATTCCTTTGATATACTAAGAGACAAGACTCGATTAATCAATTAATTAAATAGGATATCAGCATATCGACGCTAGTGCTCTCTCCTCTTGATCTTCACCTTTAGCCCACCAGCCATGTGAGCGGTTAAAAGAGGAATAAACGCTGGCCGGTTATTGCAAACCGGTACAATCTCAAACCGACTCAAAACCGAACCCACCACGTATTTCATCTGCAAAAACGCCATCTCTTTCCCTATGCAAACCCTTGGTCCGGCTTGGAAAACCGGGAATTTGAACGAGCTCACGGTTCTCAAAACCGGTTTTGTACCGTAATTCTGTTCTTCCTCAAACCATCGGTTCGGTTTAAACTCTTCCCAGTCTTCACCCCACACTTTCTCCATCCTTCCCATGCCGTAAGGGAAATAAGTCACTTTGTCTCCTTTTCTGACAAGTGTCCCATCTGGCAAAACGTCGTCGTTCGCTGCATGCTTTGAGTCCCAAGCCACTGGTGGGTAAAGCCTCATTGCTTCACAGAGACAAGCTTTCGTGTAACTCATCCCTCTCAGATGCTCAAACCCTAACCCTAAAGCACTCTCATTGTTCACCTCTTCAAGAATCTTCTTCTCTACGTCATTGTTCTGACTCAACAACCAAAACAGCCACGTCATCGCCGCCGATGTGGTGTCCCTTCCCGCCATAATGAAGCTGATCACAGAATCTCTGACGGCTTCCTCGTCGTGACCGGCGGCGAGAAACCTCGACAAGAGGTCCTGCTTGTCCGACACGTCACCGCCGATTTTGAGGCTCTTCTTCTTGGCACGAATGATCTCAGAGACGGACGCGTGTACGGTCCCGATCGCTTCTCTCAGCTTTCTCTCGCTTCCTACGTTGAACAAACGCTTCAGCTTCCACACGGCGTAAACTGGCTCCGTCGCACGGCGAGCGCTTATCGCAGCAGCTACATCAAAAGCTTCGACAAGATCCGGAACGGGTCGGGTCAAATCCAAGCAGTCTGGATCCCAACCCAACGAAACCTTGCAAACAACATCGAAAGCGAAACGTTTTAACAGCTCTTGAAAATCCACCGTCCTTCCACCGTCGTAGTCCGCGGCGGATGAAAGCACCGGAATAAGCCGGTTTTCTACTTCTTCGCGGAGGATTTCGAAAGTGAACTCCCTGAGAGAACGCATTGTAAACTCATGGCTCGCGAGTTTACGCTGCGAGCTCCATAACTCGCCGTCGGAATTAAAAATCCCACCGCCGAGTAGATCTCCGAGGAGGTCGGTGAAAGGTTTGCCTTTAGGGAAGTTGCAAAAGTTTGTTTTGAGAATGTGCTCGACGTTTTCGGGGTTGGCCGTGATGATAGTCCGGCGACGGAGGAAGAGATCGAAGGTGATGGTTTGAGAAGGTGAGAGACGGAGAAGGTCGGTGTACCATTGGAGAAGACGGTGGCGGTTTTTGTTGAAGGAGAGGATAGAGCCGATGAGTGGATACGACGTCGGGTTCGTGGAGGACTCGGTTTTGAGTTTTAGGGTTTTTGTTGAAAATAAAAAGATTGATACGAACCCTAAGATTAGAAAAAGGATGAGAAATGCGGTGAGTATTACCATTTTGGAATCCGCTGTTTCTTCTTCTGGTAGTTTATGTTTTTTGATGTGTGTTCTTGCCTCTTGGTATGTATAGAAACTAGTATATATATAGGACAATATTTTTTTTAAATGGCAGAATAAAAGTTGTGGCTCCGACCATATCAGTGAAGAAAACGACATAATTGATAAACAAGAAAAAACTTCTTCATTTTATATTATTAGATGTTTAGATCTTTTCTTTCAGCGTTACATTTGTTACTTAAAAAAAAAAACATATTTGTTTTTGACACGATTAAAGTTGTTTTTTTTTTTTTTTTTTTTGACATCGATTAAAGTTGTTTAAGTAGATGAAACCCCGCTATGTTAATTTTCTTTATTTACTACATGTTTTTGCAATAGTGTGTCATGCATTTTGAATTTTTTTTTTTAAATGTCACTTTCGAAAGGATACAAAGAATGGACAGTGTGTATGCTGCTTGTTCTTCTTTTTTTTCTTTGGGCCAAACATCTAAGATAGTTTTGGAAAGAATTTCGTCAAACATATATCTAGGCTTTGACGATTAGAAATTGGAATGTTACGGATTTTGGTATTGTTGACAAGAAATTGAAATAGTGAAAACGTGATCACCAAATTGTAGTAATTCAACAGCTGATCAAATGACCGACCAAAACGACAAAAAAAAACAAACAGATGAAGCAAATACGATACTTCTTTAACAAGAAATAAACTATGATAAGTAATGAAAATAAACGTTAAACATACTTTCATAAAATGAAAGGTCGACCCGCACCATGACAAATACACAGAAAAGGAGATTGATTAAATGTAAGATGTGGACAAGCCAGTACCACTACACTTGTGGCCAAATCTCCAGCCGAAATTTAATAAGAAAATGAAGACACGGCTCAGACGCTGAAAATGCAAAACAAACTTTTTTTATAAACACAAAATAATTATATTTTCGATAAACTGTACTCCTCTATGTTATAGGGTCTCTATGATATATTGAAAACTAATTTGTTTGTTCTTTTTCTTTGGTGTGCAGAATTAGCCTCTTATCTAGTGAGCTTGTTGGCTGTATAAACTGCAAAGCAACCTTTAACTAAGTAAACAATAATGAGATCAATTGGCCAAACTGGAATAGAGGTTCTTTTGGAATCTCGTCAAGTACTTAATTACCTAATTTAGTACAAGCTTTATAAGTATTTTAATGAATCATTAATTAAGTCCAGCACGTGATGACATAAGTGATGATCTGTGGGTTCTGTCAAATAGTGAAGTTTGATTCTTAGGAGATCGTGGAAGATTTGTTGAAATCAGAGGGGATTTGTTAAAATGATTATATTATGTGCACTACACTTTTGTTTAGTATCTCAAGGAGTTGGTCTGTATATATTCCATCAGAGACCACAGACCAAAATATATATTTTGACGATAAGAGATTCTCTTTTCTAGGCCGAAAATCGGATTCGGAATCATCGACATATTCTTAACCATACAAGAACCATCTCGTTAAACTTTAAACAAGTGTTTAGACTTGGTTGGTTCGAGACCTAAATTATATATCCGCCAATAAACATGAATGTGTCGGATAAGATCGAGCAAGTTGATGAAAATATTGAGCCGAAATTTATAACTGGACGAAGAAAAACAATAAATACACACTTTTGTGACTACTAGTCTACTAGTTATCGAACTCATCATTAGTTTTTTATGCACGTGGTTCTCGTGGTTTGAAAACTGAGTTTATCTCACAAAGACAAAGTCAGAACTAGTTCCACTGACTTTCTTGCTCCCTGTTTAATTTAAATTTCGTTACAGACTTTTTGTATAATAAGCATATATGCTCTTAATAACCTTATCCTTTTTTTAACAGAAATTAATATACAGAAAAATGAAAAAAAAAAAGAAAAACCAAAAATGAATATACATTTTAGAGCATTAAAACAGTTTTCATGTCGAAAAATTATTCATAACATTGTGAAATGAAAAAATACTGAAACCCATTGATAATTCAGTTTTAGCTCATATGCAAAGTATGGGGAAAATATGTGAGACTGATGTCAGCCACTTACTCACGTTGTAACCAGAAAACGGCGCCGTCTAGAAAATTGGATCCGTTTCATAAATAGCTCTGAGCCACAACCATTACGCAAGGCTCCACTTATTATTGGAACTCTCTTCTTGCTTTGATTTGACAGACAATAATTAACGACAAATACCTAAAATAGCCGTTTTATATTTATATATTAAAAGTGCTTTCTCTCCATTTTTCTGATCTCACAATTTAATTTGTCATTTTCACCGTCCAAAGAGGCCGCTCATGTTTTTGAGTCACACGACATTTTGTTACATAATTAAACCTACTTTTGTGATGCTGAAAATTACAGTTCAGGACCATCATGTTTCATAAACTCTAATCCATAAGACCTAAATCCTTGTTTCCCTCTCTGGTAGGTGTATTTCTCACATGCTGGTCAAATTATGTTTTGCCTAATTCTCCTTTGCTAATTATCTTCTCCACAGTCCAAATCACACACTAATCATTCTAAAACAATATGTATATATTAAAGGTTATTGTTTATGATTATTATTATTATTAAACTATCGACCATTATATTGCTGCAGACAGTAAACAAGACAAACTTTCCATTAACCAAAAGCAATTCCATTACACATTTGGTCTTTACCATGACAGTCTGGTTTGGTTCGGTTTGTTTTGGTTCACAGATCAAAAGACGAAATGCATGTAAACTTGATCTTAAAACCCTTATCTCCTCAGGTCGAGTAAGGTCACTGATTCTTCGATGAAACACCTCAAAAACCAAAACCAGAACCAGAGCCAGAAACATAATTTAAAGTGCCTGTATTGATGAAGAACAACAATTGTCTTTAATATCATACTGTTCTCCTATCCGAAAACCTCTAAAAGATACATACATTCACCTGAGCGTTTTCCCAAATCTGGATTTCTCTTACTTCAGTTGGCATTCTTCAGACGCGCAATGAGCTCATCCTGCAAAACCAGTCATGTTTTTGAATCAATCAGCGAGACAAGAGCCAAGATAAACCAACCAGAAGCAGCATCATATACAGTGGAAGACAGATTCTCTAAGATACTATAGTGAACAAAAAGATTGAAGTGCCTAAAAGAGTTGTAAATGGAGATTTCAGTAATGTTTTGACTTGCCTTTCTTCCTTTAGTTGGAAGGCCTTTCTCCTTGAGAAGGACACGGAGCTTCTCGACAGTCAAAGACTGAAAGTCTCTTTCGCCTGCGCGACTGCTCGATCCTTCTGCACAGAAGAAAACAACGTGTTATGTCCAAGCAACCTGTGAATATCTTGAAAATGAAATCAGATAGAACTGAAGCTGAAAATGTTAACCTTGTCTAGATACATTAGCAGCCCTTTTAGCTGAGCTTCTGTCGTCCAGAGCCCTATTTGCAGCCCTACGATTAAAAACAAACCAAAAGATGAACACACCGTTGTTGTATCCATTAGCAACGCAAGGGAAGGTAAAAGAAGTAAGAAGACGTGGTAATTACCTCTTTTTAGGACCATCTTCACCAGTTGTGCCAGTTACTTTTGCCTCTTTAGAGCTAGATTCGCCTTTTTGCTTCTTTAACAAGAGCGATCGGATTAGTATATTTTGCTGGTTTGTTTTGATAAGTTGTCCTTCTGCATATATTAACCAAACAGCAACTTAGGATCTTTCGCAAGCCAGTTAAAAAAAGCAAATTTCTATAGAAAAACATGACTTGTTACTGAAACGCATCTTATACTGAAATCGATAAAAACATAATACCTGGAGGAGATGTGTCATGCTCACAAATGTAGACCCGCATGCTTCCCTGCAATCATTAACACAAAATAAAAGTTACTAAGTGTATGATAAAAGCTTTGGCAACGAAGCTATTGCTATTTGCTAACATAATTTCATGGAAATAAACACTTGATGGCCTAACTGCCAAAATATCTGAGATCATGGCAAGTAAATGCATTCACAGGAAAAACTATAAGAGAATGTCAATAACTAGATTGTTAAAAAAGCTTTAATGGCACTGAAACAATCCAAAGCAAAAGCACAACTGTGACACAAAACCCCAATTCTTATCAGATAACTCATTTTAAATTTCTCCAGAAATTCAGTATGAGATTGATCTAAGTTTTACAATCAAGTGGGCAAGATCTGTTTCCGAGTTTATTTAAAAGCCAATCCCTTTCTAAACCCCAAATAAATAAACAAGCAGGAACCCCAAAAATTAGGGAAATGCCAAAGTTAGTTCGTAGTGAGATTACCGGATTGGAAGAGACGACGTTAGAAGATAAGAAACCGCGAGATGGAAGATCGGAAAGCAACTCAGAAGCAGTATTAACAGCAACATCAGATGGCTTTGAAGATGACGCCTCCATTACCAAACCACTGATAAACCCTAGCCAACGCAAACGAAGCGAGAGAGAGAGATAGAGAGAGAGAGTCGCAATGGAAAATCACAAAGTGGCACAGCGAGAGAGAGAGAGAGACACCGTTCGATTCCGTCTATAGGAGGAAGATGAATTTTACTGGGCCTTTTTGGGCCTTCTTTAATTTAATCTCTTAAAAATCATTTTGAATCTTATTGGGCCTTATTTGGGCCTTGTTATCCTTTTCATGTAATGATATCTTTGAAAGCGCCGTTGCTAGGAATCATCGGAAGCACATGTTCTTGATGAGAAACAATCACATCTAACAAGTAAGGACCAGGCGTGCTTAGCATAATCTGTATAGCGTCACGAAGCTCTTCCCTCTTCGTCACTCTTTTCGACGGAATCTTACTTCCTTTCGCGTAACATAAAAAATCCGGAAATATCTCGTTTTCGTCCGACGGGTCACCTAAAAACGTGTACGCTTTGTTGCCTTCGTAGAACCTGTCTTGCCACTGTACAACCATACCAAGATGCTGGTTGTTGAGTATAAGTATCTTCACAGGAAGATTCTCGGCCTTGATTGTTGCTAGCTCTTGCAGATTCATCATGAAGCTTCCGTCACCGTCTACGTCCACAACGATTGCATTAGGGTTTGCAACAACCGCTCCTATAGCTGCAGGAAGTCCAAACCCCATGGCTCCGAGGCCTCCTGAAGTCAAGAACTGTCTTGGTTTCTTGTATTTGTAAAACTGAGCAGCCCACATTTGATGTTGACCTACACCTGTCGTTATAATCGCTCTCCCATTGGTTAACTCATCAAGAAGTTGGATTGCGTATTGTGGAGGAATAGCATCTCCGAATGATTTGAAACCTAACGGGAAATTCTCCTTCTTCTCTCTAATCTCATTCCTCCAAACCGCAAAATCGAGCTTCTCTCGGTTCTTAAGAATCTTGTTCAGCTCATTAAGTGCCAACTTAATGTCCCCACAGATAGATAAATGAGGCTTCTTGTTCTTGCCAATCTCAGCCGAGTCAATGTCTACGTGAACAATCTTAGCCCGGCTAGCGAAAGCCTCGAGGTTACCGGTGACACGATCATCAAACCTAACCCCGAACGCAAGCAACAAGTTGCTTTTATCAACAGCGTAATTCGCATACACGGTACCGTGCATGCCAAGCATCTGCAACGAGAGATCATCGTTACACGGGTAAGCTCGAAGACCCATCAACGTACTCGCAACCGGGATTCCAGTTAGCTCCACGAACTTAATCAGTTCATCGCTCGAACTCATGCATCCGCCGCCGATATACAACACCGGCTTCTTAGATTCCGAGATCAGTTTAACGATCTGCTCTATTTGAGATATTTCCGGCGGTTTTGGCATCCGAGACAAGTAGCCGGTTATCCTCATGGGTTGTTCCCAGTCAGGAACCGACAGCTGTTTCTGAATATCCATTGGAACATCAACTAAAACGGGTCCGGGACGACCCGAAGTAGCTAGAAAGAAAGCTTCATCTATTATTCTAGGGATATCCTCAACGTGCATCACAAGGTAGTTGCTTTTTGTGATCGAACTCGTTACTTCAACGATGGGAGTCTCTTGGAATGCACCTTTACCGATCAAATGGCGAGGGACTTGTCCGGTTATGACAACAAGAGGGATGCTGTCAAGGAAAGCATTGGCGATACCGGTGACGGTGTTAGTGGCTCCAGGACCAGAGGTGGCTATGCAGACGCCGGGTCTACCGGATGAGCGTGCGTAACCTTCGGCGGCAAAAACACCGCCCTGCTCGTGGCGTGGGAGGATGTTACGGATGGTGGAAGAGAGCGGGTGAGGGCATGGTGGATCAATATGGATGCACCGCCTGGGTAGGCGAAGACGGTGTCTACGCCTTGACGTTCCAAGGACTCCACAAGAATATCAGCGCCTTTGCGGGGCTCTTGAGGGTCATATCGAGAGGATGTCACGGTGTAGAATGCGGCCGGAGAAGTGGCGATCACAGACATGGAAGTTCTTCGAGACATAAGATAAGAGTAGAGAAGGTGGGAATTTTCCTGTGTTACTACATTATAATGGGGAATATATGGCCTAGTATTTATACACTTGTACGAGCAAGAAAACGATATTTAAATCACAGAATGTTTTGTGACGGAGAAACTTAACAAACAAACCGAAGTTTCAGTGGATTTGGCGATGACCTGCCAAATTTGAATAAGTGAAGATCTACCCAAACTTGCCTACATTTTATTGGAAGTGAGATGTATAAGACCACACACAAGGTAGGCATTGAATGCGAATGTAACTTTGGTTTGACATGATGTTCGAGATAAAACACATTGAAAACGACATTCGAAAGTTAGCTACTAAGGCCGAATCCGAAATCACAGTCTCGAAAAAACATGAGTTCATTGCCTTGTATTAAGATTTGAGAAACTTTGAAGAATGAGTAGCATGTGCGAAGGATTTGTTGCGTAAATTACAAAATAAGAATGAGCTAATTCCAACTTGATTAACAAATACAAAAATGGCAAAGTCAGAAGAGACAGAGAACCGAAAGCTTACTAGTCTCACTGAAGAAGATTTGCGTTTGCCTGAGGTTTACAAACTTCTCATTTTGGTTCCTCAAAACAACCATTGAAAAACTTTACATCCTCGTATAAAACAAGATTAGAAGCAGAAATTAAAAAAAAAAGAAAAGAAAAATAAGCATAAGATTAGAATCTGCACATTTAGATTATATAGTTAAGCAACTCTGCAGATTTTTGGTGCAGTAACTTATAAGTTAACATGAAGAAAGAAAATAGCTCCTTTTTTTTCTTCTGAGTAAGCCATTAAAATCACAAACAGGACATAAGAATCACAAACATGCAAAATTCAAGGCAGGGCCGATGATTAATCTCAGCTTCTGGTTTTAAGCCAAAGGCACCATCTTAAAATCCTTCCAAAGCTCAACTGCACAACACGATAGCAAAAGTATCTGAAATGTGAGTTCACTGATATATGGAAATCCAAAATTGTACAATTCACAAGAAAGACTAATCCAGCATTCCTCTAGAAATTAGGATTAAGATCAATCAAATCAAACTCATGACTAATCATAAAAACCTATACGATAGATTTAAACAAGGTACATTATGAAATTAGTGAAGTTACTGACCCTTGGTTATCGAGATTTCCATGGCCGCTACTCCCTCCGCTTCCGTAAGACACATCATCGCCGGCGGCTGAGTTCTGCCAAACGCTCTGCCACGCCTGAGACGGAGGCTGAGCATAAACGCCGTTAGGATCCATCGCCGGCCTTCCCATCATCATACCTCCAGGAACAGCCGGTTGACCCATCGGCGGGTAATAATAAGGAACGCCGCTCGCGGCGGGAGTCACCATACCTCCGAGAGCAGCCGCCGCTTCCTCCTCCTCCTTGATCTCCTCCCTAGGAACGATATCGACGAGGAAATCGAAGATATCGGTCCGAGTGATCGCGGCGGCGATGTCGTTTTTCTGAAGCGTACGGCGTTTGTTCTCCTCGGCGTGAAGCCAGGATCTGATGGTAAGCTCGAGGATGAAAAGCTCGCAGGCTTTGGCGAAAAGGATCGGCGCTTCCGCGGAGATCATACGAACATCCTCGTCGGCTTTCATGATTTTTTTGATCCGCGCGAGAGGAAGCTGGTGGTTTTTGAAATCGTTAACCTGTTCGATCTCTTGTCGCTGTTGGTTCCAGAAAAATTGAAGATGTTGTTGTTGTTGCTGGAGGAGGTGGTGGTAAGAGGCTCCTCCTCCTCCGCCGGCGACTAAAGCTGAAGATCCAGGGGGAGGAGGAGGGATTACGGAGGAGGATGAGCCAGGAGGCGGTGGTGGGTAGACGGAGTTTGGTGGTGGTTGCTGGTTGTTGTTGTTGTCCATTGGATCTACGCGTTGTGATTGGATCAAAGAGCGTTTACAATGTTTTGGAGAAATAGTGGATAAGGTGGATAGCGATGTAGCTGATTATTTTTCATTATTTTATAGACTATAGTTCGATGAAACGACGCCGTAGTAATCTATTATTAAAACGACGCCGTAATAAACTATTATTAGCCGTCGTAAAATAAAGCGTTCACTGTGATGGAAACAACAGTTCTCAACTATTGTGATTGCATCGGAGACGAAGACGATGACGACGCAGGAGCTTGCGATGGACGGGGAAAAGCATTTGGAAGAAACTATTGAAGCGGCTTTTCAGATAATTTCGGCCATGAACGATGAGCTTTGCAATCCTTCCTTGTGGTCAACATCGGCCACTCCGAGTTCCGCTGCTCAGACGACGACGGGTTCTAACGGCGCGGCTCTCGTTTCCTCCGACGTGGCTGCCATTGATGGAGCACCGCATAATTCGGAATCCGGTGGTGGTGGTAGCGGCGGAGGAAGTGGAAATAGTGCTCTGGATGAAGCTAGTCTTCGCTATAAGAACTCCGTGACTTCGCTTCGTGCTGTTCTTGCTGCGATTCCCAATTCACAGAAGGTAATGAGCATAATGGTGTTTATAAGTATTGCGAAGTCTTTTGTTCTGCGGTTTGGTTCTGGAGTGAGAAAATTTGAATTACTAGGCTTTTTGAGACATCAATAGAGTAACTAACACTAGCTTGATTCAGCGAAGTTGTAATTGTAAATCTTGAGCAATATAAGATTTTAGATGAAGGATCTATTGCTTGTTGAACATCTTATCCTAATTCCAAAACAGAGCTTTTTGAAGGATCCCTAATTTTGAATTTGTTCATCTATCACAGGCAAAAGCATCTGAAATGGACAATGGTTCAGAATCTCCTGAAAGTGAAGAAGAAATCGAAAAGTTGGAGGAGCAAGCCTCAAGTCTCAGAAAGGTAAGCTTTTAGCAATCTCTACATCTATCTGTTCATTTTCTATCAGAATGCAAGTGATTATATTTTTCTTCTCTGTTGGCATTAAAGTGTTGAACTTTCGTGATATGCAGGAAATTGCAAAGAAGAATGTTCATGTCAAAGAACTTATCGACAAATTTCGAGATCTTATAGCAGATATCTCTACATGGCAGAGCCCTTGTTCTGTTTGAGTTTTTTGTTTGACAATGGTGTGATCAGTTTAGACAAGATTCCAAGCCTTGTTTTTAAATTCCTCACTGATGTAATATTTTTAGATATTTTGTTATTGTGATAGCAAGAAAGAAACCAGACAAAATCTCAAATTCCTCATTGGTATATGAAAAATATTTCAGACAAAACCTTCAAAATCCCTGTCTGATTTCTGTTGAATGACACTCTTTGTTAATATATTGATGATCTGTAAGAAAACTTAATTGTTTTTTGGGGGAGTCAATGTCCGAATTTTTTGAGATAAGCCATAAAACCAAGACCAGCTACTAATGCAGCACCAGCCGCAACCCCACTGTAAGCAGCAGCCCAAGCGTCTGTCTCTACATACTCCATTGCTTCTGCTGATACTGCTGCTCTCCTTCTTCTTCCTTTCCCTTCTCTTGAATCATCCAAATGTAGTCTCAAACTCTGCAATTATATTTACAATGATCCAGTCAATTCAGAAAGCAAAAATGGGTTTATGCGCAATCTCATAAAGGTTTCATCTTGATATTCTTCATTTGTGAATATTTTACCTTCCAGCCAATTGATTTTGCATGGTCTATAGCTGCTTGAAGATCACCATCTGAAGCCAACAAGACTTTATCGTGGTCTTCGTCTTCGTACTGCACATTATAACCATCATTCTAACATTTCAGGGGTGACCAAAAAAAGAATTGAATCATTGTCTTTAGTGGAAAGTTATTTACATACCAAAATTTGGGGTAAGTTGTCCGGATCGATATCATCTCCTACCCTCTGAATGATCGCGGTTATGACTTCTGTCAAACTCCGAGTGTCTGCAATTCAAGAACGACTCCACGTGAGTACACACACACACAAGAGTGAAACTGTTTGCTTGGCGAACAAAGACAAAGATTTTGCGTACCGCTTATGAATCTGTGCATTCTGTGCTTTTTGTCTTCGATCTTGAAAGAAAATGTATTTGCATAAGGGAATGATTTTCCTGTGTCAGCTTCAGAAGCAACTTTCAAGGAGCTCTCACTGAAAAGAAGTCGTTTCCATGTTGCGAACAAAGTCAGCAAAACCAAAGCTTTATTCGAAACACGTTTAATATCGGTTTAAGCGAGTCAGGGTAATAACCTTCTCGTGTCCTCGTCATCCTCGTTAGGAGACAATGCCATAGCTGAATCCCAAAACTTTTGCATCATAGTGTTTGTCGCCTCATTACCTATTCCCGCAGTAGTTCCAGCCTGATCACATCAAAAATAACTACACAGTTGAAAAACATCTCTAGAAGAAAGAGCACAGTGGATTTTTTATAATCAAAACCTTTTAGAGAAGTTTTAAAATATGGGACTTACTGTGGCAACAGCAGCGTGAGTGACATGGATTACATCGACAACTGCAACTACATCTCCTTCTGCAATTAGAACCCTTTTGTTATTTACAAATGTTTTTCCTAATAAATTTTTAAGACTTACATATATGGTGTAACAGAATTTTTACCTGCGTCCGTAACAGGAAGGTGTAAGAATTTTCCCTCGTGCATGATGTGTAGAGCTTCAACGATTGGAGTGTCAACTATCGTCGATTCTGGGTTCTGAGTCATAACCTATGCATTCACGAATAAGAAAAAACGATTTAACTCAAGAAAATGTAAAGTTGCAACTATAAGTAACTGGATCTACATCTCCTTCTACAATCACTAAGACAGTTGAAAATTTGGTCCAAAACTTAACACTACAAACTTGAATAATACAAGACCCTGCCTGAAAAGGAGTCTAATATTATAATCTTCTGAAAAAAGAAAAAAATCTCTTAATCCTCTAACCAAAGAAGAAAAATCTTTAATCCTACCTGTTCCACTGTAGTCTCAGACGGAGGGAGATTTTCAGCCACAACCCGCATCAGTATATCCTTGGAACTAGATAAATGAAAAACAAATCTCTATAAGCTAGTGATACACCAAAATTCACGAAGAAGACAGACGAGTTCAGTCACCGCATAATCATAGCAACTTAGTTAGAGTCAATAATGCAACGTGACTAAACAGATCTGTTCGGCATCAGCGAGTTTAGTTGAGTTGGTTCTTGTTTTCTATATTGCTCTTGTAGGAATATAGGCGTTTCCTATCAGCTAGCTTATATTATAGTATCTGAAGAGAAGTTGGTAGAAGTAGAACCACTTTATATGAGAAAGGGGGAAATGTTAGGCAGAATCTCTATGGTAAATAAGACAAAAAATTCCAATGCTTTCAGAAAGGAGAACTCACGTAAATATTCCTGAAAGCTTATCCTCGATCATCACAACTGCACAGCTTGATTGAAATTCAACCATCTTCTTTGCTACAGTCAACACTGTATCTGCTGGTGAGACTTTCAAAACCCTGAACAAACATCAGTGTTAACTTAAAACAGCATAACTGATGGCCAGGAGAAAAACAAGATTGTAATAAGAATTTCATTAGAAAAAGAAGAGATTGCCTACTTTGTATCATCTGGAATAATTGTTGATAAAGAAGGTCTAAACATCCGGTCTCGTAGCGTTTCAATGAAGGTGTTGGGAACTACACGGAAAAAAAAATCAACATACTAAACATTCAATCTCCGATGAAACAAGAAGCAAACAATAAGAGAGTTACGAGGAGGAAAGATTCAGTTTCTCGCCACACCTGAAGTATTTGTTCCCCAACTTTTTTCAACACCTTCAACCGCAGCAGCTATTGCCTTACCTTTCTCAGCTGCCCTCTCCATACGAGCAATCGCATCATACAAACACTTTGCTATATCTAATAAAGCAATCACTTCGCCATTCTCAACAACAGGCAGATGTCTGAATTTCCCTGCAACGTTAAATCAAGATATATATAACCTCATTAAGGATCCATACACAAGAATTAGAAACTCTAACTTAAGGCAAACACACAAACCTAGAACCATCTTTTGAAGGGCTTCAACAGCAAGTGTCTCCGAAAGAACAAACATGGGGTTCCTCGTCATAACCTTGGATACAGGTGTTTCCTCCACATTAAGTTCCTGTGAGATCACTCTCGTGGCTATATCCTGAAACCACATAAAGACGATGCACAGATCATGAAGAATAGTGTTTTCAACTCTCTTGGCGCAATAAGTATAGTGACATTGACATACCTTGTCAGTAAGAATCCCACAAAGCATTTCATTAGAGTCAGTCAACAACAACGCATCAACTCGTCGTGAAGCCATCCTTTTACAAGCTTCATATATAGTTGTGGTTGCTGGTACTGTAAGTGCTTTCGATAGCCTTAGACGTTTAACTGTTCTCTCGCCTCCTGTTAAACCCCTGCTCCAAATTCAATTGATCATAAAAAGTTAAATCCAAATCAGATTACAAAGCGTTCTCGATTGATTGCATAAGACATTAGGGATTGTAATCTAACAGTGAGACCCAGAGGAGACTTACAGAGGCGAACGAGAAACAGTGAGAGATCTCCGGCCAGTATCGAGACCTCGTTCGGTGATATCCATGGATTTCTTCTTTCCGTGCAATGACGAAGTCGTTACAGAGAGACTCCGTCTTGATGACCCGCCTTGGCTAGCCATTTTTTATACTGTGAGATTTAGAACAAATCAAAGCTTCGGAATCGTCAACGCTTACGAAATCGATTTGATTAGATAACCAAATTCGGAGAAGGAAAGTTTCTCCAGGAATCGTGTGACTAATTAATCAAGCAAGCGCGAAAGAGCAAACACTGAGAATCACGAAACAGAAGACAAACTCGTGAAATCAAAGCTATTACCAGCCGGATTCGTCGGGTCAACAAATGGATTATTATGGGGTTGAAAAACTGAAGAAGCTAACGAAGTTTGGATTAAGTTCCGTCGGAGATGCTCTTTCTGAAATGTTCGTGAGGAGGATAACGGCAAGAGGGAAACGACGATTTGGGGGAGAAGAGATTACAGGGATTCTTCTCCCGGGAAAGTGATGGGAAAATGAAAGAAATTAGAAAGAAATATTTGTGATTTTTTCTGAAAAAAAAAACGTTTTATTTGGCTTCCTCCAATCGGATTCTTTGATTCCGATGCTTTTGCAAATTGGGCGATCTCTGACTCCCTCTTTTAATTTGGTCTTTTTTTATGTTTTGGCAATGTATTGCTTTCTTATCGTTGTTAGTAAGTTACATTTGTACCCTCCGTATTTGCAGACTATGACAAGTGGATTCGACACCCAGCCAACTGGATTTGATATTTGTTTCCCACACCGAAAAGGGTGTTACCGTCATTATCTATTTTTGTCATTACACACAGACACAATAGAGTTGATACATTCTGGATTTTATTTTAATTTATTGCAATTGGATTTGTGTCTTTACTCTTTCTTCTTCTTTCAGCAATTGAGATTTTGTCTACGACAGAAAAGTAAAACTGATTTTTCCTTAAAACAGAAATATTTTAATTAGAGAGTAAATTCTCCATACGCCATGTTCTATCTGGATGACTGTGTGTGTAGATGAAAAAAACAAAACGAAAATAAAACTATGAGCTATGTTCCATTTAAAAATGGTTAGTGTGTTAATGAATGTGTTCCATCCACGGTTTTGAAATCTAAGCGAACCCAAAAATGACTGAAATAAATTTTAGTATTCGAATTGTTTTACAAGAAAGTAATGAATCTTTTCTTATTTAGAATCCACGGAAAACATTGTGTTTAAGACTTTTGAAAGTAATGAATCTTTTCTCATCTTGGCTTTAAGCCATGCTTTAGCTTCATATTTTATGCTTTCTTTTCTCGAGGTCAAAAATAGTGTGCTGGGTCGCAAAATCAAAGCCCACGTTAATCTAATCGGGTTAAAAATCCGGTTCGAATTATCCCGGAACAGTGGAACCACAGAGAGAGAGTGTCAACGTCGTTCGAAATATTTTCCCCCAAGTTAAAAAGTATTTCCACGTGGACACGAATAGTTGGTTGACTCATACCACACCATTTGCTTTCACATCACACGAGAAGCTTCGACTCTAAACAACAACAAAAAAATCCAGCTCCTTCACCCACCACTCTCTCTCGCCCTCTCTCCAAACTTCGTTTAAAGTTCAGTTTCTCTCTCTACAGTTAGAAGTATGGCGGATTGGGGTCCAGTGTTGATCGCCGTGATCCTCTTCGTAGTTCTAACGCCGGGACTTCTTTTCCAGATTCCGGCGGGAGGCCGAGTGGTCGAATTCGGGAGTATGCAGACGAGCGGCGCGTCGATTCTCGTCCACGCCATCATCTTCTTTGGTCTCATCACTATCTTCACCATCGCCATTAACGTCCACATCTATTCCGGTTAAGTCTGTGTAGCCTACTATTGGTTTAAGGAAAAACCTTTTCCTGATTCCGGTTCTGTCTGTTTCGATTTTTCAAATTTAAATGTAAAATCTGGATTCGTTTGTAACATTTTCGGATTTATAATCAGTGATTCCATATGATACCCTACAAAAACCCACCATTGATTTGGATCTGAAAACAATTTGTGAAGTTTGATTGGGATCTGGTTTAATTTGGTTCCTTGTATTTACATCAACCAACCAGAATTATTGAGCAACTACAAAACGACAACGTGTGTTGTTATTATTGGGCTTACAGAAAATAGGCCCATTAAAAGTCCAATCAGTATTTCCTTCAATTTCACCTGAATCTCTCGACGACCACTCTCTCTTACTCTCTTTCCTCTTCGTAAATCCTTGAAGAATCAAAATTCCATAGCAATGGCGACTTCAATAGCTCGATTATCTCGGAGAGGAGTAACTTCTAACCTGATCCGTCGTTGTTTCGCTGCGGAAGCGGCTTTGGCGAAGAATACGGAGGCACCCAAGCCTAAATTGACGGTTTCGCCGGCGCCGGATCGTGTGAAATGGGACTACAGGGGACAGAGACAGATCATTCCTTTGGGTCAGTGGCTTCCGAAGGTGGCCGTTGATGCCTACGTGGCACCCAACGTTGTGTTGGCCGGTCAGGTCACGGTCTGGGACGGCTCGTCCGTCTGGAACGGTGCGGTTTTGCGCGGCGATCTCAACAAAATCACCCTCGGATTCTGCTCGAATGTCCAGGAACGGTGTGTTGTCCATGCTGCTTGGTCATCCCCAACAGGTTAATTGTTCCCTCCATTTTTCGGAAATTTGTGTTTGTGATTATCCAATTTCTGGGCTTATTGCTGGTATGGAATCAAGATAATGTTAAAATTGGGATTTAGGGTTTTTCATCGGTCCATTTTCAGTTATCAACAGCTTATAGAAGAGTCAGAAACTTGTGGGAACTTTGGCTCAAACGTATAATTAAGTACACTGAACTTCTAGTGAATAGTGTTCTCTTGAGTGCAGATTCTCTTCCTTGAAAATTGTTCAGTGCAATTTGGCTACTGTTGGCATTATTTGGTTTTAGCTCTGTCGAGGACCGTTCTTTAGGTGAATAGTGCTACAGAAATCAAGAAAGAAACTGACATTATGTGCTTGAGCTTAACATCGAGATTTGTATAGATTAGCACTGTTGACACTACCACAAACGATCATCTTGTGTAGGAGTAAAAAGCTTCCTAGTAGAGATTTGAGAACTACGTCTCAGTAAGGAGTTTTTGTGCTTTTGAGAGAATTCTGCAAGGATTTGGTTTTCTGGTTATTCGTGACTAGAAGTGGAATTCTGTGATGATTAAGCTAAGTTTCATGGTTGCAGCTTGTGTTAGGCAAGGATCCATGTGGAAGATTTAAATATAACAGTATTATTTGAAGAAAGGCCATTCTGGTTTGATTAGGCTCTGCATTTTTTATTTTTCATTGAGCAAAAGAACAGTATCATTCAGTGTTGTATTCTTTGATCTGTCAAGGCTAGAGAATGCATTGGTTTTGTTTTACATAATACACTAGATCTTTACTCATTTCTGCAGTTCTTGCTTCTGACATGCTAAAACCGAAATTTGATTCAAGGGTTACTCTGCCTACTTTGAAAATTTTCAGGATTACCAGCAGAGACATTGATCGACAGGTACGTGACAGTGGGTGCATACAGTCTTCTGAGATCATGTACCATCGAACCAGAGTGCATCATCGGGCAACACTCGATACTAATGGAAGGTTCGCTGGTCGAGACCCGCTCAATCCTGGAAGCTGGTTCGGTTTTGCCGCCAGGGAGAAGGATCCCATCAGGTGAACTATGGGGAGGCAATCCAGCAAGATTTATAAGAACCTTAACCAACGAAGAAACTTTGGAGATCCCGAAACTCGCTGTAGCGATCAACCACTTAAGCGGAGACTACTTCTCTGAGTACCTACCTTACTCCACTGTCTACTTAGAGGTTGAGAAGTTCAAGAAGTCCCTTGGAATCACTGTTTAGACTCTTACGGGTTTCTTGTGCTTTGTCTATCATATGAGGTCTCTCTGCATATTGCAATAAGTAGCTGAAGAACATCAAAACAAAGTCCGGCTTCTTCTTTTTCTTTCAAATGTTTGCCTTCTCGTTTTTTTTGGTTTGTTTGTACAATTCCATTTTTAAAACTGATTTTGGCTGAAATATTGTCTAAATGATAATGGCGACGACTTCTGGTTTTGTTGTCTTTTGGCAAGCAAAGATTTGCTGAGATATAAAACTAATTTAAATTAAACTAAACGTTTCGTAATTGGGGCTAATTCATTGAGACTTTTAAAGGAACATGTGAGGAGAGATTTACTTGAAACGTCTTACCATGCCATTGACACAGAATGAAGAACTTTAGTCAAACAAAAGTTTATGTGATAGAATTTACTCAACATGGTTACTTTCTGAAAATCTTTAAATTTCTTCCGTTGCTTAAAGATATAAAGACATCTAATTAATTACGTAACCCCTTTTACACACTATAAATTCTAAGTTTCTTCACATAACCAAACCATCCAAGCATCAAAGTGAAAAGAAGCAAGAAACAAATAAAAGAAGAGATTTAGAAAGATGGAAAGCAAAGCAAGAGCTATTGCCTCCTTTGTCCTAGCTGTAGTCTTATGTGTTGCGGTTTTGATCACTCCAGGAGTAGTAGCTAATGAGCAACCACCACAGTCAAAATCTCCACTGACTTCTCCTATCGACATAGAGAAATGTTGGTCCTCTCTCTTTAACGTTCATGGATGCGTACTCGAACTCTTCCAATCAGTTTTCTCTGGCAAGTTTGGAAATGTTGGAATCGCGTGTTGCAAGGCGTATTCGACCATTGATGCTAACTGTTGGCCTCATATGTTCCCGTTGAACCCGTTCTTCCCACCTCTTCTTAAAGACAACTGCGCACGCATCGTTCCAAATTCTCAGGCACACAACTGAAATGGAGAATGAAGTGACTAGACGGTTTATTCGTCAAGTCCTTTAGCTTAGAAATCTAAAGAAGCTATTCTGTTCATGTTCCTTTTATTAATGTCATTGTCATCTAATAAAAGTGAATTTTATTTTTTGTTTAATGTGAGAATCAGTTAACTGAAGTTCAACAATAATATGGAAATGGTGAAAATGGTTTTGGGACTTTTGTGCTGAAATGGTTGAGTAACTTTTTATTCTTTCTAACTGATACGGTGAAAAAGTTTTACGTAGGTCTCTTGAATAACAAGATTACGATTCACATGATCACATCTATGCCCCTACCTACACTACCGTTTGAGTTGAGGGAATGTATTTTGTTGAAAAAAGTAATGTCAAGAGTGGGATTTGAACCCACGCCCTTTCGGACCAGCACCTGAAGCTGGCGCCTTAGACCAACTCGGCCATCTTGACTTGTTTGTTGAGGGAATTTTTCTTTGAGTCAAAGGTAATTAATTAAGTCATTAGTTTCTTGTGGAGGAAGTTATCGTATCGTACTCATTGTTCCCAAAAATCCATTATTAAAAAACCGACTAAACCTAACGGTGTTTTAAAACTTCTATTTGAAAGCTTTTTATACATTAAAAATAATCCTTGTTCAACAAGTGGCAAAATTCTCAACTCCATTGGACCAACTAGGCATCATCAACTATACCCACAGCCTGGCTTAGGTTTAAATTAATGTGCAATCGAAGAGTTGTTAATGCATGCACATGACACAAGCCCAATATAATGGCCCCACAAACTTCATGTATTTTAGTGTTTCATAGCGAGCAAATAGATTCATCTATATGCATGCTAATATGCTATGCACATCAGCTAATATAATGAATGTGAATTGGAGAGCTGCAACCTAGCTTCTTCCCCATTTCATCATCTTAATAAATAAAAAAACTGGGTGTTCTGTTTTTTTTTTCTGTTTCTCTGAAATCTGAATCGTACTTAAATTGAAAGAACTCACATGGAGTAAGAATTATTTATAATTGTCTTACAAGAGAGCATCAACCACTGTGAGATCCGTAACGAGCTCCTCCACAGGAACCTTCTTAACATCTTTCCGTCCTTGTTTACCTATGTCAGACTCAAGTCGACCATAGCAGTAGATACCATAGCCGACCATTTGCAAGCCAGCAGAAGCAAACGCTAATGCAGTACCCGAAGTAGCACTAACCGAATTGGCTTGACCAGTTTTTTCTGAGACCACCAAACCCGTTTTACAATAGAGAGAAAAAGTCTCACAGTTGTTCTTGAACAGCTTATACACACCAAACCCATCTCGCAATAGGTATTTTGCGCGGGAAAGAACATCCTCAAGAGGATCTGAAGGTGCTAATGTGCAAGTACCGCCTACAGGTTTTGCAATAAAGGCAGTGTTAAAATTTTGATTTACAAAACAGAGAGAGAAAGAATGAGACAAAAAAACAGAGCAAGAGATAAGTGATTATCTCTTCTCTTTGAAGAAGAAATTTTAACGAGGAATGGTTTGTATAAATCTGAAACTTCATTGTGTTACATTACAAGATCAATGGTTTATATAGACATAAACAGGCACAACAACACAAAAGTTGTGTCTCTTCACACTTGTGTCTCTTTACTAAAACTCTCCAAAGTAAACCGTCAAACGGTTACTAAAAGAGATTAATGTTAGAACAAACTCAATTATGTTCTAACAGGCAGCAGGCTTCACATTGTATTCGTAGCGGTAGAGCTTTCCTCCGTTGAGAAAGCAATCAAGGCAAGAGCTAATGACACCGTTTAACGCGGAACGATCTCTGGAACTGCAAGTTGGACACGCATGGGGACTCAGTGATGAACTGATCATCTTGCCCAAACTGATCTCATTTTTGGTTAGTGGACGAGTGAAATGTATGAATTCTCCATCGCCTCCATCGCCTACATATATTCCTGCATGAGAAATCGCGTTATTGCGCCGCTATGAGTGAGAGAGAGAGAGAGAGAGAGAGAGAGAGAGAGAGAGAGAGAGAGTAGATGTGATCTCCAGGCCTCACTTCATCTCTGGAAATCTTGTTGGAGATTATTCCCATTTTGTACTTTCTGTCTTCCCACAAAGAAGAAGTATGTTCTCTCTCACTCACGTCTTTTCTTCTTTCTTCTTGTTTTGGGATGATTTTGCTTCTCTCGCTACCTTGGTATTTTTATAGACAGAAGCTGAGAGTTGGTTTCTCAAAAGACTTTTGAAAGAATCTTTCGTCATGCCTTTGACGTCGTCACATAGAAATTTCCTTTCTAACAATACTAGTTAAAAAGGGTTCAACTTTAGAATGACATATATTTACTTTCTACAAGTTGCAACAAAAGTCTTTTGTCATGTTTACCATATTCGAGTTTCCAAGAAGAACATGGCTACTTGAAATTTCAGAAATTTTAAATTTAATACAAGTAGAGCGAAAATAATGTTTTTCTGCACATGTGGGGTGAGGGGGCTTTTTCTAACAATTACTAAAAAGCGAAATAATTTTATCAAGAAAAAAGGAGAAAGATTAGAGTATCTCCAATGGAGGTTCTATAAACCAAAAAATAAAAATCCGATTACCCATGCATCTTTAACTGGAATAGAACCTCAAATTAGTAAAAATAATGCACAATGATTAAGTGGGTGTGATAGGGAATTTTATGAACTTAGAGAGCCAACTACATACATATTAACATTTGATGTAACACTTATTGATCACTTCCTGTTACCATAGCAACATGGACTCCGTCCATCTACTTTTACTTTTAGCGGATTTGGAACCAAATCAGTAAACCGGAAATAAGTTTGTCAAGTTAATCTGTAATCACAATTCACAAGGAAACAAAACTGAAGTAACAAAAAAAACAAACATGAAGTGGGTCAAAAGACAGTTATAACTTCCACATAATTACTTCTCCGGTAACAACAACACACTTCGCAGTTAATCAGTAATTACTTTTTTCGTTTCAAAACTGAAACAAGAACAAGACCATATACTCCAATATGTGTATCATTATTCTTGTTTATGTAAGAAAACTTAAAACATTTAAATCCAAACATAAGTTACATTTGGAGCGCAATTTAATAGTGAGCCAATTTAGGCATTAATCAGTAATTACTTTTTTCGTTTCAAAACTGAAACAAGAACAAGACCATATACTCCAATATGTGTATCATTATTCTTGTTTATGTAAGAAAACTTAAAACATTTAAATCCAAACATAAGTTACATTTGGAGCGCAATTTAATAGTGAGCCAATTTAGGCAGAAGGCATTAATTAGAGTTGTCCATACTCTTGACGTCTTGAGTGATTTTGAGGAGTTGATCAGAGCTATAACTAAGAAGGCTCTTTCTCTGTTCCGTTTATGATGGTAGTAATTGCTAATTGTACTCCTAGCTGGCTAAGGTGTTGTTGAGGTTGGTGGTACCAGAAAACAATATAAAAGGATGCCTTAATTTTAAATAATGGAAAATGAAAGTTGAACAAGAGGCAAAATTCTCAACTCCGTTGCACCAACTAGGCATTATCAACTTTACCCACATTTATCTTTATTTTCACAGACTTAAAGTGAAAGAAGTCACATTGAGTAAGAAAAGTTTACACAACAGAGGCCTGAGAAACCAGGTGAAGAAAAACAAACTGACATGACGCAGAGCACATTACAAGCTCGACAGAATAAAACAATAATAGTTTAAAACATCAAAGGCTTGAAGATGAAACAGAGGCGAGACAGGGCTTAGCGGAAGTTTCACTCACTGTTGCAATAAGGTTGGACTATTTGTAATTCTCTTACAAGAGAGCATCAACCACTGTGCTCCCCAACGAGCTCCTCCACAAGAACCTTGTCAACATCTTTGTGCTCCGCAACGAGCCTCTCCACAGGAACCTTGTCAACATCTTTTCGCATACATATGTCAGACATAAGTCGACCATAGGAGTAGGCACAATAGCCGACCAGAGGTAAGCCAATACAAGCAAGCCCGAACCCAGCCCACGTGGTACCACCAACCGAATTGGCTTGACCAGTTCTTTTGGAGGCCACCAGTTCCGTTTTACAATAGAGAGCAAAAGTCTCACAGTTGTGCTTGAGCAGCTTGTAAACACCATAGCCATCTCGCAACAGGTATCTTGCACGGGAAATAACAACCTCAGGAGGATCTGAAGTTGCTAACGTGCAAGTACCGCCTATAGTTTTTGCAAGAAAGGCAGCAGGCTTGACATTGTATTCATAGCGGTAGAGATTTCCTCCGTTGAGAAAGCAGTTAAGGCAAGAGCTAACGACAGTGTTGATTCTGGAATGGTCTCTGCTACAGCAAGGACGACTCGATGATGAACTGAGGATATCCTTTGATGAACTGACGATCTTGCCCACAACGATCTCAGTTTTGGTTGCTGGACGAGTGAAATGTATGACTTCTTCATCGCTTACAAATATTCCTGCACAGAAATAGCGTTAGAGAGAGAGAGAGAGAGAGAGAGAGAGAGAGAGAGAGAGAGAGAGAGACCGTGGTGGGAGTAGAGATGTGCAGCACGCCATGAGTAGATGTGATCACCAGGCTTCAGATCACCTCTGGGAACCTTGTTGGAGATTACACCCATTTTGTACTTTGAGTCTTGCTGTTTCCACAAAGAAGAAGTATTTTTTTCTCACTCTCACGTCTTTCTTCTTGTTTTGGGATCAGATCTGTTTGGGATGATTTTGCTTCTCTCGTTACCTTGGTATTTATAGAGACAAGTTGAGAGTTGGTGTTCTCAAACTACTTTTCAAGTTGAAGCAAAAGTCTTTCGTCATGCCGCCCTTCATGTCATCACTACCGAATTAACCGTTTGTGTAATTATTATTCCCAAAATATTTATGTTTTCTAAAAGTACTCTAACTTGCATTTTATTAAAAAAAACTATAATTATCTGAATATTTGAAAAGTTATTCAATGTCTAAGTAGGTTGACTCGTGCGGTTTCTGTCGAGTCAAGCGTAAGAGAAGTTGGGTACTTGTTCAAAGATGGTTGCAATTATATGAATAAATCATGTGGCACACAAAAGATCACGTTACAGAAATCAGAGTAACACTATCAAAGACACGAAGTCCAAGACCAATATGAAATAAAGACAAAAGACAAAGACTCATTAGCTGCTTCACAATAGCTATCTGTATTTGGGATTTTTGTAGCCCTCCCTTCTTTTGGAACAAAAATTAAAAGAAAGTTGGAGCCTAATGATAATTAACACGAGTGGGATAACTATTGTTGAATAACCATATTCAAGAGACTAAAAAAGTCACTCACCTCATCTTTCAAGAGTCTGACATAACACAACCATATCCCACTCTTGTTAGTCTCTTGAAGAACTTTGTTGTTGAAAAAAGTAATGTCAAGAGTGGGATTTGAACCCACGCCCTTTCGGACCAGCACCTGAAGCTGGCGCCTTAGACCAACTCGGCCATCTTGACTTTTATATGACTTTTATATTGAGGGAATTTTTCTATGAGTCTAACGTAATTAATTAAGTCATTTGTTTGTTGTGGAGGAAGTTATCGTATCGTACTCATTGTTCCCAAATATATTCATCTAAATAGTCTTGGATGTTAAGAAATAAAGGTTCATTTCCTATCAAAATAACTGCCAAAGCTTGGGGGGCCATCTCGTGTTTCAGTGATTTTGAAGTTGAAGCAAAAGTATGATGACTTTCCAAGAAGAACATTGCTACAAGAAATTTCAGAGATGATTTTTTAAGAAATTTCCAAGTCAATACAAGTCAGGAAAAGAGGAAACATCCTACAAAAAAACCTATTACCAGCTAAAAGTCAATAATCAAAGGAAGTATATATCTATATACTCTTTTATTGATTTGAACTTGCAAGTGTCCACTCTCCACAAGTCGTATTCTATTGGACCTCATGTACTCTCAAAGTTGATTTTAGAAGATTTCATATCAGTACTAGTATCAGTCTCAGTCAACGTTTGCTGTACAAGTGGGGGTTGGGGGAATAATTGAGTTTCTAACAATACCAAAAACCGTGGTAGAAGTTGAAGCAAAAGTCTTTTGCAGTCATGTTTAGCATATTCAAGGAAAGTTTCATTTTTCTACCCATTTCTAACAATAAATATACGTTCAAAACAGTTTAACGGTGGCCAAATCCATTAGTATACATGCATGGTTTAATTTAACACAAGTCACGAGTCACGACGATAATGGAATCAGAGGAAGTGCGTTATAATACATTTGTCTCAATGTCCCATTGGATGAAACGAGAGTAGACTAACGGATTACTCTAAGTATTATAAAGCTGCCTTAACACGACAATGATGTTGTATCGAAGCTGCATGTTGCAAGGCGTTTTCGGCATTGGACGCAAACTGTTGGCCTCAAATGTTCCCATACGTTGAATCCGTTCTTCCCTCCTCTCCTCAAGGACAACTGTGCACGCATCGCGTGAATGCAAGAATGATTTGTTAGTTTACACTTATAGTTTACTTGTTAGCTTCGAGAGCTCTCTATGTAATAGGTTTTTCTTAATAAAGTAAAATTTATAGCAATATTTATTCAAAATCTCTCTTATCTATGACTCTTATGGATGTGTTTTGTTGACAAATACAAATAGTGATAGACTGATAGTATAACCAAGTGAACGTAGTTATATAAGAAAAACAAATGGAAAACCAGATAGCACCTAGGGTTATGTCACGTCCGATACTTGATTTGAAATAAGTGGACATACTTTTATGTGGAAAAAAAAAGAGAGGAAAATATTGAGAAAAATTTATCCAATCCAGGAGTTGGTTATATATGAAAGTTGTGAAAATCTTTACGCAGCCACATGATGAAATACAAGTGAGGCCATGATCTTTGGCTTCTCCTCCAAACCAACCGAGTATTTTCTTCGTTTTCTTACTCCGATGTATGGATCATACTCTAAGCTCTGGTTTCCTAGCTGCATTTCAAGTCAATTTTAGGCACTAAATAATTCCATAAATGATATAAAGATTGGCTTCAGATGCGTACCAAAGTCTTTTCAATATCATCTAGAATTTGTTCGCCATTAAGAACCTCTGCTTCTCCTCTTCTTTTTACAGTCAGAAGTGTGCCAGTACTTCCAGAGACATTAGCACTGGAATTAGCCGCCTTGTACCTCAGATCAACCGATGACAGTCCTCTTGATATTCCAGTGTGAAACTGAATTTTTTTCCTCTGCTTCATGTAGGTCAACATATTGGTAAAGCACAAAAGTCTAATATGTGGAGATATATAGCCAAGCAAAGTGAAGATAAAGTATGTCTCTTGATGTAGGATCAAATTTAAGTAGATGATATCTGACAGTTACGAATGGGATCGTGTCTACCTCTTGCAAAGATTAAACAATGGGTGATTATTTAGTTTAGAGGATATTAGATTCTTTAATTTCTTAGGCCATTCAAGATATTAATTATTTGTAGAAATCAAGTATAAATTTTGTAGTTACGTTTATGCAATTATATCCATATATATATAGTCGACACCATATCCATACATGGTATACTTTTCTCTATCCACACAACTCGTGTATATTCAAGGGTTAGCCTTTAGGTTGACAGTTGGCTGATAATGGACCATCTTCAAAGCTAAGAGATATGTAGATAAGAACACAAGACAACTGTTTTGGGTAGTAATGCCTCTTTTTGGATTTTTCATTTCTTAAATAGAAGTACAAAAGAACAAACGCCAACTCCTTCAAAAAAAAACAGGAAGTGGAAAAGTGGAGTGTAACAAACAAGAAATGGGAATGTGGTCTTTACTAGAAACAAACAAACAAAAGCTTTTATTTGTAAAACAAGAAACTTTGGGTTTGGTAATTGAATCCTTGATGACATTCGTCTCTCCTCCACGTCATCAATTCTGTTCGTTGCATTGACAAATAGCAACGAGATCCTCCACGGGAACTTTCTTAACATCTTCTCGCCCTTTTCTAGCTATGTCAGACTCAAGTCGACCATAGCTGTAATCGATAGCATAGTCGACCATTGGCAAGCCAGCAAGAGAAATCACTAATCCAGCACACCAAACAGCACACGAAGCAGCACTAACCGAATTGGCTTTGCCAAATTTTTCTGAGACCACCAAACCCGTTTTACAATAGAGAGCAAAACTCTCGCAGTTGTTCTTGAACAGCTTATAATCACCAAACCCTTTTTCCGATGATAAGAGGTGTTTTGCACGGAAGAGAACATCCTCAGGAGGATCTGAAGGTGCTAATGTGCAAGTACCGCCTATGGTTTTTGCAACAAAGGCAACACGACTGACATTGTATTCATAGCGGTAGAGCTCTCCTCCGTCGAGAAAGCAATCAAGGCAAGAGCTAATGACACCGCTGAAAGTGGAACGATCTCTGGAACGCTCTCTGCAGGAAATGCAAGTTAGACACTGTTTACTCGGTCCTGAACAGCCCAAAAGAATCTCAGATTTGGTTCGTGGACGAGTGAAATGTATGACTTCTCCATCGCCTTCATCGCCTACATATATTCCTGCAAGAGAAATCGCGTTATTGCGGTATGAGAGAGAGAGAGAGAGAGAGAGAGAGAGAGAGAGAACCGTGGTGTGCGTAGCTATGCAGTGCATTACGCCATGAGTAGATGTGATCTCCAGGCGTCAGTTCATCTCTGGAAATCTTGTTGGAGATAAGTCCCATTTTGTACTTTCTGTCTTCCTGTTTCGACAATGAAGAACTATTTTCTTTCTCTCTCACACACGTCTTTTCTTCTTCTTCTTATTTTTGGGATGATTTTGCTTCTCTCATTACCTTGTATTTATAGGGAAGTTGAGAGTTGGTGATTTTGAAGTTGAAGCAAAAGTATGATGACTTTCCAAGAAGAACATGGCTGCAAGAAATTTCAGAGTTGATTTTTCAGAAATTTTTAAGTCAATACAAGTCAAAAAAACAAAAAAAAAAATGAAACCATCCTACAAAAGACCTATTACCAACTAAAAAGTCAATAATCAAAGGAAGTCTATATACTCTTTTATTAATTTGAACTTGCAAGTGTCCACAAGTCGTATTCTGTTGGACCTCGTGTCTTTGAAACTTCCTCTTGGATGTTAAGAGCATGTGCTCTCAGAGTTTATCAGTACAATAGTATCAGTCTTCTTCACTGGACAAGTGGGGTTGGGGGAATAATTGAGTTTCTAACAATACCAAAAACAGTGGACTTAGAAGTTGAAGCAAAAGTCTTTTGCAGTCATGTTTAGCATATTCAAGGAAAATATAAAATTTCTACCCATTTCTAACAATAAATATACGTTTAAAACAGTTTAACGGTGGTGGCCAAATCCATTAGTATACATGCATGGTTCAATTTAACACAAGTCACGAGTCACGACGATAATGGAATCAAAGGAAGTGCGTTATAATACATTGTATCAATGTTCATTTGATGAAACGAGAGGAGACTAACGGATTACGAAGTGTTATAAAGCTGCCTTAACACGACAATGGTGTTGTATCGAAGCTGCATGTTGCAAGGTGTTTTCGGCATTGGACGCAAGCAAACTGTTGGCCTCAAATGTTCCTGTTGAACCCGTTCTTCCCTCCTCTCCTCACTGTGCACGCATCGTTCCCAACTCCCCCACACACGCGTGAAAGCAAGAATGATTTGTTAGTCTACTCTTATGGATGTGTTTTGTTGACAAATACAAATAGTGAGAGTAGGATAACCAAGTGAACGTAGTTGTATAAGAAAAACAAATGGAAAACCAGATAGCACCTAGGGTTATAGAGTGACGTCCGATACTTTAGTTGAATCAAGTGGACATACTTTTATGGGGAAAAAGAGAGGAAAATATTGAGAAAAATTTATCACAATCCAGGAGTTGGTTATATACTTATATATGAAGATTTTCTTAAAACTGCATTTCGTAAGTTAAATTTCAAGCTAAAAACTCAAACACCAAGTAAATTTGGCCAAACTATGTTGTGGTAGTACAAGTAAACATACAACAAAGAGACACGTTAACATTAAGAAGAAGTATAGGAGACAATAAGATAAACCGAACTATAAACGTGAAGACATCTTCGGATGTTTGTTTCTTTCTTTTCCTCTTCCTCTCCCTCCTCCGTCACCGTGAATAAGCTGCGTCCGATTTCACCGTCGCAGAATATACCGCCAAAAGGTAACTCCGGGAAATTCTCCAATAACGGCGAGCTGTCCACGTTTGGACGACCAAAGAAGGACTCACCACGTCCACTTCCGACGAAAGCAAAACCTCCAACGACTCTCTGTTTATTCGGTTTAGAGTTGAGGCTTCTAAGCTGAGAAGAAACAGCATTTAGTGATGATTCAGCCACTTTGAGATCAGGAGTGTAAACTTGGAAATAGTCGCCCGTTTTTATCCCAACACCGTTGACTACAAGATACTGTTCGTCGCCTCTGGAATAAACCGAGAGAGAGACAAAAAAAAAGAGATTAGATGGGTCAAAAAAGGAACTGAGATTCATGTAATGAAAGTTGTGAAATCTTTACGCAGCCACATGATGAAATACAAGTGAGGCCATGATCTTTGGCTTCTCCTCCGAACCAACCGAGTATTTTCTTCGTTTCATTACTCCGATGTATGGATCATACTCTGAGCTCTGGTTTCCTAACTGCATTCCAAGTCAGTTTTAAACACTAAATAATTCCATAATTGGTACAGAGATTGGCTTCAGATGCGTACCAAAGTCTCTTCTATGTCATCCAGAATTTGTTCGCCATTAAGAACCTCTGCTTCTCCTCTTCTTTTTGCAGTCAGAAGCGTGCCAGGCCTTCCAGAGACATTAGCAATAGAATTAGCCGCCTTGTACCTCAGATCAACCGATGACAGTCCTCTTGATATTGCAGTGTGAAACTGAATTCTTCCAGCCTCTGCTTCATTTAGGTCAACAAATTGGTAAAGCGGAGACATATAGCAAAGCAAAGATAAGATGAAGTGTGTCTGTTGATGTAGTATTAGTTTTAAAGTAGATGATATCTGACACTTACGAATGGGTCTGTGTCTATCTCTTGCAATGATTAAACCTACGAGAACTCTGCTATTGCCTTCGTGCAACTGAACATTTATTGCTTCATTAGCACGCTTAAGTAAAGACTCGCATATTTGATCACCCACAAAAGTAGTTTCTTCAGGCATGGCATAATCTGCAATGCAAACAAATTACAATCTTCATCTATTAAACTTGTCACAGATATTGAACAAATGCAGGCATAAGGCAGTACTCATACCCAATTTTCGAATGATATGTTCTGTGGCATGAGTATCCTCCTACATTTCCACCAATGCAGCATGGAGACACAAAAAACATTAACATAAAACTGAATACAATCCACAAGTATAACAGAACTGAAAGCCAAAAAAGTATAGCTCACCCCAAAGAGTATAAGACATGTTGGTGCAGCAGCATACGATACCGCGGACACAAAATTCCTGATATCCATCACAAATTTGTCTCCAATTTTCGTTCCAGATTCCTGCAAACATATCAACAGTACCAACTCAATTTACAAAGAAAGTAATTCTGATACATGGATAGTCCACTAAACAAGATGTTCTTTCTGTGAAATTATGACTTCCTTGCTTTGCTTCTAGTTAGCAAATGAAGTACATTCATTGAAGACAACAACAACAAAAGGAGTTTTATAATGTTGAGGACATTGATGTTGTGAGATATTTACCCCTTTTGCTTGAATGACAGGAATAACATCGACTTTCATTCCTGGCAAGTAGCCAATCGTCAACAGTATAGCAAAACTTGGATTATCATCCTTTTTGACCTGTAAACGTGATACAAGGTGAGCAAATAATATGCTAAAAGAACAACAACAAAAGAATCAACAATTCTTGTGGATAGGAGAAAACAATCAAACCTCTCCAGCTTTGTCATTACACGCTTCTTTCCCCAAGATTCCAGCAACTAGAGATACAATAATAGGAACCCTTGATCCCACTCTTTTCGTTATCTACAGCAACATTTGATTCAACCAAAAATGACTTCAAAATTCAATTTTTTGAGGTGGAAATGGAAAGGAAAAGTAGAAGTATCAATCATACCAGTCTCAAAGTTTCTTCCATGTTCCCACATGTAATGTTTGCGATTACAAAATCTGGTCGAATTGGCTCAGATAAAACCTTGTCAAGCACTTCTTCTCCACCTCTCTGTTTATCCAAAAAACAAAAATGTGTCATCTTTTAAGAAGAAGACTCAAGTGTGAACATCAACGCACTTTATCCCACACACTTTTCTTTAGCTATGGCAATTGTCAATGCACTTTCTATCAAAATCTGAGCTTCTCAGTTATTACATGCTCAGATATCTATACATTTCCAACATTCCAATTAAAGCCTGAGAAGAGCTCGAAGATCGACGCTAACTAAAGAGAAGAAATTCGGGTTTCTCAGCTTCAAAAATTTCTAAAAATTCCAACGAGAAAGGAAATCAGGGAGGAGAAACTTACAAGTTGATCAGGATTTCGAGAGAAAGCAGAGATGATTTTGGGACGAGAGAGGATGTGATTGCAGACGCTGTTCCAGGATCGGTTAACACAGGAAGCGAAAGCAAATGAATTCGCTGGCAACCTCGAGAGAATGTTCTGTAGAAGATCATCGTTCATGGAGGCAATGAAAACCATATCCGCCATATCTGTCTTCTTCTTCGATTTCTCGCGCTTTCCCTTTGGCATCTCCTTCTTCTTCTTCGTCTGAAACACTTCCGCCAGGGGAACAAACATTTTGTTCTTTTCGTTTATTCGGCGAATTTAATTGGGCCTTTTTGTTAAAAACAAACAGAATTATATTGGGCTTTATAAAACTAGGCCCAGTATTCTAAAACGGGTACTTATAAATTTGCAACAAGTCGAAATGTATGGGACAATTTTCAGAAAAAAATGTTGTTCTAGCATCATTTCATTTTATTTTCGAGAAATACCACAAAAATTAAATAAATTTTAAAATATAAACTTTAAACCTTCAATCTAATAAAGAAATCATTGAATAGTTCCATTATCAATTATCAGAGTGAAATGAAACATGTTAACATACTTTCAAGAGAGATTGCTACATTTTACAAAGAACAAAAAAAAAGTCAAACATCCAACATCTAGGTCCTTTAGTCGGTTATCTACTGTCTATAGACATAACCAAGCTTTAACTTTTACTATGTTTCAACTTTCAAGCCATAACCAAAAATCTCAAACACTTTGTTTATCACATGGTGAAAGTGCGCAGCATAAATCAAAGATTAGTATATGTTTTTACACGTAATTTTTGTTTAGAGCATAACATAGGTCAACGAATTTGAAGATGGATAAATACAACGAAGTATTTCCCATCCAACATGCCACTAACGAGGGTGGTCGCTTTTCCAAATCCCTTTTGGAGAAAAAAGCAACACACATTGAAAAAGAAACTCAATAACACATTAGTGAAAACAAATGTTGAGATTGGAAAAAGATTCTTCGTTTTTTTAGGAAAAGGAAGAAAAAAAACTTAGAGATAATGAAATACTTTGTGTCTGCATCCAAAACAAGTACAGTGTGACATATTTAAGAGATAAGATTTCTTATCTCAAGTTTTGTGGGTTTCTTCTTTTGTTTTGTTTTGTTTTGTCAATGATGTCCGAACAAGTTTCAATTACAAGTTCATAATTTACAAACAGGCCAGAGGCCCAGAAGTCAAACATCTATACTCGATAATGTTATGAGAAAGTATAAGAAAAAAATGTTGCATTGAAATCACCATGTGATTGTACAGTTTTTAATACAGTGAAGCCACAATTTGTTTGTACTTCCTCTTAAATTTTTGACCTATATCTACAAGTTCTACATAACTAAGATCTGGGAAAATCTTACCACATCCACTTCTGTTTCTGTCTCTGGTAATAGGGTAGTCTTGTAATTATAACGCTTTTGAATAAAATTTCTCTGTTAGACTGTTATTAACGCCAACAACTTACGCCGTTAACTTCGAGGTGGGCGCAAAGCAAGAATGATGAGGAGAAAGAAAGAAAAAAACAAGGGCCAACAAAAACGGCCGTTACGTCATTATTATTGCTGACGTGTCTGCGTCAGCTCTTGGATTCGTTTCTTTTTTCCTCTGCTAAAAGCATTTAATTTTACCAGATCCATGTTGTTCAAAAAAAAAAAAAAAAAAAAATTACCAGATCCATCATTTATGTCACTGCCATAAAAAGGCGACAAAATCTCAATTTGTAACAGAGACTGTATATTTTTATTTCATCAAACCGGATACGAAAATTTTAACATGCCGGTTCTACTCATACCAATTGGGTGTATTACTTAGGTTATTACTTTTGTCAGCCCCCGCCGCACTGATTAAAATACAAAGTAGTAGTAACTTTTCACAACTTACTGTACCAATAACATTTAAACTTAGTTTTATAAAACTATCATACGTTACGGTTAGCACTTGCAGCAATTTCTGAAATCAAGGTTATAGGTTTCCGTAATTATGTCTGTCTTTTCTGTAAAATTATGTTATGTAACGTATGTAAATTTCACGTGCTCGGTGATTTTACAAGTGATATGTATGTATATACACACTATCGTTTTGATTTATAAAAAGAAAAGAAACGTATGTAAGATAGATACTCTTTTTAAGTCGAGAAAAGAGAAGAATCCAAGTCGGCAAGTCCATGTGTAAGCCTCGGTAATACCAAAATTTGTCCCACAGTGCGATCCAAAGTTCCTGCACCACACGTGTGAAGTCTTACTTGGCGCCACGTCAGCGTTCAATGCATGGGAAATTCGAAGTGATAATATACTTTCTCGATTACTCGAGGTAATGCAGACAACTAACTTAAGCACGATGTGCGATCAGTAGACGTAATTATCATGTTTATTAGCAGTAGCTAGTGGCTTACTGAATTTGGAGTTGAACAAATTCACTTTTGAGGAGAAAAGTTATATACACAGTTTTTTACTTTAATTATTAGACCATATTGAACAATCGAATGGTTTGAAACTTTGAACAAACTGTGTGCGGTCGTCAGTGAGTAAATCGAATTCAGAGAAACACATATATGAGTCTATGACGGTGGAGCTAACCGAGTAAATCGAATTCAGAGAAACACATATATGAGTCTATGACGGTGGAGCTAAGACATTTGCGTATTACACCAACTCACTCGTCCAAAACCAAATTGATTATTAATTGATGCATTTATATAAAAACATGGACTTTTGATTTTAACTTTGACTAGGATAACCAATTAACCACCATCGCTTACTTTTATGTAACGGAAGTTCTCTCGTTCATGCTTCATCGCTTACTTTTATGTAACGGAAGTTCACTTAATTAAGTCGCTCTCATTCATGCGTAGCCTAATTAATTTAACAATCATATTTAATGAAGAGAGTTTTAAGACTATTCTGGACTAGTTGAAGAATATAGAAGAATTTATAGTTATATCAATATTGTTTCCCCCCCCCCAAACAATGAAAACACTAATTCACGGTATTTCAAATAATTAATTATTCCGTTTGTTGACCATGGTTTCAGTTTCCCTTGTAGTGTTTTTAACAGTAGGTAATGCATATGTTTTAATTTGTACTAACATCACTTGTTGTCTCGACTTCGATTTAAGATTTATCGACCGCTAATATAAAAAAGTACGTGGTTAAGTAGCCAGTATATATATGCAACAAAATATGTGCTTTATGAATTAAGATAAATATAGTAACTATGTGCAATTATGTCACCATTGTTCTTCTTTTTTGTAGAGTGAATTTAAAAACAGAAGCTCGTTGGTACTTTAAGTTTAGCCACATCCATAGGTACTAGTTGTTATCACGAATACCGTGTTTGTTTACTTCATCATGTACATCGCATGCTAGCAACATGCATTTTAGTCCATTAATAAATTGTATATAAGATTGTTAATTAACTTTTCTGAAAAGGATAGATACATATATGTTCTGGAAATTGACAAAGCCACTGTTATTTTTCTTTTCATTAGTTATTTAGGTATATCATATAAGCATGGGTACATTGATCTTTTCATTAGGGAGATCATAGTTATTTTGATCCATTGTTTCGAAATATATATGATTGAAAATGTACTGAAAAAACTGCAAGGATGTTCGAAGCTCAAAAGAAAAATTCTGAATGTTCTTTTAAAAAAGATATTTTAATTTAAATATTTTTGAAAATAATTCGGTTTCCACAATGGTAAGTTGGTAACGTGCGATTTGAATAGGTTTCTTAATTAAAAATTAAGAGTTATATTGAAATTTGAAGATACAGATGACGGTAGATGATTTTACCAAAATATATAAATACACAAAGATACATGATTGGACAGTCCATTAACTTAACTGTCAAACTCGAGAATTAGAATTGTGCTTTGACAGTTTTAACTATATATAGAGAAACACAAATTGCGTGAGTTCTTAGGTCTACTATGACTGATAAACAATAAAAAAAGAAAAAAATTTAAGTACGAAGATAAAAAGTAAATTAAAAATATATTAGATTCACGTATAAGTCATGTTTAAAAGGGAGTAAAACAAAATAATTTACATTTCTTCTCAGATCTTGAGGTCCACAGTTCCACCTTCGTACCTACACCCAAGTGGTTCTCTAGAGAGAGAGAGAAAGAGAGAGAGTTTTATAAGCTTCTCTTTGGCCATTACAATTTTTTTGTGAACATAGAAACGCTCAAAACTTAAACAGAAAAAATGGGAGAGGTTCAAGAAAATCCCAAACTCTTATATCATCTTTTCAAATCTCCATGAATAATAACAATAGAAATTTTTATAATTAAGACAATTTTTGTGTGTGTTTCAGGAGGAGAAGAAACCAGAAGCGACAGAGGAGAAGAAAATGGAGGAGAAGAAACCAGAAGAGGCGAAAAAAGAAGGGGAAGAAAAGAAAGTGGAGGCTGATGAGAAAAAAGGAGAAGATCCCGAGAAGAAAACACAAGAGGGAGAATCTGCTAAAGATTCCAAAGAAGATTCTCCCCCAGCGGCACCGGAGGCTCCAGCACCGCCTCCTCCGCCACAGGAAGTTGTCCTTAAGGTTTACATGCACTGTGAAGGATGTGCTAGAAAAGTCCGTCGTAGCCTCAAAGGATTCGAAGGTATGTATAAAATACATTAATTTTGCATTTGCAAAAGCTACATGTTTTTTTTCTTTCCTTTTTTACATTCAGATTTTCATAGAATAATTTCGTAAAAGACTAAAATCCAAACGTTCCCCGTAGGCGCGTTTACAACTAACAACAATTGTTTTTTAAAGATGATTAATGTTTTTTTTTTGACCAATAAAATGATTAATGTTGTGGGTTCATTTAAAAGATACACAATAAAACAAGCAAACAAATGAAGCATACTATCTTATTTTTTTCAACAAATTGCACAAGAATCATGATTTGATATCGGTTAAGTCAATTACTGTAACTATATCTTGTTTCTGTCAACTTTAGTATTTTGGTTGGTTTCGTATGTAAGTATAATATTGAGTATAGTTTATATTCGTTATATATCTTGTTTGTAGGACCACATTAAGCTTGGGTTATGCTTTAGTATAATATAGATATATAAATAAAATACCCAAACTGTAAATTCTGTTTTTGTGTAAACATGGAAAGCTAATGATATAACTATTTTTTAAAATGACATAAATTTTGGATTTTGGGTTTAATTTATCAATTAGGCGTGGAAGATGTGATGACTGATTGTAAAACGGGGAAAGTGGTGGTGAAGGGAGAGAAAGCTGATCCACTGAAAGTATTAGCCAGAGTTCAGAGGAAGACCCACCGTCAAGTTGTGCTTCTTTCTCCGATTCCTCCACCATCTCCCCCGCCGGAGAAGAAAGCAGAGGAGGAGAAACCCAAAGTGGAAGAGAAGAAAGTGGAGGTAACTTTTTGTGTCTCAAGGCTTTCAGTTTATTTGTTGTCAAAAATATTTTTTTCGGTCATTACAACCAAAAGGAAAGGAGGAGATAAAATATATTTTGGATTTCTTTTTTGGGGGATATTGATATGAATATTCATTTGGTTTTCGACTTTCGTATATTTTATTTAGGGTGAGATTAATTGATTTATTATTCAATTAAAAGGGAATATTCTCTTTGCAGTGATTTCACATGGGGGGTGTATAGGTAGGATTTGGTATATTTTATTATCGGGTTTTAGGATATAATAATAAAAAATTGTTATATTTTAAGTTTATGAAATTTGGGTTACGTTCTCGTTTTAATTTTCCGGCGAAATTTTTGGATCAGCCTCCGGTAGTGGTAACGGTGGTTCTCAAAGTTCACATGCATTGTGAAGCTTGTGCAACGGAAATCAAGAAACGGATCATGCGAATGAAAGGTTAGTTTTTTTGTTTTTTTCCGACAAGTAGATATGTAGAAAATTCATGTCGCGGTAAGTGTTTGTATCTTTGCCAAATTTTAGAAATCTAGTTTTTCTTTGCGGAGATCTCTCTCGACTTTTTTAGGAAATTTTACTGATAGAGGTAATCATTAAAATAAATGATTTCTTTTTTTTCTGTCCTTTTTTCTTATTCATTTTTCTCTGTCCAATTTATTATCGGTAGATAAAAGGTCTCAATATCTTGCAAAAATCATCCACTTCTTTACTTCTTTCACCAACTTTATAGTATTGTTATCTTTCGTTAGTTCTTAGCAATATCACAATCTGGTCCATGCAATATTTCAAATCAATTGCTTCCACTTTTAAAAGACGCACGTATTATATTTATTATTTCATAATTATTTACAACGTTTTTTTTATAAAGTTATCATATGATTTCATAATTAATTATTTACAACGTTATCATATGATTTTCTTCTAACTATTTGTAGTGGGGCAAAAGTATAATTAGTCTTCACTTTGTTAGTACAAATTGTTCTTATTCGTTTTGTTTGAAATTAATAAATTGTAGGAGTGGAATCTGCCGAATCCGACTTAAAGGGTTCTCAAGTGACGGTGAAAGGAGTGTTTGAGCCGCAAAAACTAGTCGAATACGTTTATAAGCGGACCGGAAAACATGCTGCCATTATAAAAATTGACCCACCGCCTCCACCACCACCGGAAGAGGCAGCTGCAGCAGCGGAAGCAGAGAAGAAGGAAGAAGGAAAAGGAGAAAATGGCGGTGGAGAATCCAAAGGAGAGGAAGGGAAGGACGAGAAGGCCAAGACCGAAGAAGAAAAGAAAGAAGGGGAAGGTGAAGCCAAAGAAAATGGTGGCGGCGGTGGGGAGGAAGAGGGGAAAGTAGTGGAGGTGAGGAAGATAGAGAATCCTTACTACTACTACTATTATCAACCGCCACGTGTGGCGGTTCCGGCTATGGAGTTGCCACCGCACGCTTATCCGCCTCAATTATTCAGTGACGAGAATCCAAACGCATGTACCGTTATGTAACAAAGAGAAATGCAAACGCTATAATGCGGGATCTTCTGAACAATTTTGATTAAGTGGGGTACATGCGGCCTTTGCTGTCTCTCTTTGCATGTGGCTTTTACTTTTTTTTTTTAATCTCTGTGCAGCTCTTTTTCTTTCAAGTGTAATTTACATTAAGAATAACTCAAGAATTATGAGTTACTTTGCGTGGCTATGAGTAATAAAACAAATAAAATTTACAACAGTTTCATATTACAAAACTATTTCAAATGTTTTGATGCGTCTGATGAATAAACAGAGTATGCAAAATCATGTGAAATGCTTAAAAACACGTCTTTCAGAGTTCTGTTTTATATATACTGTATTTTTAACCTGCACTAAATTTGATGCGATCATAGCAGCGATAGCTGCCGCATCCCATCATATCTTTTTAACATATTTAAATATGGCTAATGCATAAAAAAATTAGTTCTGAGTTGCCACAAGTTTTGCTAAATTACTTCTAAGTGATCAACTTTTTAACATTACAGATTTACGATTGCAGTGTTTGTTTTGCACCAACTACACTAAATGCATAGTCAGACGCGTTCAATATATTCGGTATCATATCCATCTAACTATACACTGGTCACTGGAAACTTGTAGAAGAAATAGTGTGCTAATATCTATAGTCCTAATTATGTATTGATGTTATAAATAACCTGAATAGTATAACCTAGTATCAACCCTTTTTACACTTTTTCCCCGTAAAAGGAAAACGTTGTTTAGAACTAGAGCTATGAGTTAATAATAGTTTGGTGAAACAGTATTTTCTTGCCTCTATAAAAAATGGCTGGTCCATTTCTTGTACGAATAAAGTTAATGAAATGCTGCCTTATCTTAAACTTGCCATTGGTGTTTGTCAATTGTGTTATGATTTTTTCGTTTTTTGTTAAAAGTTTATGATTATTCCTTACGAATTAATTTTGTGGCCATCAAGTGTTGTTAGAAATTAAATGGTGGCACGTAGTATCAATCAATCACCATTCATCAAAACACTATGATTAAGAATCATGTGTTTTTTTGCTCAATTTTGCGATATCGGAAAAACGAATTTCCCAAAAATCAAAACGTAGCTGTGAAACTGCGATGATCCGAACTACACCAAACTGTCAGTTTTATACGGTAATACAATTTGGATCATCATTCCAATACTCTAGTTTTTAAAATAATTATACTTTTCGTATAGCTAAAGTTGTTAAGAAAATGATATCTACAGTCAAAAAATTTAAGCATAAAACTCTATTGTGAATCTAATTAAACATAATACAGTATAGTACCAACTAATAAACTACAAACTTTAATTAAAAACGATTTTTTGTCATCACACACACACTACACACACATATCACAACATATAAATCTTACTAAACATAATACAGTATACTACAGACTAATAAAGTACAAACATCTAGTAATAAATATACATCTTTACTATGAGATTCAAATACCAAATCTAGTAAATACTGTGTAAGCAAGCACTATTGTTTTAACATCCCCTTGTAAATATGGTTCGTCTATAGTATTTTCTTAAAGCAAAAAAAAAAAAAAAAAAGTATACAGTATATTTATTCTGACATAGCAGCACATACAAAATCCAAAGCTACCAATTCGCCGCGCGTCAGTGACACGTGCCAACAGCTGGTGACGTCTTAGCATCGTAAGCAAAAAAGAACAAAGAACATTCTAAATTCCAGCGAAGTAGACTCCAGAAATCCCACGCGGGTAGGCAGCGCGTGAGACGTGAGGGATTAACAGAGAGCCGTGATGTGACGGTGTCAACACACGTGGACCCCACGTGATGGGTCCGTGCCATCTCTGAGGACGTACAGTTTATATGAATGAGCCCACGTGACCCGCCACCACTTCCTCTAAACCTGTGCTTTCGTACTCCAAATTTTGTCGCTTCTTTTATTGGTCGCACCGTTTTTTTTTGTTTTTTAATAATTTAATTGTTACTCGATTCCTCTTCGAAACAAACAAATAATAAAGAAATAAAATAGTACGTTACTCTTACTTTTCTTTACTAGGAAAAAAGGAAATTACTTCTTCTTTTTTTTCGACTACATTTTTTCTCCTCTCGGAGCAAACTATTGGGAATAACTGTAAATATATACAATGATTACAGTAGAAAGTTATTAACCAAATGATGACAGAAAGAAAGAGTTAATATCCAATGTCGGTAGCTAGCTCAATTCATTTTGAGTATTTTTGGAAGGCAGCTTATGAAGCTGATATCTGGCGGTAAAAATTAAATCATTGGTCAGTGCGTGTAAGAAATGGTACTTCTTGGAAAAAAAGCTTTAAATCACTGGTATAATCTAATACTTTTGAAAACTCTTACCTTTTCTGTTTTACGATAACAATCGTTTGAGAAATTTTGTATTTCCACTGTTTTTTATTCTTTTGAAGATTTATTAAGTAGTTTTTTTTTTCAAAGGTAGAACATTTTACTTTTGAGTTTATTCAAATTGCATCCTACTACATTTTACCAAAAAAAAAAAAATTAATAAGAATCTTTTATTTTTAGAAAAGATCTAGAGATAGAAAAAAGGGTAAAAAGGGTGGATGGGTTATAACATTTATTAATTTTGTTGGTCTTTTTCTTCTTTCTGTTAACCTTTGGGACCATACCTTCAACAGTGTCGAAATCATGTTGACACGTAGAGACAGACATATATATACGTTACAAGATTACATGTTGTTTGCATGTACACTTATATACGTATACGTATATATAAACGTAAAGATAATCGATAATTTTATGTATACGTAACCTAAGCGATTGTAAAGTGATGCATCCACACGAAAATGATTCTCAATAGAGCCACTTGACCAGTTTTCATTAAATCAGTTTAGGTTTGATTGCGACTGGCCGAACCGCGACTGAATGCACCATTTAACCCAATCTCTAAGTGTTGAGACAGTCAACATCTTTTGATTAATTTACCTGAATTAATTAGTTTTGGCGCCAACCGCCAAAGCATTATATTCTCGTTTTGTTGTCATCTTATACACGTACTAATTTATGTTCATCCTTTCTTCAATCTATCCAGTTTGATTTTGGACCACAATTCAGTATTTTTTTTGTCATTTTTAATCTCTATTTTGAAAATATGTATAACGAGCCATTCAACTCACGGAATCATAAAAATTGCACCATTCTGAAGATTTTTAACCCATATATAGATGATAGAACTGTAAGTATATAGAACAACTAAGATTAGGTGATAAGCCAATTTATCATTTGACCTTGATATTTAAACGTCTCACATTTTCGAGATACAAAAAAAATCTTAAAATGATAAAAGTAAAGACGCACGGGAAATGTTACTTCAATGTGTGTGGTTGGCAATAAAAAGTTAGTACAATATGTTTTTGTTGGAGTCTACTCACTCACCAAATTATAGATATAATACGAGTAGAATATATTGTTTCGCTTGTTTCAAAAATACGTAGTGTTCTTGTGTTTGATTTATATGTTATAAAATATCTTACAAACGAGTTTATGCTTTTACGCTTACAAACTACAAACGTCTTTTGAGTTTGCGTTTGCATGTTATTATGGTTTATTTATATAGATAGCAGTGTTATCATAACATGCAAACGCAAACACACGCAAACAAAAATAATAATTGAAATGCTAACACGAATAAGAGGATGTAGGCCCATAAATAAAAGTATAATAGAAGATGATGTTACTACAGCTCTGCTTTGTAAAAGTCCTCTCAGTTAACGAGTTCTATATGTGAAACACATTAAAGAAGAAATGTAGGTCTGTGACAGAAGCAAACAAAGCAAAATAAAACTTATCTGCCGAAAATGATAACAAGATAACATGATTCTGATCTGTATCAAGAATTTTGTTGAGATTTAGACATGAGCCAAATCCATAGAACAATCATTAATAGAAATACTTTTTTAAAATAAAGAAAGTTAACCTTTTCTCACAAAAGGATTGTTTGATAAGAAAATATAAAGGTCTTTTAATCCCATCACTTAGTGGGGTGTAAAGGCAACGAAGCTGAGATGGATGGTTGAAGATGGCCTATTGTTGCGTGCTACGTTGTAGCATACTAGCATTATACCTAGATGGAGGCCTAATTTCGTTATTTTTGAGTCATTTCAAATCGTTTCTTTTAGGTCTAATGTGCTTAATGGTCCATATTTAAATCGCTTTATACCGATGTTACCTGACTTTGGATTATACCAACCATACAAAAAGATTCGAAATCGGATGTTCGGAAAAGCTCCAGCGCATAGCTAATTACCCGGAAATTTGTTTTTCTTTCTTATTACTGTGTTTTACTCTCAATTAACATAGAACCTAAGAATGTGATGTAAACTATTCTTTTAAAGGAGGAATTCTTTCCATATATGTAGTCAACAAAGGGAAAAACTAATAAAGGAGTTTGCTGTATCTTAAAAGGAAACTACCGAAAAAACATTATACTGGTGTTTTACTCTTAAACAGGATAAATTCGGAGAAAAAAGAAGACAAGACTCAACCACACTCAAGTCAAATAACACTTATCAAATCCCAATTCTTGTTTTTTACCCATAATGGACGATTTACTTTATTCATTTAGAAAAGGTCTTTACACGTTCAAAAACTGAGAGAGACTCTTTATTTCTTAAACAAATCACATAAAACAAAGGTTTTTCAAGCTTTTCAATGATTTAGGAATTTTGCTACAAAGATAATATCAACTTTTTCGAGGATTAACCTCGTATCCTCTTAACAATCTCCCATATAATAATACCTCTTAAAACATTTAAATTCAAATAGGAAAATATAAGCCTACCCTACTTGTTTATTTTTAAAGGCTGCTATCTAAAAATCAAAATACTGTACTTCCTGCTAAGTTATTACACATGGTTTAGTTAGTTGGTTAGTTACAAAAACCAAAATTACCCGGTTTGGCTGAACCAGGTAGCAGTACCAAAGCAGATAAAGATGAAGTCAAGCGTCTAAAAGCCCTCACTGCTTCACAAGCTTTAGTTGAGACTCTACTGGATCTAAGGGGATAAAACAACTGGATCTAAGTGTGAGGATGTTGTTGCACAAGATTTGATTCTTTCATAGAGTAACCGAGCATCGCTTAATGTACATCCCTGATTCATTTCAACAGCTACTGGATATTGCGACGATCTGTTTATTTCTACCACCATTATTCCCTGCAGTAACATACAAAAATTAACAATTGAAAAAGACCACTCATTCACATTCAGTCATAAGCATAGTTTCTACATTCAACTTGTGTCTCAAACTAAAACTATGTTTTCTGAATCTAATCATGGATAACTTGTGACTGAGCTCCAACTAGAACCACAGGGAACAAAATAAGGTCTAGATCTGAAGAAGTGTTCTTGCGGGTTTACCTCAAAATCAGCTAGAAACAACTGGAAGCGTTTCAGTTTCTCTTTCATCATGGCGTTTTGTGTTGTTGGTGCTGAAGAGGAAAGTGCAGCTGAGACTTCCATGGATGAATGACCTATCCTTTTCTGTACAACCTGCACAAGGGAATAGCATTGGACCTCATGGATTATTTTTTATTCTAACATGACAAAAGGTAATGAGAAATGAGAGATGAGACTCACGTCGTTATGGAGCAAGATCTCACAAATGAGACTACCATCATCGACATAGCATATAAGCTCATACGTAGACTGTTTCCTGAAATCGAATTTCTTCACTCCTGTTAGAAAACACTGCAACAAAATGGATACTTTAGTTACAAAGATAGAAACCTGCCTCGACTGAAGACTAGACTGAGAATGTTTTGGGTGAGTGGTGTTTGTACCTTGATCTTCCCTCGAACAAAATGCATGGTATCTTTCACTACTGCCCACTTTTGAGACAACTCGGCTAAGTAAGTGAAAGGCCTCTCCGTATTTTTAGACAGCACGGTTGGGATTTCCATATCCACAGCCATATCGCTCACTTCTGCATCTCCTACACCGCCTGAACCTGAACCGTATACAGGACACGTTGTATCCTCTACACGACCATTGTCGATATGCATTTCTTCAACAAATGAAGCCATGCTAGATGTTTGTTGAGCCAAGGTATTTTCGCCGCCATTGTTGTAAAAAGGTCTTGTACCACTGCCGCTGGTACCACCTGTGGATGCTGCCATGTGAATGTTACTAGAAGTAGAGTTTAAATCCGAAAATGCTCTTTCCCTGGGCGCGGAAGCCGTATCAATCTGCATATGCTCAACCCTTGAAACAGTAGGTTCCACATTGATGGAAGCAGGAGGCTCATCTCTTGTCCGCTGACTGATATGAGTTCTCGTTACATTCAGGGGAATGCCTGGCATAAGAGTTTTGGTTAAAAGAGAGTTAGTTAAGAGGCACCAATAATCTCAGAAGAAATTGGTTGTTCCATGTTACTGAAATCTTACAACTTTTGCTCAGAAAGAAACCAACTACTTTTTTAATGTTATGACTCCGCTATGGTTAAGTGAGAAAAAACATCATAGGAAACACAGAAACAAACGTGATTCTGCTCTAGTATGCTACAAGTTACGATATAAAACAGAGAACAAGAGAAGTCTGATTCCTTTGATTCAAAATTGTCACTTATCCACTTTCCTGTGATGGAATACTCCAGCACAGGGTTGACATTTACTTAACAGTTGGCTATTTTTGTGAACGGTACGATGAATGGGAAATCTTAACATGAAGTTGTTTCTGAGCAATAAGGTTAGTGTAGAAATATCTCTACCTTGACCACTGGCTTGCGCGTGACTAGCATTTCCCGAGATAGAACTATCTACATGATTACCAGTATCATTGTCATTCCTCGACCATGCAGCTAGAGTTGCTCTGGTTGCCAATGAAGGAACCTCTCCGTTCCTTGTCCTGGATAAAGTTAAAGTCAGTTCAGAATATAAAGTGACCAGGAGAAACATAAGCTGGGGAAATATCGAGCTCTAAACGAATGTAAACAATTCTCTGCATAACACTACCTTTTTCCTCTTGGAGGCTTGTTAACTTCAATAACCAGACGCTTTCGTGCTTCTTCCAATTCTTCAACCATCCCTCCCAAAACTTCTACAATCTCAGGAACTAGCATTAAATGCCCATGCCGAACTTGTACACTAGACACAACAATCTGCATTTAATTCTCCTCATCAGTGCTTATACTAGGAACACAAACGTGTATCTATCAAGAAATTCATCCTATATGTTCAGTTGGAACAGATGCAGGTGGTAGCAAATGCATAAAAGCATACATAAATAAATCCTTTAATGCTATTTTCACAGCTACAATTCGTCAAGAAGAAACACACCTTTAAACCAGCAGGAGCCAAGACTTGAAGATCTTTGATAGGTCTGTACTCCATGCCAAAAACGCGTTGAACACCATCTGTCATGGACATCTTAAGACCCCTCTTAAGCCCTGGATTAGCGTTCTCATACCGCCCTTTGAGTGCGCAGCCAATGTTCACAATCTCATCAACCTGAAGTAGAACAATCAAGCACAAGAGGTCTTCAGTCGAAAAATCACACTTTGTGCATTAAATCAACAGTTCCAACGAAAATGGGGAAAAACCAAAACCTGCAAAACAAACGGACCAGCGAGTTCTACAAGATGCATAGACGCAACATTCAGAGGAAGAACCCCGCCTCCGCACAAATTCATATCGGAAAACAGGAGCTGCTCGAAGCAATGTTTAGCTTTCGCTGCTACGTCGAGGCGTGAAAACTGTGGGACGGAATTTTCAAGCCCAGCAAGACAAGAGACCCACCACTCCGTCTTCAAGTTTATCCCTTTCCGAGATAGAACAGCACCGATCGGCGAGTTATAGTCATTTCCGACCTCCGACTCCGACGAATCAACCGGATACGGTGTGGGAACACTATAACCCGGAGGTGTAGGAGTGGGATTACCAGAGACGTCAATTATCTCAACTTCGGATACAGCGATTGGCTCGCCTAGATTAGGGTTAAAATTCGACGCTGATGAGGTTTCCGGTTGCATAGAAGGAGCAAGACCAACGCTCTGAACAGAATCACCGATTCCGCTTGTTCCAATTTCATCTTCTTCTTCGTCGGAGGAGTATCGGAGTGTCAGGCGTCGTCTAGGCATTTCGCCGGCGAAAGTTGGGGATTTTTTTCCCTCCAAAATATATTTTCGATTAAACGTTTTCGTTTTTTTCTTTTTTGAAAAAATTTGGATTGTCAGGAGAAGTCAGAAGTTAAATGGGCCTATTAAGAGCCGAAATTGGCCCATTAGAATTATGGGCTGAGTTTCGTGTGTGTATGTATATGTGTATGTAGATATATATTGGGTAGATTTTGCCGCGAGCTGATTTTTAGCGAAAATTTTTGGTGACGAGAGAGCCCGCCTTTGTGTTCTAATTTTTGGCACCAGAAATTTTGAAATCCCCAAATTTTGGTTTTGTTTCTCTTCATAATCGTTTCTTCTGTTGAATTTAGGGTTTTCTAGTTTCTCGCGAAAACCTCCGAGATCTAGGTTTTATTTTCCTTTACCCTTTTCCGTCTAGATTCGCTTCAATTTTGCTTTTTCTTTTGGGGCGACTACCATGGCGACTGAAACCCTAAAAGAGAAGACGCCGGAAGTGGAATCTCCGGCAAAGGAGGAAGTTGGTGTGGGTGATGCTGCGAAAGAGAAGGAGATAGAGAAAAAAGAAGCGGATTCCCCGATAAATGACGAGGTGGAAGAGAAGAAGAAAGAGGTAGATGGGGATGAATCGAAAGACGGAGAATTGGAGGAAAAAGATGAAGAAAGTGAGGAGGATAAGGAGGATGAAGAAGGAGAAGGACGTGGGAGTAAGAAATCGTCGGAGAAGGAGGCGGTGACTCCGACTATTGATAGGCCTACGAGGGAGAGAAAAAAGGTTGAGCGTTTCTCGCTAGCGACTCCTATGCGAGCTACACCGAGCAAGTCCGTTTCAATCGAAAAGGTATCGAATTTATGTAATTGCGATCTCTTTTCATATGGGTTAAGAACTAGCTGCTCACTAGTGATGGATTTTGTGTATTCTGTAGGGCCGTGGAACACCTCTCAGGGAAATCCCAAATGGTACGTATGGGCATCAATTCGATTTGTGTTTGTTTTGGTTGAATTCTTGTGAATTTGTGAATAAATGAACAAACTTTGCTGGTTTGAGACATCTTAGATCTAGAAGATGAGAGTGAAATTTGGTTACTTCCACCAATTGAATACTGATAGTCTTACATTCTGATGGAATATTTCATCTTATAGCTATCACTATTAGTATATTGCAGCTGGGTTTTTCTCAATTTCCCTTTTGGTAGCTATCTGTGCTGTGGTAGATGAGAATGACAAACTGTTGTATCTTTCTTCCTTTCTCTTGTTTATATATTCATCTGACTTAAGAGAAGTGTTTGATACTGTTGGCTATTTCAGTGGCTTATCAACTATCCAAGAGAAAAGCTGACGACAACCTGATCTTACTACACACCATTCTTTATGGGAAGAAAGCAAAGGTGATTTAAAAGTCTGATCACATTTTGCCATAATTGATTATTGGTTTGTATATATCCCTTCCAAGCTTATGTCCCTGTTCGTGTAAAACGGACCTATCTCTTGGAATTTATTGTCATTACTTTGCCAGAGTGCATGATTACTTAAAATGGTTTTGTGAAAATTGGTCTGCAGAGTCAGATGATCAAGAAAAACATTGGTCAATTTTCTGGCTTTAAATGGTCAGAGAAAGAGGTATTAACCATTTCGTGTCTATTTTATTACAGGGTTATCTATGCTGTTTTGCCTTGTGTTGTAACTTGTATATAAATGTTTTCCAGGAGGAGAAGCAGAGAGCACGGACAAAGGAGAAGCTTGACAAATGCATCAAAGAAAAATTAGTCTTCTTTTGTGATGTGCTTGATATACCTATAAACAGAAGTCACATTAAAAAAGTAAGTGATAAGAAGATCTTGTTTGTGTCTATTTATTGTAACATCTTCTATATTCTGAGAATACCTCTCTCCTGTAATATCAGGAAGAAGTAGCTGTCAAAGTGCTTGAGTTTTTGGAATCTCCCAAGGCAACAAGAGATGTAATACTTGCTGATCGAGAAAAGGTACTGTTTAATTCTGTACATTAATATTCTTTCAGCAAGTTATTGTTCTGCATGTTTATCGTTTGTATGTGAGTATAGAATTCTTTTTCTTCTTTTGGGAATCTTATGAAACATTGTTCTACATATTTTAGGCCAAAAAGCGCAAGAGCACACAAACAAAAGGGAAATCTGCAGAATCTTCTGATACACCAGCCAAGGTTTGTAGTTTCTTCTCTCCTTTTATTCCTTCGATGCTGCTGGCTGGTAGTTGTTACCATTAGCTCCTTTTCTAGCTTTGGTTTCTAATCTGTTCCTCATTTGACTGATGTGAATTTTGTTTCTGAAATTCTGAAAATGTGTATGACTGATGTGAACAAATCGATTTCTAAATTTATAATCATGAAGCATGCATTATTATTTGCTTTTTGTCCATCTGTGTTAGTTGATTAATTGGATGTTTCAACATGGGATTTATAAACATACCTTGCGTGTGTATGTTTTGTTACCACACAGAGGAGAAGGCAAACAAAAAAGCGAGACGAGCCATCTGAAACAGTAGAAGGCAACGATGAGGGAGATTCTGATTCTGAAGGTACCAAGGATTCTGATGAAGAAGATGATGCAGCACCAGAAGAAGAAAGTGACCATGAAGAGACTGAAACTGAAGATGAGAAAGATGAAGCGGAAGATAAAAAGCCATCCGCTAAGAGAAGCTCATCGAAAAAGACTCAAAAGGAGAAAGATGAAGCAGAAGATAAAAAGCCATCCGCTAAGAAAAGCTCATCGAAAAAGACTGAAGTGGAGAGCTCAGGGACCAAAGGTAAGGAGAAACAAGCTTCTAAAAAAACTGTTGAAAAGTCCTCCAAAAAAGGTGTCAAGACATCGCCATCCCCAGCCAAGAAGCAAAAACTTGATCACAGCGAATCTTTTAAAGAGAAAAGCAAGAAAGAGTCAAGTAAGCCACAGGCTAAGGGATCTAAAGACAAAGGTTACAACCATTCTCAGCTCTTCTAAAGCTTAGCCTTGTTCGATTCTTGTTTTTATAAGAAATTATTCTCTCTTTGAAGCTCGTTTCTTTACTGTTTACACCTATTATGTTGGATTGGATACAGGAAAAGCCATTAAGAAAGGCAAAGCAGAACCCACCAGAGAAGAAATGCTTGCAGTGGTGACCAAAATTCTGAAGGAAGTAGACTTCAATACGGTGAGCAGCTGATTCAATTTGTTGAAACCTATTGAAATTAAGTGGTCTTCAGGCCTTTTGAGTAAATGTTCTTATTCTCGTTGTTTTTTTTCTTTCTCATTTACAGGCAACATTATCAGATATTCTGCAGAAGCTAAGTACGTTCTTTGATGTTACTTATTTATCTAGCAATATTGTTTGATTATACTTTCCAAATGCTGAGGAGCTTTGCTGTTTGTGATAACATCAGGTGACCATTTCGGTGTTGATCTCTCGCATAGAAAACCAGAGGTGAAGGATGTTATCACAGATGCCATAAATGAAATGACTGATGGTGAAGAAGACGAAGAGGACAAAGACGAGGGCGGAAGTGACAAAGAGAAGGACGAGGAAGAAGGGGAAGAGGAAGAGGAAAAAGCTGAGGCTGAGACTGACAAAGAGAAGGAAGAAGACGAAGAAGAGCACAAGGATTAAGGTTTGAGTTTTGTTTTACTTCTCTCAAAAGCTGATGTGAAGGGAGGCAAAACAGACGCAGCATTTGTGTGACTCAGAGGAAGTGATAACTAGAGAGTGTTGAATCTGTACTTTAGCACCGTGTAATATTAATAGTCCCATCATGTAGTTTCAGTGACTTCTTCTTCTGCTTGTGTAGCGGTTACCTCTTAGGCTTTCTAATCCTGGTTCTATTTGATAGGATCTTTATTTTCTCTTTGTGATTTTAGTTTGAGACACCTTCATATCTTTCAGATATTTCCGTTTTCAGATTTCTTGGATCATAATCGAAATTTGAAACTTTTGGTTCATATATACTCGTTTACATATGTCTGCACAAACCGTATATATTTGTGCATGTTAAAACATACTTTAATTAGGCTGAAAAAGTTTTAGATTTGGTGATGTTATATTCAGTTTTTCTTGACGCCAAGTTATATTCAATGATTAATATAGGACTCGCAACTAATGCTATTTTTATATCAAATCTACAGATAACTCACGAAATCGAACGTATCTTTTAATTTTAAAGAAAAGCTACTATCCAAATGAGACCTTTGTTGGTGAAGGGTTTGGTTCATAATTTTGTGGCTTAAGAGTTAAGAACATAGCCACCAACTTCCTTTATTTTACACTGAAATTAAATCAGCACTACTACATTTTAGAAGTCAAGACTCTACAGTTCTTTAAATGTAAACGTAATCAATCATATAGACCCATTTACATAGACTTCACAAAGATGGCCCCATAATTTGACAATTATCTATTTATATATCAATCAAACCACCAACTGTTAAATAAGTGTACTATTCAATTGTTTTTTTTTTCAAAATGTTCATTCCTAAATATTTTTTTGTTGTTTTTTTCATCTTTCTTCTACCATTTGCTGAATCATTACTTGTACCACAATTAACCTCAAGCCCTAGCCTCTACTTAACCCACGTCCCTTTGATAAAACCCCTCAAGATATCAAAATCATTCTCAGTTCTCCAAACATATAACATCTTTGGTATTTCTTCACCGACAGAAGCCTTAAAAATGGCCGACTCCTTTGAGCTCATCGTAACGCGAAAAGAGCCCGTTCTCGTCTCTCCAGCCTCCGAAACTCCAAAGGGTCTCCATTACCTCTCAAATCTTGATCAAAACATAGCTATCATCGTCAAAACATTCTACTACTTCAAATCAAACTCAAGATCCATCGAGGACTCCGCTGAAGTCATCAAGAAGTCCCTCTCCGAGGTTCTTGTTCACTACTATCCTGCCGCCGGGAGACTCACGATCAGTCCCGAAGGAAAGATCGCCGTGAACTGCACCGGTGAAGGAGTCGTGGTGGTCGAAGCCGAGGCTAATTGTGGGATTGAGAAGATCGAGAAGGCTATATCGGAGATTGATCAACCGGAGACTCTTGAAAAGCTGGTTTACAACGTTCCCGGTGCTCGGAATATTCTTGAGATTCCGCCGGTGGTTGTTCAGGTGAGGAGTTGATCGATTAGTACTCTTTTTGATTCCTGTTTTGCGTGAGTGACCGAACATGACTTAGTTGAAGGTTTGGTCCGATATTGGTTCGAAATAAATATATTATTAGCGTTAGATTATCAGATCATCACTTACCATGCATGCATCAATACTCTTATTAGTAAAGCAAATTCAGAATTCAAAAATCTCATTCATACTTACGAAGTTGCAATACAGGAGTATATATATATTTGTAGTCAAAAGTATATATATTTGGAACGTATTTAACACTATACATTTTTAGAAGATTAGTATGATTTATCATTTTCAAATAAGTAAATCCACAAATAGTATTTTAGATACACTCTTTCTTCCTTGTTTTTTGGTTTTTTTGTTAGGTGACAAATTTCAAGTGTGGAGGATTCGTACTAGGCCTTGGCATGAACCACAATATGTTCGATGGTATAGCAGCCATGGAGTTTCTCAACTCTTGGGCCGAGACGGCCCGTGGCCTTCCTCTCTCCCTTCCACCTTTCTTAGACCGCAAGCTTCTCCAACCTCGGACCCCACCAAAGATCGATTTCCCACACAACGAGTTCGAAGAGATTGATGACATCTCCGGCACTGGAAAACTCTATGCCGACGAGAAACTCGTCTACAAGTCCTTCATGTTCGGACCCGAGAAGCTCGAGAAGCTCAAAACCATGTCAGAGACAAGATCCACTACGTTTCAAACCCTAACAGGTTTTCTATGGAGAGCTCGTTGTCAAGCCCTAGGGCTTAAACCAGATCAACGGATAAAACTTCTCTTTGCTGCAGATGGACGGCCAAGATTCGTTCCGGAGCTTCCGAAAGGATATTCCGGTAACGGGATTGTGTTCACTTATTCCGTTACTACGGCAGGTGAAGTAACTCTAAACCCTCTTTCTCATTCGGTGGGTTTGGTCAAAACAGCCGTTGAAATGGTCAACGACGGTTTCATGAGGTCAGCGATAGATTACTTTGAGGTGACTCGGGCAAGGCCGAGCCTGACGGCGACGCTTCTGATCACGTCGTGGGCGAAACTGTCGTTTCACACTAAAGATTTCGGTTGGGGTGAACCGGTTGTTTCTGGACCGGTCGGGCTACCTGAGAAGGAAGTCATTCTGTTCTTGCCATGTGGCAGTGACACGAGGAGTGTCAATGTGTTGCTTGGCCTTCCCGGTTCAGCGATGAAGGTGTTCGAAAAGCTTATGGATATATGAATAATCAATCAACTATGGTTGTACTTGTGTATGTGTTTGAATTAATTATTGATTTAAGAAAAATCAAATAATGATGATCGATTACGTGTTTGCGGTCGTATATGATATTGCTCGTCGGTGGTGAAGCAAAATGTAACTATTATGTTAAGTACTAAGTTTAATAAAGAAAGCTTAATGTGTGTTACTAAAATGGTCTTTGTTATATTCTTATTTCAAACTCAAAACATATCATTTCCATTAGATGACCCAATATTAATGTTGCATACATCCATCTCAAAATATGGTACTTGATTGCTAGAAACTAATTAACCAAAAGTAACAAAAGGTTTACACCCCAATTTTAAAACTCAACTTTAACTTAAATCTAAAAAAATCACCCAATTTTCTTATACAAAATTATATTTATTTCACACTCACTTTTTTCTCATCTTTTCTTACATATATTTTCACAATCTTAAAAAAGGGATTAAAAATGGTTTTTTACAGAAATCGTTGTCCGGGTCGGATCCACCCGGTTTAGACATATAAAAACCCGGCGGCTCGCTATCGCCTTATCTTGTTGACTGTCTCTTCTTCTCTCAAAAGCCCACCCACTACGATTACCATCTCCGACCGCGAGAGAGACAACAGCGAGAGCAAAGATGTCGGCGACGCTTACAGGATCGGGAACGGCTTTGGGGTTTTCATGCTCCTCGAAGATATCGAAGAGAGTTTCTTCTTCGCCGTCAACCCGTTGCTGTGTCAAGATGACTGCTTCCGTCGACGAGAAGAAGAAGACTTTCACTCTTAAGAAATCCGAGGAAGCTTTCAATGCCGCTAAGGTTAGTCCTATACAATTGACCTCACACAACCGATACTCATTTGATTCATGATTCGATATTTTGATGACCCGAATATCAATTGATTTTGATTTTTGTTCATTTGATTCTGGTGGTTTTGCTGTTGTTGAAATCTGGATGATATTTCGAAAAATTTGTTAGTGTCTCGTTGATTGCAAGTCTCTGTTTTTCTCCAGAAATGATCAAATCATGAGAAATCGCAAGTTGTCCCAAAGTTGTAGAATTTGATTGATTCAAGAAATTTCTGCTAAGAATCCTGGAAATGTAGTAGTTTGAACATGTTTATTAGAGCTAAGTCAATCAAAATCAGATTTTGGTGTAAAGGACTCATTTTTATGCCTCTGTTTCATGTTACTTACTTTAGCTTGACTTAGCTTTTCAATTCATCGTTTTGTGGATAGAAATGGACTCACTGTTACCTTTTTAATCCTGACTTATGAAAAATTGATTTCTCTTGATGAAAGAAACTAATGCCTGGAGGAGTGAATTCCCCTGTTCGAGCCTTCAAATCCGTCGGAGGACAACCAGTGTTGATAGATTCCGTCAAAGGCTCAAAAATGTGGGACATTGATGGAAACGAATACGTAGACTACGTTGGTTCTTGGGGACCAGCTATAATCGGCCACGCCGATGATGAGGTATAACCATTTCTTCTACAAAACCAAATCCTCTAAAGCTCGTAACTTTGCCATAAAAATCGAATCTTTCTCGTAGGTTCTTGCTGCTCTAGCTGAGACGATGAAGAAAGGAACAAGCTTTGGTGCTCCTTGTCTCTTGGAGAATGTTCTAGCTGAGATGGTGATATCAGCAGTTCCAAGCATTGAGATGGTCCGGTTTGTTAACTCCGGTACCGAAGCGTGTATGGGCGTGCTTCGTCTCGCTCGAGCCTTCACCAACAGAGAGAAGTTCATCAAGTTTGAAGGATGTTATCACGGTCACGCCAACGCCTTCCTTGTGAAAGCTGGTAGTGGTGTAGCTACTCTAGGGCTACCTGACTCTCCAGGTGTCCCTAAAGCAGCTACTTCGGATACTTTAACAGCTCCTTACAACGATTTGGAAGCTGTTGCCAAGCTATTCGAGGCTCATAAAGGAGAGATCTCGTCGGTGATTCTCGAACCTGTTGTTGGGAACTCTGGATTCATCACTCCTACTCCGGAGTTCATCAACGGTTTACGTCAGCTGACGAAAGACAACGATGCGTTGCTCATCTTTGATGAGGTCATGACTGGCTTTCGTTTAGCTTACGGTGGAGCTCAAGAGTACTTTGGCATCACGCCTGATTTGACAACTCTTGGGAAGATCATCGGCGGTGGTCTTCCCGTTGGAGCTTACGGTGGAAGAAGAGATATTATGGAGATGGTAAGACCAATGTAGTTATTAAGCTTTGCCATTGTAGTTAGTTAACCGGTTTGTGTTTGTTTGTAGGTTGCTCCGGCAGGACCAATGTATCAAGCCGGGACGCTAAGTGGTAATCCACTGGCGATGACGGCAGGGATTCACACGCTGAAGAGGCTGATGCAGCCAGGAACGTACGAGTATTTGGACAAGATCACTAAAGAGTTAACGAACGGGATCTTGGAAGCCGGGAAGAAGACAGGGCATCCGATGTGCGGAGGTTACATAAGAGGTATGTTCGGTTTCTTTTTCGCGGAAGGACCGGTTAACAACTTCGATGACGCGAAGAAGAGCGACACGGAGAAGTTTGGCAAGTTTTTCAGGGGGATGTTGGAGGAAGGTGTTTACTTTGCACCGTCTCAGTTCGAGGCTGGCTTTACTGGATTGGCTCACACTTCTGAGGATATACAGTTCACTATTGCTGCGGCTGAGAGGGTTCTTGGTAGGATCTAAGAATGTTTTCTTGAGTCTCGTTTTCACAATCTTCTTCTGTTTTGGGGATGTTGTGTACGGATTAAATCAGTCTTTGTGTAGTGAGTTGGATTTAGCCTTTTTTTTTCATTGGTAGCTTGAGAATTTTGTATGATGAAACCATTTGTTCTGTTTATGTTATGGGGTTAACATAATCCTCAAAGAGTTATTGCTAAAGAATGTTTAAACTGATAAAATATTATTATGAAAACTACTACCACAATATGTTGATTTGATACAACACCAACTATAAAGAAAAGAAGAATAAGAGAACGTTTTAAGAAGCCATTTTTTTCAACTTTGTTGATTGTTTTGGGACTTTGTCGATGATGTTGATATATCAAGAGAACTCATATATCAATGAAGCGTGGGATATTTTTCCTCTTAAAATAAGCACGTTTTGGGTCCATTTTCGTGTAATTTCCAATAAAAACCAAACAAAAGGTGATAAGTGATAACACTGACGTAATGTTTAAGCTTTTTATATTTTAGGATCTTAAAACAATTAAATGTCATTGTACATTACCCACCTCAATGACACTAACCAATAACTAATCCAATTATTTATAGTTAAGGTACGCATTGCTTCCATTATACTACCTAATAAATCATAACGAAAAAACAATTAAGTATATATCTCTCAAGCGAAGCAGAAGAGAGTGAAACAACAAGTCAACAACCATGGGGGTCGAGAGAGAGCAACACACATCTTCTTCACCGTCCGAGACGATCCCTATTGTCGATCTAAGCGATCCCAACGACGAGCTCGTGGCACGTGCGGTGGTGAAAGCTAGCCAAGAGTGGGGGATTTTCCACGTGGTGAATCACGGGATCTCGACGGATCTGATAGAGCGGTTGAAGGAGGTTGGTAAACAGTTCTTTGATCTCCCGGAGACGGAGAAGAAAGAAGTAGCGAAACGAGATGACTCGGAAGACTTTGAAGGTTACACGAGGAATCTCAAGTATACAGAAGATGAGGTTTGGGCCGATAACCTCTTTCACAGAATCTGGCCACCCTCGTGTCTCAATTTCAACTACTGGCCCAAAAACCCTCCTCAATACAGGTTACGATGAATCTTCGTATGCAAATTGTTGTCTATAATATACGTATATGGTAGAATAAAACATAGTACAACAAGTTTTGTAAAAGTTTAACAAAAGTCACGTTCGTTTATGTTTTAATAATATTTCCCATTCGTTGATATTTTCTAGTCATAATTATTACATTAGTTATTAACTTATTATCATGTTTAGCTATTTAGAGCAGTTGTCGTCCAACTAATCGTCAAAAGCCAAATAAATTTTAGTCATGGTTTGATTTTTGGGACATGTTGTGTGGTTATAGGAAGTTGGTTGAGAAGTACACAAAGGAGACGAAAATTTTGTCTATCAAATACGTATATGGCAGAACCCTAAAACATAATACATCACGTTTTGTTAAAGTTTAACAAAATTTACGTCCATTTATGTTTTAATATTCCCATTCGTTTTATATTTCCTATTCATATTTATTACCTTACCATGTTTAGCTATACATGGTTTGATTTTTGGGACATGGTGTGTGGTTATAGGGAGGTGGTTGAGGAGTACACAAAGGAGACGAAAAAGTTATCGGAGAGGCTTTTGGGGGTTTTATCAGAGGGATTAGGGTTACAGCATGATGCCTTGAAGAAAGGTCTAGGAGGTGACAAGACTGAGTATGTGATGAGAATCAACAATTTCCCGCCTAATCCTAAACCGGATTTGAACTTGGGACTACCGGAGCATACAGATATTATTGCAATGGCAATCATCGTCACCAATGAAGTTCCAGGGCTTCAGATTTTCAAAGACGATCAGTGGTTCGATGTCCAATACATTCCCTCCGCCATTACCATTACCATTGGTGATCAGCTATTGGTATGTTTTCCGTTTTTTCGATAACCAATAATTTATACCAACTTTGAGATTTGTGATGAGCAAAATGATATATATTTTTGTAGAGGCTGAGCAACGGGAAGTACAAGAATGTGTTGCATAGAGTGACGGTGGATAAAGAAAAACAAAGGATGTCGTGGCCGATTTTTGTGGATGCTAATCCTGATGTGGTCATCGGACCTTTGCCGGAGCTCATTACCGGCGATAATCCTTCTATGTTCAAGCCTATTACTTGCAAGGACTTTAAATTCCGTAGGCTTTTCAAGCTTCCAGTCGATTGATCCAAATGATGCATGATCTGTTATTCTTCTTCCTTTTTCTTACGCATCGAAGTTACTAGGTTTCTAAACATGCAATAAGTGGGTTGAATAACACACATCGACGATATTAGTACAAAATAATCATTAGACTCAGTCGTGGTCAAGTTACAATCTTGTACGTGTGTGTGTGTAATTTACCACAATAAGAAAATGTTTATGTATGCAAAAGGAACTTTATACGGTTTCAAGTCTATATATATAATAAACAATACGAAAAACATTTATGAATGATTTTGAAGATTTCCTAAAATCTTAACTTAGTCAAAAAGAGGGTTCGGTCACCAACCTTAAGGACTTGATATAGAAGTTTTTTTAATAAGAAAAATTAGGTTTTCTTACAAAAGGTTTAGTACATAAAATCATTTGCATTAGTGCGCAAGTGGAATTTAAGGTAAAAGTGCGCAAGTGGAATTTAAGGTAAAACGTTTCTTGTAAAATATGTTTTGAACAAATGTGCATTCACTCAGAACATCTTTTCCTGTCTTTTATTTTGAAAAAAAAATGGAAACAGTAATTAAGTAATTTCATAAATGATTTTTTTGAGGTTTTATTATCCATCGTGAAGAAGCATATTGATCTTGCGGTGAATGTAGTCTTCAAAGGTTAAAGACTCAAACTTGGGAGGATTATCGTCTCCGATGAGCTCCGGCAAAGGTCCGACGACCAAACCACGCTTAGGGTCAACCAAAACCGGCCACGACATCCTCGTCTTCTCCTTATCCATCGTTGCTCTATGCAACACGTTCTTGTACCTCCCGTTGCTCATCCTCTACAAATGTTACATAAATCTCAAAAACCCAACGTACTCTAAAACACTACCAAATTTCAATGAAACACAATATCAGACCATGATTTGATCGCCGATGAGGACAACAATGCCTGAATCGACGTTCTCAACGTCGAACCAGCTGTTACCCTTGAAGACTTGAAGTCCAGGAACCTCGTTGGGGACTAGGAGTGCCATTGAAGTGAAATCTGTATGCGCCGGTGCTCCTATGATTTCATCCGACGTCGGCGGATAGTAATTGATCCTTATCGTATACTCTGCTGCATCGCCGCCTATACCTTCGTTCAAGGCATCGTGCCCTAGCCCTAACCCCTTTGACAAGCAACCCATAATCTTCTCCGTTAACTTCTTCACCTGTCTTGCGTACTCCTCGTTCACCTCCCTGAAACCCAAATCAATGATTAATGTATATGATTAATAGAGGGTTTGACTCAATACACTTATCGAGTTGAGTAGAGTTAGTAACTAATCATGAAACAGTAAAATATAGATTAATAATTATAGGTTAGGTAATGACGTTTATACTCTTTTCTTATAATGTTTTTCTTTTTTCTTTCAATAATGTAAACGTTGACAAAATGCGGTTTTCGGTTGGATCCTCTACGGTACCTGTAATCTGGAGGATTCTTAGGCCAGAATCTGTAGTCGATGCACGACGGTGGCCAGATTTTGTGAAGCAGGTGACTGTTCCAAGACTCTAAACGTTTTGAATGTATTGAATCGTAACCTTCCAAGCAATCGACGTCTGGTAGCTTTGCTACGGCTTCCTTTTCTTCGGCCGGGAGCTCAAAGAACTGCCTCCCCACTTCCTGAAGCCGACGCAGCAACTCCGTCGGAATCCCGTGGTTAACCACCTGAAAAGCCCCCCACTCTTCGCTCGCTTTCACCACCGCACGTGCCACGAGCTCATCGTCGAGATCGCTCAGATCAACGATAGGGACTGTAGTCGTCTCGCACGGTGGAGATGTGTGTTGGTCTCTCTCGACCTCCATTGTTGCTGTTTCACTCTCCATTGCTTCGCCGGATTTGTTTAGACTAATTGGTTGGCGAAAGGTGTATATAGGGGGGAAGTGTTGATGACGTGGCACAACACCATTAAATTATGATAATTAATTTAGGTCTGCTACTGCTTAACATGTAATACAGTAAGACATTTCTGGAAAATGATTAATATAAACGATTAGAGACAGTAATGCAACGAAGCACTGTGTGTCGCGTAGCTACAAATAATTAAATTACTGCAATATTGGTGGTGGTAGCAGGTGGTAAGTGGTAAGGTAACAATGAAATATAATATTGGTCGTAGCAGGTGGTAACATATTGACAAAATATAACTAAGTAAGAAGAAATTACGACCACAGCATAAATATTAAATTTCAAAATTTTATTATGGTCTTACTAATTGCTATATTTATTACTTGGCAGTTTAGATATTGCTCCAAATGTTAACTACTTCCTTTGAACTTTTGAATCAACAAAGACCTTTCTTAAAAAAAAAACAATTAACTTTTAGATTGGCCTTCATTAAGACAACACTTTTTGAAATAATGTTTTTACAAAACTACAGAATCCATCCATATAAATAGGCAAGAAACCACATGGCTGCATTACAAACTCTAGTCTACACTAAAACAAATCGCAACATGTTCTTCTGCGCCAAAACACAGCTTCAAAACGATGCTGCGGAAAAAAAAAAAAAACCGGAATCGATGATATCCATTTAACCTTTTATGATCTTTCAAAGACGTCTGGTCTTGTTAGGAGGTGCATAACCGGACATACCCATTCCAGGATCTTTCCTTCTCAGCTGTTGCTGCTGATGCGGCTGAGCCATCCCTCGCTGCTGTTGCACCGGAACACTCGGATTCATTCCCGCCTGTGCAGGGAAATTATAAGCCATCATGCCTTGAGGCTGCATCCTCTGCATGTTATGAGCAACCATTGGTCTCGGCATCGATCTACTCCCCATTCCATGAGCTCCTCCCATGTTCCCTCCAACATTCCCCGCTGCAACCGCTTGAGGAGGGTTGATGCTCGTCGTGCCTTCGAAATCAGTGTTAGTATCGACAGGACGTGTCGGGTAACTCACGTTCTTCTCCATCGGCTGAGTCGCTACAAACGCGTTCCTTCCCGGGATAGGATCCATCCTGAAGTACTCGTGCTCTAGCGCCTGAGAAGCAGTGATCCGTTTGAGAGGATCGTACTCGAGCATCTTGGATAAGAGATCGTAAGCGGGGCTTTTGAAGGGCAGGTGAACCACGTTGTGGAGACCAACACTGTCGTATTTATGAGCTTGAATGTGTTGGAGATCGGATTGCCAGTGAGGAAGGTTCGCGAGCGCCGGCCATTTATCCATCGTCGGATGGCCTAAGATCTTGAAAATCTTGTCGAGCTGATCCAGCTGGAAAGGGTTTTGTGACGACTTCGCTTCTGCTCCTTGGAACAATGGTTTGAGAGTCAGTAGCTCAGCGAATATACATCCGACCGCCCACATATCGACGGCGCTCGTGTAGTGCTTAGACCCGAGAAGCAGCTCCGGTGCACGGTACCATATCGTGACCACAACTCCGTTATCAGATAGAGGCTTCAGAGGAGCTTGGTATATCCGTGCAAGCCCGAAATCAGCTATCTTCACTATTCCGTTTTCTTCTCCCTCACCCATAACCAAGATGTTTGAAGGTTTCAAGTCTCTGTGTATGATCCAGTTACTATGGAGATAGTTTAATCCGTTGAGAAGCTGCCAGAGCAAGGACTTGACAGTGTACTGGTTTAACGAATGTCCCACTTTGTCTCTGTGGTGTCTGATGATCTCGTAGAGATCGTACTCGGAGTAGTCGAAGGCGAGGTAGAGAGACATGTCTGCGAAGTTGATGTGGACGTTCACAAGCTTGACGACGTTCTCGTGGGAGATCTCTCTGAGCAGCATGATCTCGCGGATCGCTGTTGGGGAAACTCCGTCTCCGTCTTTCGACTGCTTGAACTTCTTGATGGCGATTGGTCTCTTAGGTATAGTCTTGGTTCTTGCCAAGAAAACGAGTCCATAAGTCCCTTCGCCAATTTTTCCGACGAGGTTGTACTGTTGCAGCCACTCTGGCTTCTCGCTGCCGCTGCTTGAGCTGTTGGATCTGGTGGAACTGCCATCTCCCATTGCTTTTAGAGCTCTCTGCTTAAACGTCCTTGCTATGTGGGACTGAAACAGTAGAGCTTAACAAAACGAAACCATTTTTGGTTTCCTCTATGTAGCTTTCCTGAAAAGTTGAGCAAAACTTTGGATAATCAGCCAAAAGGAAGTGACTTTGTGAAATAGAGCTAAGCAATTCATAGAATAAGATCTACGAACATTTCAGAATTAGCTGATGATTCAAAGACGTCCCTCACAAAACTTCATATGAACAAATTCAGATCCTAAGACTTCAATTTTCAGCAATTTTCAGCAAAAGAGGAAAAAAAGGATTAAGATTCAGCTGAAACATTAAGCTCAAGAGACCAATAAACAGAGGGAAAACCCTAAAATTCAATACCTAATCAGATTCGATACCAATTTCAAATTCCAATTAAAGCTCGAGACCTATACGATCTGTTTTTTATTTTTTGTTTTTTTTTCTTCTAGAAATCAACGATCATGGAAATAAAAATACGTAAAGGATCTGACCGAGTAAGGCGATCGGATAAATGTTGAATGAAATTCGGAGGAAGAGATCGTCGGCGACGGAGGAAGGTAGACAAAAGCGAGAAATTTCCGGTGAGACGGAAGAAGAAGGATTGTGTTTCCCAAAAACGGTGACGTTATGAAGCAGCCGACGCTGAGAATGGAAAGTAGATTTGTAATTTGGCCACTTGGTCCAACTCTCTTCTCTTTATTATATCTCTATTCATATATACTCTTCCTATTAAACAGTGTGATAATTTAGGATAATTCATAACCAGGTCAGGTGACATATGTTCCAAAAGTTTAGATTTTGTGGAAAGAAATTTTTTTGATTTGAGCAAAAAAATTAAGACTGTCACAAGTCACAACAGTGTACAAAAACAAAAAATATCAAAACACATTACAGTATCCAAACCACTTTTATTAATTTTCAAGAACAAANTTCTTTCCTTCTCAGCTGTTGCTGCTGATGCGGCTGAGCCATCCCTCGCTGCTGTTGCACCGGAACACTCGGATTCATTCCCGCCTGTGCAGGGAAATTATAAGCCATCATGCCTTGAGGCTGCATCCTCTGCATGTTATGAGCAACCATTGGTCTCGGCATCGATCTACTCCCCATTCCATGAGCTCCTCCCATGTTCCCTCCAACATTCCCCGCTGCAACCGCTTGAGGAGGGTTGATGCTCGTCGTGCCTTCGAAATCAGTGTTAGTATCGACAGGACGTGTCGGGTAACTCACGTTCTTCTCCATCGGCTGAGTCGCTACAAACGCGTTCCTTCCCGGGATAGGATCCATCCTGAAGTACTCGTGCTCTAGCGCCTGAGAAGCAGTGATCCGTTTGAGAGGATCGTACTCGAGCATCTTGGATAAGAGATCGTAAGCGGGGCTTTTGAAGGGCAGGTGAACCACGTTGTGGAGACCAACACTGTCGTATTTATGAGCTTGAATGTGTTGGAGATCGGATTGCCAGTGAGGAAGGTTCGCGAGCGCCGGCCATTTATCCATCGTCGGATGGCCTAAGATCTTGAAAATCTTGTCGAGCTGATCCAGCTGGAAAGGGTTTTGTGACGACTTCGCTTCTGCTCCTTGGAACAATGGTTTGAGAGTCAGTAGCTCAGCGAATATACATCCGACCGCCCACATATCGACGGCGCTCGTGTAGTGCTTAGACCCGAGAAGCAGCTCCGGTGCACGGTACCATATCGTGACCACAACTCCGTTATCAGATAGAGGCTTCAGAGGAGCTTGGTATATCCGTGCAAGCCCGAAATCAGCTATCTTCACTATTCCGTTTTCTTCTCCCTCACCCATAACCAAGATGTTTGAAGGTTTCAAGTCTCTGTGTATGATCCAGTTACTATGGAGATAGTTTAATCCGTTGAGAAGCTGCCAGAGCAAGGACTTGACAGTGTACTGGTTTAACGAATGTCCCACTTTGTCTCTGTGGTGTCTGATGATCTCGTAGAGATCGTACTCGGAGTAGTCGAAGGCGAGGTAGAGAGACATGTCTGCGAAGTTGATGTGGACGTTCACAAGCTTGACGACGTTCTCGTGGGAGATCTCTCTGAGCAGCATGATCTCGCGGATCGCTGTTGGGGAAACTCCGTCTCCGTCTTTCGACTGCTTGAACTTCTTGATGGCGATTGGTCTCTTAGGTATAGTCTTGGTTCTTGCCAAGAAAACGAGTCCATAAGTCCCTTCGCCAATTTTTCCGACGAGGTTGTACTGTTGCAGCCACTCTGGCTTCTCGCTGCCGCTGCTTGAGCTGTTGGATCTGGTGGAACTGCCATCTCCCATTGCTTTTAGAGCTCTCTGCTTAAACGTCCTTGCTATGTGGGACTGAAACAGTAGAGCTTAACAAAACGAAACCATTTTTGGTTTCCTCTATGTAGCTTTCCTGAAAAGTTGAGCAAAACTTTGGATAATCAGCCAAAAGGAAGTGACTTTGTGAAATAGAGCTAAGCAATTCATAGAATAAGATCTACGAACATTTCAGAATTAGCTGATGATTCAAAGACGTCCCTCACAAAACTTCATATGAACAAATTCAGATCCTAAGACTTCAATTTTCAGCAATTTTCAGCAAAAGAGGAAAAAAAGGATTAAGATTCAGCTGAAACATTAAGCTCAAGAGACCAATAAACAGAGGGAAAACCCTAAAATTCAATACCTAATCAGATTCGATACCAATTTCAAATTCCAATTAAAGCTCGAGACCTATACGATCTGTTTTTTATTTTTTGTTTTTTTTTCTTCTAGAAATCAACGATCATGGAAATAAAAATACGTAAAGGATCTGACCGAGTAAGGCGATCGGATAAATGTTGAATGAAATTCGGAGGAAGAGATCGTCGGCGACGGAGGAAGGTAGACAAAAGCGAGAAATTTCCGGTGAGACGGAAGAAGAAGGATTGTGTTTCCCAAAAACGGTGACGTTATGAAGCAGCCGACGCTGAGAATGGAAAGTAGATTTGTAATTTGGCCACTTGGTCCAACTCTCTTCTCTTTATTATATCTCTATTCATATATACTCTTCCTATTAAACAGTGTGATAATTTAGGATAATTCATAACCAGGTCAGGTGACATATGTTCCAAAAGTTTAGATTTTGTGGAAAGAAATTTTTTTGATTTGAGCAAAAAAATTAAGACTGTCACAAGTCACAACAGTGTACAAAAACAAAAAATATCAAAACACATTACAGTATCCAAACCACTTTTATTAATTTTCAAGAACAAAGTTCATGTGTATAAAGCAGTGATTACCAAACCTGAAACAAAAGAGTTTAGTTTATAATATCTCAACAACACCTCGGCTCACGATTTTCCCTTCGTTGAGATCTTGAAACGCCTTTCCTGCATCTTCAAACTTGTATTTGCTTGAAACCGCGTTTGTTAGATTGAAGATCCCAGACTCTGCCAATTTCACTACTTTAGGAAGATCTTGTCTTGCTCTTCCTCCATATGATCCTATTACTTTTATCTTCACATAAACAAAAGAAAAAGAGACTCAGCAACATAATCTTAAACACAAGATACGTTTCTAAGCAAGAACACAAACCTTCCTACGAACAAGTCTGTTAATGTCAATTTCTCCAACGGAGCCAGCTTGTGAGAGTCCAATCATCACAGCTTTGCCACCATCTTTCACACTAAGTGTGCACTGCATGAAAGTTTGTGGCCTTCCCAAGGCTTCAACAGCAACATCAACACCCATCCCACCGGTTATTTCCTGCAAAGGAAACACAGTTTCTTCTCTCAAAATTTAAGATCAATTCAATGGTTTATCATCTTGCTCTTAATCAAACCATACTCTTATCCTATCAACAGCGTCTTCTTTAGCAGCATTGACAATATGAGTAGCACCAAGTGTCTTGGCCTTCTCCAACTTATCATCCTGAACATCCACAGCAATTATGTCCGACGCTCCAAAAGCTCTCGCTATCTGCAAACAACTGAAGCAAGCAACAAACTCAAAGATGGTTATGATCAGGCAATAAACGACAATGCAACTTTAATAACATACCTTGAGCCAACACCACCAATTCCAATTACAGCAATAGAATCTCCAGGACGGATCTCCGCAGCATGAGCCATAGCACCATATGCTGTAAAAACAGCACACCCTAGAATCGCAGATTCAGTGTAAGGCAAAGACTCTGGTAGAGGAGCTAAGCCGTGAGCTGGTGTCACACAGTACTCAGCCATTCCTCCCATACTGTACATATACACTGGCGAATCTGCCGGAAAGTGAAACAAATATGTCATTTGGTGAAACAATCATTGGTTCTCTGCCACATAAAGATTTAAAATTTACCATCATGTCGCAAAAATAGACGAGTTTCTCCATCATAAAGAGTTCCTTTAGCTCTATTAAAAGCAAAGAAGTCTTCACACAAATCATCATGGCCCTGTATCCGAGTTAAAGTATCAGCCAAACACTATACACTCCCAGATTTGAGAATGTAATGAAAGCAATGCAATTTCCTCCTCACCTTAGCACAATAGGTACAGGTTCCACAAGGCATAATGAAAGCTCCAACTACACGAGAACCAACTGGAAATCTGATAAAGAAAAGTTGAGACATTTAGGATTGTAATCAAAACATCTGATTCCATTTGAGTGAGAGAAAACAAAAAGGAATGAAAGTTGAAGAAACCTTTTGATGATCTTGTGATCAGTAAGTGGACCATGTTCAACTACTTCACCAGTAATCTCGTGCCCAATAACACAAGGACTAGCGAATGGAATCTCTCCTTTCATCACATGAAGATCAGAGTGACAAACTCCACAAGCTGCCACAAAACGAATTCAAAATGAACGCTAAAAATTTTGAATTCGGATACTACAGATTGCGTCAAGCATTGATTTTAATCACTAATATTCAGTCAAATCCAATGGATTCATAGAAAAGGAGAAGAAATTTATACCCTTTGTTTTGATGAGAATTTCATTGGATTTGGGCCGGGGGATGTGAAATTCTTCGATTGTGAGAGGCTGATTGGGCTCCCGATACACGGCTCCACGCATGTATCCGCCGGAGCTCACGTGATACCCAGCGATGGAAGACGGCGGAGAAGGTTGACCATCATCGCCGGAGGCTCCGGTTTGTAGAGATCTACAGGAGAGTATGGAGCCAGCGGCGAGTCTCGATAATGGAAAGAGGTTCTTAGCGGCGGAGACGCGGCGGAGAATCGGAGCAAACGCCATGCAAAGACGACGGAGGAGAAACTGATGGTCAATCGGAGTTAGGTGGCAACGAAAAAGACACTTTGATGATATCTGTTTGAGGAGAGTTTGGTAAAATAGCTTGCTTTTACCTGTACATTTTTTTTCACTATGTACATGTAACAACAAAAATACACTTGATGATATCTGTTTGAACCACTTACATTTTTCCGTTTTCCGTTGTCCCAAATTTTATATTATAGGGTCTAAATGATAACTGTGGAATGTTGCTGAATGCGGAATCTGGCGGAATTAAATTATAACTTTTTGCGGAATCTGGCTGATTAGTTAGTATTATGAATGGTAACTGCTGAATGTTGCTGAATGCGGAATAACTTAAAAAAAAAATTCATTTCAAAATCTATCCTATAATATATTTAAACTTGAAAATGTACATTAAATATTGGTATTAAATTGTAAATATATATGTTTAACCTTATAAAATATAAACATAATTTATCTTTACAAAACAATAATATTATATTACAACTAACATTTACTCATAAATAAATGAATGAGTGATTTGGTTTTAGAAATATACAACTGATGTAATTTATGTTAACTATAATAAATTTAATAATTGTATTAAATTATGTAATTGTAATATTCAATAGTTATTATTATTATTACAAAATATACTTTCCATAATATTATTATCAAGATTCGGTTTCACAAACTTCAAAAACCCGAATATTCGGAGTTGATCGGATCAGATGCCAGATAATTTTCCCATTCCTAAAAAGGGGGAAAATCACAAAACATTTAATTATATCATAATTAATATTATTCCAGTTTAACAACTAAAATATTTTATAAAAAAATCTAAAATAATTACACATATATTTGTTGGAATAATTAATGAAATACCAAACTATCTGCTTAATTAATTTTATAAATAATTTAAGTTATAGTAAAATATTGATCATCAAATTTTAAATGTAATTTTTCAATTGATCATAGAAATTATATACATGAAAATAAATAAAAGTAATAATAATTGTGGATTTTTGTAAATTTATATTCTAATATATATAAAGTGAGAAAAAAGGGAAGACTCTTTGAACCAAAAAAAAAAAGTTTAAGACCATTACCAAACCACTCTTCCATTAATTTTTCTTATGAACCTTTTGTATAATTTTTAATAAATTTTGGAATAGATATATATTTGAGATATATCAAATGTGAGACTTGTCATAATTTAGCATTTTGTCTTTTTCTTAGCATTCCAGAATTCTTCAATTCTTCTCAACTGGTGTTTTGTAAAAAGAATTCAGCAACAATCTTCAACATTCCTCAAATCTTCAGTTACCAGTTAGGGCCTATAGTCTTTGGAGTTGTAAATTGCTTGCAGATAATATATATGGATTGATTTGTATCGATTAAGTAAAGTCAATTCTGAATTATCATCTACGTGTATATTTTATCTACGAAATTTAATTAAGATTAAGCTTTGAGTCAGAGCTGAACTTCTTCTTATTTGTATATAATTTTTTACTATGTATGAGACGCTTACTAATATCTTTTTGATTTTTTAATTTGTCTCATATTTACACTATAGTCTCTGGAATTATAACTCACACGCAGATAATGTATATGAATTGATTTGTATCGATTAAATAAGGTCTGTAACCCACTTCTACATGTTTATTAAGATTAAATTTAGAGCATGAGCTTCTTCTTACTTGTACATGGTTTTTTACTATATAAAAATGGCAACAAAAGAAACATTTGATGATATTTGTTTGATGGGTTTTAATTTTTCTGTTTGTCCTAAATTTACACAATAATCTATGGAGTTGTAATTCACGCGCGAATAATGTGTGGATTGATTTGTATCGATTAAGTAATGCCAATTTTGGAGTTCACATCTACGTGTATATCTTATCTACGGAATTTATTAAGATTAAATTTACTTGTACATGATTTTTTACTATATTTCTGGGTGCAAGTAATTTGGAAGAAAATCAAATGCAGATTTTGAAAGAAAAAAAGATATTGATTTCAAATGTTGATCTTTTTGTATATACTTAGATACTGAAAGGGATAATACAATTTTACAACTTGGTCCCAAACATTAAGAAAATCAAATGCAAATTCTAAAAGAACAAAAAAAAAAATTGATTGCAAATATTGATCTTTTTGTATATACTTACATACTGAAAGGAATAATACAAATTTACAACTTGGGAATTTAAAATTAAGAACATGACGAAATGCTGCAAGAATCAAAATTTCAAAAAATAACAAAAAGTGAAGTTTAACACAACGGCAAAAGAAGAAGAAAACAAAAGACAAATCTACTTGGCTCTGAGACCAGGAACATTTTTGAGACCCATCTTACCAAGAATAAGTTTTGGTATAGCCGGAGGATTGTCAAGTCCCATACTACGACTAAACTCGTTAGCCAACTCCACAAGCCTGTCCTTGTCTCTTCCGATCATCTTCTGTGAGTTGTAGTAACCCAACCAAGCCTGATACGCCGCCTCTTTGTTCCTCATCTCCACATGGCATAGCGCCTTTTGCACCTGTTCATTCAAATGAAGCTTTTACAATTTCCAACTCAAAGAGCTTTGGTGTTGATGCAAGCGTCCAAGAAGCAAAAGCTTTGCAAAGATCAGTGAAATATGAAAAAGGCTTAAACCTTTTTAACAGTTTCTGGTTCTATTAATGGCAGAGGAGACTTGGTGATGGGTAAGTCTCTAAGAGATGATAGAAAATATTCCTCCCATGGTGCCAAAACCAATATGCCTTCTCCTTCCTTTCCTTTTCGTCCCGTTCTACCGAGTCTGTGTATATATTGTTCTCTGTCTTTTGGTACTCCCACCTGGAATAGAAGCAAATAAATGTATACAAACCCAATGCAAAAAGTTTCTAATTCTCTGTCTTTTGTATGACTGATGTTACCTGTAGAACAAGGGTCACATCAGGGTAATCGACTCCTCGAGCAGATACATCAGATGTTACGAGAATCAAACCCTTGGATTTGCGGAACTCATTAGAAACCCTTGTCCTGTAACTCTGCGGTTTTCGAGAATGGATCTCTCTCACGTTTAAGTTTAGCTCACCAAGTAGATCAGCCACTAGTTTTGTAACCATAGCAGTTGTGCAGAAGACAATGACCTTCAGGAGCCACAGAGTTGGTTAGAAAGTGAAAACATTAGTCACTGGGAAGATTCTTTTTGTACCTTATAGTCTACGTTATCCGCAATGTGTTCTCGGAGAAGTGTGTACAGAAGAGAGAAATGTCTGTCCAGTGATGCAATCATGTGCATTTGTTTGACCTGTTGATGCGTCTCTCCAGTGCCTTCGTGAACACAATTGACAAACTCGTGATCCCGCCTCAGAGCAATGAGGCATATTTGACGAACCTTTACACAGAAAAACATGAATCAAGACCAAGGGACTAAGGCAACAGAAACCAAAAGAAATATGCAAGAAACTGAGACAGACCTCTTCAGGTACTGTGGCGGAAAACAGAAAAGTTTGTCTCTCCTTAGGAACCGCAGAGATGATCCTTTCAATGTCCTTGCGAAAACCCATGTCTAAGAGATGATCAGCTTCATCAAGCACAAGGACCTTCACACCCTTTAACTTTGTCGCAAATCCTGGAGTGTTCTCAATATGGTCTTTGAGCCTTCCAGGTGTAGCCACTAAAATCTGAACATTTCGAATCACACTTTTCATATCAGAGACCCAAATAATGAAGGAACTTCAAGGATTTTCTAATTTTTTTATAAATAAGCCATAGCAAACAATATTCACCTGGCAGGGATTTGTTTGCATACGCTTTTGCTCTAAACCAAGTCTTGTGCCTCCAATCACAACTTGAACACCAATAGTTGGATGATACTTCAATAAGGTGTTTGCTTCTGTAGCAGCCTGAGTAGCAAGCTCTCTAGTTGGACATATCACAAGCGCAAGAATCGGAGGTCTCTTATTATCCGGGCTTGTAGGAGGAGACTTGACTACTACTTCAATTGATGGAAGCTTTGAAAAAAAAAATTGTCAACATTAAGCACAAGTTCCTATAGTAAGGTCCAATCAATCACTAAACGGCCAAACTTATTATACTCATGATATTGTCTCACCAAAAACGCCACAGTCTTCCCGGTTCCTGTTTTGGCCTTGGCCAGGACATCTTTACCTGTAAAAGAAAACAGAGAATACCAAAGATATAAAATGGAAGTCCTTGTAAAATAGAGGAAAGATTCACAAAGTTTCTGAGTTTTTCTTGCAAGTACCTTTGAGGATGATAGGAAGAGTAGCCTCCTGCACAACAGTCATTGTCTCATATCCAGCATCCTTGAGTGCGTTTAGCGATAAAGGAGACAGTGGATACTGATCAAACCTGTAGAGTAGAGTAGTAACCCTCAATCAATCAGCACCAAAGTGGTCAAAGTAAGTCACTTACAAAGAAGAAAAATCCAGACTTTGCAACAATGTTTACCTTGTCTTAGTCAAGTAAGAATCTGAAGCCTTTACAACGTTTCCACTCGTAGCCTTATCCGCTTCAATAACCTTCTCCTTATCAAACCCAAAAGCAGAAGTCGCTTTCTTCTTAAGAAACTCATAATCTTTGTCCTCGTCTTCATCTTCTTCACTAAGCAAATCTCCAATGCCTCCCATTACTAAACTCTTCACATCCTCATCACTACTTTCGTCCTCAAACAAATCTCTTCCCTTTCCTAAACCTTTGTAGTCTTCTCTATCTCTGTTTCTCCTAAACCCTGAATCTAAAATTGTCTCCTTCCTCCCACGAAAACTACTCTTTCCTTGAATCCGACCATTCAATCCACTTTCTCTATCCCTAAAGGAATCAACTTTGTTGCGAATTCCTCTCCTGTCTTGTTGTCTTCTTCCTCTGCTACTACGATCCTCGTCGGGACCCGAATCGTCATCATCGCTCGTGAGATGTACACGCAACGATCCAGGCCTCAAATCGCTGACCCAGTTACTGAGATCCTCCTCGTCTTCGATCAAGCTCTTTGATGCGCGGGTTTCTCCTCCATCTCGACTCCGCCGTTCGAATTCGGGTAGGTCTCTGTTCGGACGAGTAGAGAAGTTGATGACAGACCCGATTGAAAAGTAATTGGATCTAAAAGAGAATATCCGGGAGAGAACAGGGACGGAGCTAGAAGAACAATAACAAACTCGTGTGCAGGAATTCGAGGAAGCGAGATGAGTACCCGGAAGAGAATGAGTGAAGAATCGTGTACGGAGAGGGAACTTCCAAGGCATGACTTTAGCTGTTGTAAACGGAGTTCTAGTCTCCGGTGGCCGGAAAAAGTGGAGGCAAGTGAAAGGGTTTAGTGATTTGAGTGAAGACACACTCGAAACGACGACGTATCGTCATGTGCTGAAATGTGAAAACGGCACGACGTTTTCTTTCCGGACGCTTTGAACTTGTTGGAACGTACACACTGTTGAATCTGTAAACGTAAATATGGTTGGTTAGTGGAAATGGTAATTTACAAATTGTTTTGATTGTTGTATAATCTATAAAGGTTTACTGTTACCTAACTCTGTTGGCCATGTTTATTCATAATTCTGTATTTTAACTGAGTAACACGGTAAACCTGAAGGTCCTAAACTCACCCACCATTCATTCATTTAAGTGCAACTCGTATAATCATTCAGAATATCAATAGGGAGTGTTTGTTACTCAATCTCGATTTCTCCCTTTCTTTCTTCCAAAATATATGGCGAATTATGTGGAAATGCGTACTGTATAAGCTGCAGTTGCTAGCAGAAATTTAGAGAGGCAAAATTGTTGTTGGGGATAAACAATACAATGGGTTATATTACATATTTTGAGGCCCTTTAACAAAAAAAAAAACATATTTTGTCATCTAAGGATTTATATAAAAACTTATGCTAATTAACAAAACAGATGCATTACAAGTTTGAATGTAAGCTATAGATATAAATTATAACCAAAAATTTGAACGTAAGCTAGAGAATTTGCAATGAGACTACCTTACAACATACTATTTCATTATAATCACAAGACTTATGCATACTGCAACGTATCTTAAGATTCCAGACAATAACTTGTTACGAATAATTATGGACACTTGGCACTTGATATTTTGTTAAGGTCGAATATTTTATTTTCAATTAATAAGGTCAACCTGGTAGTTAAGAGTTTTAAATGTTAGCTAACTACATTTGAATTCCTTTACAGAAATATTTCTACAGAAACTTCTATAGTTGGAAATATATTTTGAATTTAATTCCATAGATTGTTAAATAAAATCTCCCAGATTTCCATAGGTTTTTAACTAATTTCTCCACAAACAGAAAGAGTTCCGAAATTGTAGCAGATTTATCTTTTTCTGAACTCTGTTCCATACCTAAAAGTTTAAAACTATATGGTACTGATATCGAATACCAATGAAACAGAAGGACGTTTCTGGAAAACAAAAAAAAACAAAAAGATTATTCCCGAGATTTTTTCGGGTTCCGTAAATGAAGGGGTATTACACGTGGCAGTCAACCAGGCTGTCAGTTGTTGGTTAAAGCAGACAAGCGCGTGACTTTAATATAATCTCTCTTCCCCGCGCCAACAACACTTTACCAAGACAAAAGCCTCTGTCTCTCAGACACATCCCTCATGGCGGTGCTCTGACTGCTGCTACAGCCTTTGATTATTTCTCTTTCCCTTTTCATTTATTTTAAATACTCAAAAATATTACTCTAATCACCTAATTAAAGATCATCAGTACAAATCACCAAGATTAATTAACGAATTAAATCTATCTGATTAAATCGGTGAAGAAGAGGCGCAAAGGTTTCGTCTTTTATCTTTCGCTTTTCTTTTTTTTTCCTTCTTCTTCTTCTGCCATTTCTTGTTTAAACCGATCTGGCTCTCTGTCATCTTCTTCGTTACGTCTCTATGAAATGCTCAAGCTGATTAGGGTTTATCAACTGTTTGTCCGTTTTCTTGTTATCGTCTTCGTTATCCTCTCCGTCTTGGCAAGTGAGTAAGGGTTTTTCACTCTTATCGTTATCCACTGAAATTAGTTGGTTGTTTGTTAGATCTATTTTTGGGTCAGACTGTTCTTGACAGCTAAATTTTGTTATTTGGATCAAACTATCCGTTTCTTGAATTCCGCCTTCTCTGTGATCGGATTTGTGCTGGGTTTTGGGTTTTGGACATGTGTTGTTGTGATCAGAAGGGGACCTTTATCGTTTAGTGATCCTTTTGATCATAGAGCCACTAAAAATGAGACCTTTTTTATCGGAGGAAAAATAAAATTATTAACTTTCTTCAATCTCCTTATTGTTTTCTCTTTCCTTTTATCCATTGCGTATCTCGTGCTTAGCTCTACCTTGTAATCTGTGATCCAAGACATTTGTTTCTGGTTCCGAGACTGACCTGTTTTCGTGTTTGAGAAAGTAAGACTTTGTGGTTGTATTTGATTGACATAATTTGGAATAGATGTCTCCTAAGTCTAGTATTTTCTTCTGTGAAATCAATTGACGAATTCTCTTACTTTGTGTGGCTGAAATATAATCTAGATTAGTAACATTTTGCTTATTTTGTCCTTTCTTTCTGACATAAATCTCACTGATTGCAGATTAGCAGCTGATCCCCACTAGAAGCTGTATTCAAAACCCTATAACAGTCAAATGTAAGTTTTCTTACTGAATTTGTTTTGTTGAGTCTTTATGTTCTTATTGGCTGCTTTTGATGTTCTAGTATCGCAAAAATGTAACAAATATGTTCTCTTGGCACTTCTTGTGTCTAGCATGAACCAAATATCTGATCTTGGAATCAGCAAAATGCGTCCTGAGAATACTTCAGTTGCTAATTATTGCTGGCTCATACAGATAATTACAACAAAAAATGGCTGCGGAGCTTGTAAGTTCTGCAACTAGTGAAAAGCTAACTGATGTGGACTGGGCCAAGAACATTGAGATCTGTGAAATAGCCGCTCGAGATGAAAGGTATGACGAGCTTTCTAATCTTCTAATAACGTTTAATCTCTTACATTATTCATCTGATATACATTAGTTCTTCTACGGTAAACAGGCAAGCCAAAGATGTTATCAAGGCTATAAAAAAACGGTTGGGAAGTAAGAACCCAAATAGTCAATTATATGCTGTCCAGGTATGTCCATAGTCTAGATTTATCTTTTACCATAAGGAGAATGTCATAACCTTTGAACATTTTGATAATTGGAAATGTTATTTTCTTTTTGCCTTCCAGTTGCTGGAGATGTTGATGAACAATATTGGAGAGAATATTCACAAGCAGGTGATAGATACCGGTCTTCTCCCGACACTTGTGAAGATAATAAAGAAAAAAGTATGTTTCATCTCTGTTTCTGGATGTTACTTCCCTACAGTTTTGAGAGTTAAGCTGCTTACTTTGGTTTGTATATTGCTTGTTCCATTAGTCGGACTTGCCTGTAAGAGAGAGGATTTTTCTCCTCCTTGATGCAACTCAAACCTCTCTTGGTGGCAATTCAGGGAAATTCCCTCAGTATTATACAGCATACTACGATTTGGTGGTGAGTTTGAAACAAGAACCATTCTTACTCTTCTTGAAGAAGCGAAACTAGATAAAACTGAGAGAGCTTTTCTTTTTTGTTATCCTCTGTTACCTCCAGAACGCAGGAGTTAAATTTCCTCAGAGACCAAATTCTACACCACCAGTTGTGGTCACCGCACAAGCTGTTCCGAGAAATACACTCAATGAACAACTTGCATCTGCTAGAAATGATGTGCCTCCAACTACTCAACAGCGAGAATCTCAAACTTCCTCTCCCTCTAGGTATCTTCTTCACCGCACATGTCATTTACAAAATGTTTACTTGATGTTAAGAGACCTTAATCTGTTTTGTCTCTTTTGCTTGTAGCATTTTGCAAAAGGCTAGTACTGCAATGGAAGTTTTGAAGGAAGTGCTTGACGCAGTTGATTCTCAAAATCCTGAGGTATACAATAGACTGATACCTCCACTTAAACAGACATTCTTTCTTTGGCTCCGTTGTTGATCCACATTTGTCCATTTAGGGGGCGAAAGATGAGTTTACTCTTGATCTTGTTGAGCAGTGTTCATTTCAGAAAGAGCGTGTGATGCACCTCGTCATGACATCAAGGCAAGTTTCTGTCTCTCTTGCTTTAGATGACATTTTCGAAAAGCGTTTTCCTTCTTCTCAAGTAGATGAGCCATTGTTTATGCAGGGATGAAAGAGCAGTTTCTCTAGCAATTGATTTGAATGAGCAGCTTCAGAGAGTTCTCAATAGACATGAAGGATTGCTGTCTGGTAAAATCACAGCGCCAGGCAGGTCTACCACGTCCAATGGTTATCATTCCAATCTTGAACCTGTCCGTCCTACTTCAAACGGTCACCGGAAAGTCGAGCTAAAGGCTTCAAATGCAAAAACTGAATCAAGCAGCTCCCATCTTAAGCTTGAGGAAGAAGATGAGGAAGAGGAGCCTGAGCAGTTATTCAGAAGGTCTATCCCCTTTACATTGCTCAGTCTCTTCCACATAAAGGTTCTTGGAATCTAAAAATGGTTATTCTTGCAGATTGAGAAAAGGGAAAGCTAGAGCAAGGCCTGAGGATGAAGAAGAGCCATCACCTCCACAAGGCTTACCTGGATCAGCAATCCATAGCGAAAGACTGCACCGTCCACTTATCCGTCCTTTACCATCAGAGGAGCGATCACGCGGTGGTGGTGATAGCAATTCGCAGTCCCCACCTGTTGTGATTCCACCACCACCTGCAAAACACGTTGAGAGGGAGAAATTCTTCAAGGAGAAGAAAGTGGACGGTGCCTCCGGTTTACCAGGTCATATGAGAGGCCTTTCTTTGCATAGCCGCGATGGAAGCAGCTCACGCAGTGGAAGCGTAGACTTCAGTGAGTGAAACTACCAAAGCTCTGTCTCATCGTAGATTATATGTATTCTTTTACCCTTGTTCTTTTTTAGGTATCGTTAATTTACACAAGGAGAGAGTTTGTGTTGTGTGTGTTGATGTTGTCTGTGTCTCTCTATCTCTAGTGTTGTGGAATTAGAATATAGCACCACGAGATCTGATTATGTATACGAAGAAAGGTACTTGTTGAACCTGAGCTATCATATTATATGCAGAGGTTGTTGTTCATTCTTGTGTAACGAAGCTGAATTTTGAAAATGCTATTTTGTATCATTCAATTGCATATAGATAAGTTGTTTCGAATTCACAAAACGAAAAGGTAAAAGGAGATTGAATATTAAGACAACAGAGTGAGAGTCCTCTCTATTAAGCTTTGGGAGGATCTTGGCAAGAATGTGCCTCTTTGAGATGCTTCTCATATTCATCTTCTTCCTCTTCCCCTTCTTCTTCTTCCTCTTCATCGACCTCGTCCTCCACATCTTCTTCATCTTCATCAAAGCCCCTGACGGCACTAGAGGACGGAGCTGGACTCCTTGCTTCTCCAACGATCTTCATTATGTCCTCTACGCTTTGAAGAGAGAAGCTCGGGTTGTCTCTCTTGTAGTAAGCCGCTTGAGCAGAATCTGTAAGCTCCTTTGGCAAGTTCTTCAAGTACCAAGGATGCTTCTTGATCTCTTTAAGCGTGATCCTCTGCATTAATCATTTACATTTCATCAAAAAGATTGATGATACATAGAAAGTGTTTGCACATAGAGAAAAGAGAAAGTACCTTAGCTGAGTTCGTGACAAAGATGCGAGAGAGAAGGTGTCTGCATTCTTGAGATATGTGGACGTAATCTGGAATTTTGTACTGAACAGCCATTATACGCTGCAGAACATTTTCACACAACACCATGAAACACTTAGGAGAAGATTTTGAGGTGGTTAGTGAGAAAAGTAGTTGAGAGATTGTGGAGTTAGTTGAATAATACTTGGATTGTTTTCCTGAAGTTTCTTGGATCATCAGGGTCTTCAAATGGATAACCACCAACCAACATCACATAAAGCGTCACACCGCAAGACCAAACATCCGCATGCTACATAACACACAACAACATTCACTAAACAGTTTCATTGACAAGTGAAAGTATAAGAATCAGAGTAATGTTACCTTTCCGTCATATTCTCTTCGAGAAAGGACTTCAGGTGCGATGTAAGCTGGAGTTCCAACAGTTGATTTAGGTCTTGAGTGAAGCAACGATGACTACACAACCAAACAGAAGACTCATTAGATCTCATCTAATCCAAGTGAAACAAAAGAAGGAAATGAGAGAGAGTAGTGAATGGACCTTGGAGTAACCAAAATCACAGATTTTCAGTAGCGGTGCAGGGCTACCATCAAGCAATGTGTTCTCAAGCTTCAGATCTCTATGACATATTTGCTGCAGGAAAAACAAGAAAAAGATTAAGCAAAAATGAAAACAAATAATTGAGTTTGTTATGTAAATAGTGAATACCAAGGAATGACAATAGTCCACGCCACAGATTAGCTGCTGAAAGAAGTATCTAGCCTGGAAGAAACACAGATCAAGAAAATGTTGAAAAATCGAACAAGAAGACTCCAAAGTTAGGATTTGGAGAAGAAAGATATATCAGACCTCAGCTTCACTGAATCTTCCAGCATTACAGATTCTTTCAAAGAGCTCTCCTCCAGAAGCATACTCCATTACAATTGCAAGATGAGTTGGTGTCAAAACCACCTTCAAAACCATTTTTGAAATTTACTCTGTTTTTTTTAAGTCCCTTAATGAGATTATGCACAAATCAACAAAAGAAGTTTTTACGAAACCTCCTTGAATCGGATGATATTTGGATGCCTAAGTGATCTGTGGTTGATAATCTCTCTCGCCACATTCTCATCTATCTGCAAATCCAACATATTCGAAATTTCCACTCAAGTTACTAAACCAACCAAAAAAAAAAACGAAAACTTTGAATGGTTATGAAGCAGAAAGAAACACAAAGAGAGAAAGATCAAAAACCTTGCGACCTCTCTCGATATATTTCATGGCAACGAGTTGTTTGGTCTCTTTGTGCCTAAGAAGACGAGCAACACCGAAGTTTCCAGCTCCCAAATCCTTGACAACCTCATACTTGTCCATCTCTTCTTCTTCCTTCAAATCAGTTTTAGTTTTTCTATGTGTTTATACTCTCTATATGTACGAGAGCAGGATCTAGCTTGTTGAGAAATCTGTCACACTTGGTGTAGTGGAGTTGGACTCAGTTTCAGAAAATAATGTGAATCTTATAACAGGTTGTTTCGTAGGGATCTGAGGTTGTCCACCACACTCACACACACACACACACACTCAAGTGTATGTATATCTATCGACTGAGGCACGTGGAGAGGTCGCTCGAGTTCCAATGAACAACTTCAATCCAACGGTCATTAATTTAACTTGTCCTTAATCCATCTCCTTAGATTAATATAATGTCTTGGTTATTACTCTCTCCGTTTTTTTAAGATAGATTTTCTAAACATTAGTTTGTTAAATTTTCTATTTTTTTTATACACTTTTTCAGTTTTCAAGAAACAATGATTGTATTTGTTAAATTTTTATTGGTTGAAAATTATAAAAAGTTGTTTTATTGTGATCGAAAATCTGCTTTTCCTCCTTAATATGTGTGAAAATTCTAGAAAATTTATAAAAAAAAACGAAGAGAGTAGTATTAGGCTCTCTTATTACTTGTGTTTGTAGTACGTACGATGCGGCATGGTCGAGGTCGGTTAAATAGAGACAAACCACCCATCCTTCCATTGATCATTTCGAGTAGTAATAAATACATTATTACAATATGCATCTGTTCATCAACCGACCATAACTAACTAGCCTAAGATACTAATTTATATAATTAAGTAATGACATTTGAAGCATCCAAACCGGCCATCACATGACCGACTTATTGGTTCATACTCATTCTTCATGTTCTAATAAATGTAGGTGTATCATATATATTAAGGTTTTGATGAAAATATTATAACCCATAACTCCATAAGATCCATCTCATCATGGGAATATGGTTTCCGTTACTATGGGCCAAGGTGTTGCCAACCACGTGGTGTTGCTAGTTGCTACATACTTTGTTATACATAAAGCCAAGAGAATGGTCAATAATTTACTTGTGGATAATATTGTTTTGTATTCATATAAAAGAAACTCTTAAATTTGTATGTGACTGGCCCTCTCTTCTTAACCATTTCCCCATGAATTAAGAAAATAATTTGTTTATTTTGTTTTGATAACTGATGTGGAGTTTCTATTTTAAGTAAAAAACCCAATGAACAAACAAATCTGCAGTCAACAGCTAACAAGTGCCATTAGAAACCATCTCACTTGGAGGCAGAGGCATTCCTCTTTTTTCCGCCGGGACTCTCATCAACATCAACCGCCGGGACTCTCATCACTTGGTTGTCAACATCAACCGCCGGGACTCTCATCGTGGACAGAGAGAGAGAGAGAGAGAGAAGCGAGGGTTTTGTTTTTCCTTTTTGTCGACCAAACTAAAAGAGACAAAAGACTTGAAAGACTTAAACGAGATCGGACGGTGCGATTATAAAATAATTTTATTAATCAAAATATTCGACGGTCCTTATTTATTTGGGTCCCATTTCGACCAAACTAAAACTTCATCTGCTAACTTTCGTTTGGTCGAAGACTTAAAGACTTAGACGAGATCGGACGGTCGTTATATATTTGGATCCCCATCTTAAATATTCGACGGTACTTATTTGTTTGGATCCCCATCTTGACCAAAACGCACCGCACTCCATATACATCATAAAACGACATCGTTGCAATGAAAATGTAATTTCATTTGAGAGCGGGTTGTTGCATAAAAATACCAATTTCACTGACTATCACTTCAAGCTCTCTATCTAAGCAAGCTGAAGAGATTGTTTCTTCTGTTATCTTTTCATAATCGCCTTTGCTAACTTTCTATTTTCTTTTCCATGGATCCATTTAACGTTAGAATCATCATGTTTATCTTCTTCCTTTTGCCTTCCCATTTCCAATACTAACTAATATGAATCATCATGTTTATCGTTTTTTAAAAGAAAATCGTACTTTGGTCTAGAATCAGATGATTCTATTTTATTCAAAATGTCATGAAATTCTCAGACTTTGATCGATTTAAGTTAAAATGTCTTGAATATGTTGGAAATTCCAAAGCTTGAAGAAGAAGCTACTATGATGAGAAAATGGAAATAAGCTATTTCTATGAAAAGTAAGAGTCATATATGAAATAGGAAGCCTATGTAAAATATGAGTTATATATGAAATAGGAATCATATTAGAAATAAAAGTTAATACTTTTCTTGTCATAGTTCATAATAGAAATAGGAGAAGCTATTTTCTATATAAAGGGTCTATATGGAGAGATGTTCCATAAGATTCAAGACAAAAGATAAGATTCAAGACAAAAGGTTTAGTTTTGAGAGAATTTCTAAATCAATAAAGAAAAGTTGTTCTTTATACTCTTGAAGTTATTCAGCTTGTTCGATTTCAGAATATAGACCATTCGGTGGAAAGAACTGGAACAAGATAGACAGAAATTGCAAAAGGAAAAACAAGTGAAACGAATGTTCCAAAATCACGGATTGCAAACCTGGTTTGCAGTCTCTTGAGCAATTTTTTATTTCCCCCTGTTTTTCTATGTAACTCTTACCTCTTATCTCTCGCATCTACTTTCAGCCACAAAAGTAGCACTCGTTGTACAAAAACGTTGTTTTTTTTTCCCGAATTAATTTAACATTCAATTCGAAAAAAGAAAAAAAAAAGAATGTTCCAAAATCCATATTTTCTATTTCCCTTTTTCTCATTATTGATTGTTATTCAAACTCTTGTTCTCACCTCTTTTGTACTCATATAAAGATGCAAAAACATTACAGGAGAGAGGGTGAAGAATCCAAAACAACATACCAACAAACAAATTTGCAGTCAAGTCATGGTCATGGTCATCATGTGCCTGCTTCATGATGACTGAAGGCTGCACATTGATTTGCTTCTTGAAAATCGCAGAGATTGTGCCTGCTTGAAGGTTTAACACATGTTAGAACGCATGACTCTATCACAAAAATATAGAGCGAATAAAACTATCAACGATTGATGTCAGGACCACTCTTGTTACCGCTACTGCTAATTATTAAGCCATAGCCTTTTGCGCATGCATTGACGCTCTGTTGACACCCATTTCGGGTTCACATCCTGAAGATTGTATAAAAATTATGCAGAAAATAAGCTTTAACATTCAAAAGACGACACAAAAATCTTCAAACTTGTTAATTTTTTTTTACATCACATCATTTGGTGTGGTTAAAGATTTTCTTTGCTGAATCCATAGGAACAAGATACTACTAACCTGAACATTTACCGAGGACGGAGGAGAATATAAACATCTTTTAGAGCCTCTGAAACCCTGCAGTAACATAGTATAAAAACATTGACATTAAAAAGCTGCAACATTCTTATGAGTCGAAGCTGCAACGTGGCCGTACAGTTTTACTACCTCCACATATCACGTTCTAATAGAAAACAAGCAAGAAACAGAAATATTAGTTAAAGAGCCAAAGGTCATGTGTGTGTTGAACTCTTTACAAGAGGACCTAACCTTATGCTCTTCTCCAACAGAGAGATTCCACAGTACACCAGCAGCTTCTTCATAGACTTCGCCAAACCAGCAAGAACACTGATCCCTCCTTCTTCAGCAACAGCTTTTGCAACTTTAGCATTTACCGACAAGTTGCCTTTGCAGCTTCTGATTGAAGACCTTCTCGCCAAGATTTAGCAAGTTCCAGAAGAAGTCTGATCCCTCCATCTCGCATAACCGCTTCGGCTCTTCCACAGTCTATACTAGCATTCTCATCATCGACAACAATGAACCTCTAAACTTTTATCCTCTTCGAGAACACAAAAATTTTAAGCTCTGCGATGATTTCATCAACCAGGACACTGCAATATGGTCAATGCTGGTTCTCGAGACATCCAAAGCCGTTAGCTTGGGCAGCTTCTCCCAGTTATCCGTTGCAACTTTCCAGTTCATGTTTGTTGTCCCTGCAACAGAGAGGTAACGAACAGATACCACCTTTCCAAGTGCTTCTTCGTTGATGATCAGCCCATCCAATAATATTTGAGTGATGGTGATGAAATAAAGATAACAAGAGACCACAACAACACTTGTTTTCCTTTCTGTATTTCACACCCCTGGTCATTGATATTTTTAAGCTCCAGTTTTTCCGCGCAGATTACAGATTCACTATGTAATTAATCTTTGTTTAGGGTTCAGATTGCAGATTCAAGTTCTTGTTTTCTTGTTCTGGTGTAGGTTCAAATTTTACTCTGTTTCTTAAGTCCCTTGATCTCTGTTTTAAATGCTCCTAAGATTATGCACAAATCAACAAAAGAAGTTTCTATGAGACCTCCTTGAATCGGATGATATTTGGATGCCTAAGTGATCTGTGGTTGATAATCTCTCTCGCCACATTCTCATCTATCTGCAAATCCAACATATCAAACCATCATTTGTTTCGAAGATTTTCTACCAATCAAAAGAGAATGGTCAATAATGCCCACAAGATTTTCAAATTCCCACAAGTTAATTTTTCTCATACCCATTAGCTAACTCAAAGAGCTTTGGTATTGGTACAAGCGTTTAAGTCTCTAGAAGGAAAAGCTTTGCCAAGATCAGTGAAATATGAAAAAGGCTTAAACCCTTTTTGACAGTTTCTGGTTCCATTGATGGCAGAGGAGATTTAGTAATGGGTAAATCTCTAAGAGATGATAGAAAGTATTCCTCCCATGGTGCCAAAACCAATATGCCTTCTCCTTCCTTTCCTCTTCGCCCTGTTCTACCGAGTCTGTGTATATATTGTTCTATGTACAAATGAATGAATGTTACTATCAAATCTCATGTAAAGAAGCAAAAACATTACAGGAGAATAAGGCATGTGACATATGCACAAATGAATGAATCTATCTATTAAATCCAATGAACAAACAAACTTGCGAGTCTAGTCATGGTCATCATCAGTCTACCATATTGTATCATCACATGCAGCTTCTTTGTCACCAACTTTTCTTACGGAAGTGGCCTAGCGCTGAAGTTACTGCTAAAGGGAGTAAAATTCTGTCCCAAAAGTAAAAAGGTCAGAGGTATATGGTGCGACTGCCTTAGCAGGATCAGTCTTTCCCTGAATAAGGGATTGATGTGTTTGAGGGCAGAATTTGCAGCCGTGTTCTTGCATTGCTTGGAACATCTCAGAATATGCGTCTGCGTCTACATGCTCATCCTTGAGCAAACCATCGATGAGAATTTTCCAAGCTATTTCATCATCGAAGTAGTAGCCACACCGAAGCAGCTTCTTGAAAACTGATCGTCCTCTCTCTTTTGCTCCTCCTCGGTACAGGTTGAGAATCACCCTCTTGCAATACTCTAGCTCCGGTGACTGGCCACAGCAAATCATGTTTTCAACCACCTTTGCAGCTTCCTCGTACTTTTGCAGCTTGCAGCAACAGCCAACAAGTGCATTAGAGACCATCTCACTTGGAGGCAGAGGCATTCCTCTTTTCTCCATCTCCTCCAACAGTCTCTGTGCTATCCCCAAGTTCCCGACTTCACACATGCCTAATATGAGCTTCTCGTAGCAATCTGCATCAGGGGTGTTACACCCATGTTGTACCATTTTCTCGAAAAGCTGGACAATGACATCAAACTCCATCATCTTCCACGCAACACCTGATGCGAGATGTTTGATCAAGGCCAAAAAAATATGGTGGGAAGGCTCACAGGAAGCATCAGACATGCGCTTCAGGACATGAAACGCAGAGCATGTCATCCCTAGATGTCCATAAGCTTTGATCAGTAACGTGTAAGTCACGACATCCGGAGGAACACCATCAGCTTTCATCTTCACCATCATATCCTCTGCTTCTTGCACCCTCTCTGCGCTACAATACGCCTCCACAAAAGCATTGTAAGTCTGTGCATCGGGCTTGGCATCGGACGACAGCATGTCGTTGAAACATGCACGGGCCTCATCAAAACCCCCTTCTTTTAGCATTTGCCTGATCAAGATTGTCCGTGTACAGACTGTAGGCTCTAGACCCATCCCGACCATCTTCTCCACCATTGACAAGGCTTCTTCCAAACCCCCTTCATCGCATAACCCACGTATCAAGGCAGTGAAAGTAGACGAGTCCGGAGGGAAGCAGCAACCGTCGCTCTCCATTTCCTCGAACAAAACGCGAGCATGGTCCATCTTCCCGGCTTTGCAGTAACCATGAATCAGAAAACTGTACATGGCTTCATTCCTCTTCCTAAGAGCAAGGGAGTCGAAGAGGACACGTGCTTCTTCCACACGCTTACTTCGACACAGGAAGTCTATGATACTCCCGTGAGTATTTTTGTTTGGAATATAATCCATCAGACCAAGCAGTCTATACGCGGTATCGAAATTACCAGACCTGCACTGTCCAGCGATCAACATGTTGAACGTGTCTAGACTTGGAAATAAAGGACGGTCTAGCATGTCAGGGAGGAGTCTCATTGCCTTGTGCACATTCTTCTTACAAAGCCCTTTGATGAGTACGTCGTACGTATCAGCTGTGGGGTCGATGCAATCATCATCTTTCATTCTCGCATACAAGCTCAGAGCTTCATCTGGCTTGCCACCATCACAAAGAAGTTTGATAAGGTGGCTGTATGTAACAAAGTTTCTACTACAAGGCACGTCGTCTAAAACCTGAAAAGCAGAGTCCAAATCCTTTCTTTTACAGTAACCAAGCAGAGGCATTCCTCTTTTTTCCATCTGGTCCAAGAGTCCCTGTGCTATCCCCAAGTTGTCGACTTCACAAGTGCCAAATATGAGCTTCTCGTAGCAATTTGCATCAGGGGTACACTCATGCTCTACCATTTTTTTGAAAAGCTGGACAAGGACATCAAACTCCAACATCTTCCACATAATACATTTCGTTTCACCAACTTTCCCTGCAGCGAGATGTTTGATCAAGGACAAAAAAGTGTGGTGGGAAGGCTCAGAGTCAGCATCAGACATGCGCTTTAGGACATGAAAGGCAGAGCAGGTCATCCCTAGATGTGCATAAGCTTTGATCAGTAACGTGTAAGTGAAGAAATCCGGAGGAACACCATGAGCTTTCATCTTCACCATCATATCCTCTGCTTCTTGCACCCTCCCTGCGCTACAATACGCCTCGACAAAAGCGTTGTAAGTTTGCGCATCGGGCTTCTCTCCAGAGGACGACGACGACAACATGTCGTTGAAACATGAACGGGCCTCATCAAAAGCCCCTTGCTTTAGCATTTGCCTGATGAGGATGGTGCGTGTACAGACTCTAGGCTGTAGGCCCATCCTGACCATGTTATCCACCATTGACAAGGCTTCTTTCAAGTTCCCATCATTGCATAGCCCATGTATCAAGGCAGTAAAAGTATACGAGTCCGGCGGGAAGCAATCGAACAAAAAGCGAGCATGGTCCAGTTTCCCGGTTTTGCAGTAACCATGAATCAGAAAACCTATGATACAGCTGTGAGTCTGTCGGTGTTGAAAACAATCCGTCAAACCAAGCAGTCTGTAGGCGTTATCAAAATTACCAGACCTGCCCTGTCCAGACCTGAACAAGTTGTAGGTGACTAGACTCGGAGCAAAACCGCGGTCTCGCATCTCAGGGAGGAGTCTCATTGCCTTCTTCTTACAATCATCACCATCTTTCATCCCCGAAAACAAGCTCAGAGCTTCATCTATCCTGCCAGCATCACAAAGACCGTGAATAAGGGGGTTGTAGGAAACCACGTTTCTACTCCAAGGCATGTCCTTAAAAGTAGACTCCACATCCACTCTTTTAAAGTAACCCAGGACGAAAGCTGCGAGATAATCAACACCCAACCCAGCCTGAATTTTCTTACACACATACTGCCTCGCTTCTACTACATAGCCAATCTTACAATACCCATAAATCAGGAGATTATACGTGTAGTCTCTAGGTGAAACCCTACGCTCCAACATATCTGTGTAGAGGCACTTCATTTCGCCGACCAGCCCATGCGTGGACAATCGCAGCAACAGAGAGTTATAGGATTTGCGAGTAAGCCTGTTTCTATACCCTTTCCAGAAATCAACAAGAAACAAACAATCTTGCACCGATCCGCACCTGTACATCATGCATGTGAGGGCCTTATTCAAGTGAAACGGAACCTCTTGTGTCGTTAAATCTTTCAGAACGGATGCATAGAAAGAGACACTGTGTCCGAAATCTCCATCCAGCTCCGCGTCCAAGGGGCTTTCGGAAGACGTTATATACGAGATGAAGTCGTTGAGGTGTCTTCTCCTCCGCCAATAGTCTTCTAGGTCAATCACAGGCAGGATCTCGAAATCGAACTCGCCAGCTGCGGAGGAGGAGAAAGGCCTCCGAATCACTCTCATAGCCGCTGCCGCTGCTGCCGCCGCCGGGACTCTCATCGTGAGTGGTTCTTTTTCTTTTCTTCGACCAAACTAAAGCTTCATCCCTAGTTTCATTTGGTCAAAGAGTTAAATATTCTCTTTTTGTTATCAAAAATATTCCATGGGTTTTTTTTTAACTAAAACGCCACCGCACTTGGTATATCATGATAATATTTGAGCGGTGGTGATGAAATAAAGATAACAAGTGCCCACAACAACACTTGTTTTCACTATTTTACACCCATAGTTTCCTTTCTTTATTTCAACCCCCTACCCCGGTCATTGATATTTTTAAGCTCCGATTTTTCCGCTCAGATTACAGATTCACTAAGTAATTTATCTCTGTTTAGGGTTCAGATTGCAGATTCAAGTTCTGGTGTAGGTTTTATTCAGACAGAAAAGGAAGCAGAGAAGCTATATGTGTAGTGAATGATCCAATGAGCAAATCTTATAAACTCTCTTTACCTTCAGCACTAAAACCTGGTAACAATCTCTTGGCTGGAAACAGATTCAGATACACTGATGCTTCCAAACTTAGCAACAACAAGTCCAAATCTCGCAAGCTCTCATGGTACAGAACAGTTCTTGATTCAGGAAGTGAGATAGTCTTGAAATGGAACTGGGTCTTCATTGTCTCCTGTATGGTTGCTCTCTTAATCGACCCTTTGTACTTGTTCGTGCCAACCATTGGAGGGAACGTAGCTTATCCCTGCGCAAGAACCGACACGAGTTTGAGAATCCTCGTTACCTTCTTCAGAACAGTTTTTCTAGTACACTAACCTAAGCAGAGAAAGATTCTTACAGAGACCCATTAATCATTTTTCTTCTAACAACCATCACCCAATAATTAGAATAACAAGCTTTTCAGAGCCAGACCTTGCTGTTGGTATCAGGAGCGAACTTGTCAGCAACCACAACATCCGTTGGCAACAAAAGAGAGACTCCCTTGGCCTTAGCTTTGGCAAGGAGAGCTGTATCCAATTCAAGTTTGTCTTCTTCAACAAGGGACGAGCCAACTGAAAGACCTTGTGCTTTGTAGAATGTAAAGAACATTTCACCACCAAGAAGAAGGATATCACACTTCTCAAGAAGCGACTCAATAACTCCAATCTTGGACGAGACCTTGGAGCCACCAACGATGGCTGCAAATGGTCTCTTTCGGTTTGAAACAGCGCCCACAAGGTAGTCTAGCTCCTGTAAATGTCCCATTTGTAGCAACGGTGCTCTAATCCTGAATCGACAATCAAAGCAAGGAAGAATCTCTTTCAAAACATCAACCAGCAACTGAAGGCTTCAAGAACTTTGTGACTCCCTCAGTAGAAGCGTTGGCTCTGTGAGCATTTCCGAAAGCATCGTTGACATAGAGATCAGCTAGCGAAGCAAGCTTCTTAGCAAACTCAGGATCCTTCTTCTCGTCCTCCTTGTAAAATCTCACATTCTCAAGAAGCAGAGCTCCACCGCAGCCACTAAGTAATAGTGGCTGAATTAATGACAAAGACACGAGAGAGAAGGTGCCTGCACTCCTGGTATATGTGGACGTAATCCGGGATCTTGTACTGGACAGCCATTATACGCTGCACGACAATACTTACACAAGACCATAAACACACACTTGATAGAATAATTTGAAAGTAACTGAAATTGTGGAGGTAGTTAATAAGAATACCCTACTTGGATTGTTTTCCTCAAGTTTCTGGGATCATCAGGGTCTTCAAACTCCGACCAACACCACATAAAGAGTCACACCGCAAGACCAAACATCCGCATGCTACATAACACACAACAACAATCACCAAATAGTTCCATTTACAAGTGAAACATAAGGAAGTTGAAGACATGAGTTATGTTGTTACCTTTCCGTCATATTATCTTCGAGAAAGAACTTCAGTTGCGATGTCAGCTGGTGTTCCGACAGTTGATTTAGGTCTAGAATGAAGCATAGATGACTACACAACGGAGATGAAAAGTTATTACATCTCATTTAATCCATGTGACGTGATGATGGGGCAGAAAACAAAACTGAAACAAATGAGAGTAGCGAATGGACCTTGGAGTAACCAAAATCACAGATTTTCAATAGCTGTGCCATCGAGCAATGTGTTCTCAAGCTTCAGATCTCTGTGACATATTTGCTGCATGGAAAAAAACAAAGAAAAAATATTATGCAAAAATGAAACCAAACATCTCTCCTTTTCACCTTCATAAGATTTGGTTCTGTTACCAAGGAATGACAATAATCTGTTACCGAAGATTCCAATTACAGCAATAGAATCTCCAGGACACCCTAGAATTGCAGATTCAGTGTGAGGCAAAGACTCTGGTAACGGAGCTAAACCGTGAGCTGGTGTCACACAGTACTCATCCATCCCTCCCATACTGTACATATACACTGGTGAATCTGCCAGAAATTGAGAAAAATATGTAATTTGCCACCTACGGTTTAACAAAAACTTGATCAAGATTCAACATTTACCATCATGCCGCAAAAACAGACGAGTTTCTCCATCATAAAGAGTTCCTTTAGCTCTATTAAAAGCAAAGAAGTCTTCACATAAATCATCATGGCCCTGTATGCAAGCAAGCATCAGCCAAACACTATACACTCCCAGATTTGAGAATCAAATGAAAGCAATACAATTTCTTCCTCACCTTAGCACAATAGGTACAAGTTCCACATGGCATAATGAAAGCTCCAACTACACGAGACCCAACTGGAAATCTGATAAAGAAAAGCTGAGACATTCAAGATTATAATCAAAACACATGTTGGAGCCAGAACCACCTTCAGTAATCATTTTAAATTTTACTCCCAGTTTAAATCATGTTCGTTAGCTTGGGCAGCTTCTCCCAGTTATCCGTTGCAACTTTCCAGTTCATGTTTGTTGTCCCTGCAACAGAGAGGTAACGAACAGATACCACCTTTCCAAGTGCTTCTTCGTTGATGATCAGCCCATCCAATAATATTTGAGTGATGGTGATGAAATAAAGATAACAAGAGACCACAACAACACTTGTTTTCCTTTCTGTATTTCACACCCCTGGTCATTGATATTTTTAAGCTCCAGTTTTTCCGCGCAGATTACAGATTCACTATGTAATTAATCTTTGTTTAGGGTTCAGATTGCAGATTCAAGTTCTTGTTTTCTTGTTCTGGTGTAGGTTCAAATTTTACTCTGTTTCTTAAGTCCCTTGATCTCTGTTTTAAATGCTCCTAAGATTATGCACAAATCAACAAAAGAAGTTTCTATGAGACCTCCTTGAATCGGATGATATTTGGATGCCTAAGTGATCTGTGGTTGATAATCTCTCTCGCCACATTCTCATCTATCTGCAAATCCAACATATCAAACCATCATTTGTTTCGAAGATTTTCTACCAATCAAAAGAGAATGGTCAATAATGCCCACAAGATTTTCAAATTCCCACAAGTTAATTTTTCTCATACCCATTAGCTAACTCAAAGAGCTTTGGTATTGGTACAAGCGTTTAAGTCTCTAGAAGGAAAAGCTTTGCCAAGATCAGTGAAATATGAAAAAGGCTTAAACCCTTTTTGACAGTTTCTGGTTCCATTGATGGCAGAGGAGATTTAGTAATGGGTAAATCTCTAAGAGATGATAGAAAGTATTCCTCCCATGGTGCCAAAACCAATATGCCTTCTCCTTCCTTTCCTCTTCGCCCTGTTCTACCGAGTCTGTGTATATATTGTTCTATGTACAAATGAATGAATGTTACTATCAAATCTCATGTAAAGAAGCAAAAACATTACAGGAGAATAAGGCATGTGACATATGCACAAATGAATGAATCTATCTATTAAATCCAATGAACAAACAAACTTGCGAGTCTAGTCATGGTCATCATCAGTCTACCATATTGTATCATCACATGCAGCTTCTTTGTCACCAACTTTTCTTACGGAAGTGGCCTAGCGCTGAAGTTACTGCTAAAGGGAGTAAAATTCTGTCCCAAAAGTAAAAAGGTCAGAGGTATATGGTGCGACTGCCTTAGCAGGATCAGTCTTTCCCTGAATAAGGGATTGATGTGTTTGAGGGCAGAATTTGCAGCCGTGTTCTTGCATTGCTTGGAACATCTCAGAATATGCGTCTGCGTCTACATGCTCATCCTTGAGCAAACCATCGATGAGAATTTTCCAAGCTATTTCATCATCGAAGTAGTAGCCACACCGAAGCAGCTTCTTGAAAACTGATCGTCCTCTCTCTTTTGCTCCTCCTCGGTACAGGTTGAGAATCACCCTCTTGCAATACTCTAGCTCCGGTGACTGGCCACAGCAAATCATGTTTTCAACCACCTTTGCAGCTTCCTCGTACTTTTGCAGCTTGCAGCAACAGCCAACAAGTGCATTAGAGACCATCTCACTTGGAGGCAGAGGCATTCCTCTTTTCTCCATCTCCTCCAACAGTCTCTGTGCTATCCCCAAGTTCCCGACTTCACACATGCCTAATATGAGCTTCTCGTAGCAATCTGCATCAGGGGTGTTACACCCATGTTGTACCATTTTCTCGAAAAGCTGGACAATGACATCAAACTCCATCATCTTCCACGCAACACCTGATGCGAGATGTTTGATCAAGGCCAAAAAAATATGGTGGGAAGGCTCACAGGAAGCATCAGACATGCGCTTCAGGACATGAAACGCAGAGCATGTCATCCCTAGATGTCCATAAGCTTTGATCAGTAACGTGTAAGTCACGACATCCGGAGGAACACCATCAGCTTTCATCTTCACCATCATATCCTCTGCTTCTTGCACCCTCTCTGCGCTACAATACGCCTCCACAAAAGCATTGTAAGTCTGTGCATCGGGCTTGGCATCGGACGACAGCATGTCGTTGAAACATGCACGGGCCTCATCAAAACCCCCTTCTTTTAGCATTTGCCTGATCAAGATTGTCCGTGTACAGACTGTAGGCTCTAGACCCATCCCGACCATCTTCTCCACCATTGACAAGGCTTCTTCCAAACCCCCTTCATCGCATAACCCACGTATCAAGGCAGTGAAAGTAGACGAGTCCGGAGGGAAGCAGCAACCGTCGCTCTCCATTTCCTCGAACAAAACGCGAGCATGGTCCATCTTCCCGGCTTTGCAGTAACCATGAATCAGAAAACTGTACATGGCTTCATTCCTCTTCCTAAGAGCAAGGGAGTCGAAGAGGACACGTGCTTCTTCCACACGCTTACTTCGACACAGGAAGTCTATGATACTCCCGTGAGTATTTTTGTTTGGAATGTAATCCATCAAACCAAGCAGTCTATACGCGGTATCGAAATTACCAGACCTGCACTGTCCAGCGATCAACATGTTGAACGTGTCTAGACTTGGAAACAAAGGGCGGTCTAGCATGTCAGGGAGGAGTCTCATTGCCTTGTGCACATTCTTCTCACAAAGCCCTTGGATGAGTACGTTGTACGTATCAGCTGTGGGGTCGATGCAATCATCATCTTTCATCCTCGCAAACAAGCTCAGAGCTTCATCTGGCTTGCCACCATCACAAAGAAGTTTGATAAGGTAGCTGTAGGTATCAAAGTTTCTACTACAAGGCACGTCGTCTAAAAACTGAAAAGCAGAGTCCAAATCCTTTCTTTTACAGTAACCAAGGACGAAACATGTACCGGCGTGATCATCAAGAACCATACCAGCTTTAATCATCTTACACACATACTGCATCGCTTCTTCTACATATCCAGACGTACAATACCCATCAATCATGATACTATATGTGTGGTCTCTAGGTGAAACCCTAAGCTCCAACATTTGTGTATAGAGGCACTTCATTTCGCCGGCCAGCCCAAAATCCGCCAGTTGATAAAGCAGAGTCTCATAGCATTTGCGAGTAAGCCTGTATTGAATTTGGTGGCTATACGCTTCTCTGTACTGCCTCCAGAAATCAACAACAAACAAAGAATCTTGCACCGATTTGCACTTGTATGTCATGTTGTCGATGGCCTTACGCAACTTAAATGTAATCCCACGTGTGGTTAAGTCTTTGACGACGGATGCATAGCAATAGATACTGTCTCTGAAATCCTGATCCAGCTCCCTCAAGTAGGTGAATTTGGGAATCCTTATATACTTGAGGAAGGACTCGAGTTTTTTTCTACTCCGCCGTCTGCTTTTCTCCAATTCGCGAGATGCGGAGGTGAAAGGCCTCCGAATGACTGCCATGGCCGCCGCCACCGCCTGGACTCTCATCGTCGAGAGAGAAAGAGAGAGATTGAGAGGGTTTATTTTCCCTTTTACGACCAAACTAAGGTGATGATTGGTTCTCCCGCTACCACCCGCAAACGCAGCGTTTGCGGTTCGTAGCGGTTCTTAGCGTTTTATAACAATCACGACAACCGCTTTCAACCGCTCTATACCACTCTGTACCGCTCTATATCGCTGAAAATCAAAAGCTCCTTTCCGCAAGCGTTTGCGGTTGCGGGCGGTTGCGGTTTGAAAAAAAAAAAAAAAAAACATAATATCTCCAAATTTGGAATAAGGGTATATTTTTTTGAAAAATACCATAATTATGTTTAAAAATTTCGAAAATACCCTAAATTTTTTCTGTTTTGAAAAATACACTTTTAAAATGTAAAAAGTATGTTTTGACGTGATTTAAACAAAAAAATAATAAATAATTACAAATTATAAACGAAAATTTAAAAAAATAATAAACTAATAAGTTTTTTTTCAAATAAATATAGTATATGTTAAACTGAAACAAATTTTAATATTTTGGATCTTTATATAAACAACTTAACCTCATACACATTCAAACCAAATGAAACTTTAAATAAATTAAAACTTTACATATATTTAAAGTTTATAAATTATTAAAAATTTAAAAGTGGAGAAATATATCTTTCATTTTTAATGTTTATCTTTTGAAAAATTTAAATATTTTTGAAACTTTGCATAAACAACTTTAATCTCACCCCATTTAAACTTTATATAAACAATCTTATATTTTTATTAAATTGTTTAAAAAAAACTAAACAGGTAATTAGGATGTTAAAATGATACAAAATTATTATCAAATATTAATATTTTATATTTCTTATTTGAATTTCGTTTTTATTAAATTAGGAATAATCATTTTACATATAAAAAGTGTATTTTTCAAAACCAAAAAAAAGGGTAGTTTTCAAATTAAAAATTCATCAAAAAATATATTTCAAAAAAAAAATTATTAATATGGTTATAAATGTTTTGAATAATTATATATTATTTTTATTTTAGTAACTTTTGGTTAAACCGCTCTTGCACCCGCTGGCTAACCAGTCAAAAATATCCCGCAAACGCAACCGCTATGAATTGCTATACCAGTCGTACAAACAGCTTTTAATCGCAAACTCCCGCTTCCGCAAACTCCCGCAGCCGCAAACTCCCGCAACCGCAACCGCAGCGGTTAAACCAGTCAGACCCTAAAACGAGATAAGTACTTAAACGAGATCAAAATATTCGACGGTCCACGTATTATATTAATCTTTTTCTCACTATTGATTGGTATTCAAACTTTTGTTCTTATCTCTATTGTACTCATGCAAAGAAGCACAAAATATTACAGGAGATGGTGAAGAATCCAAAACAAACATAAAAGGCATATATCTAAAACATAAAAGGCATATATCTATGTACAAATGAATGAATCTATCTATCAATCCAATGAACAAATTTTGCTGTCAAGTCATGGTCATGGTCATCATCAGTCTACCATCTTGTATCATCAGTCATCACATGCAGCTTCTTTGTCATCAAGTCCCCAAATCCGAATGGTTCGATCGTCGCTCGCTGAGGCCAACATATGAATATCAGTCGGGTTCCAACTCACACAGTTCACAGCTCCCGAGTGTCCTGACAGCACACGACAAGGTTCCCCTCCTGATCTCCATATGTACACCTGCCATTTGCAACAACAACAATAACACAGACACATCATCACCACCGGAAGATAACTTCTCTTCTTCTCTCTATCTCTGTTTCTTAACAATGTAAACAAAGAATACCTGAGAATCCTCACTCCCACTGGCGACGAAAGTTTCTCCATAGCCACCAAAGCAAGACCTGATGATAAAACGACTGCGCTTGTGGCCTTCTAGTTTCAGATACCTGAATGGTTCGCCTTCAATGCTCCAGGCATGGATCTTCTGCGTGATGAGATCGATAAGAAGATGCTTGTTGTCTCTCGAAAGCGAGAAGGAGGTAATCATGTCCTTCTCTTGAATCACTTTCTCAACTCTGCCGGTTTCTCTGTTAAAAAATGAGATCTCACGCTGCTCTCTGCCCACGCTTATTACCCACTTCCCATCACTAGTCATGGCTACATCAGACACCATCTGTGCCCGTTTCTCTTGCTCTTGCTCTTGCTGTATCTCAGTCCCATCTAAATTCCACAGATAGATGCGTCTGTCGTCCATTGCACCAACTATACCTGAGCCATCATAAAACCATCCACAAGAAACAGAACCAACACCATCTTTCTCATACGACTGAACAAAGTCCCCTGAACCAACATCCCACCGCTTGATAACCTCATTCTCTCCGCATGTAATCACTTGTCCATCATCAGGACTCCACAATACTGCTACCACAGGACTCTCATGCCCTTCAAGTTTATGCTTCATCAAAAACTTCCCCTCTGCATTCATCTGAAAGCAAAAAAGCACATCTCTAAGTGAAGAAGAAGCCAAGTATTTGGAAGCAAGCCACAGTTGGTTTCACGTACCTCCCATATGATTGCTGAGTGATCCTTGGAAGAAGAAGCCAAGTACTTGCCATCATGTGAGAACTTCAAGAACCAGACTTCATCGCTATGCCCCTCCAATATCTGCAACCATTCACATACACATAACTCAATGGATTCAGAACACTAAACAGCTACTTATCCAAAGACTATAGATTGGTGCATAGTCTAGTCTTATTACCTGTACAGTCTCGGAAGGTATTTTACGTTTCCCACATTGATGTTTGGAGAAGAGAGACAGATCACTATCCACAACATTATGGTGAAAACAGTACTTCCGCTCAAGATCAATGTGATTCTCCAAGAAATACTCCAACATCCTCTCTGGGACTATGACTGCAGGAGGAAACAAGCTTTGCAGTCTCTCCACAAGCCTCACACTTTCTGCATCTTCAACAGAAGCTGATATAACTTCGGATGCGAGCTCGTGGATTCGCTTCTTGTTAACAGCAAGAGGCTCCATCTCGTCCCTTAAGGTTCTCAGAGCACCAGCAACGTTATCTGTCTTGAGAAACTCAAAGAACTTTTGCTCTAGTAGCAAGAATCTCACAGCCTTTTCATCACGCAGCTCAAATCCCTGCAATGCATCAATGCTCTTGTCCCATTTTCCATGCTTGACTAGCTCCAGAAACTGCTTAGCGATGGAGCTATGAAGAGGAGTCTTGGACTCGTTCTCTAGACGAGCCGCAATGTCCGCAAATCCAAGTGAGGAAAGTGCATCGATGAGTATCCTAATGAACTCAGACTTTTTGACGAGACCTTTTGAGCCTATTGTCTCCATTGCTTCACTATCACCCAAATCTTTCATCCTGCAGAGACGAAACAACAAAAGCTTGACCTTGCGATATACATAAAGAGGCACCAAGGATTTCAATTCTTCTGGAATCTAAAAGCAATCTAATTTCCGAGGCTATCACAGAATCAATCTAATTTCCGAGGTCAAAATTGCAGTGAGCTTCTGAAGCAACCGAACAATTCGGAAGAACACCAACGTAACAGTAATCGAAAGAAACCTCATTTCGCGAAATCATCAAAAAGACCAGATTTTTACAAAAGAAGAAGCGATTTGGCTACGGTGAACAAAGAAGTTGCGAAATAGAAAGAAATTGAGAGGGTTCGGATTCAATTATACCAAGGAAGAAGCAAAGCCCAGCAAGAAATCGATCGGATTTAGCGAGCGCAGAGTAGACTCTAGAGAGAGAAACGGAAACGCGAGAATCGGAACGAATAGGAGGAGCCCAAATCTGGGAAATGAGCGAGAGACGTGCAAGAGAAGAGAAGGCTACTTAAAGGAAAGAGGAGGAAGAAGAAGAAGAAGAGAATCCGAAGTTGAGAGTTGATGAGAATTTCACTCAATTTCGTATTTATATTTTCTTTTGGCGCTGTGCTTGTTTTGCTCTGTGACTCAAAGCTATGATTATAGTCACTAATTCGAGGGTTAAATATGAAAAAGGAACAAAATGGATGGGTATCTTTATAAATTGTTTATTTTAAAATAATTAATTTTCAAACAATGCTTAGACTAATGGATTGGCTAAACAAAGAGCCCAAATACGGCCCAATTACAGTAAATAGAGAATTCAACTTCGGATTCTGCGTTGTGTCCTCTTCCCGTTGTTAAAACTTAAAAGACATTGACAATTTGAGAAGAACTGAAGAAGAATCTAACAAGATACTGGGAATTTGGGAAGAGAAAATTTCCAGAAGAGTGATTGAGAAAACAAAGAGAATGGGAAGCGCACCAGCCCAGATTCCGACTAGCTTCGGCCATGAGCTTAGGGCTTGTCTTCGTTGCCGACTCGTCAAAACCTATGACCAGGTCTTCTTTCAATCTCTCACAGTTTCTATTAGGGCTTTTTATCTACTCCCTTTTGTTTTAAGCTCGAATTGTTGTTTTCAACAGTTCAGGGATGCTGGTTGCGAGAATTGTCCTTTCTTCAAGATGGAAGAGGATCACGAACGTATTGTGGAGGTCACCACACCTAATTTCAATGGGTAATTTCCTAAATTCGCAACCCTTAATTTTAGTTTTCTCTCTGTTTTACGATTCGAAAGATTTCACTTTGCTGTGTGTATTGGTTGGAAAGTTCCGAATTTTGTGAAATGTATAAATTGACGCTACTTGGTTTCTGAGATTTCACTGAACTTGCATTTTCTTGTTGGATTATTGAATTAAGCTGTAACGATTAGCCAATTAGTGGCGAATTTGCCCAAAGTTTACTGCTTTTAGATTTGCTTTTAGAAACTAAAGTGAGATACTTAGTGTGGTTGTGTCTCTTTTTGTAAGTTGATAGATACATTTCCTATTTCTAGCTACTCATGTTAAGATTGTTTTGGCAGTATAATCTCTGTGATGGATCCAAGTAGAAGCTGGGCGGCTAGGTGGTTAAGAATCAGTATGTTGATGTTGATCCCTCTCTCTCTCTCTTAAACTATTATAATTTCCTGTTTGAGGCTCACCAAATAGCGTAGCTTCTTCTTTCCATTAATGTTCTTATCCTCCCTTCATTAGCTGATTGTATGGTGTTGCTAAATTTTGCAGGTAAGTTTGCTCCTGGTTGCTACACTCTTGCTGTCTCTGAGCCACTTCCTGAGGAAATGCAGGTACGAGTATTATTACCTTCATGGTTTGAAATTGGACTCTGCAACATATATAGCAACACCGACCGGCTCCTAAAAGAAAGGGAAAAAACCCAATTTCATATAACAACATCTAACTTTGTTTTTCTTTGTTTCACATTCTGGTGATTGGCTGCAGCACTTATGCCAAGAAGAGCGTGTACAATACGTTCCGCCGAAACGCATGTGAAGCGAATCCATCAAGAAGTACAAGAAAAAGACAAAGACCAAATATTCTTCTTTCTTTTGCCAGCTTCATGTAACATTATCAGGATTATGTGCTTTAATATATGTATCTTCAGTCTTGTGATGGGTCGATGTTAAAAATCCAGGAATTATTTCTCTAAAATATTGTAGTCGCTTTTTTTGAAAAAGAGATGAAAATCACCAAGAAGTCGAGAGTTCTTTTGACTCATAAACGTATTCAACCGTAATTTATTTATTTATAATTTGTACTTCATACACGTTCAGTCTTATCTTTTTAAAGTAAAAGTATTACAATCATCATCACACAGAAAGAAGACAGAAGAGGAAGAAGCTCTTTATAAGCTTTTGTGGAATCATAATTTAACGTAAACTATATAAGCAAACCATTCGCATGCATGAAACTGATCGATCGCGAGATCATAAAACTCCTCCTACGAATGGACCAGCGGTAAAAAAGATGATATTTCCGACACTGGTTGAGGTTACGTTAAGCAACATGATCGAGGCTGTGACGATGCCGTTTGGTGGGAAAATTCCACAGTTTCCTGCCGGGAGATTAGCCACGACACGGCATGACATATTGTTTAGGCTAAACAAGACCGTTTGTATGATTTCAAGCGCTATGGCAAAGGTACCGTTTAAATCGGTCACTGCTTGTGCGCCTGTGACGTTTTGGCCGTTACAGAACAAGTAGACGCTGGCTCCGGAGACTGGAGGTGCGTTTGGATCTCCTTCAAGGCTACAAAGTAAGACACCGCGAATGAAGATTGTGCCCAAGCTGGGGTATGGTAGTAGTTGTGAAACAGAAGAGAGTGGTGAACTTGTGATGAGAAGGATTGAGAGGAGAAGATAAACATTTGCTTTCTTCATTTTTCGTTTTTTAAATTAGCTCTATTTTGGTTTTGGATGTGTGTATATGGTGAAGAAACATAAGGAGGCATGAGTACGTATTTATATGAGTGTGATTGTTAATGCTGTGACGGATCAAGAGTGTAATTAAGAGTGATTGTTAAGTTTGGCGTATCACAATTTTTCCTCGTGAGATTTTACTTGCACAAGAAATAAAGCTGTCAGTCATCACTAAATAAAGTAAGAAAACTTAATCTTCATAAGAAAAGCTCCAAGGAAAAGAAATTAACGATTTCACTGAGAAGAGTTTCTATCATATTAAAAGTTTGTAGTCAATGTGAATTTGAGTGAAACAAGAGAACATTTGGTTCAGTGTACGTGTGGGACATCTTAGGCTTTACCGAGTCATCGTTAATTATAATTAGGAGACGTACACGCAGAACTAGATCACTGGTGTCAAACTTCATTGATTTTCTGAATTTTGTGTCAAATTTTGCTAAAATGTCTTTGTATTTTATTACAAGATCCGCATGAACACTTAGATATGCGTAGTTATATAGCTGCTTCCATTTTTATGAGAATTAAATATACTCTCCTTAGTTCCAAAAGAGATCGAAGGAATAGAAGAAAAAAAGTATTGCTTAAAACCAAAAAAGAATAACAATGTATGCTTTCCGTTAGAAAAAGAACAAACGGCTATTCAATTTCCACAAGAACACACACAAAAATACAAGGAATTATTTTTAAAAATATTGTAGTTTTTTTTTGAGAAAGAAAATTTTGTATTTATCCTAACGAACAATCAAATTGATGCAACTCAAATGCCGCAGAGAAACCTCAATGAGAGAACAGAAAGAATAAATTTGTCACTTGTGTGGTCTGATGGTCTTCATATCCATATGAGACAAGGCTAAACCTTAAAAATGTCAAATCTTTGTTTGCATGCAACTTTTTTTTTGGATAATAGAAGTATAGCTCCATTTCCAATGTTAATTGCTCAAATTCATATTTTTCTGTGATAATTTCAATTGAAAAATTATATTTAGCAAAATTATAACACCTAATTAAAATGCTTAGATCTTCTCGAAAGAATAGCACATATCTTGAGATCCAATAGCATATTCTTCTATTGGAAAAATTGTAATTAACTTATATCAATATTGTTGATTAATTTTTCAAAAGTTTTTTCTTATATTAAAGAAAAGACTTTAACAAAAACCAACAAGTCCACGATATCTGTGGATTTGATTTTCTTTTACTAGTAGAAAATTTCCCATTGGATATATAATTTTAGTTAATTCCACGTGGCACTAGCTCCTCGCCGTTATAAAACCTCTCTTCGTTAACATTCGACTCTCCGGCGGCTTTCACACTCCAGAAGCAGCGTTTTCAGGTAAACACCCATTTCTCTCCGATCATCTCTTCCTCTTTCGATATTCGTTAGATCCAGTCTCGTAATCGGAAACCGTGTATTAGATCACCCTTAACATTCATTGCATTCGTCGAATCTAGCAGTCCTCTCTTTTTTTTCGCTAGTTTTAACGTTTGGTGGACTTGATTAGCTGTGATCTCATCTCGCGATTGCTTGAAAACAATGTATAATCTCTGTTTATTTATGGATTTGATCTCTTCTCCGTTTGGCTAGATCTCTCTTTCTGAGAAAATGGCGATCGTGGTTTTAGGATTTTGAATCTCTTATCGAATTTTGATTTATTGGTATGATGTTTCAACTGTTCATAGCAGGTAAGATTCGAAGAAGGTTCTGTGTTTAGCTTTTTGGAGATTCGAAGAAATGTCGAACATAGACATTGAAGGGATATTGAAGGAGCTGCCTAATGATGGGAGGACTCCGAAGACGAAGATCGTTTGCACATTAGGTCCTGCGTCACGGAGTGTTGTTATGATTGAGAAGCTTCTGAGGGCAGGCATGAGCGTGGCTCGTTTCAATTTCTCTCATGGAAGCCATGAGTACCATCAGGAGACTCTTGACAATCTCCGCACCGCTATGCAGAACACCGGCATGCTCGCTGCTGTTATGCTTGATACAAAGGTTTATCTTTCTCTCCTTTTTGTGATGGATTTTGTTCTTGAGCTGTTCATTTAGAAGTGTGTAAACATGAATTTTGCTTCTCTCGCTTATGGACTAAGACTAAGATCATGAAAATGGCTGTTTGATTGTGTTTCGTTGAAGAAGAAGACACTGTTTTTACTCATTCTTTAGTTGAAATGTGAATTTTTCGAGTATAATTCTCAACTCTGTGAATGATTCAGCCTCTCAATTAAGAAATTTAGCAGAGCATGGTTGATTTAGTGTTTACGTATTGCTTGTTATTGTTGATGAACCCATAGATCTCAGAAATGGATGTTTACTGAAGGTATTAGCTCAAACTTATCACTGATAAAAAGGGTCTTCTGTGCTGCTTAGAGACTCATTATGGTTGGAATATATTATTTCTCTGTGCTTACAAGCGTTCAATATTTAATTTTCATGTTATATTATCACAGGGGCCTGAGATTCGTACCGGTTTCTTGAAAGATGGGAACCCTGTACAACTGAAGGAAGGTCAGGAGATCACTATCAGCACTGATTACGACATCAAGGGTGATGAGAAAACGATATCCATGAGCTACAAAAAGCTGCCGGTGGATGTGAAGCCCGGACATACCATACTGTGTGCAGATGGAAGCATAAGTCTCGCTGTGCTGTCATGTGATCCAGACTCTGGAACTGTGCTGTGTCGATGTGAAAACACAGCGATGCTTGGCGAGAGAAAGAATGTGAATCTCCCCGGTGTTGTTGTTGATCTCCCAACATTGACTGAGAAGGATGTAGAAGATATTCTTAAATGGGGTGTTCCAAACCAAATCGATATGATTGCTCTTTCGTTTGTTCGCAAAGGATCAGATCTTGTCAATGTCAGGAAAGTGCTTGGATCACATTCCAAGAGTATAATGCTGATGTCCAAGGTACGCACACGTGTAACCTTATTTCATTTGCGGCTTGCTTAGTTAGTTGTTTAAAGGTATGAGATCTAATACTTTGTTCGGATTGAATCATTTTGAAGGTTGAGAACCAGGAAGGAGTGCTGAATTTCGATGAGATCTTGCGTGAAACCGATGCATTTATGGTTGCTCGTGGTGATCTTGGGATGGAGATTCCGATAGAGAAGATCTTCTTGGCTCAGAAGATGATGATCTACAAGTGTAACCTCGCTGGTAAACCGGTGGTCACAGCGACTCAGATGCTCGAGTCTATGATCAAATCACCACGGCCAACACGTGCCGAAGCCACGGATGTAGCAAACGCAGTCCTCGATGGCACGGACTGCGTCATGCTCAGCGGAGAAAGCGCTGCAGGAGCCTACCCTGAGATAGCGGTGAAAACAATGGCTAAAATCTGCATCGAAGCAGAGTCATCTCTGGACTACAACACAATCTTCAAGGAGATGATCAGAGCCACTCCACTTCCAATGAGCACACTGGAGAGTCTTGCATCATCCGCTGTAAGAACCGCAAACAAAGCCAGGGCCAAACTCATCATCGTGTTGACCCGAGGAGGTACAACAGCTAAACTGGTGGCTAAGTATAGACCGGCTGTTCCGATTCTGTCGGTGGTTGTTCCGGTTTTCACCAGCGATACCTTTAACTGGAGTTGCAGCGACGAGTCACCGGCTAGGCATAGTTTGATATACAGAGGTTTGATTCCGGTATTGGGTGAAGGATCCGCAAAAGCCAGTGACAGTGAGTCTACAGAGGAGATTATTGAGTCCGCTTTGAAGTCGGCGACTGAGAAAGGACTGTGTAACCATGGTGATGCTGTGGTGGCTCTGCACCGTATCGGAGCTGCTTCGGTTATCAAGATCTGTGTGGTCAAGTGATTTCTTAGCAAATCATCATCTTTTGAAGGTTTATTATGTTTCTCGATGAAATAAAGAACATGAAATAGGTTCCGAAAGTGTTTTGGTACAGACTAAGCAAATACTTGGCTACTTTAAAGTGTTAAAGCTATGCTTTTTTGGAATTAATGTCCTTTCTTAGGAGGGTTTATTGTTTGATGGATTTTAAATTTTTAATGGATCCATTCTGAACGTGGTTTGGCATTTATGCTCTTGTTATTGTAGCTCTAACTAAGCAACTACGATCCATTCTGATTAATTAAAGGCTCTGTTTTCTCATAATTATTGGTTAATTTAAGATTCATGTCTACCACAGCTTTTGAATATTATAAAACTTAAAAGACCAAAGCTTCAACAACATAGAAACATGCTTAGAGTACGACATAAACTTAAATTGTTTTGATAGGCTTCAAGACCAAAGCTTCAACAACATAGAAACATGCTTAGAGTACTACATAAATTTAAATGTTTTGATAGGCTTACCAGAGCTTCAAACAACATAGAAACATTCATAAACTTAAATTGTCTTGATAGGCTTAGAGTACTGCATAAACTTAAATTGATGTGACCCCACTGATGATGGTCTCGAGAAGTTCCACTGAATTGGTGCAACCCATGCCTCCATGCACCATCCCATCATCCAACGTGTCCTTAAGCTCACAAACAGCAATGATAGGCTCATTTCCGAAATGACTCCCATTAGCTTGAAGAACATAGAAACATAAATTGTCTCATGTTCAAATTAAGTGCAAACATAGAGTTCAATGTACTTAAAGACACAATAGAACATGGAAACATAAACAGTATGAAAGATTAAGTGTAAACATAAAGTTCAACTAAGAAGGCATTTAAACAAACAAATGAGTGCAAACATACATAAAACTTCTTCATTGAAAACCAGAAAATCTAAAACCTCTAAAATACAAATATTAAACGTTGAAAACAGATAGACTCATTTGCTACTACTTAACATCATCAAAACTCTGTGAACAAAATTTCCAAAGCAAACTGAAAAGAAAAAAAAAAAAAAAAAAAAAAAAAAAAGACAATAAGAACTTACAGGTCACGGAGAATTTTCATGCCCGTTGAGGCCTATATCACTCTCAACCTCAACGTCTTTATTTGGAAATTAAAACATCACCCTAAATCTCACATATTCACCCCCTTGCTCTATCAAACACTTTCATAAAATATAGAGATAATGATCATGCTAATAGCTTTGGATATCTTTTTTTTCTTATGAACAGTACTACAAAAGTAAACTGACATATAATGATGTTTTCACTTGGAATAATTTGAAACCGGACTGAATTTTGGTTCAGCTAGAAAAGGAGATGTTGAGACAACTAGGCTACTTCGGCTCATGCCTAATTTAAAAGTCATTCGATAGTTTAGGCATTTTAGTGTTTACATTTTTCTTATTATTGTTGATGGACCCATAGATCTCAGAAATGGATGTTTACTGAAGGTGTTAGCATAATTGATAAATCGTATGGTACTGCTTAAAGAACCATTATGGCTGTGTTGACAAGTAAAGGGGCCTGAGATTCGTACAGGTTTCTTGAAAGATGGGAACCCTATACAACTAAAGATATCACTATTAGCACTGATTATGACATTAAAGGTGATGAAAAACATGTGCAGAAGGAGTGATTATGACATCAAAGGAGTGAAACAAAACAAAACAAAATTAGCCTTCAGTTCCATGTGTTGTTACAAATTTTGTTCAAGGCAAAGGAGGGAAGACACGGGAATAAGCTGAAACGGCGCCGTTTTGAATATAGCGTTTTGGATTTTCCGGATCAGGATTCCACTGGATCTCACTAACGTTTGGCGTTTCGACAAACGCAATCGTGAACTCGCCCATCTTCTCCATCTTCCCACGCTTCCCAGCTCTGAGAACGAGCCCACTGTTTCTCACGTACGAGAATATCCCATTGGTGAGCTTCACGATATCGCCTGCCTCGAACGCGTCGCACTCATCTCCCCACAGCTGTATGTGAACCGCCGCCGTTTCATCCGCCGCCAATGCGATACAACTCTTTCCGTTTGCTCCCGCTGTCGCCGACGATCTGGCTTTATCGAGGACGATGAAACGAGTGTTGATGTTGTTCTGCGCCGCCGGAACTATGTCCTTGAGAAAAACGCTCATCTTTTCTGAAAAAAAACTCACGGAAACTGTATATACGAGTTCATTCAGAAATTTCATCGAACACTTGATATGCAATATTTACCCAAACCAAAATCAAACAAACTTACCGAGACACTTCTAAAATCGGGAAGAGCGATGGCGGTGGCGAAGAATACGACGGTGATTGAGAAAGCGCCGATGACGGAGATGGCGAAGATCCGACGGAAGAAGTAAGAACAGAGAGAAAAAAACGTGAGAAAATTGAAACAAACAATGGTAAATAAGAAATTGGTTTGAGATCGTCTGGTTTTAATTATGGAAGCTAAACCCGAACCGACCGGTTTGATTCGAACGCAACAAGCAAGAGAAAAGACTTTTATTCCAACAACTCTGAGAGCAAGTAGATACGTCACTAGCATACATATATTAACATGAACATGAATCATGTTACATGCATGAGATGAGACTATCATCATACAACATACAATACGAAGCTCAAAAAGTTAAGCCTAGCAAAAAGAAGAGCTTTAAGATGTGTTATTAGCCGAGTTTTCTAATGGAAGAGAAAAAACTTCCATTGTAATTTCCTAACAAAAAAAGACATGTGTATAATTAAAAAAACAAACAAATCTTCCTCCTCTTGACGATGCTGCAGAATCTTGGTTACTCAGTCGGTAATGTTGCAGGAAGATCGCTGGTATCATCTTGTTTGCTGCTATCTAAGGGCGCACTTGCAGCTTCAGCTGCTTCTCTCTCTGGTTCTTGTTCTATCTCGATGAGTTCTTCGATGACCTTTGGAGTTTCTGTCATCAATCTCTCCTGCTCTGAAGGTTTTTGGAGAAGTTCTCTCTCGTCAAGATACTCTTCCAATGTAAGACAAAGGGAAGCAAAGAGTTAAGGTGTCTCAAAATGTAATTAAGGATCATATGAAAAGATAAAAATGTGTTGGAAGATGATGATAGAATCTAAAAAAAAGGATATTCTTTTCTCCATCCTTTCTCATTAGCATGGTTGATGCGGCTCTGCAGAAGGGTAAGCTGCCTTGTAATCCACTGGAGTTTTATAAACAAGATAAAAAAAAAGAGTGAGATGCAGCACCAAAACATTCGTTTGTTTATCTTTGTATGAACATGAAGTGTTTAACTTATGTGCTTTCAGAGATACACTCACATGTTTTGTTATCTCCTCATGGAGAGACACAGCCTTCTCCTCCATCTCCACCTGTCACAGGCAAAAACATTGGTGAGTTTTAGATCCTAAAGGACAGGAACAAGATCTAAACAGAGAACCATGGTATATAGAGAAGTTTCGATTGTTTAGAGAGCTTACAAGAGTTGGCTGTGTCAGAAGGCCATTCACCACTTTTTGCTTCAAATCTTCAATCTCATCCTGTAGAGGAAAGTGGAGATTTTAGCTTTTAAGTAAGTAAAGACAACACAAAGAGATATAAAGATACGTTTTCAGTGAATGCAGCAAAAACCAAACTGAAAGGATTAAAAATGGTAACGTGTGAATTAAGTTCAGACATGATTAACCTCTTTGATGTCAGAATCCTCCAGCCTGGAAATGCTAACATCATAATCCACACCAGCAACATAAAGAATCACTTCTACACTCTGGGCATCAGCAGCTTTAATGCCTACAGAAAACGAATCAAGAAAGAGCAGGTGTTACAGTGACTGTATCACAATGTCTACAAATTCATCTAAAAACTAAAAACCACAAAGTGTTTGGTTTACCTGTAACCTGCGAGATCTGGTACGCCACATATTCCAGAGGGTGATTCCTCACTTTCACAAAGCTTCCCACCACTTTGTCCTCGAAGCTCTCATTCTGCTTCAGCAACTCGACGATCAAGCTCTTCCGGAGATAAACCAGCTTTATATTCTCCGCATTGATTACGGCTAAACCGGTTGGCCTCATTTCAGGCTTCACTTCCTCTTCACGAACTTCCTCATCTGCCTCCCTTTCTGTTTCCTGCTCCTTGCACGGCACTAAACCATTTTTCTTCCTCTCAGCCAAGTCAAGCTCCATGAGATTGAGATGCTCAAACTGCTCAACGTTATCTTTAAAGTGACGATTCAAAAGTGTATAAATCCTCTTGTGATTCACATACTTCCTCCTGAAGATCGAATACAGCTTCTCGTCACAAACAACTCTCTTCTTGTTCTCAGCGTCAAGCAGGTTTTCCCGACGAATGTAAGTTCGGATCACCGACTCCACGACATGCTGTTCCATTTCGTGTTCGGTTTCTTCCCCTATGGATGTCAGGAAATCGATGAGTGGCTTCGAACCCCATCCGATAAACTCCATTCTCTTTGACTTGCTGCCACTCATGTTGTAGTCTTCTTCATCCTCAACCGGATCATCTCTCTTCTTCCGCTTGACGCCTTTGTTTTGCGACTTTGAAGAGCGGACATCACTGAGCGTAAATGAGGGATCGTTTTTGGACTTCACACCTTTCTTTCTTGACTTTGACGACGCCTGGACATCTTCAAAAGTTATGTCTTCTTCTTCTTTGACTATTCCCCAGTACTCAAGAAACAGAAACTCAACTGTATCCGGATCTTTCAAGTCAATCTTATCCTGCCAACATAGTAAACGAATGTCAAGCAGAGACTCTAACATTTTTCACATGTTAACTCAACCACCTTTACAATAAACTTCTTGTGCTTTAACTTAACAAGAAAGCATACAATAAGCCATTAAGTTCACTAAAGACATACCAAATGTGTGGTAAATTCATTTACTATATATCCTAGGGAAAACCCTAACAGAGTCTTCTAGTTAAATAACTTTAAGTTGGTTAGATCAGATTCTTCTAATTCATACTCTCTCCTTTAACACAGTAATTATTACAAAACCTAAACACCTAAGTTATCTGCAAAATGGAACTAATAGGACAATGTATTGAAATGGTTATGGGAGTTTCAAAACATACCCCATCAGCATCGTATTGTTGAATCTTTTCTAGAGCAAAGACATACTCCTGGCATTGATTGCACAGCCCTTTCTTTTCTTTGAGGCGAATGAAATCAGAATGGGTAACACAGCCTTCACATACAGCATTTGGGCAACAGAGACAGAATAGCTTTGGTCTCTTGCTACACAAGTAGCACTTGTGCCACTCTGTAAAAAAATTGACATATTTTACAATGTTAAACATTAAGCAAGGTAACTAGATATTACTCCAAAATGATGATATATGCAGAAACTTACGACAGATCAACGAGTCTCCTTCGCCTGAGAGATCCTTTCCAATGCAATTGGCATGGTAAACTTTTGGACAGTCCCTGAAATAAGCAAAGACACAATGAGATTCATGCATTTAAAATACATGTCACAACAAAAGACAAAAGATTTGCATTCAGATCTCATATCATCAAACTGCTGCAAATGATTAGATTACATTAAAAATAAGTCCATTTGGCACTAATCCCATAATTAATGACCCAAAGAAAAGAAGAAAAAAGTGTCACATTAGAGCCCTAAATTACTGCTTTGGACTAATTACACTAATCATCATTTAAAAAAGAAGAATTTTTGTAATCCTACTTAGATTTTGAAATTGGCGAATTCTCTGTTTTAAAATAAGATGGGTATGCACAAAGACCTAAACACCCTTGGTCAACAGAAATCAAGAACATGCAAGAGAAAAAAAAACAAAAAAAATAAAACTTGCAATCTCCTTGATCGGAATTTTCCTTAGCGCCTACATTTCTCAGGTCAAAGCCAAATCCATTAACGAGGAAAGCAAATCTATGAAGGAAAAGACGAGAGAGAGAAAGAGAAGAAAGAAACTCACTTGTAGTCGCAGACCATTAAGCTTCCACCATCTTTGCAGACGAAGCACCAGTCCTCACTCTCCTTCTCCTCCTCCACCACCACATTGTCATCATCCTCCACCTCCACAATCTCCGCTGCTTTCATACCTCTCGCCATTTCACTCTCACACTTTCGATTGGCTACTTGGCTTTGACCTAGTGACTAGTGTGGAAGACGAAATTCAGATTTATAGGCGGAAGAAATATGCAAAATTTAAGACCGCCAGATTTTATGCCTTTGAGTATAAGAGGTAATAGACACGTGTCTGGGGTATGAGGGGGTATAAGAGGTAATAGATTGCGACGATGATGAGAATTGAGAAAGATTACTTTCTTTAATGATCTAATCTCTATTTCAGTCTCTGATGAGAAAGATTACTTACTCTAATAGTCTAATGATCTAATCTCAGTTACAAATCTTTCTTTTTCTATTGATCCCCGTTCATACTAGGTGTCCGAGACACCTGTCTTTTTATACACGTAATCAAAGGGCTATTTCGGACAATACAATACTACTTTTTTTTGTTGGTGGTGGCCCACAGTGAAGTGTTTTTCGCGTGATCTTGGAACTCGCTGACGTCAAATCTTATAAAGTAAGTCGCATTTTACAGTCTGACATGCTCAGAAGTAAACTGATCTGTCTTAGATAAGTAGTAATTGAGTATAGAGTCGGACCAAGCGGATTTATTTTCATAATTTCGTTATTTTAACTGAATGAATATTTACGATTGAAATGTTGGTTTAGTTGAGCTCCTACGTTGTATAATCGTGTAGCATGTTGTTGGTTTTGGAATGTTAACATGTTGTTATACTACATTCATAGCGTTTTTTTTTTCATTTTTCGTTTATGTTACTTATTTCACTTTTCTTATAATATAAATAGAAAAGATATGTGTGTTTTGTTTTATATTTGAATGTAGATAAAATTCAACTTTTAAAATATACGATGTAGATTGCGATGATGATCGATCAAATCTTTTGCATATCGAACAAAAAAGTCTCCCCAATGTGAAGAATCGTATGACAATATTTAAAGTGTTGAGCATGAGAACATATTCAAGTTCTAGAATATTAATATTTGATATTATTTATATCATTGTTCCGTATATATTCTTTACTCTGCTTCTTCATCACATTATGTTTTCTCTTTCTCACCTAATTGTTCAAAAAAATATCTATCTTTTTTTCTTTCTTGAAATGCTTTTGTTTCCAAGCCTGTGTTTCTACTTTTAAGAATAAAAAATGACAGATTTTCAATACATGATGTTTTAACAATGCTTTTTAGGGGAAAACAGCTGGATTATTTGCTAAACATTCTGGTCGATTAGATACTCATACTCGTGAGTCGTGACGACATATATCCCAAAAAGTGGTAACTCGATTTATTAAAGAAGAAAGGTCAATCATTTACCTTTTAAATGCCAAAATTGTAAACTTTCCAATAATATAATTTATCATTTTGTTTAGAGTACTCAAGATTGTAAACTTTCCAATATTGCTAAAAAATCGGATAGTTATATACAGTAGTTTCATTCTTATCGGACTCATCAAGTGCATGTCCTAGTACTGCTACTACATATGAAAATGCATGATTCACGTTTTCACCAAATATTTTCAATGATTGCCTAGTCTGAAACTTCTAAAATGATATTAACATTTTGAAAAATCTAAATTTTGAAGAGGAGAGTATTTTTTGCCCATCAACCAGAATATTTTCCACTGTTTTATCTTTACTGACAGACTTCAGATTTCCATCAGTTTTTTTTTCAGTTCAATCTCTTTATTGTATATAATATTTCTTGTTGTTTTCATTAAAAAAAATATATAAAAATATGATATTTCTTGTTCTCTCATATTTTGAAGGCCAGAGATGAGAGGAATATATATAAAAATGCCCTTTTGCATTCCCATCATCCATAAACAGTCGAATATAACCTGAACAGGTGGAACCTTCTTACACATGCCTTTGTCTCTTCCTAAAGCATAAACCATTTTCCCAAAACATAATTAAGTTCTTTATGTACTCATTGGCTTCTTTGCTATTACTGAATTTCATTCGGATCATTTCTATAATATCTTTTTTTTTTTTTAGGTTCATTCATTTCACCTTTTAGTCTCATTCACAATGAAGTCTCCCACACTTGCAAAAGAGATCACCCAAAATAAAGAAGCAAAAAAAAGAAACGAACACACCACCAATTAAGAAATCAAAGATGTTTCAACTTAGTGGGATTCTCTTTCCCTCAAAGCAGCATATCTTCTTCTTTTACATCAGAGAGATTAGAAAAATGAACAATACCTTTTGTGGGTCCATTAAAGCCACTAACTTAAAAGAGTCATCTTCTTCTTTAAATGGTTTCTTATTTCATTATTGTCTCTCCTATTGGCTTCATTATTACACAAACCCTCCATTTCTCTTCACAACTCATGTTTTTGTTCTCTTGTGTTTAGAGTGTTTTAGCTTCTCAATGGCTCAGTCAGGTATTAAAAAGCTTTGTTATTTCTCACACTTTAACGTCCAGTTTTCTCCATTAAAAATTAGTTTGGCTTCTTGGTTTTTGTTATTTTTATTAAACTTTATTGCTTCTTTTAGTTTCAAGTTACAAAACATTTGGTTCATGTTAAACAAAGAGGTTTTTGAGAGCGTATCTGAAGATCAAAGCAAAGAGTCTTAAGACAATAACAAAATTTGTGATTCTTGATGCTTACAAGCTTTCATTTTCTTAATGTTTTGGCTTCAAAAGAGCTCTGGTATGAAAACTATTTATTGATCCGACAATGTTTCACACCAAAAACAATCAAATCTGTTAGTTATTAATGCATAATTAGACCCCAGAATCTTTTTTTTTTGTTTTCTTCCTTTTATTGACTTGACTGATGTTTGAAAGTTAACATTGTTTGCTCAAAGCAGTTTGTTTGATCATAAGGGCTATGTACATCTTGTAAAAGAATAAAACTTTCTCCATTAATCATGATGTTTGATGCAATCTAGACTAAAGATACTGCAGAAAATATAAAGCTTTTTGAAGTGAGTTTGATTTTGTCTTATAATATCTCATAAACTGCAGGCAAAGGTGAAAGATTTCGCAACCCTCTAAGAACTCAAAGAGGATTCATTCAAAGAGATTCCTTTACATGGAACAGTCATAACATGATCTTACAGTGCTTCATGGTCTTAGCTTCTGTCGGAATCACTTCTTCATCAACTCAACCAGATCTCGAAGGTATATGTATCTGTGTAATTAGCCTTTTTTCTTCTTAATAAATCAAAGATCTTATGATATCAACTGGTTTACTTGTTGTTCATCTGCCAGGAGGAGCTTTGTTGCAGTTCAGAGACTCCCTTAATGATTCGAGCAACCGTCTTAGATGGACACGCGATTTCGTGAGCCCTTGCTTCAGTTGGTCTTATGTCACATGCAGAGAGCAAAGTGTTGTGGCTCTGTAAGTCTTCTAAAGATCACTAATTCTCAAGTTTTAGTTACTCGAGATTTCTCACTTTTTTTACTTGTATCAATATGTAGAAACCTTGCCTCAAATGGATTCACAGGAAAACTCTCTCCAGCTATCACAAAACTGAAGTTCTTGGTTACCTTGTAAGATAATCCACAAACCATTTTCCAGTTACAAGATTCTCTAAAACGTTCCACTAAAAACATAATATTGTTCCTTGATGTCTTCAAATGCAGAGAGTTACAGAACAACAGTTTATCTGGTGCTTTACCAGATTATCTTGGCAACATGGTTAATCTACAGACTTTAAACCTATCAATGAACAGTTTCAGCGGCTCAATACCTGCCAGCTGGAGTCAGCTCAAGAATCTTAAGCACTTGTAAAGTCCATGCAAAACAAACCTCTTGTGAACCATCTTTGAAATGTGACTTTATGAGATTTTTTTTTGGCTTAGATCCAACAATGAAATTTGATTTCACAGGGATCTCTCATCCAATAATTTAACAGGAAGCATCCCAACAGAGTTCTTCTCAATCCCAAAATTTGAGTAAAGTCTCTTCTTTTTCTTCTTCTCATGAATCTACTTAGTCACAAATCATAATGACTTTCTTGTACTACAAGTTTATAATCACCTTTTTATTGTTTCTTCAGTTTTTCAGGAACTAATCTCATATGTGGTAAAAGCTTGAATCAGCCTTGTTCTTCTAGTTCTCGTCTTCCAGGTTCTTACTTCTTTCTTCTTCATCCAATTCACATACTAACAGAACAGAGTAAACTGAATTATTATATCTTGAAATTGCAGTCACATCCTCCAAGAAGAAGCTAAGAGACATCACTTTGACTGCAACTTGTGTTGCCTCTATAATCTTATTCATTGGAGCTATGGTTATGTACCATCACCACCGCATCCGCAGAACCAAAAACGACATCTTTTTCGATGTAGCTGGTGAAGATGACAGAAAGATTTCCTTCGGACAGCTAAAAAGATTCTCTTTGCGAGAGATCCAGCTCGCAACAGACAGTTTCAACGAGAGCAATCTGATCGGACAAGGAGGGTTTGGAAAAGTCTACAGAGGTCTTCTTCCAGACAAAACAAAAGTTGCAGTGAAACGCCTTGCGGATTACTTCAGTCCTGGAGGAGAAGCTGCGTTCCAAAGAGAGATTCAGCTCATAAGCGTTGCTGTTCACAAGAATCTCTTACGCCTTATTGGATTCTGCACAACTTCCTCTGAGAGAATCCTTGTTTATCCTTACATGGACAACCTTAGTGTCGCTTATCGTCTAAGAGGTGTTTCAAAACAGAGAGGTTTCTTATGATCTCTGCTCTTCAATGACTTTATGTGTTAAAGAGTATTTGTATGATTGTAGATTTGAAAGCGGGAGAGGAAGGATTAGACTGGCCAACGAGGAAGCGTGTAGCTTTTGGATCAGCTCATGGTTTGGAGTATCTACACGAGCATTGTAACCCGAAGATCATACACAGAGATCTCAAGGCTGCGAATATACTCTTAGACAACAACTTTGAGCCTGTTCTTGGAGATTTTGGTTTAGCTAAGCTTGTGGACACTTCTCTGACTCATGTCACTACTCAAGTCAGAGGCACAATGGGTCACATTGCGCCGGAGTATCTTTGCACAGGCAAGTCATCAGAGAAAACCGATGTTTTCGGGTACGGTATAACACTTCTTGAGCTCGTTACTGGTCAGCGCGCAATAGATTTTTCCAGGTTGGAAGAAGAGGAAAATGTTCTCTTGCTTGATCATGTAAGACTTCTTAAGCTTTTTCATGTATGAGAAGAAGACGTGAGACTAATCTTTTTTAGTTGCTTGGATGTGTTATTATGAAACAGATAAAGAAGCTGCTGAGAGAAGAGAGACTTAGAGACATTGTTGATAGCAATTTGACTACGTACGACTCAAAAGAAGTTGAAACAATTGTTCAAGTGGCTCTTCTGTGCACGCAAGGCTCACCAGAAGATAGACCAGCGATGTCTGAAGTGGTTAAGATGCTTCAAGGGACTGGTGGTTTAGCTGAGAAATGGACTGAGTGGGAACAGCTTGAAGAAGTTAGGAACAAAGAAGCATTGTTGCTTCCTACTTTACCTGCTACTTGGGATGAAGAAGAATCCACCGTCGATCAAGAATCTATCAGATTATCATCAGCAAGATGAAGGAGAAATAGAGAGAGAGATCTCTTTGAAAACAAACTTGCATTACAAAAGATAAACTTAGAAAGTATTTTGAGCTACTAATTGTATTGATACAGGTGGGAAAACGAAGACAAACACAACCTTGATTTGTGTAATAGATCATATGATATATACATAACGTATACCTAGTTGTGTATTGTATATATGAATTGGTTATTGTAGTATGATAAACTGATAATGATGATGATGGTTGTTATGGAGACAGTTATTACAGTTTGCTCTGTTTTTCAAATGATGCTACGTCGTCGTTTGGAGTGAAGTCTGTAGAAACTATAATGTTTTGAGCTTAGTCCTTAAGTTTCGGTTGGTTTTCAATTTTTTACCTTAGACTTTTGTATTTGCATATTTTCCCAAAATGTGACATGGCTAAATTTCTGTTGATTATAGTCAGCGGAAGGTGTATAAACCCTAACTAACTTATACTATATCGCATGGAGTTTGTTAGTTCAGTGATTTTATTGGAAGAAACGATAATTGTTTGAGCTCCGTTCATTTCATTTTTACATTCAGCTTTTGTATATACAATTTTCCCCAAAAATATGACATTGTTAGGGGAATAAGCTAGAAACTTACAAGAATCAGCGACATGTTTCTGGCTAATCTTAATTTGGTTAAAAAGTTTATAAAACTAATCAAATGGTGTATTTTGCACTAATTATATTTCACGGAATTTGTTGGTCTAGTGATTTTATCGGAAGAGGATCATACAGTGACAGAACAGAACAAATCTATATCTCTGCATACTTTACATGTATTTGTTATGACATGAATTCAGATTTCAGATTCATAACAGAACTTTCATGGATTAGGACATATTCTTTAAACTCTAGATCCTCTGATGTTAAAAGCAAATACAAATTAACACTGCATAAAACATTTTTTTCAAAAAGGATAGGGATTAATCTGTGTTGTACTTTGTGTGTATTTAATGAAAGATGAGGCAATAAATGGGACCGGAGACAGACGTAAGCGGTCAGTGAAAAAGAGTCGTCCGTTCCTCTCTTTCTCCCTCGTAAACCGGGCTGTTTTTCTCGGTTATTGGTGCTTGGTTTCCGCTGACACCGACATGTCCGGTTCCCAGGTAACTTTTCTCTCCTCCGTCTGATTCAACTAGAAATGGACGATCCAGATCTTATTTTTCCTTTTCTATCTCTTGGCTTCGTTGTGACGTGTTCTTCGGGTATTTCTCCTGAGCCTCTCAGACGCACCCTTTATAACCAAACTCAAAACCCCACCAAAATAAATGAAAATCATAAAACGAATTCCGTATCAAAATAATTTATTTTAAAAACACATATATACAAAGTTTATACAACAATACCTTAGTCAAACCAGATCACTTTAGAATACAACAGTCTTTAGATAGTATGATTAATCGACCAATATACACATACCTACCTTGCCCTCATCTCTTGTCCGAATAACGCTTAGAATGTTTTGCACTTTTGCTTCATCAGTCACATCAAAATTATTATGGAAATTACGTCTATTAGTATAAACAAATCTTCTTGATTGAAAAATAATGATGCATAAATAAATAGGAAAAACAATTAGAAGAGGTCTTTATCAAACAAACAAAAAACAGGTTCAATGGTGCCTTACAAAACACAGTTAATTACATTGAGATGAAAAATATGATCTAGAAGATAAATTTTTTGGCACGGACAGATGTGAAGACAAAACCAATGTTTTGTCCTTTTCAGAGCAGTTAATATTTATGTATCTTGCATTGCCCCCGTGTAGATAACCAACATGAATGATATCTAAAATCTAACGTTGCTCCGGATTGGATATTGTAAAATGGTAGAATCATATGAAAAATAATGATGAAAGGATTCTGTTTTTCTATCACTGATTGCAAAATGGTAGACGGATTAAACATGATTCAACGAAATTTGGTCACTAGCATACCTATATCTAACATCGCGAAATCTTTTATGTACCATTACATGAAATTGTTAAAAGGACCTCATAAATGTAGAAGCATACAACTACTTTAATTTATAGCTAAAAAGGACAAAAAATGTGTAAGTCGTTGAGGTGGAGCCAAAACTAATAATAAGGTAATAATAAATCGGAGGTACTTGTCTTGCATTCAATACATGGACATATATATTTTATGTAAGCACATGTACACCGTTATGTATGTATCATCTATGTACTGTATATGTTCATGAAATTGAGCTTTATACATTAGAATTCGATATATATATGATCCAGCTAGTATGTAACTTTTGTATCAACAAGATTGTTCAAACTATGCGATTCTAATGACTTCGTATATAAGAAATTAATTAGAAACACTTAAGACTCAACCCTTAATGACTTAATGTATATGTTGCAGATATAGTATAGGTGGACTTGACAGGGATTTTTGATAAGAGGAAATTTGCTGTTGGCCTCGGAAATGACGGTTATTAAATGTATGAAAAAAAACAATTAAAGACAAATCTGGATGTTTTTTTCAAAGGAAATTGACTTAAATCATGAAAAGGGTTTGAACTTTGAATGTACTAACTTGGAGTATGTCGGAATTTACCACTTTCGACTTCACTGTAAAGTTCTATTTTAGGTAACCTACACGCACCAAATAAAGACAATAACCGAAATTAATCAAAAACTATTAAACCAAAACTACTAATTCAGTGTAAGAAAATATTAAAGAAAAATCTAGGGCTTAGATCTTTTGTCCTCTCTATAAATAGAAGAAACAAGGGCCTCTTGTCCTGTCACTCACAAGCTTCCTCTTCTTCTTCTTTTTCTCACAGATGAAAGTTTATGACGTTCTTGTCTTCATAACTTCTTCTTATTGTGAAGCGATTCAGGGTTAAGAGGAATGTTGTTTGGCTCGAGGTCATGAAGAGTCATTCTGTAATCAAACACAAAACTCTAAATGATTCTCGGACCAGGCTTCATCCCCCTCAACCTATTTATCCCATTTCCCTCAAAAAATTCACTTTTTTCATCACCTCTCATCACGGTCATTAACTCATAGTTGAGAATATATAAATGTTGTCATGTATACATATGTTTCTGAAACTCACTGATCCATCAAGATTCGTTTTACGAGTTGTGCCATAGTGTTAATTATAATATCACTGAGGCATTGAAAACTCGCTTCAAATAGCTATAATCATGTTCATATCCATATTTTTTTTCCTCTATGTTTCACTGTTTCAATTCCCCTTTTTCCTTACGCAGAGTAAACAAAAGAAAACCTACGTACCTTTCAGAGATATTTCATTTTACCTTCTCTTTTAACGTTTGTTATTCATTCACATTTACTTTGGGAAAAGTTACATAATCATGAAAAAATACATATGATGAGATTGTGAGAGTAAAACTTGTGGATTCGCCTTTTGTTTTACCTCTTCACATCTATGAGTTCCGTTTATGATTTTTTCAAAGGTTCCAATGAAACTAGTTTATTGATTTATGGAGAAAGTAGAGAAAAATAAGAAGGTATAATACAAAGAGAAAAGAAAGCTTTGCACGTGAATGATATGAAGATTGAAAAGGATGGCTTCCCCCAATATTAGAAGTCCCGTCAAGTTAAAATGTTGTTATTACACGTAACTGGAAAGTGGAAACTATCTTTTTTGGGAGGTGATTGTTGCATAAACGAGTTTTAATTCCCAGACTGATTTGATTGTTTTTTCATGAAACAAATCTTAGAGAGAGAGAGTGTGTGTTTGATAGACTAGGGGTGTAAATTAGAATTTTTGAAAGCTAGTAAACAATTTTACAAATCGTCTATTAAGAAACAATTTGATACTTTAAGGATGTGATTACAATATAAAAATAAAAAAAATTAACAAAACTGACGATATGTTGGTAGTGAAATACGGTTTTTCAAAAGGAAGTTACGTGGAAAATTACATTTTCAATAAACGATATTTGTAAACATACAAATTTGATTAGCTCTAGATTGTATGTTGGATGTTAAAATAAAAAAAGAAAAGTTTTACGGGCAATTTGGTCACAGAATGAAACATATGAGGACTGGAATTATAATTTCAAAGAAAACACATCACATACCAAAAACGGTGCCGTTTCGGCAGACATGACTAAACGTCGCCTTTTCTCGTCGATTTTAAAATAAAACCAAAAACAATTACAGTCAGTTATTCCAATTCCAACCAATCAGTTACTACTCTAATTTCTTCTTTGCTCTTTCTGTAAATCTTCTTCTTCTTCGTTTATTTTTTCTGAGTAACTTTTGACATAATGGAGCCTCATAATGTGGAGTCCGATCTTCAATCACTGAGAAGATTATACGGTCTTCTCCTATCAAATGCAAACAACGAATCCGTACCCGAAGCATTTTCTGTAAGTTTAACTTTCTCTGTGATTCTCATCTTCAACCTTAGAAGTTAGAGTCATATATCTCTGTCATCAAACTAATCTGACATTAACAACCTTGTAATTCGCAGTTAGATGAGAACACTCAGATTCTCCTAAAGCGCATGCTCGATTACACGACAAACGAACTTTTGGATAGACAAACCAAGGTTAGTAACTTAGTAGTTAGTACGGCTCTGTTTTCGCATGTTTCTACTTCTTAATTTGGCAACTTTATTATTCACTCTTAATTTGTTGTTGTTGTTACAGATACTTGCACAAGTACAGTTAGTTTTGCCTCAGAGAGTTTCTACACCAATCAAGGAATCAGTCTCAAAGGGTGTCACTAAACTGCCAAGTAAGGTTGGTTTAACAGAGGAAGTCGTTGATTCAATTGAACGAATCGACACTCAGCTTTCGGCGTTTCGCTTTTGTTCTCGTCGTGTGGACTCTGATGATCATCGAGCAAGGTCTCGCAAGCCTCCTAGTGTTGTTGCTGCTCCTCCCATGGAAGATCCTTACGAGACGCAGAGACTTAGCGAGAAAGCGTTGATGGAGCGGAGACAAAGCTACGAAGCCTCTGTTTCTGGTTTAAGAAGCAATTACACGCCAATGAGGAAGCAAATGAGTCGTCAGACTCCAAGCGTGACAAGTGTGAATAGTCCTGCAGAGGCAATAGTTCGATACCGTGAGTCTCAAGGAAGCTCTTCTCCTCCTGATGATCAGTTTGTTAGGGTTAGGTCAAAGCCGCCTTTACCGTCTCCTCGTCCTCGTCAGAGTAACATCACGTCACGCAAGACGTTAAGTATCATCAAACCAACTTTGTTGGATCAAGAAACCGAGACTTGGGATGATGAAGAAGATTCGACTGAAAGAGAGAGTGGAGAGACACGGTCTGGGACAAGCTCTGAAGATGAGGAGGAAGAAGAATCTGAAGAAACCTCTGGTGAAAGAAGATCAACCTCTGGCTCAAGCTGGGAAACTCAGGCTGAGAGTGCCACCGAGTCAGACTCATCAGATCCACCGCAGAGTGATGATGATGATGGCTCCTCTGAAGTCAGTGATTCTCCTCCACGTCAAAAGAGAGATTATGGTAAAAAGATGAAAAAGACGATGGGGAAGTTTCAAATATTGAAGAACAAAATAGGACAGGTGTTTCACCACCATCACCACCACCACCACCACCATCACCACCACGAGAAGGAGGAAGGCAAGAAGCCATTGCAGAGTACATTTCATCAGAAAGACAAAGAGAAATCAACTGATGAGAGACGGAGCAAATCAGAATCCAAAGGTCTTACTACACGTAAACACAAAGGTGGGCAGTTTCATACACTAATGGACGGATTGATGAGACACAAAAAGCACTCAAAGAAACAAAAGCACAAGCTGCCGAGCCATGGCAGGAAAAAACATTGGTGGAAAATAGCTAAGCGTCAACGTGGTGGTCTCAAGTTTCTCAAAAACTAGTCTAAAGAAATTTTAAAAACTTAATGTTTCTCAAATCTTTTTATTTCTCTCTTAAGAAAACCTAGTTAAGAGATAAATCTTTTATCTCCTGAAGAGGAGAAGCAGTAGTATCACAACATTTCTGACACTCTTTATGAAGCCAAGTGTTTCCATAGGTGCATCGATCGCAGAACCATTTAAGACCACCAAAGTCGTCGTAAGACTTGACCTTCACGTCTGCCAAACCATCTTGTAAAGTGTTGATGAAATGATAAAAGTAGTTACCAATGCTGCTTGTTCCCGTTGACAACGTATGCCTAAACTTACAAAGCTGGTCAACAGAATCTGCCAAGAAGGCTCCTTCTGTTTCGTCAAGAAAGGTCTTCAAGTAACTGTTGAGAAGATCGGTTGCGTTTTCTTGAAGGAATCTCAAGTACTCTCTCTTGGACATCTCACAATCTGTGTGGAGATGTTCGTACACACAGCTCCATTTAAGAACTTGCCTGCATTGGATAATCAGCATCAATCCTTCTCTCACAATACTAACATCTTCTTGTTTCAAGCTATACGGTTTCTTGATGATGTATGCGTCAAAATCGTCTAGATCGCTTTTAGCTTCCTTCATTGAAATCTGAGCCGCCTTCCATTTATCCACACAAGAAATCCAGTAGTCATTGTCTTCATCTTCATCTGTCTCCTCTAAGGCACTTAAGTCATTAGACAACCAATCAGAGGCGTTGTTACATGTCACTGGTCTGTGTGACTCAAGCTTGCATCTCCAACAAAAGGTGTGACCACAGAGACACACCACGTTTAAGCCATACTCCTCAACGTCGTTCGTCTGATGAAACTTGATGATGTAGTTGCAATCCGGGGAAGGACACTGTTTGATCATCTCTTTCTTGATTCCTTCAAGGTAAGATCTCAGAATGTAACTCTCGTACATATCTTTATCACCTACTGTTAGCTTCTCGGCCGTGTCCTGTCCAAACGCAGCTCGGCAATATTGATCAGGACAAGAGATGACAAGAGTTTGGCTTTTCTCCAGAGAGTAGAAGTTCTTGTCAAGATACTCTCTCCAACAAGTTGTGCAGAACTTGTGAGAACAAAACTGCGTGGAGACTAAATCATCACAAGTTTTCAAGCAAATCCCACAAGGTGAATCATTTCCTTCAGCTCCATTATCATCATCATCACTACCATCTTCAAACTCATAAAAGTCATCACTAGTCTTAGAGAAAATGACAAAAGATGAATCAGATGTATCTCCATCCGAATCAATAACAACAACCGATTTCAAACCTGATTCCGTCAGTAACTTCTCTTTGTCTTCAGCCAAACGCTCAGAAACCCTAAGCGAGTCCCATTTGAGATACATGAGGAGAACGGTCGCATCGGATCTTGAAACCCAGAAGATCTCGGATATCTCGTCGATCTGTTTCTTCATTTTCTCTTTAACTTCATCTCTCGTTAGAAGAGAGTACGGTCTCTGTCGATCTTCCTCCATTATAGTTATAGCTTGCGCTTCAATCAACAGGAATGACTCCAAGGTAAAGAGAATAACAACAGAAATCGTCTTTTGGGTTACTTTTTTTCTTACTGTCTAGGTTTTCCTTTTTTCACTCTTTAACCACTCTGTTTCTGCCATTACAAAAATTGTTTGATAGTTCTTATTATAAATTTGGCCCATTGGACCCTAATCTTTTTTATACTTGTGATCTAAATTAATAGTTTACACCATCCAGTAAAACCTATATTTGGGTCTACGTTGATTTTTGTTTTTTTAGACAGTGCAATACAATTTGCTCTGTTCTTCAGATCTTTCTACTGGTTCTTGCATTGATGGCAAACCATTAAACGTCAAGTTGGTGTCAAGTTTCCAATCAAAGAGCCAAAGTGAAGTAATGCAAAAGCCATTATTTTCCCAAAAGAAGGTTCAACAACATGACGAAAAACTAGTCTCAAAAACTAGATAAAAGTGAAAACCAGGTTTAAGGAGATATTAACAGAACAAAAACAACTGTAAAGAAAAAACTTAAAAAGCTGCGAACTTCATTCCTCCTGATCCTTCCTCTTCAAGGAAACTGACTAAGCTTCATTCCTCCTGAATCTTCCTTCCTCTTCAAGGAAACTGAGTAATATATATCTTCTCGGGAGATCCAGGAACATCATCAACGTCATCCATATCGTCCTTCTCGAAAGAGGCATCATCATCAAAGAAATTCTCCACCTTCTCGGCAAACGTAACAGCATCAAAGGAATCCACCATTTCGTCCTTCACGCGAGACGCATCAGCTGCAACATCAAAGCAATCCACCATTTCGTCCTTCACGCGAGACGCAGAAGCGGGAACAAAGCAATCCACCATCTCGTCCTTCTCGGGAGAAGCAGTAGGATCAACGCACATCTCACACTTCTTAACGAACCAACTGTTTCCATACGTGCAGCGATCGCAGAACCAGCGGCAGCCACCAAAGTCGTCGTATGACTTGACCTTCACGTCAACCAAACCATCTTGCAGAGACTTGACAAAGTGATAGAAGTAGTTACCAATGTTCCTCGTCGCAAAAACCACAGTCGAAAGACTCTCCTTCAAAGAAGGAGTGTCGTCAGAAGAAGAGAGGGATTTCAATGTTTCCTCCTTCAAAGTTTCAGCGAAACCTTTGACAAGGGTGGTTGCATAATCTTGCAGCGATCTCAGGTACACCCTCTTCGACTTCTCGTACTCTGTGAAGAGATGGTCGTACACGCAGCTCCACTTGATGACTTGTGTTGATTGGACAACCAGCATCAGTCCTTCTCTCATAGTCTTTACGTACTCCTCGGTCCAGATGCAAGCAGGTTTCTTCATGTGCAAGTCCTCGAAAGCTCGCAGCTTGGACTTAGCTTCCTCCAATGAAACCTGAGCCGCTTCCCATCGATCAAGACACGTACTGTCCACTTCTTCTCTCAGTCCGGCTACTGGTACCTCCGGTGCAACGCAGGGTCCGAAGTACACATGAGCTCCTCTGTGTGATTCCTCTGACCTCAAACACTTCCAACAGAACCGACCACTAAATAATCAAAGAGAAAAACAATATCACTATTAGATCAATATTCATAATCAAAAACAGAGAAATCTAGGGTTTGTTCATAATCAAAAACAGAGAAGTATAGGGTTTGTTCTTCTCGTTACCCGCAGCCGCAAGTCACGAACCGGCTGCCATTGTAGCCTCCGAAATCCACAGGAGCAAGGCAGAAAGGGCAAGGCTTCGTGTTGCTGTCGATCCAATCTAGGCTGCTTGATTCATCTTTCAACTTCTTCATCTCTGTAACCAACCAATCAGACGCGTTGTTGCAGGTCACAGGTATGTGCGACTCGATCCCGCAGCTCCAGCAGAAGGTGTGACCGCAGAGACACACCACGTTTAAGCCAGGCTCGTCATGATCCTTCCACCGGTTAAACTCGATGAGGAAGTCGCAGCCCGGTGCAGAACACTGCTTGATGATCTTGTTCTTGGTCCTCTCAAGGTAAGACCTCAGAACGTAACCCTCGTACGCTTCTTGATCACGCGCCGTTAGCTTCTCGATCGTCTCCGGTCCAACTGCAGCTCGGCAATCTTGATTAGGGCAAGAGACGGTTACAGTTTTGCTTTCACCCACAGAGTAGAAGTTCTTATCGAGATACTCTCTCCAATATGTTGTGGGGAACTTGTGAAGGCATAAGGGCGTGGAGACTAGATCATCATCATCGCCAACATCATCATCGAACTCATAAAACATATCGCAAGACGAATCAGCTAGATCTCGGATCGAATCGGCTACAACTTGTGTCAAACCTGATTCCGCCAACAGTTTCTCCTTGCCGTCGCTCAAACGCTCCGAAACCCTAACCGAGTCCCATTGGAGATTCATGAGGAGCACGGTCGCATCGGATTTCGAAACCATGAAGATTTCGGAGATCTCGTCGATCTGTTTCTTCATGTTTTCTCTAGCTTCGTCTCTCGTTAGAACAGAGTAGGGTTTCTCGCGATCGTCCTCCATGTTCTGATTCCTTGAAATTGACGAAAAATTTGTTCAGAGAGATCGAAGGAAGAGAGAAGGAATCAACAATCAGATACGAAATACCAAAGAGGGAGAGAGAGAGCGAATTATATAGACGACTTACGAAGAAGAGGATTTAAGGGTTACGGGTAGCTTGCGCCTCAATCAACGCAACTGACTTCAAGAAGAGAAGAAGAGAGGATTAGGAATCGTCTCTGTCTTTGAGTTTCCTATTTTTTTTTCTTACTGCGAAAGAGATTTCTTCCTTTATACGATCTAGGGTTTTCCATCTTTTTCACCGCCTGTATATATCGAGTTACAGAATTAAGGAAATTTGGCCCATTGGACCTTAATCTTTCCTAATAATTATGATTATGATATTTAGTGCTAATTATTGACTTGGAGCTTTAAAATTGAAATTTGTCATAATGCGATTGGTTCAGTTTCATGGAAGTGACGTCACAAGACATTGAGCAAAAGGGGGCATAATTGTAAATTCAATGGAAGTTTCAATAAGAAGCCAACGCCGACGAACCCGTGGACCGCACGTCGTGCGGCACGAGAGAGAGAGAGAGAGTGGTGCGTTCGAGGAAAGGCGCGTTTGTTGCGTAGAACCCAAATCCCGCCTTTTGCTTTTCACCCTTCGTTATAAAAAAGTTTCCTCTCTCTCTTCTCTCTCTCTTTCTCTTTCTCTTTCTCCTCTTTGCTGGCTCCGAGGAGAAAAAGGAAATTGGAGAAATTTTTCACTGGCGCTCGGAGAATCTAGGGTTTTAATTTTATTTTCGCCGATCTCCGTCGTGAGTTCCGATCCGAGTCTCTCTGTTTTTTCACCTGGTACGAATTTTATGTTAAACTCCTCGGTTAGGATTCGCGTCAGATCTGGAATTTTGACTTGCTTTTTATCGTACCTCTCTTCGATTAGATCGGTTCTCAATTCACAGGACGACCTGTTTTTAACTTATTTGGTGTTTACTTAGAAAAATCGTGGGTTAGACTTTTCAATGTGGAATTGAGCAGAGTTGAATTGGCATTTTTTCTCAAATTTAATCAAATTGCGTTAGATGCTTTGCTTTAAATTGTTCAGGATTTTGGTATGGGGATTATGAGATTGTGCATTATCGATTTAAAGGGAATAAACTAGGTCACTAGCTTCTGTGGAAGCTGCAATTGTTTACCCATGTTGAATCTGGGATTGTTCTTCGTATAGTTAACCTTTTCTTACGGTTGTTTTGTGGTTATCTGGCAGGTCTCTTCTGGCCTTAAGTTAAATAGGAAATGACATAATAGATTTGCAATGATGGAAGTGGGATTCTCTCTTATTCAGTGGTTGATCAGTTCTGGTGCTGATAGTCCGTTTGTATTCGGATGGCTTGTAACCGGATCCGTTGGGCTTCTGGCTGTCGTCTACACATTTCTTAAATGGCAGAAAAAGACTTCTCTGAATTGGGTCAAAGCTGCTGCTAGAGAGAAGAAGAAGGTTTGGAAAAGACTGAGAGTTCCACTCTCTCACCATCAATGGACAGACGATTACGGTTACGGGCCACAACCATCCACCTGCTGCGTTTGTCTCTACTCCCTCGTCCCAGGCCAAAACGTTTCTAATAAGGCAACTCTGAGCATTCCCGTCCACCGTTGCTCTGTATGCGGTGTAGCAGCTCACTTTTACTGCTCAGGCTCTGCAGCTAAAGACTGCAAATGTGCTGCACAGGCCGGGTCTGACCATGTTAGACACCACTGGTCTGAGCGATGGGTTAACATGGATGACAATGCTGACATGTCTGCGTTTTGCTTCTATTGCGATGAACCGTGCGGTATTCCTTTCATTGAAGCTTCTCCGATGTGGCATTGTCTCTGGTGCCAGCGCCTCATACATGTGAAGTGTCACATGATTATGTCAAAGGAATCTGGTGATGCTTGTGACCTTGGCTCTCTCAGAAGGGTGATCCTCTCTCCGGTACATGTAAAAGCCAGCGAAGAAAACGGTGTGGATGGAGTGTTGAGTACTATTAAGAACGAGTTGGCGTCTATACGAGGGCAGGTGAGAAGAAAGCGCCACAGGGGTAAAAATGGGAATGGACAGTCTATTAGTGGTAAGCTGTTGGATGATTCAGCCAGCAATCCTGTGAAGAGTGTAGTCAATGGGATTGTAGTAAAGAAACTACGCAGAGATAGGAGCATAGATTGCTTTAAGAAGGTCGTGGAGGTGCCTAATGGTAGTAATGGGATGCAAAATGGTGTAGGAGGGCCCAAGCGAAGTAAAAGTGCTGCTTTTAATTTCATGAAGACGTATACTTTGGTTGATTTGCCCCCGGATACAAGACCGCTTTTGGTCTTTATTAATGCCAAGAGCGGTGGTCAACTCGGTCCTTTTCTTCATAGGCGACTTAACATGTTCTTAAATCCAGTACAGGTAGAGAATGATCTTTAGTTTCTATGATCTCTAATTTTTCTTCTTGTGTAGTTAAGTGTTCAGAAGTTTGTTTGCTTTTACACAGATCACTAATTGATAATCACTTTGTTGAAATGCAGGTCTTTGAACTTGGATCTTGCCAAGGGCCAGATGCTGGTCTAGACCTATGTAGCAAAGTGAAGTACTTTAGAGTTTTGGTGTGCGGGGGAGATGGAACAGTTGCTTGGGTGCTTGATGCCATAGAGAAGCGAAATTTTGAATCCCCTCCACCTGTCGCTATCCTCCCGTTAGGCACAGGAAATGATTTGTCTAGAGTTTTGCAGTGGGGAAGAGGTATTTCAGTAGTTGATGGACAAGGAAGTCTAAGAACGTTTTTGCAAGACATTGATCATGCTGCGGTTACAATGTTGGATCGATGGAGTGTGAAGATTGTAGAAGAGCGTACAGAAAAATTTCCAGCAAGAGAAGGCCACAAGTTTATGATGAATTACTTAGGTTCGTTCGTTAAACTAACCATCCGTTTTTTCTGTTGTCATGTATCATGAACAATAGCTGACGTTTCCTTTGTTCAGGTATTGGCTGCGATGCCAAGGTTGCATATGAATTTCATATGATGCGGCAAGAAAATCCTGAAAAGTTTTGTAGTCAGGTACTGGTGTTATATGTGTCCTAACCTGCATATATGATGATATATTTTGCATCAGATTGTGAATAAAGCTATGTGTCATTGTCTTTTGTGGCTGATATATTATTCATCTTGTTTATTATGCAGTTTGTAAATAAACTAAGATATGCTAAAGAAGGTGCAAGGGATATCATGGATCGAGCATGTGCCGATTTACCATGGCAAGTTTGGCTTGAAGTTGATGGAAAAGACATTGAAATCCCCAAGGTAATTCAAATGAAACGAAACTAGTTCTTCTTTATTCCTTTTTGTGTGGTATGTTGCTATAGCATTTGTCCATATCATTAAGCATATATTAGGTAAAAGTTTAGCATTAGAGATTGCGCCTAATTGCTTGTAAAAACCATAGCTGACAACTATGTTTCGTATTTGGAGAAGGCTTTGATTTTCTGTGATTTGGGTGGATAGAGGTTGATATTACTAAAAGGCCAACAATAACATGTATTGTTGTTACCTCTAGAAACTGATGTTCCGAAATGTTTTCCCTTCAGGATTCAGAGGGTCTGATAGTACTAAACATTGGAAGCTACATGGGTGGGGTAGATCTTTGGCAAAATGATTCTGAACACGACGATAATTTTAGCATTCAGTGTATGCATGACAAGACACTAGAGGTGGTGTGTGTCCGTGGAGCGTGGCACCTTGGCAAACTACAGGTCTGCTCTCATCTTGAATTGCTGCTCCTTACTCTTGTTTCTAAAAGATCTACACTGTATCAGCAACTTTTTTAACGCCTAATAATCTCCCTTACAGGTCGGTCTTTCTCAGGCTAGGAGGCTAGCACAGGGAAGTGTCATAAGAATACATGTTTCTAGTCCTTTCCCTGTTCAAATAGATGGAGAACCCTTTATTCAGCAACCTGGCTGCTTGGAGATAACTCACCACGGGCAGGTACATGCATCATTTTCTCACTCTCATCAATTTTTATCGCAAAAACTTGGAAGTAGCAACTGAAGAAAGAAACCCACCGATGATTTACATGATGTTTTGTTTGTGTTCAGGTGTTTATGCTAAGAAGAGCATCGGATGAACCTAGAGGGCATGCGGCGGCGATAATGAACGAGGTCTTGCTGGATGCAGAATGCAAAGGAGTCATAAACGCATCTCAAAAGAAAGTACTTCTTCAACAAATGGCTCTCCATCTCTCTTAGATGATACAATTCAAATCCCCCACATCAAATTTTGCTAACAAGAAGAGTTAACTTACTACAATCTTGTCTTTACCCACTAGAAGGAGCCTCCGGGTACGAGATTTTTGCTTTTTTACCTTTATTTTTGTTGTTTTTGATTTTTTGTGAAGAGTGTCATTGTATAGTGTGCCCATACCAAAGCCACTGAGATTGGCGTCAAAATGTGTTCAATAGATATAGTTAAAAGAGGTCCGTGTAACTTTGATTTATTTATATTATACACACTCATCATTTCTAGGCTAAATACTACAATAGCCATGAAGAAGCACAAGCGCTTTTTTACTCATCAATCGTCTTCTTTTTATGTAATTATGGAAAGAGAAATATCTAATAACATTTCTTACTGTAATGAACAAGACCCAAATATTCAGGACTAAAAGAGTAGTAGATCTGAGTATAGATTTTAAGATACATACCACCAGCCTTCCAATGTTATATCTGCTAAGCAAACCTCATCTCTCCTAGATCCTGAAATCTGCAATAGATCACACATCTGCTAACTCTCTTTCCATCATTTACGAATTGTATACATCATGAACGGTAAATAGATATTGATTGCTGCCCATATTCCAACCAGCAAACTCAGCTTTTTGACTTGCAACCTGAAAGTAACATGGACAGGTCAGCAATCAGCACCGACAAACAAGTAGAGATCATTTTGTGGCATCACTTGAGCTGTTGTTGGAGGAAGTAACTTTCCATTTGAATATCTAATTTCACTGTCTCTAGAGATTGCTTAAAAGCTAAAGTCTACTCATTTAGAGGAACAAGTCTTCTTATCAGGCCAATATGTAATTTCGAGGTGCTGCTATTTCGTTCTCAGGAATAGAGGGATATTTTTGGTTACAATTGCTCTCGAGACAGTAGAGATCAAGATATCTTTCTCAAGATATAAAAAAGATAAAGATAATAACACTAGAGATCAGGAAAAATAACTATACAGAAAGAAACAGACTATTTTAAATTTGATTTCAAAGCAAAATATCAAGAAAAAATTAGAGCCAAAAAGAGTCATGTCATTCGATTTTTATATTATCCGGTTAGTGCTTTGTAATTTGTATACACTGAGATTTTTTTCTAAAAAAAAAATAAAAAAAAATTGGGTACACTTTGTTATATAAATAAAAACAAATCTTACGCTTGGGTTCTTAAAGAAAAATGTCATAAAGATTATATGGCCTTTTTAGTCAGCATAATGACTATTTTTTATCAAAGGAAAAATATATTTTGACTATGACGATTATACTATTTATTTCCAAGTATTTGAAAAAGGAAACAAAACGGTTATATCTTCAACATGAAGTCAAGATTTTTTCTCCAAAATTCTATCAATAACATAAATGCATAAATGGTATTTCAGTCCAAAATGAAAAAAAATATAATTTACTACTTATCATTATCTTTTTCTTTGGGTTTTATGGAAAATCTGGACAGTTTTTTTTCTATAAAAACGTTTAAAAGTGAAAAAATAAAAAGAATCTAAAACCACTGAGCTCTCCGCACCATGTGAAAGGTTGGTATAGTGGCAAGAACTCTTTTCGAATCTGAAACCGCTTAGCTCAGAAACACAAACTCCCATTTTTCCAGAAGCAAAAAAAAATCCTAATTCCCAGAATTCGAGGAACCCGAGAAATGAAGAGAGATTGGGTTTTCGAAAGGTTCTAAATTCTCTTGCTTGCCCATCAATCGATCCTAATCCAGATTTTCCGGAGGTTTGCTCACTCGATAGCTTCATTTTCGTTATTTCTATGTTCCTGAAAGTTCCTTTGCTTTTTCCGCCAAACTCATTGATCCTAAATGTTCAAAACCTGCTCAGATTTGCACATCTTTGATCAGATCGGTTAAATCTCGATGTCCTTATTCTGTCTCTGTTTTAGTCGGTGACCCATGAGTCCATGAGAGAACGAAATTTTCTGATTTTGTCTTTTCAAATGAGTTTCTGTCCATAAATTGGTGGGAATTTGGTGGAGAGCTTTAAAAAAATTGAAATTAATAATGGCTGCTTGCTTAATCTGCTTCAAACCTGATTACTGGCTGCGTAATCTGCTTCAGTTAAAAAAAAAGTTTAAAGTAATGGCTGCTTCATGCTGCATCAGTTAAAAAAATTGAGTGATGGCTGCTTAATCTTGCTTCAGTGAACCAATTGGCGTAATGGCTGCTATAATCTGCTTGTGTTTATATATATTTTATACACTTATTAGTGGTTTCTTTTGTTTGGATTTGCTGCAATTTATCCTGCTCAGTTACAACCTGCTGAATAAATCTTATTTGCAATTCAGACATCATTTTGTCATGTCTTTTGGTCACTTTCTTCTTGTTTTTGATTGATCTCAGCACCTATTGGCTCTTCTTATATCTGAAAGGTTGTGTGGATCTGTGATCAAACTGACTATAAATGATGCATTCCTCTCACTAACCTGATACCTTAAACCACTAATGAAGATTTAGCTGCTTCATCTTCATTAGTTTTATGTATTATTGTTACCTTTTGAATGTAAGCTTGGATCCGTTTTTTGTTCTTTTTTAACATAAGTTTATATTTAGTGACATATATTAATGTTTTTTCAATGCAGGAGCTCGTTTGAGAGAATGCAAAATAGACCATCTCTCTCTTCTTCTCGTTTTCCTGAAGATTGTTTCTCTTTCAACGTGATTACAATAGTAGATATTAGATACAGTGAGGTCCTTCGTTTTATTGGATCTTGAGTCGTCTTTTTCCAAATGTCTATAGTGTAGAATCGGATAAAATTCATCTACGTGAACATTTTTTTGTGGTCTTGTGAAGAAACTTGATGGGTAAAGAGAATCAGTTGGAGACAGAAAATTGTGGAGTCAATGATCACGATTGTCCAACCATCAAGAACAACGAGGAGCTAGCAGCAGTTGAGGCACGTTACAGTACAGACAGTGACTCTGGTTTACCAACTTGTCGTGTGTGTCATTCTGCAGAATCCGACAGACGAGGAGATGCGGCCTTAGGGCTCTTGGGGATCACACCTCCGGTTCCAGAAGCTCGTGAAAGCAATGCAGAAGAAACCGTTGAAGATGATGATGATGTAAGCAAAGCTACAGAGGCTGAGCTGAAGAGTTCCGATGTGAAAGGCAATGATATCGAGATGGGGATACAGCAGCATCAGGACGCTTTGCTCGAGCTTGGATGTTCTTGCAAGAACGATCTCGCCTTGGTGCATTACGCTTGCGCACTGAAATGGTTCCTCAACCATGGATCCACCGTTTGCGAAATCTGTGGAAACTCTGCGGAGAATATAAAGAGTGGTGATTTCAACAAAGTGGTCATTGCCTTGAGAGATTACACGGCACTGAGAGAAGGAGATCAAAACACAGATTCAACGATAGATACAGATGAAGCTGCTGTCATTAGAAGGCAACGGCTTAGTGAGATATCCTCATGGTTTGGTCCACATTCCCTGAACAACAACAACAACAATAGCTCTGTTGCGGCTACTCAGGTTGTGTCTGAACCACCTATTGGTATTGTGAACTTTCATACATTGCCTACGGAGAGCAGAGCAACTAAGTGGGCTGTGGAAGGTACCGGGATTCTACTTGCTACCGGTTTGCTCACTGTTACTTTGGTCTGGCTCATTGCTCCTCGTGTTGGAAAGGTATGTCATTGATATTTAAGCCTCTTTGATGCGTATATATATTAGTAGCGTTTGTTGGTTAAAGCTTCTTTTAAATTCTTGCAGAGAACTGCTAAGAGCGGACTTCACATCCTTCTTGGTGGTCTGTGTGCTTTAAGTATAGTCATCTTCTTCAGATTCGTAAGTAATCAATCTCATTCTTAACTGATTATTCTTAGTTTTTTTACTTTGAGTAATCGGAAAATACGAAACTTGGAAACAGGTTGTTCTCACTAGAATCAAGTATGGTCCTGCACGCTACTGGGCAATCTTATTCATCTTCTGGTTTCTTGTGTTTGGTATCTGGGCTTCTCGGACGAATGCTCACAATCACTCTTGAATTCATCATCACCAACTTCTTCTCTCTTCTTTCTCTCTCTCTCTCTGGATACGTCTTTGTAATACTTCTCTTGTAGAGAAATGTACATTGTTTCATCAAAGAAAAATAAGCTCATGCTCATTGGTTATGATGAATATATATACATGGTTTATAATGGTTACTACATAGTACTTTTACAGTTCCTGTGTATCTACTTTTAAACATTTTTACAAGCAAAAGAAGAAGAAGAAAAAAATTTGAATCTTGCTGATGAGTCTGATCAAACCAGTTGAAGCCATTTGGCCCAACTGTATGACCCAATTTGGGTTTCCGGGACAGGATCCAACACCGAGTTTCTCCCTCCGGTGCGGCGGCGGAAAAATCTGAAAGCTTCGATTTTTTTATATTCTTTTCGATTTTACCGCTGAGGAGCAAAACTCCAATTCGCGAACGGTTTTTGCTCCGGCGGGTCCTGAAACGGAGAGGCGAGGTCGGACTCGTACGGAAACTGAGGGACGAAAGCGTCATTGTGCAATAACTCGACGGAGCTAAACATCGACGTGTCAAACGCCTCAAACGACGCGTCGTCGAGATCAATCCATTTGGGCTCGCTTTGGACCTCCCAGTTATCGGAGCACGTGACGTCCGGTGAAATCACGTGACTTGAGCATTTCGAGTCCGACGTGCAAGTCGTCATCGGCGACGGTTTCTCATCGGAAGGATAATACTTCTCCACCGTTCCTTTCTTATTGTAAATCCGACATAAAACCCAATCATCAAGCTGCAAAATTTCAACCAAAAATCATTAATCATCATCACAACTGAGACTAAATTCACGAAAAAAACTCAATTCAATTTGAAATCGCGTACTCGCAAGTTGTTCTTCTTGTTCATCGAAGCAGATCGATCGACATTAGCGAGACGATACTCGTGCATGATCCAATTCGTTTTTATCCCTTTCGGAGCTTTTCCGGCGTAGAAGACGAGGGCTTTCTTAATCCCCAATGTCTTCGGTTTACCGATCGGTTTATCAGCTCCAGTCGCTTTCCAATAACCGGTTCCAGCTGCTCTGTTTGGACGCGAACCGTTAGGGTATTTCCGGTCTCGGTGTGAGAAGAAATACCACTCTTTCTCTCCGTACAAAGCCATTTCTGGAACAAAATTAGATTTTTTCAAAATTAATGACAATCACAAAACCAATGATATGAAAAATTTAAAGCGAAATGATGTTTTAGAAATTATACCTGGAAGTTCCCATGGATTGAATTTGTAAAGATCGATTTCTGCGATAACCGGAACGGGAATCGGCTCTGATGCACATCTCCGGCAGAGATAGAACTTAACGAGCTCTTCGTCCGTCGGATGAAATCGGAATCCCGCCGGAAAATTTAGCTCCGCCTTCATTTTCGGAATAGTTCCTTGTCTTCTAGTAGTAGATAAGATTCGATATTTCTTTGTACCCTTGATCGGATCTTTGTGATTTTTTATCGGAGATTGTAATCGAGGGGAAGAGAGTAAGGCCTTGAAGCTTTTATAGAGAGGAGGAGATTCATGAATCACACGTGGGTGGCTTTCTGACACGTGTAACAAGACCAAACCGTTTTCTTTTCAACGTTGACCGCGCAGCCTGCTGAGATATATACGTGGCGATGAATGATTGGGTTATCGACATACAGAGTAATGTGATGTCATTGCTTCCGTCATTCGCACGAACCTTTGTGGATGCAATCTGCTGCTTCTCGGTGTAGCTGAGTGCACGTTGTTCTCTGGTCAACTTTAAGTTTATGACTTGTGAAGTTGTGATCAGTGTACTGTGAAGAGCACAGTAGTGTGAAAATCACGTAATTGAATGCGTCATTGGTATGACGTCATCTTGGTTGCACGCCGGCCTTGTATTGTTTATTTGTATGTACGTAAAGCTCAAAGAAAAGATGCGATAATCTACAGTTTCTTGGACTATAACATTTGCCACATAAAAGGTGTAGTGCAAAGATATATTCCTATGATCACTAAGTTAACCAAAATCCCTAATGAACATGGAAGGTTAGTGCACTTCCTTAGCTCCGGAATGTTCTCCTTGGCCATCACCACCGGTGATTTCTCCATCTCCTCTAATCCCTGGAATGATTTTTATGCTCTGTCTATTTTCTTATGAACTGAGTTTCTAGACAGAGAAACTTCTTGAGAGTCACAAGAACCTTCAACTTAACTCTTATTTGGATCTCATTTATGCAGCTATGCCATTATTTCTTCACTTTGTGCTTCATATTTTGAGAAAACAGCAACACGTTCTTACTCTGATTTCCACTTGATTCTATTTTCCCCCTGAAGGGAACACACAAAACCAGTGATTTGATCTAAACGCCAATTCAAACCAGAACTAAAAACAATATGTTGATTTGCAGGTTTACTTGATTTTATGTTGTGCTCTCTTTTCATATGCATTTGGAGCTTACATCCATATGCTGTTGAGCATCGGGTGGTATGGTAACAACACTGGGCTTTTTCGGATGCATGACATGGTCGGTGTTATTCACTGCTCCGGCTGAACAATCGAGTAAATCAACTTACACTTGTTCTATTGTGTTTCTATTTATTGATAGTTATGTGTTGCAATCTTCTTAACTTCGGATTTTTCCTTTGGCGCAGCAAAGCGTCTTTCGCTTCTTTTGCTGGTGATCATGTATGCCTTCCTTCAAGGCGCTTCTGTTGGTCGCATTGTCGAGTTCTTGTTTGGTTTCGACGGAAGGTGAGTGTTGTTGTTTCTAAATATAAACAATTAAATATGTGGCAAAGGGACCAGAGATATAAAAATTGTGCTTGGCCAGATGCACTCTCGTCAGTTGCAAACACATGTGGACTCTCATTGTGCTCCGTGATAGAAAAGCATCTCGAAAAGCATCTCGGTGATCAAATATTGCACAATCAAGCCTTTTATAGCTACAATAACCTTGCATCAATTTTTTGCTAACCCAGTATCCAGACCACATTTGTGGGCCGACTAACCTTGCATCAATTGTGCCAAGGAATTTATCTCGGAGGTTGCTTCTCATCCAAGGTACTCTTAATTTCTAACTAATCTTCTTTTTTTTGCTCTCTTTTCGAGAATTTGATAATTAAGTTTTTATCCTTTTTTTTTCTTGCATGCAATGCTTGAATTGAAGAAAACTTTGGTTATGGTGATAGTATATTCTTTCACAACACTGTAGGTATTGGGATCGGTATTGGATTGGCCAAGATTTACAAGGAGAATAGCTTGACCACGTTGATGGTGTCCGGTTTTTTAAACGCTGCAGCAGCCGGAATATTAAACTACATGGCGTTTTTTATTGCTTACCATCACAAAGCTCAACGTGGTTTGAAGTTGTTAGTTGTTACTACTTTGTGGTCATATGTTCTGCTCGGTGCTGGTTCGATGTTTATATTAGCTCTTTGGGCTTGATACAAATGCCTAATATATGGGGCTTATATATGAAATAAGACCTATTTAAAGGCCCATTTTATCTTTACGTGAAGGCTGTGTTGGCGCCAAGTCTTGTCTTCCAAGTTCCGATTTCTTTGTCGTGCACGCTAAACCTCAATCATTAATATCATATCTGGGTCTCACAACTTTGTTTCCCAAATTTTGCTTGTTTACGGAATTACCCTCCCCTTAATTCACCACGACATGCACCAACTAATCTTGATACTGTCTTACTGATATTGATAACATACAAGACGTCGTCAGTGAACGAAAATAGGAAAGATAGTAAATTGTTAGTGGCGCACAGTTTTATGATTTGGATAATGGGAAAGATACAGATCAGCTCTTTCAATATGGCTTTGTTAATTAGTAAATGGATTGCTAAGGAACACAGGTGCATAGCCAATGTTCTTAAGGTGGCTACGGATGCATGGTTCTTGCTTTTGAATATTCGGACACCAGTCACTATCCCCCGATATGAATTACTGTGTGGAAGTTACGTCAACTAATTTTCACAAGTTTTATTCCACGAAATGATCAGAAAGATTTACATATAAACGCAGGTTTCTTGGACCAATCTTATTGGAACTCGCCGGAGAGAAGCCCCGGCCGATGCTATACAATCGTACTATATACAAAACTAACCAAAAAACGTTAGCAGTGGCAAGAATGATTGTTTAAGCTTAGTGAATACATCTAAAAGCATTCATTCATTCATGTCATGAGTTTTAAACTCGGAACACTTTTTCACAATGTAAGAATCAGGTGTGCGGTAGTATAAAGAAGATCAAACGCACATAGACCAGAGCAATGTATCACACATTAGTAATCAAAATTATCTAAAGTGGAATAGTTTTGGAGATTTTTCGTGGTCTTGAGCACTAATTGCATAGGTTAAAAAAAAAAAAAAAAAAATAGTGAAGCAACAAGATAATAAGATAAATTAGAGCACTGCTAACTAAGCATTAGCAATTATGACGAAAAGAATCAATGAAAACAATCAATAGGAAACATTTTTGATCAATAGTTGAGCATGGGTCACACTAATCAAACAATGATGCGATGGTTTAACTAAAACATTATTACAGAGAAAGGAACACTTGATTATGATTAATTATTTTTCGAAACACTAGTTGACTTTTTTAACGGCGTCCCACCGTTAATCAATTTCGATATAGCCTAATTTCTGAACCAATATAAATAGTAGTTACACATGTAGTGACATATACATGGAACATGGAACAAAAACGTATAAATTGAAGAGAAAAAAAAAAAGAGAAAGAGATCCTTCAGTCGGAACTCGAAACGTTTGCTCTTTATGAAAATGTTTAGAAAGAGGTTTAAATATAGAAACAAACTCTAGATAAAGTAAAAAAAAAAAATTGCCCAAAAAAGAAGATTTCATTTAACAAGATAAATTTAGTTCATGGTATAGCGAAGCTTCGAATCCTTAATGTTACGATTTTCATAAACTTGTGTTCCTTTATGTAATATTTTATTATTATTTTGTTCGTTCGTCTACATCTCAATTCTCAGATATCATGACATTTTAACTAATCAATTTTTTTTTTAATTTTCTCTCGAAATACAGTCTTTATAGTTCGTTTTGGCGTAGTCAAAATTAGTTTTAATATTATATCTTTAAAATTACATAGTAAAACAGATTTTTTTCAATTGTCATATTTAATATTTTTTTTATAAAAATAATACTAATTAGGTAAAGTATAAAACAGACTTCATATACAGTATATATGATTAGAAGGGCATTTTAGTAAATCAGTTATTAGAATCGCAAGACAAAGGCGAAAAGCGTAATGCAGTTTCCAGGCTTTATATATAACCTTGAGAGAACCGATTTGTATGTGTTTGTGTGTGTGTGTATATACAACTCTCAAATCACAAATCTCAAAATCTTTATTCAACGCCTACGTATTATACTTACACTTGTTTCCAATCATTATTTTTTCTTGGATTTATATAATGTGCCAATTCATTCACCCACATGCTTGATGTGTGTATATATATAGTCTATACACGTTCGAAGACAGTAATCCGTAAAGGAAACATCAACAGAGGAAGAGAAGAAGGAAAATGGTGTCGGGTCGGATCGGGTTTTGTTTGATTCTACTGGGTACAGTTCTTGTATTCTCCACCGCCGGCGCCGGCGGTGCTACGGCGGAGAAGGGAGTAACGTACGACGGACGGTCTTTGATTATCGATGGACAGAGTAAACTTCTCTTCTCCGGTTCAATTCATTATCCTCGCAGCACACCCGAGGTAAATATATTTTCATCATAATAAGAGCGAATTTTGTATATTATCAAATTCTGTGATATATCTCTAAAACATTTTTGGCAAATGTAAACAGAAATGGTTGGACCAAAACTTGTGTCATGTTGATGTAATATGACAAAACTCTACTATCAGAAAGCAAAGTACATAAATGACAAAATTAATCGAGTGTAAAGATTTTGGATATATATGGAAGTCGATATCTCATTTAACTGATAAGATATCAAATTATATATTTTGGCTAATATATGAAATGACACTTCATGTCATTAGCATATTTTATACTATATTCAAACTTTGTAACTGAATTCAGTTTCACGAGTTCCTTTACATTCATAAATTTGTTTTGGCTTTTCATGTACTTTGTGTTGCGTGAGAAACTCTACTTTCAGAAAAAAGGGAAAAATAATGAAAGAGAAACTCCTTTTTTCGGGAATAAAACATTTTTTCGTGGAAACTAAGAAATGTCTACTTTAATATCTCTAATGGGAATCGTTTTTAAGCACGACCTCAATAGCCATTTAGCCAAGAAGTGACAAGTCGTAATCACACTTAGATATAAACACATTCTAGATAGGTTTTGCCATTTAGATGAAACGTTTATACAATGGAATATCAATTTTTTTTAATAATAAATATAAGAAAAGGACTTAAACAAAAAATTAATATAGGAAAGGGACATGCATCATGTATTGAAGCGAAATTGATCTGTCAAGTATTAATTAGGAATAGAATTGTATAGTTTTGGTTCACAAGATTTGTTTACCTTCACTGTCAAGATTATGACATATTTCATGTAACACAACATCTTTGACTCCTTGACTTTACAGAAATGAAATAGTCACGGGTCTCAAAAATCGACACCGTTTCGGTTCTTTTTATGACTCCTTTCTATTTGTCATTGTCTACTTCCTTGAATATTTTTTTGTAAAATCAGAGTAATCATTAAATAGTGCATGAAAAAACGATATATTGGTAATTCACGTACTCATTTGATAATCCGAAACAAATTAGACACAGATCCGTTGTACGTGCTTTATTAAATGTTCTTCTCATGGTTTCCATAAATAAAATAAAAAAGTAATTGAATATATTCGGCGAAACGGAATTCAGTTACAAAGCTTAAAGCTACATGCATGAATAAATGAGTGTATTATGAAACTAATCATATCAAATAAAAAGTCAAAATGTGCAAAACAAATGAGAGTAATCACATAATAATATTTTATTAAACTGCATGTGATTATGATCATTGATTCTGCATCTAATTATCATTTGGTCTTTGACAACTCTAACACAATCACGTGAACAAATCTCAATTCCATTTAAATCTCTAGTCACTGGGATCCAAAGACAGCCAGTTTTATATAAATCATTGTGATTTAGCCGATTTAGTTTAATAAATTAATATGAGAAAGAAAAACAAAATATGCAGATGTGGCCGTCTCTGATAAAAAAGACAAAGGAAGGAGGCATCGATGTGATCCAAACGTACGTTTTCTGGAACCTCCATGAGCCTAAACTCGGACAGGTCGGTCCATTTGTTTAAATATTTCTCTATATGAATTTTCAATACGATTAGAAAATTAAAGTTGACATATAATTTATTCGGAAAAAAAATGAACATTGCAGTACGATTTTAGCGGACGAAATGATCTGGTGAAGTTTATCAAAGAAGCTAGATCGCAAGGTCTCTATGTATGTCTACGTATTGGACCCTTCATCGAAGCCGAGTGGAATTACGGGTACTAAATCAATTAGCAACAAAAATATTATGTTTCTTTATGTTAGTCATCATATAGTAACCATTAATTTATTGCTTAATTTGTTTTTGGTATCCGGTTTTGTCAACTAGGGGATTGCCATTTTGGCTACGTGATGTACCCGGTATGGTATACCGAACCGACAACGAGCCCTTCAAGTTCCACATGAAAAAATTCACTAGCAAGATCGTAAGTTTGATGAAATCGGAGGGCTTATATGCTTCTCAAGGAGGTCCAATTATTCTCTCCCAGGTAGTTTTCTTCATTCCTACTAGTCATTTGATTCAGTGTCACCCGAACCAAACCAAACCGGACAAATATAAGCTGTGAATAAGTTGGGTTCTTGTGGTTTGATTTGTATAGATCGAAAACGAGTATGGAAACGTGGAGGCTAATTTTCGCGAGAAAGGAGCATCGTACGTCAAGTGGGCAGGTCAAATGGCGGTGGGGCTTAAGACAGGAGTGCCATGGATCATGTGCAAACAGCCTGACGCTCCTGATCCCGTGGTCCGTACTGTTCCGGTTTGCTCATATAAGATCAATGAATTTTTCTTGTTTTCTTTAAAGATTGATGTTTTTTAATCTACAGATCAATACGTGCAACGGAATGAGATGCGGCGAGACATTTCAAGGACCAAACTCACGGAACAAGCCGAAAATGTGGACTGAGGATTGGACATCTTTGTAAGCGGTTACTTACTTCATTGTCTATGTCTATTTTGTTTCTTGTTCAAGAAGATAACTCTGCTTTCCTTTGCTTGTGATGAAAAAAAAAAAAAAATCAGCTTTCAAGTTTACGGAGGAGAGCCTTATATTAGATCTGCTGAGGATATTGCTTTCCATGCCGCTCTTTTTGTCGCGAAAAATGGAAGCTATATCAACTACTATATGGTACAAGATTTTGATATTTCTTTTATAAAAAGT